AAGAATTTTTATTTATATCTTAAATATAAAAAAGGAAGGGAGTAAGCTTATTTATAATATAAAATATTAATAGCTTTATTAAAGTATTAATTTATATTATATTAAGTAATTTAATAAATAAGCTTAGGTTAAATTATACTTATACTTTACTAGCTTATATAATATTTAAATATATAAAAGATACTTAATATTATAAAGCTTGGAATTACTTATATTTAATGATTAAAAATATTATTATATTTATATTTAGCATAATGCCTTAATATTATTAATAAAAGTATTAATTTTAAATAATAAATATTTTTAATATTAAATAATCTTTAAAGTTAAAGTAAATATTAAAGCCGCTTATATTATTAAAGAAGTTATAAAGAAAGGCTTAGTTTATAAGAAAAGTATAATAAGTATATCCCTTTTTATTATTATTAATAGCTAAAGTTATTATAATATTAATAGCTTTAAAATTAAGATCTTTAAAGTTAATAAGAAATGTATTAAATTTATTATTATTAACTTATTGCTTAGTATCCTTATATATATAAATATATATAGCTTTAATATATTATTAATTTTTAAGTAAGTAATTTATTAATTAACATTTCTTTTTATAATATATAAAATACTTTTTCTTTTTATATTGTATATTATTATTATTACCTTTATTAAGTTAATATTTATTATTATAGCTACCTTTATAAGGTTTTTTATTATAGCTGTTGCCTTTAAATTAATAAGGCTAATTTAAGCAAAAGTTTAATTAAAAGCCATTACCTTTAAAAGAAAGTTAAGGGTACTTAAGGCATTAATTATTATTATTATATTACTTATTAAGATAATATTGCTTTTTAATATTTATAATAATTAAATTATTATTATTTTAATTATTATAATTAAATGCATAGCCTTATTTATAAGCTTATTAATTATTTCTTATAATTATATATTATAATATAAAGTTTTAAGCTTTTAATGCCTTAATATATTATTATAAGATAAAGTAAAGCTATTTAATATTTATTAATATTATTAAAATAGCATAATAAAATTTAAAAATACCTTATATTGCTTATAAAATTATATTTTATAAAGGGCTATCCTTATAAATAATATATTTAAGTGCTTTATAATAAAGCTGCATTTTATTAATAAGTATTTAAAGAATATTTATATAACTTTTATTAAGGTTTTTTTATTAAAGAGTAAAGAAAGTTAAAGTATTTTAATTTATAAAATAGTTATAATAATTATTATTTATATTAAAGTAATTTTTAAGTTTCTTATATGCTTAAATAAATAAATCCTTTTAATTAATAACTTAAATATAATATATTTTTATTAATTTCTTAAGTATATATAAAAGAACTGCCTTAAATTATTAAGGCTATATTTATAAGTTGCTATAAGTTTTATAAAAAAAAAGGATTTTATTATTAAGAATATTATATAATTCTTTAATAAATATTTTATTTTTATAATAATATTTACTTAAGTTAATTGCTATATTTAGGTTAAGTAAAAAGTTTTTTGTTTTTATTAAAGGCAAAAGGGTATAATAATTATATATTGCATAAAAGTTATTAATTAAAGGAAGATTATTGCCTTTTCTTAATAAATTAAGAGGTTTTAAAGGGCTATTATTACCTTTATTATTATTATTAAGTAAGCTAAGTGGTTTAAATAATTTAAAATTAAGAGAATTATTATTATTAAGTAATTTTTTATTTTTTATTAAAATATAATTAAAGCTAAGGATAATATAAATATTTAAATTATAGTTTTAAATTTAATTAATTTTAAATATAATATAGTATTTTTGCTTTTAATTTATTAATTATTTAAGATAATTTAGTATTTTAAAGATATATATAAATTTTTTTAAAGTATTTGCTTTTTAAGTATAAATGCCTTTAACTTAAAAAGTTTTCTTAATAATGCATAATAAGTTTTTATTAACTTATTTAAATATTAGCTTAGTTTAGTTATAAAAATCCTTAATAAATACTTTATATACTTTATTACTTAATATATATATTATAACTTAAATTTAGCTTTAAATATAAGTATTTAAGTATTATTTATTATTAAGGGATTTCAAGGAATTTATTTATACCAAGGGATTAAGTATTTTAATAATGCTTTTAAATATAAAAGTATGGTTTATTATAATTAATATTAATAAATTATTTTAGCTAATAATATTGCTTATTATATTTACTATATTATTATTATTTCTTATTATTTTAATAAAATAATAATAAGGATATATTTAATTTAGGAAAGAAAATAATAAAAAGAGGAAATAAATAGTATTAAGGGAAAATAAAAAAGTTAAGGGTTACTTTTATAACTTAGCTATTAAAAGATAAATTAATTTCTTTCTTTATATTTATTTATATAATAAGATATAAGTAAATATATTATTAATAAAAATAAATATTAATTTAATTCTTTTAATTATAGCTATTAAATTTAAAAGTTATTATTAATATTATTTAAGGCGTAATAAATATATATATATTAAGGATAAGGGAATTTATCATGGTTTCTTATTATAATAATTACCTTTTTATATATTAAATATTATTATTGTTATAAATTGCATTATATAAATTTATAATATTAATAATGCTAATTAATATAATTAAAAGGTTATTTTTTTAAGCCTTGCTAATTTATAATTACCTTTATAATTATTAATTAATATTAATTAAATTATATATTGCAATATAATATTTAGTTAATATTATAGTTAATTATTATTAATTATAAAAGGAAGGAAGATAAAAGGCTTAACTATGCTAGCTATTTTATATGCAGCGCTAAGGCTGCTGCCTGCCGGGCATCCTAACGGGCCAAAGCTGCCTAATCCTAAACAGTCCTCCATATAAACAACACCCATTATTCCCACACTAGCAATATATAAAAGTAATTACTTTGCTTAAGAAAACTTTTAACTTAAGAAGTATACCTTAATAATGCTTAGCTTATTTTTTTTATGTTATTATGCTTATTAAGTTTTAATTTATTATAAAAAATAAATATCTTAGTAATATATTATAGCTTTAAGATCTTAAAAAGGTAATAGCTTTAAAGGTTTTTATTATACTGTTAAGCTAGTATATATATTCGCTTATTAATTTAATTATACTCCTTAAAAGCCCTTAAGATAATCTTTATTAAGTAATTAATTTAGCACTTTTTAATAAGAAAGTATTATATTTTATTAAGATATATATTTAACTTATTAAGGAAAAGATTTTTAAGCTTTTATATAGTAATAGCTAAGTATTAATAATGCTTAAAAGGCTTATTATATTAAAAAACATTATATACCTTTAAAGCTTATTGCTTTAATTTAATAGCATTTAATAATAATAATAAGAGCATGCTTAGCGCTATAATGTTTATTATCTTAATCCTTTTTTAATATTATTAAATTATTAATTTATTATAATTAAACTTAGCTTATAGCTACTTATTTAATAGCGATAAGTTTAAATGTAAATAAAACTATAATATTTATAATTATATAAAGGTTAGCTACATTATTATAGCCTTTCTTTTGTTAAATTAAGTACATAGTAATAGCGAAAAGGTTATTTTTAATAATCTTGGTATATATTTTACATTCACAGCAAACTTTTGGTGCGGAGGGGGATAGCTAATTAAAGAGATAGGGGGGGGCTGCGTTTCGTTTGGGACAGACAGTGCATGAAGGTTCCAAAAAACTAGACAACCTCGGGACCTGCGGCACATAGATTGAATGCATACTGTCAACCGTCACTACGATGCAGCGAAGTCGGTCCGTCTCTCAACTCGCCCGAACCAAGCAGGTGAGTAGCCACAGCAGTCTCATCTTCGATCAAAGCAGATTCTGGTTACCGATCTCGGAATTGTCGCCTCTTCGCGCAATTTCGGCGCTTAAAAGCTTATCTACTCTGGCAATAAAGTTGGCCGCCTTTGCGTGCATTCTTGCCTCGAAGTTTCTATGGGGCCCGCGACCCACTGGACGCCCACGTGCTTGAGGGGCCAGACCATTCGGCAGTTCGGATCTGATAAACGTCGTGCAGCTGAGGCAAGCAGGATCCGACTCAGGGCGTCGAGTCACATTCGGGCCAAGGTGCATTTTGAGGCATGTACAACCTACCTGGGGGTATAAGTTGTTACCAATTTATATACTTGGTTATCTCCTTTATAAAATCCTTCTCGTACATGCTAGTAGGTTTTACAGAGAACTGTAATATAAATCAATGGGTTGTACAAAGCGCCCTGGCCCTGAGTTCTGTTAACAAGGGTTCGACACATTACAGATGCCTTTTCGGCTGGAAAAGGCATGACACATTAGCCACTGGCCCTTTCTTTGGAGTGTAAAGATGCTGCATCTTACTTGTCCCTGAGCGAGGCGGTCGACCATGTTCATCGTGGGAGCCGCAGCAGCATTTGATGACGGGCGTAAGACATGGACAAGTTACATTGCTCCGCGGAAACTTTTCGCCGTCTGCCCGCGACGCACGACATTTCTTTTCACCGAAACGGCATGGTGTGAGATCATACAGTCCAGCAGTACCAGCATCAACCAGCATGGGTAGGACAATTCAGCTCAACAAATTACGCGCCGGGCCCAGCAAAGCTATCTTAGCTATCCCAAAGACCGACCTTCTCAAATCAAAGCCCGAGTGCAGAGGATGCAATTCTGTACTTGACTTGACGTAAAGCTTAGCGACCGGTTCACTTGTTGATATATCTGGGAGAGATGTCTTATCGATGCTGAACCCGTCATTGATCAGCATGATCCAGCCATCCTACCTCACACAAAGGTACTCGAACTGACAAGTAATAGAAGAGGAAACAGTATTCCTGGTCCGGCAGAGGTCAAATAAGAAGCTACGTCTTCTTCCTCGTGTCACCGAAACATGTGCATGACATAAAAGCTTCTTCGGTAATTATCTAGAGATCGTAAACTTGTCTCGATTTGTTAGTACATGACCAGATTTACTACTCTACTCCAAGCCAGCAACATTCTGTCGTAAGCTCTCCTTGAGACCAGTCCAACCCGGTTGACCAAACCACTTGCGAAGCAGCTCCGCACCAAGCTTGTTGTCAACCTCACTGATATCTGACTGTTGTTCCTGGTTGTCGGGAAATTTCTTGTTGGGGAATAATTCCCGGAAGTTGTCCAGCACAACGTTCCAGTTGAATGGAACGTTGAATGCCATGATACGCTCGTTCTTGACTGAACCGTCGATCAAAGCGGCCAGGTGTAGCCGAGCAGAGTCGACTACGTTGACCATATACTGTGGCAAGAAGTCCCATTGTACATTACCGTTGAATGCCCTGATAACCAAACCGCCAGTCTCCCCAGGCGAATCAATCACCCGGCCCATGTTAACAGCTGGGTTGACCTAGATCTCTATTAGCGCAGTACACACCTCACGATAATATCTAGAAGCCATACGCAGTTGATCGTGAATTTGGGGTTCTCCTCCGCAAACTTCCACACTTCCTTCTCGGCTCTCGTCTTGCTTGCAGCGTATACTTTGAACGCATTCTCGGGCTTGTAGGGTGGTGGAAAATCCGCGTAATCGTCGACCTCGGTGTTCCAGGAGCTCTTGTCAATGTAAAACTTGACTCCAGGCTTGGGTAGGGACGTCGCGGTGCTCGAGCTCGTGAAGACAAATCTTTGGATCCTGGGCTCCTTGATTGCTGAGCGAAGTATCGACGTCGCCCCTTCGACGGCAGGAGGCACAACCTCCTTCGGGTTGGAACTGAAGGTGAGGGGCGACGACATATGTACGATTGCGTCCACGCCCTTGACGGCCAAATCAAACGCCCCAGGTGCTTGCATCTCTGGAACGGCAACGGCATCGTAGTTCGGTGAATTGAAGATCTGTTTTGTCTTCTGAGCTTTGGATGCCGATCTTGCCGTTCCGCGAATCCTATAGCCGGCGTCAAGTGCTTCAACAATCAAGTTGCTAGCCATGTATCCGGAAGCACCGGTAACTAATATCAGAGATCCTCTGGGTAATACCAGATCAGCATTATCGAGAATAGCCATAATTGTATTCAGAACTTGGCAGCAAGGACAATAGGTATGGTGAGTTTGGTTGGTTAGGTCCTGTAGTATTTGTAGGAAAAGTTGGTAGAATAGGAGCAGACTATTTTATATCCATTGCCCATGGGAATTCATTGCAACTATGGTTGTCAGCTGCCTGAAACTCGGCTAAAGCTGTGTCATGAGGAATCACCTGTAGACCGCACCCCGCTATACTTTTCTGAGGGCGGCGTGCAGTTGAAGTGAACAAATCACGTCAACACAACACCTTTAGGTTGTCCGCCGCTCAGTAAGCGACAACAATTGCCGCGGGACATGACTTGTTTCGTTGTCGTTTTCGGACCCGTGAGCTAATCAATAACGTTCTTTCAAACCCCGAGTAAATCGTGTTACGCCCCACTTTATCGGGATTCGCCGTGACTTGCCTATGAAAGCGTGGGATGATGTATTATCAGGTTGAATTACTTGAATGGTCCCCTAAGGCAGCCGTCGGCGAGTGAACAAGTTACATACCGCTCTGTTAACTCTCTTCGGCGGTTCGGAGTATCTTTCCGACCTCAGAAGGGGGCAACATCTTTTCAGACAGGGGTCGAACAGGATTCCAGGTCTCGGGCAGTCCTGGTGATCAGAGTACAATCGAGAGCATGTTTGGTCTTCAGTCCCATCCCGATCGAGTCACAGCACATGGCTGCGCTCGCGATGGACTCAATAACAGCCTGGATTCTTAGTGCAACAGCCTCATCACCAACTATCATGCCAAGTGACTTGCTCGGGGGGTACCTCGCAGCCGTTTCAGAATACATCACAGCGCTCTCCACCTCAAGTAAAAAACGGTCATAGTGTAGTAATTGATAGTAGTTCTATATGCTAAGTTCCAAGCCCGTGGAACTCATGCCGTGCATTCTTGCCTCTGCGTAGTCTATGAAGCCTGAGAAGCTGTCCATTCCTTGCTAAAAGGGTAGTCGACATAACCAATGGGACTCTCTGCATTGTAAAAGGTATCGCGATTGTAAGGGTTCAATTCGAGTCCGTTTTTCAAGCGGTAGGCAAGATCAGGATTCGACAAGAAGTAACGTCCAAACACGACGGCTACCTCATCATTCTTGTGCTCTTCGTCGATAAATGACTTCGCTCGATCGGGTTTAAATCCACCTGCGACCAGCACAGGGGATGTGCGATCCCATGCATCAAAGACAAAGTCGTTGCTCTCTCCACCCTCGGTATCAGTATTTCCCGAGATTCGAGACTCGATAACATGGAGACGTGCCAGCTTGTGCTTCTTCACCTCGGTGATAAGGTGCGTGAACTGGGGGACTGGGTCGGCCATCCGCATCCCCTGGAAGTCAGACCAGGGCGAAAGGCGGAGACCGACCTTGTCAGCGCCCACAGCCGAGACCAGGGCGTCAATAACCTCCACGGCGAATCGAGACCGGTTCTCGATGCTGCCGCCGTACTTGTCAGTGCGCTTGTTCGAGATATCCTGGATAAATTGGTCGACGAGGTATCCGTTGGCGCCGTGCAGCTCTACACCGTCGAAGCCGGCCTCTATGGCGTTGCGTGCGGCCTGCGCATAGTCTGCGATAAAGCACTTGATATCCGCCTCAGTCATCTCGCTAGGGGTGGAAAATCCCTCGGTACCAACAGGGCTGGGTGCCTTGACCTGGAAACCTTCGGCCTTGGCGGCGTTGGGATCGGCGACACGGCCCAGGGCCCAGAGCTGAGCGAAGATGTAACTGCCTTTGGCGTGGACGGCATCGGTGATCACCTTCCAAGCGGCGATTTGGTCTATGTTCCATAGCCCAGGAACGTTGTCGGCCCCAGCAGCCTGCTGAGAGATAAAAGTTGCTTCCGTGATGAGCAAGGTGCCAGGGGTCGATGCACGCTGGCCGTAATTCTCCTTCATGAGAGGGAGCGGGACATGCTTCTTATTGGCTCGGAACTTCGTCAGCGGCGCCATGACAGCTCTGTGTTGCAATGTCACATTGCCTATCTTGAGCGGCTCGAAGAGAAGAGAAGAGGACGCCATTGTGTGGGGTGCTTGTTGTCTTCGTAGAGGATGTGTAATGGGGACCGAATCACTATGTAAATAACGCTAAGTCCCAACATGGGGGCAAGGAATGGGTTTGACAGACGTTACCATCATGGTTAACATTACAGGAGACTACATATACAAACTTGATATGCTACATCGTGGCTTCATTATTCCGTGGCCTGTCCTACTCCCTGAGAAAGCAAGAGGCATGATGACAAATGGCACGGGAAAGGAGGAAATGAAGGCTCTGCTAGACGATTTCGCCTTGTTCCCCTGAGATGCCAACGCACTGCCCCCACGATGGGACTGTATTGCTGTCGTAGTGCCCAGAGGTCCACGACTCAGTTGTGGCTCTATGAGCCTGTGCGGTGTGGTGTGGATGATGCGATGCGGCTTTTGAACATCGAGCCCCGAGGTTTCCACCAGCAAGCGCTTAGTGAGCGGATTCATAGCTGCGAGTCTTGGCCGCTCGCCAGTGGCGTCGCATATTTCGTGTTCCGTGACAACAATCAAGAAGACACCACAAATGACGCAAAACTGACTGTGCAGAGTCAAGCTTGCCATGGAGTAGTATGAGGCAGATTGCGCACTGAACGAGGCTGAAGCGAATAGATTGCTGACGTAGTTATTTCACTCCATTCTCTGTGCGGTTTGTGGGTTTCTCAGTGGTGTGGAAATGTATTGTGAGGTGAGTAGGAACATCCATAGCTGGGTCCTTGAACGGGGACTGGGTGTCCGGCAGGTTAGGTGTGTGTGCCTGGTCCCGGGTTTTTTTTTGGTTTTTTTTTTTGGGGGGGGGGGGGGGGTTTAATTTCCACTATGCTTACGACAGGAGCCGCCGATCTCATTGATCGGGAGAGCCCGTGTAAGTTTATTCTTCTTCGGCCGAATATGCGGACAAGCTTAGTGAGCATATACTATGGGCTAATAGACGTTCCCCGTCACTGTTTCCAACCAGGACGGCTGCCCGGCCGAACGAATTCCCTAAACATCCTTGAAAGGCATCAAACATCACCCTGACTAGTCGATCAAGTCCTAAGTGACCCTGTTGTTGTTAATGTGACAAAATATCGTCGGGCCACTCGAACCAAGCACACACTCAGAGACCATTGTATCAGCGTTTTAAATGCGGCCGATCCGACAACAGAGCATTGTATGGGCTTAAATCTATATCTATGTGTATCTACCGTTTCTCTATTGCAAGCACCCACTACAACGTAAAAACTACGATGTAGGGAAGCGAACAAACCGGAACTGATTCGGCCACGCAACATCAACACCAAGCTGCCATGCCACCCTCAGCACCCACTCTGGCTCACGCAAAAACTGCCGTGCCACCAAGATGACGTCGGCCTGAGGCTCTTTGCCGTTCTTGGGCTCTGTCATGCCCAGCGCAGCTTGCGCTTCTTTCGCAGTCTCCGCATCTGATGTTTGCTCGGCAACAGCACCACCCTCTTCAAGAATGTCTCTTGCCTGCTCAGCTTCCGTGATTAGACCAACAGCTCCAATGAACAGTTTGCCTCCCTCCTTCTTTACTTCTTCCCTGATGCGTGAGGCAATTCGTGTCTGATAGTCTTTTGTGTTGAAGGCATTCAACTTCTGCGATGGATGATTGCCGCCACTGCTGACATCGAGAAGATCGACTCCAAGGCCAGCAACCATCTTGGCCAACCGGATAGAGCTCTCGACATCCCAGCTACCGAACTTTTCGGCCAGCTCCGTCTCCTCCATCCACTCCGTGGAGCTGATGCGGAGGTACAAGGGCATTGCCTCTGGGATCACAGCCCGGATGGCCTGGATGATCTCAACCAGCAGCCTCGTTCTGTTTTCAAAGCTGCCACCATACTTGTCGGTCCTGCGGTTCGTGATTGGCGAAAGGAACTGGTGAATGAGATAGCCGTGCGCCGCATGGATCTCGATAACGTCAACACCTGCCTTGACACTCCTCTCCGCTGCCCGGGCCCAGTCCTGCACCAGCTCGCCAATCTCCGCTTCGCTCAGCGCCCTTGGCGCCCAAAACCCACCCGTCTCATCGTCTACCTTCTTCTCGTCCCACGTCCACTCCTCGCCTCCCATCGGCCCAACAACGTCCCCTGGCCAACCCCCCGCAGCCTCACTCGCCCTGATACTAACCTTCCTCTTCCCATTACTTATTCCCTGCGCGTCTGCAACCCATGGCGCACATGTACTCGCCTTCCTTCCCGCATGCGCTAGTTGAATCGCACTCAGCGCTCCTTGGGATTTGACGAAGTCACTTATCCTCCGCAACGCGGGAATTTGCGCATCGCTCCAGAGACCAGGGCAGTTGGGCGATATGCGCCCGTTGGCTTGGACGCCTGTTGCTTCGACCATGACCAGCGCGGCGCCCTTCAAGGCGTAGTGGCCCAGGGTCGCGATGTGATAGTCAGTTAGCGCGCCGGTTGCTGGGCCGTGAGAGGCGGTGGAGAACTGGCACATGGGCGCGACGAGGATGCGGTTGCGGAGGGTCGTGCCTCGGATGGTCAGGGGCTGGAAAAGCCTCGGGACGGGCGTGGTGGTGGTTGTTGATGCTGGTGTGCCTGGGGACATGAGATGTTGGGGTGTGAAGTATTCGAGGCCGGGCACACCGGTGTTGAATTCTGATGGTGGTGCCATTCTGAGGACGTCCGCCTTCCACAAGTACTTCGATAATCCGGTGGTAGAGCTGTGCCTAATAGCGATTTTCGGTACAATGCAGATGTCGCTGAGTATGCGTGTAGGGTCGGACTGACGTTTGAGCGGGTGGTGCCAGAGCTTTTATGACGGCTTTGAGGTATTTAGAGCTTATCAAGTTTGGTGTAGTATCGTTGATTTGTAATGTATCAGAATGGAATCCACTTCGGGATATTCCCGAAAGACTGACTAGGCTCTTTGTGTTGGAAAAAGCAAACGCTTAACTAATCCGCCCCGGGATTAAGCACCCGTATTTGCGTTACACCCCCAACTTTGTGACAACGTTTTACAAAGTTTTCAAGGAAATCCGAAGGTAAACAAAGTTTTACGCAGTGATTCAAACTCGCGACTGTAAACGGGAGTCAGGGGTGAGGAATTACTGGGCAGGTGACTCGTACGGTTTCCCGGATTAGCTCCAAGGCTGCTCAGGGGAACTCCACACGCCAACTGCGGGCGAAGTAGACAGGGTGCTGGCTGAGCACAGCCTTTCCTATTCTGGGCTTTTTTACGACAACAAACATATCATGATCAATCCAGATCTCGCAGGTGGGATTCTTCTCGATGGAGGCATATACAGCTTGACGTGGGTCTTCTTGGCTCTTTGGCAGACACATTCGCCTAATATTGGGCAGCGGCCAATCATCAAATTGGCTGTCGCCAAGTACGGCCCTACTGGCGTCGACGGGATGACCACAATTCTGCTCGAATTTCCGAGAGAGTCGTCATTCGGAAACGCGCACGCAGTGGCCTCGACTTCACTCGGGTTGTCGAACGATGCGGTAGCTGCCCAGAACGACGTGTCAGTTCCAGGTATTCGGATTCAAGGCCAGCTTGGCGAGATTCAGATATTCCCACCAACATATCGACCCACACATACAAGGATCATCCTGAAGGACGGCACCCTTGAAGATAAGAACTGGCTGCAATCCGGTCCAGGCGCGGACAGTGGATGGTACAATGGATATGGTGATGTACACTCTGAGGGTGAAGGCCATGGCTTGTTTTGGGAGGCTGACGATGCCGGCAGAGCGCTGCTGGAGGGCAGAAAGGAGGGCACACAATTAGGTCTAGACGAGAGCGTTCTGATTATGGAAATCATGGATGAGATCCGAGCTGCTGCAGATCTCCGATACCCGTACACAGTGGAGACAACGGATCTCTCCACGTAGTCACCATAAAGAGATCGTGGCGAACCTGAGCAGAGCTTGAATAGGTATCGCGTTGGGTTCTGCTATCAGATTGGGCGTAGTAGGTCGATAGAGAATGGCATGAAAATCACAACCAGTGCCCGTTGTCTCAAAGATCGATCTCTTCAGCTAGTCGTCGTTGTAAATCAAACCTAAGGCGCCTAATCCGCCAGAAAACCTGGTCGTAGACCATAAGCAAGGCTAGTATTCGATAACAACATTGCTACGAAACCTTCAGGCAGTCACACTTCGATGTCAGGCTAGCCTGTGTGCGAAGCAGAAAATGGCTCCAAGGGTCGTGCCGGGGCACCACATTAGCATGGATATAGAAAGGTCTCGTTTGAATAAGAAAACAAAACTCAGCACTCAACGGTGGTCGATTAATCTTAATGTTCAAAAATCTATGGCAGCAAGGATTGAAAGAATATTGGCGTGATTCATTATCATCAAACGGCGTATTCTTCAACTTATTGAAAGTAAGTGCCATGTCTTAAGTAATTTGGTCAGTACCTAGGGTTTATTGTACATTGTACAGTACTGGGCAAGATATTGAAGGCTCATATACAGGCGACACAAGACACAGAAAGTAGATCTCGCTTAGTTGAGTGACCGGCTTCCTGCAAAGTAAAAGCCTTGCTAGGGCTGAGACTCAATTTGGCCTGGATCAACACGAAGTATAAAAAATGCCATTTCTGCCGTCTCAGTACAATAGCCACGGCAGGGGATCCTTGCCCAAGATCCTTGGGCCCCAAGTCACAATCCTGAAACAGCCACCTTCGAATGCCAGTCATATCCAATGCCGCATCACGCTGGGGACCCGAACCTGCGGCTCTGGAGGTGACTCTCTCGTTCTGTTGGCGTAGATGATGATGGGCTGGCTATCGGGTGCCGTGACCGGGTCGAGCTGGCAACACGCCAGAGCCGTCGAGACTCATTGAGTTCATTGCCAACTCGAGCGAAATGCGGGCCTTCTGGCGAGCATATTCGATGGCATGGACCTGGGCGTCTGGGATGGGAATTCCTCCAGTACGAGGCGTGTAGACCTGCGCAGGTGGCTCTGCCGCCGCGGCCACTTCGATCAATATCATATCTGACCCGATCATCTCCACGGTACACGCGGCGATCTCCGCCTCCTCCTCCGCGAGATCCTCGGCTCCGGTCGCCCCCTCCACGGATCTGATAAGTAAGGTCGTATAGGCAAGCAGTATCCGAATCAGGGTGTTAAGTTACATTCGGGCCAAGGTGCATTTTGAGGCATGTGCAACCGACTTGGGGTTATCTCACCTGACATACCTATAATGGCACGTTCAGGTATAAGCATTTTGATTACTTCAGTCATGATTGTCCTGAGAAGCGCAGAATGTCAGAGCTTGAGCATCGGAAAGTATATGGTCTCCATCTTACCAGCACGAGGAAGCAATCCGTTCACAAGAGGGTAATCTACTCCCATATGAAATTATCCCACATGAGGTTATCCCATACGAGGTGATGCCGCAGGAAATTGTCCCACACGACATGAAGCTACAGCAGATCATCCCAGGGCGGGTATCCCAAGGCAGACTGTCCCACACGACGAGACTCGTACAAGGCATCAAGACTTTACAGTCCATTTATTTGCCGTGATCCCTCTTCTATGGACTTCGTGCTGTCCCACAACGATGGTGCAGCCGAGAACCAAGAATAGGGTGTACAGTAGTCAGAGCCGAGTAACGAATCAGGGCTCACAGCACACTCAGCAGATATCTCTTCCGACGCGTTCGAGTGATCGCTTTGATTGAATTAAGTCTTATTCTTTATTTTTTATCATTGTAGGAATTAAAGCCCACAGTCTCCCTTGGAAGTCTTAACAGTCTGACAGATTGTTGTACAATTCCACCTTATGTTGCTCTCCGTCATCTGTTTCGTGATATGCCTACACCCTAGTCATACAGTGCCCATCCCTTCGATGATGTGTTGACGGGCCTAAACGACGAAGCTGCTTTTTATCTCGTTCCTCGCAGGTCGTGGTGGTGCATACGGCTTCAAGTTCTGCATCTGCACAGAAGTGGGCGAGTCGTCTTCGACTTGGATGCCCTTGGCGGGGAACTCCTGGATAGGTGAGCTTTCTCGGAAAGCCTTCGCCACGTTGGGGTTCATCCGCTGGGACACGAACATGCTGGCCCTGCTGAGACTCAGGCCTTGCCACCATTCAGTCCTCCCCTTTTCGATGTTGGGCACGACCTCTTTTGATCCGATCGTCGGGACGTGGCCGGCGTCCTTCCCATTACCATAGCGGTAGTATCTCTGTCTTGATTGCTCTCCACCGAACACTGTCGGCCATATCCGGGCCAGAATCTGCCGCATCGCTGGCATGCAGGCACAGATGATGCCTACGTTCATCTCCGTGGTGGACCAAAGCATTATGTCGAAGTTTTCGAACGTCGGGTTGTCAGACGTCGCGAAAGTAACCAGGGCGTGCAAGCGCAGGATGCTGACGATGGTTACACTGCAAATCATGTCAGTTAAAAAGAATTCCTGATATCGGCTGTCCACTGGAAGAGTGTCAACTCACAATGTGCCGACGAAGAACATCAAGGCAACTCCAATCTTCTTCTTCCAATGGAGTTGCAGTCCTTGCAGTTGCGACAGCGGTAGTGCCAACATCCAGAAATCCAATGCAATGCTGATACCAGCATTCGCCCAACCCACGGCGTTAACGTTAATGCAGGTACCTTGGTGTTGACCATCCCACTTCTCCCAGAAGTAGCGAATAGGCCGACATTGTAACAAGGCCACGAGGCCAAAGACGATTCCGTATATAACGTCGAAGACCACGGTGGCCCAGAGGAGGCGTTTCATTGACTGGGAGGTGAAGATGCGCAGGTAGAAGAGCAGCAGGCTCAGTTTGAGCGCCGCAAGATCCAAGAAGTACTGGACTGCCATGAACAAGAACCATTTGCCGAATTCGTCAATTTGGAAGAAAGGCACCGTCCACACGTCTTTGCCGGAGCCGTTGGGCACGCTGCGTGCACACAGAACAATCGTCCCCGGCACTCCGAGGCAAAGCGTCAGCAGTATGGCCCAGTCATCGGCGTACATTCCCATTCTGGACACAAGTAGTCTGAAAGCGAGCCTCAACAATACCACAGCGGCCGATATCACGCCTAGCGTGACTGCCAAGATGTATAACTCATGACTTCTGTCCCGGGCTGGAATGCCGCATGAAGACTGGGTCTGGTTCTTGGTGACTGTGTGATTCCATTAGACCTCGCTTTGAGTTGCAAACTTGTCAAGTGACGCTTACATAGAGCCTCCCTGATGGTACAGCTGCCCAGGATACACGTCTCGACTGTGTTTGAATAGTTGGTGTCTGTACATAGACACGTCGCATTCGTGAGGGCGCACTGCGTCACAGGGAGCGAGTTCAGGAAACAGGACGACTTTGAACAACGTCAGCTTGCCGAGCCAGCTTCATTAGGCCCAGGCCGTCTTCACAACGAAAGACTTACAGCACAACTCGGCAAGGCCGCGATGAGCTGGGCAGGTGACGATGCACTCGACTGTCCGGATACCAAGCCCAGCTGGCCAAGGAGGACCAAGAGAAGGAATCGCCAGATCATCATGAACTTGATGACATGAGTTTCATCAGCGCACAAGCAATCCCATGGCAGACGCTGCCGTCGACGTCTAGGCTGTCGGTCAGCGCTTGTGGATAGTACGACTTAGGTGTTGATGGCATAGGTTTCTGGTCGATCGAGACGAACCCCCCGGGGGGCCCTTGGGAACTCATATACGAGCATTCCGTCACACAGGGACAGTTGGCCCGAGTAGCCGGACACGGGCCCTGCATCCACGGGGAATAAAACTGCCAATCGAAGGTTGCAGTCCATGCAATCCATGACTTGCATTTTCTTCGGCTCCTCCTGGGCCGGGTTTGGCCTGAGGCAGCGAGGAAGACGGGTTGAAATAGAGTTTCGGTGGCGTTCACGCTAGGATAAATTGCCCGTGCGATTTTATGATCCGATGTACTCAAGGGGATGTCTGGGCAGCCTTTTACAACGGACGAAAGACCTATTTGCTCCAAGTCGGGAAGTCTTTTACACGGAAAAGAGCTTGGAATTTGGAGTAGCGGGTACTACTTCAACGTTGTAGTGCACCATGAAATAGAAGGGTCAAAAATTCTATTCGTGTTCTTGAGGCCTCGTCTTGATCGCAAACTCTGATATTAAACTTCAACGCACGGAAGCCAGAATATAAGTGGCACCCGAGTAAGGGAAGTGGGCGAGCCGGAATTGTTTTACAAAACCAGATTTGTTTTTCTGGTGCAGCGCATCCCGCCGGACTTTTGGTAAACTCAAAGGAAGGTCTGGAATTTCACAGCCCCGTCGGTTTGCCTCCATCTATAATCCGGGTTGTTCCTGTGAGATCGCCGAGTTGAGCAAAATTCCATGACACACAGCCATCAGATATTATCCAGTCATGAAAGAAGAAGCTTGCATTGCCATTACTCGATGAAGACTGAAGAGATTTACAAAGTGCCCTGAAGCATGCGCCCAACTCTGCGGCTAAACAGCACTTTCACTATCACCTCCTTGCGACCCCTATTGCTACGTCGGAGTGGTACTCAACGGTTTGGAAGGCATCAAGATCCTTCCTGGGCACCTCTGGATTAATTCACCCGGGCCTGGCCATTCACTGCTAACACCCGCCGGGAGATTTAACCACCGCGGGCCCCGCTGTCACCCGGCAGATGTTTCCGCTGTCATGTCCCACCTGAATGGCTCGCCAGACTGGGCGTGCCTTTCGATTGGCCGCCAGGGGTTTCATCTGCTCTACTAGTCAAACTTCTCTCGGTTGAGGTCAGGGGTATCAGCCGCAACCCTCGGCACGCTTCTGCTGTGGAGGCTGAAACATTAGGTGAAGGTTATCTTGCTCGTCGGATCTTCTTCCCAAACCGGACTACGTCGCAGTAAACCGTTGACGGTGTCATCTGAACCCCGTCCGCTTGACTATTGCTGCCTCAGAGACCCGACAACACCAACTACCGAGCTCCCTCGCATGTCTGCGCGGGATAGAGCTAGCCCTCTGAGGACATAGTAGGGTCATGCGGGCAGCCATCTCGCGACGCCACACACCTGTGCACGGGTTACATGAGTCCCTTTCAAGACTAGCCCGGACTTTTGGGGCGCTCGCACACATGTTACTTAGGCTCAGCCAACTCGAACGCCATCGAGAAAACCTTGTGTGCACTGCATCCCACCAATCAATTACAAGAGTATCTGGGCAAAATAATCCCTCATCCCATCTTGAGATACACGGAGTTCTTTATTGTGACCGTTGTGCGAGAGCGACGAGAAGGAGTAGGACGATCACACAATGTAGGTGCACACCACTTGCATGAGGCTTCACATCTGACGGGGCCTATGAATTGTCAATTTGGGCATGCGTTGCATCTTCATTACACGTCAAGCGATTGGCTCAGCAAGGCTTCCAGGGCGAAACCAGGCTTCGCTTCAGCCATTGGGCCGGCTATGAAATGCCTGAACGCGGTCAGCGTTGCTGTGGGGGTTATCCATTCCTTGTTAATTAAATGTTGGGTGCAATTAATGCACTTTCTGCCTTGCATCGCCTGCAGGAATGACGGGAAGGCCTCGCAGAGCCTCATCCAGATGCTAGATTATTAGCTAAGCAGTCGATGGCAGCTGTGGCTCCAAGGTATTGCTCGAGTTGCCCGTGCACCGTGACTGCACGGAATGCCTTTGGGCTGCAATGACGAACTCCTTTCTAGGGAGCGTCAATGTTCGACATTGATTGCCCGAAAGAAGGCCGCGTGGGCACATTATTAAGTCCGAACTCCGTACTCGGCTATGAGTATCGCCATGTTGCTGTTCTGTTACTGCCTGCCCCTGCTTAGCTTTGGTAACGCCACGGAGGTTGGTGTACTTGATCAGAGCCGCCCTGAATATGAGTGCCATTGCCGTGACTGAGTTTCTGGAGTCCAGTGACGTACAAGAAGTCCTCGTGGACCATTATATCATCACTGGTCGGTACGAGGCTCCATCTACCCAGTAATCCAAGTCCCGCCGTAGGATACTGGGTCGAGAGAGGACTTAATATGTGCACAAGGCAATCATCTACCCTCGAATCTAAGCTCTAAAGGGACGAGCGTCTCAATCCTTCACCAGATGTAGGTCATTTTCTTCTATACTGAATCACTTCCTTGACGTATTTTGGACAAGCAGAACTCGACCGATAATGCCATCACAATGGTTCTCGCGGCAGACCAGAATCCTGAACGATGCCATCTAGTCTTTCTATCATCTCGATTGCCCTTCTGTTCCGACTCCATTACCTCCTGAAGACGTATCCGGCCCGCAGACAAGAGCACCGGCGTCAATGGACGGCAAAACCATGATGAAATCCCAGTCACTGTCAAGACCGATGAGCCAGCATCATCACTCGATAATCTCTTCATCATCTCGGTTTCCAAAAGTGCGACAAAGCAGCGCATAAAACCAGTCAGAAAAGGGCCTATTGGTGCAGGATCCAACCGATCCACCAGGGACACTAGCAAAAGTGATTTTGCCGCCGGTTACTGTTGACGAAAACCGAGAACAGGGCATTGCTCACCCAGCCACCAATGGCCGTCAAGACTCGACACATACACCGCCTCAGTCACCTACGTCTGACAGCGAGGAGGGAACAATTGGCTTTCACACCAAGATGTACTGTCTCTCCAAATATTTGGCGTCGACTCGTTGCAGGCACTTGCACCGCATAAGTTCGAGCATGATGTGGAGGAGCTGTGGTCATGGGACAGGTTCAGTCAAATGGCAGAAAGAGAGGTGGCGTCGATCATTACAAACAGCGAGGATCACGACTGGAAGATTGGGCACGCAATCCTTTGTGCCCTCTACCAACATCCCGAGCTCGATACGGTATCCTGTAGCAGTTGGACCAACGCGGTCTCGTGGCTCCTGCTGAGCACGTCGCGAGCATGTCTATCCGCTTTGGGTATGCCGTGGAGGCGTAGGATAACCTCTTTTAGGATGGCCTCCGAAGGGGCCGAAGGACGACTTCCCATTTCATAATCTCCTATGGGTCAAAGTCCTCCCAGATGGTCATGCCACGTGGAACACTGTCCCGTACTGCCTCCCTCGAACTGAAGCAGTCGTAGGCTCACGAGACTCGTCCTCATGACCCTCTGGATTAGTGAGCACCTAGAGCCATGATTGGATTGTAAGAGACGATGAACAGGGGCGCGTAGGTCCAGCAAAATCCTCAAGGAGGGTGTCCGATCAGTAGCATGGATATCGAGCCTTCCATCCGGACATCTTCTCCGTTGAAATACAAGACCTGTCAGCATTCGTTAGAAACGTCAATCCTTTTCTCAGAAAGAGCCATAACATGCGAGGGATTCGTAGGCAACAGTTGGAGCCTGCATGTGGAAGGAAAATTAAGGTTCCTATTTCAGGTCCCAGTCTGAGGTGAGCATGTATGCCGCCCACTTTCTTGTATCCTGAGAGCATCACCAAGTCGTGAATAGATTGTCTCTGTTGCCGATCTCCAGTGGTCTGAGGGGCTCAAAATTTGGCATGTCTCACGTGTCGCCTTGTCGTGCTTGTCGGAAGAGGCTGCATTGTAAGTTCTCTACCACCTCGGCTGTGGCTCGACGCGGCCCGAGTTGGATCTCAGACATAGGGGCTGGGTGGCTAAACCATCGAGGCTTATTATTCTCCTTCGAAAACCTGTCAACTAAGTCGTGCAGCTGGAAGGACGATGGCTGTGCTTCACTTCGTGACGTCTTCGCAATGTCTTCAGTCGTAGAGTTGTCTACCTTGGCCGTGATGTCTTGGAACTGACGTGCCAGGTCGGTCCCACACCCAAACATTTACAAGCTCGTTCGAAGGTCAGCGAGCAGCAGTGCTCGCATCCCAATAGGAATGCTCGGATATTGTGAAGACTGTTTGAGAGGAGGAAAATTTGCAAGGCTCTCTCTCACTTACGCGTCCACCTACTTGGCCTCGCTTGGGCTCCACTATGCCTCACAAAACTTGTGACGAGTCGGATTCCTGCAAAGGCGCCCACGTTGCAGTGAAGATACTGTGATCTAGCCTCTTCGGGTGGCAGGAAGGGATTTGTGGGGAGGAGTTCTAAAATGGTTTTGAAGGCATGCACAGCGCCCACTTCAGAGTGTGGTGCACCCACTACCAGTGCCACAAAGAGCCGAGACCCCGGTCAGATGAGATCCTGTCCAGTGAATCAGAGTTAGTTTAACTCGGGCAACGCTACGGGAATTCGCATGCTGCACGGAAGCGAATATAGTGGAATGTAGCGGGCAATTGATGCAGACGCAGCAGCTGAGAGAGGAGTTCGTCTAAGCCAAGGGAGTCGATGGTTCCTGTCAGGGCTGGTCTCTCACGTCATCGTCTGCCGGAGCAGCGGAATCGGGCCTCGCGCTACCAATCATGGACTGCACGAGAAGGTTGAACACTCTCATTTGCCAGAGTCTGTAACATGCTAACAACCCTTGACGGAAATCGAACAGGACCCATTGTCTATGTGAGTGCTGACTGTCTGTTTCGGAGAGACGTTTTTGACATCCTACTCGCCGTACAGCCACAACCATTTCCGGCCAAGCAGGATGCATGTACATGTGGTTTACCTCAGTGCCTAGCAGGCACCCAAAGTTCGAGCTATTTTTGCTGTCGGGCCTATCAGCATTCTCCTCTTGGACCCCACAATCCTTCCCGCAGCGCTAAGCCGTCAACAAGGTTGCATTGGAATTTGCATGCAATCCTGATCAAGGTACACTGCACGAGTATTGTCGTGAGTGGGACAAAGCTGAAGACATTGAATGCCAGTCTTCGACCATAACTGGCAAGGCAGGACACCACATGTCTTACATCATTCCCATACATTAAAGCCTCGTCCTCCGCTCGCCATTGTTCCCGATCTTTGTTTTGCTGTCTACAGTTCTGCTCTCAGAGTCTCCGTCAAAGCACCTTGGAGCCAAGCACGCCAACACCATCAGTCCGCCCACACTCTCTAGCCCAGCCTCTACGGAGTAGTCAACCCACCATTCAGTTTTCCCCTCGTTGCATAGCCACTGCCACGAAAGAACTGGTTCCAGCCAAGTGTTTACCACTGGACTTTGAGCTCGCCACGCAACTGTTCTTATACACAAAAGTCAACGATCCGTCCGGCATTCCATCGACTCTGCAGTGTCTCGACGAGATACATGCACACCAAGTGGAACAGACGAGAATCACAGACCGCATCCGTCACTGTTCTTACTGCAAAGATGGCCAGAATACTCGCCAAGGTCAAGAAGATCTTCTCTCGGCCGAAGAACCTCGAGCCGGCGTCGAGCAACGCTTCTTCGGTCGACACCTCATACGATGCGGGCCACCGACCCTCGACCGCAACACCGTCATACCACCATGCCGCAGCGGTGCAACCACCAGCCTACCGCAGTCCCCCTCAGCTGCAGCCCCATGCAACCAGCCCCTCGCCTCCTACGACGTTCCAACAGCAGGCCAGGCAGATTGCCCAGTTCCAGGTTGGCGGCATGAGGCGCACTAGAGGGGGGTCATCCTACCTGCCCTCGTACGAGTCAACACAGACTTCGGGTGGTGTATCATCGTCGGGCTGGACACGACCTTCGTACGGGTCAGTGGACCAGACCACGATGTCATCCTACGGACACGACGGTGACACGGCGCTGGACACAACCGAGAAGAAGGACATGCACGTACCCGGCCACCGCCAGCATGCAAGGAGCACCTGGCAGGGCAAGCCGAACGGGACGGCTTACGACCGGAGGGAGGAGTTAACCGAAGAGGACGAGAGCATGTGGGCCAGGTTGTCGATGTGACGGCCTCGGCCACCAAGCGAGCTTACAAAGCTAGAGATGTGAGGGGAAACAATACGCTCCTCCCACAAAGAAACGGCCCCTCAGCACTTGGTATGCCGCCAAGCCCCCGGGTCTGGCAAATGCGGGCAGGTAAGCACAGCCAGCCACCCCTCAACTTTTGCCTGCGATTATTGTGGCTAATTGCAGAGTAGCTTGCTTTTCTGCCCAGCCTCAAATGTGGCAGAAAATGTCCGTTTTCAGCACATAACCGCCGACGTCGAGGTGCTTTATGACACCCGTGTCGCATCAATGGCCCGTCGAGCCGGTGGATTGGTGCACGGGGATTCACAAGTGGCACTGGCATTCGTGGCCCAAGTATGGCACACTTGGTAAGCACTATTCCATCCGAGCATCCGCAGTATCAGAATGGGAGTAGATCCTTGCTGACCATCGCGTGTCGTATTCTAGCCGCTGACACGGCCGTGAACACCATCAAGTCAGATCCCATTCCTGACCGAAACAACACGAACAGTGAAGGGCTCGGGACTGTGTTCAATGGAGCCTTGGGGGCTTCGTCTACGACTGCCAAGTCGAGTGCATCGCGAAAGAGAAGGATGATGGCCCTGGAAATCCAAACATTCATGATCAATGGCGATGCAATGTTTCAGAGGGTCCAGACCAGACAGGCACTCAGCACCCGAGGTGAAAGCTCATGTTGCATCATGAATCTGAGCTCATGTGTAACTTAACTGAAGAGGCTCTGGGCTCAATGTGACCCTGTTCAGATAGCCCTACCATGTAACCAAGATTATCTCAGATGATAAATCAAATGATCGACGATTGTCCCACGAGGAGTTAATAGTATGCCGATCCCCCCGCTTGCAGCCATCTCGAATGCTATCTACCTAGCACCAACAATCAACGCGGGCGGGAATGACGCAAACCTGGGAAAGCGGACGGTCGACTGTCAACCTTTCCTACGCCCTTCGGCGACAACAGAACGCGCGCCCGGGCGGTCTCACCAAGATGGTGACTTGTATTCCCATCATGATCCGTATCGCTCATCCCGCTCAATATTTCCCAGACACACCCCTTTTGCCCTACGACCCGAGCCTTCGGTGACATTGCAAACTGAACAACGCCTGCCATGGGCCCCAAATCACCACCCGGCTACGTCGTCGCCTCCCTGGCCATCTCGCTGGGGGGCTTGATCAATGGCTATTTGACACTGGTTCCATAGGTGCCGTGATATCAATGCCGCAGTTCGAAACCACCATCGGAGCCCTTTCCCCCACGCTCGTCGGCTTCACAGTGTCCCTCATAATGCTAGCCGGCACAGTCCCTTCTGTTTTCGCTGGCTGGCTGGCCGACCACCATGGACGGCTCAAGACCATCTTGCTTGGGTCAATGCTCTTTTGTTTCGGTGCCCTTCTCCAGGGTACAGCATACGGGCTCCCGCAGTTCCTGCTAGGGAGAACGGCCGCAGGGCTGGGAGAGGGCGTCTTCTTGAGCAATGTGTCCGTGTACATTTCCGAGATCTCGCCCACGGAGAGACGGGGCGTCCTGTCGGGGCTACCGCAGTTCATGTGCACGGCTGGTATCTGCATCGGTTACTTCGCATGCTACGGGAGTCTTTACCTGCGCGGGTCCAGCATGGCGTGGAGGCTGCCCTTCGTCGTAATGGTCGCGATGTCTATGATACTGATCGGGTGCTGCATGAGGCTGCCCGAGTCTCCAAGGTGGTCTATGAGCCGTGGCGACCGGCCTGCCGCCTGGATGCACTGCGCAGGCTTGACTTCTCGATGGTGGAGGCTGAGAGCAGCTTCATGAGTGGCGGCCTGGTCGTCGAGCAGAGAGTCAGCCTGACGCCTTGGCAAAGCTTTGCCATCTTGTTCAGGAGAGGGTACCGGGCGAGGACGATACTGGCACTCTTCGTGTTGGGAATGGTCCAGCTTTCCGGAATAGACGGTGTGCTATACGTGAGCATTCCACGATCCGGGACATATGTTTCTTGCGTATACAGAAATAGTACTGACAACATAATAGTATGCACCCCTGCTGTTTTCACAGGCAGGGCTGTCTTCGGCTACCGCGTCATTCCTCGCATCAGGAGTATCCGGGATACTCATGCTGGCGATATCTGTCCCTGCCTTCTTGCTGGCTGACAAATGGGGAAGGCGTACGTCCGCCGTTACAGGTGGCATCGGTCTTTCAGGCATCATGTTTTTGATCGGTTCCCTGTATGCTGCAGGTGCGGTGCATCCGTTCGGAATTGCTAGATGGGTTGTCGTCGTTTTCCGTGTTCCTCTTCGGCCTTACGTGCTGTGCGACGTGGGGAATCGTGGGCAAGATCTATGCGACCGAGATACAGCCAACTCATGTCAGAGATGCCGCAAACTGCGTTGCGCAGGGACTCGGATTCGTATGTCTTCCACATGCTCGTATATCCTAGCAGGACCGAGGCTGACTTAAATCTTTAGTTCACCAACTGGTTCGTGGCCATGATCACTCCCATTCTACTCGACAAATCGGCATTCGGCGCGTACTTCCTCTTCGGCGGTCTCGCGTTGTTTACAGTGGCGGTCCTTGGAGCCTATATGCCTGAGACTCGGGGCAGGTCACTTGAAGACATTCAGCAACCCTTCCACCACCCTGCCCTAGGGAGCCTTACATCCAGACTTAGATTCTTTATCCGTCGGGGAGACAGGGCTGCGACGGGCACACCGGTCTCTATTTCAAGTGGCAATGAAGATGTTGAGCTACGACCCTCGACTGTGGATCATGGGAGTGCTACTCAGAGGGTGTCAACGATCAGCCCACTTGACACCATGACGAGGGGACTGAGAATCGATGCGTCGGTAGCCTAGGCCCGTAGTGAGGACTTGTATGCCGTTCTGATGGCGTCACATGGAAGGAGATTATATGACAGACCTGGTGGTCGAATCGTTTGATACGAGCTTTTCTCGCTCCCATGTCATCATGGCCTGTTCCTGGCCGGCTTTCAGTCCAGTGGTATGAACGTGCCAAGGCGGGGGTAACTGAGGCTGAAAGAGCACCAGACGCCACAAGACCTAACAAGCACACCGCTGGTTATTTAGCTCGCTTTTGTATGCCCATGGGATCAATTGATGCTTCGTATTTCCAAGGTCGAGCTGTTTTACTGCTTTCTTGATCAGCAGACTGCAAATACGAGAAACAAATCCTTGACAGTGGTTCGTTGTCTGTCTCAGCAAGTGAGACAGGAAGCCCTACTCCTCAGCAAGGAGAGAACCATGAAGCTTATAAACCCGATGAGGTTCCCAATGAATTTGGAATGCACACGAGACAAATCCGACAAGGAAAATCATCAACACTACGTGACAAAAAATTAAATCACTCAAACCATGAAGGCCCTCATCACTCTGTTTCTCACGGCTCTTGCCTCGGCGCACGCGGTCTCGCGTGCTGAGACACAACTTCAGAGTAGAGACTTCCAGCCCGTTGCTTTGAACTTTCAAGCTGGGCCAGCTTCTTATGGGATGGACATAGTTGCAGATGGGCAAGAATGGTTTACTAGTGCGTTGAAACCACTGACACTGGGGTTTTATCACACATGCTTCCTAAACTCGGAGCACCGCGAATACTAAACATAGTCTGACGTGGTTTACAGATAATGACCTCAACGTCAACTTGATTACTGCCCCGGACTTCGATGCCTATCGTCTCTGCACCTTCAAAACGGAAACCAACGAGGTCACATTCGCGCCGTCGCTCACGCAGCGGCCCGGAGACGTCTGGCCCATCAACCAGATAGCAGTCGGGCCACCCCAGAAGATCATTTCTGTCACTTGCAGCGGAACATGCATCGGGGTTTACGGTGAGTATCAACCAATCAATCATCTAATGCACTCGGTACTCTTGGAGGCGTTTTTGCTCGCGTCACGTCTAATGGAATGCTGACAACGCCTTTGTTTACAGGGGACTGTTATAGAAACGGACAATATCTCGGGAGTTGTTGCAACGGCTTTTGTGCTGCGAACAAGTGTCGTCCGTGGAGTATAGGAAGCAGCTGAGGTTGACATTCACGCCGGAAACGAATCGGGAACGAAAGATGTGTGTTTGGAATCAATTCAAAGTGTGTCTGTCTACAGAGGGTTTTCCTGAACGCCTAGATTGCCGAGAAAAGAGATGTCCCACTGAGGCCGATTAGATTAATCCGAAGTGTGATCACCGCTGGGTGATTGGTCTTGACCAAAGCCAGATGTTTGTGGAGTATGCCCAACCATGTCCCGTCTGAGCGTTAAAAACGCTATATCCGCACTCCATTTTGCAACGGCGATTAGCGCATCCTGATGAAGCTCAGGATTAACGCCTCGAAACTTTGCCGCAAGATTATTTCCAATCTCTTCCTGTTGCTCTAAACAGCGAATCGCTTGGTCCACGCTGCGCAGCACAATCTGCCGCTCGCTTTCCAAATCGGAACGCTCTCTGTCTATTTCTTGTACGTTGATGTTGGCTCTGACGAATGTCGGATTATGGGGGTCAGTCAAGCTGGCTGCAATGTGGATGCCCTGCCTCCATTTGGCTTCACACACCTTGAGTTGCCAATTGTAGCTTTCGACTCTGTCCAAGGCTATGTTGATGTCCGCTGTAAATTTGCCAACATCACAGGTTTTTGCATCGAATACGATTGGATAACTGAATGGGGCCGACATTGTTGGAGAATGCTTTCGCTGGCGTATGTGTGTTCCGGTTTAGTCAGTGATTAACTGTTGGCGACTGGGATAACTTGATGACATTGGAGGCAACGTCTGGCCGCGTATAAATACAGATAATTTTATTGCAGTGCACCTTCGTGGCTCTGCCGCATTATTCGTGTTTGGACTTGTAAGGTCTTTATGTTCTAAGTTTCCCCATTGTAATTATTCAATGGCACGGGTCAAAAGTCGGCAGAGAGCACAATGTGACCTCGAGGGTGCAAAGTAAAATATTATGCTCCATTAAACACATCTGCTGACAAAGACCGACATCCATAATTACGACCCTTCGGGTAAGTCCTATGCTCTTTAGATTGAGAATAGAAGCCGTTCATGCGCTCTTATAATAGCTCCTGATGCAACTTCATCAGATCATGTTGTCCACACGTCGCGACCTTCTAGCAAGTTATGAATTATTTTCTCACCTCAAACAATTTTCTGCCAGTCAAATATTGCTTTCCAATTAGGTAATCTTTACTTTCTTCCAGTCTTAATGCTGAGGAGAGTTCTGCTTAGGTCTAGATAATACCTAGGTACTAAAGGTTTCGATTTGCAGCTTGTACAATTTATGGAATGAAGCATTTCAGACCTGCGGACCTATGAGAATCGCAACCCTTGCCATCGTGAGGCAAGACTTTCCTCTAGGTAGCATCACATCTGTGAAGGGTACAAACAAGGGGAAAGAATGTCTACTTTCCTTGCAGAATCGGCCCAGTGAACCCGTACTTATGTATTCAACTCGGGCCTAAAATGTGCCTAATTATATCTTGGAAACTCCCGTTCACTCCAGATATTAAAACCAACCTTGCCTAGGCTAGTTGCCAGGCTCAAGGCAGACTTGCCTCCCATGCCCAAGCCCAATGAAATGTACCACGCCTAAACGTAGACGGCTAAAGGCTCACAGAATCGGGCAATGTTGACATTGTAAGTATACATGTGATGGCCGATTCTTGGGCCTCTGTTGTACGGCTTGAAACTTTCGCCACAATGTGGCGACAATTGTGGAAAAAGCGAACGCTTAATCCATCAGCCGGATCAAGCCTTATACCGTAGGTACTTCAATACACCCCCCAGTTTGCAAGGTAGTACCCACCAAGTAAAGTATATGCCATAATAGCCCCTATATACATAAGACGCTTCGCCTAGGTTATATACCTTAAATGCACTTATATAAGCAGTGTTATTTAAACCGTAAGTAGTTCTTAAACTTATAAACTTTTTAGCCTTTAAACTTAAAACCTTTATAAAACCTAAATATAAGGGGCTTAACCTAAGGCGCCTAATTTAATATAGCTTAGGAGAATATAGCGGTTAATCGCGCTATATAAACAAACCAAGGGCCCATAACTATGGAAAAAGCAAACGCTTAATCCGTCAGCCGGATCAAGCCTTATACCGTAGGTACTTCAACAACAATACCCGTAGCAGTACCTGAATTGAGACGTTGATGTTTAGCAATCTTACAGCGAGCCTTGTTTCTTTAACCAGGCCTAAGCACTTCAATCAAAGATTGCAACGCGTCTGTAGTAGCAATTGGGAGCTTCGCCTCGGGTCTCGTCGACATCCTCAACTCGAATAGGGAAGAGTCCAGCTGGGTACATCATTCCAGGGGCTTTCAAAATGTCAGCTTCTTGTTCCGGCACCTTTACCATTCTCCGTGGAATATGATCAGGTATTGTGGTATAACTCAGGTGGTACTTACGTAGTGGAAGCGGGTCGGGAATCATTCGGCCTGGAACAAAGCCTGGTGGTGGAGGTGCGATACCATTTACGGTGTAAACGAGGGGCCATGCCTCGATAAAGCGGGATCCGAGGGGCATCCCACGAGGAGGATCTGCTGGATCAAACGAGTCAGACAGACCGAAGCTTTCGACGAGTCCTCTTGTTGATGGACCTTCGCCGCCACTCCCGCTCAAGCGCAGTCTGTCCATCATTCCTGTTAAAAATGATCCTGTCATTATACCTGGCTGACTTGTATTTATCGGGTCTCCTCCAAGTAGATCATCGCCTACGGGGTTGAGGTTACTGAGCAGCAGCTCAGTCGGAAGGCGCGCCCCTTCCACAGCCTGCGATCCTTGGCTCCCTGAAGCTACGCTTGAGATCGATCGAGAAACGCTTCCAACAAGGGATCCCAATCTGGAAGCGAGGCGTTGAAAGAAACTGTCGCTCCCTACTGTCTGTGTTGGGTCAAAATTGACGGGAGCTCCTGGATCCAGCGCATTGAAACTGACGGCCAATCTATCTTGTTCTAGCCAGCCGTCTGCAGGCCGAAGGGGGTCATCAGTGGTTATGGGGTTGGCAGGAGCAGTGTTGACGACATTTCGGAAGGCTCCAATTTCTAGCGCCTCCACGGCAAGGTCGGGATCGACATCCGGGTCGAATGGATGAGAAGGTGGCTATCGGAAAATGAATCAGTCATACACTCAAGGCTGATTTTCCAAAGACGTCGGCTTTTATGGAGGAGATTTAGGCTTACATCTGTAGGTGTAGCGTACACATTTGCAAACCAATCATCAGGTTGGCCCATTTGTGGCAACCTTTCGAACCGCTCCACAAACCTCTGAAGCTCAGCGAGTGTAGGTCTATGGGCTGGTTGATCTGCAAGGCAGCGGACGACGATAGATTTCAGGACAATGTTGATTTCCTGAGACAAGACCCTCGCGCCGTGGGTATAAAACGGCGGTACCCTTCGATTCCATGCATCAGTGACCCAAGGCGTGTCCTGTGTAAAATAATATCCCACTCCACTCTCCAAGTCCGGGTGATTAAGAGGGCCGACGGCTCCAGGGGGGTAAGGCGGAAGGTGGTGGGTAATCATATCGTGTAGACACTTTCGATGAGGTTAATTCACGCCGTGATGATTCTGCAGTGTTGGCCACTAGGGAGCATGTGGGTACTCACCATCCCGATGTGCCAAACATTGCTTGCCGGTCCGTAGTTCCCGGCGATCTTGGGTCTAGGATCCTCGTACTGAGGAAGAACGTCTACATAGTCCCACTCCTCTATATTGCCCACGTCAGCCATCAAAAGACTAGTTGAGGTACTGCCTGGGTAATGGTCGCCGTACGATGAAACTGCTCGGGCAGGTGGTATAACAATTTGCCAAATCTGCGCCGCCAGATGGCTTCCGGAGGGTCTCGAAATACTTCGCTTGACGTACGTGTCGTCACGCCAAAATCGCCAAATTTAAAAAAGGGTCCGTATCGATGCTTGCGATTATCAAAGTCGCCGACAAAAACGTTCTGGGGATCCAGGTCGAAGTGTACCAAACCAAATCCGCGATTGCTGTTGGGCCCTAGAGGGATAAGCTCCTCGACGTCTAACCTGGCTTGATATTCGTTGATGGACCAATCCTCTCGACCCCTGAACCCGAATTGACGCCTAGGTGGGAATTCCATCGCGATGCACGCCCTCGCGAGGCAGTTGAAGATTCTGAGCAGCTGGCGATTAGGAACTTGAACTCTCTCTCTCGCGACTTTGGCTATCAGTGACCACATGTCGCCATGCTTCATGAATTCCATGAACAACATGCCAGGATCTTGGTCGAGCCGCGTGAGCCTCTGAGCACCAGCCTCGGTGCTGGGGGGCAACAATTCTCCGCATAGACGATATCGGCGAACAATGTGCTGCGCTCGTAACAGGAACTATACGATGATGACGAGGTTAGAGACTTCCTTGGTCACGGTAATGCACACCTCCGAGGTCGTGCCCGCACTCGAGGTTTTTAACATTACATCGTGGACGGCCTTCTCGTGTGTCAGCGTGGCCGGTGGTATCGCCCCTTTGACAACAAACTTCCTGCGTTCCCCGCGGCTTTCATCATAAATGTCGAACAACGCAGCGACTCCGTTACTGCCCTCGCCGAGGACGCGCATGAGTCTGACGTTGCAGCCCATGCTTCGAAGGAGACGTCTCAGTGTAGTTGCGCTTTCTCCTGGAAAACTCCAGTGTTAATGATTCTCTAGAAATACCGTGCAAAATTGTGCCAGGAGCCTCCCAACACTGGTGAGGCTTGATCAGGAATGGGCATGCACCAACGATTTATGGCCTGCTGTTGTGGGTCTGTCCGGCCCCTTTCTCGTCCCACCCGCAATCGATTTCGCCTTTGCAAAGCTTGTAGGGCTGGTATATCAAGGTCTGCATAGATCTCGTCCCAGTTCTGTGGAAGATGTTTTGTCCCTTCATCCACAAGCCGCAGGCTTGGCTGTTCATTCACCCTGTCCCATGGTGCGAGTCTTGATAGGGCAACCGTGCGGCCTGCTCGATGGTACGCAAAGTAGTTATTCGTCACCAGCCTGCGCTTCCTAAAGTTTCTCCAGTAGGAGTCAACCCCGGGATCAAGGCTGTAATTTCGAGGTGCCGGAACCCGTCTCGAAGCTGGCGCCGGAACAGTAGCCATATTTCTTTTCTTCTTTCCCTTTTTCGCGCGACTTGCAGTCGTTTTATGCACTTCTCGATGCTATGCGGCCCTTGCGTCTGTTGGTGAACTTCGTGTATCTAGACCATCCGGACTTCAAGGAATGGAAAGTAAGCTTGGCTCAATCACAGAGCCAATTGATAGTGCTAATAATCAAAAGAACGCAAATGGCTTTCAGGCTCTTTGTTCGGTACGAGTTGACGAGAAACCAGCTGCCGGAACGGGCTTATGGTGCACTTGCAATCTTTGTCCCTTGCATCCGAAGAAATCCGGCTGATCTCTCGCAAAACAGAAAAAGGAAAAGCAATAGCTATGGCATACCTGAGTCTGCTACATAGGGGGAAGTGTTCTGAAAACCCAATGGCTTTCAAATTGGGATATTTACTCGAGTAACACGTGCGTGCTCATAGGATTGCCAGTTATCCGCATGGTCAGACGAAGGGTCAGACGAAGTCCAACAACAGAGATGTTAATCCCCGACCAATTCGTAAATTTGTCAGTACTCTATCTGTTTACGGCAAAACGCATTTCCGCTGCCCCGATATCGAAAACCGAGATGACATTGTTCATGAAGGTGTCTCCCAGGACGTATGGACCCGTGCCTCCATCCATAACTCCAACAGCAGATGATCCTGTGGCCGGGTCGACTGAGGCTTGCAGCAATATATCGGCCTGACTGATCATGAAAACCTGACCACCGATGCTAATGCCGAATTCTGGTACACTAGCATTGCAATTAGTCACTGCGGAGGCTAAGGCCTCGGAAAAGACTGCTGGTGGGTTGTATAATGCTAGAATATCCTGATATATCTCTTGTCATCCAAGGTCAGTGCGCATCCAGGCGTGAAGACCATGGGTCCTGAACAAGAGCTTACCGGTAGGGAGATACATCAAAGTAGTACCAGAGTCGACGATGACGGGAAACTGAGTCGTGTTGACAGTTATGTTTTGTAGAAGCTGTCCCCAGGGTCCAGTGTTTGCCCTGGTCTTCTGTGATCCCATACTAGTATGGATGTAAGCGTCGGCGATGATGGTGTAGAAGCTATACTCCGTGTTCACCTTCGCATCATCATACAGCTCAATCTGTATCTCTGTGTGAGACGTGCCATGAGACCGAAGGAGATATTGTGGGCAGCTTACCATCAAGATCTAGATGCAAATGTGCCTGTGTGGTTTACTGGCGGGAGACCGCCCAGGGCAAGATACCCATTTTCTGAGTCCCTATCCAACACAAGACTGAACATTGGCTCAATCAAGCCTCGTTTGATCATGGTAGTCATTATAGGGTCGTAAGGTACTTGCTTATCGTCGTCATTTACTGATGAATTCGTGCCAACAAATGCGCTGGTCAGGCGAGGATACGCAAGTCCCATCAGACCACTTGTTACCGAGTCACCAAACCAGTACGTGTAGTTGACAAGGGCCACCTGGTGTTTCTCAACGGTAATTCCAGCGACAGTGACGGTTTCGTAGCCCATGACACCGGTCATGAATTCGAGATCGGCATACATCAGATTGAAGTGCTGGTTCGAAATAGCTCCGCCATCGAAGGTGCCCTGGAAAGGTGGGCCGAACGAGCAGTTGGTTTGCTGGAGCATTCAACTGTCAATAGAGCTCCCCAAGCGTTTGACAAAAGCACACCTATGGGCTGGGTTCTGTTTTCTTGGTCCACGCATGTGAACCCATCCTGGACTAGCCACGAATCGCTCGAACCAGTGTCTATGACGACATTCACCTGAATACCATTCCATGCGATCTCAGCAATATATTCTGCGGATAGAAGGTTGACCACAGGCACTGACCCGTAGTCATATCTTTTGATATTCGAAGCAGAAGTCGCCCTCAGGGTCTTGAGATAGGATGAAGACTTGGCAGCCTTTTTTCCTTTCTTCAACTTGAGCACATTGGAGGTCACGACATGGCCACTGCTGGTCCGCCGAGCAAGAGGTTTCGTGACACAGACGCCGAGTCCGCCTGTGGCAACAGCTGTGTAGGCCATCATGGTGACAGCGAGAATCGCGAATACAAGACGATTCATGGTGACTCAAGAGCTTGGATCCACTTAGCAAAAGTAAATCAATAAAGATAAAGATGCGGTTGTCCTTATGATTTGCAAGCACGCGTTTTTGGCGGGAGAGACAGGCTTAAACTCGAGTTGAGAGTTGCAGGGTGTAAAGTAGACTAAAAGGGGGTTGGATGCGTTGGTCTGTATCTCTCCAGAGCTTCAAGCGCATTTACCAAGCGTCTTATATTGTATTCCCAACTAAACCAGGGACAATATTATAAGTTCATTTCATTCCGAAGCGAAGCCCCCCCCCCCCCTCGATCGACTTACCACCTGTTCCCCCTTTGAGACGAAAAGTCTACAAGGTTTACAAAATTGGCGCACAGTCGCCCCAGATGGGCATTAGTGAAAAAGATGATTTCTATCACTCATTCTTGCATGCTTCGATGTTAGCTGAAGTAAAATGCAGGTTGCTCGGAACGACTTGCAGACATGATTTTCTCTGAACATCGAGTACGTACCCCGGTATCTATGAGGGCAAGTTCTCTGTATGAGTGCAATCAGAACCAGTCCTCTCAACAAAAACCCATTATTTATTCCGGAATATTGGAGCCATCGTAGGCCCAGGCAGGGCATGAAAGCCTTGAAACCATGGAAGGAGTCTGCCCGATTTCCTTCCAAAATAAGAACGCACAAGCATCTAACCTCCAGGTTTATGAGCCATGAGCTCAGACAAGACCGATTTTGGTAATCAACCCTACCTTCCGCTCAAACATTATCATCCATAGCAACCCAAATGACCGGGTCATCCAGGGATACTATCATCGATGTCCATGTGTAAAACCTCTTTTCGGTCTCAATTAGATGCGTTTACCTATTGTACTCAGTCGGTATTATTTCATGCCGAAGAGAGTTTCAAACGAAACGAGTTCATGGCGAAGCATGATAGAATAGTTGGAGGTTTACTAAACTTTAGCGCACGCTAAATGGACTTTGTCCAGTGGCGAGGGGTACAAGGTTAAAGTTATTCGCACTTTGTTCCGATTGGAAAGACATCGTCACAAAGCTCTCCATTCTAAATTTGGAACCCAAAATATCAGAGATACATTTGGCGCTTTTCAGCCCTCCAGCCCTGAGGTGGCCCATTGGACAGTTTGTCAATGTCGACGGCATCTCATGTGACACTACCTGACTTGCTCAGTGATCCTTGTTTCTATGAATTCGCCATGTTCCATTGGTGTACACTGAACAGCTCGCTCACAGGTCGTAAGTTCACCTTGGAGAGTCTCAAACAAAATTGTTATTCTAGCCTGATAGCGAAGACGACCTATACATTGTCGCAGGCTACTATGACAATCCGACGGGCATTGATTCATTTTATGAGTACCTAGAAAAGTAAAAATCTTCGACCCCAGTATGAACGTACCAATGTCCGAGGAAGAAACTTTCAGCTAAAAAGCAGGGTCTTAAGCTCAAACCGAGTTCGGACGTCCGTGCTGACCTCCTCTCAAAAGGTAGCAATGCATTTGAGGCTCAGCTGTGTCACTCACGACCAGGCTGGGCCATCGCTTTGAACCCTACACATCAAGTACTGTGATGTACAAGTCTGGGTCAATCGGTTTGTCAAACGAGCACTTCAACTGATTCATCTCACAGTCCTGCAGCCACATACTCCCATCCTGACACCACGAAATCATAACCTGTGAGCACGGAGTTTGTTGAAGCCGGAAGGCATGGCAATGGTGACGACAATTTCACTACACAGAAGCGGTCAAGATATGAAGCTTACCGTCACGACGAAAGCGCTTGAGTGCCGTCCAGTTCACCGCAAGGATGACGAACCACATGCACCATACTTTCTTGTGGAATCACCTCCTATAGGGTGACCTCCTATGGGATAGCCTCCTGTGAGTTAACCTGGCCGTCTTACGGCTGCGTTCAGTGGCCTCAAATGCAAAAGGTCTCTCGAATAGCTTTACGGGCATTTTCATCGGAGAAATGTGGCGTCGACCCAAAATCAAGATATTGAACACTGCTATGCTACTTGACTGACCCGTGCGAATGGAGCCTCACATATCCCCCGTCAAGACGAAGTAAACCGCGCAGCAGGCTCTGTTCAAATCGTTGGCAATGTGCAGCCTCGGCGCCTGAACCTCAAGGCGATTACATACTAGTCCTTGGATATGGTATTTCGTTGGCTGGTAGGCCTTGCAGCGCCACTAAATTAGGAGCTTCCGGAATCTGCATTACTGTGCACCTTTCACTGGGTATCAGAGACAATCTTAGCTGCACTCGTTTTTTCAGAATTCTCCGGTCGCCTTCACCATAGTCTGACGCGTATAGACGCAACTGAGTCACACTTCACGTGTAATCAGGTAGATCAGGGCCATTTGCGCACAGACTTTCCTATGAAGCTGTCAATGTCACCAGCCAGAACGGGTTTCTGGCCGTGAATGGCCGACGGCTCCCTTGTATCCCTGCAGCGGTACGGTAGGATCTAGGCGTGTTTAAAATGTGTTACGGGAGCTGCTTGGAGCATGGGGAGTAGCCAGGTTCCAATATGACTGTCAAAGCTCAGCAACATTATTGAATGTTGAGACGGCCCCTACCGAAAACCAGTCTCGAGAGGAGCCAAGTCAAAGAAGGGAGATGACTTGGGACAACACACACGTCACATGTTTTGCTGCAATGCCCACATTGTGACACCAACATGAAGAATCCCCTTTTCAGAACTGCAAGGGATAGCAGCCAGAAATCCACGACTAGTCCTCGCACCGCGGGGTAAAACAAGTTCTACCACATGTTTGATGCACCGTTGTCCCACGGTAATAAGTTACTTGAGGATCCCCAACTCTATGGATCAGGTCTATCGAAACGCGTGCCCTTGATCGCCATCCGCCCACTTCAATAATCACCATTCATGATGGTATCGCCAAGACAAAACTTCGCTTCATGTGTACAGATGTGACACAGTGACAAGCACACCGCCCGTTGCATATCCCCCGTGCCGTCGCGCCGGGATGCCAAACCATTTCTGCGCCCCCGTACGGGCGTCCAGGTGAGATCAGACGAGAGTCGGGCTGAGGGAAACGTTCAACGGGCAACCAGGCCACGTACGGGGTTTTATCACCAGCCCGGGCTGTCCAGCAAGCGAACACCGGTGAGACTTCAGGGGCGATCAACTGGAGACTGTTAGAATTGCACGCTACTAGGGGAACTCTAGACAAGTCGGAACGGTCCACACGGGGGCCAAGTATCCCCAGATCCTAATAAGGGAGCTCCCAAGCCTCGTTGGGAAGGTACGGATGACATCGAACGCTTGCAAGGGCCCGACAGGCAAGATCCCTTCTCCGTCAGATGCTCAGCTGTTAAGGGTAGGTGGGCCCCATGTGCTCCGGCTGTTTGGACATGGCCTCCAATCCGCGCGTCTCCACGAACGCCCCGCTAATGTGCGCCGAGTATTTCATCCTGCCCTTTTTTTCGCCGCCGGCCGTCAATGCTCATCAGAGCATTCCCTAAGACGACCACAACCTCACCTCCTTTTTCGTCGCGGCTGATCCTTCCCCACACAGGAACAGATCACACGCCTGCAAGAAGCGATATCGCCCAGACGCTCGGCTAGCCGATGCAGGGGGGGGGGGGTTGGTGCGGGCTCCCTCTCCCCTCGTTCGCCCCGTGCGAGCTGCGCCATTGTCAGGAAAACCGACGACTGTGCTTTGCCGCGAGCCGGCTTGGCGGGCGCGAAAGCGGGAGGCCGTGTGCGTCCCAATCTGCTTCTTTTATTTTTTCCCATCCTCACTATGCGACACAAGTCTCCAGTGCCGGCATGGATCGATTCGATACGATCAAAGGGAAAACAAAAAAGGGGCCCTGGGCAAAGCACGCAACCGGGGACCGGTTTCTGATTATTAGATATCGTCTTGGCACCGCAGGCCCCAACCCCAGGCCGGTCTGGGCACCGGTGCCGGTTTTCCGGGGCTCGTTGGGTTTCTACTCGGCACGCAACAGCTTGGGGGCTGAAGGTGACGGATGATTCTACTGTGGCGGCTTGCCCGTTGCAATCTGGGTTTTAGACGGGAAGGTGATTTCGTTTCCTTCCTTTTTGCTATTGTCCCTGGCGCCACCTTATCTCGGCGGCGTCTGGGGTGCCAGCATGGGTAGCGTGGCAGGGCTGCTTTTTGGCGGTCTCTTGTTTTTTTCTCTTTTCATTTTGCTGCCCACGCGCTCGGCCGCCGACCATGCTACCGCGCCAGCGCCAAGCTTCTCGGGTTTAAGAACCCACAGAAGGGAGGCCTGAGAGGCAAGAGAAGATATCAAGTACGCCAAAAAATTATTAATGGCAGGGATGGGCCGTGATGAGATGAGGATCCTGCAATACAGTACCACCCAACAGCTGCAGTGTCGCCTTCCCACGCCTCCCCTAGCCCGCCGCCGTCGTCCTTAGCCGCCACGCGTGCTCGTCATCGCGTTGCATCCGCCCCGGGCAGGCTAGGGGCGAAAATTCCCTTTCCGGTTACCTGGGCGGTTGGTGGTTTTTTTTCTTAAGCCGCCAGTGCGTAGGATTCAACCGGGCTTCACCTCCGCTTAAGGATTAAACAATGGGCTGGCTGCACATGTGACAGCTTGACCAGCTCTTCGTCGGTGCCGAGCTGGCGTACGAGTGCCTTCTCCAAAAAAACAGAGATTTCTTCCTGCAGGAGGGCTTCGCCAGCATGTTTCCAAGTTTGGCCGTTAGGCCAGCAAACGTGTATAGATCCATGATATGTGGGTTAGCGTTCAGGCAGAAAGTAGCCTCAGGCACAGCCATATTTGTGCTACCAGAGATGACGGCAAGTCTACGGATTGGTGTAACACTACATCAGCCGTGAAATTATTCCAGGTCGAAGCAGAAGACGTGACATTCGATGCATCCTTCCAGAAGGCCAGTCACAAGCTTTGCAGAATTTTTGCACGGACACGTTGAGTATTTGGTGATTGAATTTGATGCATTGTAATATGAAGTACAGCTTGAGCCGGGAGACTCAACTTAGCTGGTTGGCAATTATGGCCATTGTAACAGCAACCCGTGTCTTGCCAGATGTGGCCCAGTATTCCCCCTTAACCCCCAGACTCCAATTGACTCGGCGTGCTCGGCCGGAGCGGCTCCTGTAGAGGATGCCTTCCTCTTCCTGGGTCTAGCCATTCAGGCTGACACTTGACCCGGCTTGTCCAGAACGCGTCATTTGCGCGCTCAACACGACAAGACACCGGGCACGAGTTGTGTAATATTCCAGATCCGCAGACGTTCCGCCATCTGCTCTGGAAATGCGTGATTGCTCTGTTGATGCATCCTTCCCGTCACTCATTAATCCTTCACTGACGCTCTTGGTTGGAAACTGGCAACAATGATGGTCCAGACTTCTCGTCCGTCTCCTCCTTGATCGAGCCACAGACACGCTCTGTGACCCGCGCGCACCAAGAGTCCACGTACTCGATCCAAAGGTAGCCCGCGCCATAGATGAGGGCGAAGTAAATGGGCAAGACGGCGAACAGCCTTGCAGCACCAGGGAACTCGAGCGGCGGGCCAGGCATCCACTCACCCGTAGCCTCGTCCTGCACGGGCTCGGGGATTGCGAAACCGTAGACCATCCAGCAGAGCACAGATCGGAGGAACTGGTTGTGCAGCAGATAGACGGCGAAGGAAACCTTGCCGAAGAACAGGAACGGCCTGCTCGCGAGGACGTTTCGGACGGTCGGTGAGAAGTGGATGGACATGACAATGAGGTCGAGACCAAGGCCGGAGGAGAATCGTGGGAGATCCGGGTTGCGGGGGAGGATGGACAGCATGAAGTCGACGAGGGACTGCGACCAGGGCTGCCACTCAAAGTGGGCGTCGGGCAGAGATGCGATAAAGAGGCCGGTGACGAGGAAGAAGGCGGAGAGAAGCATGCGCACACCAGCCAGGCCGGACTTCTGCGAGAGGAAGGAGGTCCAGGCGGGGCCGGAGCCCTCGGGCAGCTGCTGCAAGTCGGCCATGAAGGCGCCGAAGAAGAACTGCATGCCGAAGAAGGGGTCGTTGGAGGCGGCGCGGAACCAAGTCAGGCCCAGGGCGATCATCATCCGATATCTAGTCTGAACGTGTGCGGTGGCCATGAGGTAAATAAAGACCCAGAAGGCACCCTTCAGAATGGGCATCATGGTCCACAGCTCAGCTCCGTACTCGCTCTGGCCGTGAGACCAAACCCTGACCATATCCGAGAGAAGAGCAACGATGGCCTCGAGCCAGCTGTCGCGCTTGTTGGGGCTAGTTTCGGGAAGGCCTGCTCCGTCGCAGTGCTTTGCGGTCTCGAATGCGCCGAGTTGGGTGGCGAAGCAGCTCGCGGTGAGGATAATGAGGACGGGCAATACCAGGCGAGGCACACGGCGGAGGGCTGACCTGCTGATGGAGTTGAAGGAGGAGTTCTGGTTGCCGGCTCTGAAGTTCCTGACAGGCTTAAGGGCACACACATAACCTGTGACAAAAGAGAAGATTGCTACACCGATACGACCCTGGATTAGGACGCGGAGGTAGGGCCGTTCGAGCATGACGGGGTCCTCCTCCTCGCTTGGGGCGGGCCATAACAGGTATGGGAAAAAGGCACAAGTGATGTGCTTGATGACGACCAGCGTTGAGGCGATGCCACGGAGGCCCTGTGATCAAAAAGTCAGTATGGGTGGGGTGGGGAAGTGCGAATGAATGGCAGTCAAGAATCTCACATCAACCCATTTGACATTTCCTTCCTTTCCTACCGCCATTTTGGTGGTTGGTTGACCGGCTCAAGACTGAGCTCTCAAGATCTGTGAAAGTGGGGGTGAGGAAATCCAGTTGGCATCCGGTTGGTGCGTTTTGTTGGTAGTCGATAATGAGGACGTTGCTGTTGGTTGGTTTGGCGTGGGCGGAAGGAGCGACGTTGAGATAGGACGCCGTATGACGAAGTTGCTGCGTGTGAAGAGGCAAACAACCGGTAAAGGTAGCGAGCCGTGAGAATCGAAGAAATTGGTATGGTCGGGGTTTCTCAAGGAGTAGTTGGTAGTGATACAGGCCCGTCGCCGTTCGGGTGCAATCGATCAGTCAAATAAATCGGCGAGAAGTGAAGGAAGACCGAGACCAAATCGCAAAGGGAATCCAGAATGCAGGCCGACAGACAATGATAGGACAGAACAGATCAGGACAAGACAGGACAGGACGAGAAACTGAGCCGGGACGAAGACGAGAATGAGATTGTTTTAGTAGTACACACGAGTACACGCGCGAGGTGGAGCAGGAGGTGAGGTGTGGTCGGGGATGTGAGCTACTTCTATTCTTGAATAGAAGCAGGAAGCAGGCATGTCTCTGCTCTCTCCTTTTTGGGATGGACACTGGACAGTGCGGGACTGTACCAATGTATCTCGTGCGGTCGTTGGAGGTACGTACCGCAGACAATGCATGGATCTGCGATCTGCTGGGCACGCAGTGAATGTGGTCTAGCCTGTGTACCGTATTTTTCCATGTGCCGGCAGACGACATAGAGGGAAGACTGGGCGAAGAAACGCGTACATACTGTGGTTCAGGGCGGGCAGGGGCGTGCGCAGGGAAGGTGCAGGCTACAGGGACTGGGGACTGGGGGAAGGTGGGAGGGAAGGGACGAGGGGGGGCCCCCTGGCGCTGGGAACTGGGAACGGCGACCCGCCTGGGCCAAGACAAAAGATGTGGATCGGCAACGGGTCCTCCTGGCCCTTTAGGCCCTCAGGCCTTCAGGGCCCTCTGTTCGTCCTCTCCGGCTGTTGAAGGCCCTGAGGCCCCTACCAACCCCCCTGGCCCGGTTTAATCAACTGCCCGGGCCCAACAAGCCTCACTGCCACGCCCAGTCCCACAGAACCTCACAGCACATCATACATACGAACGGTACAGTATGTATCGTGATCGGCCGTAGGCGAACCCAGCCCCAACACACACAACACATGCTTTGCACGACGGCAACGGCTTCAGTTACAGTCTGCAGCTGGGCAGTCACAGATCAGGACACGGGGAAACAATCCCCACACCTGGCATGCGGCACGCCGAGACGAACGCAGAGATGCAGACGCCCATCACTGTGTGCGCGCGTGTGCGTGATTCTGTGTGTTACTCGACTCGATCGCCGGCCTGCTTGCCCTCCTGTCGCTCAGCAGCTGTCAATCTGTCAGTCTGTCAATCTCAGGACAGTCTCATCACGATTCCTGCAGGCCTCGGGGACCACAATAATCGTAAAAGAATTGGAACTCCAGGCTTGAGCACCGCAGAGGATGGGACCCTCCAAGTCTCAGGACTGGCCGGATCCCCCAGCCTGCCAGACTGCCAGCCCGACATGCAGCATCTCTAGACTACGTGTACCTGCTGCACTGTGGCCCCAGCCATCTCCTGCTTCTGTGGCTCTGTGGATGTGCCGACTGCCGGACCGTGTGGTTGGTTCTGGGCGGCTGTCCTATTGTTAAGGTTAACCTTTTGCATTCAAGGTTACCCATCATGCTTTATGTTTCTGAGGGCTGCCAAGCTGGCGGGTGCTCTGCCCCGTAGCTGTGTCGCAGAGACAGCAGCAGAAAGCAGCAAAAAGCATCGAGACCCGCTCCTTCTGCCCCTGGCGGCAACAACCGACTTCCAGAAGCTCACGACTGTGGCTCAGGACGCCAGTCTCGAATACAGTGCCTTCTACTAGAGGCCCTAAAGCGATTGATGGGAATAACGGACGGCGCGGTCTGCCCGCCTGTCTGGTCTCCTGCCAACCCGCTTGTGGTCTCTTGAAACATCCCGTCCAGGTCGCCCATCCTCGGGCGCCCATTGGCAGTTGGCCGCCGGCAGACCCGTCTCTGGCGGTCACGCCAACTGACGCAACTGGGCGCCAAGACCATCTTTCGCCCCGAATGGGGCAGCTGATTTTACTCTGGCCTTCTTGGCATCTCCTGGGGACCACCCTGCATTGTTTGACAACTCTGACTGTGCTGTGCTTGCAGGCTTGCTGTCATTGTGCAGTACTGCACGAGCCAGGAGACTGACGCCTTCAGTACGCCTCATTCCTGTGTATGCCAGTCCCTGCGGTGCCCGCAAAAGGATTAGATTACCTCGGATTAGATTACCTCGTTACTGCGATACACGCTGCCAGGAGGTCGGTTGTTCTCCCACCCAGCTGCCCAGTAGCGCCGGCACTTGCAGCCAGAGGGCCCCCCACGGACAAAGACCTCGAGCGAGCGATACACAGGCACAGAACCACTGTACTGGCGTAGTCGCCTCAGCACAGGCGCAGTCACAGGCACAGGCACAGGGTAGGATCTACGGGGCTAAAGCGCGCAGAGCCTCGATCGACGGGCAAATCACACGCCAAGGGCCGGTTGGTCGGGAAGGACGGCAGTGTCGCAGCCACACAGGCCCGCTCTACTGGCGACCCCAAAGGCAGCCCATGGTTCGTCCCATGGCCAAAGCCATCACGACCGTCCTGCCATCCAACCGAACAGGTCCCCGTTGACATTGGTCATCTCGGATAAGATCGCATCACGACCTCCTTTGGGCCAGCAAAGCAGGGCAGGAGGAATACGATCGGAAGCAATGAGTGGGCACCGCAATCATCGGCACCGGGCGACCTTGGGACGCGAGAAAGGAGAACCTCGCAGCGAGTAATCTGGGAGAGCTAGCCTTCCAGATACCGAGATCCACAGTAACGTGGGTTATGGACCGACGATCTCCTTGGCATAACCCGCCGATGAAATCACCTGTGTATCCCTGAGTTATCTTTGTGTCGTCCGGTCTGCCGTTGAACTCGCCCTCGGTCACGTCTGTGGGCTGACCGACCCAAGGGAGACAACAGAATCAACGACAATGGCCGTTCATGCATGCATGCATGGTTCAGCTGCCCACATGTTGAGATGGCAAGCTTGCCACAGAAGGCCTTCCCTTGCCCCCTTCCCTCAATTAACTAGACTACTAACTATGCAGCAAGGCGTGTGTCCTAGACAGTGTCAGTGCCACAAATATAACTTCAGATGATCCAAAAATACAAGCCACAAGCCACTAGCCACATATAACGGTGGATTGCATTGTCGACATTCTTCAACAATGAAATGTTCGGATGTCGGACAGGGCCAGGCTTTATTGAGCCAAGTGTCGCCCAGCCGTGCCACCCAGCACAGAGTCGCATCGCACCAAATGGACTCGGCCGGCTTCGGAAAATGTTGACCTGGCCTGCCTGGGCATTTCTTTGACTTTGTGGTGGCCAAGACTCAAGTGCTCGGACTTCCGGTCATGGGGTGGTGCAGCGACCGACGTTCAGAAAAGAACGAAACTAGACAGTTGCAAAATGAAGGTCTTCTCCGAAAGGGTCGGTTTCTGGAGCTGATCACTCGGCCGGAGTATATTGTCGAATGGGAAAAACTCTATGATCTGATTCAAGGGCCTGTCGAGGCTCCTCCAATGCCCCTCCGAAAATGAGAATCAATTCGAAAATCAAGGCACGGACGCCAAGAACCACGCGGTTATGGGCGACTGATTCGTTGCACGCGCCCTGCGCGCTCCCACCGTGACCCCCCAATCGTCATCCCGCCATGTGACACTTTTGGGCTTCTGAGTCGGCAGACCGGACGGAGGCCCAGAGGGGCAAATGATGGACGAGCTGCCCCAGGTAATTGAACCTTGTGTGAAATGTCAGGACCGCGAACCCCCCTCCGAGAAAAAGTCCGCCCACTCGGAAGGACCCTTGGGACACGTGAAAGCCCGTTCTGGCACCGGAGACCGAGTTGTTGATCAATTCCCATACGCCATGGGGCATCCTTCCACACATGCCCAGGAGTCTCGCCCTGCCCCACGTCCCGGGAGAGAGATCCCAGGCGGTGGTCCCGTCGTCTTGGGTGCGCGACCCCGAACACGGGCCGCAGATGAAGGCACAGAGAGAGAAACACTCGACCATGGAGATCAAACAATCTCTGAATCCCGGCCAAATCTCCGTTTGCTGGCTTGCTGGGTGTCGCAAATTGATGACGCGTTCCCCAGTCGTCGTCAAGGTGAAGCGAGCTAGCTAAAAGGTACTACCGGGAGGCTCGCCCGTAAGCCCTTGCTCCCCGTACCCAACACCAGATAAGTGTAGCGTAGGAAAGACGCTTTTGGCCTAAGGTGTCAGCTTATTTAGACTGCCCACCCAATCTACCACAGACCCTTGGCTCCCGAACCCCGAAGCAGCAATTTTTCTTCCAAACAAAGGGTCTCAGACTCTCAGCTGCCGGAAACTTATTGGGCGCGCTGGATGTCGCAATTGGCGGGGCGGGCTTTTGTCGTGCGACGCGCACACACGACGACTTAATAAGACAGAACGGTATAACCCGAGAAGAGGGAGGGCACGTAGCACCGAGCTTCGTGCGCCAAACATCAAAGTAGGGATCGTGAGCACGCCATGTCATTGTGCTTCGTCACGCGGATTGACTTCAACAGCGCCCAGGGAAAGGGCGCGGGCCGATCTTGCACCAGCATGGGCGAAGATCTAGTGCAAGTGTATGGACGGTGCAATGGCATTGTTTCACTCGATTTTGGCTCTAGGTGCGGTAGGCCGTCTCATTGGGAAACTTAGATATAGATAGACCACCTGTGCCATGGCGATTGGTGGTTAAAGATGGGTGACAGGACTAAACCGTATACCAAACTAAAGGCGTCACCGAGGCAGCAGCTTAGAGGGACAGAAGCATACAACACAAGCTCACATATGCTATACGCACCATGCCGAGCATGCCTACCAATGCGCTAGGTACAAAAATACGCACGTCGCGGCAGGGGTGAGAGCTGTTGGACACCTCCGGCCAGGCCCGATCTGGTGTGTATACAACGTCTGAGCGCAACTCTGGCCGCATCCAGACGTCTTCACGGTGACAAGCTCGATCTAGCTTTGCTGTGGTTTATTATGCCCTATCTACCACAGACCTGACTTGGCCAGGGACTGACATGAGCTTGTCGACTTGGCAGCAGTCGAGAACCCGGTTCCAGAGCCGGCAGGATTGCCTTGGGGGCCGCGGCACTGGCATCCTCCCCCCACCTCCACTGCCGGAGAGGACTCGGCGGCACTCGAGGCCATGATTCGCCCGCACAAGAAATCACGAATCCTTCCGCACAGGACCCGGATGCTACCCTGCTTATGCAACTTCACCAGGCCTCCCCCTGCCAGTACAATCCGTCCCTCCAGTAGCAGACGGCCAACAGGGCATGGATCTCGCCTCCCGACGATCTGGCACATGGGATGACCGACCATGCACGGCCGCCACGCAGCCGTGGCGATTCCGGGTTCCCAGCCGGCACGCAATCACGACTGCACGTAATGCAAAACCTAACCTTGAGGGCGGGCTCGATTAAACTTCTGAATACCGGAATGCTGAATGTCGCATGCGCATCGTTGCAAGCCGAAAACCAACTCTGCAACCATGTCCCCCTCAAATTGACGGGCAATGCCGAGTTGTTCTATATAAACCTGTGATTCGTCAGGGGGCACGTCCTGCTATCCTCGTCCGAAGTGCAGCTGTTGGTGCTGAACACTCGGCCAAACCCACACTATCTTTCTAATTACACTCTTGATCGTGGTGGTCCATGGCCCAGCCAATCGCTGACGAGAACAACCAACAATAACAGAACATTGAAACATGCAACGATGAAAAGGGAGAGATAACAGAGAATAACGACTGCAAGGCCCTCAGAGGTCGAGGAGTGAAATGACACGACCGTGATCAGCAAGCCGAACGAAGACCGAGACCGTCAATCAACGGCAGCGAGGGGACCGTTTCGAGAGCCATTGCGAGAACCTTGACGGCCTGCACTGGCATCATGCTCCTTCTTCGCCTGGGCCAAGACAGCCTTGCCGGAGTGAGGGTTCCCGGTCGCACTGTTCCGGGACTGCGACATCGACCTCGCCCTCTTGCCGTTGGTCCCAGGCCGCCGCCGCCTCCCCTCCTCCTCGAAGGCGGCGGAAGCCTGCTCCTTGGCCATGACCAGCCCCTGGGTGATTGAGACGAGCTCCCCGCCCTCGACGGCGCACATGGTAGGCCACAGGACCATCATGATATCAGCAGGGTCAATGACAGACCGGACTGACTCGGTGATAGTCGACGCGTCGTCATCTCGGGCGGCAGAAGACGGGGGAGGAGAAGAAGGAGAAACCGCCGCATCCTGAGCAACATCCGGGGGAGGCCCACGAGGACTCCCCCCGATCGTCCCGCTCCCGGCATCGAGGCCGATCGTCGACCCGCCGCCGCCGCCGCCGTCACCGAGATGTCCGTCCCCGAACCTCTCGGGCAGCATCAGCACCTGCCAGTCAAAGTCATCATAAGGCGGGCCAAAGTACGGCTCGATCTTCATGGCCGCGCCCTGCACCTCCGCCCAGCGCTCGCACGCCAGCGCCACGCACGCCTCGAGCCCCTCGCGGAACGCCCCGTACTGCAGCGCCGACAGCAGGTGCTGCACGAGGAACGTCACCTCGCGGACGACGGCGGCGGCGCGGCGCTTGCTGGAAGCGCCGTGTGCCCCATGTACCTGCTGCTTCTCCCCCTCGCCCTCCCCGCCGCGGGCTGGGTGGTGCACCGCGGCAGCAGCCGCCAGCAGCGTCCCGCGGAGGTGCCTCTCCTGCTCCGGGCTGGCGGCTTCGAGCCCGCGCAGGAGCTTCCCGAGCGCGGCGTCCGCGTCGGCGCCGCCGCCGCCGCCGCCCTCGAACGCCCAGCTGGGGCGGAAGACGTGGCGGGCGAGCGAGCGCGAGAGCGCGGCCAGCACGGCGGCTATGCGCATCTGCTTCGCCGCCGGGGTGTTGGAGCGCGGCAGGGGGGGGGCGCACCGCCTGGTGGCGGAGGTGGTCGGCGGCGCGGAGGTTGGCCCAGCACGAGGGGTCGCGCAGGACCGAGGGGTCGAGGTCCTGGCTGAAGTGTGCCTCGCATAAGTCGAGGGTGGAGACCCAGATTGTGTCGAGGACCTCGACGCTGTTTTGGTTGAGGGGTGTTGGTTAGCTGTTGTTGTGATGGGATGAGATGACGACGCATCGCTGGCGTGTCGAGAGATATCTAGGGAGGGGCCTCTTACTATGTCTCCTCTGGCTCGTGCTTCAGCTGCACCTGATAAGTGTCGACCTTGTCGAGCATCTCCGTCTTGGTCTTCAGGTCTTGCTCAAGACCTTGGATGACGTTCTCCAGCTTCTCCAGGCTCGACTGCGCCTGAGAGAGGTCGTCATCGCCATGGGCAGCCTTCTCCTTCAACTTCTCAACCTCCTGGTTTCGGTCTGAAATTGTCTGTCGAAGATGGGCGACTTCATCCAATAGGATGCTTGTCTTGTCTGCCTCCTTTTGGAGGCTGTCTGTGGCCGTTTTCAAGCCGTCTTCTGCGGCCATCTTTAGTTCCCTCTCGGCTTCCAGTTTGGCTGTAGTCTCGGTCAACTCGACGTCAACTGCTGCTTTCGCCTCGAAGAGTTCTTTGAGCTCCTGAGATCCTGCCTCGAGCCTGCCGTTGACATCGGCGAGCTGTGACGTTAGACTCTGCACTTGTGCGGCTTTGTTGTCGTAGTTGACACTTGACTCCGCCACTTGTAATGCGAGTTCCTCCGTCTCCATGGTCTTGTCTTCAAGTGCGGCTTTGGCATCGGCCAACGCAGTTTCCAGTCTTGCCTTGGCTTGGGAGACATCATCCAGCTCCTGGGTATGGCCTTCCGTCTTGGAAATGAGTTCAGAAAGTTTGGTGTCCAAAGATGATGTCGACACCGACAGGTCTTCAAGCTGTTTGGACTTGTCAAGGAGTTCTCTGTGGACCTCGGTCAGCTCCTCTGCCAGTTTGTCCTTGCTTGCGGTGAGCTCCACGATTTCCTTTGTTTTGTCTTCCAGCTTGAGGTCAGCAGCGGCGAGTTGAGCGTCGACAGTGCTTTTTGCTTCCTCTACAGCTGCCAGTTGCCTAGCCTTCACCTCTAGAGATGTTCTTGCTTCTGCGAGCTGGCCTTCGGCCTCTGCTTTGGCTGCTTCGAGAATGGCGAATTCCGTATTTCTCGATTCCAGACTCCCTTTAGCCTCGGCAAGCTCAGCGTCTATCCTTGATCTGGTACCTTCCAAGGTACTTGTGAGTTCAGCTCCCTCATCAAGCGATGCTTTGAGGTTGCCGGCAGTTGCCTCCAGCTCGTTCATCTTCTCGGCGAGCTCGAGACATTTTTGGCTCTCCTCATCCAACTTTCGCCGGCTCTTCTGAAACTTGGCGTCAAGTTTGGTGTTGTTTTTCTCAAGCTCCTGAATCTGTGCATCCCTTTTGCCTATGTCTTGTTGCAGTTGGGCCTTTTCGTCCATCAGTTTGGCCTCTTTCGCTTCCAGCTCATTCCGAAATTTGCGGTACTCCTCTAGGACATCTCGAGACGAGGATACCAGACGTGTGTTCTCAGCTTTGAGTTTCTGAGCATCTCTGAACACGTCCGCAATCATCTTGTAGTTATCATCGGAGGCTAGTTCGCGGATTGCGCCGACAAAGGCATCCACCGCCCGATTTGGACCCTGCTCTGCAGGCATCGCGGACCGAGAGGAGTACCGGGGTGAGTCGGGAGGGGTTTGTTGTGTGCCATTCAGTAGAGACATGGTCAATCGGAGCTCGTCGACGACCAGAAATGTTGTGTCAATGACAAAGTTGGTAAATTTGGCAGATGAAAAGTGTACAGAGGACAGTGGCAAGACGGATGTGATCGTAAATGTGGCTTGACGGGCAGGCAGACGAGCAAGAAATATGGACTGCTAATGACGAAGTCAAGAACATTTCTGCGAGAAAATCTGCCACATGGTGACTCTGGTCTTTATGGCGTTGCGATAATTGTTAGGCTCGAAGCCCGGCCAGGCATGACCACTAGGTAATACCTAATTAAGTTTGGGCCCAGATAGAATGCCCAAAATCAGTGGCAAGTCTCGAACATCATTCAATGACCGAGGTTGCCAGCATGGCAAGGGAAGTTGCCAATGGGTTATTAGCTTCCATGTCGGATGGCGGGGAATTGGAAGATTAGAGTGTTCGCCCTGCGTCTCACTTCGCGACGTGTAACGTGATTGTCAGGCAGTCTGCCTGCAGGTACTGATAATTGTTCCTCGCGTACCTATGTACCCAAGGAACAGCTGCTGTATCTGGTTGGTTTAAAACCGTTCCTCTCCCTACGGAACCAATTTGATGTCTGGCCCCTGAGAACAATCTGTTCTCAGGCTACAGTGCATCAGCAGATCGGAAGACTTTCCTCGCACAACTTGGTCCAGTCAGAACGTCAAAATGGCTTGCCGCGCTGGCCGTAATGGTCCTAGATCCCGCGTCTTCCTCGAGCCAACACATCCAAATGTTGTCATATTTCCGCACAAGAAATGAGAAAGGCTCGAAATGCGTCGTTTGTAGGGCTTGCGCATGGAGGACTGGAAGAGGTTGATCTAGAGGGATCCACAGCGGTTGAGCTGACAGCCTCAAGAAGTTCCCGCGCTGCCGATCGCCTCGTTTGATAGTGCTTGTTCGGCTCGACATTTGGGCGTGCTTGACGGGAAAAGAAAGCGAGCCAGTTAGAGATGGGCACGTCGAGATTGGGCTCTGTTCCAGCGCTCTACTTTGCCGCCAGGATTCAGGTACCAATTTCTGGCATGGCCACGCCCTCTTTACTTGGCCATCAGTGTTTTCCCAAAAAGAGCTTGCGACCTGATGGGATTTCCGTAGGCGCGGCTTACACGTACGACATTCTTGGCAAGCAGTACATTGCTGACAGGATCTGTCGTCCACGTCAACTACCAAGAGACTGCATTATTTGGGACTAAAAATGATAAGCGGCCGCGTTCGTTGTGATTGGGCGGCGGGCACCGTCAAAAAAGTACCGTCAAGCTGGGAGGATGTGGGTGCAACACTCAACACTTGAATTGAACTTAGGTTCCGACAACCCTCGCTCTCATGAAATGAGTGACGCTTGAATGGATCAACCCGCTGAAACACGTTGGATAGCTCAAACGAAGCACCCCGCAGATCAGAAGAAAAAGCCGACATCACACCGGTGTTCTGGTCCATTCGCGTCGGATGCGCACATTATGCCATGGGCTCTGGTTAAATGCGCGCTTGGCTGTCCCGCCTGGATGGATCCAAAGGTGCGCGATGACCTCTTCGAGCATGGGCTCCGGGAAACGAGATTGATGGTTCCCCAGGCTGATCAAATCTAGCTTATGCCATCCAGTGCCATCCCCCGCTGTCACAGTTGGATTCACGCTACACTCCAGGGACCAGGGCAAGATGCGCCCCACGGGGAAGAAAATCAAGATCACCAGGTGCCGCCGCGCCGGAAAAGCCGGGCATGCTACTGGAAGAGCCGAACCTCTCGCGACATGAGATGCCCAAATACACAGGACATGCACGAAATGGACGGTATTGAAGGTGCGCAATTGTTGAATAATAACATACTACTGTCACGATGTTGAGACGGCTCCTAAGTGCTCTCCTACTTGCCTCGGTTGGCCGAGCTGTAGGAGCAGCTTCTCCTGGAAATATCACGTTTAACTCTGCCAATCGGCTCTTGTTCGACATCGATGGAAATCACATCAGTGCTTATGCCCTCAAGATCTACAATTTTGAGGACAGGTACTATGCCTACGGCCTCGACTTCACGACGGGAACCGGGCTCGACAGGCCTCTAGTCTGTTACTCCTCTGTTGACCTTGTCAACTGGAAGTCTGAGGGAGTCCTGTCGGAGATCACTGGAGGACGTCCACACATAGTCTCCAACCCTACGAGCCAAGAATATGTGCTTTGGTCCAACCCGTCGGCCGGCTACGAGATAGCTACTTCTTCTGCGCCTAATTCCCCATTCTCTACGGACGGGCACGGCCTGGCGGCACTGGACCCCCAGTTCAGTGGTTTGCAGCCCGCCGACTTCACTGTCACAACCATTGATGACAAAGGCTATCTCGTGTGGTCCGCGCTCAACTTCAGGGATCCTCGAGCGGGAAGCCTTTGGCCGCCACTTTTCCAGACACTGCACGTGTCGCCACTGACGGACGACTTCCTCAACACGACGCAGACGAGCACAAACGTGACATCTGCAGCGTTTGACCTCTTGGACCAGGAGGCCGAGTCGCCCGATCTGTTTGTTCGCAACGGGATCTACTACATCGTGGCAAGCAACACGTGCGGCTTCTGCAATGGGAGCGTGGGCCTGGTCTACCGCTCAGAGTCCATCGATGGCCCATGGGAACGCGATATCGTCTCCGCGTACACTTGCGGGTCTCAGGTCGAAGGCGTACTTCCGCTGACGGACCCCGTCACCAACGAGACAACATACGTCTGGCACGCGACTTCTGTCCCAGGCGGCCCTCGTGTCAGCTTTTCTGGCCATTTCTTCCAGCCACTCCGATTCAACGACGATGGGAGTGTACAAGATCTGGATTGCACTCCCGGCGCGCAGTTCACAGTGCCCCTGGCACTCGGAGGTGGTGACACCGACAGCGGCGCGTTGACGACTGCTGCGGATCTGTCTCCTCGCTTTGCCGATTATCAGCCTGTGTGCGACACAGACCTTTTCCAGACGGTCATTCAGACCTGGACAAATTCCAAGGCAGGAACACTGGACTCGGTCTCAGTCAATCTCGCTGCTGGAGGACAAGCCACGGGTGTCTTGGTAAAAGTATTCCGGTTCAGCAACATCGCCGACCTTCAAGCGCCATCGTAAGTACCAAACCCATAGATCTATCATTCGTTTCCACACGATGGAACTTTCCCACGAATCTAGGCATTAAATAACATGATCCCCACACGCAGTTACAAATTTGAGGAGCTCGGCTCCGAAACGTTCAACGCCAGCCAGATAGGGACATCATTCAAAGCCATGAGCGTGCCTACCAACGCCACCGTTGTTCAGGGGGACCAGCTGGGGTTTTACATTGGTGATCCTGCGTCAGCAAGCGCGGAGGGCTCTTTGAACCTCATACCCTACTGCCACCTGGAGTATAACATTGGCGCGCCAAATGGCTCGGAAACACCTGCTGGTCAGCTTGCCTTCCAGCAAGGTGGGGGACAGAACTCGTTTCGTGGTCTTGACGGGACAACAAGCCCCATTCAGGAGAGGACTGGCAAGGGCATCAAGTTCTTCACGACTGTGATCTAATTAGGGGTCGAATGCTTAACTGATTAATTCGTATTACAACTGTTAATGAGATCACAACCTGCACAAAATGCAGAGAACAGACCACCACACGGCTGATCCCCCTCACCTGGCTATCCCAGCTTACCCAGCAGATCTTCCAGCAGGGGTTCATCTCACCAGCTCACCGAGGGGTCAGTGCAAACGGCACCTGAGTTAGTGCCCCGCTTCCCCGGCTACCGGATTCAAGCCGGCCTAAGCGAGGTTGGGGCACCCTTGGGCGCAACCATACGAGCCTTCAAGTTGGTCAGCGCACAGTACATGTGGTTCAGAGGGTGGTCGTCAGCGGTGGAATCTGCAATTCATATGGTGGCAGAACCACTCTTCGGCTTTCTGTGGCCCCTACGATGTGTGTATACATGCTATCGTATAATCGCGTGCCTAACCGCTCTTCTGACCGTTGGTGATGACGAAGAACAACTTCACAAACGGCGCCTCAGAAGTCCACGTGACCTTCAGGCCCGAGGGCAGCGCGAAGATGTCCCCGCCCTTGAAGTGATGCGTCTTCCCACTCTCGTGCTCCACAATCCTGATCTCCCCTTCCACGACCAGGACGGCCTCATCTCCAAGAGGGGCGCTGTACTCGAACGTCACCGACCCATCGGGAGCGGCGCCTGGCAGCCCACGCCCGCTTCGCCAGAGGCCGACTTGCAGGGCGCCCGTGGAACCAGTCTTGCGGACCAGTGTCAGCTCGCCCGCGGTCTGGGAGCCCTTGCCTGGCTCGTCCCACGTGAAAGGCGTCCAGTCGGCGGGGTTGTCGTTGATGTTGCCGACGAACAGGCTGTCGCTCTTGGTGCCCTCGATGGGCGCGTCCCAGATGGTCCAGAACTTCTTCAGGAACGGCCCGTTGACGTGCCACTTCAGGTCGACGTGCTTGGGGTGGGCCAGGATGTCCCCCGCCTTGAAATGGTGCTTCTTGCCCGACTTCGTCTCCAGGACCTCGGCCGACCCCTCCAGCAGCACCATGGTCTCGTCGCCCAGGGGCGCCGAGTACTCGATGTCGCAGGTGCCGTCGTCGTTGCAGCCCGCGATGCCGGCGCCCGTCCGCCATAGACCCGATGCCACCGTGCCGCCCGTGGTTCCTCCGGTGCGGATGGTCACGACCTCGCCCTTTGACTGGGGGCCATGGAGGGGATCTTCCCAGTCAAAGGGAGTCCATGTGCCGGTGGTGTTGCGAGAGCCGAACTCGAGCTTCCGGACAGGGGCAGGAGCAGTCATTGTGAGAGGAGGAGGACTGATAGATAGATAACTTTACCCAGTTTGCTTTTTGCTGCTTCAAGGCGCAAGCCTGGGTCTTTTAAAGGCGTACTGCTAAACGAGACCAGACGCCACATATCAACCGGTCACATAAGAGGAGGCGGTCAGACCTTGACAAGGTGCATATTAAGCCCCTTGGCGCCGGTTGAGTCATGACAAGTCACGTAATCCTTGATGAGTCCGCAGATATCAGTATAGGATGAATCGATCACTACTCCTTCGGTAGGGGAATTCCCGACCACCCCATGGATTGAAAACTGGATCTACACAGAACCGTACTGTCATCTGAGCTTTCTAAAGTCGGCTCAGTTGCTGAGGTCGTGCCGATTCATCGTTGATGCTCCCTTCGTAGATCACCCGAGATGATGTGCCTCATTGCTGATCCGAGTGATAGAGGGACCTTTAAGAGGTTTCGACACGTACGAAGCGCCACAACTAAGTTGCCATTCCCCCGCGCATACGGTGTTATTCCTGCCTACTTGTATTCACCTGCTGGCTTTGCTCATGCACTAGTTACATTGAATTCTGTCGCCCCCATGCGATTTTGTCTATAATATACGTGTGGGAGCTGAGACTTTCCCCGGTTTCAATCTCGGACGACAAGACCACTTGAATCATGTGGCTGCGCCGCGTTCAGCCAATGCCATCCTTCATGCCACCCGCGGCCAGGGTCCAGTGCAGGACATGCATTCGACTGCCAGTAACGACACTCATTAAATGGCTGGCATGCCGACGGGGCGAGAGGATAAAAAGTCAGTGCCACGCGTCACAGGGGGCCGGCCACTGCTGCATCTGAACCGTGTGGCTTGTTGGGCTGAAATCCTCAATGTGATCTACCACTTATATGCCCAATTCATACACCTCCTCCAAGGTTCGATCCAAAAGTTATTTTCGTATTGCACATTTTCCATTGGCAGCTTTGGACCCACCAGCCATAATCTCTGCCGGTTTTCTGGCGGAAGTAGCTTCCGGTGGAGGAGTCAACTAACTTTCGGAACCCTTGCGAAAAGCGTAGTATCCTGGGGTAATCAGGGGCTGTCAAGTCCCGGCTCTGATCATGCCAGGCAGACGGGTTGCTTTGTTAAGGGGAGTCCAGCTGAATCGATCCTCCCTGACGATTAATGTATAGGTCCAGTACTCCGTAGATTAGAAGTGCTCATGTTCCCCCAGGTCCGACCATGTCTTTGAATTTTGCCAACTGCGATGAGGGAATGAATTTGCGTTTCCTCAGGCTTTACGTTTCTCCATCTTGGCCATCCTCAGCAAGCATTCGCAGCATGGCAGACATCCCCACGGTTGAGCCTCATGGGCTCGCCATGGCCCAACTTGTTTCGTCCATTGTATTTGGAGTCCTGAGCACCATCTTGGTGTTCCTGCGGTGTTTGGTCAGGTTTAAGCACGATGTGTTCGGCTTGGACGATGGCCTTATGGTCGCTGGCTACGTAAGTCAATTGCTGTTTCTGAAATTGAACCAGTGGAGCGCTGCTTCTAACGTGGCCGTCGCTAGGTACTATTCGCTTGTCTCGTCGGTTTTTCTTGTCAGGCGACTTATTATGGGATGGGTATTCACGAGAATGAATTTCCCAGTGAGATACTACCTTATGGAAAGAAGGCAAGGATTGAAACGGAGCGTGGTATACCTAATTGTGGCTGACATCTCTACAGTATGTCTGGCTCTTCCAGATCTTCTACTGCGCGGCCCTCGTCTTCATCAAAGCGTCCATCTGCGCAACCCTTCTACGAATCGCCGTCGTGCCCACGCACCGCGCCATCGCTTGGGCGACCCTGGCAATGGCCATTTGCTCGGCGCTCATCGTCTTCATCAGCCTTTTTGTTCTCTGCCGGCCCCTGCCGGCCACGTGGACCGGCGAGGGAACATGCGCGGCCCCGGCTACTCTAGCCATCCTGAGTTACTTTGTCTCGGCATCGTCGCTGGTCACCGACCTGGTTTGTGCCGTGCTGCCTGGCTTCATGCTTTACAAGACCCAGATGAAGATGGCGACAAGGGTATCCGTCACCGTCGTGCTTGGGCTGGGTGCCATGTACGTGCCGGCCGTTGTGTCTCCTCAATTCGCTCCCGCAAGAGACGCTGACTGGGAGCAGAGCGTCTGTAGCTACGATCATTCGAATGCCCTACATCAAATTCTATTTCAATCCGGCCGAGGATTATCTGTGTAAGCTGGCTCTCCTCCCTCTAGCCCTTTGGAGAAACTGACCAAGCCGGACCACAGACCGTGTCTGCAACGTCGCTCTGTGGTGCATCTTCGAAACGGGAATCGGCATCGTCGCCGGGTGCTTGCCGCCGTTGCGGAGGCTGGTAAAGCGCTGGGTCAACTTCGACTCGTCACGCGGAAACTCCTCAGGGCCCAAGTCGTATGGGAGCTCCAATCCGCTGGGGGTCACCAGCAAGGCCGGGACGGCAAGCCGCTCGCATCGGTTCGGCAAGCCGCGAAAGGCGACGAATGGTCCCCCGGTCGGCGACTGGGAGCGGCTCGACGATGATTCATCAAAGCGGCGCATCTATGTCACGACGGATATGGAGATGACCACGATGACAAAAGGCGCGACATCGGAAGGGAGCCACGACTCGATCGAAGAGCTCACCAGGCGCGCCTGATTACCCGTGATCGAATCGCTCCCATCGCAGCTACGACCGACTCGATTTACGATACTTCTGAAGAAAAGGCATAGCTTCAGGGTTTGGATAAGGATATGTGTGTGAAGAGTCCAACATTGATCGTCACGGAGCGGACTGGAATACCACTGTACCATAATCAGAGACATGATGAAATAATTCTCCTGGGTCTCACGTACAGTTGGACGCTGAGGTAGAAATAAAGAGCGGGGGATATAATAAGATACTACTTGCTGCGAGAGCAAGCATTTGATGAGTTTGCATAAATACAACCATTCAGACACCGGACATCACTTTCTTTCCTGTATGAATGGCTAAACCGAGAGTGGTGAGAGAGTTTTAGGTCACATAGGTCTTGCGCCCCATTTATATATAAACCAAATACTAAGCCTCCCTCGCCCCCTAGAATTTAATTGGTATAATAGCCATAATACCTATATAATACCTAGAAGTTAAGCTATAATACCTAAGAGTTTATACGTGTAACAGGTTGTGCCTGCATGGATGCCTAAGTGATCTGCTCTGCCAAGCGTGCTCAACTCAAAGCGTCGCGAGCTGCAGCGCCACGTCGTAACATCACGGTTGGCGAATGCACTTTGCTGGCTACATTTATGCGTAAGTGCGCGAATACTGTCGTACGAGTGCGCCAAGACCTACTGTTCCGTGGAATCTCTGCTATGTCAGATTGGGTGATCAGAGCCTCTGAGACGCCCGACTGCCTTACACCTGCGGCCTGAACGCTCTGATGGAGCCCTTCCCCTCTTCCTCTCTTTCTTAGGCTGGCCTACTCGTGAATCTAAACAGTTTGGTGCACAACTCAAGCCAACGTGCCGTGAAATCCAGGTTGCGTCTCCTGAAGTCCACTACCAAAGATATCAAAAGGCCCAGCTGATACTCCCCAGTCCACTTATCAGTCACCATGCCTCTAAGCCGTCAGAGTAACACGTGGATCCCGTATAGGGGGTTTAGGGCGCAAAGTTACTATGATGATTATCCCCAGGTCCGAGAGGAGATGTCCGGATATCAGCCGCCGTGGATGCAGTCCTTCGGACAGGACAATTTACCCATGTGGATCATTAGAGATACCCCCGAATCATGGTGTCCCGCCCACCCAGACTCGATGAGAAAGCTAGTGAGACTTCGCAACTTTTACCCGAGTTGTGGAGATCGTCGATTTGTTGGTTCTCCTTTGAAAAATACTGAGTTATATCAATATAAAAGACTCACGCATCCTGACGAGGTTCGGACACTCGCCCTGCTGCCAGGAGAAGATGGGAGCCCAATCGAAGTTCGCCTTGAGCATGAATTGTTAGGGGCCAGCAAACCGTATGAGGCTGTGTCATACGTTTGGGGTCAACAACATGACAAGAAAGATGTCCTATCCCAAGGATCGACTCGGATCTCGATTCCATCGAACCTGTGCCTGGCCTTACGGCACCTAAGACATCCTTCCATTATCCGAAGAATCTGGGCTGATTCCATTTGTATCAACCAAGCCGACAACGATGAAAAGAGTCAACAGGTTTCTCTCATGCGACGTATCTTTCAGAGCGCGGCCAACGTATTGATCTGGCTCGGACCTTTCCAACTCAAAGGATTCAGCAATCCTGATAAATTAAACCCTGGTCACGTTTTCGGCACTATGAACCAGATGTACCGCAGAGACTTTTCACACGTGCCAGAGCCAAGCCAGCGGAATTGGTGGTCACTTTTGACCGAACTTTTCCGAGCTCATTAGTTCTCACGCATCTGGTGCCTGCAGGAAGCTGTTCTCGCCTCCACCGCGACAGTTGTTTGGGGCCCATACACCATCCCCTGGGAGCATGTTGGTTTCGCCGCAATGTGGATATCATGCATGCCGATCAAATTCACTCAAGATCCTCTCGCTATTGTAGGGTTGTATCACGCCTGTCTGATATACTCCCTTTCTCGTGGTTACAAGCGTCAACAAAGCGTGCCATTCCTTCAACTACTCACCCTGACGCGGCCTTTTCTTGCGATGGATCCGCGGGATAAAAATATATGGGCTCCTGGGTATCCCAACTACCGACTCGAATCCTGATACTGGGACCCTTTTCATGAAACCGGACTATCTCAGAACGACCGCGGTCACATATTTTGATTGTGCCCTGAAGGTGATCGAAAGATCACATTCGCTGAGAACGTTATCATACGTTCAGCACGAAGACCTCTATTCATCTGACCGAGGGCTCGACCACTGGAAACGCGACCCGAGGATTGAAGACAGAACCCTAATGGACGTCCCGTCTTGGGTGCCAAGATGGCACGTGTGTCTTGTGCGTACTTTAGCGCCCCCCGACCCATGCAAGACCTTCAGCGCGTCTGGAGACTTGATAGTGGACCAAGTACGAATTCAAGGCTGCAGACTAGCTACTGAGGGTCTGCACTTTTCGACCGTGGCCAGTACGTCACAGCATTTGAGGCAGACATTTGTTCCATCTCGCAAAGATATCTTCAAGCTATGGGATCACGTTATCAGCAGTCTGGGGGGGGGGGGGGAACGGAGACGTTGATATGGCACGATCTCTTTGCTTAATTATTACAGCTTGGAAAGACTGGTTCGGCGGCCTTGTGGAGGATATGGAGCAGCACTTTGCTGACTTTCTCGCCTTCATCTATGACCCCTTCGACTCAGTCACCGCTGTGGAAGATGAGTTTCAACTCGAGACAAGTGCTCTGCATCATACACTTTGCAGGCCTCAGAAAACCGACTTTCCCCTACCGCCGTTAGCAGTTGGCGCCGCCCAACGATTCTATGATGCCCTTAATAATGCATGCTGCGGCCGGAACTTCATTATCACCGCGAATGGGCATCTAGGACTCGGGCCATGTGTAACCGAACCGGGCGATTGGGTATGCATCCTAGCCGGCGCCAGCGTGCCGCTGATACTGAGACCAGCGGGTGACCGGATCGGTGACTTTAAGCTTTTCGGCGAGGCTTACATCAATGGAATAATGTTCGGAGAGGCTTGCAAGCAGATACCGAAGAGAGATCTGAGGAAGTTCGTACTGGGCAGGCAACCATTCTATCCTATACCAAATGAGGAAAGGTAATGAAGAAGGCCGATAAGACGCAGGAGGACCTTAGGGTGAATCTGGAGCAGCTGCTGAAAGAAAAGACGGAAGAATACGAGAAAACACAAAAGCAGCTCCAAGAGGAGCTAAACAGGGCAACGGAATAATTAGCTGCATACGAAACAGGGCGGAAACAAATCCTGAATACTCGGGAGAAGGACGAGGAACCGTATAATAAGTTGCGGAAGCAATACGTTGACGAAAGGAAGGTACTGGATGCGAGGGACGCCATGAGAGCGAAGGAAATAGAGGATTTGGAGAAAGCATTGGAAGACCAGTACGAGCAAGAGCAGGGCCACAGCAGGCGGAGAGAGGAGGAGCTCAACTCGAAATTCAAGAAGGGTAGCGACTGGAAGCGCAAATTGGCTGCTTGTCTTTCCCCTCTCATGGGCATTGGGATGATTGTACTAGGCGTCATGTTGGGTAATCCTGCATTGATGGCGTCTGGAGGCTTTATGATGGTTGGAGGCGGTGATGCGCTAGGAGGCTCTTGAGACTTGACACGATGTTGGATTTCAAGACTCAACACCTCAGTCTGTTCGCTATTATTGAATGCTGTATCAATGCATAATATTCCTTTCTACTAGTATGACCTATTTCTAATGCTGTTTGTAGTCTCACACAGTGACTTGATGTCCCAATTTACAAGGTTAGAATATTCCAACACCGTTAGGCGGACTGGCCACGCCTCCTGGCACCTGTGAACTCTGTCAGTGTCCACTCCGCCCCTCTGAATTTCAACACGGGGATAATTACTCACATTCAGCGGTACACTACTAAAGAATAAGTTGTACTTGTTCAACTGCTTCGCAGTGTCTCCCAACTTCTGCAAGTCGAACAGCTCCCCGATCGGCATCCCCCACCCAGCAAGTAACCATTCATCAAGCAAAAATGGCGTGGCGACCATGGGCGTGATCTCAAACGAAATCATATCGCTAGCCACGGCGGCCGGCTCCCTATCCCAGATCCACCGTAGCGTGGCCTCTTCGGACTTTACACCCATGCCTGGCAGCGGGTTGGCGCCAGAGTACGCGTTCTGCGCCTCCTGCGACAGTTCCTTGAACCGCGTGGTCAGGTTCGAGCGGACAAAGAGGATATCGCCGGGCCGCGTGGTGGTGTTTTGAAAGGCGAGGACGGCGTCGAGGTCGCTGGCGAGGATCTCGGTGTTGTTGAAGACGTCGTACACGATACCATGGGCGGCCATGTACTCGGCATAATCGAGCAGAACGCCTCGACCCACGATACCGCCACTATTGACCCAATGGTGCAATCCCAGTATGTTGTCTGTGCCATTGAGGATCTGCTGATTCGTGACGCCGTTGAAGTATTGGGCGGTGCCTTGGTATCCGAAATGTCTGAAGCCGTCCCATTTGCTTGAGCTCTGTGTGTTGATGTTGATGGTGTCGTCGATGCTGCTGCGGCCTGTCTGGAAGAACTTCGTCACAAAGTCGTGCTCAAAAGGTTTTCTCCCGAATGGTGGCACCAGGGGGTTGTCTAATGTCCAGTCGGTACACACGCGAATTCCATGCTGGACCTCTTGCAGGGCTGCAACGGTTGTCGATTCATTGAGCCGGTTCAGCATACCAAGCTGATCCCCAATATCCCAAAGGCCCCAGGCATTTCCGATCGGGCCGGATGTATTCAGGGGCTATGATGAGAATGGGGGTGTTGTTACGGCCATGACAAGTTGAAGGCAAGGGAAGATGTTGAAAGGTGTAAATAGTCTTATTCTATCACGAAAAGGATCCCTTAGTTGTACAGCAAGTAGATGTGTAAAGCGAAGGTGGCTTGAGTAATTCATCCAGTATTTTAGTCACGACTTGGATCGATCCCCGCAAAGTTTAATCCGGCGCATTGATAAGCAATTTTATTCCGTACCCGGCCAAGAAACCAGTAACGTTGTACTGGTATATTCAGATTTCCATTAACCGCGGGCCGTGGAAGCGTAAGGCCTGCAAGGTCCAAAGCTACATTCCAGTACTGAAATGGGAAAGAAGTAAAAGAGGAGACAACTGGACAAGCCGCATTAAAGATGAAGAACTTGCTCTTACTTCTGTAGGTGTTTAAGCGTTTATCACTGTATGAAGGGACTGGATGCATACTGCTTACGAAGCATATGTGTACAGATTAAAAACGAGACCACCAAACTTCTATAGTGGAAAAGCTTAACGTACGCTGTACCTTACAAGCAAAGTAACGTCCCCCTCCCCCCCCCTTAATACTTTAAGCAGCTATTCCGCCCTATATTAAAATTTAGCTGACAATATAATCGGTATTTATTTAGCCATGTTCCCTTAGATGCTTCAAATATTTTACAATGATAAGGCGTCCTTTGGAAATATGTTTTACCTTTCAACAGGTGACGGATTTGTTTCTTTGATGCCATCAGGGTTATGTATTTCATTGACCACTGGGAATTTTTATAGGCTCAAGCCTCTGAGGTGGTCTATTATCTGTTGTACCTCAACTGTCTGATCTCTATTGTGTATCACCTGTTTCTGAATATCACTCTCTAAACAGCCTGAATTCTTTTACTCATCGGGCGATGCTCTCAGTGAACCGAGACGCTCTGCAAGATGATTGAGTCAATTACCGTTGGGGATAGCGTGTTTAATTAAAGACAACCAAAACAGGTAAATGGAATCATGTCTTCATCGGGATATACTGTTCGTTAAATCGTCCATGTGCTGAGTGGCCACCACGTCCAATGACCAATTCTGGTCCTTCCTCTGTGTTCGCGCTAACTTTTCTCATTGACCTTGTCTGCCACTGGCTCATCTTTCTGGCTTTCCAGGGACCGCAAACTATAATCATCCTGCCCAGATAGCTCAGCCACAGAGTCGAAGGTTGTCTGTGATCCTGTTTTAGTGCTATTCAAGTCGCTCCACCTGGATGGTTTGTGGCTCTGCTCCAGTTTGGCAGGCCGGCTTATTTGCATCGAGGAGAGCCTGGATCGAAGACTGGTGGGACTGGTTGGACTGGATCCGGTGTATGATAGAGGGATTCGTTGTGAAGGCTCTGCCAACTCGGCCCTGAGCTCCTTCGAGGTGGAGTTGACGCTGGGAGAAGGTGGCACAATACCGTGGTTTGGATACAGACTCCTCGGGAACCCACTGAAGGCAAGGAAAACTTCCCCATTTGCGGAGTTTTGCACAAAGCCCCGATTGACCATGAATGGGACGTATGGATCCATTTGAAGGCGCAGAGATATGCGTGTGATGCTGGCTTGGCTGGCCGAATCCACGTGGATTTGTCCTCCCCTCGAAAACGCCGCGCTGGTGCATGGCGTCGATGGCATCCAGCTCGATAGGAATATCCCAAGGACGCTCGTCGTGCGAGCCATAATTCTCCTGGAGGTAGAAGCACGTCGTGAAGCTCCGACCGCAGATGTGGTTGCGGACCAGATCGCCCAAGACCTGAGTTGCCCTGGCAGATGCTGTAATGTAGCACAGCATGGGAAGGTGCTGATATGAATGTTCAGATAGAGTGTGAGTAGCCTGCTTGTGTATAAAAAGTGCAAGGGGCCAAGTTTTGCCCGAGTACATTAATGTGGCTCAGAGGTAGGTGTGGCCAAAGGGTGCGTGACTGCCTGCGTAAAAAGGCATCGTTGACATCGCGGGAAATTTGTCCTAACTCCACGCTGCACACGGATCATAGGAAGCTTTCATTCTGTCCAATGTTCAGTCATTCTCCCTCTTGTTCATTGATATCCTTGCATTCGACCACAGGCTCCCTGTAGACCTCCATCACGTACCTCACAGCCAATTGCTTATCAGGCTGGGACACACTGATATATAGCTACTCTTGGTTAAGATAGGTGTTTATTATTTGTCCCCTGACCCAAGGGAAAACCTCCAGCCACAATCTAGCATTGCTTTCATGATTCCACCTTTGGAATCAGCGTCATTTTCGATATTAGTCTCATCAACCTGTCGGTTGCATCCAACTGCCTGTGCAATCTCGGAAACCTCCACATGGGCACCGTCCAAAAGAAGAAGCCAAACACCCAGAAATAACCAATCAGATATCCCAACCAGCTCCCCTCCAGCATTTCCAGCTCCCTCGCCAATCCCAATCTCCTCGCAACATCTCTTGTCATCGAGACAACCATTAGCTCGACCGAGCACGCCGCGAAATTGAACATGAACCACTGCAGATCGATATGCCAGTCCACATGGCCCAACCGCCAGCTAACAGCGCTATGAGAAAGGCCAGACAGCAGGAAGACAACGAAGGCCACCACCGACTTCTGGGCCCGCTTGCTCCTGACGGGGACGTATGTGGCTACGAGTCGCCCAAATTGGCCGTACGATCTGACCGCGAGACGGTGCCAGAACCGCGACCAGAAGTTCCGCAGGCCACAGGCGGCACGGGGGTTTCCGAACAGGGATGGCCAATCTCCAGGCCTATCCAGACCTGAGAGAACAGCGATGATGCCCAGGACGGCGTTGGTCCCGTCTAGGAGTACCATGCTCTCCCAGATCCATACGACTGCTGTATAGGACCGCACGACGACCTCGCGGGTTGTAATATCGCCGAGGCGGGTGAGAAGAGCCGTCTCGGCGACGTCTGAGGTATCGAGGCGAAAGATAGTCTCGGCGAAGATGGAGGGCAGGATAGAGGTGTAAAGGTAGTAGTAGAGCGGGAGCTTCAGTAGACGTAGGAGAAGAAATACGGCGACCGAGTCTTGCTCTGCCGTGGTTTTGGTGTTTGTATCATCCTTTTTGTTCGTCGCCTGGGTGACAATGGTGGCAGGTAGCAGCTGAGGATTGCTCCAAAGGCGCCAGGTCACGCGTAAAGATGTCCAAGTGGCCAACGAGGCACCCTGCGGCGCTGCGTATTTTTCAATGCACACGAGGGACACAATATGGACAATATTCAGGGCGACTGACTGTGCCCATAGACTGGATAGGTAAGGAGAGATAACTGAGAAGCGGTTGCATGTTGTGAAGGAAAGCACCGCGAAAAGAAGAAAAAGCGGCAGGAGAAGAAGGCGCCGTTTGTGGTTTGAGGTGTGAATGATGAAGTGAAATACCAATATGCAAAGTAGTAGATGAACTATTGGTACAGAACAAGAGGCCACCAAGCGAAAGGAGAGCTGCATCTTTTCAGACTGTTCTCTGGTTAGGAGCTGATAAGATTTCTCTCCCATGGACCAAAAGCGAATGGGTTATAAATGCTGTTGGCTGAGTACTACCCGATGATAAGTCTCAAACGGGGTAAAATGTCCCTGTATAGTCGTGTATCAACCCTGGGCCGGACAATCATGTTCCTCCTGGCACGGAAACGGCCCACAAAGCAATGTTTCTAGACTCACTCCACTCACTCAAGGCAGCAACAAGATTGATATTTGGATCGACGCTCAGCCCTTCCCTGCAAAACCCCCCACACAGCCGCTGCTCAGCTCAAGTGTCGCTCATTTCTTCCACACATGACACATCTCCGCCCTGCACAGCACCATGGCCATCACCAAGCTCATGTCCACCCCCTCCGCAACGGTCGCCTTCCAGACGCTCGAAGGGCACTTGATGCTCTCCCCGACGACCTTCCCCACCAGCCCAACCGGCGGAGTATACGCGACCTTCTGAATATGCGCAAACGTCGTGTCGCCAACGCTCAAGGACATATCCTCAAACGCGACGCTCTCAGACCCAGAGCGGCGCATGCTCACCACGACGTCCTCGCCCGCGGTGGTGCGCACCGTGGCGTCGATGTCCGAGTGGCCCACGCTGGTGACCTGCTTCCTGTGCACGAGCTCGGCCAGCTGCCGCTTGTCGCCGGCGGCCTCGACCAGCCAGCGGTTCTTGGCGTCCACGCTGTGGTGCCGGAAGTCGAAGATGTGCTTCTGCGTCTGCGCAGGCCCGCCAGCCGCGGGCTGCTGGTCGTACACCTTGCGCCGCCAGCTCCACGAGGTGCCCAGCTTCGACTCGGCGCGGAAGAGCGGCTCGCCGGGCGGTGTGTCTAGCACTGTGGTGACGAGGTTGAAGACGCGGTCGTGGCACTCCACCGTGAAGGATGTCCCCTGTGCTGGTGTGGCCCTCCAGCATGATTACTGGGGGTTGAGGCGTGGTGAGTGGGGTGAGCTGTGCCATCGGAAAGGTTCTGCAGGCGTTTCCAAAGGATTTGATGAAGGATTGAGTACAGTATCGAAGCTGATAGAAGGGATGCCTTCGCGATGTCCGGTAAGGTCGAATGCTAAATCTCAGTGGATTTATACTCGTGTTGGATTAGAGTATCTACCACTGCGTATGCAGATCCGCCCGAATAGGTACAAATAAGGTTATGATGTCCTACGAAAGCTGCGCCCCCCGGATTGCAGCCCTGCCCAGACGACCACACTGTGTTGGTCAGGCACATGTGGGTCGCCGGCTGTGGTTCGGTCATTCACCGGGTCCTATGCACCCACTATATCCCCAGGCAGGCAGCAACAAGCACAAAAGCCCAGACCAGGTACTTCACCCACACGATCTCCTGAAATCCTATTACTGGCCACCCAAGAAGTGGCACGAAACCCCTGACAAACCCTCGGATCTCCTGCCGTGATGCCGTAGTGCGGTCCCCGGGATAGAGAACCTCGTCCGTGACCGCGTTGTTGTCACCCTTAGTCAGGAACACTTGCCTTAAGCCATTATTGTGTTAGAAAGAAGCATGTCATACATCCAGATTGCTTCAGGTCTTGGCTTACCGCCTGGTGTCTTCATCCCAGAATGACTGTACAACCCGGTGAACCATGGGCAACGGAGCATCGTCAAACCAGACAACGGGAATGTCCCCCACTTCGATTGAAGACGTGCGATTCCAGAGGAACAGTATGTCTCCTCTGTGGAAAGCTGGTGCCATTGACTCGGACACGACACATATTATGGGGGTTGACGAGTTGGTCACGACGCTAAGCCCCTTCCACATCATAAACAATGTGCTGAGGTGCAGGAGTAGAGGTAGGAACTCGGCCAGTGACTGGCGCCGGCCGGCCGACTTTGGGGATGACATCGTGGGAGGAGTTTCTGGCTGTAGCCAGCTCAGTTGGTGCACTCCCAGTACAGCAAATCAGCGCCGAAATTTATAGGATACAGGTTATGTCTCCATGTCTCAGGACTCGACTCATTGGCTCAAATCGCATAGTGACCCACGGCTGGCCATGCGGCAGGGACGGTAGGTCCACTGGCACGTCTGCCTGCGTGTCATAGGAATGACTTGATGCGGCCTTTCGGTCACGGGTTTCATTCATCTCACAGAAATGCACTGTTTGGAAATGGAGAGTTGCATCTCCTGGGGGGGGGGGGCGGCGAAATAGCCGCGCTAGGTAGTACAAACCTGTAGACCCAGATGCTTGCTCGACGGCATTTGCAAACAAGCATCACAAGCGCCGCCTGACTACCGGCACACTTTATGGAGACTATGTGGGGGATCCCGCTGGTAGGATCGAATGTGAACCCGCAAAATATAGTGATCGCCTTCAGAACAGCTGCAGCCTAGATCCTTCATCCAGGGGACGTGGAGAAGGGAGACAGAATCATCCACCCCCGAGTCCTACGGAACACGGCGATGCAGAAATGGAAAACAAGATCGACCTCCCCACAATCTTTTAGAATCCTCCGGCACTTCCGTGCTTACTGTGGACTTTGCGGATTTGAGCCTATAGAGATGCTATCTACAGTGGTAGTCAAGGATCCGATATGCCTATAGTAATTACGTTGTATTCCGCTTGGACTAATGCATCGCGTCACCGCGTCAAATGCAAAGGAAGGCAGTATAGTCAGAGCACTTTGGATCATGTCAGTAATGGTCGTCTTCTTTGCATATTTCTGATTATACAACGCATGGAATACCTAGGTGCCAATGGATACCAATATGATTGACCAGCTGGAATAAGTTCACTTGTGCCATAACTATAGGGCATTTATTTAACCTTCTTATCGCACACTGAGTGTGGGCCATCATGGACGACAGCTGAGAGAGCACTTATTCGTGCCACCGGAGTCGAATCCACTTTGCTGCTCCCCCAGAAACGCACGTGGCGGTCTACGGCATGTCAAGCCGTTTGACTGACGATGGCAAGGGAATGGAAAAGCTGTTGCCTATGATGGGACGTATGTGGAACCTAGATTTTTCGTGGAGTATACTGATGAATTGTGGGTTACCTCAGGGTTATCTGATATGAGTGAATATCGCCAGCCACGACTCGGACGCCTTGACCATCTCCTTTGCATCTCAGACCATATCCTGACTCGAGCACTGGGTTCTATAGTCAATCGCAGACATAGCCGCAGGTGGGTTGAAGGGGAGTCTCCATCAATGGAGATGGTCTCCGATTCCTAGGCATCAGAATTACACTCGATTCATGTCCCAAAACATCGTGAACCGTGATGATCGGGTGTGATCGAGCCATAGTTTGTACCAGTCTGAGGTCTCTGAGGTCAACCGTATTGACCCACAACGATTGCAAAATTCTGTCGCCTTGGGCAAGAGTAGTGGAATTGCTGGAATCCTTCAACGCTCAGGAGGCAGTATTCTAGCATCTGTAAGGGATCAATGTGCGGATTGGAGCAGTCTCGTTGTGATCAGTACAGAATCGTGAGGTTCGTCTAGTGTATAAAGAAGAGCAACTCTCCGGTCCATTCAACAGAACAATCATCACCATCATCATCATCATCATCAATACTCTCCAACCAATCAACACTCTCTCACAACCACTCTACCAAACACTCTTTTGTGACAATCATTTACTCACTCACAACAACCTATCCTCTCTTTCCCACAACCACAACCAAACCAACCACCGCCAAAATGCAATTCTTCACCAAGACCGCCATCTCCGCCGCCGCCCTCACCGCCCTGGTCCAGCTGTCCCCGGCTCCCATTGTCATCGCCATCCCTATCGCTCTGGACGTCGGCCTCGGCACCGCGGCCGCCTGTGTCAGCGCCGCAGCCTCCGTGGCCGGCACTGTCGCCGGCGCCGTCAAGCGCGACAACGTCGGCATCCCCCAGCACCCCCACCAGATCCGCTCTGCCATCGAGTCCCGCCAGGAGATGAACCAGGCCGCGTGGCAGAGCTGCAAGGACCAGCTCGGTGGTGCCAACCTCAACTTCAGCGCCGACTCCCCCGGCAGTGAGTTCTCCTCCAACCCCCTAATCTTAATGTAATGGTATCAACTTAGACTGACCTCCCTGGCAGACGTCCTCGTCACTGGAATCCCTTCGTCTTGCATGACGCTGCTGAACGTCCTCACTGGTGACTACAATGCCGGCAACCCTCTCCCCATGGGCAGCGACTCGGCCCTGTTCCGCGACCTGACCAACGACGACATCAACAACCTCCAGAACGCTCTCAGCGCTTAATTAGAAGCTGTTATCATGGAGACGCGCCCTCAATAGAAACCTGGGAATGAGTGACGGTAAATGCACAGCTGACTGGAAAGCATGTGGCATGTATACAACTTGTGTGAGATATGAGGGGTCGAAGATTCTTAGACTATGCTTTTATTTTTTAGAACTCGTACATAATTAATCAGTTTCCCGGCCGGGACTTCTACATCTTGCCGCACTCTGGTGCGCTTCACAAATTCGGGAAATGCCATATATGCAAGTCCAAGACACTCGAGAAGCACAGTCATCTTTCTTACAACCCACAAAAGCGAGAGACTCTAGAACGAAGCCTCAAAGGTGTCCAAGACACCGAACATGGTGAGCTACATCAATTCTAACTAGTTCTAAAGTTGGAAAGATGGACCGATTAAACACTACAATAGTTGATGTGCTTCTACTAAGATTTTCAAAGATAGAATATTGTGAGTAGTCCATTTGTTTCTGATCCACTAGCCAGCCACTTGAACCGTGATGGTTGGTGGGGTAAGAATCACCGAGCCGTCTCCTGAGCGAAGGCACTCATTCACACAAATAGCCACACACTGGATACCACTTAGGTCTGCTGATCATGCACTAAGGCCATAATACAAACCTGCTTAGGGATCTGATGAGGTTCGGGTTGACTTCGAGCCGAGCCGAAATGGGTACCAATTTTCTCGTTATAAGCACTATAGGCTGTTTCTTCCACATAACAACTTGAAGCCTTGACAACGAAAACGTACGCACAAGTACTTAAGTATGGTGTCGGATCTTGTTCGAATCGGCGGACTTGGTTGTAAATAGGTTCTGGAATTAAAGAGAGACTACTGAGATAGTGATATGTTCGTAATGGTGAAATAAGCCGGCTGGCTTACTGAAGGTAGGTAGTTAGGTGATAACCGTTGCCAGCTTTACTTCGTTCAGCGTTTCTTTCCCTGTCGTGTTCTTAAGCTCAACCAGATTACTAGTTGGAGATTCTAATAAATAAATAAGCAACTGTCATCCATGCGGCAATTAGATTTGACTTGGCACTACCTTCTGTTAGTGGGTAAGGAAGGGACGTCCCCGATATTATGGTCGTATCGTGAGCCGACCGTTCTGTGATCCCTTCCAGAACGGGAAGTGCGGAACTCGACTCGGGGGTGTCGGGTCGGGTCATGTCATGCCGCAACGTCGTGCTCAACCATCTGGATAGGCAGGGGTGCGCTTTCAGCCAACCAGAAGTTCACTTCCGAATACTGCATGGAGACATTGGAAGCTTATTTATCCTCCGTTCAGCGTCGAATACGAGATAAATAAGCCCATGGGAGCCCACTTCTGTGTAGGCTCACGGGTCAGTGATGCCTTTCTCTGGGCGGGATTCATTGCCATCATTCTACACATCCCAAGACCAAACGTCAAAATGCACTCGGGCAAGGTGGTCGCGATCCTGTGTGCCGCCGCAGCGCACGTTGTAGTCGCAGCAAATTCATGGATCGCTCCAGGGGCAGTTTGGTATGATACAGCAGGTAACAAGATCGATGCCCATGGCGGCAACATCGTGAAGAGGGGTGATACCTTCTACTGGGTCGGCCAGAGCGCAGCCAGCTCTGAGACGCCTTTGATGTACTCATCCAAGGACCTACTTAACTGGGAGAACCTGGGCAAGCAGGCATCATCCATCACGGGCATGTGGAGGCCTAAGATCGCTAAACCGAATGGGTCTTTCTGGCTGTACGGGCAGCAGGACCGTTACGCACTGTCACTACGGTCCACGCAGATGGTCGGCGCTTACACGCAGGTCGCCAAGGTGCACCTCCCGCCGAGCGACTACAGCTACTCCGACACGGGCATGTTCCTGGACGACGACGGGACGTGGTACCTACTCACGAGCGCAGACCACAACATTGTGCAGATCAACAGGATCAATTCAGATGGGGCCGTGGGCGACCGGGTCACCTCTTTCGCAAAAGGTGCATACGAGGCTCCCGGCTTGTTCAAGGTCGGCGGTGTGTACTACCTGATCGTCTCGGGCAAGACGGGCTGGAGGGCGAACCCGAACAAGGTCTTCTGGGCGACCTCGCTGGGCGGGACCTGGAGCGGCGGCACCGATGTGGCGCCCGCGGCCGAGAATACATACGGCTCACAGAACACCTTCGAGCTTACGATCAAGGGCTCCCAGGCTACGACGTATGTCTACATGGGCGATGCGTGGGACTCGAAGGGGGGCACGAGCTCGAACTATATCTGGCTCCCTATGTCCGTGGACTCTGGAGCCCACACCGTGACGTTACAGTACCACTCCATGTGGAAGGTGGACGTTAACACTGGTGTCGTCTCTTATCCCAGTACAAAGAAACGATATGAGGCTGAGGACGCCGATTTGTCTGGCAGGGCTGGTAAGTAGGAGGGCCTGCGTCGCAACTAAAAACTTCAACCACTTGCGTCTCATTTATCAATTTCCTTTTCCTCATTGCTAACAACCACGCGCAGCCGTTGTTTCTTGCGAGCATTGCATCACCAAGCGAAAAGTCCACAGAGGTAAGTTTCCAATTCTATGACAGTTGCTTGCTATGTATTCCAGCTGATCGACGAAATTTCATACTAGTCTCGCCTGGTAGTGAGGTAGTCTTCAACAATGTCACCGGCACGGGCTCTCTGGAATGGTACACGTTTCACTACGACGTCAGCGACCCTGCAGCAGGCGAGGCGCAAATCATCATCAACGATGATACCCAGCCGACGAACCTGTCAGACCTCAACTCACGTGCCGGAAAACATGGGTCGATTCCCGTCCAGCTCAAACTCCGAGAGGGTGACACGAACACTATTCGATTTGGGGCCCATGGAGATAAGGGTAAGTTGAGTAGTGCCGCTGATTGACATTTCCGTCTTGTCTAACCCCGAATCATTAGATTTCGAAGTCAGTGTCGATGGCATCGAGCTCCATGATGATTGAGAAGTTGGCTATGGAGCCTGAGCGGAGGGATGAATACAGCGACCCTATTGTATATATCTACCTTCAAACCAGTGAGGTCGTATACGGAGGAACTCTTGCTATACCAAGTCAGCATTCCTACTCAGTTTACTTGTAGCCAGTCGTGACTTGTATAAATCTAGCTCGTTTAGCACCAACGACAAAAGATTCAGCAGGTATACATCACTTCTGTCATACATGAGTTGAGGCAGAGTCTACCTGGGTAGCCTGCTCATAGATGATTTTAGTGTAGAAAGGTGCTGATTTATAACAGGGTTTGGCCGAGGGAGGAAGAAAAAGGAAGAAGAAAGAGGCCGCACTTGTTAATTGCACTGTCACCCAGGCGGACGCTATTTCGAATTAGAAGCTAATCAGATAACTTTACCGAGTCATTCATAAGGGAGCGTGGTGTTCGGTCATCGCCAACAGTATCGACATTACCTTTTAAACATTCATGACTACCAGGCACTTTCCACTGTTGGGCTGAACATAAGCTCTGCTCTTGGCGAGCTTTTATGAAATTCTTGGGAAGAAGAAGATCGAAGTAAGAGTTTTTCATGGGCGAGCATGTTGCTGTTGCTTGAAATTAGCGAGAGAGGTGAGTTTCTCACTCAAAGAATCAGCTGGATATTTAAGGCAGCGAGAAGGCGTCTCTGTAATCAACCCAAATGAAGTATATCCTGCACGTATAATCCAGCTGGGCCCGAGCAAGACAAAATGCTATCATTCAGATAGTCATGGCTGCTCAAGCTGGCTCGGAATGAAGTTGTCCGTAATCCGTGTGGAGACAGCCATTGGGTGCGTAATTGGTGGTTTGCATTGAAAGAAGAGCAGTCTAAGGAGTAAGTTTCTTAGCAGAATGGGTAGCAGCTGTCTCTTCAAATCGAAGCCCCTTTTAATGCCAGTCACTGGGCCCGTTCAATTGCCCATTCACCCTGCATCCCCACGGATTGCACCGGCCCGAAACACCGTTGAGCAAGTTCGTGCTTACTGCCCAGAGGAGCACCAACACTTTTGGCATACTCTATGTACCTTGTATGCACCTACAAGCCCCACCTGATGAGCCAGCTGGACCAACACCCGACCAACACCCTTTCCCGCCTCCTCAACTCGCTCCGGGATCGATGCATTTTGATTTATGATTCATTTGTTACACGCCAGTGAACTAAGCCAGCGTCTCTGTTACCGGTTATCCGCATATGCTACCACACACTGCGCCTCCCTCGGTTCCATTTATTTCCCCCCTCTTCAAGAATTGACTGCCAGCTATTGGTGATGCGCTGTTTCCACAACTCAGTCTACAGACTGTGGTTTGATCTTCTTTCTTCTGGCTTACTTCTAAACTCTTCCGGGCAACACAATTGAAGAACCTGTATCCAGCTGTTCCCCATATCGTGCGATATCTTACCCTACCACGCGTCTATTCAGAAAATGTCATCTATAATCATTTTGTCCGTGGCCGGCGCAGCGGCTGTCTATGTCTTCAGGCTCTGGCGTACTTCACACATGATCCAAGAGAGCCAGAGGCTATTGTTGGCACAATTCCGTTCATCAGTCCTCTCATCGGCATGCTCACTCAGAAAGGGCATTATTACGTTCAGATGAGGTACGAGTACCCTGCTCTATTCTAGCTTTCCGCTATCCTAAATTCCATCTACCTGCGACGTAAGCTGGCGACTATTGGCTTTGACTAGAGATAGACACCGTCTTCCAATCTATACTCTACGAGTACCAGGGCCGCCTCTCTACGTCGTCAACACCCTCCACATGATTCAGCGTATCGACCGCCACATATTGACGGTTGCTTTTTCACCGATACAGGCCCGTCTCTGCGAGAAAGTCATGCTCCTGGGCAAAGACAGCATGAAGAAAGTCGCTGGAGAAAAGGAGACGGCCGAGGACGGCTACTTGCGAAGTTTTGCAAGATCCATTGCCCCTGGAGCCTCGCCTGGTCCAGGATTGGATTCATTCAGCATGGCAGCAGTCAAAGACTTCGCAGCCGCCTTCGATCGACTGGCGGCGAGTGGCCCAACTACAGTCAAGCTGCATGAATGGCTTCGCCATGAATGGCTTCGCCATGAATGGCTTCGCCATGAATGGCTTCGCCACGAAATATTCGCTTCAACAATGGAGGCAACCTATGGACCTCACAACCCGTTTCGACACGAAAGGAATGAAAAGGCATGGTTTGAACTTGAATCTGGCATCTTGACACTCTTGTTGGATCTGTTTCCAACCATCTTTGCCAGACGAAGTCTGAAGGCATGCCATGCTCTGGTCGCAGAATTCCATCAATATTTCAATGGCAACGGACACCTTGATGGTTCCCTACTTGTGCAACTACGAAATAAACACAATGCGGCTTTCGGTCTTGATACCAATGAGAGAGCGCACGTCGAAATCGGACAGGTCACAGGTGCCATTGTGAATACTGCGCCTACGGCTTTCTGGATGGTTTGGCAAGTCCTTGCTGATCCCGTCGTCTTGGAGGACTGCCGCCGGGAGGCAAAGCAGCTGGTGAGAAGCGATTCTGATGGTGCCCATACCATTGACCTCGCAGACGTCATGACGGCTTGTCCCATTCTTGTGTCGACATGGCAAGAGGTCTTGCGGTTCCACGGAATCACCATAGCTGCACGTGTGGTTAAGGAGGACACGCTGATAGACGACCAGTACCTACTCAAGAAAGGTGGCCTTGTCATGATGCCAAACGCTGTGATCCACAGTGACCCATCCCTGTGGGGGCCGACTGTTGGTCAGTTCAACCACAAACGGTTCCTCAAAGGTGCAAAGGACGCAGAGCCCCGGTATTCGGCAGCCGCTTTTCGAGGCTTTGGCGGAGGTCATGTATCATGCCCTGGTCGTCACTTTGCCAGCACGGAGGTCCTGGCATTGTTGGCGTTACTTGTACGATTCGATGTACATCCGGTTGAGGGAGAATGGGTCCAGCCGGAGAAGGACAGCGTCATGGACAGGGCATGTCCGCTTCCGAAATGTGATGTGCTAGTTGAACTTGTTCCAAAGGGCAGCCAGAACTGGCGCGTCAATTTTTCTGGTCGCCGGGAGGGCATCAACATTGTGGCCGAGGATCTTCGAGAAAACGACAGTTACACAGGACGAAAAGCAACAAATGATAGATTGGGCTCAGAAACATGAGTTGCCAAAAACAGTTTCGAAATTTGATTTCATTTCCACTGGTCATTGTCTGGATCTACAAGCCGCATTCTCGCGGGGCTGCTTTTGATTTGGGAATATTAACCCAATTCTAGAACCTCTTTTCTATTGTCTTTGGTTTCCTGCAAGATTGGGAAGTCGTGACCACTTGTCAAACACCTCGAATGACACGTTTGTAAGGCTGAGTATCATCCGCAGATCTGTGGGCAGGATGAATTGCTTTCAGGTGGCCAAGTATAGCGAACTCGCCAGTTTAATCTGTCATATACAAACTGAAGCTGTAAGATTTGCCAATGGCACATGGACGAGTCCAGGAGCGAACAGAAAGAGACAAGACGGCAAATGTTTTGTGACATTTACTTCATAACAGTTTGAACTCCTGAGGGCACAGATTGAATCAAGAGTCTTTCATATGGTAAGCAAAGTTGCGTGAAGTTGGGGAGGGAGGTGAATTTCTCACGTCACATGAGTACTGGAAAGTGCAGGTCTCGGTGGGGCGGGGATCATAAAGTTTGACACCTTCCCCTGCGTTCCGTTTACAAGTGCACGACCAATTATTATCCTCTTCAATTCAACGACCTCCATCCGACCCACCCAAATCTTCTCACTATGGTCCTCAAGGTGTTTCAAGATTCTCAGACACCAGGGACAATGGAGCAGGCGTTGGACATTCTCATCCTTGGCGCCGGCTGGACCGCCACCTTCCTGATCCCCCTCCTCTGCGACCGCGGCATCTCCTTTGCGGCGACCACCAGCGACGGCCGCCATGTCGCGGGCAGCCCGACCCTGAAGTGGCGCTTCGACCCTGCAGCATCAGACCCGGAGCAGACCAAGGCCTTCGCCCTGCTCCCGCGTGCGCAGCACGTCCTCATCACGTTCCCGCTCAAGGGCAAAGGGCAGAGCGCGCTACTTACCAAAGCTTATGCAGAGACGCATGGAGGCGAGGGTAGGACGTTCCGGTTCATCCAGCTCGGCAGCACGGGGATCTGGCAGTCCGACTCGCGGACGCCGCCGTGGCTGGACAGGCGCAGCCCTTACAAGGCCGACGGCCAGCGTGCCGTGGCGGAGGACGAGCTGCTCGGGCTCGGGGGCTGCGTCCTTGACCTTGCTGGACTGTGGGGCGGCGAGAGGGACGTGAAGCACTGGGTTGACAGGGTGGCCACGACCAAGGAGGCCGTGAGGGCCAAGACCAGCCTGCACATGGTTCACGGCGTGGATGTTGCACGGGTCATCGGCGCAGTGGTCCAGGCAGGAGGGAAAGGCACTGCAGAAGGAGGTGAGGGTGGTGGGTGGGACAGCGTGGGGAAGGGACAGAGGTGGATGGTGACTGATGGGTTTGTCTACGACTGGTGGAGTCTGTTTGCGTCTTGGTCGAGCATCGGTGAGAATAGCTCGGAGCCCATCAAGCAGGCGAAATGGGTCTACGAGCTGATGCGCGAGGACGGCGTGAGGGCTCTGCCGCGGTCGATGGAGGCGCTGGGCCGCTGTTACGATTCGAGGGAGTTGTGGGAGACGCTGGGAATCACGCCCTTGAAGGCAGGTCTGGGCTTGTAGGTCTTACGATGCTGGATGCAAGGTCACATCATCCACTACACAAGCTAGGAGGCTCTTGTAGGCGAGCGTCGTTGTTCTGGCGAACCCACCGGCTTGGAACGGTTCAAATGAAGGCACGATTAAAGACTTTACATGCACATCGTAGTGATTGGGTCATTTGCAAGTATCTGGTTGCTACTGAAGCTGCTCAAGACGGTCTCTCACAACGGGCTAGCCCTCCCATGATGATCGGCCGGGATGGTCTCAGTTGTTTTCTGAGCCTCAGCACTCTGACCCCAACCAACCTCCTCAGAGAACCAGACTCAAGCCCCTGCCCCTGAACGAACATGCATGCGGCGGTAAACAATAAGAGGACATCCGACAGAAACGGCCGGCCGTGCACCGCTTGTTCACAATGGCAGGCCGCTTGCCCAAAGTCCATGACGTGTGTATCGACCCTAGCAAGCGGCACCACCTTGCTACAGTAACGTCCACCTGATGGCGGGGCCATGTGCACAACCAACTCAGAAGCATACAGCCCATAGTGCAGAACAATATTGTTGTGTAACCGTCAACGTCATTGACAAAGAGATCTTATTGGCACATAGCAGTTCCCACAGGCATACTATCTCGACGGGCAGGTATTGGTTGACACTGCACTAGCCGCATCCCAGAGTGTATCATCATACACTACCTACCCTGTCCGAATTGACTGCACACCCACCGGCCGCCGCCACGCCCAATTCTCCCCAGTCTCGAGGCGCATCATCGACCACACGGACGCCGTAGCCGAGGAGCGTTACCTCCTATCTCGTCTCAACCGTCCAGTCTCGATGCTTCCCGCCCCCCAGCCCCGGAATTCCCTGTCCCCTCTCGAGGCTTCCGGCCCCGAGTGACGTCCCGGTATAGGAAGCGGGTGTGTGGCACATATCCGTGCTCGTTCTTGGCTGCAAAAGGAAGACGAAATTTACAGTTTTCCTCTCCCCTGGCCTCCCTCTTCCTTTCTTGTCCCCTTGTTACCCCGTCAAAACCGCCAAAGTGGCTTCCTCACCCTGGTCCCCTGGCGACGAGGCCGCCGCCCCTTTGCTCGACATGGAGAACCACCCCCCACGCACCAGCGGCACGTTCGACCACAAACCCGGCTACGAGCAGTATGACCCCGAGGAGGAGGACGAGGAGTACGACGACTCCCCCGACGTCGAGGGCAGGAGGCCCGCGAACCGCCGCCGGTGGACGCCCAGCTCGCCGTCGCACGTCCTCTCCTCGGACCCGGACCTCGAGGGCCTGAGCCTGTACGACAAGAAGTGCGTGCTCATCAACCGCGAGATCGACGCCATGGGCATGGGCAGGTACCAGTGGATGATCTGGGGCCTCTGCGGCTTCGGCTACCTGCTGGACCTGCTGTGGGCCCAGGCCTTCGGGCTCGCCCTCAGCCCGCTGCAGCAGGAGCTCGGCTTCGGGAACGACCAGTCTGGTAACATCTCGACGGCCTTCAGCGCGGGGCTCACGGCCGGGGCGTTCTTCTGGGGCGCGCTGAGTGATGTGGTTGGTATGTTTGGCTCGCCGTCCGGCCTCTCTGTCTCCCTGCGGGACAACAGCATTATATGCGTAGAGTAGAATCTCCCGAACGATGCTGATGCCTATGTGAGGTTAGGTCGCAAGTGGGCCTTCAACCTGACGTGCCTCTTCTCGTCCGTGTTTGGCCTGTGCCTCGGCGCGTCAGGAAACTACACGACGTTCCTGGTCCTCACGGCCTTCGTCGGCTTCGGCGTGGGCGGCAACATCCCGATCGACACGACCATCACGCTCGAGTTCATCCCGCAGAACAAGCGCTTCCTCCTGGCCACCCTCTCCATCTTCCAGCCGATCGGCGTGGTCCTCTGCAGCGCCATCGCCTTCGGCTTCATCCCCACCATGTCGTGCTCGCCCAACTTCTCCGAGGCCAACCCCCTGCCGAGCTGCAACGACCCGGGCCGGGAGGCCGGCGCGCCGTGCTGCGGCCGGGACAACAACATGGGCTGGCGGTACCTCCTCTTCACGCTGGGGGGCATCACCCTGGCCGTCTTCTTCCTGCGCTGCTTCGTCTTCCGCTTCCGCGAGAGCCCCAAGTTCCTCGTGTACAAGGGCCAGGACGAGGAGGCCATCAAGGTCGTGCACCACATCGCCAACACCAACGGCGCCGTCTGCCGCCTGAGCCTGGAGCACTTCGAGGCCCTGAGCGGCGGCGACGCGGGCTCGAACCCCCGCAGGGCGCAGAACGCACACGGCGGCAGCGGCGGCCGCCCGGGGCTCAGGACGCGGATGAGCAGCACGCTTGGGCGGACGGTCAGCGGGACGGTCACGACTATCAAGCGGATGAAGCCGAGCCGGAAGAAGGTGGCGGACCAGAAGAACCGGTACATGATGCTGTTCTCGAGCTTCACGATGGCGAGGCTGACGATATTGGTCTGGTTGACTTATATCTTTGACTTCTGGGGGTTCACTGTGGCCGGTAAGCATAACCCACTCCTCTCCTCTTGCCTGTTTCCTTTCTGGCTGATACTCACGGGATGACAAGGCTTCTATCTCCCGCGTATCCTAGCCATCAAGAACGGCGCCGCGTCAGAGGGCAACTCCCTCTCCTTCACCTACGCCTCCTACATCTACACCTACGCCCCCGGCGCGGTGGGCGTGCTCCTGGGGTCCCTCATGTACCGGCTCCCGTCCTTCGGGCGCAAGTGGACCATGACCATCTCCTCGGGCCTGATGGGCGCATCGATCCTGCTCTTCAGCATCGTCGACACGGTGCCCAAGAACCTGGGCATGTTCACCATGGAGTACTTCTTCCAGAGCATGTTCAACGCCGTGCTCTACGGCTGGACCCCGGAGGCTTTTCCCGCGCCCGTCCGCGGCACCGCCTGCGGCCTCGCCAGCTTCTGGGGCCGCCTGTTCGGCATCGTCAGCCCCCTCATCGCGCAGCACCTCTACGGGAGCAGCACCTCCGGCGGCGGGACGGGGGACATAAATGCCGTGCTGTACCTCGCCGGGGGCGTCACGCTGGGGTGTGTGGTGACCACAGCATTGTTGCCCAACAAGGCTCTGCAGTCGAGCGACGGCAGATCATAGCATCATGCTGGGGCGTCTCGTAGAGGATTGAATACCCACGCGATTAAACCAAGGGATACATGTAGAGAGTGAGACATCTATATTATGTATGCATTATTATAGATAAACGGGGGCACATAGGAGCCCGAATCGTATATGACAGCTGCAACGCGGCTAAAAAGAATCGTACATGTAGTGCGCTGGACGGTGCGCCAAGTTGCTTTTTTCCTACACGGTCCGAGTCATGGGGGCTCTGAAGGTGTGGGGGTGTCCCAGGGGAGGACTATTCGAGGTGGTCGGCCCGGTAAGCAGCATCTCGGGCTATGGAACGAAGGATCTGACAGCTTCCCAACGTCCGTGGACGATCCGAGTCATCAACATTGCAGTGGTTATGGGTGACCAATAGTATCGTCAAGTAATCTACGACAGTCCACGGTCGTGCATCATTGAGAGATCCTGTCTTCCAGGTGCTCACTGGTGCCTGGTTGCATCGAGGGGCATTCGGTTGTTGCAGTACACAGCGTGCGTTCTGCTGTCTACCAAGACACTATTTTACAATTTGTTGACACAAAGCGAATAGACTCAACTGCCCGTGTAAAAAAGATCGTTGACTGTGACTCTGGTCGTCGAAATCGACCACGCGTGCCTCCCCCAGAAAGCCCCAGGTCTGTGCCGAACTGCCAAGTGGAATATTCAAGCCTGCAGAAACTTCTTCTCATGACCAATCAATGACGACACATGCCCCGAGCAAACGTTCTCCCACCTTCCCATCATTTGGTATGATTGTCGAGAAAACTCCAACACCAAACCCCAAAAAACGCCGTCGGAAGCCATTGCTGCACTCGAATGCAAAGTGATTTTGAGTAACCATTCTCCTCCTGTTGTCACCGGCTGATATCCGTTTAAGCGGTGGCGGCTGCCGGAGCAGATGCGCCGTCGACCTCAGGAATCTTCAGGCCAGTGCCGCCGAGGTTGGTCTGCTTGACGTTGGGGTTCTTGGTGTAGTAGTCGGAGATGGCGGCCTTGATGCCGTCCTCGGCAAGCATGCTGCAGTGCAGCTTGACAGGCGGCAGACAGAGCTCCTTAGCAATGTCTGTGTTCTTGATCTGCGATGCCTTGTCGAGCGACATGCCGCGGACGAGCTCGGTGAGATAAGAAGACGATGCGATGGCACTTCCGCAGCCGAAGGTCTTGAACTTGACGTCGGAAATTGTGTTTGAATTTGGGTCGACGCGGCTGGTACGTGGTTAGTCAGTTGTTATATCGAAGGCTAAACGTGCATATATAGATATCACAGCGAGGGGACAGGTGCAGAAATGAGGTGGATTGATGTGGAATGATGCAGGAGTGACGTGGATGTAGACTTACATCTGGATCTTCATGACATCGCCGCAAGCTGGTGCTCCGACGAGGCCGGTGCCGACGTCGACATCGTTCTTGCTCAAAGAACCGACGTTCCGTGGCCGGGAGTAGTGGTCGATGACCTTCTCGTGATAAGCGTGTAGCGCCGACAGCAACCGTCGGTGCGAGCTGCCTAGGGACGCTGGCGATGGCCGGTCGGATGGGCGTGGCGAGTGCTCGCCTCGAGGCGACTCTGAGTCCTCGTGAAAACATCTTGATATTGGGGGTTTATTCGCCGGTTATCGATTGAAAATGGATGAATCAATCAATAGAGAGTTCGCAGCGTTCTTGTGATGTCTTAGGTGTGAGTTGTAGGTGTTGGTGCGTCTGGGGCGGGGTGGTGTTGGTTTGGTTCAAGTGTGTGTGCGAGAGAGAAGGGACGGGAGCTTCGAAAGAAAGTCAAGTGCTGGAGCACGGTCTGTGACGCTGAATATTTGACGTGCAGTCGCCCCCCCCGTTCCCAGCAAAATGATGTCGGGGTACGGGCTAAGCGGCCAATCAGATGCGGATAGGCCTGCTTAAGTAACAATGATTTCACGGCGATCTCGGAGAATCGGTTTTTGGGAGTGGGCCCAGCTGGGGGCGGTTGCAGGACTTATCTGGCTCGATCTTATCAATCACTTCCATTTAATTTGGAATTGAAGCCCGCCCCGGCCCAAAGCAGTCAAGGCTGTCGAATCTCCGAGCTTCTTTTTTATGGGTTTCCGAGACCGAGGTGCGTCAGCAGTAACGCCGAACTCTGCCTAGGCCTGTTTGCAATTCTTGTCACCTGTCCATGCAAACGGGAATAAAGTCATCATGTGCAGCACTTGAAAGCCTGCCAAAAAAGATACGAAAAATGTGCATACACTCCTGCGTGAGCAGACAGATTGTACAAGTACCAGAAAGCCCAGGCCAACCTCTCGGTGACTGAATTGCTGCCAGTGACTAGTTGACCGACCGGCAATCATCAAATGTATCATGACCGCTTGTCGTTGCGCTGGCACCTGCACCCCACAGTAATCCCGGCCGGATCTTCCCAAGACTGCAGGCTCGTTTCGCCGGGCTGTTGCGGGCTTGCCGGCCTCTGCCAGTTGCTCAGCTCAGCTGCAAGGGCGGTGAGTGGGGCGGGTCGGTCACTAAACGCGGGGTGAAGTCGCGTTCCATTTTGCCCCTCGGCAGCCTGGAGCTGCAGCTCTCACAGCGAGCGGCCTTCGGCGCGCAGCTCGACGTAATCCCAGACACATCAGCCTTTCCATCTCTCAACCTCCGTTTGGACCTGAGTTGTTCTTTCCGCCCAATCGTGACCCTGACTTTGGACACTTACCATTCTGGTCAGCCGTTCCTTTCTAGCAAAATAATTAAAAATGGCGTGTCCACACGTCGACTCTCTCAGTGAGGCAATGTTCGGGGGAAAGGGAGAGGATCGCCCTGTTCTCGTTTGACTGACTCTCGTGAGCAGACATCTCGCCCCCGACGCCTGCCCAGTCAGTCTATCGCGAGGACTGCACCCAGTGCTTTGACTCTATTGTGAGGATCATCTTTTGTTCAAGACCATTCCACTTCTTGCATGACCTGATCCTGACCCCATTCCTGCTAGGACGACGCCGACGGCCTCAATGTCTGCCTCCAGTGTTTCAACGGCGGTTGCGCCGGCGACCGACAGCACTCCGCCCTCCACAGCGCCCTCCGATCCCACCCCCTCGTGCTGAATATCAAGCGGACTCGCAAGGCTGTCACTAGGGATGAGCCGCCCCAGAAGATCACGAAGCTCGCCATCTCCGCTGAGAAGGAGGAGGACAAGTACGACACCGCCCTGAACGTAAAGTGTCTCGAATGCAATACCCTCATCGACTACACCCATCCCAAGCTCGCCCCTGTGGTCGACGGAATATTGACGTCCAACACCTTCTCGCGGAAAGAGGAGATCAAGGCCTGGGAGCAAGAGCTTACCAGCTGCGAACACATCCTGCTGATGCAGCAGGACGAGCCCCGCAAGATTGCCTCCCAGGACCTCGGTGGCTGCGCAAAGTGTGACCTTAAGGAAAACTTGTGGTTGTGTCTGCAATGCGGCGCTCTTGGTTGTGGTCGTGCCCAGTTCGGTGGCGTTGGTGGCCATTCCCATGCACTGGCGCATTCCAAAGAGTCGGGACATGGTGTTGCTGTCAAACTCGGTTCGATCAGCGCCGAAGGCACAGCCGATATATACTGTTACGCTTGCGATGATGAGCGTGTCGACGAGAACTTGGCCACACACCTCGCGAATTGGGGCATCAATATTGCCGAGAGACAAAAGACGGAGAAGAGTCTGACGGAGATGCAAATCGAGCAGAACATGAAGTGGGACTTTACGACGACACAAGATGGCCAGGAGCTGAAACCCCTGTTTGGTCCTGGTTTGACGGGTCTGAAGAATCTGGGCAACAGCTGCTACCTCGCCAGCGTACTGCAGTGTCTCTTTGACTTGGCCCCCTTTCAGAAGCGGTATTTCGAGGGCAACAACGACCTACCCATCGTCGAGGATCCCGCTCAAGACCTCGAGACACAGCTGCGGAAGCTGGCAGATGGCCTGCTTTCCGGCCGTTATTCCAAGCCTGATCCTGATGCAGTTGCTTCGCCAGGCGAGAACTCGACGGAGGTTCACCAGAAGGGATTGTCACCCGCCATGTTCAAGCACCTCATCGGCCGTGGGCACGAAGAGTTCTCCACCATGCGACAACAAGACGCCTTTGAACTCTTCCAACATCTCTTTAAGCTAATTACACGTGCTCGACATCCATCTCCTGCCGCCGACCCTACTCGGCCTTTCCGCTTCGTTCTGGAACAGCGTCTACAGTGTCTCAGTTGCAAGAAGGTTCGATACTCGACGACAGAGCAGGAAAACATCACAATCATCCTGCCAGTGGAAAAAGAGCCCCAGAAAGAAGGCGAAGAGGGCCCTGCACCATGGAAGCCCGTGACCTTTACCCAGTGTCTGGATGACTTCACTGTCGACGAGGTCGTGGAGCTGACCTGCTCTTCCTGTGCCTCGAAAGAGGGCTATACCAAGCGGACGCTGTTTAAGACTTTCCCGGAGATTCTTGCTGTTAACGCGCGAAGGATGGCCATCGTCAACTGGGTGGAGGTGAAAGTTGACGTTCCTGTCACTGTCCCGGATGAGCCATTCACCTTGGACAAATACCTCTCTAAAGGCCAACAACCAGATGAAGAATCTCTTCCAGAGGAAGAGGCTCCAGCCGGCGCTTCCGCCTTCGTACCCAACGAGACAGGCTTGGCCCAGCTAGAGGCAATGGGATTCCCCCGTGTGCGCTGTGAGAAAGCATTGCACGCGACAGGTAACAGTGACGCAAATGCTGCGATGGAGTGGCTGTTCGCACACATGGAAGACCCTGATATCGATACACCTTTGGACTTGGGTGCCACTGGTGGTGCAGGCGCAGGCGCAGGACCAAGCCCAGAGCAGATCGAGATGCTTACCTCCATGGGCTTCGATGTGCCCAAGGCCAAGAAAGCACTCAAAGAAACCGGTGGCGACATGGAGCGGGCTGTCGAGTGGCTGTTCAGCCATCCAGATGACCCTGGCTCTCTCGATGACGACGAGGGTGCTGCGGCCGCGCAAGTGCTGGCTCTGACGAGCCCGCCGGCAGTGCTACGCTGCCCGCGGTGTTCCAATTGCAGAGTATTGTGTGCCACAAGGGCACGAGCATTCATGCTGGGTAAGTGGTCTTGACCCAGCAGTTCATATACCATAATTGTGATAATCAATTCTGACTCTGGCTGATGCTGAACGCTAGACACTATGTGGCCTTCATTCGCAAGCAGCTCGACACGCCCTGTTGGGTTTTGTTCAACGATGAGAAGGTTGTTCAGGCGATCGACATCGACGAGATGCGCAAGTTTGGGTACGCGTACTTCTTCAAGCGTGTGCAAAATTGAGCATGTGTGAACGGAAGCATGGGCTGCCTTCCGCCAAGGAATGGGAACCTCACGGCGTTGTGCGGGTATTGGTGTGTTGGTGCCGAGGAAGCATTAGAGCTAGAAGACATTTCATGACGGCACGTGCGGAATGATGCATCTGAATGGTACGGGGAAAAGCAAAAGCGTCCTCATGGTGATCAAGAGAATCGGAAACGGCATTTGGTATTACAGGAAAAACAGTCTTGCCCGCCCCCGACACCAATTATCTAAACTCCATATCGCCGTTTTGCGTGAATATATGCCATCAAAGCAGAGCAGCCCTGCAGGATCATCATGTCCGTGAACCCATGCCTCTCGCTCCTCCGCGGAAGCCCATCGTCGTAAAATCATCGAATCAAACATCGCGCCCTCTCTGTCACCCAGCCACCGACAAGAGAGCGGAGGGTGACCGCAGAGACCTCATCATGCGGCGTCCCTTCACCACCTCTCACAGGAACCGTGGGCACACCTCCCGGAACCTGAGAGTTATCACCCAGGCTACCAGTCCTTCTGCTTGTAGCTGACCAGCGTCTCGATCCTGTGGCTGTTGGTGCTGAACCCGCGCAGCTGGACCCTCTCGCCGCCCTCGATCTCCTTGGCGTCGCTGTCGCCCCACTCAACGGGGACCTCGCTGTCGGCGTCGGCGTACACGAGCACGTTGAAGGTGCACTCGCCCGCGTCCAGCTGCGGCAGGAACGTCACCGACGCCGTGATCTGCCGGAAGATGGCGGCGATCTCCTGCTGGATCTCCTGCTCCGTCTTGTTGTCCGGCGGTGCTGCTGCCCCCGGGCCGTCTGCGTTTTCTTGATTCGCGGCTGTTGTTGTTGATGATGATGATGATGTTTCTGTTGCCATCTTGCCGTTCGTCTGTGCGTCTTTTGACCTGGATGATTTTGAGGATTTTGAGGACTTTGCCGGGGCGAAGATCTGCACGTCGAACTGCCACCGCTCCAGATGCTCGCCCGTGTCCTTGTTCGTGATGACGATCACCAGCTTGGAGATCTTGCCGCCCACCATCCACTTGTCGAGCTGCGACATGATCTTCTTGATGTACGCCTTGACCTGGTCGTCGGCCGAGACCAGCATGTTGAGGCCATACTTCTTGACGACGGTGAAGTCCTCGGCCGGGTAGACGCCGCGCTGGTAGAGGATCGAGTGGATCGAGTATTGGAACTGTGGGCGGAGCAGCTGTTAGCCAATTGTTCCCGCGCGTACAGATTGTGGCCGACGGCATGTGCGAGGGTTGACAAGAGTTTGCTTAAGAGGGAGACGACTTGGCAGTGGGTTGAGGGTCGAACGTACGAACTCGGCGACGAGCCGGGCGCTGCCCTTGAGCGACAGCTTGTGCACCTTGGAGGTGTCCTTCTCCTTCTTGCTGGGCTTCTCTGAGGTCGCCATTGTGGTGGTCCGCGTAGGGCGCGAGAAAATACTGGGATCGTAAAGTTCACGCGTGACGTGTCGGCAATTTGTTCAGGGTGTGATGCGAGGACCTTGCAGGCTTGGAATGAAGTTCTGGAAGCTGGCTGGCGGATTGTTTTGTTCGGCTGGCGGTTGCCGTGCCAGCAGGGTCCTGAAAACGTGGTGCAGGGGTGGTGTGGATTTGCGGCAACCGGGGTTCGAAGATGTCTGTCTACTCAGCAGACGTCCCCAAATCCTATTGCCATTACGGAGTAGGATACAGACAGACAGGCAGGTCTTTTAAAAGTCTTGCATCATTCCACAATCAGGTGCGAGCAATTGAATTATTTTGTTACAAATCGTTGAACATCAAGATGCAACACTGCAGTTAGCAAGTGGTCAACAATATGATGGAGGCGGGCCTTCGAGCCGCTCCCCACAATCCACGAGACCACCGATCACTGCCAGCTTTTGCTCATCTTAGAAGTCATACGTGTACACCCTCCTCTTCTCTGGTCAATGCCATGCGAGAATTTGCCCCACTTTAACTTCAAAAAGCTCTTTCATGCTCGGCCGTTCGAGCGAGAGTCTGAATCTCTGATCTCAGAATAAGGAACGGCGGGGCCAGAGCTCCGTATCCTTAGGCACAACATACCTAGCCAAACTTCTACATCAAGTCCTCTGCTTTACTTGAGTTTGTGGGTCTAAGTCCTTGGCCACAGCCAAGCTCCAAAGAAGCATTAAGTGAAGTTGGTTGACGAGTCGAGGTCCGTAGACCTACCATCGGGGACATGCCAATTAATACACATCACGCTTGAGGATGATAATGGGAGCTTGTGTTACACATTTTGTTATTTGAGTACTTCTTCAGATCAGGCAACACTCCTTCCAGTAAGGGTAATCTTGTGCTGCCCACGACCACTGCATCTTGCCCCCTTGTCCCAGCACTCCTGACACGCATCCCAATTCCCGCCTCGACACTGTGTGCAGTGATAGCGGTCGCCTGGAATGCGGAAGTTGCAGACATCACACCAGTGATCCCACTTCCAGGCCCTCGCGTGGGAGACGGCCACCCCCTCCAGCTGTAACAGCTTCACCTGGTCGGGGATGTCGTTGACCTCGAGGTCTGCCATCTTATCCCTCCTCCCCTCTTCGATGTACCGTTCACGCCTGTCCACGAGTTTCCCAATCCTCCTCTGAATCTCGTATACCCGTGCATCGCGCCTCTCTTGTCCATATTTTCTGCCATCGTCATCTGTAGCGCTTGTTGACTGAGCAGTCTCTGTTTGGTAATCTGGTGCCTCTGGTGCCGCTTGTGTGAGTTCTGCTTCGAAGTCGAAGAGACTTTCAAATTTGTAGGCCAAAGACACAACATCCTCTTCCTCAGAGGCCTTGGATTTCTTCTCAACCTCCTCCTGCCTGTGCTCCTTTTCCATGCTTTCTTCCTTACGACGTCTCATATATTCCTCCTCCCTGATCTTCGCCTTCCTCATCTCAGAATCCAAATCCGTCAGCACGGCTGCATCGAGGCGTTGCGTCTGACGAGCCTGTTTGATCTCGTCCCTCAACACTAGTCTTTTGACTTCCTCTTCGTATCTGAGGCTGTTGGAGCTTCTGAGGGCCGAGGGCGTTAATTCCACCACCTGATGCACCTCGTGGCTGCGAGATTTCGAGACGGGTTCTCTCCAAAACGGGGTCTCCCCGCGGACCAAATATCGTGCATACGCCTTGATCTCCTCTTGGAAAGCTTCTATGTCCTCGTCGGCGATGCCCTCGCCTTGTAGTGACCTGCCAATTTCTTGCCAAACGACTACATCTTTTCTCTTGGAATGTGCATGCGACCCACTCCAAGGCGCCCCAGTAGCGGAGAAATCCAGGCCTTTTGAACCATCCGGGACAGGCCCTTGGTGGGCTGCTTGTGACCCGTTCTTGATCAGAAACTCCAGTCTCGCAAGCGATCCATGGCTCAAGGTCGTCAAGAATATGTTGATGCTCGCCGTGTGGATGGCCAGCTTCTCCCGCGGTCCCCGCTTGTCCTTGGCCGCGAACTTCATCCATGCCACGAAGTCCTTCTTCTTGTCGGCGCCCCAGCCGCTATACTTGCCGACGACGCCCTGCAGTTCCTTCATGCTCTCGGTGCAGTTGTGCAGCAGGAGGCGCATCTGGTTCTGCCGCTCCATGCTCGCCGTCTTGATCAGTGGCATCGGCCCCTTAGCCTCGGCCTCGAGGGCCTGCAGGACCGACGTGAGGCTGGCGAGGTCGAGGCGCAGGCCCTCGAAATCTGAGCCCGCAGACTTGAGGGCGTTGATGGTCTTCCATGCTACCTCCGAGCAGGCGATTATATCGCCGATTCCGAAGCCGAAGGACATGTTTCAATACGAAATGCGCAGGGTGAGGGGTGCTCGCTAGAACATAGGAAAACGCCGGGAGAGATTTCTGACCTCCACTACGATGTTTTGAGTGGAGCGAATCAGAAGTTCTGCGGCGCTCGATAGTAGATGGAGCTGAAGTAGCTCACCCGCATTAGTTAGCTTTGTTGATCTGCGGCTGATGCTGGGATAGACTAAGTAGGTGAGACGACAGGGGGCACCGCGGCTTAGCTCCGCGTTTGTTGATACAAGAGTCATCAGTAACAATCTTCTAATTTTCTTCTTGAAACGAAGGCAGGCGTTTATATGCAGGTCGCATGTCGGGAAGCGTGGAGATTGCGGCTTTCTTGGTAGGTTTCGTTAAATTATTGTCAGATCAAGATCCTGTGTTATCATGCTGCGGTAACTCTTATGAATTTTCACATGGGAGGTATAGAATGGCCATGAGCATGCACTAATCACATCACATCACTCCTTCGAAAAGCGACCAGTATGCTGCATCCACGCCCTGGAGAGCCCAGTCCCCTCCGTCGGCGGTAAGGTCAGGCTCCGCGCTCAGGTCTGCCCCCGAGCCGAACGGCGCCTGGTCATCATAAGGCGCAAGGGAGAGGAACTCGTCGTCGAACAAGAACGCCGCGTCGAATGAGCCAAAAGCCGGCGACTTGTGCTGGCCTTGCGGGTGTGTGGGACCGAGCTCTGCTGTGGCGGACTGCTGATGTTGCCAGGTGCTTTCCGGGTTGTTGTTGCTGTTGGCCATCTTGATGTTGATCGATCCAAGATACGGAACGTTGAAGTTCATTTCCTTCCTGTCCCGTGCCTGCAATTTTCCGGCCGCCTTTTCGATTATGGGTGCCAGCCGCTCGATGATACCCACCGCCTCCTTGCTCAGGCTGTCCTCGGTCAGGCCTGCCACGTGCTCCATCCTCCTTCTTGTCGATTCTACCAACTCTCGGTCGTTTCTGGTCCGGTCCCAAACCTCCCACTTCCTCCTGCCCAGGTACGACAGGCATAGTGTCATGGCCGCTATGAGCGCTGCGTAATCAACCCTCCGACAGCTGTAGGCCGAAACATTGTGGTTCCGAAAGGAGATGAATCGGCTGAGCAGCTCTCGGGCAGCGGTCAGGCATTGGCTCTTGGAGTGGTCATAACGTGACGAGCATGGCTCATGGAGCATGTACGGAACATGGAGCACGATGAGGAGCGTAAAGTGGTGCATCTGACAGATGATCCTCTCTGTGGCCTCCCAGAGAGTGTTCAGAGGAGCGAAAGGGTCAAGCTTGGGTTCGTCCCACCAGCCAAAAGGCATGTTCTTGGCGGCTGCTTCGAGGTCCAGATCTATCTCTTGGGTGAGGGCATATTCACGGGATGCGGTATTCTGCGTGGCGCAACGTTTTTTGCGACGCTGGATATGGTTGCGGTCGAGGATCTTGGCCGAAAAGACCGTATGTGCCCTCTCGAGACGCTCGACTGCTGTTCCGCGAGGGCCCTCCAACTCGTAGACACTTTGATCATCTTGGCTGCAGACCGGAAGACCCAGCAGGAGGGACAGGTATCTATCGGAAAAGAGAAGGCGGTGCCACAGCGTCGCGGCTGAAGGTCTCCGCGTGGGGTCGCTTTTGGGATCGCACGACCGGAAGGCTGCAGAGTGACCACGGTCTATACCCATGATCTGTGCCGTGTTAATGGCCCGCCGGAACGTTATCCAGGCCTTACGAAGGCTGCCGGCGTTGACCTGATAGTACCCATGAAGAATCAGGCACTCGACTCCCTCAGCATAACCAACCAGCTCGTCGTTTGAGGTGGCAAGCATGCAGGTTGTGTCCAATCGGCGCATGGCCTCTGCCTGAGAGATCCCTATTCCCAGAGCGTCCCAGTCAAAGGCGGGCGGTAATTGCTGAATGCAGATGAGACTCTGCAGTGCCCTCCTGGCGAGAATAAGCGGGTGTGAGGAGATGGGCGGCACCACAGCCCAGGAGGATGCAGGCTCGACCTTGCCAGCTCGCCGCTCAGCGTCGCTATAACATAGGGCTGCGATATACGGAGCACCGGGGCTGGCTGAAACGATCGCCTGGAGAACACCCGGCTTCGGGATGACGGAACGCACCGTGGTGCAAACCCAGAAGTGCTTCGGTGACGGCATTTCTCGGCCTGAGCGTGTCTGCGGTTCTGTGCTGTCCTCCTTCGGGGTGGAAACGACCGGGACGGTGGAGGCGGCAGACTCGGCGGAAGTCAGAACTGGCGTCGCAAGTGGTGCTGATTCCGAGGCCCCACCAACATCATGCTGCATTGCCAACAATGCAGCAATAGGTCCATCGCGGGCGTGAGAAGCTTCGAGGCCGTCAGGTGACGAGACGTGGCCCGCTCGAGCATGACTTTCGCCGGCCGAAGCAGAGCGACTGCGCCTGCTGTGCGCCTGCTGGCTTGAACTGGGTCCTCGGTCGGGCACATCGTCGGGCACGATCTTGTTCACGATCCGTTCCATCATCTGCTCAAGACGATCAAGCCTCTTTGCCAATGGTGGTTCGGGCTTCTGTCCCGGCTCTGGACCACTGCTGTCGTCAAACTCCTGGCTTCGACAAGCTGTCTCCCGCTGCTTGCAGCCGACGCATACTGCGTCATCCGGGCCATCGAACTGGCATTTGATTTTTCGTTTCCTGCCTGAGACTTGTCAGAAACTCTACAGACGCCTTGATTTGGGGTTTTCTGTCAATGCTTCTGCGGTATAGGGTTGAAATACGCCGGCACCCTTAGATGCACCGCGACTTATAGGCTGCCGGGAAAGGACATTGTCTGGCAGCAAGGGGAGGAGAAAAGCTCACATTCCCAGCACGACTTTGTGCCCTTTCTGATCTTTCTTCGCTTAAAAGGCGGTTCCGAACGCTCAATACTGTGACGCTCCGCCATCAGCAAGACTTAATTCCCTGAGATGGCTCACTTCTTTGCCCCATAAGTTCGGCCGAGCGCCGGACGAACCCTCGATTTGGTGACCCCTGTAGGAGAGGAACAAAGTTCGTATGAAAGGGAGCCAAATTTCTCAGGTCATGAAGTCGCTCTCACGGTTTGAGGCCTGGTGGAAATCGACATTTGAAAAAGAAGATTATGCAGCAAGTAAGAGTTGCTGATGAACGTTGGTCAGCTCAGTCGAGTGAGGTCTCGGGTGATGTCTCGGGCGGCAAGCGATTCGTCAGTTCGTCCGTCCATCGGCCGAATGGGCCGAGCATCGCATTTCAGTTGCACCCTGGTTCCAATCAAGACCTCTATCTCGCTTATAGTGATGTCCAGTACAGGCTAGGATAAGATAATTAATTTGCCACATGTAAGCTTGACTGCGTAGCATTATTAGCGATATTGGATCGGTCGTCCGTGGACAGGTCGGTCAAGAGCCTCTTTACGACACCGACAAGTGGTGGCCAAAGTGGGCATATCCCCAGCCAAGATTGCCGCGATCATCGACTCGGTGAGTGCTTGAGGAACAAACCATTGACGTCGAGCCTTTTCAAGCAAATACCTTGATGATAGATACTTGTCTCTCAAGCGTATCGATGTGCTTTTTATTAGCAAGCTTCAGTGTTGTGAACCTCTGCCGGTCCACCAAAGGCTCGCCTACACTTGCGTGCATGTCTCGGGCTGACCACAGAGGATGTAAGAGGCCACTCAATAGTCCTCGACTAGCTGCCGATGGATGTGCGCCCGAGCGAGATGCTCGACGCCTCCGAGACGGCCATGCCAGAAGTACCGCAGAGCAAAATAAAAAACAGCCTGCCCGGAGTCGAATCAAGGCGCTGAGGGGAATGTGTCGGCAGAGTGGTCCCAAGCCCCGCCAGGGTGGAGGATGCGGCGTTTCAACTGGGTACCCATAGAGACAGCAGTGTGAGAGCAGGCGGGCATCAAGAGCCAGGGTATCAGAAGCCAGGCAGGATCTCCACGATGATTCGGACTGGCGGTCACGAAGCACGTGGCAACGCGGCTGGCACGACTGCGTGTGCTGGTCGTGTCCCGGTACACAAGGACATGGCGGCTGGTAGCGAGCCGGATGCTGGCAGCCAGACAGCCTAGACAGCATGATCGGGCCCGAGCTCTGCAGCTGGGTTCTCCACGAGTTTCGGGGATGAAATCCCTTCCCGACATGGTGGGGTTGTTGTTGTCTGATCATGATCATGGCCTTGCCTAGTGGGAATTCTAGACAAAGACGAAATGCTGCAGAGAAGTCTGGTCTTGTTTCTTCGCCTTTCTCTTTATTTCTCTCTACCTCTCGCTCTCTTCTCAGCCCTTGCTGAAGAGAGCATGTGCAACGTTTTCATCCACCTCGGTCACCATCTCCATGTCGTGGCAGGCTGTTGTGGTCTCCAGTTGCATGTGGGTTCCACGAGACAACTCTGTTTTGTCGGGACACCAGGGCCCAAGGTGGAACCTGAGACTGAGTTGAAGCTGGAAAACAACAGCTGAGCCCGCAGCAAACTGGGGGCCGGGTGAGGTGTTCTGGACCTCTGGAGGCCGTCTACATTAGTGTAGACTTGTCTAGTCAAAGTGAAGATATCCACCGCGGGATGGGCATATTCGATTCGATGTCGAGGCCTCACCCAATAGTCCATTTCGTCGAGTCCCAACAAGCTGCAGCGCCAACAAGGATGCTCCTCCCTGGTTCCCCACCAGGATATGCCGTCATCTGACGACGAACTGGGATCAGCTGGTGAAGGATTGTTTACAATAGCAACTGTAGCTGGGGGCTCCTTGAATGTCGCGTCCCTGGGCCTGGACAGACGAGATGAGGGCTAAGGATCGGGAAATCAATATCAATTAATCCCACGTGTTATTCCTTGGCACAAAGCCTTCACGCGTCGACTGAGTTTTGCCGTCTCATTCTGCCCTGGGAGAAGAAGAAAATTTTCTCTCGTGCAGACCATCAGCTAAAGCTATTGAATGAGCAACGGCCATGAGCAGATGAGCAATTCTCAGAGCGTGCTCGCCTGCAATGACAGCTCATCTCTGCAGCAGACCGAGCGCTTCACCGCAGGAACAACGTGGAAATTGGCTCGCATCTCCCGTCAAGCTGGGCTTGTCGTGCGTTATCTGGGGCTATCGGCAACCCCACCCGAATCAGCGGAGCGGCTGTTAGCGGAGCTACAAAAGAACTCTACGAACCCGGGTCCCCTTCCCGGGTCCCTTGCTTCCAAGGTTTGCCGTTTCTGCAGGCGGGCAGACTAACAACCTCTTTGTTGTGCCTGATTTCCTGTTCCTGTCCCGTGTGACCGCATCGCGCTGCACGCACTCGACCTGACTGGCCTGGACTCGGTCTTGGGGGGAACGACCGATCTTCAACGCCAGCGCCACTCACGGCATGTGAGCGGGCGACCAGCGTCAGTCACGGCAGTCACAAAGCGACTGTTTCCTCCTGTGACTCCATTTCCGATTTCGAACTCGTGCACATCGCGACCATCCGAGACACGACTCTCTCCTTGCTTTGACACGCAGCGCCAACCACCGCCAGCAAACTACTGCAACCGTCCCACGATCTTTCGAATAAACGAATAAACGCACCATCACGACCTCCTACAGACATGTCTTTCCCCTACTCGCAGCCACTACCTCTCTATTGCCCGCTCGACCACTTGGCACCCGCCCTTATCCTCAATCTACTCCTATCACGAGCCATCCTGTAGCAGTCCAGCCATGGCCGATCCTCACCCCGAGAGGTTGGACCTAGACACCCTGGCGGTGGCTGACAGCCAGCCTGAGACACTGCAGTGCTGCTGTGGAAATACGGACTGCGTCTACTTGAAGCACAACTGCTCTGTTCTTGACAGCGTCGAAAAGGATGTCCACACAGCTGCAAAGCTGGGCCAGGTACGTCGCCTGCAGTCATTCAGCCCCAGAGCCAAGCCGCCACAACCACCTTCCCGTCCGCCCTATTGTTGTCGCGCTTCTGAGCAACGTTGTACATGTACCGTTTCTGTCTCGCTTGTTGTTAGTGAAGCACACGGAAGGCACAGTCGTCTTCGTGGGACCCGTAAATAGCACAAGCGCAACCTGGCAGATATCTTTTACATTCCTCTTCCCATGCGCGCTCTTCCTGCTGTCCTCCTTGCAAGACACGAGCATTCCTGACTCGGTCCACCCCCTTCCAATGTCCGCGCATTTATGTCAACTTGCCCCTGGCGTAGCTGGAACGCCAGCGGCTTCCTATCACACCTGTGTTTCTGTGCTTCAAGATGCGGAACCTCGTTTGGAGGCCTATGACTTCCCAGCGCTGACATTCGCTCTGCAGGCCCTTCTCGCGCGCCACGAGGCATACATGGAATCGGCCGAGCGCGATCGATTCGAGATGCAGTCGCGCATCGAGCAACTCGAAACGGAGAAGAGGACGCTGGAAGCCGAAAACGCGAGGACGATACAGGAGAACCGCGCGCTACTTGACCAGCTCGAATCCTTCAACAACTCTGTCATCGATTCCGAGACACAAATCAGGAGCCTCGAGGCAACACTGCAGAGCTCAGAACAGGCGATCCGGAAGCTGCAAGGCGCCGAGGCGCGAGCAACTGCAATGGAAGACCAGATCGCCGATTTGGAAGCAGAGCAGGAGTCCTTGCGCAATACCCTGGTGACAACCGAGGGCGAGGCTAGATCGGCCATGCAGAGGTGGCGCAGAGCGGAAAAAGGCATCTCAGACCTGCAAGAAAAGTTGGAGAAGATAGAGAGGGAAGCCTGCGAAGAACGAGAACGTCACGCCGAGGTGCTGGCTCGAATGGAGAAGCAACGCTCTATGGAGAAGGATCTCAACACGGCCGCTGGAAGGCTCAAAGGCGCAGCCGCCGCGAAGACGATCGGCGACGGCAGCGGAGGCACAGTTGTTTCGCACTTTGTGCGCGACCTACTGCAGGACAATGCGAATTTACAGGTGGGCATGGCAGAGCTGCGCGAGTTGCTACTGAATTCGAACGACGAGATACAACACCTGCGCGAGCAGCTCATCTTCCACCAGCCCGTGGAAGACAGAGAGAACAGTGCAGCAAGCACACTGAGGGCCGAACTGGACTCCGACGAGAGAGAGCCTCAGTCACCCACGTCGCCGAAATCGCCGGAGTCTCACCAGAGATCGCGGCCAGCAGCATCGGTATCGCAGGAGTTGCACATACACCATCATTACCATGTCGCGAAGCCGGTCGAGCCCAAGAAGCCCAAGAAGAAGCGGCAAAATTTGGTCCCTAGTGTGTTTAACACACCAAGGAACTTTGCACCTTCCTCACCACCGAGCCCCGGCCTACCTCACTGGAGACTGCCGCACACACCCGGTGGGCCAGCACTCATGTCACACTCTGTCAGGGATTCGATATCCACGGCTCCATCAACGAGGTGGTCTGTTTTCTCAGAGCAGCCATCCGACTTCGCACCTTCTTCGGTTCCCAGCTCCCCGGTGTCCAATCGTCGAGGCTCCATATTCGACAGATCGGGCCATGACACATCTTATCCCACTTCGCCAGTCACGAGCATAGACCCGACGTCACCTGCATGGACCAGACACAAAAAACAGCCATCGGATGCATCCAGACGCAAGTTCTCAACTCCAAGACCCCTATTTCTGGACGGCCTTCCAGAGGACGATCAAAGTCCTGCAAGACGCCAAGGAAACAGTAATAGCTCGAGACTGAGAGAGAATTTGCCTACTATAACCACCACGTCCGAAGATGGACCTGGTCCCACGACGGGCGCATCACCTGAGGAACTGATGACCGACTCCACAGGCTCTGGTGACGCTGCGCCTAATGTGCCATTCACTCCCTACTACGACGACTGTTATAACACGAACACGCGCCCTCGCTTGCACCGCGCTGCGTCATCCGAATCTATCATGTCTCTCACTGGAGGACTTGACATACACACGCTCAAAGCCCGCCCGAGTCAACTTTCATTTCGACCCCTGGGTGCCGCAATGGCCGACACTGGACTCAGTGCCGTCACCGCCCGACCGACAATCGCCAGGGGCAGGAGTGGTAGCATGACCTTGCGGGACAAGCTTAGCAACCCGAATTTCCGCTCTGGGGACCGCTCCGCCTCAGCTTCACTCGCATTATCCTCACTTGCGAACACACCAGAAGTCCCTCAACGATCAGCATCCAGCCTCGGCTTTGGAAAGCTTGTAGGCTGGCGACCGTGGGCAAGCGCGAATAATAAGGGCCTCGACAGCGCCACGAACACGCCCACATCTGACAGAAGCAGGAGCGCGTCGCCGAACCCTGCGTCGGTATCATCGCCTGCCACGTCAGTCATTGACGTGCCTCAAGGTTCCAGCAAAGACAGTTCCAAGAAGCCGGCCCCTAAAGAGCTCGCCTTCTCGCCACGTACTTTTGGCATCAATCAGCCTGGAGCCATCCCGGGCTTCCAAGAGTACCTCGCTTATCATCAACGACGAGGACCGCAGGCCAAGGTCGTCCCCGATGTTGTTGACCACGAGGCGCTGAGGGAGATCTTGGAAGAGGAAGGCCTTTAGCTACTCCTGTGGAGCCCGATCCCAGCGCGCGTTGGGTTGGGGCCTGATATGCCCCTCTGGATGAGTGGGATCTGTGATGACCTCGTGTGATTCTCAGCCGTACTAGGCTTGTCAATTTCCTTTGTCTCTTTTCCCTTTTTGAGCGTGCATAAAAATGGGGTGTATTTCCTTTCCAGTCTGATCAGCGAAACAGAACGAACGGTGTGCATTGAATCGGAGTTTGTTTGAGTTGTCTTCATATCCGACACCTGCATTAATCCTCGTTGTTTGTGCTCCCACACGCAACCAGTGTATTACTTGGTCCAGAGCTGCTTGGCCTGAGGATCGGGTGGCCGGGCTGGATTTGCTTGTCTGTTTGATGGAAACTGTACCATTTAAATCCTGTATGAGCAGAAGGAAGTTGCTGTGAAAGGGAAACCCATGGCGGAGGGACTTTGGAGGATGTCTCAGATTGTGTTGGTGTTGCTACATGTATATCTAGACTGTCATGATACCCCCACTGCGGCAGCGGGAGGGAAGAGGCTCCTGCGCTGCGTCTGTGTAGAAGAATGTTAAGTGCTTGTCAATCCTTGCCTAAATACTTTTGGGGGCTCGGATATCCTGCTATGTTAGATCGCTAAATGTTGAGTTTGGAAAGAGTATAGCCTTGTATTTACGTACACAGTAGATTTATTGATACATAATTACAACAACGCAATTGGTAATTAAAACACGATTATGTGTTAGTGAGATGGGTAGATTCTTGAATATGGTTCAGACCAAATTTCTCGAGACATCTACGAAAAAGTGAGCAGCAACTTTGTTACCTACACACGCGCTGTGAGGAATGTTAGTTAGTTCCTGCCGTCTCTAGCCCTCTACTCGATCAGGCCGTCAAACTCACAAGAAGATCCAATCCCTTAGCTCGTCCTCGTAGCCGATGATTTCCCCATAGTCTGAGATAGTATACTTGTAACCCCAGGGCAAATCAATTGGGCTCAAGTCAGCTAGACCAGCAGCGAGACACAACATGGCAATCGACTCAGCGCATATGTAGGATTGCTCCTTGGTGAGACCGGCGAGGAGACGCCAACCACTAGTCGCTTCGTTATCACCGTAGAAATCTATCAGCCTGTATGCCTTACAGTGCATCATCTTGGAAGTGCTCGCCGCAGGAGGAGTCTATGTAATAGTAGTGGGTAGCCATATTGCTGCTGGATACGGTTAGTCTCTCACGATCAGGCAGCACAAGGGCTTGGGGTTTGCGATGAAGAAGCCGCAAGAAGCAGTGGTAGTCCCAATCAGTGGCACACAATTTTCAAAATCGTTCAGGCTGACTGGCACTTCTCTTGCTGGGCAAAACCCTTGAAAGTTTTACAACAGGCAAGTTCAGTTCACATTCGAGGTCTACTTATGCTTTCCGTGGATATGGTTGATACAAAGACATTATCTTCTGAGGAGCATATTTCACAATGTGTTTTGCAACGCGTCCGCATATAATAGGCTTTGTTTATCCCGAGCCAGGTCTTTGTTCTGGACAACGTTTTGTCCATGCACGGATCCCGCAATTCCTCCTCCTCTATTCTTTGTCTGGCTGATACTTGAAAGAAGACATGGCTGTTGGGAGGAGGTGGGGGGGGGGGTTGGAAATGCAGGTATTTGAGTCTTGTTCTGCGGTCTCAATAGATTCTGATGCTGGCATGGCACTACTGCCATGAAGACACCTTGCCCCAGGTGCTATGAGGCGATTATGTAGCACCCACTCAGGTCGCTTACAATCATCAGAGAAGCTACATGAAATGAGGCCCTGCGTACGAGCTGACGTCTCACGCCCCGAGGAAAGCTACATCAGCGGAGAAAGATACCGAAGATTTGACAGTAAGTCAATCCATGCGCAGGGAACTCTTGAGCCTCAGAAGACCCCGTGGAAGGGTAGGTACAAGCGCTGAGCCCTTATGGACAGCCATCACACTCTGATATAGCTCATTTCACGGTATCTAGGTCATGTACAACGCCATTAATGCCGTTAAAAGTTAACAGAGATGATTTCCTGCCTCAGTTCTCTGCTCATGTCATAGTCTGCGAAGGACAAAGTGACATCGGCTTTGGATCTTCCCTTCCTCGGATCGTAAGGCTGAGCGAAAGTAGTGACGTCTGCGATTCGCCTTTCCAAGGGAATCAAAGCTCTTCCTGGCATGTCCCATTTCGTTCTGGCCGTCCAAAGCCCCGCTCCCAAAAGCCACGATTGCGGGTCAAGGTCCTCGGCCTCAAATTGCTTTATCAGCACTTGCTCAAAGGCTGTCACTGGTTCCAATGTGCAGAAGGCAGGCACCAATACCGAATCCGAGAAAGCCTTTGTACCGTGCATACCAGCCTCCTCGATCTCGATGAGCTTTTGCGCCACGACTGCCGCGCTCGTACTCATCCACATGCCTTCCTGCCTCCTTGAGACTCGGAGGAGCCCCAGGGCCCGTCGTCGTAGCAAGGGGTGGCGGCAGCGGAATGCAACTAGCCACAAGGACATTATGATCCCGGGGCCGTCCAGAGACACTACTGAGGGGAGCAGTGGGTTTCTGTAGACCTCCGCCTGGATGAAGAGCGCACTCAATGCGATCATACGCTCGAAATGGGCAAGATGGTTGTCCCAGCATAATTCGTTATAACTCGACTGCGTGATTCCGGCGAGGATAATCAGATGTACCGTTGCGTGGCAGATCTTGAGGAAGAGAAGACTTGGGCTCGCCTGTTTCGCGGGCGTATGGGCACTGCTCAGAAGCTGGAGTGTCTTGTGCTCCCACTCAGCCAAGTCTGCTATGATGTCGATGTCACTCTGACCAGTAATGTCTGTGCCTGGCTGTTCCGTGTCGGCCAGGCCGGCCCCGACCCAGAGCTTCCTCATGATGCCCATCAGCAGATCCTGTGCGTGGGCAAGGCTCTTGATCTCTGGGGCTCTCCTCAGGGCATGAGCTAAGAGCTGGCTCTCTAGGTATGGATAAGGCGCCTGCGAGTCCTGGAATGTGAGCCATTGTAAATCCAGCCTTGCCAAGCTATCAGCCGCGTCGTTGATGTCCAGTTCTGAGACGGGCTTTCCCCTGGCGTCATCTGCTAGCTGACCAACGAGCTTTGTTGCTGCACGGATGTGAACCTGGCTATCGATCCACTTGCCCGTGAGATTGGAGGCTGCGGCCAACGCGATACTGAGGACTAGTATGGCGTTGATGTCGGTCATGGTGCTAGCCATCTTCAGAGCTTGGATGTAACTTGTGCTAGCTTGACTAGCCAGTTGCATCGAGCTTGATTCCAATTCTGTTGTTGCCTCATCGCCGTTGTCGATATTTCCAGCACTTTCTCCAATTACGTGTTCACTGCCGTTTGATCCGGCTTCGGGTGTGGCGAAAGAGACTTGAGAAAGTCGAGACACAACCTCCCATTTCCGCTGCAGCGCACCCAGAGCTGCGACAGCGTGCCACACTGCCGGCTCCACATGGGCAGTCTGTAGCAGGGTGCGGTCCCAGAACCCAGGCGTATCGCCCAAGAGATCGTGACCCGCGGTCGGGGTCACGGCTCTCACGCGGAAGCGGAAGAAGTCGAAGCAGGACACGGCGTCTCCCGGCACCTGAGGACCAGCTGCCAGGACGCGCGATGCCGGCCCGACAACATTTAGCTGGCGGACAGCGGCTGCGAGGGCGCGACGGGAAACTAAATGCCTGGGATACGGCGAGCTTGATTTGTCATTCTGATCATCTGAAGTGCTGCCCTGTTCAGCGGCTGGGGAGAGGTATCCATCGCACTGGCGCTTGGACTGTGCACATCTGGAGGCCTGTCAATCGACCAAACGATCATCTGGTCACCACGAGACGCACCTGTTGCAACTCGGCCTGGTCTCATCGCACTTCACACGACGAATTCTATCCCTCTGGTCAGCGCGGGCCCATGCGTACCTCCTCTACTACATCCGGCCTCTGGGAGGTACGCACCTGCAAGTGATACAGCCGGTTCTTGTCCGCGCTTTCGCCTTGGACTTTGCTTGACGGCTTCGACTGTCGACCATAATCCTGTCTGGGCCATGAGTTGGCATTTGATGTCCTTCCCTGACTGATGACATTTCGGAGACAGCGCTCAAGACAGACGCTAGCAGGGGGCTACCCCCTGCTAGCGAAATAGGGGTTGGCTCAGGGGGCCGTGGCTCTCAGAACCACGACGCACGTGAAATCTATCCGTGGACAAAATATTGAAAGTTTTGAGTATTATACGTGCGCGATCTGGATAAATTTCTTGCTGTTTATTTGGAAATGGCCCAACGCACGTATGGTGGAAGAAAGGCATTGTGCTCAGATACACGTCAGCATCATGGCTGCGCCTCGGAACCGCGCCACAGGAACGTTGAAAGGAAGCAGAATAGCTCTCCTAAGATGCAACACATTGGCAGCTTATCAACCCCCTGCAGGCCCCATAAAAGTTCAATGGTTTCTTTTTTCATTGTGATATTCCAGTCCTCCCAGCTAACCCAGTCCATACCTAGGCAATTGGCCGCAAGGCACAGTCTTTGTCCGACAAATGTTCTACTATCTCCACAAGCCCTTTCCTCCCAGGACATCTTATAGTACTAGCAAAATTCACGCGTGTTCCTAAACACACCATAAGATAATGCACATAATCCTCTCGTTTACTCAGAAGGCCCCGTCCTCCAAAGCCCTCGTCATCTGGTGGTTCATGTACAGCAAGTTAAACTGCGCCTCCTGCTGGTCCATATCCATAATAAAGTCCCCAAACAAGTAAAAAGGCTTTCCCGGCGGCCAGCTAGTATCTCCCTGCTGGTCAATTGTCGTGCTCTCGACATCAACTTGTAAGCTCTGTCGCTGTGCAGACTGCATCAAATGCTCAGTTCCAGCACCAGTATCCAGACTTGCTAATGCGAGAGCTGCAGGCTGGACACATGGCGATGCTGGCAACATTGAGAATTCGTCTCCGCGGACTCCTGTCTCAGGGTCCGCTCCTTAAGCTGCCGGTGCGGCGTCCGCCCTTCAGGTTGATGTAGCTGCACGCAACATCATACAGAACCTTGAAAAGTCTTAGCTCTTTCATAACACTCGTGGAGAACGAGTCAGCCGCTGTCGACTGCAAGTTCCCAATCAATCTTCCGAGGCGATCCAGGTCCTCTTCATTACGTATCTTGATAATGTGGCAGAACAGCACTATGAAGGGAACAAAGGGGGATTGGAGGATGGCCCTAAATATGTCAGCATTTAAGCGAGTATACACCGACGGTGGAACGGTCCCAGTTAATATATATCTCAAGAAACTCCTCCTCCATATTAGCAATAATATTCATGCATGCCTAATGTTCTTCTAGAGCTTGTCGGGCGCTTAACAGGCATTCGTTTCCAAAACTTGTATCTTTGCTCGATTCCACAGCTGCACCTCTGTAAATAAGACAGAACAGAGAGTATTGAATGATCCGATCAATTCAAATAAAGATCTCATGGAGCTCGTCTCCGACAGACTGCTATAGTATATCCATGTATCGCTTCTAAAACGATGTCAGCCCTAAAATGAAGACCATTCTGCAGAGAGAGCGTTATCAGCTGGGGAGGCGGCAGTGCCATACCTCTTCATGGGTTGAATTCATGACTATAGCCTCTAAGTCTGAAGTAAAACGCCTCACTCGGGAAATCCAAATAGCTCGTGATTATAACAACACGGAGGGGTTGTATAACTAATCGTAAACCAAGCCCTGCAGTCTTGCAAGCTCAATCCATTTAGGCATCCAGCCCAAGCCTACCAGGGGGAGGGGGGATTTTTGTCAACATTGCATAAGTATATCAACGGAATAGTAACATAATAGTGACATGCAATTAAGGTTTTGATATGCTTTTTTTATGTGTGTCTTGCATGACTTACACGTCACTGATATGTAGTCATTCCTGACATACTGTGACATGATGTTAACCCTTAATGATGCAGTACGGATGGGTCACGGTGAATCTGCGGTGAATTTGCCGTGAATTCACGGGCACCTGTAAATTTACGGTACTTTCACAGTAAATTTACCGTAAATATATGGTTTTACAGTGAATTTACTATATATATATTTAAATAAAGAAATTTCCCATAAATTTACCTTAAATTCACAAAGAATATTAAATTTCAAACCTTTATTTTCATTATTATAATAGCTATAATTATATACTTTAATTATATAATTACCTTATAAAAAAATTAAGTAAATTATAATTATTATTATTATAATATTATAATATTTATAAATTAAATTATAAAATTTTTAATAATTAATAAGTTAAATAAGTATTAATTTAAGCCTTTTTAAATTATTAAAAAAAATAAAGCTTATTATAAATTTATAATAAATATATTATAAATAAAATATAAATTTAATATATAATTTTCTTTTATATTTTTATTATTACTTTTTTATTTTTAATTAATATAAAAATATTAATAATTATTTTAATTATAAGTAATAATTTTTAAATAAATAAATATTTTTTTATTTATTATTTAAAGAAATATAAAGTTTATTAAATATTATAATAATATTTATTATTTAATAAATTCTTTATAATTATTATATTATTATATATAATTTATTAAAGCTATAAAATTTTTAATTTAAAGTAATTAAGAATTAAATAATAATAAAAAAAAATATTTTAATTTTAAAAAATTAAGTATTAAGTTTAATTCTTTTAAAGATATTTTAAAATAATTTTTAAATTTAATATTTAATAAATATAAATTTAATTAATAATTATAATTATTATTATTAATTATATTAATTAATAAAATATAAAAGCTTAATTATTTATTAAAAATTATTAAATAAAATTTATTTAAATTAATTTTAATTAAAATATATTAAGTTTTTATATAAGCTTTAATAAGTTATTATTTATTTAAATTATAAAATATTAATTAAATATTATTTTTAATTATTAAGCTATATATATTATATTTTATTAATTTATAATATATAAAATTTATATTTTATAAATTAATATTTTTATTATATAATTAAAAAAACTTAAAAAAAAATTAAAATTATAAAGCTTATTAAAAATATTTAAAATTTTTTAAAATTAAGTTTAATATTTAAATTATATTTAAAATTTTAATTTTTATATTTAAATTTAAAAAATTATAAAAAAACTTAAAATATTAATATTATATATATTTATATAAAGTTTTTTTTAATTTCTTATAAAATCTTAAAATTTATAATTTTTAATTTAATTAAAAAATATCTTTATTTATATAAAGTATAAAATTTTTTAAAAAAAATAAAATTAAATTAATAAATAATTATATAAATAATATTATTTTAAATTTTTTAAGTTAGCTAAATTAACTTTAAAGTTAATTAAAATACTTATAAATTTATTAAAGCTAAATTATTATATTTTTTATAATTATTTAATATAAAATTAAATTAAATAATAAATTTAATTTTATTTAAAATATTTAGCTAAGGAAATGCTTTTTTTATTAATAAAGCTTTTTTAATTAAAAAATTATAAAATAAAAACTTAATAATAAAAATCTTTTAATTAAATAATTATTATATTTATTTAAAATATTAATTAAAAAATAATAAAAAAAATTAATTATATAATTATAATTAAAAATATTAAAATTTATTAAATAATAATTATTTACTTAAGCTTAATAATTTTTATAATAATTAAAACTTTAAAAATATTATTATTAAATAATTTAAATTATATAAAAATTAAAATAACTTTTAAAATTTAATTTAAATATTTTAAATTAATAAAAAAATTATTATTTAAAAAAATCTTTAAAGCTTTATTAATTAATATAAAATATATTTATAAAATAATATTTATTAAAAAGCTTAATTAAATTATAATTTATTTTTTTTATTTATTAAATATTATTTATTTATAATTTTAAATAATATTTAATAAAAATAAATATTATAAATTAACTTAAAGAAATTAAAGGCTTAAACTTTATAAAAAAGTTATTTATTAAATAACTTTTATATTTTATAAAATATTATTAAAATCTTATTAAATTAATAATATTATTTTTAAATAAATATATTTAATAATTAAAATATTTAAAAGTATATTTAATAAATTTATTAATTTATAATATTAATTAAATAATTAGCTTTTTTTATAATTTAAAATATATAAAATTAAATTAATAAAGTATTAATTATTCCTTATTTTAATTATTTTTTTATTAATAAAAACTTTTATAAATTTAAAATTAAATTATAAAAAAAATAAAAAACTTAATATTTATAATAAAAAAACTAAATAATAATAAAAAAAGCTTTTTAAAAGATATAATTATTATTTTATTTTTTAGCCTTAATTAAGCTTATTTATTTAATGCTTTTATTAATATATATTAATATATTAAATTTTTACTTTTAAGTATTAAAAATAAGCTAATTATATTAATAAATTTAATTATTTTATTTTAAAAATTATATTTTAAATTTTATATTTTAAAATATAATTTTAAAGTAATATTAAAAATTATTTAATATTTATTAATAAATTTAAAATAATTAAAATAAATAAATAAGCTTACTTTATATTTAAAAATTATTAATTAATAACTTATAATAAAGCTAAAATTAATTATAATAATTTTAATAAAGTATATAATTAAATTTATAACTTTATTAATATTTTAATTAATAAAATAATATTAAGAATTTCTTAAATATTATTATTTAAATATTTAATATAAATAATAATAAGTTTTAATATAATTTTTATTATAAAGATAAGCTAATTATTAAAAGTTATTTCTTTATAAATAATAAGTTAAAAGCTATAAAAAAAGAAATTTTTATTATAAAAAATAACTTAATTTATAAAGTACTTAATTTAAATAAAGAAATTAATAATTTAATTATTTTAATATTAAAAAATAGCTATTATTTTATTAATAAATTAAACTTATATAACTTAATATAAATAAGCTTTAATATTTACTTTATTAATATTAATTTATATTTAAATAAATACTTTTATTTTAATTTTAATTAAATATATTATAAATATAATACTGCTTTTATATTAAAATTATTACTTAAAAAATACTTAAAAGCTTATTTAATAATAAATCTTTATATATTTATTTATAAAATAGCTTAAAGTAAGTTAATATTATATATAAGTTAATTATTAAAAGTTTTATTATTATATAATAAGTTATATATTTTTATTTATATATAAATTTAAGGAATTATAAATAAATTATTATTTATAGCTTATTATAATATTAAAGCCTTAAAGTATACTATTTCTTAAGATTACTTAAAGTATTTCTTATAAATTATAATAAGTTAAGTTATAAAAGTTAATATTTAAAGAATAAGGTATATTAAGGCTATTAATTAAGTTAAATTTAATATATTTTATTAAGTTATTATAAAAAATTACTTAATAATTATTATTATATATATTAAAATATAAATACTTAATTATTTAAATATTAGCTTATTAATAAGTTAAGAATTTATAGTTTTTTATTAAGTTAATATTTTAAATTTAAAAAAAAAAGTTATTTTTAAATATTTTAATAATATATTTATAAATGCTATAATTTTTATTAAAGCCTTTAAATAAATATATATAATTAAGATTAATATAAATATTATAATCTTATTATATTTATATTAAATTATATTAATATTTATTATAAAGTTAAAAAAAATATAGCCTTTTTATTTTAATTTAAATAAAAAGGTTAAGTTAATAGCTTAATAAGTTATAACTTTATAAATATTATTGCAATAAATTAATTATTATACTTTATATATATTTATTAAAACTTTTATTTAAAAATAATTATTCCTTTTATATATAATAATATAAAACTTTTTAATTAAAAAATTAAAGTAAAAGCCCTTATATATATAATATTAATTACTTAAAATAAGTTTTTTTTTTAATATTTAGCTTTATTTAACTTTATAAATCTTTTTAATAATTTAAATTAAGGCTTAAATTATATATTAATATAATATTAAAATATTTAATTAATACCTTAATTAAATAATTCTTTTAATATATTATTATAAAATAATTTTTTAAAGTTTTAAAAATAATTTTAATTTAATAATAAGTTAAAAATATTTAAATTTAAAGATTTATTAAAAGTTAAATTATTAAATAGCATTTATATTTATTAATCTTTTAACTTATTTATAAAAAGGGCTAAAGATTTTATTTAAAAATATTATTAAATATTTAAAGATAATAAATTAATTAATATATTAAAAAATTAATAAATAAAGATATTATTAATAAATAATTAATAAAATTATAAAATTAATAAGCATTTATATTATTTAAGTAAAAAGAATTAAAAAATAATAAATAAACTTATAAATAGCCTTTATTAAAAAGAAAAAGCAAAATAAATAATATTAATTACTCCTTTTAAATTATTTATTTTTATTATTTAATAAATTATTTATAATTAATATAAAGATTAAATAATAATAAACTTAAAAATATTAAATAAAGTTATTATTTTAAATATTTACTCTTTTCTTTTTTAATTTAATATTATATAATAAATATATAATAAAGGTTATTTATTTATAATAAATATTAATACTTTTTTTTATTAATTTATAATTTATAAGCTATATTAAAATAAATTTATTATTATAAGTTATTAAAGATAAAAATAATTTAAAATAATAATAATAAAATTTTATAACTTTTTTATTTATATTTAAAAATATATAAATTATACCTTATAGCTATATAATTTTTTTATTATTATCTTTATTAATAATATTATTATATTCTTTAACTTAGCTATGGAATATTTATAGCATTTATAAATAATCTTTAACTTATTTAAAGTTAAAAATTTATTTTTTTTCCTTAAGAAATCCTTTTTAAAATACTTATTAATAAAATTACTTAGCTTTTATATTAATAACTTAGGAATATATAATATTATTAATTAAATTTAAATTATTATAAAGCTATAATTTCCTTTTATTTTATAATAATTAAAAAAGTTTATTAAATTTATAAAATATCTTTAATATTTTATTTTATATTTTAATTAAAGAATTAATTTATTATAATATAAAAAATTTTAAATGCTTATTATAATAAAAGTTAAAAGTAAGCTATTTAAAGATAACTTTAAAAAATAATATATAAAGAAAGCTAATTTTAATTTTATTATAAAAAAACTTTATACTTTTATTAATTTTTAAATAGCTTTAATAAGTTTAAATACTTTCTTTTATTATAACTTAAATAAATTATTATTTATTTAGCTTAATATATTAAAAAAAGTTAATTTCTTAAATATTTATTTTTAATTAATAAAAAAATGGAAATAAAATAAATATTTATTAATATTAAGATTTTAAATATAATTAATAATATACTTAAGTAAAATTATTAATATAGTTAAAAGGAAATATTAATTAATTAAATTAAAAATAGCATGCCTTATATAATTAATTTAAAAGCTTTAAACTATAATTAAATTTAATTACTTATAATTAATTTATATTTTAATTAATTATGCCATAACTATTAAAATTATTAATTATACCTTTATAAAGATAATAAATAAAATAAAGATAAATCTTAAGCTTATTTTAACTTTAAAATACCTTAGCTAATATTAGCTTTTAATATATTATATATTAAGAATAATTAATATTATTGCTAATATATTATTATAACTATTAATATATTAGCTAACTATTAATAATAAAGGAGTTTTAAATAAACTCCTTAATTTAACTATCCATACCTTATTTAAAACCTAATTTAACCTAAACTTTAAAAATAAAATACTAAAGGCATACTTTAAAAATAAGAAATAATTTAAAATTAAAAGCTAACTTTAGCAGCTAAATATTAATATTAATATATCATTGTTATGGGCTGGCCCCAGAGGGGCTGCAGGCTGGCTAGCGCCTTCTCCCATAAGCTGTAAAGCAGTAACCTTTTAATTAGGCTAAAAGATATATAATAATCCAAGCTTTCTTGGATTACCTAGCCACACTATATAAGGCTTAAGTAATAGCCTAAGCCCATTATATAGCCCCTTCCCTTAAGGCCCCTTTAATATAGTGGTATAATTACCCTTAAGGCTTACCCATAATATTGCCTTTTTAAGCTAGGGATTTTCTTTATAAAAAGGGTGCCTGCATAATTGCGGTAGATATAACTTAAACTCTTAACCTTAAAGCTTAAATTATTTATTATGGGCTGGCCTTAAAGGGGCTGCAGGCTGGCTAGTGCTTTCTTTTATAAGCTGCAAAGCAGCAACCTTTTAACTAGGTTAAAAGGTATGTAATAATCCAAGCTTCCTTGGATTACCTAGCTACACTATATAAGGCTTGGGTAATAGCCCAAGCTCATTACAATTATTTAAATTAAATAATAATAATTTCCTTCATTTTAAAAACTATAATAAGAAGCGTTAATTATATATTTTTTTAAAAGTAATAAAACTTATTATAGCTAATGCTTATAATTTTAAATATTACTTTAAGGAAGAAAGGGTTTATTAAGAATTAAAAAATTTATTTATTATTAAAAATTATTAATATAAAATGCATAAATATTTAAATACTTGCTTAATATATATTATAAATTAAAATGATAATTAAAAATTATTAAAAAAGATATAATTTATCCTTTCATTATTAATATCATTTTATATTATTATTATAAACTTTATTATAAACCTTTTAAAAGTATTAGCGATATATACTTTATAAGAAATATTATAAGCTTTTTTTTTTAATTTATTCTTATTTATTATAAATAAATATATTAAAGCTTCTTTTATTATTTTAAGAAATATTATATATATAATAAAAGATTAAGTAAAAATTATATTTAAAACCCTTTATTTAAGTAATTAAGAAATCTTAAAATATATTATTTTTAATTAAGATTATAAATTCCTTTTTAAGTTTTAATAAAAACTTTAAAGAAGTTTAAACTTAAAACTTTTTTTTTTATTATATAGTATTTATAAATTAATAGCTAATTTAAAGTTAAAAATTAAATAATTAAAATAATAATATAAATAATAATAATTATTTATTTAAATTATAAATAAATAAATTTAATATTATTATTATAGTTTAACCTTAATAATATATATAATATAGTAATAAAGTATTTTATTAATTAAATACTTTATAGCTTTAATTTATTTATATTATTATTATTAATAAATTAAGGGTTTGCTTAACTTTATAAGCTATATTAAAAGGAAGTTTAAATTGTAATTATTAAGACTTAAATGGTTGTTAAGTAATAATATAATAAGAAGCATTATTAAATATAGTTTTAATTAAGAGATTAAGTATATATATTTTTAGGAAAAGGATATAACTTATTAAGGAAATTAATATATAAGTTTTTTTAATAATAAATAAAATTATTTAAGATTTAAGAAAAGGTAGGTAAGCTTATATATTAATTAATGCTTTTATTATATATAAATATATATATAATAATTTTAATTATTTAATTATTTTTAGTTTAGCTATTAAGCTTTAACTTATATAGTTATGATTTTTTATTAATAAAAGCTATAAATATTATTAAAAATAAGGTTAAAGGCTTTAAAGCCTTTAAGTATTATAAAATAAAAAGAATTATTTAAAAATAAAATTATAAAGTAAGCTAAGACTTAATAATTATTAAGTACTTTATTAAATAAATAAATTATTTATATTATTATAATATATAAATGCTAGCTTATTATTTATAAGTTAATAAGTTAATTAAAAACTTTAAAATGTAAAAAATTAAAATAAAGGCCTTTTATTAATAAATTAATTGCTATATTATAATAAAGCCTTTGCTTTTTAAGTTAAGAAATATTTTTTAGCTAAGCTTATTTATTAAGTAAGAAAGGCTATTAAGAAGAAGGATTAATAATAGCCTTGCTATTATAGCTTTATTATATTAAAGCAGTATATAAGTTACTTAAAGAGTAACTACTTAAGTATAAATAATTTATTATAAATTTATAATAAATTAATATATTTAATTAGTCCTTTTAATTATATTATTTTAATTATTTATAATTTTATAATATATCCTTTTAATTTTTATTAATATTATTTATTATTAAGTTTAGCTAATTATTTTATTAATTAATTATTATTATATTGCCTTAAAGATTATTATTAATTTTATTATTTTATAATATTATTTATTTATAATAAGTTAATGCTGCTATAATTATAAACTTATTAAGATTAATAATCTTATTATATTAAACTTTTATATAGTTTTATACTTAATTAATTAAAACCTTAATATAGTATATTTATAATAAAGTTGTATATTTAAGTATTATTATTTTATAGCTAAGTTATATAAAGCTAATAAGTTATTAATAATTAGCTATTATTAAGCAGCTTATTTATATAGCGAAGAGATATATATATTCCTTTATATATATATTATTATAACTTATTATAATAATTTACTTGCTTATTATTAAAGTAATTGCAAGGCTTTTTAATAAACCCTTTATAAAAAGGAATATAATAGCTTTTTTAATTATAATATTATATATAATATCTTTATTTTTTATAACTTTTTATTTAATCATTTTATTAAATGCTTTATTATTAAGATATAAGCTAAATTATTTATTAATTAATACTTTATTTCTTGCTAAATTAATTATAATAGCTTGTTATATTGCAGCTAAAACCTTTATAATGTTATATAGAAAGGTAAGTAAATATTAAAGGACTTAAAATTAATAAAAAAAGATAAGCAAAAGCATATAATTAACTCCCCTACTTATAATTATTATAATAACTTACTAAGCTTATATTTATATAGCCTATTTCTTAATATTTATTACTAAGGTATATTATAAAATTATTAATATAATATACTTTTTAAAGATTAAGTTTGCAACCTATATAGTTAGTTTATTTATTAAGATAAGGAAATTTTAATTATTAATAAAAAAGCTATCGCTATTATTTTTATTATAGCTACCTTTATTTATATAGCTAAGAACTTAAGCATATATTTAATTAAGTAAATTATTAATATTAAGATTAATAAGGCTGTTATCTTAATGCTAGCTATTAAGGTTAGCTAGTTATTTAATAAAGCTTAAAAGCCTTAATCCCTTGTTAATATTTTTCATTACCTTAATCTTAGCTTTAATTTATTTACCCTTAGCTATAAATATAAGGTAACTATTAACCTTCTTAATAATAATAAAAATAATATTAAGCTTATTTACTTAATTACCTTAAAGTTTAGTTTTAATAACCTATTTATATTTTTAATTAAAAAGAAAGCTAATGCTGCTTAATTTAAAAAAGTAAACTTAGTTATTATTGTTATATTTCTTAAGATTAAGAACTTTTATATAAATATTATTATATTTATAAGTAAGTTTAAAAAGATTGTTAATTTTAAGTTTAACTTATGCTATTTTATTATTATTAACCTCCTTAATAATTATTTTATTTAGCATAATAATATAATTAATATTAATAGTTAATGCATTATTATTATTTTTATTTATAATAAGTATATTATTATAACTTTAATTTTATATATTTTCTTTATTAATTTATATAAGGTTATTAATATTTTATGCTTTGCTAACTTAAATAATAAAATTAATTATATTTTTATTAGCTTTATTTTATATAAATTGCTATATATAAATTAAGACTTTAATATTATTAAGATTTACTATAATAAGGATAATTAAATTAATTGCTTAATTATTATTTATACTTAAAAGGCTAAGTTTAGCAATTTTTTAATTATTATTAGCTAAAACATTATATGTAATTATATAGCTAGCTTAATTAACTATATTAAGACTTATAATATAGTAAAGTATTATATATTAATTAATAATAAGGTTAATTTAGTTACCGTTAATATTATTAATAATGCAATTAATGTAATTTAAAAAATTGCTAATAATAGCTATAATAATAGCAATGCCATTAATATTAATTAAGTAAAACTAAATGCTAAAGATTTTATAACTATATAATTATACTTATATTTTACTATAATAAGAATTAAAAGGAAATGATATTATTTTTATTTTACTTTATTTTAAAAGGGTTTATTATAAATAAAACTAATTTAAGTTTTTTCTTTTAATAATTAGCATGTTAATTAATTTATAAATTAATAATTTTATGCTAATATAAAGAAATATTATAAAAATAAAATATATTAATAGCTATAATGTTTATATATATAGCCTAACTTGCCCTATAAGCATATAATTATGCTTGCCATTTTATTTATCCCATTTTAAGAATAATGCTTAGCGAATTTATAATAAATTTATAATAAATTTATAATAAATTTATAATAAATTTATAATAAATTTATAATAATAATTAAAACTTTTATTATAATGCTATAAAGGTAAATTAAACTTAAAACCTTATTGCATTTAACTATTATATCTTTTATACCATAGCGCTACTTATATACATTCCCAGCCTAATTACTTTACTATTAACTACTTTAATAAACCCACTTTACATAATTTACTTTGCTGCTATTAAGCATAATAAAAATAAATTAAGTTTTATTAGCATATTAAATTAAAGTATACTTTATTATTTACTTAAAAATAAAAGTTAGCTTATTATATTATTTATAGGAAAAACCCTTTAACATTATTATTAATTACTTTTATTATATTAAATATTTTAATTAAACTATAAATATACTTATATAATTATTTTTCTTTAATATTTAAAGTTTATAATAATAATTAAAATACCTTATTAAAAACTTTTATATCTTCTTTGCTGCCTTTTACTATTATTAAAGCAGCTTTTAAAATTTAAACTCCTTATTTACCGCTATTTCCTAAATTTATCTAAGTTTAAACCACTTATTAATACCATAAGAAGATTATACTTAAAAGCAAATTATTTATAAGGGGGAATTTAATACAATATAAATGGGTTATAATAAATTTATAATAAATTCACTATAAATTCATAAGCACTTATAAATTTATAATACTTTCATAATAAATTCACTATAAATATATAGTTTTATGGTAAATTCATTATATATATATTTAAATAAAGAAATTCCCCGTAAATTCACCTTAAATTCATAGGGGACATTGAATTTCAAACCTTTGTTTCCATCACTTAACATAGGGGGCAAAAAAAACCTCTTTTTTTTTTCTCATCCCTAACTTAACTACTTATTTACTCTTTACTGGCTTGACTATTTACTATGGGAGGATTTATGAAAGTATGGAAATAACTAAAAATAGAACTAGGTTTGGAGTTGATAAGGTTCAAACCAGAGCTTTTAAAATAGATTTATGATAACATAAGCTGACATAAAGTCGATATGGACATGATTTAAAGCCTTGATATAATTTCCTTTTAATACTATTGCAATGGCCTTTTACTAGCATTTTGCTAGAATTACGAAATTTCGATTGAATGTCAAAATATGAGTGCATTGCGTGACCCAGTCAGAAACCCCCTCCCCCCCTCGCAGGAGTTTATCGTGTCCGAACTGTCTATGTTCGGATGAGCAACTGTTATTTCGCTGTCGCGGATAGTAGAAGAGCGGCCGAGACGAAGCGACAGATCTTTCTCGTGGATGTAAATGGTCCAGAAAAGTCTGATCTTGCGTTTTCTCATCTCCGTATCGTCGCGTGCAATGGCGACAGCACTGTGGAAGCCCATTGTCTGACTCATGCGGGAGGCAGTTGTGATGAAGTTCCAGGACGCGGAGGGCTTGCAAGTCTCAAAGCAGTAAAGTGTCTTAGAGCTTGTCAGCTTTGGTCTTCTTTCATTGCTGAGTTAGAATACGTACCGCCAAGCTTAAAGCGAATACCATGTCCATAGTCATTGGCATGGAACGGAAGAAGAGACAGGACCGTCTCCAAGTTGTCCCTACAGATCTCCGCGTGACTCTGTAGTTGTGATCTTTTGGATGGGTCTGTCGTGACGTTCTTGCACTCCAGGAAAAGCCAATATAATCCCGCGTTGACAATGATCATGTCTGCCTGGGTGATTTCGCCGGGATAATATGCTTTCAGAAAGTAATCCGTGAAATTCGCGATGAAACAAAGCTCGTAGAACCAGAGAAATTTTACACGAGGATTCTCTGCAGCCTTGGTCAAAACTTCCTCTGGTTGATGAGCGTTATCGTACACACCTTGGGCCATTCTAAGGTACGACATAGCAGACTCAACCTGAGGCATGGGAAGGTCACGTAACCTGCAGCCCGCATCAAGTTTTCTTGCATGCGGATACCCGTCTTCAGCTTCGTGGTGCTCTGTTCGCTTTCATGAAACAAGATAGTCTCTACTGGGCCTTCATGTTTCCTGGAACGATTCTTACTGTTGCTGGCGGCGATCTCCAGAACAATGTCGCAAATGTAGGCTCATGTCCCTTTACTGTCCAATCCAACATGACGGCATTGAAATGTGTTTCGTCAGTACTATGCTGAAATTCGCAGATATATATCATGCAGTCACTGCCGCCCCAACAACAGTCACTGGCCGGCGGCATAGCTAATGTCGTAACCCGACTTGGTTCGTCGGTAGCAATGGGAATCACGACAGCTGTATATACTTCGGTACAGCTCTCTCCAGAGAACGCAACTAATCCCATGCTCCGGTACAACAGGACGTTCTTAACCTGTGTAGCTTTCTGTGGGGTTGGTGCAATGTTCATCCCTTTTATGAGACTTGGGACGCAGGGAGGTCCCCCGAAGCAGGAAGCAAGAGGACACCAGTGTTAATATTATGGCGTGCTGCCGGATAACTATTGTCCCGGCCACCTGGGAACGGTCATGAGTTGTTCAGGTTCACATAATCTTCGTATTTATGCATATCATGCTAGCAGTTCAAGTAGCCAATGACTTTAAACGACGCTGATGGGCTCATCACGGCTGCGCCACTGGTTCGTCCTCCGCAAGACACTGATACTACGTGGTACGGCTCATCTAGATCCGAAGCAACAAAGTTACCATAATTGGACCAGGATGGCCATATCATGGACATTCCCCAGTCTTTTGGCTTCCACGCTACCTCTTGAGCAACATTTGCCTGGTTCCCATTCACAATGAGGCCACGGTTGGCTCTGGTCTCGTGTTGGAGGGGCGGAAGGCGATGGAGGTTCCACTTTACATGATGCTGAACATGTAGATATCACATGGCTACATGTTGATTTTCCAAAGTTTTGTCAATTGGTTACTCTTTATGAGAGCGTAGTCACCATCCGTAGATGATGCCTTCTTTCCCGGAGTCTCTCACAGAGAGACAAAGACACTGTTCCTTGTTAATCTGTTGCTAGGACAGTAAGCTCTTTTTATGTAGGACACGTACAATGCCAGACCCATTGCTCACTCAACAATTCCTCATACGCCACTAACGGCAACGTGATGAGGTCCGAAGCGTTTACCATGCCCTCGTCAAGTTCGTCTTGGATTTCTTTCATAAGATCAGTGAGGATAGGGCAAGGCTTCACGACAGCCGGAGCCATACTCGTTCCAACGAGATACCACGTTAAAAGAAGACCTGGACTTCGCCATTAGTTATGCCTCATATCCGACCACAACCTCACGAGTGACCTACTGCCCTCGTAACCAGATATCAGCGAAAAGCACGAAAACGTGGTGGAAACTGTTTTCTTCAGATGCTGAATCCCCAGCCGCGCACCAAGGCGAAGCGACTTGGCGGCTCGAACGAGAATACTGTTGAGACCGGGCAATTGGGCGGATTCGACGAAAGCACTGTCATCGTTAGGCCAGGAATCGGCGGAGCCTGACAGCAAAGCTCGTTTCATTTGCCTCAGCTGACGGCTGCCGTGAAGGTGGTAGTAGGCAGAATTTAGGAGACAAGTCGCATCTGCCGCCAATGGACCATGGCTGGAACTAGGAAGGCGGCTACTATGCGGATGGCTCTGCCACTTCTCTTCCCATCTCTTCAAGCTTGCCTCGAACCCACGTGCCGAGTATGCAGACTTGTCCAGCTTGATAGAGACCATAAGCGACTCGGTCACGCAGACGTGACGTAAGAGGATTCCAACGAGTGTCAGAAGACCAAAAGAACTGATGACACCCGGGATATCCTCGTCACGTAGGAGGGCACGTCCAGTAGAGAAAGTAGAATGAAGCTGCTGAGGTGGTGCTCGCCACGACGTTGCAGGCGCAGTCCAGTCAGCCTCGTCGACCGGTAGGGGTGTGTCTTCTTCAAGGGTCTGGAAAACGAAAAAAGTCTCTGGATCGTGGGAGGTCAGGACTGCTGACAAGACAATTCCGTAGCATATGCACCTAAGCTTGGTCAGCCCAGCCACCACTCAAATTACGTGATTTAGAAGCAGGAGTCACCGGATAATAGTCTCCCGATGTATCCAGAGGTCCCACGAATCCAGGGGGAGATTCGGGACCAGACGGCTCGCTCGCTGCATGTTCTGGATTGGACCACTCAGCACCACTCAGCAAGAAAAGCATTGTTGCTCGCCCGAGAATCAAACCCACCAAAATCGCTTTCGGAAACGCCTCATAGGATGATCGCTCCATGGTTGCGCTCCCACTGAAAGCTCCAAGCTGGCAGAGGATCAAGCGTGCTTGGAGCTCCCAGACATTCACGTCCAAGTGATTCACGCCGGACAGGCCGCGGCTGTCGGACTGTACTTAGTTGTAAGCGGAAAGAGGTCTGCATGGGAACATGTTCCATGACGACACACTTGATCCAAAACTTGCAGGGCTGCGTCGTAAAGCGCAACGCCGTTATCGTGTTCGTGAACATGGAATGCACCACAAGACAAAACGGCGAGAACGAGGATAGCTAAGTATCATTAGATGCTTATAATCAGTCTACTCACATCCAAACACTTACGATGTGCTGTGCACATGCTAAATGTCTGCATGGGCAATATGGGTGCATGGGGCGAGAAGTAGTCGAAATAGGCACGGATGTAGCGCATTGCACGAAATTTGGACGGTAGACGCAGGCCAATTACCCTCTGATCGACGTCCAAAGCGCGGACACTGGCCTTGAACATGCCAATGCTGGCAGTGGATACCCCAAGGGCGCCATCGCCGGCGAGACAGGCCTCTTCTGCATCGTCTGCTGCGGTCCGATAATCTGTCGAGACGGCGGTCGTCCCCTCGGTGTAATCACTGGTCCTTGTTTCCAGGGCCGTCGACAGTGGGAAGACCCAATCCCCTAGATAATCAAACGCCAGTGGCCCCTCGGAATTTAGGCACTGGAGGAGGTCAACTAGAGCCCACTCATTAGAGGGCAACACGTGGTCTTGAGGTGGCGAAGTCGGGGGTAACTCAGGGTCTATCATATGCGCATCCGGTTGCTCGTCCTCTTGCACGACCTCATGATCTGTCATGGCATGCCCGCCCTCGATCGGTAATCGAGCTCCGAAGGCATCGGAGAGATCACTCGACGTCGATGGTATCCCTTGCACCGAGGTTGAAGGGGTCGAGGCTGCTTCGCTGGCAAAGTACTCGATTGCTCGCGGTTCTACGTCTGGATGGAACGTTTTGACGTGGCGGACGATGACATCTTTGCGGCCAGAAGTGAGCGAGCAAGCGGGACAGGCGAATGGTTTTTCTCTCTTATCTATATGCAAGACGTCAGCCAGCGCCGGGGCTCTCGCCGCAGGCAACCTCAACGGACGTGACATTTCATGACGGCGGAGGTGTTCGGCTCGGCCGAAGACCTGGGAGCAGAAGGTGCAACGAAAGGTCTTTGGCCGTCGGCCAGCCCGTCTCTTGGGACGTGCAACAGGAGCTGCATTGATGCTCGACAGTGCTGGAGGAGGCACCTGCGTGTCGGCGCCCGCTGGCATAGTGCTGTGCAACTGGGTGTTGTACGTCTAGACTCCGTGGACAGACGTGGGTTCGGTGAGAAAGGTAATGGCAGGGCATCGGGCTCTCGGACTCGGGCGGCTCTGAGATGACCCCGGCACTGCCAGGAGCGGGGGTTGTTCCGATACGGCACTTATACGGGTTGCAGGTCCCTGAATCCACTACCCCACACATAATTCTCCAATGAATATGACTGGTGATTGTTGTAAAGGTTTCCACTTCAAGTTCATATTTTCATGTGGATTCTTTAGACAATTAATTATAGATTTAACTTTGTTCCCGCCAATAGAAAGCATGTTGTTCTTAACATCTTAAAGAGTGAAACTTGCAGCCTTGTGAAAAAAGGTTCCATGTAGTAGTTGGTTGATGAAGTCAAATCCTGTCTAACAAGCATCTAGGCACTGTACTGTCACCCCAGACAACCCCACTCACTGCATATAAAATGCAGAGTTCCCATTGAGAAGTAAACCATTCAAGTCTGTAATTCGCCCTCACAATACCAGCCATGTCTTTCCTCCAAAACCTTGCGGCCGCAATCAAGGCCAATGTTGACCTTCTGGAAGCACAGCTAGCCAATGACGGAGCATCGAACGAACCGCTGTTCCTGAACGATTCCCGCGCGAGCTTCCTGGATGAGCCCATCTACCTCCCGCCAGTTGCGGCATTCAATACTATGGAGGAGCTGAGAGTAGACCTGCGTGCACTCGAGAGCGCCATCACACCGACCAGACTCAAGCTGGCCGACGTAGCAATGCTGACCGTCAAGACGAGCGCCCTCGAGGTGGCATCGGAGCTGGGCGTGGCAGATTTCATCGACGCTGCCGGCGGGTCTGGCGCCCTGGACACATTGGCGAGCGGCTTATCTGTAAACGAAAACAAGCTGAGTTAAGGACGCTGGATACCGCATGGATGAGTTCACAGGCTTACTCCAACGCAGGTCATGTATTGCGAGTGCTCACGGCGGACAACATTTTTGTGGAAACTTCTCCTGGATGCTTCTCTAATAATCGGCACAGCCAAGGTCTGCTAAGCAAGGAGAAAAGTCGGCCAATGCTGTCATTACTGTGAGCAAATACCCTGTCGCTCTTGACGTTACTATCTATCTTTGTACGTGCTCATGAACTGTCTTTTAGCACACAAGAAAACGCCAAAGACGCCCTTTCTCACCGACAGCACATGACCAGCTCAGAGAGCAAGCACAGCTTTGCCCCAAACATGCCTCCTTTCTCCCTGTCTTTGGCGCAGGGGGGCCCTCTTTTATGGAATGGTTCATGATGGAGGGAAATGCCAGTGCTCTGGAGAAAGTAACCATTGGAGTCCCGTGGCTGAATGTATGTCAAACCCGTTACATTACTCGGCATTATCATGTGAACCGGGGTCGCTGAAGTATTAGCAGTGCTTGACCCGGTCAGCGTTAATCCACGACTATCCCTGGAAGTAACTGGGCGCCGACGTGTCTGTCGTCGACCTTGGATGTGGACCTGGTGACGCAGGTCTCGATCTTCTGCAGCGATTCTGAAATCTGCGCTGGAACTTTCAAGATCTACCGCATGTTGTGGGACAGACTGAAAAGGTTGGACAATCTTCCAGGGTGCCTGTTGAGGATTTTATAACAAGGATGGCAGGACGTGCGATCCAAAGCTCCTCCCGAAATTCTCTCTGGAATGGCTTTCCACGAGCAAGACTATTTCAATCAACTCGATACCCATGGAGATGTCTATTTCATACGGGAAGTCATGTGCGTAGCTCCCGACTTCCTGGATAACCAGGGTGAAATTGAGAAGACCGCTGACACAACCTCTGTAGACGGGAGTACGACGATCACCAGGCTCAGCAAGTCCTGCATCGTATCGCAGAAGTCATGGCCTCAGCATCGTGACAGGCATCTCCTAGACTACTCATCAACGAGATTGTTTGTCCTTCGCCGTTGATAGTTTATGATGTTCAGAGCCCGCGCCCCCTTTCCGAGTCTCTGCCTGACGATCATCAGTCCGCCATGGCTGAGTGGGCCAATTTGACGGCCATGAACGCATTCAATGTCTTTGGCGGTTGCGAACGTTCCTTCTCGGAGATAGAAAAAGTGGTAAACGGGGCAGGCTTGAGAGTAGTGAGGTACTTCCCTTTGAGGACGTTTACAGGAATGATAGAGTGCCGGCTCCGATGAAAGACATTCGGCAGGAATTTTCGTGGTAGCTACTATTAGCTAGATCGAGAGACGCATATCAATTCCTTCTGTACCGTGTAAACCTCCCGTCAGATGGCCCAGCCCGACGACGGTGACGGCGTGTTGTCCTGACAGCGAGTGTTGAGCAGTCCTCATTCACCATACATACAGCATATAGGGTTAGCGAGTCACGACAAGTACCCTTTTCGCCCCTTTTCTCTTGGTTTCTGGGACCCTGATTCATTAGAGGATGGGTTCATGCCGTCGAGTTGTTGTGTGGGGTGTATCAGACGACGGGTCGGTGGGGTAAACTTTTCCTACTCAACTTAAATGTTCCCCACTCCGACCTGACTACTACCAGTTCACGGTATAGTACAAGATATACGGGGTCGACACTTGTGCATGTGAAGGTGAAGTGTCCTACCGAAGATGCTCCACCACTTAAAGCATTACATCGAAGCTGGAGGACTCGTGGGGTGGTTTGAGGCCTAGGGACGCGTTACTGATTCTCGCTGCCCCTATAGTTGTGTACCCCACAACGCACCTACTTAAGTATAAGGCTTAGTATACAGCAACCTTGGGCGCCAGTAGGATGGCAAGCACTGTAGAAGCTGCTCGGCACATTTACGTGAGCATCTTATCTTGTTTCCTCACGGCATCCTGGTGTTGAGTTCCCTCAAGGCTTGTCACTGAGGTCGGCAGGACCGGTTTTGACCAAGCCAGCAACAAAGAAACGACATAAACTGGCTGCTATGACTCAGCTTCATGTCGCCGTTGTGGGAGGCGGCTTCGGGGGAGCGGCGTGCGCCATTGCGTGTGCGATGCATGGCATGAAGGTAACTTATTGGAGCAGGCCTCGCAACTCATCCCCATCGGCGACTCCATAGGTTTCGGCTCAAACGTGGTCAAGTTGTTCAAGAGATGGGGCGTGTATGATGATCTCTGGGCAATAGCTTCCAGAGCCACCACAACTGTGGCTCACGATTTCAAGGGCGACGTCCTCGGCGTTGACCACACGATTGGAGAGTCGGAAGCAAAATACGGTTACGCGGGAATCATTGGCCACCGAGGGGATCTGCAGATGATATTCATGGACCATTGTACGAAGAATGGTGTGGACATCCGCCTCGGCAACAGAATTACAAAATTCTAACTACCCGGCCAAGCCCAGCGTGACACTTCCGTCCGGAGAAGAATTGGAGGTGGACACCGTCATTGCATCTGATGGCGTCAAGAGGTTTGGGAGGGAACAAGTTCTGGGATGGGTTGACAAGCCCATCCACAGCGGCTACGCCGTGTATCGAGCGTACAGTAGGGCGGATGCCTTCAAAAACGATGAGCTAGCGAAGCATTTCGTGAACGATGGTTGGTGATTCTGTATCCTCGTCTCAAGGACGTCTCGAACGAGTCTCATCCGCTGACCACACATGCCCATAGGAGACTGTGTGCGCGTCTGGGTAGGTCCTGACATGCATGGGTTTGTCACCTCGCAGAGAAACGGCGAGGAGATCAACGCGGTCCTTACCCACAAGGATTTCGCCGACATAGACGAGGGCTTGAGCGTCCGCGGCAAGAGACAAGACGTTCTGAAGCCGCTCTCAGGCTGGGACCCGGCCTTTGTGCGGGTGTGGGAAAAGATCGACAACATCCTCGACTGGAAGCTCGTGTACCGGCCCTGCCTCGAGAAATGGGTCAGTGACTCGGGACTCATCGCCATCGTAGGCGACGCCGCCCACCCGTTCCTGCCGACCTCGACCCAGGGCGCGAGCAGGCCATAGAGGATGCCGCAACGGTCGCATTGTGCCTCGCCAAGGCAGGTAAGGGTAACGTCCCGCTGGCACTCCACACCTACTTCGAGCTGCGGCATGATTATGTGGCCAAGGCACAGATGATGGGCATAACGCAGAGGGAGAAATGGCACAATGGGCATGACAAGGAAAGCGGTGTCCTTGACCCCAAGTTTGATATATTGGCAAAAGGTTTGCTGGACAGTTATTATTTGTGGGAGAACGATTGCGAGCAGGTGGTCGAGACCAAATGGGATGAAGTCTCGGCAAAGGTGCGAGAGAAGTTGCAATAACCGGGGGGGCGGCTTGTCATACTTGAGTTCGTTTATGGAGTTACCATATTGGATAGATGTTCATACAATACAATGGTCTATGTTATTAGGATGTGTGCCAGAAGGAAAAGCCGAGTGACCTTGCAGCGAAGCTACGGCGACCAGTGGGTGCAGTGATGTTAGATATCAGAGCATCTCATGGAATGTCTGTCTTCACCTTTCCAGGTGGAGCCAAAACAAACATTGAAGGACAGTGGTATCTACTGTCCGAACTTTCCCACATGTACCGCCTAGGCGATGTAGGAAACGTTAAAACCGTTGAGGGCCTTCATATGTACAGTGGCCAAACACTGATATTACATCACTTCGTCACCAAGTTGAGAAGCCTACGAAGCACATGGAAACAGTGACCCTTTTTCTCTCGGCCTCCACCTCAGATTCCACTACAGCAATCTCTTCCTCGACTGGTGTGAGCCCTAATAATTGAGGGCTGAAACGTTAGACACAGTCGAATGAATGGCCGGCCCAAAGTCTGGAAGCCGAGTGTGTTCGGGTGGGGGACCAACGGCACCCCATCGGCAATCCGCGCTGGCTATTACCCCACAGAAGCTATAGTGGATTCTTTCTGTTCCCTAAACTCGGGCGTTTCGCTTCCGGAGATATACTTAAGCAACAGTCTTAGAGCCACTGACAGACGCTCTAATTCGGCTCCCTGTATCGCTCAGCTGGTTTCTTTCCACTTCCACTATCCCGGCTCTGCCATATCTTTATGCTCCATGCCTTCCCTGGAAATGCACCAAGGGACACTAGCCACTGTGGCTCCCATGCTATTCGTGGCAACGTTACTATCATGGCTTCTCGTTGACTACATCCGTGTTTTGCGTCTCCGGCGCAGGTTGCCTCCAGGCCCTTTTCCATTTCCTCTGTTTGGTAACTACTTCCAGACGCCCCGTCTGAGGCCCTGGGTCGACTGGGAGCAATGGTCCAAGGAATACAACAGCCCTATGATCACGATCTGGAATGGCAGCCGGCCCAGTATCATCATAAACGAGGCTTGGACCATCTCAGAACTCTTCGACAAACGCGCAGATATCTACTCGTCGCGGCCACGAATGTACGCTATGGGCGATATGGTGGGCGCCACCGAGACGAATCAAGTGTGTCTGGTCTACGGCGACCAATGGAGGCTCCACCGGCGACTGATGCACACAGCCGTGGGGAGCCAGGCAATCAAGGCTCACCGGCCTTTCCAAGGAGACGAGTCCAAGGTGCTTGCCTTGGATCTCCTTGAGCGACCGGGCGACTATGTAAAGGCCGTCGAACGCTATGCCTGCTCCGTCGTCTCCATCATCGGTTGGGGCCAACGGATCGAGGACACAAACCACCCCACCGCTCAAGTCGCCCTGTCTTTGATGGAAGGCGTCGATCTGGTTGTCCCGTGCTGGCATATCGTCGAGGTGATTCCCGCGCTGCTGCGCGTCCCGTCCTGGCTTTACTCCGTGCCCAAAACGGCAATGCAGGGCTCCAACATGATAGCAGACTTCTTCAGCCGTCTTACCAAGGAGGCTGGGGCCACAGGAAAAGCCAACTTTGCGAGTCGTGTGATGCATAGCCACGCACAAAAAGGAATCAATGAGGCGGAAATCGCGTCCTTGACTGGCAACCTCATTGGCGGCGGCGTTGACACGACCAGCGGCTCTATCATCAGTTTCATCCTCGCCATGTGCGTGTTCCCAGAAGTGCAGCGCAAGGCTCAGGAGGAACTCGACCGCGTGGTCGGAAGGGAGCGGTCGCCGAACTGGGACGACGACGAGGGCTCACTGCCATACATAGCGGCGCTGAGGACAGAGGTCCTGCGGTGGCGGACCGTAGCCATCCTCGGGGGCATCCCACATGCGCCCATCCGGGACGATGAGTACTGCGGATACTTTATCCCGAAGGGCACCCCCATTCACGGCAACGTCTGGGCCATTCACAGGAACGCCCGCGAGTACCCCGCGCCCGACTCGTTCCGCCCGGAGCGTTTCCTCGGCGGACTCGAGCGGCCGTACCCGAACAAAAAAGGGCACAGCGCGTTCGGATGGGGACGACGAGTGTGCAGCGGGCAGCCGCTGGCCGAACAAGGCCTCTTCATGACACTCGCACGGCTGCTGTGGGCCTTCGACATCCAGCCCGGCGCCGATGACAAGGTAGGAGTGAAAATTTACCACTTGAACATTTCGCGGGGCTGACGACTGGGATCGACAGGGCCACTTGGCGACGCTTGACATCTTCAAGTACATCAACTCCGAAAACATGCGGCCAGAGCCCTTCGCGGCACGCTTCACCCCGCGTACTCCCGAGATTGCAGATATAATTCGCCGGGAAGCCGATGAGGCCAGAGAGGCTCTAAGCGTCTACGTGTAAGAAGTGGTGAGCTGTGTGTGTTGGTTTGTTCTGGCTCATGGTTTCCGTGGACAATGATCCCTGGGTACTCAAGCGCTCAAGCAAAAGAGACGGGATATTCACATAGCCCGCGCAGAGATCATCAATGAATTCATAATACGGCCAACAAGCTAGTGAAACACAGCTGTTTTGACGATACCATGATACTCCCCAGCTTGCCATGGTCTCCGGAGTTCGCACTTGAATCCTTCGCGAAGTCAAATGGAAATGTAGGTACTGTAGTATCATTGAATTCCTGGGACATAACCCCTTTACTAAATATCTACGCCAGGAAAACCCACTTCCTCCTAACTCCTACCTCATTCAGCGTCGAAAGCTTTGTCTCACCCATGCCCTTCCTGAACACAGTACCATCGTCCTGCTTCTCAGCGATGAGGAACCGGTAGCAGTCCAGTGGCGCGTTTACCCCATTCTTTCCCTCTATTACACGAATATCAGGCATGTTGGGTTCCGGAAACATGCCATCAGGAAAATACTCCACTTGCGGGTTTTTTCCGTTAGTGATACCAAAAGTAGGCGCGCTGCACTGAGACAGTACGACCATTTCGAGTTGTTCCGTGTCTTGCGCAAGAACAGCCTGATCCAGGAAAACACCCCCTACGACCCTGCCCGAGTCTTTCAGAATCAGATTGTGCCCCTTGAACGAGAATGCCGCGGCTGAGGCGCAGTAAGCCTTGAAACAGAGGCAGCGGCTCAAGTTACTCGTTGACGGCACGAGTTGGGTGAGAGGTTGCTGGGCATGTAGCGTGAATTGACGTGCGTCTCCCATGATACGCCATGGGCGGTTTGGTGCAGTGTAGTCGTCAGCTTCCCAGGCCTGGACCAGGCGTCTCAGCTGGGTATCTCCTTTTCCGGTGTCACTCAATGTAGTTGTTCGATCGTCCACGCCGTAAAAGGCTGCTGGAGGGACCAAAGACAGCGTATTCTGGCTGTGGTGTCGCACTGCACCCTTCCATCCGGCCCAGGACCAGCTCGGAAAGTCTGGAAGCCTCTCAAGCGGCCCAGAAGCCGAGGCCCACAGAAGCGCGGTATCGAGTTGATCTCTGGGCAGTCCGTAAAGCAGCTCCACGTTCATCTGACCCTCGAAGACGGTCCCAAGTCCTGCGAATGCGTTCAGTTTATCCGTCCAGAAGCTCATGACCCTCGACGTGTACTCCTGGACCGCGCCTTCGTATCTGGATATATTGTCGTGCCTCCCGGTAGGTTCAATAAACAACAGATTGTCCAAAGTACGTTGCTCTTCCATAAGCTCTGCGGCCAGGAATGGTAACATTTGCGAGCCGAATTGTGGTTTTGTAGACGACGCTGCCAATCCCGGGACAGTATCTTCACACCAGACCGCCTCACGACATTCCCATGCTACCGAGCCGTTATGCCAGAGAAGCATCCGGGGCGATAAGACCGCCTCTTGGAAAGTCCATGCTCTGCTACCCCAAGTTGAATTCGCCTTTTCTCCACTATTGAAACCACTAACTTGCAGGGCAAGCCGCAAGCCTGGTTTGACTTCTCTCTGAATTTGTTCTAGCGGACCTGTGGAATTATCCTGGCCCTTATCGAACCCCAGGAGCGGAGAGCTGCTATCGCTGCCCGTCGCCTGAACCACAGTAAACTCGGCGAAACCATAGACGCTATCCATATTCTCATTATTTGAGCGGCCTTGGTTCACGCGCGTCTGGGTACGACAGGAGATTGCGCTGGCAAGTCACGCGCAACTCGTCTGTGGCAAGGCAAGACTGGACTGGGTCTTGTTCGAAAGCGCGGCGAGTTGTTTCTGCAGAAAGCCGCTGGGCCCATCGCTCCCGGCCGATCTCAGCAGAAGGTTCTGCAGCGTGAAGATGGCGGTGGTCAATATCTGTGACATCGATTTTGACTCCTATAGGTACAATACTTTGCGCTACGAGAATCAGGGTGTCAAATTCACAGATCCGAGGGATGCGATCTACGGCGTCAAGAGCCTGCTGTCCGAAAGAGATGAGAAGTTAGACGTCCGACCAAACTACGCTTTGGAGACAGCTGATGTCTTTATGGATGTCTGCGTGCGGATTGTGGAACGTCAGGGTCTTGCTCATTTCCTTGAAGCATGCGAGTTATCCTCAATCTCTGTACCAAATTTGCCTAGCTGGGTTCCTGACTGGTCCAAGCCAATGACGTCGGAGCGGCTTCTACAAAACCCTTGGAGTGCTTCCGGCTTCATTTCAGGGAACGCGACATATCTTGGAAATAGAGCCCTTCGCGTGTCTGGGATTCTGATTGACAAGGTTGAGTCCATCCAAGACCTGTACAACCATGTCGAGAGTGAGCCGTTGAAAAGCGCGACAAGCTTCGTCGACTACATCTGGAGTTGCTATCCTGGGGAGAGTCGCATCGATAGCCCATATGATGAGAAGGAGAGCATTGTGGACGCATATTGCCGCACCTTTGCTGGTGATATGCTCCGTGAAAGTAAGCCACACAAAACTACACGTCCAAACTTTGATCAGGCGGAGGCCCTGAAGAAAGTATGGTCCTTGGAAGAGGACTGAACTGGCTATCAAGACTTGAAAAGAGACCCCTTGGTCAATAGGTACATGTCAGAGTGTATCTATTGTATTCATGGGAGATGTTTCTTCACCACTAAAGACGGATACATCGGCCTGGCACCCTTAGGAACTAAAGCAGGCGATATTATCAGCGTTATTTTAGGATGTCGATTCCCTGTCATCCTACGAGAAGAATCTGCATCCGGCGCCAGTGCGGACGAGACCAGATGGAAAGTGGTGGGTGTTTGCTACGCCCACGGCCTGATGTCCGGAGAGGCAATCTACGGGCGCCTTCCGAGTCACTACCGCACAGTGCAACACCGTGACGCAAAGGATGACGAGCTGATTTGCTACCGTTCAAGTGCAGTTTGGGATACCCGTACGAATGACTTCAAGACCGATCCTACAGCAGTGCTCGAAGAGTTTGGGATCCAGCCTAGTGCTTGGAGTCGGGACCCACATCAGTTGGAAGTTCCTAAACCCGTTTTGCGGGCGTCGGGCGTGGAACTACGTGATTTCTTTCTGGTATAGAATCATGGAATTCTCTTGAAGCTATATTTGCAAATTTGTTTATTTCATTAGAATTGTCTTGAGGTCGTAGCATTAGACTTAAAACAAGCAGATAGTGAGGAAGACTCTGAGAACCTTGGAACTGCAATACAACTATTCACACAATATAGAACAAAGCTAGGGAATTCAGCAAAGTTCGTACTGGTAAATCAGGGTATCAACTAGGCTCTCTAAAGCCTCCCTTAACACCTCCCACGTAACTGGCGGCGGTGGCGGAGTGAGCCCGGAGCATATTACTTTGCCATAGCCGTTCCTCTTGTCCGATGGTCAGTCCTACGTGTTTTAAGATGTTTTTTTCCTCGAGAATCATCTGCCGGTTCGTTTCTGTAGGAGCTTCTGCATATCGAGTTCCGTCAACTGATCGACAAGCAGAGCAGCATTTTTTGCGCGCAGGCTTGCGCGGCATGCCTCTAACTCAGGATCCTCGACAGCTGGAGGCTCGGTGGCGATAGTCGACCCAGGACGGCTCACCTCAGAGCCGAAAACGACATTTACATCCTCGTTCTCTTTTTCTATCAACCCTCGTAGTCGGCACCGTGTGTGGTGGAGGTGGGGCTCGTCCTTCGTGTGACGCCAGTGTATTGGTATTTCCAGATCCGGGTTCATTGTCATTCCAAATAATTCCCGTGCAGTTGTCAGACACATAAAGTTTGCTGAATTGCGGTCGTCGTATCTTGCCCGCAGGGGCTGCACCCTCTCCCCAATGATCAAGAAGATCTCGAAGGTATCGTTCACGCAGTCCTGAGGCAGAATGATTGTCAGTTCAACACACTAGGCACTCTTGCTGACATGTCAAAGCTGAAGGGCTCATCCTTCGCCTTATCAAACCTTACCGAATCTTCATCTCCTTGGCGAAGGCTTTCGATTCCTGACGGCCCGCTCGCCCTGCTTCCATAGGCGCTGTCAGAAGGGGGCGGGCCACGGGTCGCAGCGGTGACGAGGCCTGGCTTTGCATGATAATCGCGATACTTCCGTTTATGTTCTTCCACGATCTTGCGTTGCTCCGCGCGCGGCATACTCTCAAAATAATCAGAAAAGGCTTTACCCAGACCCAGCTCATCGAGATAGTCGAATACATCATCGGTAGATTCCAGGAGCCGGCCTTCTTTTGCCAGCTCGTCAAGCTTATCTCTTATATAGTTGTCCTCCAATTGGCTGTATTTATAATTTTTCGACATGGATTCCAGTGGAGGCGATACGGCGCGACATCTGGGCTTGCTACGAGCGCATAAGCGCTCGCCGGCCCTGTGAGCTCTTCAGCAGAGTCTGTGATCGATCATCGCCGCGTGCAATCGGGATATCGGTTGGCTGGTCTATTCGTCAACTGCGCTTGGGGCATGCCGTCAGGCGCATTGGGAATCGAGATGTTTGAAGGAGGGACATGGGTTGCGGTTGCGACCAGATCTGAAGCCTGCAGAAGAGAAGTGGGAAACCCGCATCTGTCAGCGTGGGTCTCTCAGCTGCAATCGATCATTCCGTGCGGGGGTACCCGATCGTGATTGGCTGCCAAGGGATACGTAGCATCGACCTAGCGGCATTTACCCCCTGAGAGTGCCCTATGGATTGGTCGGCGCGCATTTGGCTCAGTGATAAGAAGACTGCCGCGAAGGAATCCTTTGGAGGCGCGAAGTCTGCACCCAGCCCAGCCAGGGAGCCTGATAACGAAAATGCTAACCCATCGCCATATGCGAGAGTCTTAGTTATGTCTAAATAGTGATCACTATGGCCAGATCGCCAAGGTCTCACGTAATTCCTGAATCACTCACAGACGATGGTACTGCAAGCCTACTGGTATGAAAAGAGTCAAATCAAGTTCAGTTTGCGCCTGAACCTGGGTATCACACAAAGCTACCAATTCTGCAAAATGCCCCAGCCGCTGCATCACCTAGTCCTCTTGATCACCTGCGGATGTCTCAAAGAATTGCTCTTCACGAGACGATCCCGTTCACGTCCAGATTGCTGTTGTTGCGTATTGAAGTGAAGGCGTTCGTCGTGGCCGTGCCTGTGTGTATGGTTGGGAAAGTAGTCCTCGCCATAGACTTCCAAAATAGGCTTCCCAATTATAATGTTCGGGGCCATGGAGCCGCTATCGTGAACTCTGAAGTCATGTTGCATCCTCTTGGAGTTATTGAACACCTTCCAGTCCAACTTTGCGCGATGGCTGCTCTCTAGGCGAGTCCCGTGCCGAGTATCATGCGCAACGTATTTGGTAGCTACAATATTAATACCTGACTTGTCGAGCAGGGCCCTTGGGATCCAATTGAGCGGAGAGCCATGATCTAGTTCAACCACGATATCGCAGAAAGATTCCAGGATTGGATGGAATATCTGCATCGACTTTGGTTGCAGACCTGGCTTCCCTTTCTCTTTTGTTTCCAACTTTTCTTCTGGCTCAGAAGGCTTAGGCTCGGGAAGCTCCTCTACGATCCTGGGAGGCGCCTTCACAGCAGAGATCATGACTGGCTCGCTGGTTCGCTGAGTATTCTCCGATGACCCGGCCTGGCCTGGTTCATGGCCTAGATTGGCGGGAGCGCAATCATAACCTTGAATATTTGGAAAAGTTTGGTTGGCAGGCCATGGATTAGGCTTTCAAAGTTGCCACACGTCAGTACCAATCGGGGAATCACCGCCCTTGTCACCCAATATACACAACGTGACTCACCTGCGTTTTCGAGAACGTATGATATAGGAGCTGGGACATTTCTGGCGGCACGAACGGTGTACTCGGCGTCGGTACCATGATCACAAACATGGGGACTGGGGGAGGCGGCTGGGATATGGGTTGTGCCTTTTGCTTGCGGTATTCAATGAAGTCCTCGTAGTCCTCTTGCGCCGAAGATACAGGGGTGCCACCATGAAGGAACCCAAGGTCTAATACCCTCTTTCGATCAAGGTGGAGTTGACGGAGCTTCGCGTGCTCTCCAGGAGTTATTTCTGGCGTCGCCATGGTCGCGATTTGGGTTGGGAAGAGGCGAAAGATGCAGGAACTGCTGTTGTGTGGGGAAAGATTTCGCCCGGGTGCATCGTCCATCGGCGGGGTGAAGAGAGCATTGGACCACACGGGCTCAACGAGGCTCTGAGGCTCTGTACCTTGCGTCAGTGGGGTTGAACAGTCCGGATACCCCGAAGTCATGAGGGCACAGAAGGAGGCAGCCACCATTCTGTTCGCCAGCGACCCCGATGTCATGCCAGGAACCGATCGGGAGGGTGTGACCGCCCAGGTTCGAAGTGGGGGCCACTGGAGAGAGGAATTCGACTAACTGAATTTGTAAGGGCCGCAACACCTCATTAAGATACGTAAATTCCCATGATGATTGTGATGGAGGGTCACGGGGGGACGAGAGTGGACTATGCTACTGCCGCTTGCGCTCGCTACTGCATGAGATCACGTCGCTTCCACCTCCGTGTTTAATGCGTGGTTTCCATTGTTTCATCATTCGACGAGATTTTGCATCTACGGAAGTGGAAAAATGCAGCTGACAGCCTATCAAGTTACGCAGCGCTCTCGAGATGGTCCCCTCCCTAAACGCTGGAGTTTGGCTCACCTCGGTGAAGACTACTCGTTTCACCAAGTAGACTTAGCACCCTCCTGGGATGTCGGAGTAGTCAAAGTGGTCTGTCTCGAAAAGGATGCAGACTGTGTCGGGACCGGCACTGCTGGCGCAGCCTGCATGCCACGCAGCCGATGCTGGCTTCGTTTCTCCTCGAGAGTTCTTGCCTCTTCCTCGTGTCTTGCTCTCGTGGCTTCCATCTCCTCCTTCTCCTGGATCTAGGATCGCGAGCTCTTGTTAACCGTTAATGGAACTTCTTGGATTCGTATCAGTCCCCGCCGAGACTTACCGTCATTCTGGACGCCATGACCAACAACATGGGATCGCAGCCAGGCTCTTGGTCCAATAAGACACCAGGGTTATTTCTGGTGAACACGTTTCCGACAAGCATCTGAATGGGCGTTGACGGTGGTGCAATGTAGAATTGATCTGTTCCGCGCACCTTTCCCAGCCAAGGCACATCCACGTATTCATCGGAGTTGAACACTTCCCCGGTCAGCGTCATACTGCGGATTGGGGCCCCTCGTTTGGACTGCAAGCCACATCGCTCCGCCTGTGCCCTCGATATCCAGTTGTATGTTGAACCCGTGTCTTCGATCACCTGCATCAACACTGGAGGCTTGATTCCGCTTGAGACGAACGACCACTTGCACTGTATCCCATTTCCCAGTAGTTTCGCATTCGGCTGCATGGTCAGACGGACTCCACTGCCACAAGGGCTGTATTTACTCAACTCGTGAATTTTCCCGACTCATAGACAGACTTTTCTGCAATGCTTCCTTTTCTTCTGCGCTCATCTTCGTCCAGTCCTCGTGTGCGCTGCTGACATGTACGCCCGAGAACGCCCAGCCAAGACCGTCCACCCTCTCCTTTTGACGTTCAAAGTCACGGATTTCTGGTGACTTGGTCTGCAACGCAAGATTTCCGGATGTGCCGGCGCTAGATGAGTCTTCATGTTCATTGCTGTGAGGAACGCCTGTGAAAGCCCATGCAAGCCCTTTGACCCGTTTCTCTTGCCGATCACGCTCGCGGATTTCTTCGAGTTCTTCTAAAGTCGATGGCGGCGCCATGGCAGGACGAGAAAATGCTGAGTAATTTTTAGGATTCAGAACACGGTTCGAGGTTTTTGCAGAGGGATAAGGGAAATTTTCGAAGTGCGGATCTCACGTTGATATCGCGGCGTGGGCTTTCGGGGAACCACACTCAAATCACCATGTTGCTGCCCCCGGGTGCCGGAGCCAGGGTGCACCACCATGTCCCATTCGCTCTCCTCCGCATTGCTAGGTGAACCACGCATCTCGACGACGGTGCGAGAGGCGGCTGCAAACTGGCGCACAACGAAGGACAGCGCCAATCAGGATGATTAGGCCTTTGAGCAATATTGCATGATCTTAATGGCGGGAACGAATGGTCTCCAGGGAAACTTGCATCGAAGATGGAGGGGAGTGCCAGATCACCATGCAGAGACGACTGCTTTTAATATGACACGGACCATATGATCACACCCAGGGGTGGCCGAAGAAAACGCCTGCTTTTATGCCAGAGCTCAGCATCTGCATGGCCAAGCCATGTTATTTTCAACTTGATCAAATTCCCATGCTCATCAAACAATACGAAGAGCCCAAAACCATTTCTACATTTCTTACACAAATCATATGACTGCCACAGGCAGGAGGAATCACCTTTGCGAACATGGTCAGACAGAAGACAGTTGTCCATGGGTATGAACAGGTCGCGCAGTTCATGTCAGCCCATGATGAATTCGCAATTCTCCGACGATTCCGGGCACTGAACATGAAAAATCTGCTCTATCTCCAAGCTGAAATTCTTCACTTGGAAGAAGACCTATCGGAGTTATCGACCAGAGACACAGAATTTCCCGGGCGCAGATACCATGGAAGAGACTGGTGGTCCCTGGCAAACGGGCAAGAAGAGGGCGATCAGGAGCAGTGGGCAAAGGTTCTGCATCTTCGCGAGACGTTGGCTACATACAACGATGCTGTGTTGAAACAGGCCCAGTTTGCTCGTCTCGCGGAACCCTCACGGCACGACCTTGATCTGATGCGCACCTGGCTTCAAAGACCTTCAATGGGAAATTTTCCCTTGTTAGGTTTGGACCGGGCAACCTGGGACAAAGATCACGAGACAGATCTTGTGGCCCTTCGGCCCCGTCGGCAGAGCGACTTCTTTTCCAACTGGGTGATCGAGAACGTTGTCCCAAAGTTTCATCATTTCATCGGGGCGAAATTCAAGGCAAGTGTTCCTCAACTCTAGAATGACCCTGACTGCCGCTATATAGTATCATACGTCACTGACTCAATATATAACCTGTAGGCTCCGGATCCCCTTTCTTCAGGGCTCTATACGTACGACGACAATGCGCTCTTGATGTTTACCTTCTGTGTTATCACTATCATCGCTTCTGCGCTACCGATACTATCAGTGGTATTACTGTACTATGTGCAGTCTGACACTGCAAGGCTGTGGCTCGCCATGATGCTCTGTGCCTGCTTCACCCTAATTGTGGGATTGATGACGAACGCAAGGAGGATAGACATTTTTGCCACTACAGCTGCGTGAGTGATTTTTGTCGCTGATGACCCGAAGTTTGCAGCAATTACTTTGAAGGCTAAAAGAAGATAAATAACAGATTTGCAGCAGTGGTAGTGGCTTTTCTGGCCAATAAGGACGAAACTTGCTAGCCTCTAGCCACAAGGGCAAAAATGGAGGATGCTATGTGGAATCATGTTCCCGAAACAAAACAGTTTCAAGGTGCTGAAAGAGACGGCCGTTTAATTCGCCGCTGCGCTCGATAGATCTACCACGATGGGGTCACTCTAGTAAACCTTGGGGAGCTTGGGCAATGGTGTGATGCATACAACGCCTCATTATGCAAGGCAGTATCACAATCAACAAGTTCTGGGAGGGTTGGTCAGATGCTGCAAGCCCCTCGCCCGACTCTGGTGGTGATGTTGCCCTGCTACGTGGCCCTCCGCACTTGGCCCCGTCCTGCAGCCGCGGGGTGTCACAACAGAAGCCATATTTTGGAATGATCAGCCGACACACTTGGCCTGCAGGTAAGAATGTAGAATTAGGTTAGTGAATTCTAGCTGCATTAGATAATTCAGTATTACTAATGCGCCCGTATCTAAGCAGAGAATAGGCCTTTCCAAGGCAGATTTTAGGCATCAAAAAGAACAGACGGGGAGGTCGTTAAGAAAAAGGGCAATAAGTAGTGCACAGCGCACAAACACATTGGCAGTAGGAATATATTTGTATTTGAGCATGATCAAAAATGACGATATTAGATCTTGTAATGCTAAAGCAAGTCTCTCCGAAAAGCGCTCTGTACGGCGAAGGATAAGACGCCGTGCATCGAAGCGTCTGAGTGCCACCCGACATGGTTTTGCACGAGCATGGCACCCGAGCATGGAGCAAGGTATCGTATTGTTGTCGTAGTTATTTTGTCCAAAGAGGGCTTGCGGTGGCGCAGTATTGCTCTATAACATTATTTTTGGACGGTATAGGGTGAACGGAAAACCTTTCCTTAATCGTCGTTTGCATTACTGTTGTTTCGTGATGTGGCGGGACGGGAGGCCCGTGGACTCCATCGCGGAGCCGACGCAGGAGAGGCTTACTCTCACGCGATTCAAACCAACTGGGTCCACGACGTTGGGAGCTTTCTCCCGTGGCACCGTTACTTCATGTGGACACATGAGAAGCTTCTCCGCGACGAATGCAACTATACCGGATACCAACCCTACTGGGAGGAGTCTCTTGACTCTGGCAACATCTCGGCCAGTGTTGTCTTCGACCCCGTCACCGGATTCGGAGGCGAGGGTGGCGACTGCCTGACCGACGGGCCGTTTGCGAACCTCACCCTCGGTCTGAGCAGCAATGGCTCCCAGATCTGGGAGGAAGACTACTGCCTGGCCCGCTCGTTCTCCGACACTGTCTTCGAGTATGGAAACACTACCTACATCGAAGAGTGTCTTTCTTATGACAACTGTGAGTAAACACAAAGGCGAAAGAAGGCCTGCCTTCATAGTCTACGCTTCACGTAATTCACCCAAAGCTAGTCCGTCTGATCGAACAGACACCGGCGCATTGGAATGCTACATGAGCCTGCCCCACGTAGCTGGTCACGGCGGTGTCGGAGGCACAATCCTCAGCGTCGCTGGCTCTCCTGCCGAGCCGCTCTTCTTCCTGCACCACACCAACCTCGACCGCCTCTGGTGGAACTGGCAGCAGGTCGACCCGGACACGAGGACTCACGACATCGGGAACTTGTCAAACATCCCTCCGTACTCGTACCTGGAGCAACACTATCTCGATTACCCGTCCGCGTCGCTGATTGACTGCTCCGGGGACAACGGCAACACCATCACGCTGCAGCACGTGCTGTGGATTGCGGACATTGTGCCGAACGTCATGATTGCGGATGTCATGGACCTGAGCGGCGAGACAGTCTGTGCTGAGTATGTTTAGGTCCAGCTAGAGATTCGGCTGACAGTCCCGATATTATGACATTTTTGGGTTCTTGTTTGCATGGGCTTTGCTATAGATTTGGTATTTTGTAGCTGCTTGGGGACGAATCGGTCAAATAGAGGAAATCAATGGAGTTGTTGCGATTGCGGTTTTGATAAAGTCGGAGCACATCTGAAGCCATTTACTGCCTAGATAAAAGCGTCAAAGATGCCACTATGCCCACAATCATGCGCGACTTTGTCCAGTGAAGTTCTTGAATCAATGATAAACTAGGACAAAGAAAAGAAGACATCTTCCCCCACCAAACTCATGCGCACCGCAGAGTGTGGCTGCTCAGCCGTAACCTGGTCAATAGAGGAGGTAGAGGTGGCATGTATAGAGAAACGAAAGTTGGTAAGCATTGTGGCCCCGGCAATGGGCATATCAAGGCCCTGGACTCTGTTTGACAAGGTGCATATGAGGCTCGCGGCCTCAACATCTCCCTGTGGCGTGTGTTAGTTATACACCTTCAACTATTTCTTGATCTGAAACGCATCTCACAAGAGCTGATCTGGTTATCATAGTCACCACCGTAATCATCGGTGACCTCGGCGAGGTTGTAGTTGTAGGACAGGGTGACGCCACGGTCATCACCCTTGTTATCACAGTCGACGAACCTAGGTACGCACATGCGTCAGCGAACTATTCCTGAGACCTTGCCCGATTGGACTCAACACGCGCATTGATGATCACTTGCAGGGGAATATAACACTGACTTGTAGAACTGGCAGTTCCCTCCGGTGTTTGTGCTCAATGAAGAAGTCTTGTTCTCATACTCGTCGAGGAATGCCTGACTGCTATCGAAGCTGCTGTAGTTGACTTTGTTTCCATCCTTGTCAGCGCAGTTCTCGATAGACCCAATGATACTGTCAAATAATTGCTTACCGCACTTCCCCGGTGCTGCACCAAATGACAAACAGTTGCCGCGGAAAGCAGCAATATCGCATTGGAGGACAAAAATGTACGGAGGAGTGACAACGGGACGATTAGGGTCAGGTGTCGAATCATGAGGGACTTCCTGGCGCCTGCTGACGGTGCCATCGAATGTGATCAACGGTGCGGTCATGAAGGCATTGTAGGCTTCCGGATGACTCGTCTTGACTGAGTCTCCGATGGCGAAGAGAGAGTTTTCTTGAATCGTGGGCAGGGCAAGGGAAATGGGGATCGCCAATGAAGCCACAACGGCTGAAACGAAAGTGTTGGTCCGCATGGCTAAGTATTGTAGTAATACTTGTTCTCAAAATGAATGTGCAGTACGATAGTTAGAGGAGTGAATTATGCCCCGGTGCGTCCCACTCTAACCATGACGGCAGCATGGGCAGCTTTTATAGCCAGGACATGACGATCAGCCCACAGAGAAGACTCGAAAAGATTCGAATCTGCGGTCTCTCGCCTTCTGTCGGATAAATCGGCGTGTTCATTTGTTGCTACCTACTCAACTGGGTAGCGGACCCGGCATCCGCAACATTCCAGGTGCCCGTGATGATTTAAGCCTTCGTGAATTTTATCCAATCCCTAAGCATTAACAAAACCTTCCCGTACAAACAATCCGCTCATCAAAGCATTTTGAGCGATTGAGTTTCTCGCTTTTTGTTATTAACTCATCACGAGAGACATGTTGACATCCTTCCTGGGCATTCTTGTTGTTCGTACTACCCTCCGGTTCATCCGAACACCCACCGAAGCCCTGTCTACAAGCGAACTTTAATACAGAATCCCCTGAGTCGTGCCAGGCACACTTGGGACTTTGGCTTCCTTGCCTTACCAAAATCGGAATATCGGATCGGCACAGAGTCTTCTTTAAGACGACGTTCCTAATGCTCATGGGAAATGTAATGACTGTCAATATACCCGCAGGGATATCTCCTCACAGGATAAATTGTGAGAATAATGCTCACTGACCTTAATCGCGATCTCGCAGCGTATATTATGCTTCCTCAGACCTATCTATGTGAAAGTTGCTTGCAGGCCACTATCACTCTCTCAAGCTTGTTTCTTGTTGGGTTGCCCATAAATTGTCATCGTCAACTCCTGGGAAGGCTATTGAAACCTTAATTTTGGATGTTGAAGTCGCTGAAATACACTCGCTGGGGGGAAAGCATAAGTCATGGAGCATTGCCTACTACTGCAGCGCACAGGTCACGATGCCCATGCAGTGGAATCTATTTTTGTACCTAGGTAACCAACTTTATTACAACTCAAAATATCCCAAATGAACCTCCTGGAAGGTTCATGTTGGGAGATCACCTTCGTGAAATGACTATAGAGAAAAATATGAGGCTGGTCACTCAGCTCCAATAAGGACGCTATCATGGCGGCCTACTTAATGTTCTCACTCAGACATATGGCAATGATGATACGCCTTAGTCTCGGATCTAGTCACTCGTCTGGGCCCATTGAAAGTATCCAGCACGGAGGTTATACAAGACGCGAAAATCCTCTACACCTGACGCGTACCGACCAGTCATACCGAACCTCCAGGGATTTGTGAAATGAACACTCAGGCATGTGTGGGAACATTGTCCCAATAGGAAAGTCAATTCTAATACTCCGCAAAGCATGACTGAAAAGCCAAGTGTAAGTCATCGAGAATCGTCTGATCTACAACAGAGGAACATTGGCAGGCGCTTTAGTTCGTAAGGTCACGTCCTGAAAGATGCAACTTGCCGTACATGCTAAGTATCCAATTGCAACCGGGAAAAGTCAAAGATGGGCTACCATGTCAGCCACCAAGCGTGCCTCCATGGAGACTGCCGAGACTGCCCTTCGCAAGAAGCTTTCAGTCAGTGACATGATTTAGCTGCAAGTATGAGGGTCACAGGCCTAAAACCCGACGAGATTGTACTCCAGCAACCCTTTAGCCACGCCCAGATCACGTTGCGACAAGATACCGGAAGATAGCATACATCCCCACGCAACGATTGAATTGATGTGATGATGTTTCTGCCAAGACTCAAAGAGGCTTCAACCTTCAGTATGGAGTTGCTGTATTGTACCGGACAGCGCCGTCCCCCCCCCCCCCCCTCACAGACACTTCTTCCCGGGGGACAGGGAGTGGGGTTTAGCTGGTGATGCCTGAATGTGGTAGACGGATAGTAAGACGAGATATGTAAGATGGAAATGCGTTGGGGGATACTCCCTCAGAGAAACAGATTCAGTCAAGAAGGTTGGGGGACATCTGGACGCGTTGGTTGCACCCAGCCCAGAGTACCGCTACAGGGTCGAGAACCCGCCTCCAAAGCATTTGCAAGTACCGGGTGTTAACTTCTAGACCAGGGCTCGTGACTCGAACACCGGATATGTTTTCAATCTCGGAATGTCTTGATAGAGCTTTTGTCATATGTTGACTTGTAAAACTTGGCCTCTTCAGAGGCCGCATTCTTCACGGCTGGGGAAATGGATGGGCCGTTTGACAGGCTGGTAATGTTGTATCCGCAAGGCTAGGCCAACAGCCCTGTTCATCATGTCTTGCCGGAATTCTGCCATCAATGCATCCCCTTAAGGCCTGACAACGGGTCTACCGTTGTGGGCTGTCAGGACAGCGTGAATGATACCTCTGTTCCTCCAGTTTGAGGCCTGCAGAACTAGGTACCTCCGTACGTGGCTGACCACTGTAGGTTAGAGCTTCTCGAAGCTTTGGAGCTTAAGTGACGCGAACCAATAGCCAGCTGCTGACAATGACGGAGCACCTACGTATGGGCCGGTCCACCCCACCAGAATGCGGGGCTAGCGGGGCTCTGCAGGGGATGGTCATGCCGTCATTGACACCTCAGGCAGAGCTTCGACCACTCACAGCTCGCACATTACAAGTGCTCCTCCTTCGGTGCAGCATCCCAGCCCGTCTCAGGTTTGGGGGATGGTGCTGAGACGGGCGAGACGGGGGCAGATGGACAGACAAGACACAGCGGTTGCGTGCTTGTGCTTGACGTCTTATCGCCGCGAAACACAGATGCTGATACCTCATTGACTCGGCCCCCTCACCGTCTGCTCCCGCTGCTCCCTTCTCCCCCTCTCCCCAAAGGGAATCAAGCTTCATGAATCCCCTCATCTTCCGGCCCAGACCAATCTCCCTGTACAGAGCCGTCAAGCCCTTGTTTAACCACCACGCTACAGCTACCATCATCAGAAGACCACTGCCGAGTGCATATTTCGGCACCTCAGCGCCAAAAGCCATGGCCCAGGAATATAAGCTCAAGGGCGTCACCTCGCTCGACCTCAAGCCAGGCGCCAAGAAGGAGGTCGAGGTTGAGGGGCTCGACACCAAGGTCCTCCTCCTCAATGACGGAAGCAAGGTCCAGGCTGTCGGTGCAAAGTGCACCCACTATGGCGCTCCTCTAGTCAACGGAGTCCTGACCACAAACGGCCGTCTTACCTGCCCTTGGCACGGAGGTTAGTCCCGCTCCCCTTCTCTTGTACGTTGGACAACAGGTCAATCTCGGAGTTAGAAGCTTACACTGTGCTCTTCTCTCCAGCTTGCTTCAACGCCAAGACCGGCGATGTCGAAGATGCCCCTGCCCTCGATGCCCTCCCTGTCTACAAGGTCATCCAGAAAGACGACGGTTCCGTCTACATCTCCGGCGAGGAGGCCACAGTCAAGGCTGGCCGTCGCAAGCCCAACATCAGGTGCAAGGTCCAGTCTGCATCAGTGGAAGACAGAGTCCTGGTGGTGGGCGGTGGCTCCGGCGCTATCGGTGCGATCGAGGGTCTCCGTACAAACGGCTTCCAGGGACCCATCACTCTGATCTCCAACGAAGGCTACCTGCCAATTGACCGCACAAAACTGTCCAAGGCCCTCATCACCGATGCGAGCAAGGTCGAGTGGCGCGACAAAGAGTTCTTTGAGAGCGGCAGCATTGAGATTGTTGACGATGAAGTCACCGGCGTCAGTTTCGCCAACAAGACGGTTAGCACCAAGGCCGGCGGGAACTATGGCTACAACAAGCTCATTCTGGCCACTGGCGGTACAGCCAAGTCGCTCCCTCTGCAAGGCTTCAAGGTGCTGGGCAACATCTTCACGTTAAGAAACGTCCATGACACCAAGCAGATTGTGGACACCATTGGCGACAAAGGCAAGAAGATCGTTGTCGTTGGCAGCTCCTTCATCGGAATGGAATTTGCCAACGCCACCGCTGCAGACAACGAGGTCCATGTCATCGGCATGGAGGGCGCACCTCTGGAGCGTATACTGGGAACTGATGTCGGCACTGCCCTCCAAAAGGCCTTCGAAGGCAAGGGCATCAAGTTCCACATGAACGCCGGTGTTGACAAGGCTGAGCCTTCGACATCTGACCCCTCCAAGGTGGGCGCCGTGCTACTGAAGGATGGCACCCGCCTGGACGCGGATCTCGTTGTGCTTGGTGTCGGCGTTGCTCCCAGCACTCAGTTCCTCAAAGACAACACAATCGTGAAGCTTGAGGGCGATGGCAGTCTCAAGACCGACGAGAACTTCAGCGTTGTCGGGCTCAAGGACGTATACGCGATTGGCGACATTGCCAGCTACCCCTACCACGGCCCAGGAGGCGAGGGCAAGTACGTCCGCATCGAGCATTGGAACGTAGCGCAGAACGCCGGGCGGACTGCTGCTAGCCACATCGTCGCACCCACGAGGAAACCCGCACCCTTCACGCCAGTCTTCTGGAGCGCCCTGACCGCACAGCTCCGCTACTGCGGAAACACAATCGGTGGCTACGACGACGTCGTGTTCCAGGGCAGCCTGGACGAGGGCAAGTGGGCCGCCTTCTACACCAAGGGCGAGACGGTAGTGGCAGTTGCCAGCATGGGCAAGGACCCTGTAATGGTACAGAGTGCGGAGCTCATGGCTCTGGGCAAGATGCCCAACAAGTCCAAGCTGAAGGAAGGCCTGGACCCGGTCAGCCTTGGACCACCGGAGTAGAGCCACGCTGTACAGAGGCAGCTTGTTGTGGTGCAAAGCATGTTCGTCACAGTGATTTTGGGTGCCCACACGGCCTGCCTGATAACGCTCGTAGCATCGAGAACGATGATGACAATGCTCTCGGTCTCTTGAGGCTCACGATAACGACGCGCGGACGCTTGTATGGTTACACACCAAGTAGTGTTTTGGTAACATGGATTCTGACCTTTCTTCACCTTTCTTCAACGACGATCATTGGTCTGCTACATGGCCAATCGCTGACATTGTGTGGTAATGCTGGCAATTTTGGATGACGCGTCACGGCTCCACGGTGCGTTTTGCATTGCTCTGAAGCCTGAGTGGCTCACTCATCAGCTCTGTCACAATTAGTGGCAGGGGCTCGTAACGTGCCTGCTGTCAGAATACCACTGCTCGGACGCGCCTTCCCCACCCCCGTCAATCCGGGTACTGAATAACGAAGCGTCACTCATTACTTCTAATGAACTCGAATTCCCAGTTCTACCGCAGCCATAACGGTGAGAAGATTCTTCGGGGCATCCAATGGCAAACTGTTTAGAGTCCAAATATCTTCCCCGTTGTGCAGTCCAACGTCTGGCAAAGCCGGGGCAGTGTCATCAGGAATTTGGTCCCCTTACCCCTTACTCATGCCGAGTATGGAATCCACAAATTGCACATCTCAAAAGTTTGGTTGTGCTAATTGACAACCCGTCTTCTCCCTAGGTGCCATGATTGTCGGTACAGACGGGGGATTGATAGTTGACCCATCTGAGTCACATTTTCAAGCAAACGAAATGAGACGAGACATGCCATTCCAAAGACTTCCCAAAGGCTCCCTATAACCTCGCCCGCAAATGTCCAGACGACATGGACGTAAGACTACAGGCAAGCGTGACCCTATGGCAACCAATCAGAGTCATGTCATTTGGATTTAGACTTCAGATGGTTCCAACTCCAAACTTTAAATGCACTGCAAAGAAAGGAGACGGTCATGACCTGATTCTCCATTATATCATGACCATCATCATCATCAGTTCTGAAGATGATTGAAGCAAACGATATCCACAATGGCCTCCCTATGCTACTGGCACTGGCGTGTCTCCTAGTTGCAAGTCGGTACAGATTCTGGTTGAAAGGGTATTGGTACGGCAAAAGCTCCAGACCACAAGAGAAGCTAGCTCCCGGGATCGATGGAACCCAGCTATACTACGGCAGAAAGAGATGGCCGCAGTACGAGGCCAGGTTCAATCTCAGGCTATCCTATGTGTACGGACCAGTCGTTCTGATCAGACACCATTCTACCACTTGGCTTGCCAGGCTTCAGCGCTGGTTCGACCGCTTGGCCTGTCGGTCTCAGGAGGGAACAGACACCACGGTTCTCATCAACTCGCTGTCCACGAATGAAGGCGTATTGAAATCTCTAATTGCGTCGTGCGCCTCGCGACGGCCTTCGATCCCCGCCGGGAAATATCTCAGCCGTGGGCAGAGGATCGTCCTACAGCCATACGGCCCAGCTTGGATACTACACCGTCGGGTGTTTACATCGCTCTTAACGAAACACAAGATCAGTGACAGATGGAACAAAGCCCTGCGCCACGAGGCAATGGTCATGGTGGGCCGTATCGCCGAGCTAGGAACCACCTCACGCCACCCGACCGACACGACGGTATTGGACGAGGTATCGCGCTTCACTGCGTCGAGCGTTTTGCAGATCACATACGCCCGAAGGGCGGAGACTCCGGATGATCCAATCTTGAGAGACCTGCGCATGGTGTCGCAGAACATCGCGAGCGCCTTCACGCCCGGCAAATACTGGGTCGAGGACTTTCCGCTGCTGGACAATTTCCCTACCTTTCTCTCGCCATGGAAGAGGAAGCTGACCGCCGACCACCTTTTTGAGATGGCACTATTCGAACGCTTGCTTCACGGTGTGGAGGCCGGACTAAACGGGAGCCAGGGGGGAGGTGGCTCAAGCCACGACAAGCTGCGCGAGCAGACCGGAGGCAGTGTGATAGCCCCCGAATCGTGTGCCGCTGCCGACCTGCTTCGGAGCAAGCAGTTCCAGCTGGATCGAGAGAGCATCGCATATCTCGCGGCTGGCATATTCGAGGCCGGCACGGAGACGACAGCCATGACTCTCAACACATTCCTGTTGGCGGCAGCATGCTACCCGGAAACGACAAGGCGGGCACAAGCAGAGATCGATGATTATATGAGCAGTAAAGACAATACTGGGGAGCTGGTCCCAACATTTGAGGATTTGCATCAATTGCCATACCTTGGTGCAGTCGTGAAGGAGGCTCTGAGGCTGACTCCCACGGGCAGCTCTGGAGTTGGACATACCCCCACAAAGCTGGAGCCATATTTTCTCGATCTTGATCGTGATGGCGTTGGTGGCACAGACAAGCTTGCCTTACCCCCAGGGGCTACCGTCTTGGCCAACACTTACGGCCTGCATCACGACCACGACCGGTACCCAGACCCCTGGCGTTTCGACCCGGGCCGATGGATTGCTCCGGTAGACTCGGACCAGGAGTCTCCTCCACCAGGCGGGGAGAAGTGTTCGCCATCTAGCCACTCCCTCGACTACACCCACGCAAACTTCGCCTTCGGTTTCGGGCGAAGGATTTGCCCGGGCTCGTCACTAGCCTCACACTCCCTGTCGATGGCCATCGCGCTCCTCCTGCTGTGCTTCGACTTCGAGCTGACGGACCGCGCAGAGGCCCACCGCCACGGCGTGGAGAAGCAGGACCGGGAGGAGTTTAGGAGGTGGGCCGAGCTGTTCCCCGGCGTCGGGGGCGGGGCCCAGGCTGCGATGCACCGGGAGCGGGAGTCCAAGTTGGACCACCAAGACGAGGGGGACCGCATCGGAAGGGGACTCATTGACGCTTACATCGCGTTCACGTTGTCCAGGGAGCAGTTGGCGGAGTGCATCCGTCTGGAGCCTCGGAAGGGGAGGCCGTGGCTGAAGGCTGTTGGCGATGTCCTGGCGTCGACTTACAGCCAATGAATTGCTGAGCTTCTTCGTGGCATTCCCATATCAGCATGGCAATGCTCAAAATACTCCGAGTGGATGTTAGAGAATATGCCCATATTCAAAGTGTATTGCTGGTCGGGGAAACTTGATCAAGAGGGAAACCGGACAACGGCTCTCTACCTAGGTACATGGCAAAATGAGGATATCGTGAGAGGTATGTTATGGAGGCGCTTGGCACTTTTGGGGGTTGGTTTCCTTCCTTTTTCCTTGGGCTTGATCCTGGGGGCGGGTATGGGTTTGTTCGGAGTTAAAAACATCAACACCATGCGCCGCATTGATAGCAACGTACCAAATACGCGTACGTAATGGACTTTGTTCAACCGGCTTGAGAAGCAGGCAGGCGCCTTGGAACACACAATGTCGTCGACGACTCTTCCTCAATGTGACTCTACATCGCAGGATTTCTCAGCAGATATAGGCTACTGGCCTCTGGGAAATGGTTTCCCCGGGGGCGTTGTGACAAATTTAGCCCGGGACAGACTGGAGCCAGCGAATTTGCAGTTGGGTCTGGTTGCTTTGGCCGGAACAAGTGATCCGGAAGGCGCCTGGATTTTTCACCTGGCAAGTGCCTTTCAAGCTTAAATTTAGGGTAGACTAGGCCGACCGTTACATCCTGCAACATGGGATTCTTTTGCGGCGGCTGTTTTGGGATCCTGATGTGGTGAGGCTCTGCATCTGCGGGTGGTCCGCCTAGAAGTCCATGACGTCGATTCTGCCTATCAGAGGTAGATCCGACCTAGTCGTACCGCCCCTTAGCTCTGTCAACACAATGACGCCTGTTGTCCGTCATACGCCACCCAGTCTGCCACCGTAATGCAAGTCTCAAAATCCCATCAGAGATGTCGACTCTACCAGCCCAAAATTAACTGCCGAGTCCCAGAATCAGTCTAGCCTGAGATGACACATGACTTGGTAAAGGGGAAACGGTGGCTTGTGGATACCAACCGTGTCTCCTGCTGCAGTTATTGGGTACAATTACGGGACATCAACGGCGGCCAAGGTAAGAGATCAGGTTGAGTAGCTGAATGTGTTCTCGGATCCCTACGCACACAGGCGAAATCTGTCTTGTGGTCCCCACAAAGTAGATCGGTGTCCCTAGTACTTATAAGTACAAGACACGGCCCACAAACTCGTGGCTACTGTTTGTAACAAAGCTACTCTCCCTCCGTACACCAAGTTTCCTTTTGCCAAACAAGTCCCAAGTCACATTTTTCACTTTGATACCCAGTACCACTAGATCACCATGTCAGTCACACAGGCAGCTTTCCAGGCCGAAAAGGCCGTCGGTCACGATGGCAGCACCATCACACAACAAGATGTCACCAACTACACAGAAAGCGGCAGGAGCGAGACTATGAAAGCGCTCGTCTGGCAAGCCAAGAACAAGGTTGAGGTTATCGATACTCCCCGGCCCAAGATCATTGAGCCCCGAGATGTTATTCTGAAAGTCACCGGAAGCACTCTTTGCGGAAGTGACCTGCATTTACTTCACGGTGAGTAGTTCCTAAATTGTGATACCATGCTCCAATATCATGAGTACTCATCATTTTACCAGGCACCGTTGTCCAAATGGCCAAGGGCGACATCCTCGGCCACGAGTTCTGCGGCATCGTAGACGAGGTTGGGTCCGAGGTCACGGGCATCAAGAAGGGCGGCCGCTACGTCGCGTCCTTCCAGATCGCCTGCGGCGACTGCTTCTTCTGCAAGCAGAAGCTGTCGTCGCAGTGCGAGCGCACCAACTCCAACACGACCGAGCACGCCATGTACGGCGGCCAGACGGCGGGCATGTTCGGGTATTCGCACTTCACGGGCGGCTTCGCCGGCGGGCAGGCCGAGTACGTGCGCGTGCCGCTGGGCGACCTGAACCTGCTGCCCATCCCGGACGGCGTGCCCGACGAGAAGGCGCTGTACCTGTCCGACGTGCTCGCCACCTCGTACAACTGCGTCAAGGACACGGCCGTGTACAAGGGCGACGAGGTTGCTATCTGGGGCGCCGGGCCTATTGGTCAGATGTGCGGCATCTTCGCCATCAACGAGGGCGCGTCTAAGATCATCTTTGTCGATGAGGCGGTCAGGCTGGACCTGGTCAAGAGCAAGTGGCCCGCGGAGCACCAGGACAAGCTGCACCTTGTCGACTTCAAGAAGCTGAGCTTTGGCGTCACCAACAAGCCCACTGTCGTCAGCACGCTCAAGGAGCTGTGTGGTGGCCGTGGCCCCGATGTCGCTCTGGAGTGTGCTGCTGGCGAGTACCCCAAGGGGTGGATGCACTCGGTTGAGATGGCAGTCGGTGCTGAGACAGACACCAGCGAGCTGGTCAATGAGATGATTGAGAGCGTGAGGAATTTCGGTCGATGCGGCATTACTGGTGTTTATGTCGGATACGTAAGTTGCCCACCTTCCTGGGCGTTCCACGCGATGGCTGACATTTTCTTTCAGACAAACCACTTCAACATCGGATCCCTGATGGAGAGGGGCATTCGACTGATCGGAAACGGACAAGCCCCAGTTCACCTGTACTGGGAGAAGTTGATGGAGGACATCAAGTCCGGGAAGCTGGATCCTCTCCAAATGGTTTCCCACCGCATCAGCCTGGAGGACTTGGACAAGGTCTACTACAAGTTTGCAGCCCACGAGGATGGTATCCAGAAGATCTTTGTGGAGACAAAGCACTCATTCCCCAAGGCTGCCGGGTCTCCTGAGTTGACGCGGTATTAAACGCCGATCAGATTGGAACATATTAGCTAGCGTCTGTATGTAAATTCACAATTACTGTCATCATTAGTCGATTTAGGTACGCCCAAATCGAACTTGGGGAGCGTATTTGGCGAAGAATACCAGCAAAACTTTTAATTCCACCAGCAATGAGTGAGAAATTACATCCTGTCCAAACACATGAGGATGTCATAGGCTATTCCGGTACACAAGTCTGTATAACCTTTCAAATACCTTACTTTTGAATCGTGATGGTCTCCTGGGGCAGTGGAACTGCGACTTTACTGCAAGTGACCCACTCCCTGTTAGACTTCTCAGCATGCTCCTCCCGTCCCGTACTGGGTTCGAGACCCGAATAGCTCTTGCCCCACGACCGAGCATGTCATCACGGAAGTCGCCCATCATCTTTTCGAAATCGGATCCTCTAGCCTGAGTATCTCTGATGCGAGTGATTGTCCGCCCAAGAGTCACACCATCTTGCAGGGCATTGACACCAGCCTCGCCTCGGACCAGACAGACTCAATTCATCAGTATACTTCCGGTGTACGAAAGAATTGGCAGCAAATTTTGGAGGCAGAGAAAAGGACTCACAAGGCGTCATAGAATGTGCTGCGTCCCCTATCAGCATGACCCGCTCAGCTGGCAACTGGTCCGCACTCAGTTCCACACCCTGCAGGACAATGCCTGGCCTCTTGTACCTCCCAACAGCAGTCTTATCGACTAGTACGCGCAAGTGGTCAGGATAGTCCTTGACCCTCTCTCTGACAAAGGCAGCCAGCTCCTCCCTCCTCGCGTTGACTGTCCAATAAGGGTTCTCATCCGTGGCCTTGGCCGCTCAGCCCTGCTCCGACGATGAGGACATGGGGGTAAGTTTTGGAAGCCATGATATGTGCGAGGTTTGATAGGAGGCGGTGCCTGTTGTGTTGAATGATGAATTCAGTGTTAGCATTGTTGACACAGAGAGAAGCGACGTATTTATATTTCTTCAACGGCAAAGTCAGGTCCAAACAGATAGACGCATGTCCTTGGCCGTTCACAGTGCGGATTGTGTCAAGTGCCATTGAGCATTTGCGCGCCGCAATTAACCTGGACTCGGAAGTCCGAGTGGTCCGAGTGGTATTGCATTAGACTTGGAATTTTGTTGCCCATTTCGTTCCTCGATGTAGCAGTCAATTCCCATTTTGCCTGCTGTGGTGTCCTGCAGCTTGGTACGAAATGCAAGAAGAGGTCAGGGATAAGCTGTCGCCGAAGGTAGCTTCAGACGTCTGGGCATGTGGAGAGCCGTCCCGTCCCACCAGTGCGAGAGTTAATTCCCGTTGCTAGCGCTTCCACTGCGGCTCTTTTGCCGACGCCTACTCCAGAACAAGATCATATTTGTCGTATACGGCTAGTGCTTTGATTCGTATCTCAGCACACCCATGGCCGAGAACCCCTTACCTTGGGAGCTGAACCACCTTGATGGATACTAGTAGAGTCATCGTTAGCCTGGGCTGGCAGCCAGCCCTGCACAGGGACGGCAGTTGACAGAAAGGCCCCTATTGGCTACACAGCACACCACTGCGATACTGTTTGCAGTATTGGGAATGGTCTTCACGAGCTGAAGTTCTGAATGCGGCTGGCCAACATCACGCGCACAGCACGTTATCACTAGGATGGCCGCGGCTGAAGAGTTATTTAAGAGGAAGGCAAGAGGTGTGCTTGAGACTCCGAGATGGGATTCCTCTCGACAACTACCTTGACGAGGTCCTCGAAAACGCAGACACATACACTACTAAAGAGCTCATTACAGACCTGATGGCACAGGGGTCTGTCACTCCTTTGGAAGAAATGGAGAGGCAGTTCGACTCTTTCCCGTCGTCCACGCTGCAATTGTCGCTTTTAGATCGCGGTGGGAGTGCCCAACAAGCCTCAAGAGCGACACCGCCGGTTCAGAAGAACGGCGTCAAAGACTATCTCGACAGAGCGAAGAACAACGTGGGGCCACTTCGTGACCTGCTACTGTCATTCGGGGTCTCCGTGGTCTACAGCATCGTCTACTGGATATTCATCTACTTTGTGCTCATTCGTGGCAATATCCAAGTCGGATCCGTCCTCTTCGATGCGTCCAAGACCAATTTGTTGGTGTCAATCTTTTCGCAGTTTGCAGCCATCTTGTTCGACATGGTCATACGAGACCTCTTTGGCTGTCTGAGAATGGGCTTTGCGAACACGCGCCGCGGTTTGTCTCTCGTGAACTTTCTCGGAATGGGAGCCTCGTCCTCCCGGCTGTCGACCTTGGAGTTCACAATCATCAAATGGGTCAGAGACAAATGGCGTGGTTTGTTCAATCTGTGGTGCGAGCTTAGGCTTGCTATACCTGTCATGGGCCTTGCGTTCGGCTCCGTACTGAAGTGTAATCTGCTATCCCTGGCTCTCTCTGCGTCTCGAGGTGCAACTGACATCTCGCCTAGTCCAGGCCGATTTCTTGTATTACTTCGTCTCTGATCATGTCCAGATCCCGATATTCGCTGGACTCGTGCCAATCGATCTGCGAACGCTTATCACCATCCCGGCGTCAGATTTATCAATGTACTTTGCGATATGGACTGCGAGTCTACTCTCTAATACGAGGTATGCCGTCGACATACCGTTCGACACATGCGGCGAAAACTGCAGGTCCTTGATCCTTCCGGGAGGCATCGAGATGGCACGACAATTCAATTCATCATTGAACTACACCATCTTCGATAGTGGTTTGTTGGATGATGCTGAGACAGTTCGCATCGAAAATGCGCCTGGATTGATTCTCACATTCGAGGCCTTAAGAAGTGACTTCCTCTTCGACCCTGATAGTATTTCAGGCGATTGCGTCTTTGGAGGGCAGATGATCAACAATACCCTTCAATTCTGCGTTAAGCAGGTGCATCATTCTTTGGCCGTTGGTACGTATAGCCAGGTTCCATTGAGCGAAAACGAAATCATCATTCTAAGAAGCGACACGCTGGACAGGCTGGGCAGCATGCCCACAAGACCTCTACGACACGAAGAAATGCAACGATAACAGAACGTGGGTCTCTGGCTCATTGGGATGGTCTACGAATATGACTGCATACAAGCAGTTCACGACTACATCTTATGATCGACAAAATTCGTCTATCATAGACGTTCAATTGACAAGTAAGCCACAGCCAATGTTCCTGAACGCAACCGAGTTTATCGCCATCGCCAATCGAGTCCTGATACCCACTTCTTTTGAAAGCGAAGTGGACAAGAATAACATAAATGCCCTCAATTACTTCCTGACCTGGGCTCACCGGACGTATCGCTATTCGTTCCCGGACGACAGGAACACTCTCATCACGACCCTGCACAACTTTCTTGCAGTGCCTCTGCAGTTCACGGTCACTGCTGTGCAATTCTCAAATTACACAGCCGAACAGTTGGGTCTCGGCTCATTTCCGATGCCAAATGACACAATCACTGTAGCAACCAGTGGCCGGTCCAGCTCACGGCTGTTCATACAGCCCTGGGCGGGCTGGCTCTTCATCGCCGGGAATATAGTTCTACTTGCCTTCATCTTCGGGGGAATCATGTTCATGCTTCTGCAGGAAGCCAAGCTCCCGCACACAACAGGGGTGGAGGAACTTGACGTCGTCCGGTCACTAGAAACCATAAGATGTGCAAAAAGACCTGACAGGGCCGCTAGACAACCAGCTGCTTCTGCTGCGGCGAGGCCGCTCTCAAGGTCTGCCGAGGAACTCAATGGGGTACCGTTAGATCATATCGCACTGCATTTGACAGCATCTGAACCAATTTCGAGCTGGGCCCGGATTTTATACCTTCGGCAGTGGAGGGTGTTTAATACACGGAACAACACCAGACACGGGCATCGCGACTAAGAGGGTCGCTGTCTCTACTTGATAGTCCTAGAGCTAGACTGAGAAGCCTCAAAAAAAATCAAAGTCGATTGACTGAGGAGCGTATCTGTCAACGAGGGCAAACAAAAGTTCAAAAGTCTCCGTACGAGCAATCCTGGAAGTAGCTCCTTCTGGCTCAAGAACGAGGAAATGGCCCAAGGCACTCCGGATAGTGCAAAAAAGTATCCATTGTACCTCGCTCGACAACGCGGACGTGAGCGGTAATTAGAGTGCTGAGAACTCCCTGGGTAATATGGCGATACAGAAGTGAAAGGCAAGTTCTCGCGGAGGAAGGAAAGAGGTCCGAATGACAGATTAGTCTGTTTTTGCTTGCTCGCTCTGCGACGGGTGAATAATGAGGATGCGATAATCATGAAGACAATGTGCAAAGGAGCCAGATAACCCGATGTGATAGCCTCAGAAGATCGTGCCCCTTATAACTCCAAATGGTGACTTATAAAAGAGGTAGAAACTTCGCAGGTGGTTGCTGAGGAGGAGCGACGATAGGTGGCTCGGCTGTAACGGTCATCGGAGGAGGTGGTGGTGCCGGAGGAGTGGTACTTGGCCCCTTGAAAGCCTTCTCGACGTCCCGCCAGCCCATTATTATGGCCCATAGGACTGACTGGGAGTAAATTGCCAAAATTGAAATAATGGCAAACAGAGACGGACCATCATTGGGCCTCAGTGCAGCTGGCAGGATCCCGGCCATTAGTCCCATCATGCAGACATATGCTGCAAATAGAGGCCATAGCCACCTCGTGTTCTTCTCCCGGTTAGTCTTCAGGTATAAGTTCTTGAATGTTGCCAGGCCCGCGATTACCAGATTGCTGGCACAAGCAACGACGATTCCCAAGGCCAGCCAGAAAAAGTATGAGTGGTGCCCTTGTTCCGTACTTCCATCATTGACCTCATAACACACTACTTTGCCTTCTTCGTTGGCCTGGGCGACGATGTATACTTCTCCAACCAACGCTGCTGCTGCGGCAAGACCAGCAATGGAATGCTTCCAGTTTCCAATCATGAACCTGAAGATCCTCTGGATGGCAGCCGACAGCTGCCTGAAGGTTTGCCAAAACTCTGACTGCGTTCCTCTTGATCGTCAGCGTCCATAGTCTGCACCATCGACAATGGGAGGGAGGTATAGGAAGTGCGAACAGATACGGATGGAATGGGATGACTTACCATCCAATTAGACGTCGACATTTTCTTTAGTAAATGAGAGAAAGTATGCAATTTCGTGTCTACTCCCTAACGGTATAGTGGTGATATCGTCTCAAGTATGCGGATCTGTTGAAAACACTTCGAGATATTGACTGATGTGGTATGCTGGGCCGGCTGTGGTCAGCTGTGAATACTTAACGGAATATCTTTCCAATGGCAGGTCGAACATTGTGTCCAAAAAATCCCTTTCAGGATTGCTGGTGGACAAAGACAGACGATGCATCGACAATCAACTGTAGAGTCTCAAACACAAATGCCAGATGTTGCATATGCACATGCGAGCTGTTCCTTTCTTGTCTTTTTACTTTTGGGCCACATTGTCACTTCTGGTCAGATGACGGTATGATTCACACAAAGAATATTGAGTCAGAAGGGTTTACTTGTTTCCAGGAATGCTGATGACAGGGCTGCCAGTAGATGATGTCACTTGCAGTTGAGACCAACATCAGAGGTAACATGGTGTTGTCTTCAAGCTACTCCTCAGATCAGTGAGTTGGGGTTGAATAAAAAAGGAACTCGTGCCCACTATCAAACCGGAATGTCTCACTTCTTGGTCCTGGCTCTTTGTTTGTTAGTAAAAGGTTTCAAGTTGTCGAACCAACATTTGCGTCCCCGATCATATTCTTTTTGATCTGGAGTGCTCACGTGCCACAATTCAACATTCATATCACTTGATCTCAGGCATCAAGTGCGTGGGTGATGCCCCACACCGGGCTTGGCGCCGCGCTCTCTAGTGCCCATCATTCAACACCACCGCCTCATACTTGACGGTGCTAAGCTACTCAACCTCCATGACAGCGCGGGCTGAGGACGGAAGGGATCTATGTTTGGAGGACCAAATCTTTGAAGTTGAACGCCAACACAGACGAGGAAGACAGCTGGGAGATATGAGAGTCAACAAAATTTAATATAAGCCGGACAACCTTGAATATCACGGTCGTGTGATACTGTATTCCATATATCAACCTTTGTTACCCTTAAGCCACGTCATTCGTTCAGCACCCCGATGTATTCCACTATCAAGATACTCTTCAAGGCCCAAAGTCTCTTGTGAATCTTTCGTCGTTCAGTGTAGTACTATGCAACGCCGTTTCCAAATACGCTGCAATCGATATACCATACAAACCAAGTCACTATATGACACCAAACCACCACAGAGAGAGGTTCATCCTCATCCCATATCCGGTTCGGGGTGCGATCGCGAGTGCAGACCCTCGATTCTACCACTGAGCTCCTCAAAGCGGCGCCGCCACTTCTTGACCTCGTCAGGCTTCGTGGTCACGCCGATAACGCTAGCACCGTCGTTGACACAGGCGAGCATCGTGCCGTGGAGGGCAGCGACTATGCCGCCACCCGGCGCCTTGAGTACCTGTTAACCACCTGCTACGGAGCCTAAAGTGTTGCATTCTGAAACATTCCACAACATGAAAGACGGGGAGCAGTAAAAGAAGAAGAATGTGCTTACCTCCGTGTCCAGCAGCTCAGCTGAGTCTGGGGTGAGGACTTGTGCAACGTAAGGGTTCTTAAAGGCCTTCTTGAAGACCTCAAGCGAGGGGACCAGCATCATAATTATGCCATCGAATTCGACCGGCTCGCCCGAGGTGGTGGCGGCGGCATTGGGCGGCGTCAGCTCGGGGGACCACGATGGGATTACCTTGCCCGATGCGCGCACCTGGGAGAGCATGGTGGGTGAGTAACTATGGATAACCTCGGCTGTCTGAGGGCTTACCTGCTGATACCGTCTGATACCGGAGCCCTCTGCGAATGGGATGAACTTAGGGGCGTGGACGGTCTGCCACTGGTCCCAGAACTGCTCTCTCGTGAGCTTTGGGTTTCGTTTGACGTATTGTAGGATCTGAACGAATCCCGTGTCTGGAGCCATGATACGAGGATGGTACAAGTATTTCTTGAGGCGCTGGATGCTCTATTTGGTCGTTTCGAATTAACAAAATGGAGTCTAAAGCTAGAAGCAAAGATGGCGCTTTACTACAAAGAAGGAGGGGATATAAATGTATTGGATGCCGACAGTGGTAAAGAGGGGTTTTGGGACACGGTGGAGAAGAGCTGGCAGCCCTCTCTATTTTCAACTCCATTGCATCATGCGACCCGGTGGCCCGACCGACTCGGATCACCAAAGCTGGGGAAGCTGGGGAAGCAGAATCGCTACACGTGCCGCATCAGAACCAGGGTAGCCTTGCTAGCGAGCTAGTCTACCAGAGAAAGCACGGCACGGACCGTTGAGCTTTCTCAAACATGTCCTGCTGCGTGCGGGGCTCGGGGGTTGCTGGGCAGGGCATAGTGTCTCCGCCTCTCATACTCTCGTAGTCTACAGCTTGCAGCTAAGTATAACACTGACTTGTTTGGGGGATTTCTTGGCGTTTCGTGTCAAGTATAAAGGGTGGGCATTGAGCACAAAAGTGCACTGTCTGAGCGGTGACTCGCGCTGCCGCATTTGTGGGCGAGCTCATCTACGCGGGACTTGACCCGCTGTTCTGCTTCCGATTATCTCGATCAAAACTCTGGCTGCCACCACTCTGTCTCGGAATCTGACCCAATCTGGTGTGGCCGTCTTTCCCCCATCAACATACTCTTAAAGCCCTAGACTCTCTTTTGAATCTCGCAAGAGGTCTACAACGCGTGGGAAGCGAAGGGTCATGGTACACGCGAAAGGGAGTGGTCGCCTATAAATTTGTCAACAAATATCGGTAGACAGCACTGCTGGGCTACCCACACTGCAACACCGTCCATAACACATTCTTCCGCCCCTGGTAAAGCCTCCTTACCATCATTTGTTGTAGGACAACGGAGTTCCATTGCCCACAGTATCAGCGCAGAGTTGATCATGAGGATGTCGTTGGCAACGTAGCGTCCTGGACAGATACGGCGACCGAACCCAAAGCTCACATGGCCCTCTTTCTTAGTGTCGGCCACCGATGGAAGGAGAGTTTTGGTCACAGGATCCAGAAACCTATCAGGGTTGAAGATATGAGCATCTGGGCCGAACACGTCGGGTCGCGGTTGACAGCCCAGACGTTGGCGACTAAAATAGCGCCTTTCGGTAAGAAGTATCCTTCATACCATGTGTCCTGGTTGTTTTGTTATATCATTAGCCAAACTTATACCGGGAGAGAGTATAGAGAGGGAAAGACTGACCTCGGAAAGGCAGTGAGGCAGGCCCACAGGGTCGACGGGCCGAATGCGCATCACCTCCATCATCTAGCAACGTCAGTCAGCCTGAAACTCCTGCTTCGTTGATGAACGACGAACCGTTGCGCGTAGATAGGGCAGCTTTGGCACATCGTCGAATGTAGGAACTCGCTCGCGTCCGATCACACGGTCCAGTTCTTTGTGGGCACGTCTCTGTGCCTCGGGATTCAAGAGCATGGCATGAAGCCACCAGGAAAGAGCGCCTGAAGAGGTTTCGGCGCCCGCACTAAAACCGACACAATCCAGCGTGTCAGCTGAGCCAGCAGAGTAGGGCTACAGTCTCTAGGTAGCGAAGACGACGTACAATAGGGCTGAGGCAAGCCAAAAGCTTTCAGTATCGGACATGCCATGCGTGTCTACTGTCTCGATCATTGTTCTGACAACACTCAGATGGCTCTCGCCTCGGTCATATTCTCGAAATCAGCATGTAGCTCGCAGTAGGTCATCAGACGAGGACTGCCAGTTACCATGGCTTTTTGTGTATCTTGATATAACCCACGAAACATTGTTGAGTCATCCTTGAAGGACTTCTCTGCTTTCCTCTTCCATGGCGAGATACTAATCGGGGTGGGTGGCAAGTGATCAGCAGCAGACTCGAAACGTGACGTACACCAAGGTGGGGTCTACAGGTTACCTCGATGGAAAGTGTCTAAGGAAGGGCAAGACCTCCACTAGATTTGCACCAGGCAATAGCGCTCGCGTGAGGCGTGTGGCAAATTCATTGAGTCTCGCGATGGTCGGGTCACTGTCAGAAAGGATCTGGGGCCTGCCGTAGATGATGGCGACCATGGTTGATGCCGTAGCCCGCCGAAAGTGGTCTTCCCATCTGATCGGAGATGACTCACTCAACAGATCGGCAGCTAGCATGATGCCTTCTCGATATTGGGTGGCGTGGAATTGATGCTCACGACCCTGGCGGAGACCAGAGGTGGCCTTGCGCATGCGCAGCCAGCTGAATGCAGAAGAGATCAGGTCACTATCGGTCATCCGGGGGCTCTCGATCTCACTGCCAACATAATGACGACGGCTCGGAAATGAGACACTTACATATCATTGTGGTTAATGAAAGGGATAAAAACCCCACCCGTCATTATGTTAGCAACGATGGTGGCCGGTCTATCCGCAGTGATGATTGCTCTCCGGTCCATCAGATCGGCGGCTGTCTTGAGATTGTTTAGCACGATAAAGGAACGGCCCAAGACCTGAAAGTGAAGAAGAGCGCCTGTGAGGATTTCGGTCAGATCAAAAGCTGCATGAGGGGTGGTAGATCTACCATATTGCTCTCCCCATCGTGTGAACCTGAGCCACGGGCGGTTGTCGAGCTGGAGAAGGTTGCCCAGAACTGGGAGCCCCTTTGGACCTGGAGGTAGCAGTCGCCAAGGGCTCTGGGCTCGGTATACCACAAGCAAAGCGAGTAATACAGTTGCGATAGGTATGAAAGCTGGCGAAATGCTTGCCATGTTGATCGTGAGGTTGCTCAAGTGAACTGTCATTATTACCATCCAGGAGGAGAGAGTCAGGTAGAGTTGAGAATTCGACCTGGATGAGACCTAGATAATCATAGGAGCCACAGAGCACGCGAAGATAAGCATCTCCACCCGATTCCATTTTTTTCTTGTAAAGGATGCAGCCCCATGGCCGGAAAACAGCCAGTGTCCGCCTACCCAGCTTCTGCGTGCCGCCCACCCTCGTCTGCGCCCCCTGTCCACCGGCGTCAATGGCGCCTCACAATCTTTGATCGGGCTCGAAGCTGCCTCATGCCCGCCCACCCACACTTCTTTGCGTAACCCACCCGGTCAAAGAAAACAGTTGCACATACTAATCAAAAGCATGTATACCTCGGGTCCTGACCAATATTACCCCGCTATTCGATAAGGCTAATTATGTACTTGAAATGCACTTCTGCACCCTCTACAGCCTTCTGTGCCCTCTGTGCCCTCTGTACATCTTTGGAGAGCCTTGAAAGGCATTTAAAAGTAACCCATCGCTTTCAAATGTCGCCGGAAGTTTTGATCGCCCATGTGGAACCCCTGAAATTCAGAAAGGTCTAGAGCCTGAAGAGTACTCTGCCGTCAACCTATCGCCGACACCATGCCCCCTTCCCTCGATGACACGCGTGGCCCAGGAACAGTCTTGCGCATTCCGGACACTCTCGCTTCCTGGCCTTGGCCGAGGGCCATCAATCCTCACTATGAAGATTGCAAGCGCGAGTCCTCGGCATGGGCTAAGGGCTTCCACGCTTTCGGTCCTAACGCCCAGACAGCCTTCAACAAGTGCGACTTCAGTATGTCAAAGTAGTCCAAACAGACATGATTTCATCGACTGACACGAGGAACTACTCAGGTCTATTGGCTTCTTTAGGTTATGCTGGCCTTGACCGAGGTAAAAGTCCAAAAGCTCATAGCTTTGTGGCGCGTACGCTGATCTCTTCCCAGCTGGCTGTAGAGTTGGCTGCGACCTGATGAATCTATTCTTTACCTTTGATGAGTAGTCAGATGTCTCTACCGCCCCGGAAACACGTATACAGGCAGACATCATCGTGGACGCCGTTCAAATGAGTGGGTTGGAGGAGAAGTCGCACGACAGTGTGTCCACCTCCTCGCGATATCACCCAGGTGCTAACGTCACCGCAGGTTCTGGCAAAATGCCACCCAAATTGCCACTCGGAGTGCGCAGACGAGGTTCATCGATGCCTTCGAGCAGTACACAGATGCCGTCGTGCAACAGTCGCTCGACCGCAGCAAGGGCTCTCTCTAGCTTCGAGACATGCACGACTATTTCAAAGTCCGACGCGAGACAATTGGCTGTAATCCCTCACTTGCGATCAATCAAATTAATTTTGACCTACCCGATCATGTCCTCCAAAATCCGATCATTATTCGTCTGACCAGCCTCAGCACCGATATGATTATCATTGCAAATGACATTTGCTCCTACAATGTTGAGTGAGAAGCAGGACATTTGCACTGGTGATTTTCTTCTTGTCACAATGAGAATCCAAACAGAACTCGAGCTCATTAGAACTATAGGCAGATCCGCGGAGATGACAACCGCAATCTTGTCACCGTTGTCATGGCCGAGTTGGATCTCGGAATCCAAGACGCCTTAGACTGGATTGGCCGGTTCCATGACAAGTTGGCCAATGAGTTTCTTGCAGAGTTTGCACATCTTCCTTCGTTTTCCACGGAAAGCGAGCCTGTCCGACACGAGATTCGTCTTTCTTGATGCTCTAGGCAATTGGGTCCGAGCCAACGATCAGTGGAGTTTCGAGGTATGGTATCTCACATCCAGACGATGCTGCTACTGTATCTAATATTCTGTCAAAAGAGCCAACGTTATTTCGGAAGCAGTGGTCTACGTGTCCTGAAGGAGAGAACAGTCACACTACTGCCGAATAGGGATGCTCCCTCTTTGGGACCATTGGAATGAATCAGTGAATCAGACTTTAACAAGGGGTCATAACCAGGTACCATACTTCTTATTTGCGACATGTAATACGGCGCAGTTCTGAGCACAGGTCCTTATTTGGCTCATTTATCATCTGTTTTCCGCATGTAAGTCCCATCACAGTGTGTGACTAAAGTTGTCTAACGGCGCTGGATATTACACGTTCTTTGATAGCTTAGATTAGCTAAGTAGACCAACAATCCTCCACATCTGGCCAAACTGAAACACAGCGCACTGGGCCGACTAACTATACCTCTTTTGACGACATGCCAGCAAAGCTTGATGATACAACTAAGAGCTAGGGTAAGTGGGAATATCGACAACTCCATCAGCGATAAAATTATAGCAAGACCCAGAACAACCAATATTACCGCCGTTTGTGATCAAAAGCTTCTGCTTTCCTTCAGAGGCACTTTCCTTGGGTGTCTGGATGATGCGGAGTTCTCGTGAGTAGGCTGACCACTGTCCGACATCGACCGGTTTCCAACCCTTGGCATCAAGCGCGTCCGTATTAACAAAGACCTCTTCGCGGGAGTTGCCGTTGGCGATGAAGATTCCTTCGTTCTCCTTCCCAGGTTCCGGGACCCAGATAACAAAGGGGCTGCCTTCGGGGTTCAAACCACTATCTCCAGGGATGAGGAGCGGCGCAGGAGCGGCGCCAAACTGGAGCGGGTCCTGGGAGACCTTGTGGTGGACGGGGCAGCCGCCGTCGAGGCCACAAACCTCAAATGTCATGACGTATCTTTTCGAAAAGGGGCTGTATGCGACCGTTGCCATGCCAGGACGCTGCTCAAAGTTGTGATTGGCGACATCATCGACTTCTCCGCTCCACTCCCGAAGATTGATGGTGGTTTTGTGAGAGAGCTTCTGGTTATACTTGGGATCTACCTGGGTAGAGTAATAGCAGATGAGTTGACCCTCATGCATCATCAGAAATGGTTCCCAGACCGCCTTGTCTCCTTGTTTGGTAGTTTCGGGCCCTGGACCGTAGACGATGTGGCTCACGAACTCCCAGTCTTTGCCAAGGTTTATGCTGGCGTAAAGGTCGATGTAGGCTTCGGAGAGATTGCGAGGCGTGGAGACGCCGGCAAGCAATACAGTTCCCATGGGGTAACCTCCAAGGTCTTCGGGAAGCGAATAAAGGAAGGGTTGATACCAGTTACCCCAGCCATTGACTTGGTCCTCAACCCTGGAGAAAGGCTGATACGAGGCACCACCATCAGTTGACTTGTAGATGGGGAAGTAGGTAAAGGTCGCCTCGGGATCGTAGTCTTCCCACGACAGGAGGAGTGACATGTCGGGGAGCTGAAGGGTCCGACCGTACAGGGTGCGCCAGCTAGTGGCTTCCTTCTTGGGCATGAAGACAGCATTGTCATTGAAATTTGTCCACGGCTCTACAGCTCTGGGCGATGCTGAAGCCGCCAGAGCCGTGGCCACAAAGGTAGCAGCTGCAAAGCAGTGACCGATAACCATGGTGATTAAAGGGGGACTGAAAAGAAGCAGGATGCAGCGGCCTGTCAAGGAGATGCTGATTGACTCTTGGACAGATGTGGCGGAAGGGAAACTCAGGGTGAAAATGGACATTTATAGGTTTTCTCACTAGCGAAGACCATCACCAACGACAGTGCAAAACAACGAGAGAAAGGACAATCAGACCATGACCGCGAAAGTATTCGGGTCATGGTAGCAATTGTGACACCTGAATACGAAGTGGTCAGTATTTTCGAGCTCGATTTGAACACACAAGCTGCCCGTGTGGCCGTCCAAGAAGAAGCGCACGTATCATACTGTTGTGTTCGCGGTAGTAGGTGACGAGGATAAGTATTCAGCCGTCAAGCGGCTCAAGCCTAGGGATTATCAACCCCAGCATGGAGTTGGTTAGAACATTCTTGGCGCAAGGACGGCATTGCAGCCAATGGCAAGCCTTGTTTTCCGATCCTTGCACTTGCGGGGTAGGGACTTCTACTGTACCTCTCCTGAGAGTCAATCAAATGCAACAATTACTTCGTAGAACCATTACACCCATAACTACCCTCACTCGAGTAATCCATTCATTTCCCTTTCTTCACCCATTCCATTGGCTCCAATGGCATCTCTGGAGACTGATGAGCAGACGCGGCCTTCAAGCCAATCAGTAGAGGTTGATTCCGACGCCAAAGTAGACTACTATAGCACGATCCCCAGACGCTTTACCGGACATTCAGATCCTTGCAACGCCAACCTAACAACCCAACATCACTCCTGTACACGCAGCAGTGGAGGTGGGTACCTGTCTGACGTCCGAGTCCCCACAAGAGAGAAACACTCCTCGTCCGTCACTCTACCTATGCGCGTCTAGTACCATGCGACCCCCTAAAGCGTGCCATGGGTGCCGGCAAAGTAAACGGAAATGTACTCGCCGGAGCGGCCGAGTCGGAGAGGCTTGTGATCAGTGCCAGGCCAGGAACTTGAAGTGTGCCAGTTCCTTGACGAGTGCCCCGTCCCGGCGTCTCCCCCTGGTACCCAGAAGCGAGGGTCCATTAGAGGCAACCCTCAACAACTCGGTTGATGTGACTATCGACGTCGCCGTCCGTCTTGTGGGCTTTTATCTTACTAAGCTTCACAACCGACCTCACAGCCTATTCCATCCAGTCACGTTACGGGCAAAAGTCCAACATGGCTCCATCAACAAGGCCTTACTCCTAGCCATTTGCAGCATGGGTGCGAGATTTGACGAGGATGATCAGATACGCTCCTTGGAGAATAGCTATATGGATGAGTCGAAGCGCCTGCTGCTTGCCGACCTCGAGAGAATTTGCGTTGAGAATGTTCAAACATGCATATTGCTTGCCAATCTCTACGCTGCCCACCTAAATCCATCATCAGAGGCCTTGTTCTTTCGTAAGTGAAATCATCCTGTAATGGTTGTTATGGGTCAGACACTCACTGCGTCTAGGCATTGCGGTCAACTTACTACAAATCATGGATGCCGGCACGTGTCCAGTGGCGACGACACTGGTAGACCGCGAGGTCAGAAGGAGAGCATGGTGGACCCTATACATGGCTGACCGTTGGTCATCTTCGAGCCTCGGATTACCCCCTCAGATCCATGACACCGATCTGGCTGTTGACCTCCCCATGGACGAAAGCATGTTCGAGTCGTTGACTCCAGACGAGACCAAGCTCAACAGCCCTTGGCAACCGGGCATATGGGCTCACAAGATCTCCCTGGCCCGACTATTTGGTCCAATTCAGGATTTAAATCACCGCAGCGTCTACGGAAATGTCACTGCCGATGAGCTTGAGTCAAGCGTGGCGTCCTTATCAAGATTGTTGGAAGACTGGGAGTCGACGATACCCCACGACGTCAAAATGAATGCAGAGAATCTCGAACGTCACATTCAAGCAGGTCACGGCGGCGCATTTGTCGCCCTCCACCTCGGTTATCACCACTACGCCACTTTACTCTACTTTCGCTTCCTCGAGCCCGCAGCGTCATCCTCACCCTTTGCTGCACTGTACCGTACCAAGTGCAAGTTTCATGCCTCTTCTTATAGCGAGCTCGTCAAGCTTGCTCGTCACAAAAAAAATTGCGAAGTCATCTATCCGACTGTCGGCCACATGGCTGTCGTGTCATCCTCGGTACTGCTACATACGCTACTGTTTAGCGAGGACGAAAACCTTCAAGACGCTCGCGATGCCCTCAATGCGAACTTCGAGGCGATTCTCGAACTGAGACGGTATTGGCCTAATACGGGACCCATGGTATGGCTGTCATGTTCGAGTCACGCCCTAGCACCTCGATACATACTGACCGTGATTAGATTCATCGACTCGTCACATTCCAAAACTTTTGTCTACTCTCCAATGACTACAGAACACACAAGCTTGACGGCTGGATGCTGCGTTTTCTAATCGAGTATTCGCTGCCCCTTGGGGAGAAAGATGTGGCGCCAGTGACATCAGGCATGGATCTTGACACGGATAGTTTCGCGGCTCGTACCCAAGCCGTGACTGAGCAGGGTAGATACACTACCTTTGAGAGTGAAGATGGTCTATATCAAGCAGTCTGAACCTGTGGCCATTGAGGAACTATTATGCAGGAAATCAAAGTAACTAGAATAGCCTACCGATTTGGGATCAGTTTCGAGGGCCATGGTTCGAAACAGAAGTTCGAGACCGTCGTGACACCTCTGTAACCGTTTGAGAAGTGTCATTTGGAAAAGTCCCACCAGAAAAGAACACATAAAGTATTAGATACCTTCAGAGGCTTTCTGCTGGGATCTGAATGACTCAAGCAAAGGTAAATTCCATTATGTCCAATGACCTAGTCAGAAATAGAGTAAAAAGTCACCTCAGCAATCATCGTCCTTGCCGGAACAGTAACCGATATGGGGAAACCGCCATAGTCAGGGTCCTCGTTGGGCATCATAGCAAAGCTGCCACTCTTCGTTTCATCTCCGTTCAAAACACGCACTGTTCTCAAACGACCAGTCTCCGCGTCATCAACTGCCTTTTCCTCGAACTTCAAGATACCAGTGAAAGTGCTCTTCTGGGTTACAGCCTTCGCGCTGACCTGGAAGCCCCAACCAATTAGGAGGAACTTGCCATGTCCGCAGCTAATCACCATGCCTGAGCCTGGTCCGGGCTTCCCGAAGACGAAGCATCGATCGATGGTGATCTCGAAATCACCCCAAATTCGCTTGACAGGGCGAGAGAGGTTGCCAGAAGAACCATCTGGTATTTCGTCAAAGCAAAAGCCGATAGATGAGTTGGGATGACGCTGGGCCTCGAGCACAATCGCCGAAACGGACTTGAGCAGCCCATAATGTTTAGTGAAGGGGTTTTCCTCAGGATCTACGGTATCGACACCGAATGGAGTAACCCCCATGGCCGCATAAGATCCATGGGCAATCCAGATGCGGCGAGCGCCGTATTCATCCCGTCGCTGTTCCGGGACGAAGAGTGGCTGGTTCCTATGTCTGTACATGGCACACGACGTTGCGTAGTCGTTTAGATAAATGTCGGGGCCGAGAAAATCCAACTGAGGTGCGAAATGCATCCACACATCCATCACGTTGCTCACAGCTCCGCCAGAAGGGTAGTCTCCCGGCATACCGCCTCCGCCGACGACGACGGGAAAGTCATTGTCCGAATCTTCTCCTGCGTAGTTCATCCACAAGTTGGTATAATGTGGGATAGGGTATTGTTCCTTGCCGGCCGTAGCGACTTCGTTGACGTAGAGCGCGTAGTGATATGCCATGAATAGCTCGTCAGTTCGGGGACTCGATCCGAAAACGGTCTCCCAGTCTCTTCTCCCAGTCGTGGAAGATTCACAGCGGGGTTTAAACTGGGCCAGGTTCTGCTCCTTTATGTCCTTGTTCAGCTGACCCCAGTCCGAAGAAAGAAAGTGTACCAAGCCCTGCGGGACTGGCTCATGGAAGGCCTTTTCGGCAAGCTCAGACCCATCTCGCGAATCTCCAAGTAGGCCGCTTTCGTTCTCGACCTGGACCATAATTACAGTGGAATGCGACTCGTCGAATTCGCGCAGATGCTTCATGAGCGCACCAAAAGCTTTTGCGTCGGCTTTACGGCCCTCTGGATGGAATATGGATAGAACATCGGCCGTCTCGAGACGGCCGCCAGCTTTACGCAGCTTGGCTCGGGGGAAACGCTTTGGATCTTGTTTCACCCATGGTGGCACGTAGGTTGAGAGTCCTGCGTTGTTGTCAGTCTCCACGCGTTGTGACATCTCACGAGATGGAGCAACGGAGGGTTTTACCATTCTTGAATGAGCCAAACCAGAGCAGCACGAGATGCATAGAATACTTCCGTGCCGCAAGAATAATCTCGTCGAGAACAGAAAAGTCGAAGATGTCTTCCTGGGGCTCGATCATTTCCCAGGTGACACAGCCGAGCAAGGTATTGATGTTCGTGTCTACCATCTTCTGCCAAACCGGCTCCATGTACTCGACTGAGGTTAAGGAAGAGTTCTGAAGTTCACCGGCTCGCATGAGAAATGGTCTTTCATTGACCATGAGCTGCTTCGAGTTCTCATTCTCGGCCAGGTGGGGGATATTGACGCTGACTTGTCCCATGTTGGAGATTCGCTGAGTTGTTACATCAGTAAATGTCATTGTACTAATGAGAAGAGCAGAGTGATCAATGTTCAGAGTCCAGACAATCGAAGGGGTGCCAAGGGTAGGTAAGAGCGATGCCGAGAAGGAAGACAGGAATAACCCGTATGAGAGCTACGGGAACCCAACGAGTCCTAGTTACGGCGTGGAATTGGGCCACCATGATTGGCTCATACCCCGAACATGGCTCTTGGGGAATCAACCATCTCCGCTCAGACAGCTCGGAATAGCGAGCTTCTAGCTTGAAGTGGCCCAGACGCCGGTACCGGATCCCACTCAGAGAGCCCGAGACCTTCACTCGTTCAATGATGAGCGCTGAGTGTACGGACAGTCAGGAGATAGCCAAGTCATTTCTCCAGACGAATTTGGAGATCCGCGGGTCATCTAGTAACCAATGCGGAGCCGATTCTGAGGTCTGGTGTATTTGAATGGTGCGCATGTCCCACTTCTCCGATTTGGAAAAGCTCTAGACTCATCAGGAGTAGCGTTACTGTGGCTTGTACCTGGCGACACGAGCAAGTCAATTTACTCATGGGGATTATAGCAGGATAGGTACCTTATAGTAAGTCATTCTATCCCGGGGCAGAGGTAGTACTACAAGCAATTATCCGATGGAAGGCTATCCTATGGAAGGTTGTCCCGTGCCAAATTATCCTATAGACACGTAGATGCCCTACCTCTCTGAATGTACCACGTGACACGTAGCTCAAGCAAGGACGCAGGTATACGCACCCAATACGCCAGAATGCCCATTCTGACTCTCTGTGTTACGATCAACAGTATGCAGCTGACTATGCTTTGAGAAATCACTACTAATCTGATCTCAAAACGGACAGGACGTCTTTTTGTTCAACGGTTTGTACGCCATTAAAGATTGCCGAGCCTGTACTATATCCAGTTCTCTCCTCGCTTGATGCATCCCGACTGCACCATGCTTCAGACTCGAACAAGGGCTCTGAATTCCGGCTGTCCTTGTCGCTCTACACTTGGCTTGCCAAAATTAGTGCCTTTCTTTCTTTCTTCTTTTGCGAGCCCTGCCTCCTCCCCTCCACTCCCGCTAGCTAAAGCAAGCCAATATGTCCCTACCTTGCGGGCCGGTTTGGGCATCGCATTGCAACTGCTTTTGGCCATGATCTTCCATTTCTACGGTATGGTTAGTTTTGCACGCCCCGGCTTGTCCGTTGCCTACTCCTTCGAACCCTTCCCTGCAGCACACGAGCCGATGCTTTGCACGTGCTCGTATGGCGTCTTCATCTGTCACCAAGTGATACATCTTACTCAGTCTGAGTAAGCTAATATATGCGCTGACGGTACTAATCTCAGCTGTCCTGGCTCAAATTTTCCATGTCCCCACAACACCCACCAGGTCGGTATTCGGTCAAGATTCAAGTCCACCGAGAACACCTAGTACATTTGGACTTCGGACTAGCCTGTTTGCCGCTACTATTCAGCAGGGAAGAAAATGATTCTGCAGTCTACAAGTAGATTAATCTACCATTATGATCCGGATGTACGGATTTACCCAGCAACCAAAACTGCGGCCTAGTGGGGTGCTAGAATTGAAGAAATCCCCACAGAATCCTGATGGTCCATGAGAGAGCCGCAACGCCTACGGCGAACAACGTGCCTTACGGGAGCATTTCAAATGTGATATCGTCACAATATTGTGATCACAAAGAGCGGGTACGGCACAAGTCTAACCAAGTCTGAAGGCACCGTTCGGAATCTTAATTCCAGAATACACTATTATGAGTCGCCGTATCTGGCCATTCGGAATGAATCAAAAGCTTGACTACCCAGACCTTCAGCTCATAAGGGCGGTCAAGGCATCACTGCGAACTCAACTTGCGTCAACCCGAGCTGTCATCAAGTCTATATTGCATCCTCTACACAGAACACGCCATCATACCTTCTCTTATCAGAAATTTCCTTGGATTCAATTCGCTGGCCACGATTCACTTGCAAGAACATGAACACTGCAGCTACCCCAACTCAGAAGCTGGCCCGGCCAAGCGAAAGTGGATATCACGACGGCGGAGACACAGTCCATTGTAACGACTTGAAGTGGCTCCCGCTTGCGCCAAAAGTCTGGATTAAACTCGTCAAACTCTCCCCTGAGACAGGTGCACACACTGTCATCATACGAGCGGAAAAGGGAGGGGTCCTCCCGCGCCACCGACACATCGAGAGCGCTGATATATACGTCCTCCGGGGCGACGGCGAGCACCCACAAACAGGTCATTTCTCCCAGGGCGACTACGTCTCAGAGCGGAAGGGCGCGGTCCATGACCCACTCGTATTCGAGGAGGAGGTGGAAATGTTGATGATGAGCAATGGGCCTTCCGTTTTTATCGACGATGAGGACCGTGACTTGTTTTTGATGGATATCCCAATGCTTCAGCGGCTGGCTGAATCGGCCGCATGATTGATGGCTTTTAGAAGAGAACAGTGCCTTTAAGAAACAGTCCTAAGGCAGAAGGGAGGACTCAGAAAAGGAGGTCGCTCCAGAATTTGTACACAGAAATGCAGGATTAGAGGGTAGGAATCAAAATCATGGGAGACGCTCAAAGGTTGGGAGCCACATTTTCGACTTCTCTGCCTGCTTCTCCATGAACCCATCAACCTCCGCCTGCCTCGTGCCGTAGTCTCCTGTGAAGAAGTTCCCCTCTCCAAACTCGCGGACGACGTCTTGTCTAAGGGAACCAGGCGCCACCACCAAGTAGCTGCAGGCCTCAGCGGGCTGGCCGAGCTCGCGTGCCTTCTTCTTCACCCAGTCCAAAACTTGTTTGAAGAGCTTGGTGCCGACGCCAATTCCACGTAGAGAGTGCTTGACGTCGACGTGCTCAATGAAGACAAGAAGCCCACGTCCAAACTCGCTTCCCCAGACTCCTGTTCCTTCCTTTGGAGACCCACATCCCCAGATACCGGACCTGAACGCTCCATGGCGATCCAAGAGGTCGTGAGCGAGTGGCTCCACATCTAGCACGGTCTCCAGAATGTCGCCGCGAAAGGTTGCGATGTTCACTTGACTCTCGGCGATTGCGGCCATACGGAGGGTTGCAATACGGTCGGGCGGCAGATTGCCGTCAGGGCGCACGATCGCGTACACAGTGCACTGATCGAAGGTGCTGCGGCCGTCGCCGTCCTCGTCGCTGCTGTCGTTACCCATTGAGGCAGAGCTGGGCAACGATTGAATATCAGCGTCAGTAGATGAGACTTACTCGAGGAGACCGCCGATGTTGACATCCTCCAGCTCGAATTCAAGTCTGTTGGCTCGAACGGCATGGTGGCATGCAAGTTGGTACTCGTTGGTGGCCTTGACGACCTCGAGCCTTGCCCTTTCTCGTGTCACTCTCTGGATCATCTTCGTCATGGACTACTTTTGGGTCTCGGCATCTTCACCATTGTCGGAAGGAGGCATGGTTGATGCCAAGATAGTGACCTGTCGTCGAAACGATGGTCCTCGGCTGTTGTGAGTTGTTGTTGACAGGCTGTGGTAGGTTCAGTTGCAGATTCTCGAAGGATGCAGTAGAGGGGTTTTATGGCGCCGTGGTCACCTGCCATTCACTGGTCTAAGATTCACACATGGGCAGTCTACAATAGTATGGAGTAGCTTCATTCAATGTGAGATTGCTAGAAGCTTCTTTAAGCGTTTACTTCAGGCACTCGCTTCAGGCTTCACTGGCCCCAGTCACTGGAAAGGGCCTCCACATGCCACTTCCACTGATACATCATGTCCCCAAAGATTCAACAATTATCAGTCCATACAGTCCGTAAGAGGCGAGATAACGTCCAAGCTGGCAGATGTAGTTGTAGAAGCAGTTGTAGAGAAGTTTCCAATACTGAGGTGTAGTGCATAGCTGATGCTGTACGGCTCCCTTGAGCTCTTGAGTTGGGCTTTGAGTGTCAGGCTGGCTGATTCTGCGTCTTTGGAATGGCGTCATAGGAAGGCTGTTCTCTAGATCTCTATCATTACCGGAGTGAGTATGGAAATATGCATGCGACATGCCACCCAGGCAGCATTTTCTTCCCGCCATAGACCGTGTTGGCAAAATCTCGTCATTTGCATGACGGACCGACCAGTCTGCAGTCTGTCGGCTTGTCTCTGCTAATCGGAGGAGAAGCCCCGGCGTGGTCTAGCGCGCTGTTGACAACTCACCAGCCACAAACCGCCCATTCAGGCAGCTTTGATCTTAGCCAGTTCATGTCATTGGCTGCCACTGCTGATCTAACCTTGCTGCAAACAGGTTTGGAGCCACATTCAAAGGAGAACCAGGTACCCAGGTACTTCCACAATGACGACTTCCCCAAGCCGGGGCCTTCTTTGTGTGGCGTGTGTCCCGTCTGACAACTGACGTCACCCTTACCGTGGCTTGACGGCGGAGCTGTTGGGAATAGCGGGCGAAGATATAACACACTCAAGCACGGCTCCAGCTACGCAATTGCTCTCCATCACAAACTTCCAGCCACAATTCATTTATCGAAGGAAGCAAAATTCATACCGCATTTCGTCTGACAGACATCCTTTTCTACCACAACAGCCCCACGAAATCACAGCCAAGATGACCAAATTCATCGCTGCCTTCGAGGACTTCTTCAAGTCGATCTACGAGCTTTTTGCCAGCATCATCGGCACTTTCGCCTCGCTCGTCAACACGCTGATCACGACCGTCCTCAACTTCTTCAGTGGTGTCATCAACCTCTTCCTCGACGTGGGCAAGGGAGCTGTCGATCTAGTGGGCGGCATCGGAAAGTTCATCGCCGGTAAGTCGAACAAAATACTACCCTGCATGATGTGGCCACGGATACTGATCGTATGTCGTAGGCAACATTGTGGTCTTGGGAGTGGTCGCTGCGGGTGTCTACATCTACACTCGTCAGCAGCAGGGAAAACCAGTGGTCCCTGCGAAAAAGACCAACTAGAGCTGTCTTGATGGCGCCACCGTCGAACATGATTGCATGCACAGATTGACCTTGCAATACTTAACAATGACGACAGAGGAATGAAGAAGGCGTTGAAGGCAAGATATGGTTTAGTTCTGCGCGGTGTCCTTGGTATACCACGATACCCCCTCGAGTTTCGGCTTCGACAGATCCTGGCTTAGTTAGGTACATAGCAAAACAATAATTCAGTCCCCAGATTTGGCACATGCAGTTTCCATGATTGTTTCACAATTAGAATGTTTCAAATTATGCTTATCACTATTTGGCTGTTCAACAATTGCTTCCAGATGCGCCCAAATCTCATGGTGTTGGACGTTAATTCGGAACATTGCGCACATAGATGCAGTAGCCTCTACAATTAGTCGGAAGTACCCGTAAAAGTCATTCCTTACCCGCTTGGTGCAGACTTAGAGTCACAGGAGGGATGTTTCCGCAAGGCGAACTGGGTTTCTGGCCCAAAAATGTGACATCCTCAGACACTTCAAAATGAAGCGTTACCTACAGGCAGAGGAGAGAGCGAGTCACTACAAATATGCGCTATGGACACTTGCTAAACAGAAAACTGGACGGGAGGAGTGGGCGTGCAAGACTAAGCAATCGTGATCAGCGGTATTGATCAACTTTTCTTATTTCCACAATTAGACAATGTTAACTGCACACCTAGGTGCATGCGATGAACGCCGTATCCATACATCCCTCATTGTCCTAGCGTTACATCATCTGACAGACTGTTCTCGAAGCGAAGAGCTCCGACCGCAGTGACTGATGGCATGTGAGAATACATAGACACAGGATGAATGAAATCGTATTCCCGTTCATGACTCGAGTCCTCCCGTTGCCGCAATTATTCTGCCGGTCGAGATCGCCCACTCGTCAACTCAGGAGACCAATAAGAAAATCCCCTGCGGTCTGCAGAAAAACAGCCCACCAGGAGATATAATTCCCTTGCTGCAGCATCTTGGTTCTGCCTTGTGGAGATGTTGTTCCTTCAGAATAGTGCTGGTGCGCGGAGGCGATCCCCGCCTGCCTCCACAGAAACGAACAATTGTGGGGTCTGACTGAGACTGTCTTTAAATGACGGTGACGCATGATCCACGAGGGAATTGAATTATCCTGAAAGATATGGAAATTGAAGTATCGGGACAGCACCAACAGATCTTGGTTTGACTATGAGAAATCAGATGGCCAGTCTATTCCCAAGCCGGTGCCAAGCTCCGTGTCTCGCGCACTTGGATGGGTGAACAGTGTGCCATAAAGTCAGCTTTGGCTTGTCCAAGTGAGACTCGTACCACTGTGGCATCCCATCAACGCTCCAGAAATGGCTTCCTCCCTTCTTGGCTTTACGTTATCGTACTTTCGAAATCTTATCAGATCAACTGGATCTCTGGGCGCCCAGGGCTCATTGGCGAGGTAGCCTGCAGCCAAGATACCAAGAGCTAGAACCGGCCCCGTCTGAACCTAAAAGTGCGCGGCGCAGCCCGCTCATACGAGGAGCACAGCCGTTGTCACCTGCTAGACTGCTGCAGGATGGGTGGAGGAGAGAAAAAAACTCTGATAGACGGCGATTTTCTTTCCTCGCCAAATATCGTGTTCCCCTATTTTGCCACGCCCACAGCTCGGCGGGACGGTAATTAAAGCGGGCTGATTTGCACAAGGTAGCAACGACCCAGAATCTCGGGATTCTTAGCAGCGACCGCCCAGCTGTCGTCTTAAGAGGCTGCATAAATCATCTTGTCCTCTCAAAGACCACTCCCTACCCCTCTCATTGACCACACCCGGGCAACCTCGCATGGTGTAGCTTCAAGTATGGCAGCCGAAAAGCCGCATGTGAGCGGTCCGGTGACCGGACTCGACGATCAGCCAGTCAGTCAGGCGGACGAGAAGGGCCACGTCGCCGTCGACAGTGCCTCGGACTCGGGATTGGGCTCTGACGATGAACGCAACACTGGTGGCCTCGCCGGTGTCGAGAGGATCGAGGCCGCCGCGAAGACTTGGACGAAGACATGGCTCATTGTGACTTACATCTTGTGAGCATGATCCTGCGAGATCAGCCGTCTTGATACTGATAAAGTCCTTCGTACAGTATCTGGATCGTATTCTTCACCGACTCGCTACAGCAGCAGATATCTGCGTCCCTCCTCCCGTTTGTGACGAGCAGTTTTGGCAAGCATGGCTTGCTCGGAACCACAAGCATCATTTCGACCATCGTGGCAGGAGTGGCTAAGCTACCCCTGGCCCGCATCTTGGACGTAATCGGTAGAAATGACGGCCTGATCATCATGTTGACTATCACGGTCATAGGTGAGTGGCCCTGTCCCTTGGTACCAATTATAGATCGAAAATGCCGACATATTGCACCCTAGCTCTGGTCTTGATGGCCGCCTGCGGCAACATCCAAACCTATGCCGCCGGGCAAGTCTTCTTCTGGACCGGCATGAACGGAATCAGCTATGTACTGCAGGTATTCATCGCCGACACTAGCAAGCTCAAGAACCGCATGATCCTCTTCGGCTTCACGACGACCCCTTACATATGCAACACCTTCGCTGGCCCTGCTGCAGCCCAGGCCATCCTGAAGGGAAGCACATGGCGATGGGGCTTCGGGGCGTTCTGCATCATCATTCCTGTCGTTTGTGCGCCGGTCGTATTCGTCTTTGCGGTCCACCTGAGGAAAGCAAAGAAGCTTGGCTTGGTCAAGGAGAAGACCGACGCGGAGAGAAGCAGGACGTGGTGGCAGTCAATCAAGTACTGGGTTATCGAGCTCGACGTGTTTGGTGTCCTGCTCGGCGTGGCCGGGTTCTCTCTGCTGCTACTGCCTTTCAGCTTGGCCAGCTACCAGGCAGACAAGTGGAGATCGGGAACGGTGATTTCCATGCTCGTCATCGGTGTGCTCTGTCTGATTGCCTTTCCCCTGTACGAGAAGTACATTGCGCCCAAAACCTTTATCCCTTACTCGTTGTTCAAGAACAGGAATGTCCTAGCAGCTTCCCTGCTAGGTGGAAACACGTGGATCTCCTTCTAGTAAGTTCACGTTCTCTATACACCGATTACATGTGCGCCACGGACAACCGCTGACCTTGATTTGCTGCCTAGCTGCTACAAGCTCTACTTCTCTTCTTACCTGCAGGTTGTCTATGACCTCAGCGTCTCGGAGGCTGGTTACATCGTCAACATCTTCAACATTGTATCATGTGCCTGGGCCGTCCCTGTTGGCCTTCTCATTCGGTACTCGGACCGTTTCAAATGGCTTGCCCTCATATCCGTCCCTATCTGGATCCTCTTCACTGGACTCATGCTCAAATTCCGCATGCCGGGCACGAACGTCGCCTACGTGGTCATGTGCGAAGTGTTCACTTCGTTAGCAGGGTCAGTTTTCTCCTACCGCGGTTCCCCGATTGCTGTTCTTTAAAATATTCCAGTGTGTACCACTCTATGGTCTGTAGCACGTGGTTAACATACAGCAGCGGTACACTTGCACAAGTCCAGCAGATTGCCGTCATGGGGAGCGTCCCCCATCGTGACGTTGCCGTCGCATTGGCTGTGCTGGCGCTCGTCACGGCCGTTGGCGGCGCCATCGGTCAGAGCATCAGCGGAGCAATCTGGACGAATACCCTTCCGGGATTGCTCAGCAGCTACTTGCCTGAGGAGTTGAAGGCGAACTCGACTACCATCTATGGAGATCTGGAGATACAACTCAGTTATGACTGGGGAAGCCCGGCGAGGGAAGCGATTGTGGGGGCTTATGGCGAAACACAGAAGTACATGCTCATTGCTTCGCTTGCCTCAGCGGCAGGTTCTTTGGTCTGGGTTTCCATCCTGAAGAACGAGCGTCTGAGCGATAAGCAGCAAACAAAGGGTGTGGTCTTCTGAATAGTTCAAGGCGAAAGTGCCTTACACACAACTCGAGCCATGTCAATCTTGTGGAAATGAGAATCAGGACCTGCAAAGGAGATCAAAGCTCCTAGTCGATTGCCGAAGCCGCACATGCCGAAAGGCTGCCAGTGGTTGAATACAGCTACTCGAAGATCTTTGAAACTATGGCTGTGTCTTGCAACGTCGTAGATTGACGTATCTGCAGAAAATCGATGCCCATCTCAAAGCAGGCATTCCTATAGAATCTACGAAGTCATCCCATTTAGAGTGATCACTAAGAATACAATCGCCGTCGGAGGACACCCCAAATGAGATCATCCCACAGGAGGTTATCCTATGAAAGACCGTCCTACGAATGTGATTCGATTCCATGGGCCTTTCTAAGGACAGCCTTGGTAGTCGAAGCTCCGGATCCCTGCATCAGCGTAGTAATTCGGCGCCAGCAGTGGGGTCGACGAGTAAACTTGGTTCAAACAAGGCACTGTGATTGCCCGCAGTTGGCACTGCCAACTTGGCTCAAAGGGACGATTAAGCTGAAACTGTGCACATGATACTTCTCAGTGTTACTAGAGTGGGCCTCGACAAAAACGTAGATCTTGGATAAAGTTTAATAAACTTGATGGGGTGGGAACACCCGGACGTACAACGCCGGCGGCGGCGTCTTACTGTCAGATAACGACGTCGTCAAGGCTCCAAGTCTACAACCAGAGGCTGGCACCAACCATCGTTCCAAAATATGTGCTACTGTAAGCGTGGCCCTTTCGACACAGGCTTCCTTCCCCCAGAAAGCGTTCAGGCTGCTATACTGCGATTCCCCCGTATCATGCCACAAGTTATACGGTGCCTAGGTACTAGGCTTCTGTGCACCTGACACTATTTGTTAGCTATAGTAAAAGCCAAGACACTGGCTGTAATCTTTGAGGCATTAGAAACATTGTCGATCTCCCCTTATTCACACCGTCAATTTGTTTTCACATATGGTAATATGCAATTTTATGTTTCTGGCACCCGTATGTCAGGGGTAATGAACTCTTCCAATCACATCACCGTGTGCAACAAACAGTGCGAATCATGTGCCTATTTACCGGGTGGCCGTGGGATGTCGACATTGTTCCAAGACGATCGATTCATGCCGAAGCAGTTTAGTTAAACTTTCAGAGATGCCTCTTCGGATGAAAGTGGAACACTCCAGGGGATAAGCCTCCAGAATCAGGGGGATTTACGTTTATTTCATCTTCGATCCCCAGTAAGTCTCGGTGCCCTGAATCAGTTCGGACGAACTCTCACTGAAATAGATTCACACTGAAGCCCGATGCCAAGTCGCTCGATCCGGGGTATCCGATGCGCTGCTTTCTGTCATGACTCCATCATATAAGAGAGAAAGCAGTCTTCAGGCCGTGGAGGATTTGCTCTTTGTGCAGAGCATCAAGTCATTCATTCAGGGTTCTCGTCTCTATCCGAAGGTACTGAGCTTACACTCCTTTACAAGTCACTCATTCTTTCCCACACAGACCCAAATTCAAAATGCAGAGCCTTACCAACCTCGTCCTCCTCGCCAGCGCGGTGGCCCCTGTCTTGTCCGCCGCGATTGCACCAATCGAGAAGAGGAGTGTTTTGCACATTGCGGCTGATGTTGATGCTGGTATTCCTTTCGACACCAAGGTAGTCGACTCGGACGCTTATAATACCTTTGTCAGCACCGAGGTAGTCCTGCTGGAGGGGACGGACAAGCGCCAGGACGCCGACCCGGATCGCAACTCCACAATCCCAGATGCTATCTATACACTGCAATGCACAGACGACGTATGCTTCTTTCTTCGTAAACTACAGGATCAGTGTAACTGACATTTGATAACCAGGGTTTCCGCGGAGACTGTCTGGTATTTGGTGCCAAACCTGGGGCTTGTGTGTCCTACTTTGACTTCCAGCCCGCCAACTCCACAGAAGTCAGCGACCGCTTCAACAACAAAGTCACTTCCCTCTCTGTGAACACCGGTGGTGACTGCCAGTGGTATCTGTATGTTCAAATCAATGCAAATAAAATCCCTCATGATGCTAACCCGTGACTTACCAGGTACGAGGGTTGCAATGATAAGGGTGACGACCGTGGGTTCACCAGCTCATACAACGTAAGTCACGATGTTTTTCTGAAGCCACGCTCTTTTGTCGACCCGTCGCGGTCGGTATTCTCAGATACATGTTGACTAACATCCGTGTGTTGCTTGTAGTACAACCTTGCCGTCCCCGCCGAGGACGACCCCCGTACTGTCGAGTACGAGAACCAGATTACGTCCTGGAGATGCTAGGAATCTGGTGATAGTGTCCCTGTTTTTTTCACTGGGATTACGCAGAAGTCGCTGGGTGCGTTTCCGTAGCAGGCAATGGTTATCGACGGCCTAGATAGCTCGCTAGAAATAGACGGGTTGTCGGCCGCACGCCTATGTATTCTTTTCGATCAGGCAAAATCTTAACAACCACAATTTTGGGTCATCCTGACCACTGAGAATTTTCTTCGAGCTCTCTCTTCATGGAGTTCTCATAGTTCCGCTGCATTGATTCTGGTGTCCTGCTCTCATGCCACCGTCTACCCGGGACAGCATGCCAGCACATCTTGTTATACTCTGAGACCATTCGTGTTGCCTTGTATGCCCCCAACAAGACAGATTATGGGATATGCGGCCAGAACATACTTCTCACATTGAAGATTTTGAGGACTAAGCGTGCAGTTGGGGGTGTAGTGTTTCTTTCGAGTTGCAAACGTCACGGGATGCAGCTTAGCTTCGATATCAAAAGTTAGGTTCAATATCATGCATAGAAATGTCAGATCTGGCCAGGATAGGGGGCTACAAGATTTGGATGCTCCATCCTTGGTGCGGTAAACCTACAAGGAGCATATCATGCGTACTATCCAGGAAAGGTAGATACTTCTCATCTGAGTGTCTAATTCCAACACAGGCCCCCCGTAAGACCTTGGGTCACAGTACTGGTATGACATATTCGCTTGTGTCGATATTACGAACCTGCACAGAGAAAGGTGAGCGCTCAAGCATTCTAAACCCCGCTACATATCAAGCATGGCTGGGACGTTAGATTGATGACGCCGGCTGGTGGCTGTGCATATGCACTACCCTTATTCTCCTCACTCATGGCTCTGAGAGTTGCAATGAGGGGGAGCCCGGGACGAGCTGCATAGCCAAAGCTCGGCTGACAGGCACCACGATGGCACACTTTGCAGGCAAGGTTCAGATGATCTCCGAACATGCGCAGTGGAACGTAGCATTTCCCGCACATATGAAATTAGAACGACATCCCAGAGTCTTCCTGCATGCCATGGCACTCAAATTGATCACCTTACAAGGTTTACCTGTGCTATAAGCAGATGAACCTCCCGCTGCAGCGTTCCTGATCTTTGACCCCGTTCGCCATCGTTCTCCCGATTGTTGAACCTGCGGCCGTCGGCGTGGCGTAGCAAGTCTTCAACTATCAACATGGCTCCAACGACATACCTGCTGCAGGCTGTCCTGCTTGCCGGCATTGCGTCTGCTCAGTGTCCTGACTATTCGTCATATTCCACGCAGCGTCACCCTCCATTTTCCAACGGGACATATCAGCTGTCCTATATGCGGCCCGACCCAGCGTGCCGGACTTTCAACTCGTCCGATGTTGAAGGTGTCCTAGTTCAGATGCAAGGCGTAATCACGGACCCGGACTTATACCGTCTCTTTGAGAACACATACCCCAGCACCCTTGATACGGCAATCAAATGGAAGGGATTTGCGGCGAATAACTCGGAGGAGGAATTGACCTTTGTGATCACCGGAGACATCAACGCCATGTGGCTCCGCGACTCGGCCAACCAGGTGCAGCCCTATCGATCCTTGATCAAGGCCAACGACTCTTCCACAGACGGCCTTGCCTCACTCTTCCGAGGTGTCATCAACATTCAAGCACGGTACCTACTGTTCGGCCCTTTCTGCAACGCGTTCCAAGCCCCTGTCGAGTCAGGCATCCCTCCTGCAGAGAATGGGGCTGCAGTTGGCGTCACCGTGAAGCCGGCATATGACAACTCGACAGTCTTCGAATGCAAATACGAACTTGACAGCTTAGCTGCGTTCCTCGAGGTGTCTACCGACTATTACGCGGCAACGAATGATGTTGAGTTTTTCGGGAAATTCCAATGGCTTTCCGCTGTCCGGGCTGTTCTAGATACGGCAAAAGCCATGCTCACACCAACTTACGGTGAAGACGGCCGGGTCCTCGAGTCGCCGTACACGTTCACCCCCGGACTCAATGGCGGCGTGGGCAGTCCTGTCGCAAATGGCACGGGACTGATCCGCTCAACCTTCCGCCCTAGCGATGACAACACGCTGTACCAACTCTTCATCCCTGCCAATATGATGTTCTCGCGGAACCTTGTCACCACGGCGGAGATCGTGGCGGCGTTGGGTGATGCCGCCCCCGCTGGCCTGGCCGCGGAGATGACGGATTTCTCGAACTCGCTGAGGGAAGCGATTGAGAATTATGGCATCGTGACGGACGCCACTACAGGCACAAGGATCTTCGCGTATGAGGTGGACGGCTTCGGGAGCACGGCGATCATGGACGACGCTAACATACCTTCTCTGCTGTCAGCACCGTTCCTGGGGTACCTGGATGTCAAAGACGAAGTCTACCAGAACACACGAACGGTAATCCTGGACCACACAGGCCCGACGGGAAATCCTTACTTCATGCGGGGCCCAGTGATCAACGCCGTCGGCGGTCCACACGCAGGTCTTGGCCAGGCATGGCCAATGGCAAGTATCGTGAGGATCTTAACGACCGATGACGAGGCGGAGATCACAACTTCGCTGAAGGAGATTCTCAGCAGTACGGATGGGCTTGGGTTGATACATGAGAGTGTAAACACCTTCAATCAGAGCGATTGGACAAGGCAGTGGTGAGTTGCACGACGGCGTTTCTGTCTCTAATCAAGCTGACCAAAATTAATTAGGTTCACGTGGGCAAATGGACTGTTCGGACAAATGATCCTGGATCTCAATGCAACACAGCCGGGAATACTTCAGCAAAGCTTCCAGTAAACAACTGACCGTGATGCTGATCATCTGGGAAAGACAACTCAAGCTGTCCAATCATATTCAGCCCGAGATCCCAAGGCTCCAATCACAACTGTGCAATTTTGCGAAATTCAAGGCATAGGTAGACATTCTGCCTTTGCAAATTACATACCCCTGATAGCTCCTCTTGTACATGTTAATGCAGCACTCTCTGTGAAAGAATGTAATGTTTCGTTTCCGAATAGAAAATCGGACATTGGAAACAATGATATTATTGGAAGACAATCGGGGGAGGACGAGCTTCAACGGTGCGATCTGGTTATGGTTTGAAACGCAGCCCTGATCTAAGACTGTTTGATGTTTAATTATTCTCGCTGAGAGACAAAGCCATTTTCAGACGAACAGTCCCATTGATTTAGCTTTGAAGTCAGATACCCTCGCTATTCTCGGGGCCCTTTGTTGCTTGATGCCTGTGTAGTTTCAGCGAGAAGGCTCATACATAAGACCTGATTCTGAGTAATGGTCCTCAGGAACGTGAGATCTGAACTTGGGCAAATAACATGGGGTATACGACGGCATCAAAGGCTGGATTACCTTAGACGCTTGATGCCTGGGAAGGCAACAAAACGATGGCAAAGGGGCGTTGCCGGGGTTGAACTTAGGCTGTCATTTCTGAGCTCTATAGATAATCAGGCTCCTTCCTGAGTCGCACGAAAGCTATAAAAAACTTGACAACCTTCAATGTTCCCGCTCGCATACTCACTGTACTTGAGCTCATCCAGCCGAGATCCCAAGAAGAAACATTTCAAGGGTCAACATGACATCAATCAATTCCTTCCGAGTCTCCTCAGACATGGATCAAAGCCAAATCATCGCTGGCAAGCCTGTCGCGGTCATTGGAGCAGGTCTCTCCGGACTTGTCGCTGCCAAGTAAGTTCGATAAGCCCAGCCGTGCTTCGATCCACACTGACCAGATCCAGGCATCTAGCTGCCGAGGGTTTTCAGGTCACCGTTTATGAGCGTCGAAGCCAGGCAGGTGGGCTCTGGACACTTTAGCCGGACCCAAACGCGCCGTTCGCATCTGCAGTTTACGGAGATTTGCAAACCAACTTCCCACGCCGGCTCATGGAGTTGCAGGATTATCCATGGACCAGCCAGCCTCTGTTCATGCAACACGATTTGGTGCATGAATACCTTGCGGGGTACGCCCAAGATATTCAGCAGAAGTGCAACAGCCGTATACAATTCCACTTCGATACCAAGGTTGTGCGTTTATTTCATAAGGCATATGCTGGAGGTCATTGGGAGCTCACTTGGGAGTCAGTGCTCACAGCAGAGAGTGGCACCTCCCAGTTCTTATACGTCATCGTGGCAATTGGTCTCTATGACGAACCATCGATACCTGATTACGAAGGGCTTGCAACATGGAGGGAATTGTGGAGGAACTCAGTCTCTCATGCGAAGTCTCATCGAAACCCAGACGCCTTTAGGGGCAAGGTCAGTCCCAGGTTTCCAATTTCAGACACAACCTAACAAACTTGAATTCTTTGATCATACAAGACTGATCATATTTTCAGAACGTGCTCATCGTTGGTTATCAAGCATCCGGGTTTGATATCGCCAGTAAGATCTCGACTTATGTGTCCAAGCTGTGGATTTCTTCAACAAGACCACTTGCAGGTGGACTACCTGCGAACGCTTTGCCTATGAAGGGAGTGTCTCGCTTCCTTTCCTCCCCGCCTTGGGTTACTTTTACAGATGGGCAAACTCTTGTCGGGGTCGACCGCATAATCTTCTGTACCGGCTACCAATACCATCAGCCTTTCATCAAGAAGAGCCGCAATACCGCGGAACCACTTTTCCCCAGCGGTTCTTACATAAAAAGGTTTACATGAGCATACCATCTATATCAATACCCCGACTCTCGCATTTGTTGGGATAGTGAGGGATGCAGTCCCGACTTTTCTCATTGTACAAGCCCAGCCTGCTTTTGTCTCACGGTTCTTTGCTGGTCAATTACGATCCCTGCGCCAACGAAACGAGGATTCACAACATAGGTTGCCATGTCCTCTATTCATGGATTACCTCCTGCGATTAGAGAGTCTGTGTAAGTAATCTGACAATAGCCAGGTATGGAGTGTGTCACGCTATACTAATCCAGTCTTTCGTTGGACATGTGAACTGGATCTGCTCAGAACCAAGCGACGTGAGGTCAGAGGCGCCTTTCTGGCTCAACCGCCAACAACAACAAGGATATGGAGCACGGAAGACGTGATCCATCGATATCATTGCAAATTTCTTTCCGTCGGATACAATGTCAAATCCAACATCCAAACCCTCTTGCCCTTTCTGGTGCTGTCTTATGGCTACCAAGGTGACCGTGAACTCAAACGGCCTCTACCATTTCAAGGGTGGGCATGGCATTTGGGCGCTAATCTTCGTCGGTCACTCCTTGACACGACCCAAGATTTGGACTCACAATTGGGCCCAGGCAGCAGCGATGTGATTATGCGAGGCAGAAGAGCACTGTTCATTCTTTTCTGTTGGAATATTCTAGATATCTAGGCTATTATTAATACGGGATATCCTTTTCCCCATATGTTTACCACTATATGGAGGATAATAACTATAAATAGGGGCCTTCCCTCCCATAGAATAGACGTTAGCTAGCCTAATAAACTAAGCATTTAACGCTATTATTTTAAAGGTTATAAGCTCCGGAGCTTACTTAAAATGGCAACGCTAACTTAATACGGAAAATATACATTACATAACACTCTTAATCGCCATTACTTCTTAAACCTTTTAAAATAAATAAGCTTTATACTTTAAGATAAACTTTTTAATTAATTACTTAATTAGGCTAATTAATAAGCCCTTAACCAATTAAATCGCCCCATTTAACGTTATAAATCAACCTTGTCTCTTAACCCGGAGCCCACACATAAAAACCACAACAATCCTCAAACTCCCTTAGAAACACTTAACTACATCTCAGCCATTCTTAGTCCATAATACCTTAAAAGTATACCATTTGAAAGCCCTTCTTCTTCTCTTTATAATTATACTACTTTAATACCTATATCTTTATTTCTTAACTTATTAAATTTATTTAAAATTTATTATATCTTTCTTTTTATTATTTTAATTATTTTAATAAATATTTTACTTATTTACCTTAAAATGATATCTTTTAATAAATATAGTGTTTTATGTTTTAATAACATGGAAAATTATATATATATTTAAGCGTTAAAATTTAAGCTTAGCTTAAAAAAGAAAATATTATTAAGAATAATTTTAAGAATCTTTTTAAGGCTTATCTTTAGCTTAAAATAAAAGAGCTTTTATTAATATTAAACTTATATATAAATAAGGGCTTATTATATTTATAAAAAATATAAATAATACCTAAAAAGCATAAAATATATTTAAATTTTATTATAAATTCTTTAGGTTTATAAGCTAATATTTACTTTATAAAAAGTTTTTTAATATTAATTTTAATAATTTTAAAATTATAAAAAAATATATTAATAAGCTAAAGCTCTTTTTAAAGGATTTAAAAGCTAATAATATAATTCTTTTTAAATAAATTATAATTAATTAAATTTTCCATAACTTAAATAATAAATATATTAGCTTTATTTAAAATATAACTTAAAGTTTTAAAAAAGATTTAAATGCTTATATAATTAAATTTCTTTTCTTTAGCTTATTAAATAAAAGTAAAGGGAAACTCTTTAAATTATTTAAAAAAGCTTTATATATAAAGAATAAGAAAGATAAAAAAAAGATTATTATATGCCTTAATTATAAAATAAAGGGCTATATTTAAAAGAATTGCTATTTCCTTTATTTAAATAAAGTACTTGCTAATTAAAAAATAAATAAATAAAGAAAAGAAAAGGAAAAACTACTTTTTTAAGGAAGAATATAAGCTAAGAAAAATAAAAGAAAATATAAAAGTAACTCTTAGCTTTATTAGCTAATATAAAGTTTTTTATGGCTTTAAAAGGCGCTTAGGAAAAATTTATGGCTTATATAATTATAAATAATTTAATAAAAAATACTAAATATAATGAGAATTTATTAAATTTCTTATAACTTTCTTTTAATAACTTAATGGGAATTAAGGTAAATAACTCTATATATACCCTATATATATATATAATAACCATAGCAGCTAATAATAAATTCATAGAAAATTAATAATATATAAATTCTATAGAAATAACTGTAAATATTGCTATAAATATAATTAATTTTTAAGATATATGCTTATTTAATACTATATATATTATTAATAAAACTATAAAATAAGGTAATGTAGGTATTATATTTATAAATAAAATAAGGGATTTAATAATTAAGCTTTTAGAAATAAACATTATAAAGAAATTTTTTAATATATATTATATACTTTCTTTAAGTTTAAATATATTTAAATATAAGTATATAAGTAATAAGATTAAATTAAAATTAAAAAGAAATATTATTAAATTATATTTTTAAGAAATAAATAGTTTAATAACTTAAGAATATTAAAGAAATAGCTTATATTTTATAAGAATTAATATAATAAAATAAATAAATAAGCTAAAATATAACCTTTAAAAATATATATAATTTAATAAAATTTTAATATAAATAATAAAAATAAAGAAGAAATATATAAATAATATTGCAAATTAAGCTATATAAATATTTAAGCCTTAAAAATATTTCTTTAAAAATATAAAATAAATATATTAATAAATAAATTTATTTAAAAATATATAAATAATTATAAAATATGCTTAAAAGCTAAGCATATAATTAAAATAAATAAGATTAGCTTAAATAATTAAGTATATAATATATTTAAAAGAGTATATAGTGATATAAGCGGTTCTTTAAAACTTATATATAATAAATATAAATATTATATATTATTTCTTAATAAAAGAACTTAATATTTAAAGGTTTCTTTGCATAGAAATAAAGATAAGGTATTAAAAGCCTTTATTAATTATAAAAATAAAGCAAAGAATAAATATAATAAAAGAATAAAAGAGTTCTTTATAAATAATAAAGGCGAATATATAAATAAATGATTTAAAATTTTATTAAATAAATACTTTATAAATTACTATATTATGCCTTTATATATAAAAAAGCTAAATGGCTTAATAGAAAGATTAAATTTAATTATAATAAATAAAGTTAAAAGCCTTTTATATATAATAAATCTACCTATATACTTATAAGGAAAAGTAATAAAATATATTATATATTTATATAATATTATACTTTATAAAAGCTTAAGGTATAAGTATTTATATAAAGTAATAAATAAAAGAAAACCTTATATAAATAACTTAAAAATATAGGGATTTATTATATATTTTTAAAATAATAATTATATAATTAAATTAAATTTAGAGAATAAAAAAGGAATATTATTAAATATAATTTTAAAATTAAATATATATTAAGTATAGGATATAGAAAATAAAAAGCCTTTATTAGTTTAAGATATTTAAATATTTAAGGATAATATATTAATATATAATAATAATAATAATAAATAATAATAATAATAATAATAATAATAATAATAATAATAATAATAATAATAATAATAATAATAATAATAATAATAATAATAATAATAATAATAATAATAATAATAATAATAATAATAATAAATAATAATAATAATAATAATAATAATAATAATAATAATAATAATAATAATAATAATAATAATAATAATAATAATAATAATAATAATAATAATAATAATAATAATAATAATATATATATATTCCTAGAATTATAAGAATAAAGGGAAGGAAATAGGGAAGTAAATTCTCCTTTTATTTTAAATAAGATAATAGTTTAAGGGAATCTAGAAGATTATATATATATTATATAAAATATATTATTAAATAACCAAATATTTATATTAAATTCCTAAGAAAATATATTAAAATACTGCTTAATTGCAGCTAATATTAATAAACCATCTTTTTTAAAAAAGGTATTAAATAACCTAGAAAAACCCCTATGGGTTAAATCTATGCTAAATAAAATATATAATTTATAAAAATAAAATACTTATATAATAATGAATTTACTATTTAGCTATATGGCTTTAAGGGGGAAGTAAATATATAAAAAGAAATATATAAATAATCCAGCTATTATAAAACTTAATTAAGTAATAAATAATGAAAGTAATATTAAATTTAAATTTAAATAAATTATTTAGGGATATAATTAAAAATTAAGGGTAGATTATTTAAAAACTTTCTTTATAATTTACCGCCCTAAGATTTATATTATGCTATTAATAATAGCAATAAATAAAGGGTATTATATATATAATTATAATATTAAAAATGCATTTTTATACTTTAATATTAATTTTAAAATATATATAAAATTACCCTTTTATATATATAATAAACTAAAATATAAAAATAAAGTTATAAAATTAAATAAAGCTTTATATTATTATGAGCTAGCCTTGGGTTGTTTATTGTAAGGTATTTAAATAAGGTTTATATTTAAAGTGTAAAGGAAAAGGTTTACTCCCTATTTATACTTATGCTAAAGCTTATTCTTATAAGGCTAAAGCCTACTAATTAATTATAATAAGCAAAACTTAAACCATAATATATTTTCCTTTTTTAAATCCTTATAGCAAGCCTTAAAAAATAGCTATATAATAAAAAATAAAGAATATTATAATTTAATTGCGAATTAAATATTACTCTTTACTTAGCTATTTAATTATACCTTAACGCCTTTTAATTATGCTAAAGGCTTAACTTATTATTTATAATTAATATATCTTAACTCTTATAATTTAATATACTAGCTAAAATAAATAAATAAAAGATAATTATTTAGGTATAAGCTAGCGATTAAATTAATAATATTTTTATAATTCTTTAATACAAACCTTTTATATAAGCTTCCTTATTTAAAACCTTAAAATTATAAATTTATTATATAATTTATAATTAATTAATGCTTAATTATAAGCAATTTGCTTTATTAATAGGAATTTCCTAAATTTTAAGCATTTTTATAACGTTAAATTAATTAATATATAATTAATTTGCTTTAAGCTTAGGTTGGCATTAAATTAACATTACTTTTAAGCCTTACCCTATAAAAAAAATTTTACGCCCCCTTAAATAAACTCCTTTTCTTTATTAACCTTAATTAATAAAAGCTATATTTTTATTTTCTCATAATGATTAAAATAATTATATTTATAATAACTAAGTTAGCTATATACAAAATACTTAACTTTACTTATTAAAATTACTATAATATTAATGTTTATTGCTTTATTATTTTAAAGTTAAATATTATTTTCCTTTGCTATGGCATTAAAAATACCCTTATATTACTATAAAGCAAAGTAAAAGGCCTTAAATATATTTAATTACTTTTTATAATTAAGCTAAGCTTTTATTATAAAAATTAAGCTATTAGCTATTAATAATATTTTATATTTATTTAACTAATTTTAAGCCTTTATTATATAAATTAATTAATTAAATTAAGCAAGAAATTCTATCATCCCCTTTTCACAGCGTTATTATAACGTAATTAAGCTAAGCTTAGCATACCTTTGCTTAAAAGGGTTTTTAAATATAAAGCAAACCTTTTTTAAAAAGCTTTTTAGCTACCCCTTAAATATCTTTATAAAATTAATATAAAGTAAAGATTAATTATGGAAAGTTCTTAATTAATTAAATATATAAAAGAATTAAGCCCCTTTAATATTAATTGCCTTCTTATTTATTATAAATTTAGCCCTTATTTTTATTAACTAAGTTGCTAAATATTCTTAAAATAAGAGTTCCTTTAAATAAAGAAGGACTTAACGAGCTATTATTATTTTTTCTAAATCTCGCTATATTAAGTTTTATATAATTATATTATGGGTTTATAATATAAAAGGACTTTAAATATATATTATAAGCTAACCTTAAGTTATTTATTATAAGGTATTTAAATAGGGTTTATATTTAAAGTATAGAAAAAAAAGTTTACTTTTCATTTACATCCGCGCTAAAGCCTATTCTTATAGGGCCAAAGCCCACTAATTAATCACAATGGGTAAAGCTTAAATTATAATATATATAAGCTAAAATAATTACTTATGCTTTAATATAAATATTTAAAAAATATATTAATTAAGCTAGGATTTATTATTTATTTATATAATAAAGGCGTATTTATATACCTTAATAAATAAATTATATTTATATATTATATAAATAATATTATTATTATAAAACTTAATAATAATAATATAAATTTAATAATTAATAAATTATATAAAAATATAAAATTAGATTTTTAAGGAGATTTAATAAATTTCCTTAAAAGCAATATATATATAAATAAAGAAGATAAATAAATAACTATAAATTAAAATAAATATATAAATAAAATATTAAAAAGATTTAATATAAAAGAAAAGGTTAAGAAAAAGGAAATAATCCCTTAACTTACACTATATACCCCTAATAAAAAATTAAAAAAATACACTAACCAAGCTAATAAACATATTATAAAATTATATTAATAATAAATAAGGTTTATATTATATATTAGCTTAAAAATAAGGTTAAATTTAATTTATTTTATAAATAAGTTAGCTAAATATATAGCAAACTTAAGATTAAAGTATATAAAAGAATTAAATAAAATATAAGGATATATATATAAATTCCTATATATATTTAAAGTATATAATTGCTTAAAAAATAATTTATAATTAATAGGCTATATAAATTTAAATTAAGGTAATAATATATTTATTAAAAAAAGCACCTTTAATTATATATTTAGCTTATATAATATTAATAATAATAATAATAATAATAATAAAATAAATCCCATAAGCTAAAATTCTTAGCTATAAAAAATATCAGCACTTTCCTTTATAAAAGTTAAATATATAAATTTAAAAAAAGCTATAAAAGAAGTTAAATATTTATATAATTTACTTAAATATTTTAATAATAATTTAAAAATTAACTTTAATCTTAAGCCCCTTACTATATATATAAATAATAATAAGGCTAAGAAATTAACTAAAAATACCTTATTTTATAAAAAAACTAAATATATAAATATTATATATTATTATATAAGAAAAGTAATAAAAAATAATAAAGTAATATTAAAATATATAAATTTTAAGTAAAATCTAGCAAATTAGCTTATAAAACTAATAAATAAACTATATTATAAAGAATTTAAAGAAAGGTATAATTTAATAAAAAAATAATATAAAAATATTAAGCTAAAAAATAAAGAAATTTTTTACTTATATTATAATGCATATAAAATAAATTAAGGTATTTACTCTTTAATAATTAAAATTAAGATTTTTTCCTTTATTTATAAAATATATAAATAAATAAAGTAAATTTAATTATATATATATATAATATTACCCTAAATACTAAAGGTTTTCCCTTAAAAGAAATAATTAAAATAATAAAGGTTTTTCCTAAAAAATAAGCATTACTTATATAGCCCATATATACCATATATATATATAGTTATAATATACCTATATTGCATTTATATATATTTAATTTTATATAGAAAATATATTTTTATAATATATATAATATAAATAAAATAATATATAACTTTAATATATAAAAATACTGTAATATATTATAATTATTATAAAATAATTAATAAATCCTATATAAAACTATAATTTAATATATAATACCCTATTAATTATAAGTTTAAGTTTAAGTAATAGTAAATTTTTAAGTTTTTTGCCTAAATATATATATACTTAATAAGTAAGTTTTTCCCTTTTTATAAGGTTTTCTTATTATATAATTAAATATTCCTTTTTTATAAATTAAATCCCTTATATATAAAATAAAATAAATAAAAGGGAATTAGTTTAAGGGGGGCTATTAAAATATTCTAAATATTTAGGCTATTATTAATACGGAATATCCTTTTCCCCATATGTTTACCACTGTATGAAGGATAATAACTATAAATAGGGGCCTTCCCTCCCATAGAATAGACGTTAGCTAGCCTAATAGACTAAGTGTTGGTTGGGTTAACGTACGTTGGTTGATAGCAGACTGGTTGTATTCGAATCGGCTATATAGAAGGAAGGAGGGTTGCGGCCGTAGGCTGCAGAACCTCCTTCTGGCTATAGACTATCTAGGGGTGGTCACGTGCTACCGCACGTGACCCTTGCCTGCCGGTGCTCTAGTGCCAATTGCCCATAGTGCCTATCGCCCATAGTGCTGCTGTCCCCCTATGGCACGTCCATAACCACACTAAGCATCCAACGCTATTATTTCAGATTTTCATGGGTCGCTGGGCGGAGTTCTGCGACGGACTCCCAGATGGAGATTCTAAAGACAAGCGCTACCCAGAACCCAGGGGAAAAGGCAAGAGCGGCTCAAATGAATTCTGTTGCACTTGAGATCCACCGCAAACATTGGTTTGCGACGGAAGCAAAGACCCTGCTAGACACTCCAAGATGTTGCTTCAACAGAATTATCTTCCTCCGCTGGCTAGCCACAGCAAAATGGCAGCGAATCTATTGGCGAGGCGGCCGATATTCATCATAATAAGCACATTCCTTATCATTACTTTTTTCGTCCTTCAGTCAAGCTTTCGCCCCGCGCCTCTGCGGAGCCCGACTGCATATTTTGCAGGGGCTTCAAAACCATGCTCGATTGACGACACCAGGAACAATACTTTGGGTGTTAGTCCATCGTCAAAACAAACCTGATGTGCTTTGATCCATCATTGACAACCAAGTTAGTTCGAAAAGATCTTTGTTGTCGGGCTGCCATCGCGAACCGATCGCCGAGATGGGATGGTTCTTGGAGCAGCACTGAGTGACATCGACATTGAATTCGTCGATGGCGTCCTGGGTCAGGATGTTCCCGATAAGGCTGTTCCGATGAGTCCAAATCACGGACGGCTGCAAGACCCCTCAATCGGCAGCTGGCATGCACACATTAACGCAATCCAAGAGTGAGCTATTGTCACGACTGTGCTTCCCACGCTTGTCGAGACGATACTGATTTTCTCTGAATAGAATCGTCAAACGGAACTTGTCAACTGCTTTGATTCTGGAAGATGATGCAGACTGGGATGTGCGGATCAAAGACCAGCTCCTGGACTTCGCGACTGCAACACACACTCTCACACAGCCTTTGGAGGGCACCTCCGGTTCCTATGCCGATCCAACTTATCCGATCCCCAAAGGGCAGGCCAAGGTCCGCGAGTTCCAACTCCATAATCTCCCAAAGACTGTTTCCCCACGGCATTCACCATATGGAGACAACTGGGATCTTCTCTGGGTCGGCCATTGTGGAATGCACTTCCCATTGGCAGACGACAGAAATCTACCAAAGGGCCGCGTCGTTTGGACAGACCAAACCGTACCACAGAAGCAGTATCTCTGGAATATTGATCAGCCTGAAGATATCAAAGAGCAATATCCTGAACACACTCGTGTCGTCCACCATGCCCAGGAAGCAGTGTGCAGCCTCGGGTATGCTGTTACTCAGAAAGCAGCTCGCCAGATTCTTTTCGAAATTGGCCTCAAGGATGTGGACGCCGCATACGATATCAATCTCCGAAGGTTCTGTGAAGGCCTGGAGGGGCGCGGGTATCACCGGTGCCTGACAATGCAGGTGAGTGGTATTGATATAACTTCGTTTCTTCCCTGCGCTATGGCAAGTGTACCTCAGATGTTGACAAAACTACAGCCAGCTCTCTTTCAGCATCACAGGCCGATGGGGCCGCAAAGTGCCGAGAGCGACATATCGGATCACGGCGACGGATGGCAAGACAAACCGTTGACCGACATTGTAAGATGGAGTGTTCGCTTGAATGCAGAGGAGATAATGAATGGCGGCCGAAATTTTGTTGATCAGTGGCCCGACACGTAGCTGTGGTCTGCCGTCAGCTGGGAGTCAGCACGGCCAGGAAAATACGGCAGTACTCTTAATACAATAGACTTTACCAATATTTTCTCCTTGAACAACCCCTACGGAAAATAATGAGCCCAGAAAGAGGACTGAAGTGCAACCGATCCCGGTCAAAGACATTATACAGAGCAGCTTTCGAGGCGTACAGGGTCTTTGCCGGGTGTGCGAGGATGACAAGGTCATGAAATTGCCGATGAAAGAATTTGATGTTAAGACTGAATATCAATTGTGTATTCGCAAGCTATGCAATGACAATCCCAATGCCTGAACGACCCACCAGCGAAGCATACCATTCCCAGGTGCCGCTGTCCCGTGATCCCTCTATGTGTAACTCCAAGGAAATTCCAAATCTAAACCCCGTTCATATGGCACCTCCATATATTCATTCAGTTCTACTCAGTGTAGCCATCGGCCCGGTCAACAGCAGTGGCCTGGGCATACTTCTCAGGCGAGACGCTGACGGTGGGAAGGTAACCCTGGGGGTTGACATCCTCGCCCACGGAAGGAATTGCCTCAGCAGAGGCGTTGATTCCGACCGTGATGTATCCAACAAGACCGTCCTCCAGGCTGTCGCCGAGCTGGGTAACATCGATGATGGCAGAGTACCCATCTCCATTGGCAGAGCTGTACAGCTAGTCCTCGGCGTTGGTCGTGCGGTTCAGCGTCAGCTTGTGCGCGGAGTAAGGGCTGAGGTTGTACACGTCCTCGAGGAGGTCCTCCTCGAAGGAGAGCTGGCCGATGTGCTGGATCGTGGACTGCGAGTAGCCGGTGCCGTTCGTGACGTTAGACTGTGCGGTGATGTGGATATGCGTAGTGCGTGTCACGTAGTAACCGGGGAAGGTCGTCAGGAACTCGACCATGCCGTCGCTGTTGGTGACCTGGACACCGCGCAAGAAGGTCTCGTCGTCGGTGGTGCCGTCATCGCGCTTTGTCCAGCCGTCCAGGAGCTCGACGGTGTCCGGGTCGACTCCCGTGAAGGAGCAGTAGCTGCCGGTGGCGTTGCAGTTCCAGATGGTGAGCGCGACGCCGGACAACGGCTCGCACGTCTCGATATCAATGACACCGATGTCAAAGTAGAAGTCGATGCCGGTCTGGTTCTCGCGGAGATCGTGGCGGACCATCTCACCGTCGACACTGCGTGGTTGTTAGAACCGGGGCTCGTGATGCGCCATAGAAAGGGTAGTGAGATAACTTACCCATAAGGACCCCAGATGGTATCAGGGGCAAGAGCACAGGTAGTGTTTTGAATGTCCTGGTATTGGAGTGTGTTTCGCTTGGACACGTCGTTGGGAGAAATGTTTCCGGACTCAACACGACGGCGGTAGAGAGGCTGCGCGCGCTTCTCCATGATGTCTTCCTTGCGCTTTGCGATGGCGGATGCGCACTTGTCTGTGGAACGGCCGATCATCTGAGCCTCTTGTCTGCGGACCTCCTCGGTGAGCCTCTCCGGGTGGGCCAAGACCCCAGAAAGAGGGGGAATAGCCAGTGCTGCGGTAGTGAACTTCATATTTACGGTGGTGAAGGGTGAATAGTGAAAAGATTCAAGATACGCTTTTGCTGGTAGTTACATGAATGTTTCAGCGAGAGAAAGAATGACTTGAATACGAAATGTCGATCACTTTAGAACCATAGCTCGGTAGGTCTCGCCTGAAGACATTCTAATGTGGATATCCAGATTGTCGTCGCCGTGAGGCTTGGGCCATGTCCCCCACAATTTCGACAGAGCCAAGCCTAGGAACAGCCAGAAAAGCACTGGCCTCAGCCTCATTGACGTGACAAGGATACCGCTTGATCATGACCCATGTTTCGTCCAAACTGTTCCCCCAATCTTGGCTTCGCTTTTGGCCCCAAGCCAGCGGCATGCGACCAATCACATGGAGCGGAATTCAAATGGGCGTCTACAATCAGTACTTGGTATTGCTTCTTTCCCGTCGCTAAGGAGAGGTCTAGTGCGAATTGCGGACCCCGTTGTATTCTTGACGCGTCTTCGGGGCCCACGCTCCTGGCTACCTCGGCGAGTGCCCTGCTGAGTCGTCACTTTAGGTGAACCAGTCCTGTCATCTGTACTGCATGAGAGGCATCTTGACAGGCTAGAAAAGTTCTAGCGAGGCGGTTGGAGTGGACCGCCCCTTTCCTGTGATTACGAACTGTGGTCTTGACACGTAAACATGGGCGCGGCGTCGCCGTTTTGCTCTGAAATAATAGCGTTGGATGCTTAGTCTATTAGGCTAGCTAACGTCTATTCTATGGGAGGGAAGGCCCCTATTTATAGTTATTATCCTCCATACAGTGGCAAACGTATGGGGAAAAGGATATCCCATATTAATAATAGCCTAGATATCTAAAATATTCCAATAGCCCCCCTTAAACTAATTCCCTTTTATTTATTTTATTTTATATATAAAGGATTTAGTTTATAAAAGAGGAATATTTAATTATATAATAAGAAAACCTTATAAAAGGGGAAAAACTTACTTATTAAATATTTATATATTTAGGCAAAAAACCTAAAAATTTGCTATTACTTAAACTTAAACTTATAATTAATAAAGTATTATATATTAAATTATAGTTTTATATAGGATTTATTAATTATTTTATAATAGCTATAATATATTACAATATTTTTATATATTAAAGTTATACGTTATTTTATTTATATTATATATATTATAGAAATACATTTTTTATATAAAATTAAATATATATAAACGCAATATAGGTATATTATAACTATATATATATATGGTATATATAGGCCGTATAAGTAACGCTTATTTTTTAGGAAAAACCTTTATTATTTTAATTATTTCTTTTAAGGAAAAACCTTTAATATTTAGGGTAATATTATATATATATATAATTAAATTTACTTTATTTATTTATATATTTTATAAATAAAGGAAAAAATCTTAATCTTAATTATTAAAGAGTAAATACCTTAATTTATTTTATATGCATTATAATATAAATAGAAAATCTCTTTATTCTTTAGCTTAATATTTTTATATTATTTTTTTATTAAATTATACCTTTCTTTAAACTTTTTATAATATAGTTTATTTATTAATTTTATAAGTTAGTTTGCTAAATTTTGCTTAAAATTTATATATTTTAATATTACTTTATTATTTTTTATTACTTTTCTTATATAATGATATGTAATATTTATATATTTAGTTTTTTTATAAAATAAGGTATTTTTAGCTAATTTCTTAGCCTTATTATTATTTATATATATAATAAAGGGCTTAAAATTAAAGTTAATTTTTAAATTATTATTAAAATATTTAAGTAAATTATATAAATATTTAGCTTTTTTTATAGCTTTTTTTAAAGCTATATATTTAGCTTTTATAAAGGAAAGTGCTAGTATTTTTTATAGCTAAGAATTTTAGCTTATAGGATTTATTTTATTATTATTATTATTATTATTATTATTATTATTAATATTATATAGGCTAAATATATAATTAAAGGTACTTTTTTTAATAAATATATTATTACTTTAATTTAAATTTATATAGTTTATTAATTATAAATTATTTCTAAAGTAATTATATACTTTAAATATATATAGGAATTTATATATATATCCTTATATTTTATTTAATTCTTTTATATGCTTTAATCTTAAGTTTGCTATATATTTAGCTAACTTATTTATAAAATAGGTTAAATTTAGCCTTATTTTTAAGCTAGCATATAATATAAACCTTATTTATTGCTAATATAATTTTATAGTATTTTTATTAGCTTGGTTAGTGTATTTTTTTAATTTTCTATTAGGGGTATATAGTGTAAGTTAAGGGATTATTTCCTTTTTCTTAACCTTTTCTTTTATATTAAATCTTTTTAATATTTTATCTATATATTTATTTTAGTTTATGGTTATTTGTTTATCTTCTCTATTTATATATATATTGCTTTTAAGGAAATTTATTAAATCTCCTTAAAAATCTAGTTTTATATTTTTATATAATTTATTAACTATTAAATTTATATTATTATTATTATTAGGTTTTATAATGATAATATCGTTTATATGATATATAAATATAATTTGTTTATTAGGGTATATAAATACTTCTTTGTTATATGGGCAAATAATAAATCCTAGCTTGGTTAATATATTTTTTAAGTATTTATATTAAAGTATAGGTGATTGTTTTAGCTTGTATAAAGCTTTATTTAGTTTTGCAACTTTATTTTTATATTTTGGTTTATTATATATATATACAGATAATTTTATATATATTTTAAAATTAATATTAAAGTGTAGAAATGTGTTTTTAATGTTGTAATTATATATATAATATCCTTTATTTATTGCTATTATTAATAGCATAGTATAAGTTTTAAGGCGGCAAACTATAGAAAAAGTCTTTAAATAATTTATGCTTAATTTTTAATTATATCTTTAAATAACCCATTTAAATTTAAATTTAGTATTATTCTCATTATTTATTATTTAACTAAGCTTTATAATAGCTGGGTTATTTATAAATTTCTTTTTATATATTTATTTCCTCCTTAAAGCTATATAGCTAGGTGGTAAATCCATTATTATATAAGTATTTTATTCTTATAAATTATATATTTCATTTAGCATAAATTTAACCTATAGGGGTTTTTCTGGATTATTTAATACCTCTTTTAAAAAAGAAGGTTTATTAATATTAGCTGCAGTTAAGCAGTATTTTAATATATTTTCCTGGGTATTTAATATAGATATTTAGTTATTTAATAGTATATCTTGTATAATATATATATAATCTTTTGGATTCCCTTGGATTATTATTTCATTTAAAATAGGAGGGGAATTTTCTTTCCTTTATTCTTGTAATTCTAGAAATATATATATGTTATTATCATTATTATTATTATTATTATTAATATCGTTATTATTTATATATTGCCCTTTTAATATTCGGATATTTTGAATTAATATAGGCTTTTTATTATTTATATCCTATACTTAATATATATTTAATTCTGGGATTATATTTAATAATATACCCTTTTTATTTCTAGGTTTTAATTTAGTTTTATAATTATTATTCTGGAAATATATGATAAATCCCTATAATTTTAAGTTATTTATATAGGGCTTTTTTTTATTTATTACCTTATAAGAGTACTTATACCCTAGGCTTTTATGGGGTGTAATATTATATAAATATATAGCATATTTTATTGCTTTTCCTTATAGGTATATAGGTAAATTTGCTATATATAAAAGGCTTCTTATTTTATTTATTATAATTAAATTTAGTCTTTTTATTAAGCCATTTGGTTTTTTTATATATAGGGGCGTTGTATAGTAATTTATAAAGTATTTATTTAATAAGATTTTAAATCTTTTATTTATATATTTGCCTTTATTATTAATAAAGAATTCTTTTATTTTTTTATTATATTTATTTTTTGCTTTATTTTTATAGTTATTAAAAGCTTTTAATGCTTTATCTTTATTTTTAAGCAAAGAAACTTTTAAATATTAAGTTTTTTTATTAAGGAATAATATGTAATATTTATATTTATTATATATAGGTTTTAAGGGATTGTTTATATTATTATATACTTTTTTAAGTATATTATATACTTAGTTATTTAGGCTAGTTTTATTTATTTTAATTATATACTTAGCTTTTAAGTATACTTTATAGTTATTTATATATTCTTAAATAAGTTTATTTATTAATATATTTATTTTATATTTTTAAAGAAATATTTCTAAAGCTTAAATATTTATATAACTTAATTTATAATATTATTTATATATTTCTTCTTCATTTTTATTATTTATATTTAAATTTTATTAAGTTATATATATTTTTTAAAAGGTATATTTAGGCTTATTTATTTATTTTATTATATTAATTCTTATAAAGTATAAGCTATCTTTTTAATATTCTTAAGTTATTAGCTTATTTATTTCTTAAAAGTATAATTTAATAGTATTTCCTTTTAATTTTAATTTAATTTTATTACTTATATACTTATAACTAAATATATTTAAACCTAGAAAAGGTATATAATATATATTAAAAAAATTTTTTATAATATTTATTTTTAAAAACTTAATTATTAAGTCCCTTATTTTATTTATAAATATAATACTTACATTACCTTATTTTATGGTTTTATTAATTATATATATAATATTAAAAAGGTATATATCTTTAAAACTTATTATATTTATAATAGTATTTATGGTTATTTTTATGAAATTTATATATTATTAATTTTCTATAAATTTATTATTATTAGCTGCTATTATTATTAATGTGGTTTACCAGGTGGTGGCCGGTATTAGATAGTGGCCGATTTTTTTTTACATATAAAAAACGTCCGTGCACGCTTTTTTACACCTTAATAACTTCTTTAAACTAAGCCTAATTAAGATATAAATTTAATCTTATACTTATAACTATAAAATTAAACTAAGTTCTTATTTTTAAGCTTATATTTAAATCTTTTATAAAGATATTTCTATATAAAGAAATGTTAGTAAATAATAGTGCAGCTTCTAGTATTTACTAACGTACCTACTTTGGTGTATTTCCTGCAAAAAGGTACCTAATCAGCCACTATCTAATACCGGCCACCACCTGGTAAACCACGTTATATATATATATAGGGTATATATAGAGTTATTTATCTTAATTTTCATTAAGTTATTAAAAGAAAGTTATAAGAAATTTAATAAATTCTTATTATATTTAATATTTTTTATTAAATTATTTATAATTATATAGGTTATAGGTTTTTCTTAAGTATCTTTTAAAGCTATAAAAAACTTTATATTAGCTAATAAAGCTAAGAGTTACTTTTATATTTTCTTTTATTTTTCTTAGCTTATATTCTTCCTTAAAGAAGTAGTTTTTCCTTTTCTTTTCTTTATTTATTTATTTTTTAATTAGCAAGTACTTTATTTAAATAAAGGAAATAGCAATTTTTTTAAATATAGCCCTTTATTTTATAATTAAGGCATATAATAATCTTTTTTTTATCTTTCTTATTCTTTATATATAAAGCTTTTTTAAATAATTTAAAGGGTTTCCCTTTACTTTTATTTAATAAGCTAAAGAAAAGAAATTTAATTATATAAGCATTTAAATCTTTTTTAAAACTTTAAGTTATATTTTAAATAAAGCTAATATATTTATTATTTAAGTTATGGAAAATTTAATTAATTATAATTTATTTAAAAAGAATTATATTATTAGCTTTTAAATCCTTTAAAAAGAGCTTTAGCTTATTAATATATTCTTTTATAATTTTAAAATTATTAAAATTAATATTAAAAAACTTTTTATAAAGTAAATATTAGCTTATAAACCTAAAGAATTTATAATAAAATTTAAATATATTTTATGCTTTTTAAGTATTATTTATATTTTTTATAAATATAATAAGCCCTTACTTATATATAAGTTTAATATTAATAAAGGCTTTTTTATTTTAAGCTAAAAATAAGCCTTAAAAAAAATTCTTAAGATTATTTTTAATAATATTTTCTTTCTTAAGTTAAGCTTAAATTTTAATGCTTTAATATATATAGTTTTTTATTTTATTAAGGAATAAAATATTATATTTATTAAAAGATATTATTTTAAAATAAATAAATAAAATATTTATTAAGATAATTAAGATAATAAAGAGAAAAATATAATAAATTTTAAATAAGTTTAATAAGTTAAGGAATAAAGGTATAAATATTAAAGTAATATAATTATAAAGAGAAAAAGAAAAGCTTTTAAATAGTATATTTTTAAGGTATTATAAATTAAAAATAGCTAAGATATGATTAAGTATTTTTAAGGGAGTTTAAAAATTATTATAAATTTATTAAAATTTATATTTTTAATATTAATTTAATATAGTTTTTAAAATTTAAAAAAATGCTCTTATTATTTTTAATAAAGGCTTTTAAATAATATATAAATTATATAAGTAAATTAAGTATTAATAAAGAAATAATTAAGTATTTAAGTAAAAAAGATATAGTTTTTATATATAGGCTTTAAGTTAGGAAATAAGGTTAATTTATAATATTAAATAGGGTGATTTAATTAATTAAGAGCTTATTAATTAGCTTAATTAAGTAATTAATTAAAAGGTATGTCTTTAAGTATAAAGCTTATCTTATTTAAAAGGCTTAAGAAGTGGTCGTGATTAAGGGTGTTATATAATATATATTTTTTATATTAAGTTAGCGTTGCCGTTTTGGGTTAGCTCCGAAGCTTATAACCTTTAAAATAATAGCGTTAAATGCTTAGTTTATTAGGCTAGCTAACGTTTATTTTACGGGAGGGAAGGCCCCTATTTATAGTTATTATCTTCCATACAGTGGCAAATGTATGGGGAAAAGGATATCCCGTATTAATAATAGCCTAGATATCTAGAATATTCCAACATTTGCTGCGGGCAGCTTATGCGTACGTTGTGCGCTGGCCCTTGATCCGTCTTCGTCGTACGTCTGGTCCGGAATTACTTGCCTCACACGACTCGGCACAGCAAGGCCAAGTAAAAAAGCGTACCCGTCGACCCGGGACTACGGGACCCCCACCTGCAAACCGCCCGCGAGGACCCACATCTAGTCTCCACCGCTGTACTATATTGATGACCAAGACGGAGTCTTAGAGTGGTCGATTGCCCTTGTCTTTGAGTCCCACCTTGAACTACATATCACATCCCGCCAGCCATGTGGCTTGGACTGGTTGAGCATGCTCTCCCACTATCCGTACAAGGTTTTCAGAGCAGAGCACCAAGCTCTCAGCCCTTGTTATGACTAGGCCCTAATAATAGCAGGTGTTAAATCGGCCCACTATAGCTGGAACTTTTGAGATGTTATGAGCCTTGAATAGCTGACGGCGGAAAAAGGCCAGAAGATATTTTCTCTGTCGTTATTGTCCGTGTGGCACGCATCTATTTCAGGAACATGCCAGTGCATACTCAATTATGCGGTAACAGCATCTAAAGGAATACTAGTAGGGCCAAATTCCCACGTTGATTGCGAAAAGAACCAGGAACTTTTCTCTGACGTTGATCTTCTTTTTCTTTCTTCAGTTTCTCTGTCTGAGAAGTCGATCAGTATCATGGGCCAACCTAGTCGTTGCTCAAGTCTAGCAACATATAACAGTCTCGAAGGTCCGTTGGACCTCTGCTTAGGTACATTGGTAATAAGTTAGAAAGCATTTCAGAAGCACTCGATCCAGCACATGGTGATAGCGACGGTTTCCCACTGACTAGTATTATAGTAGAGTAATGTCATCCAGAGCCCGCCCTGTCCTTGTAATATCTTGGGCTAAATCCCCATTGTAGACCATGCGGTCGTGAACGTAGGCCTGTCCCACATACTTGTATGCATCGGCGAGGTCTGTCTGGTACAAATTCTGAGCCTCCAAGGACTCTATGTCTAGTCCTGGCTCGGCTGGTGAGTCCGTCCCATTGATGTTCCTTAGTACGACTGGTACATCGCATCCAAGTAAGATAGCCAGTCTGTCCCCTCGTCTCGTGTTCCACGGTCCAATGCCGAAGCCTCCGGACTCGGTGAAGAACAGAGTCCGATGCATGCAGATGTCATCACGGACAGAATAATACTCGCTGGCCTTTTCGAAGCTGTCTGGAATGTGGTCGTACAGCCCCGCGGTCAGAGTCTGATGGAATGTCCTCATGACGTCCGCCTCCGGTTGTCCGCTGGCACTAGTAACCATGACTTTCCAATGCGCAAATACTCTTTTGGGATCCATCTTATATCGTACATGTCTGCTTAAAGAATTTGTTGGGCTAATCGTTGTGGATGTTCTCGAGTACGAATCGATGTATTCCAAAAGGGAAGGGTCCAAGGTTGTGCCAACGGCAACAATTGCATCCAAGAACAGACCTTTAGCACCAAGGGCATCATTTTCTCTCATGTTCCATATAGCAGCTGAGTTGCGTCCACTTGCAGAAAAGGCCTGCATCCACCGGGACCTCGTTGCCGGAGTATCGAGATCGCCATCCCACAGAGGCGTTGGTTGCCGAGCACCTGTGCTGGAATACCAATATGGACACCAACTGCGACGACCACGTACGGAAGGAAAGTCGGGGTTCAACCCTTGAGCATAGGCCAGGACGTTCAAGGATCGAGTCTCACGTATGCAATTGACTGCAAAACTGTGACAGAGCGAGGTATGGCTGAGCTTGTAATCCGGTGGAATGGTAAAGGCATTCGAGTCCCGTGGACGCACCAGCCCGAGGAATGCATAGATCTTGTCGCGAGGGTCCGAAGCCATCTTCTGCCTGAAGGCGTATACGAAGCTGAGCAAGCCGTAGTCCGGATTAATGTCCTGAAGCCTCGTTTCCCGGTAGTGCTTGAGAGCATGGTATTCGTCGACGAATGCGCCTCTGTCTCTGAACCAAGGCATCCCCATACATGTTTCTACTAGTTGTACAAAAGAATCCCAGGGCAATGAGACAGAGTCACACTGCACTATGACTTCTCTTGCAACCACCAACTCTTGGACTACCCAGACCCGCTGCCACCAGCCTCTCTGAAGTAATTTCGATACAGCCCTGACCGTGCCGTAGTTATAAACGATAGGGGCCGGACGTTGCTTGGCTCTTGAAAAGGCGTCCTCGAGACACCAAGGGCTGCTCCCCAACCAGATGACCACTCTCGTGGCCGACTCATAAATTTGGCGCATCTGGCTGACTTGTCGTGCCCTGTCATCTGGGTCGTTTTGGTCGATACAGAGGGCGTCGATCCAAATGGACCGGGGCCTGTCCCGGTGTCGAAGGTGTTTCATTGCATGGTACAGGTGGTCAGTCACATAGACCGGCTTCCCACTGATCAAGATCTTCCTAGTGAAGTTGGCAGGACCCCACACATATGACAAGGCCTCGTATTTTTCGGCCTCAAAATTGCCGATATGCAGGTCACAGATAATCGAGTCTCCGGGGAAACCCGGCTGTATCGTGATGATCCGGATAGTACGAATTTCCCACGGCAGAGGATGGAGAACGACGCAAGCTTTTGAGTTGGCTTCAAGTGCTGCTTTGCGATTCGTTTCCGCCAGGTGTGTGGTCACTCTCAGCAAGTAGAAAATGGGTATCAAAGGGGGGACGCTTGCGATGAAAATCAGTGTGATGGGAAGGAGGGCAATCACGACGATTCCCGCAACCACAAACACTGCCCCGTAGTGAAACATCGAGACCGAAAGCGCTACCTGTGCCACAGTGGTCGCATTCCGTTTTAGGCCTTCAGAGTACAGTAGCCATCCAAGTGCTGCTGAATTGGCCAATTCGGTATTGCTGCAGTGCGAGAGTAGTCTGTCCAAGTATTTTAGACTCTTGGTCACGATGATGGATGCTAGTATTCCATATTGTAGATCAACGAGGCATTGTGACAGGAGCTGGCCGAGGTGGACAGTCCACTTGTGGATGATACGCAAAACAGAGTCACAGGAATTGATCCTGTCCTTGAGTATGACAAGGGGAGGCGAGTTGGATGTCAACATATCGAAACGTTGATGCTCCGTCGGTTGGTAATACGACTCAGTAGATGCCGCTCAGGAAGAGTTTGAGATGCACCTTCTTGCGGAATTATCCAGGCAAGCAAATTTAACGTAAGCTTACAGTGGGGGCGATTTTACTTTTGGTGTAGCACAAAGGTATGATTGGTGAGTAACGCGAAAATTCCAGCCTCAATGACCTGTCATAACCCAATCGTATTCACTCGTTTAGCCAGGATTGAAGGCGCGTCTATGGGAAAGCGGGGTACAGTGGACCACCAACAGGCATCGAACACCGGACAGGTAGTGACGGATTTGTTTGTGTTGGCAATTACGAAAACCAGTGCTTCCAAGCAGTTGCGTCAACTTCCAAGGTTGATATTTCTTCACCTTGGTATCGGTTCTTGGATGTGTTAGAAAATGACGAGTCAGGCCCTGCCTCAGCAAAACCCCCATTCCTGTGATGGCGATGCTGGTAGCATACGACGACGCCTTAAGGCTACCATTGAATCGTATCAGCAAGGCAGGCATGGACTCGAAGAACCTACTAGTACAGTGGCGTCGCCAGATGCCACCAATCATGCTTCACGACACGTACCGGAAAATGGATCAAGCAGCGCATTCCCTCGTCTGAGTATACCTGTCGAGTTGATGCGCCATAGCTACGACCACGTTGTCGTTGGATCAGGATACGGCGGCGGTGTCGCAGCATCCCGTATGGCTCGGACCGGCGACAGTGTGTGTGTACTTGAGCGTGGCGGTGAGCGATGGCCCGGCGAGTATCCAACATACGCTGAAGAAGTGATGGAGCAGCTTCATTGCTCTGGGAAGGCCGAAGATTTCCCTGCGATGGCGAAACGCGAAACCTCGAAGGCCGATGGTTTCTACCACAACATCGCTTTGAGTTCCAGATTGAATTGTATTGTATGCAATGGTGAGTGGTTTTCACACCCACCTAAGCGCTGCTATATTCAAGGCTAAATTGTGGTTCATCTAGGGCTTGGTGGAACCAGCCTAATCAATGGAAATATCTACTTGGAAGCAGATCGGAGCACGCTTGCTGCGTCTGGCTGGCCATTAGAAATTACGAGAGATCCCGAATGCCTGAGTGAATGTGAGCACAAAGCATCTTCGTAGTTTCCCAGTGTTGGCGAAGGACAGGGCATGACTCGACAGGGATTTGCGACAACATTAATTGCTGACGACTACTCAAAGACTACACAAGAGCAAGAAACGTGTTTCGTCCGGAAAGATACCCAACCCAGAATTTTCCTGAATTGAGTAAGACAGAACTCTTTCAGGAAGAAGCCGAAAGTCTTGGCTTGGGAGACAGATATAGAGTTGCCGCGCAAACTACGAAGTTTAGTACCGGGATAAACTCAAGCGGCTTGGAACACAACGCGTCGTTGCTCAACAGCCAGGATTTCACAGGCAATAACGATGGCTCGAAGCAAACTGTGTTATCGACGTATATTGCTGATGCTTGGAATTCGGGTGCTGAAATATTCACCCAATGCGAGGTGCGCCACATTCAGGAGATGAACCCCGGGTCAGGCGAGGGCTACATCGTCTTCTTCGCTTGGCATGGTCAAAACCGTTCCTCAGTCGACATGTACCGTGATCCCCTATGGGTTCATGCGAAGAAAGCCGTATTCATCGGTGCTGGAGTCTTTGGCACAACGGAAATTCTGCTCAGAAGTCAAAAAAGCGGGTTGGCACTAAGCAGTCAAGTCGGGCAACGTGTCAGTGACAACGGCGAGGCTTGGGGTCTTGGGTGAGTTGTGGAGATATCAGCGTAACTCGTTCACTTGCAATTCTTGTTGTACTGATGTTGTCAGACTCCACCCACAGAGGGAAGTCAATGCAAGGGGACAGCCATATCAGGCCCGTGGTCAAGATCCTCCCGGACCAACTTGTGTTGGCATTATTGACAATCGAAATCTGGATAGTAAGTCCATGCATAAATGGGTATCATTGGGTAATAAGCTAAAATGGGGTCGGCAGGTATGTTTGAGGGCGATTTGGCTTATCACGGGTGGATCATGCTGGAGACATCCTTTCCTCTCGCATTAACATCCCTCGTGCGCAACTTCATAGGAGCATCGCTCCCAACATTTGCGCGAGGCACTTCGCACTTCCCTGGTCCCCTTGATACGATCCGAAGCTTTTTTACCTTGATGAGAGCCCGACTTTCAAAGGACGTTAGTCGCATAACACAAGTCTTATTATTGATGTCACGTTACGACAATTCCTTCCATATAGCTCTCAAAGACGGGAACCTAGCTGTACAGAATCCGGCCCGGGAAGACCGAGACTATCTCGATCACGCCAAAATGCTGGCTAAGGCCGCAAGGTCGGTTGGAGGCACGATGCTCACTCCCGAGAGCCAGTGCGGTCGTCCAAGATTCATCTTCCACCCTACAGGGTAAGGAACACTTTTGTCAGAGTATCATCTTGGAATACATTGTAAATACAGCTGACGAGATAAATATTGGAATAGCGGCGTGTGCATGGCTTCGGACGGAACAGGCTTGACTGGTGCAGCTACTCACGCTGGCGAGCTGTTCAAAGGCCATGGCAGCGAGACCCACGAGGGTCTCATCGTGGTCGATGGGGCTATCATCCCAACAGCTCTGGGGATCAGCCCCATGGCCACAATTTCTGCTCTTGCCGAGCGTTCAGTCCACCTCTATGCGATGAAGCATGGCCTGCACGTAGATGAAGGAAGAAATTGGGTCTTAGACCTCTTCGGCGCGCCACAAAGACACAAGAAGATCTCCGATTTAGACCCAGAAGGGCTTTTATATGCGGTAGAAGCCAGTTTTCAACGGTCTAAGGTCCACGGAACGAGCGGTTTTGCCTTCACGGAGTGTATGACTGGTTTTCTGCACAGGGTTGACCAAGAACAAGATCACAGTGATCGTCGTTTTACAGATCGCCTTGAGACTTACGAGAAGGGTAAAATACTCAATGAGACTGCAAGAATGTCTTTGACAACACGTTCCTTCGATATAGGAGCCCTGGACCACATGTCCAGCAAGAGTTCTGCAGTCTTGACGGGCACCTTGGTCCAGCCGTCTCTGAAAGGTTCCCCGTTTATGATTCGTCGTGGAATACCAAGATGGAACAGGGTGGAGTCTCAGCCAGAGTCGATGCAATTGATCTACGAGTGCGAGTTGCATGGGATCTCAGGAGAATCACTGGAACTACACGCAGAGAAGATCATCGACTTGACAGGGGAATTGCCAGAAGGTAAATTCTGGCTTGTCAAAGCCCCCCTACACGTTACAATACGCGAAAGCAAATCACATGGTCAGCAGGACCCCGTAACCATTGCTCAGGGCGTCATGTACACCGACCTGTCCACCTCTGCACTTGACTCAGCATTTGAGCCAGCAATGGATGGCAGGATGGTTACAGAACTTCCAAAGAAGGCTGTCTCAAACTTATTGCGAGTCGCACGCCGCCTGTTCTCTCTTTTCTCCACACCTCTGCAGTATTCTCTTCATAGATCACCGATATCTCGGATGCTACCATCCAGTGCATACGACATTTGGGCGAAAGATCACGTCATGACAAGAATGTACACATGGGAGCCCTCCAACACGACACCGGACAAAGAAGCAATGGAAATGCTCATGATTACAGGCCTGGCTGTGGATGACCGGATCTTTTCACTAGGATCAATTGACATGAACGTCGTTGGGTACTTCACTCGTGCTGGATATCGGGTCAATGTTATGGTCCCGCGGTGTAGCTCTCGTCGAGCATCGCCGAACATTCGGAACATGACGTCGTACTATGCAAGGCTCGACATAGCAGAGTGCTTGACATACATGAGGAAGAGGAGAGCACGGGAATTCCCAGATACCCCCATTCCGAAGATTTACATCTTGGCTCACTGTCTTGGTAGTATGGCGCTCGCCAGCGGCCTGCTAGATGGAACCATATCCGCCGAATGGGTGTCCGGAATTACAGCCAGCCAGGTTTTCATGAACCCCATTCTGGCCTACCCGACCCATTCCGCGTTCCTCGGGACCGAAATGGTACGCAGGTTGCAGAAAAGTCTGTTCGGGAGCTGGTTCAGCCTGCGGGCCTCGACGGATGACAGCCTAGGGCAGCGCATCGTCAGCCAGGCTCTGCGAGCAGTACAAGTCTTGGACGAGAAGGAGCTTTGCAACAATGCGACATGCCACCGCGTGACTTTCACTCTGGGTCGCCTCTGGAACCACCGCAACTTGGACCAAGTCACGCATCGGCACATTGACGAGGTCGTTGTGGACAGTGTCACCGACATCAGCATACACCAACTCGAGTTCATGGCACGCATGAGTCGAGAAGGTCAGGTCAAGGCGGCTGGCCCGATATTTGAGAATCTGGCGACGCGGGACAGGGTCACCAAGCTCAGGGGTATACCCATCATGCTGTTTGCAGGGTCAGATAACAAGCTTTTCAGCCCGGAGTCTGTCGAGAAGAGCTATTCTCTGCTTTGCGACGTGAATGGGCCGGAGATGTACAAGCTCAACATCGTGCCTGGCTATGGCCATCATGACTGCTGGATCGGATGTAAGGGGTGGAGGGACATATATCCGATGGTGCGAGAGGAGGTAGACCGTGTGGTCCGGGGCAGTGATTACCAATTCCAGGAACCAGACGACCAGTGGTCTTTGGAGCATGGTTTGAATCTGATGAAATGAAATGGTGGGACACAAAACACCGTGTTGTTGGAATGTGCGCGTTGAAAAGGGGGTACAGTTAGTTGATCCATCTTGAGGATATCATGGAAAAGTCCAACGCATTGAATATAGACGCTGAGAATGAGCACTATGTCGACCTATTGCGGTTGATTGCACAGTCCCCCGATGTGGCGAACACGGCTATGCGCGACCTCGAGCTCTCCACACTCCTGCATATACGTTTCGCTTGATGAATCAGGTGTCTTCTTGTTCAGACCCGAGTGATTGGGCACCAAGAAAGCAGTGAAGTGGCATTGACCCGTGCGGCGTTGTATGAGAGTCCTCGCCAGGTGCTTGCCAATGCTATGAGACTGCTTAGAGTGGTTCCGGTGGACCGGCTAGCAACATTGCCTACTATCTTTCTGCGACTTTGGTCCCAAAACCCTTTCAGCTGTCCTTCCACCTGGGAAGCTTTCGCATCAGTGAGACACAAAACAATTTTTTTTTTTTTTTCAGGACGTAAACCTCGAAGTTCTAGGAGAGACGACAAATATAGAAAGCTGAATTAGATTTTCGGCTTCATTGACTCTTTCCCTTCTAAAAACAAGATCTATGGAGACTATGGGATTACAGTGTCCACCAAGCATGAATAGAAATCGTATGCTCCTCATTTTCTGCAGAAAATCATGCTGTGAGATTGTGATTTCTCAGAAGTGGGGCGGAAACCTAGATCAAGACGGTCAGAAGATGGCGATTTGGTATGTGATTGAGATAACAATATAGTGTAGAGTAAATTGTTTGCTAAGATCCTCTCCTATTCTTTCATTGCCACCTTTCTCTTCACTTCCGTATTCCATGTGCACTATCGTCGGAGATAAGCATATTCAAACAATCCGGGTGACGTCGGGTGGGGTTAGTCTCATCAACCTCCTCTTGCTCCGATTAAAACCTAGCTCTCCAAAACTCAGGTCAACTTTGTTAGGGTCTCGTCTAGTATCCGGGGAAGATGGTCCAGCTCCGGGGAGATCTCTGTCCCAGGAAAGCTTTGTTCCTCTTGTATCCACGGGATGTCTCCAAACATTGGATGAGCCATCACCATGACTATTACTACAATGCCACCGTCTGCTCGTGGTTCTGGACGCTGCGCAAACAAATGCCACAAGATCTCTTGTCAAATCAACATTCCAGAACATCTTCAATTGCCTTGTTCCCTGATCATCAGAGTCTCAAATTCTGTGGACGTGAATGACACTCAATGATAATGGCAACTAACGATGCCATTTCCGCTAGGGGCGACTTTCATTTCTATCTTCCTACTCCTGGTAAGCGCGAATTCATCAACTCTCATGATGTTTATTGACGTTTATCTCGCGTAGACTCAATCCCGTTACCCCATCTAGATAGGACCAACATCTATGAATTTTCCAAAGCATGTCTAGCGGACCCGTGGATGAAAGATCTCGTCGGACAATGGACCGACGGCCTGAAAGGACAATTTCATGGCATCACTACTGATGGCACCAGGGTGGAAGGTCTTTATGAGCTCCAGGATGAAGGCGCACCAACCGAGGCTGCAGTAAGTTAGGCATCATTTCACGGCTGCGGCCGTCGTTCCGAAAGCCCTGCAGCTGACTTTGACAAGACGATTGCTGCCAATCGCCTCGTGGATGCGTTGACGCCGGATCAGAAACTAAGGGTTATCCGTGAGTTGGACTCCGAGGATTGGTTAGTGGACCCTTCCTTTGCTTTACACGAAGGACGACCCGGTTGGGCTAATTGATGTAGGCGAAAATGGACGAATACTGAAATTGTCGCCCACGATGTCGGCTTACTGCTGGCCTCCCTCAATCAATCGCAGATTGATCTGATATGGGCAATATTTGGATCTTCTCTTAGCCGAAATGGTTATACGAAAGTGAGGAACGCCGTGAATATCAATAAGTACCTGGGGACATTAGCCAACACTTCCGCAATCCTCAATGAATTCAATTACACGTACGGTCACACATATTCGTTGACGCCCTCGTTTCCAGCAGGCTAATAAGACCAACAGCTTCATGCTCTATGGGAGGCCTTCTCTGAGTCAGCCCTGGGGATTTTCACTTTCCGGTCACCACCTCATCCTGTCAATCTTCTTCGTTGAAAATCAGATGGTCATCGGACCAGCCTTCATCGGTTGTGAACCCAACGTAAGTCTGAAAGCATTTTTAAAATGGCTTTCCAACGCTAATGAGATTTTTGTGCAGATAATTGTCGAAGGCGCCAATAAGGGAGAGGAGCTGTTCCATCGTGAGACCATTTTGGCCCTGAAGTTGATGCAAAACCTCACTCCGGAGCAACAGAGACAAGCTCAGAAGACCGATGTCATCCATGAACCGGAAAAGCCCGGCTGGAACGCAGTTGACCAGCGGCACTTGACTGGCACCTCTCAGGATAATCGCATAATTCCTTATGAAGGTGTGGCTGTGAGCGCATTGACGCTCGAGAGTCAAGACCTGGTCGTCTCGGTTATAGAGGCTTTCCAAGAGCTCCTGCCCCCGAAACCGCTAGCCCACCGCCTTCGCCTCGTCCGTCAGCATCTCTCAGAGACTTACTTCACATGGACCGGGAAATTCGGTGATGATGACCCGTTCTACTTCCGCATCCAAAGCCCTGTCGTCCTGATCGAGATGGACCACCACACCGGCATCTATCTCACAAACAAGGAGCCTGGTAAATTCCACATCCATACGATCCACAGGCTCCCTAACGGCGGCGATTACGGGCGAGAGCTTATCCGGACGTGGAGACTAAAACATCCTGTGAAGCCCGCAATGCAACGCATGGAGTACGTTCGGCCGTTCAACGAGGCAGCTACAGTGGACACCGGGTTTCCCAAGTACCGCGCGCAGATCCTGTCCAGTCTAGAGAGCGCGATCATCCTAGCCAGCCACATCGGCGGAGGGGGATCTGGTCCGGGACTTCACTATCACCACAGCGACCAGGTAAGACAGGTTTTGACTGTGGCCCTTTCCTCCCCATATTTTCGTGGAACTGCTTCCTGGGTGCGTTGAAGTTGACTCTAAATTCTGAAGGCATACTTCTTAGTCGAAGGTTCGATCAAGGTCCGCCTTGGTGATGTGGTACATGACGTGTCTCCGGGTAGTCTTGTCTTCATTCCGGCCGGGCTCCCGCACTGCAACTGGAACCCAGGACCCGGCAGCGAGACACACCTGGAGATGATCATTCCGGCAACAGACCGCTTAAAGCAAATCGCCTATATGGTCGACAGGCCCGAAGACGTGCCTCCAGAGTGGCAGACCAGCCGCAAAGGCTATGTACGCCGCGTGGACCCCCGCTGGTTGACGGAGCCCCTCCCCGGGTTCAAGACAATGTCGCTCGCCGACCCGTCGTCCGGGTGCGATACCGCCGTCATATTATATGCCGAAGTTGGGCCTCAGAACGGCGGGCCGGGTACCCACGTGCACGAGTTCGACCAGTACTACTTCGTGCTGGAGGGTGAGCTGACCATCGAGGTCGCACTGCAGAAGCACGTCGTCACCAGGAACAAGTTGGTCGTGCTCCCAGCGGGCGTCCCGCACCGGCAGTACAACAAGGGCGAGGTTGCCGAGAAACACCTCACTATCAATACACCGGCGCCCGAACCTGGTCGTCTTTGGGACTTTGGCGTGACGCTGGCACCTAATGGCGTCGGGCATTATGGGAGCCTTACTGCGGCGCGCGAGATCGATGATGGTGCTCTATCGGCTGTGTAATTAGTTATATATTTTGTCAGCGAACGTGAACAACACAGAATGACAGATGAGTCTCCCGTCCACAGTCAAGTAGTATGGCATGAGAGTTGGCTCCTCAAAATATGGCATCCATATTCCACACGGAACCCCGGAAGGATTGCATATGCAAATCGATTTCTCAAGTAGAGGGCCACGACCGTGCGAGCCGAACACGAAGCTTAGAGATACTCTGCTGCGACACCGGTCGATGCCATAGTAATGCGCGTAAATCAGTGGCCTGCCAGGCCATCCTTCTCCCACTGAGTATGGACATCTGGCAGCCATGTAAATGAGCATGCGCAGTTGGGGCATCGGCCCTCCGCCGGGTGCTGACGGAATGTTGCCCCAACTTCCCGCTCCGAACCTCAACTTCGGCCGGAAAGTGGGGTGTACTTACCCGTCCATACCGCAAGATGCCGACTCACGATATATATGTGTAGACCACTCTCTTTTACAAAGTTGTTTTAACATAGTAAATGCTCCGGTAAGACTCAAAAGTCATATAGTCCTCTGAAGGTTGATACCAGACTTGTCCTTGAAGCACCTCCACGGCGAATAATCAACAAGCGCTGGGCATTTAATCACTTGCATCTGACCACAATGTTCGAACACACCAAGCAGTTTCACCGCGTCCCAGTTGGGTTCGGGCCCGCACCCAGCCCAAGGCAGGACCCCTCAGGCAAGCGATTCGACTGGTCCTCGTCGAAAACGACTACAGTCGGCATTGTAGTCGAGTGTGACCGGGCAGCAGTCCAGGCAATACTCCCAGAGGGGTACAAGGTGGAGCCGCCCGCCTCCACGCCCCCGGACAAGGCCAACGTCCTCTTCGAGGTTATGGAGCTGCGCAACCTGCCCTGGCTCGCCGGCCGCGGGTACAACACATGGGGCGTGTACATCAGCGACGTAGTGTGCCACCGCGCCAAGAGGGAGGACGGCTCCCCGTACAAGGGCTCGTACCTGGCCGTCCTCTTCGAGAGCTTCACGGACCCCATCACCACGGGGCGCGAGGAGCTCGGCTTCCCCAAGGTCTGGGCGGAGCTCCCGGATGGGTCCGTCACGGACGAGGGCAAGACCCGCGTCCACACGGCCAGCTGGTTCGGCCACGAGTTCCTGCGCCTCGAGATCCGCGGCCTGAAGGAGCACGACCCGGCGACTGCCCCGGCCCTCACCCGCCCCGCCGACGGCTTCACGCACCCCAGCCAGCACGGCTTCCTCCATCACCGGTACGTACCCGCCGTCGGTGAGCCCGGCAAGGCGGACGCGAGCTACGCGACCTTCAACCCGGCCCCGCCGGGCAAGGCGCCCGTCAAAAGGTTCTGGGCCCCATTCCCCAGCCCCGGCCGGAGCCAGCCGGGCAAGGACGTGTCCGCGGGTGTGGCCGGGCCAGAGGTTGACTTTAAGATCACGCCGGGGACGTTTGAGCAGCTGCCGACGCTGCACAATGTCGTCAGGGGGCTCGCGGGCCTGCGGCCGGGAAGGGTTCTCGAGGCGGCTGTGCAGGAGATACGGGGTGCTAGCGATCTGCGTAAGTACAAATTGCGTCCCTCTGCGATTGGTGGCAGGACTCGAAATCTCACTCCCGCTGACGATCTGCAGTTGCGAATCATCGCATTGAAAAGTGATGTTGATTTAGTAAGGATATCGCCGCTGTGTTTCAAGCGAACACGACATCCTCGGTTAGCTGACTTGGTGGCATTGAATGACGAGCTAGTCAGCAATATCAAAATCTATCCTGTGATTACTCAGTATACAAGGTTCTCTCTGTTCTGGCCTATACTCTTAGCAAGCCGACGGCCTGGCCCTAAAGTTCTTTGTGAGGAGTTTATTGAATTATTTCGTGACTAGATTATCTCGCAAAAATGTCCATTTATTCAAAGCAAAGTCGCAGTATAGTCGATCATAGACCCGTGTGCGAAGTTAGTTTTATGTTGCTGCTAAATTGGATGAAAAGGGGCTGTTAGTTGCCCTGGACCATACTGCGGCGCATTGTAGTGAACGTAGTGATTTGATGCCTAGGTATGTAATCCATCACATTCACTTGATCTCTGCATTTGCATATTCCTTCATTGTAAGCTCGAGCAAATGATATTATTTTCTGAGTGACTATGACTTCCAAGCTGATGGCAACCTACAAGCGGTGCCACTTGATCTTCAGCTCGACTTAGATGCCTTCCACATAGCTGAAGATCAACGGAGGTACCTTGGCTTTCTAAGCTACGTCGCAAGTCTGCCGAAAAAAATCAAAATTCTACACCCGATCCCGTTCGGCCGTGACAAGTTCTCTATCTCAAATTCAGACGTTCATGATGATGTGGTAAGCTCCTTGACCTTATCCGTCAGGTTCGCAACAGGCCCATTTGCCTCCTTCTTCTCCTCCGCCGGTGCGTCCAAGCTCTTGGGCACCGTAGGGTTGAACAGAGCCTCAGCAGGGATCAGCTTTGACCTCACAGCCGGGTTCAGCGTCAGCCCGAAACCGGGCTTGTCCAGGTCCGCCGTCGTCAGGTAACCCTTCGTGGGGATAGGCTCGTCAAGGAACAGGTCTCCGAAAACAGGCAGCACGCTCTTGCCATCCGGGCTGTTAGCCAGATACTCCTGGAAAGGCGTGTTGGGCTGGCTGATGACAAAGTGGTAACTGTATGGCCCACTTGCATGCGGCACAACGGGGATGTCGTAGGCGGCAGCCATGGCCGACACCTTGAGCAGCTCCGTCAGGCCACCCAGCCACATGACGTCGGGCTGGATGATGTCGAGGTTACGGCCCTCCACGAGCTTTCTGAACCCGTAGCGGCTGTACTCGTGCTCTCCGGTGGTGAACTTGAGCGTTGGGTGGGCGCGCTTGATCTGCGCGAAGCCGTCGGTGTCATCCGGCGTCAGGCACTCCTCCCACCAGTTGATGTTGAGGTCGAGGCAGGCTTTTGCGATCTCGATCGTGTATGACACATTTAGGGACATGTAGCAGTCCACCATGAGCGGGAAGTCCGGGCCAACGCTCTCGCGATGCTTGCGCAGGAACTCAACGTTCTTCTTCAGGCCCACGTGACCCTCCTCGGGGCAGTATGGGAGTGGCACCTTGGCTCCCCAGAATCCCATGGCCTTTGCCGCTGGCGGGTCGGGGCCAGTGCAGTAAAAGTTCAGGCGCTCCTTGGTCGCGCCTCCGATCAGTCTGTAGACAGGCTCGTTGCGAAGCTTCCCCAGCAGATCCCAGATGGCCAGGTCGATGACTGAGATGACAGCGAGTGGCAGGCCCTTGCGCCCATAGAACATGGAGCCACGGTACATCTGCTCGAACAGTAGGTTCGTGTTGCGGGGGTCAGCGCCGACCAAGAAGCGCGTGAAGTGTTGTTGGACGAGCCAGCAGCCGGGCGGGCCTCCGAAGCCGGTGGCGAAGCCAATGGTGCCATCTGAGGCCTCGATCTCGACGAGGAAGGAACCCAGGACATTGATGCCCCAGCTGGTACGGGATTTGCGGTACTGCTCCCATTGTGATGCTGGGGTGGAGATGGGCGAGTCGATGAGCCTGTGCCATGTGGTATCAGACTTCCGCTCGGCCGGATGCGGGATGGGATTCGGGTATTCTGGTGCTCGTTGGCAAGGGGATTTCCTTACCAGTGGCCTCCTTCCACGTTGTGATAGTCACCACCTGAGATGTCATCGCGGTCAGCTCTTGGCGTCCTGTCAATTCACTCGGAATGACTGATCCTACCTGATCCAACTCCTCCGATAACAAACGACCGGACGGCCTTGATGGTGGGAAACTGCCTGACGGAAGCCATGGTGACGAGAAGGGGCGTAGAGGAGGAAGACAGATGTCTAATACCAGCGCAGCTACACCATAGAAGTGAGCACAAGACCAGTTTCTTTCTCTGCAGAGTTGGAGGGAGCGGGAGAAGGCGTCAAGTTAATCTAAAATCGGGACTTGAAAGAAGGGCCAGAAGCTGCTCGGTCTAGGGTTGAGCCTCTCCGGTCGCATGGTGTTGAGGTTAGTTTAGTAGTCTAGTGGGGGTTTGGCGGGGAGTTGTTCCCAAGGATGACTCGGGTCGTTGATGCACCGAGAATGCCGTGCCTTCAAAGCAGTCTGCCGGGCTCGCCAAAACCCACCTCTGGCCTTGGGCGACCGCATTGCATGCTTCAGCATGTGATCTTGAGCCGCTTGTCGACTGCGGCAGTCACTGCACATGTGGCCTGGACCGATCCGGAAAATCCGGGCGATCAATTGCAACTTTGCGGTCTCTAGTCTGATGCAGCACACTATTGTGCTTGAGGCAACGGACTTACATTAACATAGTACGCAATTGTGCACTCAAACTAAACTTGGAAACGGACAATTAGACTATTTAGTCGACGTGCTGCACTGGGATTTGTTGTCCTGCAGCTCACGTGCGGAGTGGGATGTGTGTGGACGGATTCATATCCGAATCCTTCCTGTCCCCTTTCCCTTTCAGACAGACAGGGTGAGCGGCTGCGATCCCTCCCGACAGATGCTTCAATTGGCGAGTAGATGCCGTGTCGGCAGTGGTTTCTCTTGGTACTGTAGTGATGAGGACGCAACCTCTGTCTGATAAGCTCTGCATTAGTCTCACCGGACGTGTGGCTTGCAGGATGTTGCGCAACACGACCCCCGGGCTTCACCCCGCCACACCGGCCCACGTGAGCCTTACGGAAGCTTACTCCGTAGTGCGCGCCACGCTACCAAGAGAAATCAAAAGTATGAATTGAAACAACTCGACTCCCTCCAGCACTATCCAATCTGTCGGTACTCTCTACCAGTCGGGTATACTGCCACAGCCCAAGTCAGTCCTTGAGGGATTGGGGTCAGGGGTGTGGAGAAACACTGGAGTGTAATTCCCGAAATTCATGCCACCGGACACGATGCCACGATGGTATAGCTGACGGATTGAGGCCCAAATGACCCGCTGTTTCGTGATCTTCCCCGGGTTTTGAGTCGTATGCGACCAGGTAAATCTGCATACTGGGAATCTAGATATCACCGCAGGAAAGAAATCGATGTGTATGATTCCCCCTGAACACTTCGAGCAGAATTGGACTGGTGATGACGTGAGGCCAAGGTCAACACGGTAAATGCCTCTCTTGTTCTCCTCGGAGCGAGCTGACAGGTAGGCAAGCTCAAGAGGTGTCACTGCAGAATTACAGTACACCACATACAGTAGTCCAGTCGACCAGCAGACCCCAAGCCTCGTAGACGGAAGGAGGGTGGATCGTGAGGTGCCTTTTTATCCAGTGCGAACGCTCCCAGGCTCCCCCTTTCAATTTCCCCACAATCACGAGCGTCCAATCACTGGCCCAATTCGGCCGGACGGCTCCACCTCTCCGCAAAGCGACCGTCTACCCCGCACGACAAGGGGGGGGAAAGGTGCCACTCGATCATCCCTGCTCGTGCTTGGGTCCTCCTTGTTCCCTGTTTTTTTCCTTTTTTTTTTTCTCTCTCAGTCCCTAGCACAGAAGGAAAAAGCCGTTGTACTCGAGCATCCTGTACCACACCGCACAGAGTGTACGTACATAGCATACATAGTACAGAATCCTCTGCTTTCTAGGCCATGTACGCCTGCCTGTAGTACACAGCACAATTACGGGAAGGATACCAGGGCTCCAGAGTCATCGTCGCGTGGCCATTGGCGCCTGGTCAAACTAAACTCCTTTCACGACAGCGCCTCCGGCCCTGGCCCGTGGGTTTTTGTTTCGTTCCACCGCCTGGGTGTGTGTGCCTCCCGTCGACCCGTCCGGTCAGCCGATTCCAATTCCACAATAAATGCCCGAGGAGCCCATCCTCTCGAGCCTCTGCACAACATTACCCCGAGCAACCTCTTCTGTTTCTTCTCGCCCTTCATTGTTCCTGCCAAGACCCGCTTATCTGCTGATAACGGCTGCCATCAGCCGACCCGCGAGACACGCATCACACACACACACACACACAGGCACAAGCACACGCAGGCAAGCACGCCCAATGCCCACGCCCACGCCCACGCCCCCGGACAACCAAGCAATCGGGACGCGGTTCGTGCCATCTCGAGCTTAATCCGGCCGAGCCACACACAGACAGCATAGAGTACCACTATCCTCAAGTCTCCATCCCCACCCCCGTCACCGTCACCGTCACCGTCACCGTCACAGTCGCATTGCGCGCCCAATGTCTCCACCGCCAGCCGCCAGCACGCCCTCGCCCGCCAGTCTGAGTCTGCAGTATCACCAGTCCAACGGTGCTGGTGCTCACGGCTCCTCAGCCTCGCCCGCTGCAGATACCGTCAATGTCAATGTCAAGACCCAGCATGAGGATTCCATGATGCTTGATGACGGTGAGCAGCGGCAGAGCGGTGACGAGGGCGCAAGTGACAACGACGACGACGTGGCCGAGACGGTGAACCGCAATGGCAAGCGGAAACGTCCCATCTCTGTCTCGTATGTGCATTAATTCTCATGCGTCTCACTACGAACTTGCTTCTCTTTTGTCCAACGTCTCCTTCTCCCCCCTTTTTAGTCTTCTGACCGACTCTCCGTCCGTTCCTGGTCTTGATCTAGTCGTAGTGCTTTTTCTCTAGACCCCGGCTCTCTCATATCGCCCCCTGGTGGCCATCCCAGTCTCCAGCTGCTCTACCCCATGCCTCTCCACGTCAATTTTCCCCAGACTCCAAACTCTACCCCAGCCTGTCTGCCTCCCTTTTGGTCATGGTTCCTCTACCGGGGCGGGACCCCATAATGAGGCCATGTCACATCACTGTCCATCTCTCCTGATCCTCGTCGTTACTCTCTTCATTACTCTGCAGATCATCCCATGTTCCCATGTCTCCATGCTCCATATCGCCTTCAGTGCTCTCCGTGGGCGAGAGCATAGAGGTTAAACCACTGCCCACTTCTCCTTCGCCCGAGCCCAGTCCCAAGAGGAGGAAAATCGCTGACGAGAACCCGATTCCAAGATGTGAACTATGTAAGCAGAGAAAGGTGAGACTCCAATATTCCTCGGAACATCACTTGGATGTGTGATGTTATTCTTTTACCGACACCACGCCGCGGCCTTGGTATCGATCGCATCGACTCAACGGGACCAAGCTAACACGGTCGTTCTCCTCAGGTGAAATGTGACCGCGGTCAGCCCTCTTGCGGGTGGTGCAGTCGCAATGGCGCGCACTGCGAGTACAAGGAACGCAAAAAGCCCGGCCTGCGCGCCGGGTATGGGCGCGAGCTGGAGCAACGGCTCAACAAGCTCGAGGAGATCTTGCGGACCCATTCAGAGATTCTTCAGGCCACGATGACAGTCCAACAGCGTGCGCAACCGTCCATGCTGTCACACCACAACGCATCTTCGAGCATCAGGGGGAGCATTGCCAGCTTGCCAAGCGACCACGGTACTCCTAGAGATGTCCAGGCTCCCAATTTCGCCAGGCCGGACTCGATTCGCACACCGCAGGCTGAGACAGCGCTGTTCCTGCAGAAGCCGTCATCATATCCTCCGACTACCCAGTCCATGGATTTTGGTATACCTCCACCAACGCCGGGCCTGCATGACGGCTTCCAACCTCCAGTCACCATGGCGGGAGTGTCGCCGACAAATCACAGTCACATCTCGGCCATGTCATCAGTCTCGGTATCTGGCATGCCAAGCGCCGCAGCGCAGGAATACTATGGTTCCAGTGCTGGCGCTCCACTGCCCTCGCCCACAGTGAACATGGCACACTCTCATAATCAAACCCTTTCATCAGACCAAGACCTGCCACCTTATGATCTCCTCTATGCTTTGGTCGACCTGTACTTCAAGCACATCAACACTTGGTGTCCAATATTGCATCGGAAAGCTACACTAGACTCACTGTTCGGGCCGTCCATGATAGAGGAGACTGACAAGATCCTGCTTCATGCGATTGTGGCCACCACGTTGCGATACTCGACAGATGCCAGGTTATCAGAAGAGAGGAGGCGGCATTACCATGCAGTATCAAAACAACGTGTCATGTTGTACGGCATGGAACACTCTTCGGTCAAATCCCTGCAGGCCCTTGTCATTCTCGCCCTCGACCTCGTTGGAGACAGCAACGGACCTCCTGGCTGGAACATCATGGCACTCATTACACGTTCTGTCGTGCAACTGGGTCTCGCCGTCGAGTCCAGCTCCTTTTCAGTCAGCCCGAACTTCACGTCCATCTATACTCTCCGTGCCATGATCCTGCCCGAAGCAAAGGACTTCATCGAGGAGGAAAGTCGAAGAAGGCTGTTCTGGATGATATACCTGTTGGACCGCTATGCGACGATAGCCACCGCTTTTGAATTCGCACTCGACGAACGCGAAATCGACCGCGCCTTACCATGCCGCGATGACCTGTGGACAAAGAACCAAAAGGTCGAGACACGATGGTTCAGTGACCAGCACCACTACGACACACATCACGATCAACACAACGGCGAGACGCCAGAACACAAGATGGACAACCCCCAGAACCTCGGGGCTTTCTCGTATTACATCGAGATACTCGGCATCTTCTCCAAGATCCACACGTTCCTCAAGCAGCCCGTCGACATCTCCGCGCTGTCAGATGTCGAACAGTGGCAGATGCGCTACAAAGAGCTCGACAACACCCTGACCTCGTGGAAGTTTGGCCTGCCCGGCGAGTTCGGAAACATGGCCAAGCTGTTCCAACCAGGTTCGAAGCAGCTCAACTGCGCTTGGGTCATGCTGCACGCAACGTACCACACCGCGGTGATCCGCTTGCACTCCTCTGCCGCTTACCCAACGACACGGTCACCTATCTTCCATCCATCATACAGTGCTAGTCAGAGATGTCACGGAGCCGTCGAGAACATCCAAGCACTGGGAGAATTTGTCATGACAAATGGCCTCCTGTCGAAGCTCGGTCCTCCATTCGCGTTTACGCTGTGGGTCGCGGCGCGTCTGCTGCTCGTTCACGGCAGTACGGTCGAGCACAAGCTGTCCCCGCAGCTACCATTCTTCGTGGACTGCCTGAGGGAAATGGGCCTGTACTGGCCCGTCGCAGCACGGTACTGCGGCCTGCTCCAACGAGTGCTGGACGAGTACCGAGAGGTCGAGGGGCAGCTGGCCATGGGCGGCGAGAGCGGGACGCCGTCGAGCGTCAAGATCCTGGCTGACATGAGGAGAACGGCATTCGACCTGGACTTCCTGATCAGCCGGCAGCCGCGGCATGTCAATCCGGGTGCCAATGGCCTCGGCATCTCGGGCACCGGGACAACGCCCGGCCCGGGCGGAAACGCCGGGCTCGGCGCCGGTGGGTTTGGGGGAGGGAGGAACAGCCGATACCCGAGCGTCACGCCCGCCAGGACGCCACAGCCTAATGATCTGGAGTACCTGGACGTGTTCGACTTCTTCAACGTGCCGAGACTGCCCGCCGGGGCGCCGGGCGAGTTGGGCACGATGGAGAGTAATGGCCAGGGTAGTAGCAGGGACGGCGGGCAGCCAGCTCTGTCGGGAGATGGCGGTGCCAATGGACACGGGAACGCGAACGAGTTCAATATCCAGGAGTTCATGGTTGATGCCAACCGAGATTGGTTGTTTAAGCAGGAGGGGGCCAAGTTCCTCAACTGAGGAGTGTACAAAAAGACGTTGAACCGCAGGAGGGAAAAGACATGTGTGGGAAAGGGTATCTGGGTCTCCAAAATTTTCAATTTGGATTTGCTCTTCCGGCGCATGGGACTAAATTTCAGCGGGTGCACAGCGTTGCTCTGCATCGTGGGATGTATACTATAGCTTTGAAGATGTTTTATGATGTGGCACGAGGCCATGATAATCGCCTGTGGCTGATGACGAATCATGAGCCGGGGAATAATTGAAGTTGAAGTTCAGGGAGGATTGGTACGAGAATGATCCACCTTTCATTGCGTTCGATTTCGAAGTGACATCGTGAGGCTCAGTCAACCACTTGAGACTATTGATTACAAGGCAATGCCAGCTCGCCAGGGGAAGCTCTGAGATCTCGCGAGTCCACCCCCAGCCTCCTTCGAGTTGACCTCAGCGACGGCCTCATCAAGCGTTAGTATCATCAGCTAACTCATCCCCCGGGAAAAGCCTTCCGTCTTCTTGTTCGTCCCCAGGCCATTCCACTTAAACGACAAAGCAGAACCCACATGCGTTCATATGACTGCAGCACATGTCAACAGTCTTGAAGTCCAGCAGTTTCACTGCCTGTTCAGTGTCTTTTTTTCCCGGTCTCGCATCCCTTGAGTGGGTACGTTTTCAAGCCTGATTGTTTCAAGAACACAGTATTCAACTTCAGAACCGTTTCCTGCAGTTGCCCACCACAAATAGTCTGGATCATTGATCTTCGTCGGGCTTCAACGCTTGCAAACAGAGTAACAGACTTAGGACATCCACAAAAGCTTGCCATCAGGAAGCAGCCTCCTTCTTTTTTTCTTTCGTCCTAAGCATGCTAGCTCCCTATTACCTACCTAGGTACCTACATACTCCTCTGTAAGCATGAACATAAGTCTGCCTGGAATTGTGCAGGTACGTGGGGTGGACAAACGGTCTGTTGGAAAGGGTCTCGATCTAGGCAGTCGCCGGCTGCTTGCATATCGTGCCTTCCTTCTCCTTTCCTTTCCGGTCTCTAAGACAGCACCTGCGTACCTGCATCAACTGACGCAATTGATCCCTGAAACCAGCCAAGTTGCAAACAAACTTCCCCAGGCCTCTTGGTCAACCTTGGTTCCTTCAGACTTTGAAGTCCTGATTAGCAGAGGCAACGCTCCACCTCCATCCATTCCCACTTCTCTCTTCTCCTCAACAACACCTCCATCATCAAGCTGCCTAGATCTCACAAGGCAGCCAGCGACTGAGTCTGCATTTCACCCAGAACGAAAGTCAACATCCTGTCATCCTTGAGCCAGCCCAAGATGCCGTCGGCCGATCCTGCTCACGGTATGCTCCCTAGATCCGCAAGACAGGTCAACGTCAACGCGTCCTTCCCACGTCGCTAACCAGTTTACCACTTGCTTCAGAGGTCGTGCCCACCAAGAAGGGTTACCGACATCATTTCTTCGCATTCACCCCCGCGTGTATGCGCCTTCAGGACGGTCACCCCTGCCAGGATGACCAGTTCGGCGTCACGAACCTGAGCGGCAAGCCCGGCTTCATCCCCAACGACGGTATCAACGAGTCGAACCTGTCCAAGCACATCGTCGAGTGCGTCGGAGGAGTGGTCAAGTCCTACGATGCTGACAACTACATGCAAATCAACTACGAGGCGCCTCACATTCAGGCCGCCGTTATGCGCGCAAACATGCCACTGGCTCGTTTCATTGTCCACTGTCCTCCTTGCATCTCCGCCGTCACGACCGCTGTACATCTCTGTCAGGGGAATGAGGACGCCATCACCGAGTGGTTGGTCCGCGTTGAGTCAGTGCTGTTCTCTCATCATGTCTCTTCTCCTTCGGCTTGCTGGTGTGCTCTGCCACAACAGGATTGGCCCCAGACTAACTTGATTCTCTGAGCAGTCACCGTCTTGGTTGTGCTTGCTGCCCCAGCACCGACAGCGCCCTGGCGCGTCTGTCCATGATTGCTGACACCATCGTGGACGCCAAAACTGGTCATCACTGGGCTAAGCCGAACAGCCCCGAGGCTCGTTGGATGAAGTACATTGATCGTGCGTGGCTCGAAGGTGTCCTCTACCACGCGGATGACGCGGATGACAAGACTCCTGCATCGACACCTTCCTCTAGCAAGCATGTGACCGATGCTGGCCACGACTACGCGGGAATCCGTCAGCTCCTGTCTTTCGAGGGCAAAGTTCGCGAGAACACAGTCGCCGTCATCCTGGCCGATGTCGACAGCGCTTCTTGGATCATCAACGCGGCGCCCTTTCCCACGGTGAAGCGTCAGCCCCGCACCGGAGAGATGTTTCATGTGGAAGACAACATCGTGACCAAGACGTTCAAGCGGTCTTTCCTCGGCACATTCGAAACGAAGGGAGCCTTGAAGCGCCGTCGAGTCGCCTCGCCGCCGCCTGAGACTGCCAAGCCCACCCGCAAGGCTTTGGCCCAGCGCAAGGGTCGACTCTCTAAGGTGGCTGTCGGTGAGGACGAGCTCCAGTGAAGTCTCGAGGCTTGGAGCTCAGGGAGAGATCATGGGGGGTATAGACAGCCTATTGGTACGAACAAAGTACACATGAAGCATGGGGTGGGTCCAGGTTGATCTCGAGGGATTTGTTGGTGCGAGAGAAAAGGACGTCCTGGTCTATTTCATTTTGCTATGATGAGCTCAGGTTGTACGTACAGAGTACAGCCATCCATGTGATGTTAGTCAGGTATTGTATCCAAAAGCAGAAGAGACGCTAGGGGTCTTTTGCTTCTCGCTCTGAGATGACCCGAGAACTGCCGGCAGCGGAGAGACCCTGCCCTTGCTTGTGAAGAAGCGCAAGGATTCTCCACACTCGGTATTGTCGATTTCTGGCCATCAACAATAAGAATTCGTGCCACCAGATCTCGTTTGTCTCTAATTCGGTGTGTTTTGCAAATGAGCAATCGATTGGGCCCTTTCTCATTATTTCCTCTTTTGAATCCTTTCAAGTAACGCCAGCACCACAGCACCTGGGCATCCAAGGCCCTGGCAGTCTAGAATCTGGCTGCGATCTCCAATTCCCCGCAAGCAACTCCACAGACCTACACAGAACTCCGCCTCCACACTCTTCGTGACGGACCTCAGCAAGGGGGTCAAGACGACGACAACTCATCGTCCTTGACTGTGCTACATTCCTACCTCTTTCCGTCTCCCACCACGTACGGTACAACGCCTACTTTGAATCAGTCATGGCGCTCAAAAATGTCCTCGCCGGCAAGACGGCCATCATCACAGGCGGCACAACTGGCATCGGCCGCGCCATCTGCCTCGAATACCTGCGACAAGGGTGCAACGTCGCAGTAAACCACCTCGACCTCGACAAGGACAGGCCACACCTCGACTCCCTGGTCGCAGAAGCAGAGAAGCTCAAGTCCATGGCAGAAGCGGGCCAGACCGTCGGCTCGCTGGCGCACCTCGCGGGCGACGTGACGGACCCGGCGACGGGGACCAGGCTGGTGGCGTTCGCGCTGGAGGCGTTCAAGACGGGCCGGCTGGACGTGTGCGTGTCGAACGCGGGCATCTGCACCTTTGCCGAGTTCCTGGACCTCCCCGCCGACCTGTACTCCAAGACGGTGCGGACGAACCTGGACGGGGCCTTCTACGTGGTGCAGGCGGCGGCGCGGCAGATGGCGCTGGCGCAGTCGCCGCCCGGTGGATCCATCATCGGCATCTCGTCCATCTCGGCGCTCGTGGGGGGCGGCGGGCAGACGCACTACACGCCCACCAAGGCGGGCATACTGTCGCTTATGCAGAGCACCGCCGTTGCGCTGGGGAAGTATGGGATTAGGTGTAATGCCCTGCTGCCTGGGACGATCCGCACGCAGCTTAACGATGAGGACCTCGCTGATGCGGAGAAGAGGAAGTACATGGAGGGCAGGATACCGCTTGGCAGGACGGGCGAGACGAAGGACCTGGCGGGCCCGGCTGTGTTCCTCGCCAGTGAGGAGCTGAGTGGCTATGTCTCTGGATCGCAATTGCTGGTTGATGGAGGGGCTTTTGTCAACTTTCAGTAGGCTTGGAAGGTGTCGACAGGGTTGAAGTCAGTCAATTCCCGTGTCCACTCGAACTTGAGTCGTGGTCAATATGTGATTATTGTCTGCTGTCTCCAGCTCAGGTCTACTTCACGCTCTTCCGGCGACTGCGCCGGTTTGACTTATATTTCTCTCGATGGCCTTGTGCGACATTTTACTTAGCAGATTTGGCTGTTGTCGAGCCTCGCCCTCAATTTTCTGCCTGCTCGCCCCCTGTTTTGATGAATCCCACCAGTTGAGCTTCATTGTCTTCCATGGTGGTTCCGAGTGTTTACTTCCAGCCATACCAACGGGGGTACATGCGTAACAGCCTACGATCATTCACCCCACAAAGAATTTCTTGCGTTTTATTTTTAGACTTGTGTCATGAATCGTCAGGTAGGTAGCTTAATGCAGAACCTTGACGTCAATTGAGTGTCCCGACAGTGTTTGGAAATACTTATGGAAGGGGGCACGATTGATACATTGTTCCTTAGCCTGACTCTGTTATGTCGCGGCAGGAAGCAAATAAACAAGAGTGACTATTGGGTCAAATATCGAACCGTTCCTAACATTCCTTTTGGCCTCTTGAACCCAAAGAGATCAGACAACTCTAGAGCTCCTCGGATTCATTGCAGTTACTCCGAAAATGCCCTGCAATGCCAATTCCTTCGCCTTGGCCACATTGTCAGTATTTTCCCTGAGGGTTCAACCAAGAACCAAGTCTATTTCAGCTCGATTGACGCTCTCCCATGCTGTCTTCTCAACCCAACCGACTCCCAGTCGGTACGCAATTCCATTCTCCCTCTCCACCCAAAGGACACGGTACCTCTCGGAAATGACTTCAACTTGAAAACGCCTTTCGCAAACGGTTGAACGATAGATTGAAACCAGTTCAACAGAATGGCCAGGTCCAGTCTTAATGTTATCGCCCGAAGCAAGGAGAAAAGGGGCCAACTGGTCAGTGTTGTGTAGGTAGAGCTCTCCTATCGGTGGTCCACCACGTTCTGTGCGGATCTCCAAGACCCGTGGATTCTTTGCCAAGGCGGTACCCGTGCCATAGTAAGGTGACTTCGTTTCCATGTACTCCCACATTTCTACAGTACAAGTAGCCCATAAGTGTGCTTTGTATGTTTTGCAGAACAAGTATGGCGTCTGTTCGGGCGTGGACTGAGGTGTCGACTCTTGAACTTCAGCGATGGGAAACGGGAAGTCTGTACGCATTTATAGTTAGCTAGCTAATCAACGACTATTGCAAATATGTCTCTGTGAAAAGGTTGATGATGAAGGCTTTATCCAGAGTTGGCTTACACCAAAGACTCTCTGGGAAGAAACAATGCTGAAAGAGGCAATCATGGCACCCCGGTGGACGCCAACGGCCTGGACCGTCAACCGGCCTCGAAAGATCCTGGCTCTTGGCGTGTCCACCCCTCTGGCAGAGACCTTGCGAAGTCTTTGTATCGCGCGTCGCGGCTTTTAAACCAGGTAGGACTGATCTTTCGGAGAGCCGCACCATCCGCAGAATGTGAAGCAAACCAATCTGTGATCGGAGTCGTTTCTTCTTGATCACAATTGTATGTGTTACGATTCCGAGCTTCGATGGCTTCGTCGAGTTCCATTGGTTTATCGGAAATCCTTCCCTCCCATCCTGCCCATGACCAAGAAGGCAATATTCCTAGAGAGTGAGGGAGCTGGTGTTTCCCTGGCCTCCCCGATGGCTTGCGTCGCCGCATGTCGCTAGAGGCGCACCACCCTAAAGCTTTGTCAAAGAACATCTCCGGTAACCCGCAAAGAAAACCGCCTTGAAAGGAGCGACTGAAAAAAGAAAGAAGACCTGATATTCCGGGAATTATATCCTCTTCGTAACTGGAACTGCGCGAGTTGTAACTATCCAAAAGAGGACTCAGGGAGTTGATATCCGGCAAGCCTCTGAGTATAAGACCAGGTTTAGGCTCCTCGGACAAGAACTTTCGGTTGTATTCGGAGCAGAAAACCGCGTCTTCGTGCCAATTGCAACACTGGCACACCCAGTGCATTCTACTGCCTGCGAAGATAAGCCGTCGCTATAACATAAGATACTCTTGGTAAGTCCAGCCTCTTGTCTTATAGTCCCCAAGATGGATGTTGAAATCTGGACGAATGAATGTTTTTCCGCCAAAAGGAATCATTTTTTGTTTCGCTTTACAAGCATTAGAAACACCTTTAATGCTTAGAATCCCTATCGCAGCGTCTCCATCGGCGGCCACGATAGAGACCAGGGCGCTTGCATAGAAGGCTCCCATAAGGTTGAGTTGGTATGTGTCTCCTTGGATAATACACAATGCGTCTATCCACAAGTACCGCTCGCCAATTGCTAAGGTCAAACTCATAGCATATCGAATAATCGGTGCCAGACACGCCGTAGCAAGTGAGCCCGGCTTTCTTATCGCCCTAAGCATCTCCCAGTCAACCCTCGGCCATGAGTGGTCACCATATCTGTAGCTCAAGGCAATGAAGGCAGCACAGTCTCGACCGGGGACAATGCATCCACTCTCGACGTCCACGACCCAATCTGGTCTCACAGGAGAGACTTTATATGGATTGTTGCATTTCATGCCATACTCCTCCAAACACTTGCGCTTCCACTTTCTGGCAAGCTGAAGGTCGATCCAGTCGGGATCCAGTCTGATTCCAATTCCAGGGTGGCCAGGACCCAGTCTTTCTTCGGCATTATAACTTGCCGTGTTTCCTCCCCACGTGGCGAGAACCTCCTCATCAATGTAACCATCTCAAAAGCTGGAAGCGTTCGAACACTCATTTTGTTGGTTTCATCTGCACGCGTTGCTGTCTCAAGGGCTTCTGTGTTCGCTCCATCTTCCGAACTTGAATCTTCTTCTTCCTCCTCGCTATAAGTTGCAAAGGCTGCGTCGGGTGGCTCGGCCCTGGCAATGGTCGCGCCAGTGGATAAACAATGGCGAATGTCCGGGGCAGCGGGGAGGTACGGGGTCATCAGTATAGCCGAGGCTGACTTCACGAGCTAGAGGGGTTGTCGGGTCCATGAAACAAGACCATATTCCCCTGCAGATTTCGCATGTGTCTGATACATTGCCCAGCGATGCCTGAGGCTCAGGCATGATCTCCTGAAGATTTGTCGACGTTTTCTCCATTTTGGCAGCTCTCGTTCTGGACAAAATTTAGTCTGAGTATTGATGCCAGCCGGCGGTCGACCTTCAACCTTGCCTCAGTACGGTTCAGTTATATCCTATCAGGTCAGCTTACGAACTTACTTGGTTCTACGTGATTATGTAACACGTCTCAGCCATCCATTTGAAAGTCCTGGCCCTACCCCTCTGACTGCATACCCGGCTGGAGTTGGTTTGTTAGTTTCGTCGAAACTTGCGACGTGCCTGCACAATTACATGTGTTTTGCACCCATCTTGGGGCTATGGTCTACAACGGAGGTCTCTCTAGATACAATGATACTGGTTTCGACGAGACTAGTTCGCACGGATAAGAGGGCGTAAACGGCCAACATCGCAAACTGCCACATGTCGAGGTGATCAGTATTTACTGCGGTCCGCTACCTAGGTATCACGCAGCCATCATCAACCGTGCCAACCCATGTGCATTGACCCAACTATTTTCCTGGCCTACATTAAACATTTGAATAGCTGGGACGTTCCGCAATCCATGCTTGCACCGTTCTATCATGAGAGCTAAATTCTGAGATGGGCCGAACAGTGTCTCCGGTAGGAGGACTACATCCTCGTGTATCGAAATGCTGCCGAACAAGGTGTGTCTACGAAATGTTTCAACTTGATGGCTGCTAAAGCCAGGCTTGAAGGCCACAAAAGAACTATCGGGTACTAAGGTCATCAAAATCCGTTCAGCAACCTCATGCAAGTGTATCAGGGAGAAGCATTTGAGAGCACACAAACCGAACACAAACAAACTAGGGGTGGACTGCACAGACAGGTGTTCTTTGCGTGAACTATGAATTTTGAGGACCATTCTTGAAGAGCTGGAAAACCAAGCACATGTCCATAGTCCTGCCGCGTTCTCGCGAGGCGGCATCTGATGCTGATAGAAGTCAATTGTCATCTGCAACAATTGGGCCGCCACCTGGATACCAAAGAACCAATGATTTTTACCGTTTTCCTTCCAAATTGCGAAGCAATATTGAGTGGCGAGTAGGACAGAAATTGTAAATGGTAGACAGTGGTCACAGTTTAATATCTTCAATTGCCGAATGCTTCTAGAAGCATACGGGAGAATTATCTGCGCATAATGTTGATCTGAGACAAGCTAAAGGGCATCTTGTCGAAATCGAACGTGATGTACTATTTTTGAAAGCTAGCGTCCCCTCGTGGTCTAGCTCCTGTGTGATATTTAGTATTGAGAGGACGGGTAGCATTCGTCCCGTTCTATGCAACCATCCTCAGATGCTGATTGTTCCCAAGGTTACTTAGCATTGCCCTGCTGTCAGTCATGTGTCTCCAGATAATCGTCAACGACTACGAGGTCACTCAAATTGGGCTACATCTATTCAACAGGCTCGGGGTATCTCTGGCGAAGACAATTGGCCAAATGGCGTGCGAGCAGACGAGAGGTCGAGCACCGATATGCTGTTTCACAATTCTATGATCGTTTCTTCCAGGTGACTGACGGGGCGCGACCCAGGTCACTACTGGGTGTACACTACCTATACTGCCAAGTTCAGGTGACCACGCTCGGTCAGACATTGACGAGGCGGCCTCACATGTGACAGAACGGCTTCCGGGGCGTCGAGCAATGAACATGCGCGCAAGGCACACAAGTCCCCCTTGCCCCCTCCCCCTGTACGGGATCCACCGCGCACGAAGGAAGGAGCGTCAGCAAATCAGGCGTGCAGTCTCTATAAGGCCCGCGGGAATAACAGCCTTGACGAGGCGCGTGTGCAGGCGGGAGATGAACAGGATGCCTGTATGTCAGGATGAAGGAGAGATCGACAACGCAGGCCCTCGAGGTTGCAGAAAATTCCGCCTAATCATGCATACATGGTAATCTCCCGACGATGGAATCGGGCGGCAGCTGTCACGGGAGGAAGCGCCCTGAAGATCGGTGCTGTCCGGGGTTCAGCGGAGTTGCTGGGCAGCATCTGATGGGTGACCACGAGCAATTGCAAGTGCCCTGGTGAGTGGTAACAATGGAATATTGCAAATTAAACGGAGGTCCAGAACGGCGAGAGCTGGTATAATGTCCACCACGCCCAGACATGGAATAACGGGTGGGCGAGCCGGTGCAGAATTTCTGGATTATGGCGTGTTGCAGCCGGCCGGTCCAGACGCAGCGACACAACGTCATCCCGAGCAATAAGCTTCTTTGCGGGCTAAAATGGTGTGCCGCGACACTGGCAGACAGCCGGAGCAGATTCGGCGGCGGGCTCCATAGCTGAGGTTGGACCAAATCGGGTCCCGCCCCGATGGTTCGAAAGGGCCCAGAATGTCGTGGTATCCTCACGTACGACAGACAGACAGCTCGGGATCACAAAAGGGGGTTGGTGCAATATCGCGTGGTCTCGGCTTCTGCTGTCCCATGGTTTTCTCTTGGGCTGGTGGCCCTGTGCGATCCGGGCCCTTGGGTCCCCACCACCTCTACCTCTTGTTCGCGTCTTCGCGATAGGCCAAAAGAAGCTTGGGGGGGATCCACGCCTCCACGCCCGCGGGTGCTAAGATTCAATAGACTTGGGATGGGGTGGTTTTCCGCTGCACCGCGTCCGCCCTGAACGAGTTCCATCCAGTAAACGGCAGGGTGGATGGACTCGATGGGTCGGATAAGACGGCATGTTCCCATGGGTGCGCCCTTGTGGGTGCCAAGCACAGTTTACGGGAATAGCGGGTGTGAAGGAGGATGGTGAGAGCACGGGGCGTACGTAGCGTAGCGTAAGGTAAGGTAACGTGCCATCCCTAGTGCACCCAGACAGACTCGAGCGCAGAGCAGACGGAAACAGACAGAACACACATAAGAAACCACCGGCAGTCAGTCAGTCAGTCAGTCAGTCAGACAGGCATCCAGTCGGTCACTTCTCAAACATTTGTGCTGCTGGGTGGCTGCGGTGGCTTGCATTCGCGAATGAGGTGCCTGCCACATGTCGGTGGTAGGACTTTCCCGAGTGGGTGAGTGGTCGAGTGGGCAAGCGACAAAGAGGGCCTGGAATCGCCGGCTGGCTAATTATGGTTGCGGAGACTGATCAAGAGTCGATGAACGACGCGAGGGAGGGGACGCTAAGAAAGAAGGGTCCTTCCCTGGGGGTATCCATGACGTAACACTGACGGACCATTGGCTCAAGCGCCTGCTCGCCGCGGTAGAAGTACCGTACCGTGTTCGCAGCGGGTGCGGGAAGCAGGAGCAGGAGCAGTAGCAGGCAACGATCGATGCTGCGTGCGCACGCACCGTCATAGTGCGCCGTTGGAGCAGGATACTGACCGTCTGGCATATTCCGCTGATTGAGACATGTTGACCACGTCCCATCCTGATCAAGGCTGGCCCAAAAAGACTTTCCAAAGGGCTGGAATAAAGTTTAGAGGCCGTTTTCAGATCGGCTTCCCGCCCGGACTCGATAACGATGACGATGCGACAGGATACGGTGCTGCACGGTGCGCCACGATACGATACGGTACAACACGACAGGGCAGCACAGAACCAAAGGAGGGCATTGACTTTTACTATTATCGTTATCATTATCTATTCCCATCCTCACACGAGTCAATCCACAGTCGTGCCGCGGAGGAAGCCAGCAAGCAAGCTCCAAGGCCGCCCGCCCGCTTAGGAGCAGCTGCAGCGAGCCGCAGCGCGACAGGGCCAGGTTGGCAGGCTGGCAGGGAGCTTCTGCTGGCAGGCGAGCCTTACAAGGTTGCTCTGACGTGCAAGGGCCCAAGCGAGCGAGCCGAAGAGCTCGGCTGTTCCCTGCCCATCTCCATCCCATCCCGTCTCGTCGTGCTGCCCTCTCCTTTCTGTGAAGTGGTCGTATCCAGTCATGTCCTGCGCTGCGCTGCGATGCGCTGCGCTGTGTTGTTCGCCCAAGACGAGTCGATGAAACGGGACGAATGCAGCTGGATGGAAACGGACGGCGTGGCCTCGCGACTGCCCTCCTCTCTCCCCTCCCCTTCCTCTGGTCTTCTCCCCAGTCCCCCTCCCCTACAAAACCACAATCCCTCCTCCAGATAGGTGCACGAGGTACCTAGGTATTGCACAGGTAGGTAGTTAAGTAGCCTAGCTTGGTAGATACGTGGTCTAGGGCCGGCAGGCTCAGCACCTAGGTAGACCCCAAGTTAGCTAGGCACCTGTCAGCCTACCTAGCTGGGAAGTACATACCAGCAGCACAGTACGTACCGTCGACCTGAGACCTGCAACCAAGACGCACCTGGCGCGGCGTGCAGCGTGCTTACCTTATTAGCGGATATTAATACTGGGGAACCAGAGAGCAGCGAGTGGGACCTTGTTCTGCTCCCCGACTTCTCTCTCACAGTCTCAGTCAGTCATTCGGTTCATTCTGTCGGTGCCTGTAACTGCAGTCTCGGGTCAACAGGCCAAAAAAACCAACCCAACAAACAAACAGTACTTGCGCCGTTGTCCTGCACTGCGGCTTGCACTGCGCACGCACTCAGACTCTGCAAGCGGCACACTCACCAGTCAACACCCACTTGTCGCCGTTGCCGTTGCGTTGCGGTCGCTGTGGCAGCTCCTGCTCCTGCTCCTGCCCTTCTCCTGTGCCTGCAACCTGCACCTACCTGCCTGCACCTGCACCAAATTTTTCTCGTCTCTTCTTGGACTGCGTCCCACCTTTTCCCACCTGGCTCCCAAAATCCACGTTCACCTTGTCCCGTAGGCTCCATTATCAGATGGTGCGATTTCTTCTTTCTCCCCCATCTCTATTTTCCTGTCGTGACGTGGACGAGGAGGAAGACTGGCCGCCCGACACCGACAGGACACTGACTCCTGCGCCCGCGACCACACAAACGCAATCACCAGAGCGCAACCGCCGGCCTCGAGTCCTTCTGAGGTAGTGCGTGCAACCTCTCGTTGTTTGCGCCTCGCAGCGCCCTAGGCCAAGTGGGACTTCACAGTACACGACGAGAAGTCTCATCCCACTCCTTGCAGCACCCATCGCCCCCGGTCGCACATCGTCCCTCCCTGTCTCGTCCGTCACGTCACGTCAAGCCAACTCAATCCAAAAGCCAAATCACGTCGCAAACCACAACCACGCCCACGCCCACGCCCTCTTCCTCGCATCCGAGCCGACCTTCCGTCCCCCAGACCGCTGTCATGGCTAATGGGCCTCATGCGCAGCCAGTCGGCGAGGACGCCTGGCTCGCATTGATCGAAGAAGAGTCGCGCGCCAAGGCCAGAGACATCTCCAATCGCATCGACGTCCTCGAGCGCTACAAGCAGGCAGTCAATGCCGAGTATGGCAGCCTCAGAATATGGATCGCGTACTGTGAATACTTTTGGTCTCTCTACATCGAGTGCAATTCCTACGCCAACAACGGGTACCGCCTGTCGCATGAAGAGAAGCTCATTGGTCGCGAGATATTCTCCCTCGATGCTGCGCTGTCCCTGTGGCAGCAGGGCTACGAGTCCGTCAGGTATCGTCTGAGCGACAGCCACGAGCTGTGGAATCGATGGGTCGCCCTAGAGATGGAGCTGCTGTCAAGTACTCGGACTAACCAGGGCGTGCAACGCATCACTCATCTCTTCAAGAACCGGCTGCAGACACCCCATAAGACTTGGGACGAGACCTCGCAGATGTTTTCTACCTTTCTCTCAGAATACAACAGGTCAGAATACGAAAGCACAATGCAGGACATCTCGAGTAGCTCTCAGGAGACGAGGAAACTCTGGGACGACCGAGAGACCTTCGAGATAAAACTGAGGAGGGCAAGGGCCGAGGGCAAACTTGACGAGGAAAAGACCGTCATGCAAGGGTACCTGGGCTGGGAGATGAGACAGAATAGAAGCAAAGATGCCTTTCACCAAGGAGTACTGGTTGAGATCTGCCTAGGCCTTTACTCGCGCGCTCTGACTGGCATCTTTTCCAGAGACGACAGTGTTTGGACTGATTACGTCGTTTGGGTCTCATCTCTGTACACTGTCTTCAGCAGCGGCCGATCCCAGGCAAACGACATGCTGCGTATCCTTCCGAACCTCCTGGACACTCTTCAGCGTGCAGTCTCGCATTGCCCTTGGGCCGGCACATTGTGGGCGCGCTACATCCTCAGTGCCGAGGAGGCCGGCCTCTCCTACGACAACGTCGAACGCATCAAGCACGCTGCTACTTCCAGTTCTCAGCTCGATCGGGACGGCATGGCCAGCGTCATCGATCTGTACGCTGCCTGGTGTGGCTTCCTGAAGCGCCGTGCCATGAATCCAAATGCGACAGATGAGGACGCAGATGTGGCCGAGATAGGTTTGACCGCCGCCTTGGAAGACGTGCAAGTGTGGGGCAAGCGACTTTACGACAACGAATACAAGGGCGACCCGAATTTTCGTCTTGAGCGCATCCTTATCCAATACCTGACTGAGAAGAAGGTCACGGTCGACGAGGCACGCAACTACTGGAACCAGCTGGCCAAGAAGAGCATCTACGCCGACAGTTACAACTTCTGGTTGACCTTCTACATGTGGGAGATGTCCATCTTCCAGACCCATAAGGCGATGAATGGCAGGAGTCCAACCCCTGCTTCTCTGGCGTCCAGAGGTCTGCGAATACCGACCTTGGCAACCAGCATCCTGGCCCGTGCGGTGCAGCGGCGCACGCTGGACTGGCCTGAGAAGCTCATGGAGATATACGTGCAGCACTGCAACGACTACGAACCTCCCGAAGCCGTTCGCCGCGCCAATGACACTGTGCACAAGGGACTAAAGGCTGTCACCGAGCGGAGACAGGAGGAACAAGCGGCAGCTTACTCTGCTCAGCTGGCACAGTACCAAGAGCAGACACAGGCGTCAGCTGTTGCTGAGCAGTCAACACAAGGTCCGGATGAGACGTCTTCTAAGAAGAGGACCAGAGATGACGGTGCTGACGAAGCGTCAGAGAGCTCGAGCAAACGTGTCAAACAGCAAGACTCGGAGGCTGAACAGCAGCGCTTGAAACGTGACCGCGAGAACACGTCAGTCTACGTCACCAATCTGCCTCTTCCTCCGGAGTCTACTCAGACCAAGGTCCGACAGTACTTCCGCGAGTACGGGCATATCAACAACATCGTCTTCAAGACCGAGACCAATGGCCAATCAGCTGTTGCTCTCATCGAGTTTGCAACCCCAGAAGAATTGCAATCTGCTCTTCTTCGGGACGGAAAGTACTTTGGCCAACAGCAAATCACGGTGCTTCCTGCGACAGGGACCACCCTGTATGTTACGAATTACCCCCCGCACGCCGATGATTCGTTTATCCGGAACCTATTTAAAGATTGCGGCGAGATCTTTTCGATAAGGTGGCCAAGCCTCCAGGCCAATAGCCATAGACGCTTTTGCTACGCGACATTCCGCGACGCAGAGGGGGCAGCGAAAGCAATCAGACTTGACGGAAAGGTTCTCGAGGGCAAGTACAAGCTCGTGGCCAAATATTCTGACCCCCACAACAAGAAGAACCGTGAAGGCCCCGTAGAAGAAGGCCGAGAAGTTCACGTCACCAATGTCCCTGAACAGGTGACAGAGGCAGAACTGAAGGCCATCTTCGAGAAATACGGTACCGTACAACGTGTTCGCATTCTTCTCACCAAGAATGGCCACAGTCGCGGTACTGCCTTCGTGGTATTCGAAACCAAAAATCAAGCTGAGGAGGCCGTTACTGAGCTGGACCAGACAAAGCTGAGGAACAACATTCTCAAGGTGGAAAAGTCTGTTGCGAAAAACTTCAAACCTGTGACCAGGGCTGGGCCGTCGATGTCACCCTCACCGGGCCCCAGCGGTGCGAAGGATGCAGAAGGAGACAACGCCATGTTAGACTACGACGATGAACACGCCAAGCCTAAGCCGGCCAAGTCGGCGGAACGAACGTTCGCGCTCATGGGCTTACCCGACACAATGAATGACGCCCGCGTTCAGGCTCTGGTGGAATCACACGGTCAGCTTGTCAAGCTCACACTTCGCCATGATCACGGCGGTGCCATCCTCGAGTTTGTCGATGCAGCCACTGCGGGGAAGGCCCAACTATCTCTGGATGGCACTGAGGTTGAAGGCCGAAAGCTCAAAACGGGATCCGTCTCTGACCTGTTTCAAGAGAAGGGCGAGGTCAGGATCGACCGTATTGATCAGAAGCCGGCTCCGCCAGCTCCTGCTCCGAACAGCAAAAGTAAAGCTACCAGTACGATGATGCCACCTCCGTCGACCATAATACGTCGGCCGGTGCTCGGATCCAAGGGCCAGAAACGCGGTCTTGGATTTGGTGGTGTTATCAACAAGGAACAGAAAGCAGAGCCGTCGTCGTCAGCTCCTACGACCAACGGGGAGAACGGCGTCTCGTCTGACACATCTAGCGACGGAATGAAGAGCAACGCTGATTTCCGGGCGCTTTTACTGGGCAGTGGACCAAAAAAGGATGCTACGACCCTCTCGACCACGGACAAAAAGGCTGCTGATAATGGAGGCGCTGATGAAGATAAGAACGACAACTAGCGGTTGTGGTGTGAATGATGCTCTACATATTTTTATGCTTTTGTACGATAACTCAGCTACGGCTTGAACGGCTGTGTTGCGGCCACCGCCTGTGTCCGTGTCAGATGAAGAAGGAGAGGAAGGGGGCAAAAGGCCAAATGCACGATGGCCGAACGGGAGGGTGTTTCTTATTGCTTATACCCCGAGCTGAAGAAGAATAAAAAATCGATCAAACCACCAAACTGTCTCGCATCTGGCGGACTGCGCCTGGTTGGAAAGCACTGCTGGGGGCTGTTGATGACGCGTGTCTTCTCGACCATCTGTCCGACTTGTGAACGGAAGCACTGCTCAAGACGATCCTGGAAGCCACACCGAGGAGTCAACATACCTACTGACCTACCCAGTCCGCCGCTTGTGGAGTAGGCGAGAGAAGATTTTGTGCGAATCACATCCTGTGGGGTAGGGAAGCCAGGAAAAGCCAGTCATGGAGATATATGCATGACTGGACAACTCTCTGCCCCATCTTGACCTCGAGTTGTGGTGATCCTTGTTTGTACAGTAAGTACACAGTAGACTTTGTCAATCACATTATTGCATTACCCTGGTTATTAATATCCCACCGCCCGAAAGTCAATCCACATCTCTCTGAGACATGGCCCCTCGTCTGAGTTTTAATCGGGCGAGCATTACCCCAAAGTGACTTTGCCTCCTCCGTGTCTGTCATCCTGCGGGAGCGCCGCTCGGACCGTCAGCCTCACGAGGCCCTCCACGAAGTACACGGCAAGTCCAGGGGCCTCGGGGCCAGCCCCGGCCCAATACAGAAACCGTCCTCCTCAGCCTCGCCGTGCCCGACGTCAGGAACCCCTGCCTCGTCCCCCTCGTTCTGCCCTCCGGTAACGCCTGCGAACAGCGCTTCCCATCCCCATTCGTCCTCGGTGAGACTCGCAGCCCTCCTCGCCCCGGGATCCTGCGTGTCACCGTCGCCCGCGGGGCGCCAGCCCTGTCCCTCCTCGGCCGGGATGGAGTACCCGAAGACGCCGAAGTGTGTTTCCACCGCGCTCGAGGCCTGGTGGCCGGTGTCTGGGGCCGAGCCTTCCGTTTCTGTCACCGCTGCTGCCACTCTAGATACAGCGCGGTACTGGCCACTTCCGTGATGTAGCTCGACGTCGCCCGCCGCGAGCTCGGCCACCTCGGGGCCGCCCCCGCCCGCGCCGGCCGCGCCGGCCCGCTGGAGCACGAACCCGTGGGCCTTGGCCTCGTGGTCGCGGAGGTTGTCTGCGCGGTTGTAGCTGCGCGCGCAAGCCCGGTGGCCGCAGCGGAAGCGGACGTCGCCGTGCTTGGACTCGACGTGCCGCTTGAGGTGCTGCCTGCGGTTCTTGGGCTGGCCCCGGAATCGCTGGCCGCAGCGGCCGCACTCCTCGTACTGGTGGCTGTGGCGGTTGTTCTGCTGCAGCCGGGCGATGCGTGGCTGCTGCTCGTCCGTGCCGCGCCGGGCTGGGGCCTGGTGCGAGTCCCCTGGCGCGCAGCTGGTGGTCTGGAGGCCCCTGTCCTCGATCGAGCTCACGGTGATGCTGTCTTGCGCCCCGGCGTCGAAGCTTGCCTGTCTTGCGATCGAGGGCTCGGCCCTGGTGTGCTGCTTGCCGGCTATAGCTGCTGGGCCATCCTGCTCGGGGAGGCCAGGGGCGCCATCGAAGATTTGGCGCTGCTGGCGGTCGAGTGAAGACCTTGGGATATCGTTCGAGCGATGAAGTTGCATGGGCCACGAATTTTGCTCCTGTCTATGCGGGTTGGGTATGCGAGAGGCTGCCAAAGAGCTGGAAAATATGGACGCAGACTTTTGTGGCGAGTCGTTGTATTGAGCAGAGACAGTGGCGTCCAGGGCAGTAGGCACAAGCCCGAAATTGGCCTGTGGATCTTCTGCCTCGTGGAAGACTGCATGACCGGCCCACGGCGGTTGATCCGCCTCCGGAATCTCCAGGTCTTCGGGCGATTCCATGAAGGTAGACTCATGGATGAACTGAACAGGAGGAATACCGAGCCTGAGGCTGTCTGAGGGGTTCCTGTGACGTTCGTAGTCGTCAACTGTGGTCTGAGGAGAAACTACGTAGGGTGGTGGATGTTCCGGCACGTGTGCAACCTTTGCATCCCCGTATGCTACCAAGTTCTGCGAGTCCTCACTCCAGGAGGGGTTTCTCGTTGAAGGCGGTGTAGGAAGGGGTCGGGCCGCCTGAGAATCCCTCAGGCCCAAGGCCAACGGGACGTTGTTGTTGGCTTCTGCGTCTAATTCAAGGGCAGGGTTTGAGGTCGAGGCGATCTCGTGCACAGGGAAGCTGGAGGGCTCTTCCATCTCCGGCCACCACATGCTTTCAACCCCATGACTCTCCTGCCGCGACAGAGTCGGGAAGTCGTCTCCCACTGCAATCTTTCCTCTCTTGGTCGCAACAGGCTCGCCGACGCTGGTGTTGCTGCCGCGCTTCCTGTTCGAGAGCCTCCTCAGCAATTCGACTGGGCTCTTCAGAGTATTGCACACGGCGTGCCATCTCTTGAAGTCGTGGAACTTTCGGCAAGTCAAGCACTTGATTTCTCCTTTTGTTGCTTCTGGACAGGCGGCGACGTGACGTATCTGGTCCATTGGTGTTGCAGAGAAATGAAAGCATTTCAGCATCGGACATGGTGAAGGGGCTGAATACGCCAGTGTGAGGTCATTCCCGGAGCCCGATATTATTTCTAGGATCGCGGCTAGCACCGTGCGTGCGGTGGTGGAATCCTGGAAGTGGTTTCTTTGGCCAATTAGCACAGGCACATGTGCGTTCTGCCATCAAACGGATACGGCGGACTCACGGGCACGGAGAAGGTCTTTGCGGCTGGTTGTTGCTGGCGGCAGAGGCAACCCGCCAGTGGTCAGGAACTCCTTGGTCCGGGAGGTTTCGGCTCTCCATACTAGCAAGTGTCGCCTCGATCTGTTATTTTTTGGTACCGAGGGCTTTCTGAAAAGAATGTAGCTATTGGTGGTCTAGAGATCCATGGCTGGTAAACAGAGGCTCAAAGCGAGGGCGATGAGAGAGTTTTGAACATGGCCGCCAGCGGTATAGTTCAGTATCAGAATTGTGTCTGTTCCTCCCGAACACAGAAGAACGCGCGTCCTGAGCGTTGAACGATGCCCTCGTACTGTAGGGAGCGCTGCGATTTCACCCTACGCTGCTGCAGGAGGACGGACCAATTTCACTCCATATTGGCACCCGACGGCCTATGTGCTGGCGAGGCTGTCTTGTCTTCCGCTGGAGGACAACGAATCGAGTGGCTACCGCTGGCTCCCTAGACATTGCTTTTCCTTCCTCGATTCAGGCAAATGTCGACCGGCCGGTCATGGCCTGAGTCTTCATTCGCCCACCCGGTAAGGCAACAAACGAGGCGGCGTTGACTGTTCCGATAGCTCCGGTAGCCTGCGATTTGCGCACATTGTAGACCCCGCCTTTTTTATACTTCGAGTTCGTTCCACCAAAAACAGGTTATCTTGGTCTGCTTAGCTTGACAAGGGTCAAGCTCTGGCAGGGACATCGTTCGTGTCCGAAGGGTGCCGCGGTGGTAGGGAGACAGACAGCACGGGAGAGGCCTCCTCCGTCAAGGTGAGCGTCAAGGTGCGGGAGGACTGAGGCTGCAGGGCGTGTGGCGTAAGTCGTGTCCTCGGGTGCCGATGGCAAATGTAAAAACCCGTCAGGGTGAGAAAGAAACTCGCATTTCCTTCTCCGTTGACGTTGGGCCTCGTCAACAGGCCCAACGTCACCGAGAGCAGTCTCAGGACGCGCAACACTCCAGAGAAATCATCTGAGCGATGTGCCCTCTCTATATAATCTACTCTCCATGCACTGCCTTTTTGCACTGCCACTGCAAGTCAACCACCTTTCCGGGAATATCGACGCAGGTATTCAGCTCGTGGGGGCTGAGCTTTGTTAAAGCCTGCACGGAGGACGAACGAACTGACACGATGGTAGTAGTGTCTCCTGCAGGACAGGCCACAAATGTCTATCATTTGAAGAGGGTGTCACTTTAGGCGGCACAGGCTAAAAGTGAGGCGTGCGAGCCAACTATATCACCCTAGAACCACAGTATTCAAGATTGGTGGCTGCCACTAATGCACGTAAGCAATGCCTTACTGGCCGGTTGCCTTGTGCCCTGGAGGAAAGGGATCTCCGTCCGCATGAAGTCAGCATGGTTCGCGTGGGGATCGTGGGGATCATGGGGATGCGATGGGAGTCCCTGGCCGCTTCCAGATATGGACCATACCCAAATTTGATAGGCTCGGATTCTTTTTCTTGCATTTGAAATTTTGTTTTACGAGTGTCCTCGCCTCCTGGAGAGACCTTGGCATCTTGACTATGATACAGCTTCAGTCTCTTGGACTACGGTCTGGGTTCCACGGTCTGATAGCTTGTGCTCAACCGCTGTAAACTCAAGAATCCTTCGTTGTGGGTGCTTTGGGGCTCAATAATTGTGGATTCTACAATCACTCATTGCGAATACTCTTGAATCTCACAGCATTATTTGACTTGGTCAGCGTCACTGCTAGTATATAAATACAAGAATGTAGACGCGAGCTACGGCAGTATTAGTATTTAATTTTGTACAGTACGACGAAGAATATTCTGGTCTGTGTAGCTTGTCAGTGGCCTCAGGACTATCAGATCATCTGAAGTGGGCCAGGTGGGAGACATTGTGTCAGCCCCAATGGAAGCAGGAAGTAGTGCAAATAAGGAAAAGCGTGAAGGCAACTGCATACAATATTTGAAGTGTCGGAGCATTGTGTGGGGTTGTAAACCAAGAACTGTGTAAGTCCTTAGGCCCAAAGGGTGGAGGGGCAGTGACCACACTCAACTTGATTTACAGCTGCTTGCCAAAATTTGGGTGAGAAACACATGAAGTACTTTCAAATAAGATGCAAAGATACGCCAGAATGGTACATTATTCGAAGGAGAAAACTTCATGAAACCCTCGCCATGCCCTTCATGGTCCCTTTTCGCACCCTTAAGAGTGGGTGAGGGTGTCATTGTCACCCTACCAAGGTATCTGAAGGGTTCACGGCGCTTGGGAAGGAAGAGGGTTCTAACACTGAGTCAACCTCAAAACACAGAAAGGGTTCGAATTAACTCCCTGCTGGGAAGGTCAGAGCTTTCGGACATGATATAATAATCTCGGGTTGATCTGCTCTTCGTCCATCCCGTCTGGTAGATTCTCACCGTCCATCCGACTTCAGCAATCAGCTTTCCAAGTCACGAATCTATCACCGAAATCAGTGTAGCATTTCAATACATACATCCAGTCGCTTGGTATTTGAACCAAATCCAGATCCTCACCATGTCAACTCCAGCGAAGAGCCGGTACGAACATCCCAGATGCCCATCCTCGGTCCTGACCACTATCGCCCAAGATTACCTAGATACACAGCAACTAATGCCTCTGAGTAACTTAGCACACCGTCTCGAGCTCAAACTCTGCCTCTCAAAAACGAATATCTGGCGCAGATGCCTTTCACGTCAAATGTGGACAATTATGCCCGACAAGACCAGCAATTTGAGAGGAGGGCCGTTGGCTTGACCTCTCAGCCAAGGAACGCGACACAATATCTGCAGGCATGGGACAATCGATGGGCAAACTCATCGTCCAATACTAGAAATTCAAGAGAGGGGCAACATTCTCTGGAGATCAGTGCGGGATTGTTCCACAAATAGGATACTGTGAGCATGGATGCCAAAGATGGGGGTGGAGGTTGGGGTTTATTTCTTCCGAAAGACACACGGGGCTGGGACGAACTTTAATATATCCACACACACCAAGATAGTTGAAGTGTGTCATTCATGTTCGCTGCTTAATCATTTCTAATGGGATCTGTTTCTCGTTCTCAATTTCCCTAAACCGCCCATGTTTAGTTCAATAAGGTAATTGCACTACTTCTCCTGGCCCCTGTCTCGGTCACTCACTGTAACACCAAACCTATTTTCATAAATTTGGGCCCCAGTAAACAACATCCAACAGATGGAATAGCATTGGTAGTAGTTCATGTTGGGCACCCGAATCAAACATTGAACGATAAGTCCTGAGCCTCCTTGATGACTGATTCCACGAAAGTCAGATAGCAGCTGAATGGTGGTCATCTTTCGTTAAGATCATCTGACCAATCATATGGTCTTGCTTGATCTTCTGGTCAATGTCCAGGGACGCCATTCTTCCCGGATTTCGGACCAACTTGCAGTAGAGGATCAAAGCAACCACGCAGTACGCACACCCAACATGCATGAGATGTGGGCCAGTACGTGTGCTGATAGGTCAATGTCGAGCATTTTTGACTACACAACGTGAAGCTGATTCGAGTCACTTCGCGTCTGCAGCGACTCATCGTGAGCAGCAGGGTAGCAATGATGACGGCGCGCCGGCGTGGAAACGTATTGGGGATCCCCGACTGCCTGTGCCATTTGGTGTTTGCCTAAGCAAGACCACCGTGAGACCTAGTCGCTCGTGCTGACGGGGTCATTTGTTTGTGAGCCGCGGCAGATCGCTCGGCCGAGTATCGCCTACGTCTACGGCTTCTTTTGCTCTGCAGACCGCAGGGATTTTCTGTTAGCGTGTGATGTGGAAGTATAGGTGTGTGTAATTGTGCCGCATTAGCGGCGTCGCTTTTGTTCAACATGTGAGTGGTCAAACACTACGGCGCACTCCTCTGCGGGATGTGGACCCAGGCCGAGATAAGTAAACGCGCACAATTTCGGCACGGCCTCCTGTGGAATGCAGGTCAGAGGGATAAGCTTCTTCTCACACCATCCTTTCCCTGACGAGTTAAGGTATTTGTCTGGCTGCGCTACTGCGTCGGCCTTGTGGATTACATCCGCGCTCCCGGCGGAGACCACCACCTTACTAGTAGTCTCTCCATGGTAGGTCGCAGTAGGCCAAGATGGCATGAGTATGTTGGTTATGGGGAAGTAACTGTACCGCTCCGAGCAATCATGTCCCACCGACTTGAAAGTGGCCTCGTAGACTTGCATTATTTGAACTATGCTTCCCTTGTGTCCTATGACCGATAAGTTCACCGAATCCAACACCCATTCTGATCCGCGTCTGCCCAACATGTCGCCACCAGAAAACCGCCTAAGCGAGCATTCCGTATTCCACGATACAAGCACGCCATCTCCTCACCCCTACCATGTGTTCGAAGAGGCAGTCTCCAAGTACGGAGCCCGAGAGGCCGTCGTTGCTCTGCATCAAGAGCCGCATCTTTACGCCGATTCCCTGAACAAGGAACCCTCCAAGGGCCCTGGCCTTCGCTGGACGTACAAGTCTTCCCAAGGGCTGCCCACACACACATCAATCGCTCGCAACCGTGTTCGACTTCCGCCGGCCGCTTTGGGAAACGGGCCCCGAGAGTCGAGCAGCGAATTTCATGCCCAATAATCATATGATGGGCTTTATTTTCACAATTCCTTTCCACCTTCGAGGCGGCACTGTTGTCTATCCTGCCGGAGCATTCACGCCCGCTGCCATGCTCAACGCCCTGGTTCGAGAGCGATGCAACGAGACCGTTCTTGTCCCGACTATGACCTATGCGCTCATCAATATCATGTCAGAACAGAAGATCCCCAAGTTGGATCACCTGAGGCGCGTTGCTATGGGCGGCTCACCCGTCAGCGAGAAGAACTTAGAGGACTGTTGGACCAAAGTAGGCTTTGAACAGGTATGTGCGGGCTATGGGATGTCTGAAGGCATGCCAATGAGACCAATGCTTTTCAAGACGGTGGAGGAAGCAATCATTCACGGCAGTCCATGCTGCGGTGAGGTTGGGCTGGGCTGCAGTGTCAAGATTTGCAGCCCCGGCGCGACAACAGCCGTGGGAATCAACGTTCCTGGAGAGTTGCATATGGCAGGGCCCACGGTTATCTCGGGCTATCTTGGTGGGCGCAACAAGGTGGACTTTTACGTGGAAGATGGGAAGCAATGGTTCAAGTCAGGAGACCAAGCTGTCATGGACAAGCAGAACCGAATCGCTATCGTCGGGCGATATAAGGACATGATCATCCGAGGAGAGAACATCTCACCGAACGCGATGGAACAAGTTCTCAACACGGTAGACGGGATAGAGGTAAGGGACCCAGACTTCAATAAAATCGGTACCCTGAACGTATTGACAATCTATCTCTAGGCTTACGTCGTTAGCACAGTGGATGAAATAGCAGGCGAGGTATGTGAAATGTTTGCTCCATCGACTCAAAAGATCAGAAACTGACGTGGACAAGGTTCCCGTGATAGTCTACGTAGGCCGATCAACACCCACGAAAAAGTTTCAAGAGCTCTGCCTCGGGCGAATGGGGCCAAGCTATGTCCCCGCAGCGTCGTATCGTCTCTCTGACTTGGAATTGTCTGACTTCCCGAAGAATCTCACCGGGAAAGTGCTCAAGGACAAGTTGGCTCAGATAGTCAAAGAGCATAGGGCCACGGCCACAGTGCCGCAAGTTAGCTCCCCCAAAAGAGAAAACAACAGCTCTGATGGCACTCCCTATATTGTCACAGTCACTTGGGCGAGTCTCCTTGGTATACAGCCGGAAGATCTCGATCTTCAATCGCAGACCGCGTCATTTGCAGACAGTATCAACATGATGGGATTCCGCCAGAAGATCAAACAGGAGACCGGAAAGATCCTCACAGTTTAACAAGTCCTAGGGTCAACCATTGTCGAGCAAATCAAGCTTCTCGACAACCAGGCAGGGCCATCAAACGGGATTCTGGCCCGGCCTGCTCCAGAGCACCGCCCTGGCGGTCCGAGTGCCGCAGACATGGTTCACTGCCTCGGGGACGAAGAAAAAGCAGCCGCAACGCGTAAGGTCGTGGAGGCGGCTCTCGAGCCTCACGGTCTCGACTGGGACAATGTCTCCGACGTAGTCCCCGCTTGGGGGAACGGCCAGGCAATATTCACTCAGAAGCGGGCTCTCTCCTGGGGCTTCCGCTTTGTGGTTCCCACCAAGGTCAAGGACAGAAAGGTAGAATAATCTTAAACTTCTACGGGACTTTTCAACTGACACTTCTGAATGTTTAGGCAGTCCGTGCGGCGCTGGAGGCTGCGCTTGAGAAGAATCCAATCCACTTCTCTTTCTATATCCGAGAGGATGGATCAGTGTCCAACAGGAAGTCGTTGGCATTACATGTCAATCTGAAGCCGAGCCGGGATGTATTCGATTTGGTCATATCATACGCGCCAAAGCCACTCAGTACAGTCTCAGAATTGTACTCATACGCGGACGGGGACAGGATGGATGTTGGCTTTGATTCTCCAATGACAAGGGCGGAAAATGTCCATGTAAAGGAGACGAATACTGCTTGCATTGTTCTAAACAGCTCGTCCACCGATCTCACGGTCACTTTCTCTCACAGCTGACATTCGCTTTAGTGAACCATGCCACACACGATGCCATGTCCCTACAGGGCCTCTTCTTCTCCGACCTCGACCGCGCTCTCTCAGACCCCTCATCTCTAAGGGACCACACGCCGTACAAAATCTTCGCAGACACGTACTACTCCCTCGGAACATCCCGCATAGCGCAGCAAGGCATAAACTTCCACGCCACACACCTCAGGGGCATCACGTCGCACAGAAAGGCGGCATCTTGGCCGCCCCAGCGAGCCCCGGACTGGCTCCTCGGCTCACGGAGGGGCTGGGTCCCGCCCGCAGACGCCGCGGCGCAGGGCTTTTCCAACCCAACCGGTGAGCCCCTGGAGGACCCCGAGCGGCGCAGCGACGGCGGCAGCGCGCCCGTCTCGTGGCGGGGCGAGCTGCCCGGCCTCAACGCCTTCCGCGCGAGCGTCCCTGGCCTCACCAACCCCGTGATCGCCAAGGCCGCGCTGGCCCTGCTGAACGTCCGCTACACGGGCGACACGCACGCGCTCTTCAGCAGCCTGGACGCCGGGAGGGTGGCGCTTCCGTTTGTCCCGGGGAGCCTCGGCGCGGCTGTCGCCGATATAAACCCCGCCGACATGCCCGGCCCCATGTTCCAGCGGCTCGCAAACCTGGTCCGCGTCGACGCGGGCGAGACGCTGGGGGACTACCTGCTCCGGGTCCAGGAGCTGCAAGAGGGTCAGACGAGGCACTGCCACGCGCCGCTGGATGCGATATGCGAGGGGCTGGGGCCCGAGGCCGCCGAGATGGTGCTGGATACGTGCCGGCGTCAGGTGTTCAACTGGGTGCCTGGGCTGGGCGCCATGGACAAGAACCCGTTCAGGAACTTGGAGCTGCTGGACTCCAGGACGCGGGCGGACATTGGTGTCGTGATCTTCGCCGGCACGGGTGGCAAGGCCGGCCAGGACTTTGTCCTGAGGGTGCTTTGGGATGATTCCAACTTCACTAGGACAGAGGTCGAGAGTTGGTTGCGCGAGTACCGGGCTGTGATCGAATGGGTTGTCAGCGGCGGCAAAGAGCGCCGAGTGGGCGAGTATTTCGATGTAGTCAATGGCGCATGAGTGATCAGATGGTGGATGGTCAACTCAAAGCACCTATTTGCCTGTGTCCCTACTAGGAGAACCTACCTCTATGAAGTTTAAAAATCCCCAGTGATGGGTCATCCCAAGGGGAGTTATCTCACAGGATACAGAAGACCATTTCACGGGAGATTCTCCCAAAAGAGATTATTCCACGGGAGGGTATCCTACAGGAGGGTATCCCACAGCCTGAGGAGGTTATCTAATAGAGATTTTGTGGTCCAATGCGGAAATTGATCTGGGTGGATTTTGTTGTCCTGCCAGCAACGTTGACTTCACCTTTGTGATGGATATGAACTTCATTTGTCGTCCTGGGCTTCAACGGAAGAATTCCGACCGAGTACATGTTTCTCTGAGGGAAACTTATTGCGAGCATTGAAAAGCACACACCCTACCGTGCCTCAATAGTGAGACGCCTGCCTAGCTTCGACGCAAATCATTCCCTGGTCAGGCCTCCCACAGATAATAGTTGCCAATTGTCCGCGTATTTTCTCGGGGACTCGTACTCATCACAGGAGCGCGAAGCTGAGAGATCAATTTAGGATAATTCAGACAAAGCCCGCTCTCCGGAGTGTTGTCAAAAATGACGAAGCTGTGACTACCCTAAACGGAACTGCGGATGACGTTGGCTGAGTATATCATATGCATGGGATTAGATATCACATGCAAAGGAACAAGTTTCTCCGCCACCCACCCCAGCACACCTCTATGCATGTGTGTGTGTGTGTGTGTGTGTGTGTGTGTGTGTGTGTGTGTGGCACATTCCGTTATCAACGTAGGATCCCGGGGCGGCTGGCAATGGCGGTGTGTGAGCCTGCCTGAAGCCGGGTGCCGAGCGCCACCATCCAGAACGGATGACTTTCCCCGTTGCAGAATGCTACCGCACCCTGGTGGTGGTGTCGAATATCTACACCTGTACCTGGGTACTTGGCACATTACAGAGAGAGCATGTGTGATCGGACCTAGAACCAAGCGATTCGACAGACTGCTTGGTGATTTCAAGGCATGCAACAGTAGACAGCAGGGTGTGTTGCGTGTGGAAGACTTGTGAAATTTGGTAACTGAAGTGTTCTCTGTGTGTGCACTGAGCCGATTGCTGGGAAGGACCACAAGATTTGCAGGGCAGGCGCACGAAGCAGGCACCGAAATATGTGTGTAACAAACGTTAAAATTCTATTGAGTGCTAAGGAACAGGCTGTCAAGGCTGGGGCTGTTGTGTCAACCAGCCGACAATACATCCGTCGAACGAACCAAGAGCAAGAACAATCGTCAATCTTCATGCGAGTTATCAAGACTCGACCTCATCATCCCCTTTCACAACCCCGGGCCGGCCGCAGCGGCAGGCTTACTTCGTCCGCTGACCTTGCTGTGATCCAGCACGTAATATCCATGCGATCTATCCATCGGGTCCCATCATGGGGAACAAACAAAACCCAGCTGTCCAATCTATCAGAACACGACGATCCAGATGAATGCCAGTCTATCCATATCTATAATGTTTAGGATGCTGTGTTTATCGGAGTATCTTGAATCTTTTTTTATCGTCTTTGATTTATGATCGCGCGCGGTCGTGTCATCAATCATTAATGAATGAATGTATAAGTTCGTTGTCGTGTAGCTCAGCTCACGTCAACGACGCCGAGGTTGTCCTGGCCGACAATGGTGACGTTGTCAAGCTTCTCGGCGACGATGTCCTTGGTGGCGGCATCGCCGCGCTGTTGCTCGGCGGCTTTTCTCCTCTCCATCTCACGCTCGATGCCGTGGTTGACGGCATCCAGAACGGTGTTGACGGTCGCCTTAGGCTTGTAAGCCGGCTCGGTGCCGTCCTGGTAGATGCCAGTCTTGACGAGGATGGAGTACCACTCCTCCTTGCTCTTGGCGTCCATGAGGTTGGTACCCCGAATGTCAGACTCGGGAGTGTCCCCGACGAAGTACACCGTCTGAGGAGCCCGGCTAATCGGAAGGCCGTGCTGGTTGGCCCGCCACTGCTTCAGCAGCCTTGTGGCAAACTCGAAGGTACCAACCTGGGGCTTGCCGAAGGCGTGTGTCACGAGCTTCTTGCCGCCTGTGACAGATGTGAAGGTGTTCTCAACGATCTGCCTCAAGGCGCCCATGCCCAGACGAGGGTGCTCGTGGCCTGCCGACCACAGAACGTCGTTGTGGCTGAAGTAGATTGGTGGCGACTCCTCAAAGGTCTCGGAGCGAGTCTCCAGGCGGCCGCCCTTGGACATGGCAATGTCCAGGATGATTTGCAAGTCGCCGGCCCAGTCGCGGCTATCAGCGAAGACAAAGATGGCCTCGATGACAACGTCCTTAAGATCACCACGCTCAAGAAGGTTCCTTGAGTTGTTGAAGTCTGTCTCTGACAGTTTGCGGAAGGGTGCGGTGTGATGGTTTGCCTTCAAGATGTCGCCTGGTGTGACAACGTCGTCAAAACCGTATGACTCGGCCACCTGTCGGCACTTCTCACCCTCACCACCGACCACAAGAACGGTACGGTATTTGTCGGCGAGTTCTCGCATCGGGGTGTGGCCACAGATGAACTGGCCGGGGCTGACCTCAAGCTCCAATTGCTTAGAAAGGTCACCACAGCGCTCCTCTTCTGATTTACCACCGCCATTTGTGAGGAAGATGTAGGGGCTGCCACGAAAGCGTCAGCATTTGAGATGTCAGAAAGGTAATATGACGCGAGAACTCACACTCTGATGTTGTATTCGTTCTCGCCATTGAGAACCTTCATTGCTTCAACAGCTTCTGGGATGGGTCGACCACCCCGGACAAGGACGCCGTCGATGTCGAACGCAAAGGCAAAGTCATCTGCAACATCCTGATCGGGCACCGGGGTGACCGGCCCGGAAAGAGGGGATGCGAGGCTCTTGGGAGTGGCTTCTCCGGAAGATGTGAGTTCGGGAGACAGGGTCTCCTCGGAATCAGGCGAGATCTGCTCGTCAAGGTCCTCGAAGTCCCTGTCGACCTTCCTGCGAGCGGCGCGGAAGGTCTCAGCAAAAGAAGAAGCGGAGATGCTCCGCAGGGGGGCAGCTGGCCTCTGGGGGGTTGCCATGATGGAAAACGTGGTAATTTCTGGGGAATCTGGGGAAGGTTCGTGGACGGTGCGCTGCTGGGAGGGGTGACAGAAGTCCGTCGATGGGGAAGAGGCAGGAATATAAAAGAGACGAATCTCCCGGAAACAAATGATATGCAGTCGCACGAGTCGATGAACGTTGCACTCTGCCTGATTGAGGATGGCGAGTGGGCAAAAGCTGGGTCAACGGCCTAGTACTTATACCATTCGCACCGTCTTGCAAGAGAGAGGACAAACAGAGGAAACTGGCTTGTTTCTGGTGAGTTGGCCAATCTTTGTCCCAAGAGGCGCAGAGGGAGGACGGGGGAACAACCAGGTACCACGCATACCCATGGGGAAGATGTGGAACCGCTAACATGGAGGAGCCCATGATGTACCTGGAGGAGTCCATGATGTACCCTGGGTCCACGGAGTCGCAAAGATGACGGTCGGGAGGGGAGCCCGCGCAACATCATCCATCACGTTTTCGGCGTGTCCAGCCCACCCACGGCACTCCACACGACTCTGGCGGCGGGATGATGCCATCACTATGAGATGCCCTCCAAGCCAACTTACTCGCGGACATGACGGGACGAGGTCCCATCCGTGCAACAAACGCAACCAGATATCCAGACACTGGGGCGATACCTGAGCGTCGATCTCACCCATGTGAGAAAATACACTTCCACCCGGGTATCAGATAAGCAGGCAGGCTCGAGGCAGAGATAAGACCCTGCAGCAGGAATCACAGCCAGGGAAAGGCCCGACTTCGTATGTACTATCCTTGACCGGGTACGTATCGTCGAGGTGCTCGAAACATAAGCGTTTGTCCTTTCCCTGGTTTAGTGCGGCTGAAGAGTTTTTGCCAATTCCAAGGGTCCGGCAGATCCAAGCGCTCCAAGCCGGCCAAGGTCAGCAAGTGAGGCACAGGAAAGGAGGCCTAGGCCAGAAGTGGCAAGCCGTAGGCTGGTGGGATGGCTCTCTGGGTTGACATCGGCAAGTGTCCTGTTGATCGCATTTGCATTTGCCCGAGTGAACGGTACCGTAGTAATCATCGACTTCAGCACGGTGGCGTCACAGGGGGGGGGGGCTAGTGCGGCTATTTTCTTGATCTCTTGGAGAAGGCGGTATGAACACGCAGATCCTCCTGCGCGATCCAGGAACGAGTTCTAACGACAGCTGTCAGCAACAAGGTGCTGCGGCGTGAACCACTCCCGACTGTACGTGCTCTTGCTTGCGCAGTCGGATTGGCTTTCGTGATGCGGAAACAGAATAAGCAAAGATCTCGATGGCCTCTTCACATGTACAGAGCCACTCGTACCCACCTCTACTTCATTCGAGGCGCTACCCTGCTCCCATATGCAGTGGAAGACAGGGAGGACCGTAGCTTCACCGGGCTGTACACCACAAACGTCGCCATGCGCCTGGAATATGCAGCGTCAACCGCCGTAATGTGCAGCGACTCCAGCAAGTCTGACCGTGGTTTGTAAGGCACGGCTCACGGGCTGACGGGGGCGGGACCGTGTCTAACGGACCGCCTGGAGGCACATGACGTCAGGGTGGGCCCCGGGCGGTGGATAAAGTTCCAGCGCGAAAAAAGCCGGTCGCATCGGCTGGGCGCAAGCCGTTGACGCTTCCCGTTTCGGGCTTGAGAGCGCAGGCGTCCGGTCTCGACTCTCGACCTGGCGCCGAGGTAACCTGCCGGCACCTGCGCGTGCTTGCCCGTCCCTTCAGCGATGAACCTCGCCAACCCTGGCAATCGAAATTTGTCCGGGGCCAACCTGCGCAGCTAATTATGGCCCAGTTCCCAGCCGGCTCTTCCCACTCTATTGTATCAAAGGCAACAGGTTCTGACTCAGGTCTTGCCCCTGTGAACTGTTTCCCATGAGCGTGCCGAGCAACCTCATTGGAGTCCACGGAGACACCATCCTCGCGCTTGTTGATGATTACCCCTCCAATGTTCCGGTATAACCCCCAAAAGTGGGTCGAATTTCACATCTTCCCCTCTTGGGAATAAGTTGCATGTGAACATGCAAGCGAACAGGAAAAGGGGTGTGAGGTGGCCCGTTGGTTCGTTGGTGGTTTCGGTCATGGTGATAACAACTGACAATACTCCACTGCATCACGATTGGCTGTTGCAACAATGCCGTTCCAAAAGGACATCGAGAATAGATCGAGAACCGATGAATCACTTTCCAAGGTATCAGACATACCGCCATTCGCACCGCCTACCCGCCTGGCCGTCGACTGCGACCTGCATAATTGCGGATTGCTACTGATTTTCGATTTCAGACTCCTGCTGACAGGAGCCGCCCACCATCGCGTTGACAATAAATGGCGCGCGGCGCAAGATAGTCGGTGTAACGACATTGAGGTCTGAGTGAAATGCTCTGGTCTGCGAACGTCATACACACGCGCGCGCACACGCACGGCACGCAGACTGGCAGACCTTCCCACTGCACAACTACACCAGCGAGAACTAGACAAGACAGACGTCAGCCGGCTTGATTGCGTAGCATCGCCATGACTATCCTCGAACTGACCCACGTGTCAAAGTTGATGTCAAATAGTTTGATTAGCCCACCATCTCGCCCGCATGGAGCAAGGCGGCACGTCGGTATGAATTCTAAAGCCCTGACTCAAGGCCTGGATGCGGTTGCTCGATTTCTGGCACCTCTGGGACTTGCTCAAGAATCGACGTTTTGTAATGTTGCGGTGCACCTTGCAACTCCATCTCCCCATGGGGTTTGCTGCAGATGAAGCTCAGCTTGCCGCATCAAGTGATCGGGTCGTCAAGTGATTGGCATCCCGTCGCAAGCTCGCAACCTGCCATTGGCAAGGTAGGCATCCGTGCATCATACGAGGTACAGAGACGCTGTCGGATTTGGTTCCTGTAACGGCTATATGCATCTCAGCTGTCGGACGAGTCGTGTAGACTGAGCAAGTTCGACACATGAGCCTCCTCACTGAGGCCAAGCGATGGTGTCTGCACAAGGCTTTCGAAAGAGTCAAGATCCACGCCGTAGGATTGTAGTCCCACCGTAAAGTGCTCCGTGTTGACTCGACCGCGAGCACGTGGTGGTATGGTTTCCTCGTAGCCACGTTCAAGGTCTCCAGGGAACGTGTAGATGGGATCGATGTGGATTCAGCGTCCCCATACTTTTGGACGCAGTCACTCCGCCAGGTGCGACAACCTCAACCAGATTGTGGGTCGACCGAACTGCCAGACTGCGCGTTTTTCCCCGCGGTATCCACCCAAAGCCGGGGGATCGTCCTCGATCGGGCACTCAGCTTCTCGATGTACATCGTCCGAGTCCTTTGTACCATTTGCCAAGTCAGTCCCACCGAAGTCCAAGTCGATGTGGATGATTCCCAGGAACCCCGCTTTGCGAATGCGGCCATTCCTTGTGCATACCTTTCACCCGTCGAAGGTGAAGCCTCCCCAGACGCAGTTTGCCGTCCACCCGGCGTCGTTGACCGCGCGCTGCCGCCTCTCTCTGTCCAACAAGGCCTCCTCAATGCTCATTCCCAGGCCAAAACCTCGGACCTCCTCGCGATCGACACGTAACCACCCCCTCCACCCGGTCGTTACACTCGCGACTTCAGGACCGAGAACCGCAGGACTGCCGCCGCCGATGATGATCGATCCCCACCATTCGCGGGCGATGGAGGCGTGTCTAGAGTATATCATGTGGTGCTCGGCGGCTGACAAAACCTCGCGAATGTGAGATGTTGAGCCGCGGGCCGGGCGGTAGACGTGGACATGCTTGAGATCCTCTGCTGTGACTTGCCGGGTTGGTGGAGTCGCGGGTTGAGCGTCTGTGCCGCTTTGAAATGCTTGGTTCGCATTCTCCTGTTGCCCCGTGGTGTGACCATTGTCTTCAGCGGCGTCCGTCCCCGCCGGGACCGGAACTGCCTGGTGAGGGGCGCATTGTGTAACCCGCGTGATGTCGAACTTGGCGTCGATGTCGATAATAACGACAGCTTTGTTGTGAGGAGCGGCGATGAGGGTAGCGACCAGTAGATATATCAGAGGCAAGTGTCTGCCGGACAGGGACAGAGGACCGGACTGGGTCGCCCTGAAATGCTGCACGACCAGCCTGTCGAGATCCTGGATAGGGTAACTCTTGACCTTGGAGCTAGATGGGCCCGGTGGTCCAACAAGACTGCCTCTTGCCGCTGGTATTCGCGCCGTCGGGGAAGAGTCACCTTGATCGAGTGACGTTGAATTAAGGCTTGTGCGGAAAATTGACAAGATCTGCGTGCCCTGGGGATCAGCGATCTCGTGGCCAGGAGTCTGAGTGATGCTCGGGTGATTGGGCTGAGCCGTTGGAGTATCTGATGCGGACGGACGACATTGGGGACGCCAACGCTTATCGGCGATAAGGACTTGCATGGTTGACTCCTCGTGAGATCCACGCAACGCCCATCTCACACGCTGATTTCCAAGCCCCAAACAGTAGGATAATTGAACAAAGTGGAAACGCCATACCTCATCAAGGCTCGTCTCCTCGATTTCGCCAAGCATCCGCCGACCAATTGCAGCCTCAGCCATCTCGGAGGCCAGTCAGTGTGAACCTGCCCCAGGATTTGCGAAGATGACGCCGCCGTGCCCCAACTTCCACCCCTCGCAGCTGCCGCAGCAGATCCAGTTCAGGATCGATGGAAGAAAGCGAAAGACAGAGGGCGGCAAGGATATCGACCTGAAGGCCTGCGAGCTGCTGGGCCTGCTGCAATACGACTGCTCGGTTGAGCACCCACAGCGGCAGGACAGCTCCGTCATGTGCTACCCGGTGCAAAGATGGTTCAGAAGGTATGCCTTGTACCTAAATCGATGAAAGGACACCTCTTTTAAGCCTTTGCGGTTCGGATGATGGTGTGGTTCTTGTTTGTGTCTCCCGTGGGCTGACGATGTGCTCAGGTGCCAGGACAAAAAGGGCAGTTTCACTGTCGAGACTACGGCCTGGGAAGGGACCACTGCCGCCACTGCCCCAAGCACGGCATCAGCAAGCGCCCTAGGCAGCAATCAGTCAACCTCTGAAGCAAAATCAACCACCACGCATTGGCACGATGGTAAGCAGCTTTCGGATACAATCTGTACCTCCTCAAAAAAAAGAAAAGACCTCTCCCATCTATAGCCTATGCCTCAAAGATGTTACCAGGCTGCGGGTTTTTGAGACGGACCATAGCCACATTGTAGCCCTCTCTTCCCCAATATTTATATGGAACTACTTCCCCAGTGCTTTGAAGCTGACTCTAAATGCTGAAGGTAATAAAACGGACTATTTCCAGCGTTAAGCGACCAGTATCAATTTGCTGGGAATCAGCCTCCCGGCTGCTTAGGCTTTCCAGACCTCTCAGGCTTATTTGGCATTCGGACACCATGGCCGAGAGTGCCACTGCTCAGCCCGGTGTGCCATGACGCGAAGTGATTTCTGACGGATGCCATAAATGTGTGCATAGAAGGGACTGCTGCGTCTATTATACGAGGCATTTCCCAATGCGTGTGCACCGTATATATGGCCCTAGTGGAGAGAGCACATGCAGATGCCAACCAGCCCAACCAGCCCAACCCAACCTCAGGCGACAAGTGGCCAGGAGACGGCTGGAAACAATGCGATAGGTGGTAGAGGTTGTTGCATGTCGAGATTCTGAGGGAGTATGCTTGGTTCTTCCTCGTTTCTTTCCCGACATGCTTTCAGCAAAGTCCCTTGAAGGTCTTTCTTCAGCGTTTTACGCTGGCCGGATTTTGGTACAAAGAACAGGATTGCAGGACCGACAGCAAAGAACAGAGAGAGGCAGGCATGGCGGAAAGGGGGGACAATCAAGAATTGATGGCTGATGAAGGCCCAAGTCACCGGCGCGCGAGATATGGCTCCGAGTTCCGCAAGGACGTCTGTCCCACGAAGTATCTCCAGATACTCCTTTGATATTGCTTGACTCGTCTATGCGTATCGAAACAGCCGCAGTCCCTCGTCCAGGCTCTATGCGTCCGCACTGGACAATGCCTCGTCACCTGCGATATGTACACCTCGTGTGTCCCATCCGCCCCATCAGTCTGGCTCCATCCCGCCCGCGGCTTGCTTAGCCCAATCGCGATGCGCGCTCGTCCTCGAGCTTCTTGTAGTGGATGTCGCGGGCGTTGGTGCGGGGCATGTGGAATCCGTGCCTGTAACGCCATACCATACGGTTAGATCGGTGCGCCTCGACGACCGCGATATCGATGAGAAATCCCGGCTGTATACCAGAAGAATCGTTTCAACCGTACCAGAAGACGTTGCCCATGGCGAATCCGAGACCTGAGATCGTTGTTAGCTCGAGGCAATATTCCACGCAAAACGGCCAGGCCCAGCCTGAGGTGACCCCTTTGCTCTGCTTCGGCGGATGCGGGACTCACCAAGCGCAATGCCCAGGTCGAGGATGAGGTTTCGGCGAAGTATCTGCATCCCACTCAGTCAGCCCCGTCCTCACTTGCGTCAAGCTCGTTTGATCCCTTCAGATCCGCGGCTATTGAGCCCCAGCGGCCCTCGGACTCGTGGGGGTCGGGGTCGGGACGTACGCCAACAATTGGTTTGACGGCCATTATGTCTGGTTGATCTGAAGATCTGGGAGAGGTCGGAGAGTGGGGAGTTTCGCGGTCGTGGGTTCAATTGACTGACTATTTCCTGGGGCAACGGAGCGTTCGAGCTTCGCGGAGCAAAAGGGACGATGACCTGATTCCTCGCGCTAGCCGGGGGTTGTCGGTCGACCGGCCCAGCCTGAGCCAGTCACGTGTCAGCCTTATGTCATCCAGGCCGTGGCCGAATCGGGAGCGGTCGACGGACTACGAAGTTTTTGGGGACAGAGCGAGAGAGCTCAAGCGCCATCACTTGCATCTCTCGATATCTGCCCGCCCCATGCCGCGGGACCGCCCATCATGAGCCTCCACCTTCCATCGCGGAGGGTCCTTGGGACCAGTGAGCCCTTCTATCCCCCAAGCACGGCTCAATTGACAGACCTAACACGCGCCGTGCAGCTCCAACGGTCCTCAAGACCCTCCGCCCAACCCTCTCGCTCTCCCCCTCCGCCGCAACGTCCTCGATCGTGTGCTGTCTCCTGAAGCAACAGCAACACCAGTACCAGCAGGCCCGCAATGCCGCCACAAAACCGAACAGCAAAAACCTCATCCGAGGGTACAAGAAGCCGATGGACCTGCACAAACCGGGCGGCGCGCTCGGCGACCTTACCTCAAAGGAGGGGCGGCGCACCATCGAGGACAGGATGAAGGAGCGCATGACCTCGACACGGCTCGAGTCCGAGTCCATCTTCGACGACGAGCTAAAGGCAAGCTACCACGACGAGCTAAAGGCAAGCTACGACGACGCTGAGGGGGAGCGCGGGCCCGTCGACGCCCAGGGCAGGGGCCAGAGCGCGAGCGGCTCGCGCGAGTCGGTCATGGGCGCCTCGCTGCTGCGCGACCACATGCGGCACGCCATCGACCCGGACCCGCAGGGCCGGATGCGGTGGGAGCGGCGGCAGGTCGCGCGGCAGGTCGCGCGGAGGCTGGACGTCCGGGGCCGCGAGACGCGCGACGAGCGCATCCGCCGCACCGAGCGCGAGGCCACTAGCCGGTCCGCCTGGCTCGCCACGTCGACCAAGAAGCTCGTCCACCTGGCCCACCAGATCTCGGGCAAGACGCTCGAGGAGGCCCGCACGCAGATGAAGTTCTCCAAGAAGAAGTTCGCCCGCGAGGTGCTGTACGAGCTGGAGCTGGCCCGCGACAAGGCCGTCGTCGAGCGGGGCATGGGCCTCGGCAAGTCGACTGGGGAGTTCGTCCCCGGCACCACCGAGAAGAGGACGGTCAAGGACTTCAGGCACGGCAAGTTCGTCGAGGTTGATGACCCGAGCAGGATCTACGTCTCAGAGGCGTGGGTGAACCGAGGTCCCTGGAGGGGCAAGAAGCCAAATTACCGAGCACGGGGACGTGTGGACCTCATTCAGATGCCGCAAGCCAGTAAGTCTTACGCCCTCCTGAAAGCACATACGAAGTTCGACCCAGGTGCAATAGCTGACCCGTTCTGTGCACTTCAGGCATCACAATCCGGTTGAAGGAGGAAAAGACCCGGATGCGAGAGTTTGAGGAGAAGAAGGCGAGACAATACAGGCAGGGCCCATGGGTACATCTGCCCAACAGGCCTGTCACAGCTCAGCGGCCCTTTTATTCCTGGTAACAGATCTAGCGGCTGGAAGAACAAGTGTAGTATCGAGTAGACGGACTCAACGATTAAACACAGAGCTCACATGAGACTACGTCATAAACGTCTGATGGACGTCCCCTGTACCATATATCTCCGTCAATCACAAAGAGCATGAACCAAGCACGATTTGGACATTTTGGTTTTGAGATTTGATGTCCAGCATCGGCGATTTACATAAATTTTTGGCTGCTTGTGCCTGCTGAACTATCTCGGGCCATCCCAAAATAGCGCCTCAACTCTGACGGACGCGCAACTCTGTACATGGCCACATACCATCACCCTACTGTGGTCTGAGAGCTTCCCACCGACAGGCCAAATCGGTAGTAGTGGTGATCAGCACCGGAGTAGACTCTCAGGCTGCCCCTCCAGATCTCATGCAGAGAAAGTTCGTCATAAGCGTCGTGTGCTAACTACACATAAAAGTAAGGTGATAGAAAGAGGTGACAGGACCAAGAAGTCCAAATGGGTACGAAGTCAAAATCAAATAGGTATCAAAAGTGAACAAAAACAAAGTAAAATCATGTCGCTTGTCCCTGTCGATTCAGCGCGCTTTTTCAGACCATCCGTCTTGGAGACACACGCGGAAGCATGTCCTCATATCGTCGAGCATTCTGGTCGAGCTCTGTCACTTGGGAGAACTTGGAGCCGGCCGATTTGGGTGGTCGGGTGGTGAATTGCGTCCCGGTCTCGTAGTCCAGTCGGCCGGATCCAGGAAGAGGCTCGGAGATCTGCATAGTACCTCGAGGCAGAGGACGTCTGGCGCGTCTTGTCCGGCAAAAGGCGATTGCCAAGGCAACTAGGGCAACAACGGCGGCGCCGGCGCCGACAGCGATGCCAGCCTTTGCGCCGACAGAAAGACCACTGTCCGGTGGTGACGCCGCAGCGGCATCGGCGGTCGACGAGGCAGACTCAGAGGCAGACGCCTTTGTGCCCGAGCTTGTTTCGGAAGTGGTCTTGGACGCCGAGGAGGAAGACGTCTCGGTGGTTTCAGAGGCGGTTGTAGAAGCCTAATAGTTCATCTATTAGCCAACAGTCCACGGTATGCCCGGCCACATGCGAATCGGAGCGTCACGGGAGCAATATCTACTTACTGTGGAGCTGGTCTCAGTGGTGGCCGCGCTCGCAGTCGATGTCTCTGTCTCCGAGGTGACGGTCTCAGCCGAGACTGAAGTCGGCTCACTTTCAGTGGTGGGCGTCGTCGTGGTCTCTGGTTCGGCGGTGGTCGTGGGAGGCGGAGGGGTCGTGTTGGTCGTTTCGGGTGTAGTCGCGGCTGCGGTCGTTGTGGTCCCGGTTGCTTTCAGGCAAAATCCACCTGCATAGTCCACAGCAGCTGCTGCATCCTCAGCAGAGCACGACTGATTTGCGCAGTCACGAATTCCGTTTTCAAAGGCGGAATTGCCGCAGAGACACTGGTCGGTGACAGGCACGCAGCCGACGCTGGTTCTCATGTTGTTGACGCAGTTTTGCTGCAAGATAATGTCAGCCCGTGTGTACTCAAAGCAAAGCCATGCAATGTCCGGATGCCAACACTCCTAGGCCTGGAATACCAAGCAAGCTTCGGAATATCCCAACCACCTTCCCCTTTCCCGCCTTTCGTAGGGGCTTGAGCGATGAGAATGAACGATCATGAGACCGATTCCCAGGCAAAATACGAATCGTAGGATGAGGAGCACATATAAAGGAAGGTCACCTACCGCACAGCTCGACAGAGCGCCAAAGTCCTGGGCACTGGCCACCCCAGCCATGGCCAGCAGCACCGGCACGAGATATCGTATCGTTCGCATTTTGGAAACCGGTCGAAAAGCGTGCTCGGCCAGAATTTCGATGTGATGAGTAGTATATATATATGTCCGCTTCACAATCCTCCCTTCCCACAAATATCGACCACGATCCCGAAGTGTAGGTGAGCAACAGTTGTGATACCCAGGCCGGTTACTTGCAGGACATGTCGATCCTTTTGATGTCTGAAGCTACGAGTTTCTGGTGACGTTGCTCTGAGACAGCGATCAAATTGCCTGCTGCAGGCTTCCCGACAAGCAACAACGAGGCGTGTTCGGTTCTCGAGACTGTCTTAGAGCGAGTCCGGCAGTCGAGGGGAAGTCGGAGGAATGGCGACTTTCGGGGATCCGATGGGAAGAAACAAGTCGACTGACTGATTTTCACAGAAACCGAGGCCCGCAGTAATTGAAGAAGAGAAGTGACGAGTGAATATGATGAAATAGCATCGAAAAAGGAATGAGAGACTTGACAAGGAGAGGGAGTTTCAAGGAGAGGCTCGGAAGAGTGTAAAGATTGGGTCCGTACCGCAGTTGACAGGCCGCGGGTTTGGAGGAAGGAGAAAAGAACGTAAGAAGCCGCCTGGTGTCGGGATTCCTTGCGGCGACAAACAGGGCAAGGACAAAATGGGCGGGCAGAGGATAGAAGAGGAAAAAGAGAAGGTGTGGACGATCAATGCTGGTCCCTTCGCTCCCACGATGAGAGGACCGTTACGGAATGAGGGTGTTTAACGCGCCTACTGGATTTAGCCAAACGCTTATTTTGATCCAGCGCAGGGGGGCCTGTGGTGCCTCTGTGTGCCTGAGAAGGTGCGGTTTCCAAGAGGGCGCTAGCGGGGATACGGACTGACGGGGCGCGGGCTGATGCAATCAGAGTGCAGGGACGGCCGATCTCAGGGGTTCAAAGCTGTGGGGAAGGCGCGTTCGGCGAGATGATTGTGTGGAATGCTCATCGAGCAGCCAGGCCAAATCAGAACCGAGGAAGGAAGCGCTCGCTGGGTTTCCCAGGAATTCTTGAAAGTTTTGGTTGAGAGAAGTATTCACTCATTCATTCATTCTGAGAATCTACCCTCTGGACTGGGAAGAGGGGCATTCATTAAGTTTCCAAGGCTAGTGGGCTTCCATGGGCTTCCTTTTTCGTACACCTATCGGACTTGATGCGAGCCCCTGCCTATGGTAGCAACAAGTACGCAAGTGCTCCGTACCATGGTGTGGCTTGGCCCGTCGTCCCAAAGGATGCGTGCGAAAAAGTCAACCCAAGTCGACGCAAGCCGAACCCACAGCGTCCCCATGCCCGTGTGGCCCCGTGCAGCCAAGTCAGTCAGAGCAGGGGCGCATAGCTCAGGGCTGTCCCTCCCTAGGTACCACGAGTCAGCGGGGCCACTGACGACGCCCTCAGATTCGTAGGGCGGCTTGCGGCGCGAAAGCTATATTATTTCGTGGGACCCGTCTGCTGCCGCCTTTCGTGTCTATGGATCTCTCAGGCGGCCAGACGGCCCTCGACAGACACAGTGGTACCGCTGGAATGGTTCGTTTGAACATGACCGCGAACTGTCAACAGCTTGTCACCCGCTAGCCTGTGCGTCTACCACAGCAATCCCGGCGAGACAATGAGGAGTTCGGGAGAACGAGGTCTGTTCTCTTGCCGTCTGCATGGGCGTGACCAGGGCCACCCGTGATCTGCTCCAGGATCAGCACCACTGCCACCACGAACAGCCGCCCCAAAAAGGCATCGCTGCATTTGCAACTGGGGGGGCATGGTCCACGCGGCTGTTTTTAGCGCAATGCAAGGCACGGAGATCTGGTCCTGCCTACTGCATTGGCCACAGTCTTGGCCCGGTGGAGCCGATGTCTGTCAGAGAGGAGGGTCAGACTGCCCGCATCCAAGAAAAGGGGTGCAAGACCGTATGCAGGCACCGGCACTCGTTGCATGGCTATCACCGTTTTCTGCTGCCATCACGTCTGGGAGAACCCAAGCCGGCAGTCGTCACTGTTTTGGAGCTCTGAACCAACCTGTCAGGCCCCACGGCACGCCGTCACCTAGACCGGACCGAGGCAGAGGATCAGGAACACAACGCGATGTTTCACATACAGGCCCTCTCATTTTCCGTCAATTACCTTTCAAATGCACCATGCTACCAGGCTACCTGATGATCTCATCTCATCCAGATGACAGTTTGAAACCCTCAAGACGGAATCTGCACGAATGTAACCGTTGCTTTTCGACGTCTCAGGCAACCCATGGTTTTTCGCCCACCGAACCCGACTGTCTGTCTCACACATTGCTTCTCCCACTAAGCGGTGAGGGCTGCAAGCCATGCCCAGCCAGATCTCTTACTTCGCAGGCCTACTGCGCATGGCTTCACTGTCGTACGACATCACAGAATTGAGAGTCGAGGCCTCAGTGGGTCGGGAGACACAGCAGCGCGCGAAACGGCGTCACGGCAGCTGCGTCGAGATGAGCATCTGCCTCTAGGTGATGATGATCATCTAGTGCAAACTTTCGGGTACCCATCAAAAATTTCGCCTGCGTGCCCGACGCGCAGCTCCCACAGCTGCCGCATTCCCGCTGCCGTGGCCCTCGCGTCCCGCGACCATACTGCTTTCTGCTTTCCACCCACATAGCACTCTTGCGAATGTCTTGGGGCGTGTCGTCTCAAAATCATGGGATGAGGTTGGGACGACGTCGGCGATAGGCGCCGGGCCTGTCGCCGCGCCGACTCCGCCCAGAACGAAATTGCCAACGACCGCGCATCATGCCCGGTACAGCGAAGGATCACACCATTAAACCCTTGTCCTTGGGACATCGCATTGAGCCCGGCTTCTGGGGTCTGCGGCAGCTTAACGATCTTCTTCCCGGTAGGGCAGGTGGGTTCTTAGCAAAGAACCTAAAGATATAATCCATTCGGCAGGCACGCTCACTGGGGTTGAGTCTGGCAGTCTGGGCTCTGGGCAGCTAGTGCTGCACTCAAAGAGCCGCTCCCAATTTTACCACGAGCCTGGGTCAAACGTGCTGCACTGGAATGAGGCTCAAGTGAGGTCTGTGCACCACTGCGCGTCTAAGATTCTGTTATGGGTTCGAGAGCTTTTTCTACATTCCTAGGCGCAACCCAGGACCACGCGCCTGCGCGATTCAGTGATCATTCAATCTTGATCTCTCCCTTTTGTGTCTTGACTAGACCGTCGTTCATATATGAAGCCCAGCAGCAGCCAATAAGCAGGTCATTCTTAATGGAGTTGTTCGAGTCGAGCGTACATGTTAGTGCGGTCAGTATGTTTGACAATAATAACGGTTATGGGTTCGTCCCCCGGAGACACTCCTATCGGGGAAAAGAGAAGTCGGGATTTCCGGCATCTCGATCTTGATGATCGGCGACAGCTGGGGAACGCTGCACTGAGCCCACTCCGACCCCAATGACCAGCTCTAATTCCTTCAGCTTGCTCGAGATTGCTCCCGCCCTTTCCTCAAGATGCTTTCGCTTCAGGTTCGCTCAAGACATGGCCGATTATACTCGTTACCGCCATCCAAGTCTTGGGTCAAATTGGATTGGTCCCAGGTGGTTGGTTCCTCGGCGCACGACACAAGGGACTGGCTGCACCGACATTGGCCTCTAACGCACGCATATATGGCCTGTGGGCCTTATAGAAGCATTGAAAGTGAGGAATTCTATTTGTTGGGCCAGGGTATCTCCACAGTCGGCCCGGATTGGTGAACTCTATCTCTCAGTCCCCGCGGTGGATTGTCGTGTATTTCACAGGACCCCAGGGCAATATCGCGGCACTTGGCCTGCCCTCATAGACGCGCATTCAACTACGGCGTGGTCATGTGTAGCCGAGATTTATACAGATTCCTACAGCGCCCTTGCATGGGCGACATCTCCACGTCACGGGGTCTCGACTCGCCATTTTGAGCTCCATTTGGCGTTGATGATGGAGAAACTGTTCCCCCCACAAGCAAGGGTACAGGCCAAGTTGCCGTGATCTTCATTACAGATCTGCCAGGCTGTCCCACAGTCACAAGACCTACTCCCTTGAATTCTTGTTATAAGCTCATATTTCCGGCAGGGAGGTAGCGGGAGCAAGTTGATCCCAGAGCACCTCCATAAGCCTATGGGCCCACGCCTGGCTCGCACAACCAAATGAAGCAGATCTCCGCCAGGTGGTTCCTCCGGGAGCTCTGAGACTTCGACGGGAGGCATGATGAGATAGCAACAGACCCGAGCAGCCATTCTATTAGAAACTTAGATGTGCTCCTGCGAATACTCACCTGGGAATGGAATTTTTCGAAGATCGTTCGATATATACCACGGCGTATCGAGCGTACCACGTCAGACCTTGATTTCTAGTACTTTCGCCTGGGAGATCTCGAACAACTTGCCACCTGAATTTGTCTGACTTTAATTCACCTCGAGCGGCATCGACGATGACCTTGCACACACGTGATACATATAGAAAAATAAATGCTAGACTGAGACACGCAAGGAGATTGCTAACAGCAGATCGAACCATGGGAACTATAGATGGAACATATCATCACCCCAAGCACCCAAGACACAATCAGATGTCGGGCTAGCAGCCCGCGAGAGAAGCATGCCTCAGAGAATTGAAACGTTGAGCTCTAGCAGCCACGGGTGGTGGACCGAGCAGCGCAGCAAAGAAGAATGCAGACAGACTACAGAACCTCGGTGCCGTCGTCATCACAGCAGATCATTTTTTTCCCCGTTTAATCACATGGCCGAACTCATGGCCTTCCTGTTGCTACAGGCTTGGACGCTCGCAGGAGTGAGCACTCTGGGTCCGTTTCTACACGTCAAAACAAAGCTCAACTGTTCGCCGTGAACGGCCTCCAGAGACCTCAACAGCTGCCGCCATGGTGACACCGTTGCTTCACATTACCGTGGTACTCGGTTTTTTTACTTCACTTCCACATTATCATTCAACCTAAGGCGCAGTGCACGCGAATTTTGGTAGACCTTTGGAAATTTTTGGCTCGATAGTGTACCTATCTGGCCAGTCACCCTGCCAGCGATGCAAACCACGCCCAATTTTTTGGCAAAGCCTCGCGGCGTAATGACGCTGGTTTTTGCGCCTAATTTTTGCCCGATTACAAGGCTAGAAACGAGGCAAGCATTCCCTGTACGCCCACAACCATGAACCGTCAGTCATTCAAGCCGGCGTCCTTAACTTCGACCTAGATGTTTTGGTCTTCAGTACTCGCCGGCACACAACACCATGGCCTCCTCCTCAACCCTATCGCAGACCTTCCGGATCACATCCCTTATGCCCTGGACATGACACCCCAGGCACGGATGATGTTGTCGGTATAACCGGCGAACAGGGTCTGGCCGTCGGCGGACCAGGCGAGGGACACACACTCGGGGTCGCGGGCCTTCTTGGAGGTGCCGGTGGCGGCGAAGTCGGGCTTCAGCTCGTCGACCTTGGTCTTCTTCTCCAGGTCGAAGATGATGATGGAGGAAGAGGTGGCGGCGCAGAGCCAGTATCGGTTGGGGGAGAAGACAAGGGCGTGGATCTCGTCGTTGGCGTTCAGGGAGTAGAGGTGCTTGGACTCGTTAAGGTCCCACAGCATGGTGGTACCATCCTTGCCGCCGGAGGCACACAGAGATCCATCGGGGGAGATGGTGACGGTGTTGATGTAGCCGGTGTGGCCGATGTGGTCGGTCTGCAGCTTGCAGGTGGAGAGCTCCCAGACCTAATCGCGAGTGTCAGCGAACAGCTTCCTTCCCGTGGTAGTCTCATTCATAGTCGTAACAGGGTTGGAGGATCAGTGCAAGGTGATTGTTTGTCTCATGGCCGTAAGGCTCTGAAGTAGCAAATACTTTGATAAAAGTGCAAAGCATCATATCGTGACATTAGGAGGGCTGCGGCTCAACCGCCGCCGCGGGAAAACGTACCTTGACGAGCTTGTCCCAGCCGGAGGAGACAATGACAGCGTTCTGGGGGTTGGGGGAGAACCGAACGCAGGAGACCCACTCGGTGTGGCCCTTGTCGGTGATGGTGTACTTGCAGTCACCGAGGGTGTTCCACAGCTTGATGGAGCGGTCGCGGGAACCAGAGACGATCTGTCGGTTGTCGGCGGAGAAAGAAACGGACAGGACGTCGTTGGTGTGGCCGACGAAGCGACGGGTGGTGGTGCCGGTAGCGAGCTCCCAGAGTCTCAGGGTCTTGTCCCAAGAGGCAGACAGAGCGTAAGCGCCGTCAGAGGAGATGACCTGCCCGTCTCATCAGCATTTCGAGTTCCAACTCTGCTCATATTCTTGGCCCCATCTGGTTGTTGTTTGGTACGTACACAGTCGGAGACGATGTGGGAGTGACCGTGCAGAGATCGCTTGGGGTAACCGTACTGGGACTCGTCGCGGGTGAGGTTCCAGATGATCAGGGTCTTGTCACGAGAACCGGACAGGAGCATGTTGGGGCTATCGCATTGTAAGTCAAACGAGTCTCCATGGTTTACTGTTTCGGTTGATCGTACTTCTCGATGGAGGTGGCCAAGCTGGTGACCCAGCCATTCTGCAAGAAACAAAGTGTCAGCCCGGCTGTGTCCACATCCAAAAGCTTCTATTTTGACCCGTTGCTGCCGAGCTCATCGTTCGCTCTTTCCGCGGGGTCGCAAACATCGTGGGGTTGGGTTCGGGTCAACTTACGTGGCCCTCGAGGGTGCCCTTGAGAACAAGCTGCTCAGCCATATTGAATTCTTCGTCGAAATGGGATCAACAAAGAGGAGGTCTGGGGGTCTAGGAGCGTGATGGTTGGGCTTCAATTGGCTTGCAGGTACAAACTGGAGTTTCCAAGTCGTCGCAAAGTCAAGATGCTCGTGGATGGAGGAGAGTGTGCGATGAAAAATGGCCGGCCAATCACAAAGTCCATTTTGATAGCAGACCTGCCAGCTGGCGATAAGCCCTGGAGCTGTCGCCCCACCACGGCAGCTGTCCGCCGGCTCTCCCAACTCCACCACCATGTTACAGCGAGGCAATGGACTACTTGCTCTAGGACAGGCAACGTCAACAGCTTCGCCAGATGGACCATGCATGGAACATATAAAGAACCATAGCAAACATGCTCATCTTTGTTAACTGATGATTACCTAGGGGGAAAGGCCACTCCTATCAGAAGTCGTCAAGGAGCCGGGTCAAATGCAATCAATCAGACAAGAAACTGAACTCTGGAACCACAAGACCACACGTACCTAGGTAGACTATTTTGGGAAGAATCCTGTCTCTGAGTTCAGGAACATGTACCATTTGTAAGGACGCCTGTTGTATATCTACACTTTGAAGCTGTAGGATGAGGCCTGCCTCAATCACACTGTCTGTTCCCTGCACGGGCCTCTCACGTATTGATCTTTTCCCTTGGCGCAATAACAAGTCATACGGCGGAAATGTAAGAATGAGCTGTGGGCACAGTTTCAAGGACTATTCTCTCTGGATAATCCATATATGGGGTTAAGCCCCTAAACTCCCAGCCAGCTTGTTTCGGCGATCCTCAACCATGGGGTATGTCGGCCAGCATAGCCAGTGTAAGCCATGGCACCCCCCATCCCTGTCGCTACGTCGTCAAGGCCAAAGAATTGAAGCTCCCACCAGCCTTCGATGGTCACAAAGCGAGTGCTATCCCTATTGCAGCCGCTCAGGTAAATCTTTGTTTGTGGTACTTCCAGGGGAAGGATCCCAATGTGAACCGGTGATGAGCCGTGATGTTTCTGCCGCTGCTGAAACCTTGACTCTGTCCCACGATCGCTTGCCTAATCAAAACCCAAAGTCGCACGGTGCTGACCATTCTGAGTCACGTCACCTCAGGAACGCCCTGGTACCGTCACGCTCAACACTCCCACCGAGGCATCCTGAGCACAACCAGATTTGAGTCTGCGGTTCCCGCATCCTACTCAGAACCGTATTCTCGAGTAGTACGAAATGTGTCGTCTGAGATTCCATTCCTTCAAGTGCCGACGTTTCGGTCATGTCCTTTGGCGCCTCTGGAACGGCAAGCTTGTCATCGTCGGATTGGCTGTCTCCTCAGGCGGAGCCTCCTCAGCCCTTGCCCCGCAGAGTATCTGGAACTTGCATCCGCTTCGCCGATCGGGGCACCTCTCGCCTGTGGAACCTCTTCTGTGCATTGACGACCATGCTATGATCTGCGACCTCTCCTCTCGCCGTGCCGTCCGTGCCATTTGCGCGCCCTTGCTCCTGCAGCAGCTCCTTCATGGCGTCTTCCCACTGGTTGTAGCGCTCCTTGGAAACCGGGTTCTTCTCGGCGGTGCTTCGCATGTCCTTGAGACTTGCCTGTTTGCTCGCCCTCACGAGGCGCCGTAGCGCCTCCTCGGCTTGCTTCGCCTGGAGCGCTGCCGCCTCGCGGATCTTCTTAGGGTCGCCACGCCAGTCGGGGGAGCCGCGCTTCGCGGTGCCTTCTGGGTCTGCATCGTGGCCGCGGACCGTCACGGACTCGACATCGGTTGGTGTGGACTTGTAGGTGTGTATGCTGGGGAAGTCGGGGAATGACTTTGGTATGTAGGTCTTTGCGTCCTTGTCATCCTTGCCACTGAGTCTCTCGTCCAGTGTCGGCAGGTCCATCGTCTCGCCATCCAAGAACATCTCCGTAGTGTATGTCGCCTTGATCCTTTCTTGCAGTATCGGCGGCCTGCGATGAGGTTTCATGTGGGTCAAGTTGATGTTGAAGCGCTTCATTGATATGTCGAAATCGGTGGGGATCGCCTGGGACCGGCGAGCGCTGTTTGCGATGATCTTGACATCTTCGATGAGAGAAGAGAGATCTAAGCAACAGTAGTCAGTGCCTATAATGTTCATGTGCGGATAGCAGCACAAACTGACATGTCTCTGTCATGTGTGTGAAACTCTCCAGTGCCTCCTCGGATGCGGAGTCGAAGCCGACGTGGCCAAGCGCCAGGGTGATGGCACGGCGCAGCTCCATCCTGTGCTGCTCGTTAAAGTTTGGCGGGCCATCTATTCGGGTAGGGAGTAAGGCAGGGACGGGCGACTCGGCAGAGTTGGCCGTACTCGACGACTGCGTGCGCTGTCGCTTTGCTGGGCCCGGGGTGTCGTCGCTTGCGGGTGAAGCTCGTTTCTTTGGCGAATCGGAACTCATCTTGACAGTCACCAGCGGCCCGTCTTTGGCCTCGCGAGCGCGACTGATTCTTTCCGGGCCGCGAAAGTGCGCCAGATGAGGGCACTTTGAGCAGTATCGAAAGGAGGACTCGCAGATGCGGCCGGGACGAGGTGGGCTCGACGTCGCGTGAAGTTGGGTGCTGCGAACCGGGGAAGCTTAAGCAGATGCAGTGTGGCCCGAGCTCAGCTGCCGCGAAATGTCCAGGTTGCAGTGGGGCTCGGTGGCAGGGATGGATTAGTGCTGGTCCTTGTTTCTAGCGTCAACAATGCAGCCCACCTTGAGGCTCAAATTCCCACATGCATCAACCTTTTCCACATTTCGCTACACTCACGATGCCGTCCATCTCTGTGCATCAACCCAGGTGGTTCTAGCCTGTACATGGGTCCATTGATGCGAGCGTCTGTGACAGGCGTCTGATCCTGCCCCTATGGTAAGACCAGTGTCTTGCTCGGGCGTGCAAGGGAGCCCCCTAGGATACCTAGTTATCTCGCACGTGTCAGGATGAGTGGCTGGCTTATGAGAGAAAGGGGCCCGGCCCGCAGAGCTGAAAATAGCGGTATATATACATGGAGAAGTACACGGTAGCACGGTTCTCTTTCACATGCCCCAGATTCTCCGCGACGTCGCCCATATCCCACGCTCCTGTCCTCCGCTATCTGCAGAAACTCCACTCCCCACCGATCAAGATGCACGATCTCGAGATCCTCCGGAGTGGAGGCTACAAGGACGCGGCACTGACAAAGCTTAAGCTGACATGTCCCTTGCAAACCTTTCCCACCGAGATATTCGACCTGGGACCGTCCCTTGAGCAGCTCGATCTCTCAGGCACTGGACTTTCCTCCTTACCGCCAGACTTGGATCAGAGACTACCCAATCTGAAGATTGCCTTCTTCTCGCAATGTGCTTTCTCCACATTTCCCTCGGCGCTGGCCTCTTGCCCGCGGCTGGAAATGGTCGCCTTTCGCGGCAATAGCATGGCAGTGATACCTGAGGATTCCCTACCGCCACAGCTGCGCTGGTTGATCCTGACAGACAACAAGCTCTCTTCACTTCCAAGAAGCATTGGCAAGTGCGAGAGGCTGCAAAAGTGCATGCTGGCGGGCAACCGGTTGCAGACACTGCCCGACGAAATGCAGCACTGCAACAGGTTGGGTCTGCTGCGTCTCAGCTCCAACAGACTGCACAACCTGCCAGATTGGCTTTTCCATATGCCTGAGCTTGCGTTTCTCAGCTTTGCCGGCAACCCCTGCTCCGCGTCCGAGGCCGTCGCCCTGTCCGATGACCGCCAGCTCGGACTCGCGCACGTGGACTGGTCAGAACTGGAGGTTCAGCACACACTGGGTGAAGGGGCGTCTGGCATAATTTCGAAAGGTCTCTGGCACATCGACCCAAGTACCACAGAAGAGGTTGCCATCAAACTCTTCAGAGGCGCGCTCACCAGCGACGGCACGCCCGAGGACGAAATGGCAGCATACATCGCCGCCGGGCAGCACCAAAACATCATCGACGTCCTCGGGCGGATCCACGGTCACCCGGATGAGGCTAACGGCGCCTTCAAGGGCGGGTTGGTAATGCAGCTCATCCCCCCGTTTTATCAGACGCTGGGCCAGCCGCCGTCGCTTCTGACGTGCACGAGGGACACCTACCCCGATGGCGCGAGGCTGTCAGTGGAGAACGCCCTGAGCATCTTGGAGGACATCGCAGCAGCTGCCGCGCATTTGCATTACAAGAAGATTGCCCACGGGGATCTGTACGCGCACAACATCCTCACGAGCGAGGACGGCCACGCACTACTGGGTGACTTTGGTGCGGCGACAGTCCACGGCGGCAAGGTCCCTCCGCTGGTGGAGAAGTTGGAGGTCTTGGCCTTCGCCCACCTTGCCGAGGATCTGCTCGGCCTCGTCACTGTCACCACAGATGAGCACCGTGCGATGGTAAAGGCACTGCAGGACCTTCACCAGCGGTGCTCCGCCACGACTGTGCATGCTCGTCCGACGTTTAAACAAATGCTTTTCGAGATCAAACGGATCCATGGTGGCAAATCCCCGTGCAGGCTTCCCAACTGAGTCACTGCGTTGTGGGCAATAGGTTAGAATTGGTTCCTTTCTTCTTCAGTTTCTTTCGGGAATATAGGCCGTGGTCTGAACTAAAGTAGACTTATAGACTAGAATCGGGAACATACACTGGAACAAGAGTACATGGTAGAAGTAAAATATAGATCATACTGAAGATTAATGCTAGATTGGTTTACACGAGCCTGACACGACAGCCCTAAAATAGAGTGCCTGAGAGTACAAAATATCAGCCCAGTCTGTCTACAGCCCCCCAGAAGCTATTCTGGGTATTCAGTCGGAGACGGGTGGAAATACCTCCCTTCTCTCCGCTTTTAAAATATTCTTGGGTCGCCAAAGCTCTCTGTATCTACTCACGATCTTCATCCACTGCTGGCGAAGAATGCCAGAGACAATGTCCAGCCGCGGTCTACATGTGCCTTTAAGAATCCCCTGTAAATTAACTAGCCACTACTGGCGGCGAGTGGCTTACATTATATACGCCAGGAAAGAGATGGAGGCGACGAACACGCGACATTCCAAAAAGAGCCGCAATTCACGAGACATGTTCTTCCAAAGGAGGCTTTGGAAGAAACGTAAAAATCGGGTGTTATCTTCCAAAATGTCTTGTGCTTGGGCAGATACCAAGATAAATCGCTGAAGATGGACAGAAAAGAGATGGTCCATGCCACAGATTAATTAGGTTTCCATCAGCACATTCCAGTGCCCCCTTGTAGAACTCTCATGGTCGAAGCAGCCATCATATTTTCACAGTCAGTGATCCAGACACTTAGTGAATTAATCACCGTGAGTTGTAAAAGCCAATCGAGTTCAAGTCCAAATATTGCACCTACGCACATCATGTGGGCTGCTTGCTCAACTGAGTAATCTCCTGTCGCTCAAGCATAAGAGGCATTTCCTTGCTGAAGCCTGTCAGTCTCCAACCTCTGTTTGGAAACATCGTATTCGGGTTCGGAAAGCACAATGATAGGGCTTTAATTCTGTAGAAATCAAAACCATGATTCGTAATATCAACTTTTGAAACACCATAAGGGCTGATTAGGTTTCCAGCCAGGTACATACCTACCCAAAGTAGGCAGGCACACGCGCATGCGCATGCGCATTCCGAATGGAGCCTTACCTCACAGCTCACGACTCTCTGTACCTGCTCCAGAGTCCGGGAAGAGCTCTGTTCAACGTCTCATTATCCATCACTTTATTAGTGTCTTCACTAATTTTGGTTGTGCCCAATAGTGGTTGAAGCATAGTTCAGTTCCAAGGACACTTCGAGAACAGGCCTATACAGGTTTCATTCTTGCAGAGCAAGTGACAGTAGGGAATTGTGGCAAGTATCCAGTAAATCCGAGGTGTCGAGACACGTCCTTTTAAAAGTCTACAATTTGAAGGCCATCAAATCGTTTCACAGAAAATTGAAACATTGCTAGACCCCAAATATGAACGGGATTGCCTGCTAGCAGAAGAGGTGACCTGGGCTGACAGTAAGCGAGGCCGAGGACGGAGAGCGTCAAAACATCACGTCCTGACGATGTCGATGATCAACAGGAAAGGAAGCCTGAACTTGACGGATCAGATTCGTCAAAGAAATCGCAATTTGGGGCTTGATAACGTAATGCTGTTGATGATGCGAGAGACGGTCAGACAGCGGATGTTTCCCAGTCCTGACGTCGCACCCAAAGACGAGATGAGGACCTACGTGATTAGAGTTATCTCATCAGGATGAGCTCCGTGTCTGAGCAACAGGCGAAAGTTTGTCACTTGTTTTATCACACCAGGACCAAGGTCGGCCTCCACGGTCCCCAAGCAGGTGAAGATCGCAATTACAAGCGCAGAGAGCCACAGCTGATCTTGAAGTCGTCAAGCCGTGCCCAAACGGCGGCCGCTCGACAGTGCACAACAATCGCACCTACCAGGACTACAACGGCACTCCGGGCACGGATGTGCGCACCGCCATTGCGATGTGTCACTACAACATTACGGGCAGGGTCTGCGACATCGCCATTAACCTCGCGACTCGCCATAAGCCGATCGGCGCGCTGGACTGGCAAAGCCCGTCCCTAACAACGTCAGCAGCGGATCCAACGGCCTACGCGCTGCACCGCCGAGGTGAACGTCAGGCGTAGGTTTTTCTTCGCACGTCAGCGGCCAACGCCGTTGGGCTGGCCCACAGCGAAGCGGCCACGCTGCGCTCGCTATACTCGCTCGCTGACGGATGAGTGCCTTGTCTAGCCTAACTAGCCGTTACGACATTACCAAGATGGAGACCGAGACGATCTACAAAACGTTCCTCGACTGGGACCCGACCAAGTCAGAAGAGGGTGGCCTGCCTCCGCATACACGAGGTCGAGATCGGGATTAAAGTGCTGCGGCAGCACCGGGGGGAGCTGGCAGGACGCCGCCGTCAGGGAGCCTCTGGCGCTGGTTCAAGTCCGTCGGACGGCCAGGGCCTGCCTGCCTGGTGAGCGTCGAGGGCGGTGGCGGCGACGAGTCCCATGGTTGGCTGCGCTGTCGTTGAGCATCACTGCGCCGGGCACGACGCTGGACACAACATCGTCGCGGCAGGCGAATAGGTGTCCCCCCCCCCGGTACGGGGCTTAGGGATGACTGGATCAAGAACAGCGAGCGCGCCCTGGACATGGCGGAGAAGGCCGAAAGGATGTTGGGCTGATCGCATCATGATGAGGGAGTGTAGTAGTAGCCAAGGTGACTTACTTTGGGCTGTGTAGCATGTGCAGCTCGAGGAAAGCTGGCTGTGCCAATTCATCCTACTACCGCGCAAGGGGGACGTCCCCCATCCCGAGCGGCGCCCGCTCTGCCCGCGCGGGCCCGAACGTCAAAGCTACTCTCCGTGGAGCGAGATGCCGTCCTCGTACATTGGCCCGAAATCGATGATTGCTTCTACTCTACCATGGTTGAGCCACGCGGTCAGGGCGTGTACTCCTAGCTAGCGTAAAGTGGCATAGTATCCTGGAAGACGCATTGATGTTATGGGACCCCTATACATGTGATTTGCCATGATCGGCCTATGAGCCTCTAGGAGGTGTGGACGAAGCAGTACTCATTGTTAAGACGCGTTCCCGGCCCGGCCTTGATTAGAAAACCAGCTTGCCAGCGCCGGTAATGAAGCGTTGATGTATGTATATGACACGGCATATTGGGTTCGGCCCACAAGGTCTCGATCCTCATGGAAGCCATCCTAGCAGGATATTTGTATCAGCTCTGGACCGCATAAGATTTCCAAGGTTCTCATCTCGCGTACGGTCACATTGGCCTCGACTCGTGAGTGAAACGTTCTTCAACACGGTGGCGACCGGGTAGGTGAGCACGTTTTGCCAAGGGGTCTTTGATCAGGGGAGAGAAAAACATTTTCCGTCTCTGTCTGAAATGCTTCGGCGTGAGGGTAATGACTTCACCTGAATTCCTAGTGCTGGTCGCCGACCTGCGGTGGAGCAACGACTGCGCGGCGGTTTGGCATCACTTGCTGTCCGTTGATACGGATCATAGTCTGGCGAGGCATTTGACATCTGCAGAGAACCAGGAAAGATTCTCGGACATTTTTTCCCGCTCCGTCTGCAATAGTGAGCGGCTACGAAGGGTGGTAGCATCGGAGGAGTCGGGTCGCACATCTCGTCGTTTGATGGCCTGATGGGCGTAAGGCTGCGCGGGCGCTACGGGCCCACTTACACGGCAGTCAGGGGTTGCGATCCTAACTATGGAGTGAGGGGAGGTGCCCTGGTGGTGTTTGGGGACAGGCGTCTACAGTGGGCTGCGGGTGATACACGTGGCGATAGCCGGGATCTCGATTATTTTTTTTCTGGCAGCCATCACACCCGTCGGGATTGGAGGAGGCGGCGGCGTCTGGCCGCGGCGAAGGATTCGGCTACGACAGCTTCGAGGAGGGGAAAGGAGAGTGTGGCCGCATGACAGGGACGCCACGCAGATGTCTGGGCGCTTGATCCCAGTTTTCCAACGCGGTGAGGCCTCTGATCCGAGCAGGAGCACGGGACGGTCAATGAAGAATTTCCGCGATGGGAGGCGGTTGTTGTGGGTGGATATCTGTCGGAGAGTTCCTTGGAGTGCATCGGCTGCTTTCCGAAGAGGCTGCTCGAGTCAGTGGTATGCGGTCGAGACAGGCATGCTTGGCCCTCGCATCGCTGAGGCAGCCCGCCAACCGCTGCGGTGATATACTTTCGATGCCCGACGAGGAGCTCAGACCCAGCGTTCGAGGAGTTCCTGCTAGCTCGGGCTGAGGGAGGGGCGTGACCAGTGAACACGGTGGCATCGGCAATTGGCATCAAATGATTCCGTGGTGCAGGGCGGTCGGCTGCGACGCTGGCAGGCTCAGAATGGAAAGCATGGAGGGAGTCGAGGGCCTCGAGGGCTGGGAATGCATGTCCAGCGAGCGGCATTGCAACCGGTAGGGCTTCATTTGCAGGAGGGAATGTTGCAGCGCGGTGGTGTGCAGCGTTGTGTGGTGGGGTGGCACGGCAGACGGGGCAAGAGACGCAAGTTTTGCTCGCAATTGGTGGTCGCCAGCATAATGATAGGGCGGCTATGCAAGGTCCTTTGGGCTTGCGTTGTCCAACCCCGGGGGCGAGGGGGGCCGAGGAGGGCGAACGAGGACGAAGATGGAGTCTCACAGGGCGGCCGCTCAGGAATGCAATCAACTCATGCATTCGCAACGACGCATGAAAGACTGGGTGCACAGGCAGGCGGAGCTGGGGTGCAGTGGATGAACGAACGCCCTCTCTCCTCGCCCGCTAGAAGGCTCAGAAGACTGATATCGAAACGATCGAAGGCACATGGAACCCCCCCCTGCCCCGGCAAAACCTACCTTGGCTGCTCCGCACAACCTTATTAGCACAGGAATACATCATGACGAGGCATCTGTGCAGCTGCCGAAGTTTATTAAGAGAAGCGATTTCAAGGGTCCTCTGTCCTCTGTGCTCCGTCCTGGGCGGGGGCAAGATGTGTTTCTCTTGCCCCCAGGGTCAGGGCTCTTCTCTCTCTCGTCGACGGTCCAGGAGGGCCTAGACCGTTGGGCCGGCTGTGACCTGTCGGCTGCGACCCTGTGAGGAAAGCATCAGTCGACGTCGGTGTATGTTGTGTATGTGTTGTATGTGTGTGCGCGCGCGGGTATGTGTGTATGCTCGTGTTGCCTGACAAGTGATGACGACGAGGATCTGGTGTGGGGGTCAAGCTTGTGCCATGCTGTGTTGCGCCGTTCTCTACTCGCCTCGAGTTCCAACTCAGGCCCCGAGGTGTAGGTGGACAACATGTACATTGATTGACATGGGCTCTGGAGACAGAGATGGGCGAGGAGATAGATGGTCGCGGGTGGATGTGACCTGGCACGCACACAACGGCTGGTTGGGGATCAGGGATCGGCAGGATACCTTTGACAGCATGAGGCCAACACAGTGGATTACCCTCTTGCTGCTGCTGCCGTTGCTGCCGATGTTGGCTCTTGGTCGTTTGCTTTGTGCTGGTGGTGTTGGCAGATCTGTCGGACCAACAGCAGACTACGTGTGTGTGTGTGCATATGTATATGTACCGTAATGCATGTTGGTGTCGAGGGCGGGTCCCCTCCGTCGCCTTGCTCTCACTCTGGCCGTCCGTTTACCCCTCGCTCATGCCCACCCAGGGCTGCTACGGCAGGTGAGAGGTTTGATGCAGAAGGAAGTAGCGAGCAGCAAGCAGGCAGGGAGCTAGCCCACCCCTGCCCTTGCTCGTGAACACACACAGCACAAGACCAGGACCGGCCCCTTCCTCGACCTACAATTCCAGCCCAGCATCGTCCATCTTTCTGTACCACCGCACCTACAGATCTGCCACCTGCTATTATTACGTGCGCACAAGAAGGACTGTGCGACATTTGTGTCTCGCGACTTTCGTGCGTACGCCACGGTCCGCCCACGGTACGGGTGCGGTACGGCACGGTACGGCACACGTCGAGTCGAGTCCAGCCCAGTGTCGACTCGGGCAGGATTCAATATTCCATCTATCGGCATTGACCCTGTTCCCATACCGTTTCGTGATCGCCAAACCTTCTGCCTGCACCAATCTCTGCCGCCCCGAGTCTCATCCAGGACGCCTGCGTTTGCTGCTGGCTGGCTGATGTCGATCACCTCCCAGAATATTGCCGTCGGTCAATTCGCTCGCGGCCCTTCCTATTGCCTCGTCCCGGGCCCTCATTAACCCCCCTCCAAAGCACATCCTCTTTCAGTGTGCCCTACATACCTATTACATGCAGTGCTGCATGTCGGACTGGTGCCGTCAACGCTTAGACATCACGCCCACACCTGGCACATCCTCTCTGAGCATCTCTTTTCCGGACCAAGCTTATTGCAGGCCCCCACCAGTCTTTTCGTCTTGTCTTGCCTTTAACTTCGACCTTTCTTGTGCTCTTGCAATACCTTCTGGCCAGCCTCCCCGTCTCTTTGGACGGCATTACGAGGCGTGGCACAGACCAAGTCAGGTCGTATGAGGTCGTGTCGTGAGTTGATTGAGGTATGTACGAGAGTCCAGGCCCTCATCTGCACAATGGTGCCATCGGGTCGCACAATAGAAGGGGCCATATGCTGACCAAGTACAGCTCCTAAAAACACCCGATACCTTCTCGTCTTTGTTCTTGTGTGGAAGAATACCCATGTCGCCTCCTGTCAGATCGTCATGTCTCTCCTTCCCATCGACCCCGCCGACTTCCCGGATGTGCCTACCAAGAAGGCCCTGATAGCCATCGACTTTCAGAACGATTTCCTGGCTGATGATGGCGCGCTGGTCGTCAGCCAACCGGATGGCATGGTCGCCAATGTCGTCAGGCTAGCCGACGCCGTTCGGAACTCCGGCTATGGTGAGGTTGTATGGGTCCGCAGCCAGTTCGACACAAGCCGTGCAGTTGGCGAGCAGCAGATGATGGCCATGGACACCCCTCAGCTACCAAACAGACCAGGCGGCTCTGCTGCGGCTGCAGCTGCACGAGCGCGTGCCCCCCGACCGTCGCCCACGCCATCCACACACCCCTCGAAGCCGATCCGGAGGCCTTCCTGAGCGAAGTTGGCGGACAGAGCGGCAAGACAAAACCGCAGTGCGTCCGTAAGGGCACGAAAGGTGCGGAGCTTCTCCCTGAATTGGCAGCAGCCAAGGGCCCAAGGGATTATGCCATGACGAAAACGTATTACTCTGCTTTTAAGTCCGGCCAGCTCCTACAACTGCTCAGGAGGCACTTCGCAACCGAGCTCTACATTTGCGGCGCCTTATCCAATGTCAGTGTCTATGCAACAGCATTGGCAGCGAGCAGCTACGGATTCGACATTACCATCGTGGAGGACTGCTGTGGCTACCGCAGCGAGGCGAGACATATGAATGCGACGAGGAAACTGACCGAAATGACTGGCTGCGAGTTCGCAACTGTCGCCGACATCGTGCCCACCCTAAGGCCGAGACCACGGTCACGGTTGGACTTGAATCAGCGGGCTCGGGCGAGTGCACCAATGCCAGGCGGTGCAGCTAATATACCACCAGAGCTGATTGCGGCGGCGATGGCAGGGAACAGGCTCGGTCCCAGCAAGGGCATTACCGTACGTCCCAAAAGCCCAGACTCCCTATCGCCACCCAATGCCCCTGATAGCACAGGAGAAGAGGGCAAGCCAGAGGATGCTGCTGCTGCCGCTGCTACCCTGCCATTGTCGCTGTCGCCAGATCTTTCCCCCGAGATGGAAAAGCTGAGACTAAACACCGAAGCCACAGATTCCACCAATTCCCCTACCCATGAAACAACAGCAGCAGGTGTCGTCGAGCCTCTCGCCACAAATGAAACGTCTGAGTCTGAACCAGCCAAACACCAGGCCAAGCAGGCGATACAACCCGTGGTGAAGGAAACAGGCGCTAAGGCGGAGCGTAGAATTTTGACACCACGCGCAAACGCGCAACGAAGGGAGACATCATCTCTACCCGGTCAGACAAAGGCAACAATGGGCGCACCTCGACATGAGTCACCCAGTGACAAAGCGAAGGCGGAACATGGCGTAGAAAGTAAGGGGAGCTCAAAACCCAGCAGAAACCCCATCGCCAGCGCAGAGCAAGCCATGAAACAATTCTTCACCTCCAAATCACCAGCACCTGTACCAGAAAAACTAAAACCCGTCAAGATGGCACAGGAGGAATTCGTGCCTTCTGAAGAGCTACTGACGGCTGAGACGCCTCATGACCAGAAAGAAGGCTCTTATCCTGCTGGAAACGATGTGAGGGACCCAAAGACTCTGGCAGATACTACTATTGCCAGAGGTTCAGAAGAGAGCAAGACAGTGCCCAAAAATAGCAGCAGTACGCCCACCGAGACCGAAAATCTTTGCGAAGGCGATACGACAATCATCCACTCCTTCCTTCCAGACCCACTCGCTTCCGGTCTCTTCGAGCGACTATGTTCTGAAGTCCACTTCCAGAAGATGATGCATCAAGGCGGCGAGGTCCCACGCTTCGTTGCCGTGCAGGGCGAACTTTTGGAAGATGGCACGCAGCCCATCTACCGACACCCCAGCGACGAGGCGCTTCTCTGTGTACCATTCACACCAGCCGTTGACGCTATTAGGACACAGGTAGAGGCCAAAGTAGGCCACAAGGTGAACCACGTGCTGATTCAATGCTACCGAAGCGGCAATGATTACATCAGTGAGCATAGTGACAAGACCTTGGATGTCGTCCCGGGCTCGTTCATCGCGAATGTTAGCTTGGGGGCAGAGAGGACTATGGCTTTTAGGACGAAGAGGGATGCTCCGATTGAGAAGGAAAGCCCTGACAAGGGAAAGGAAGGCTCTCTGCCATCTGCAGCAACGGGTGACTCCGCACCACCGACAGTCCCAGAGGAGCCGTCGCCAACAAAGCGACAGACCATCCGCTGCCCCATGCCACACAACTCACTTGTCCGGATGGGTCTCGCCACCAACAGTAAGTGGCTCCACGGCATTCGACCCGACAAGCGGCCTACGTCGCAGAAATCACACTTCGAACTTGCCTTCGGCGGATATCGCATCAGCCTGACCTTCCGCCACATCGCGACGTTCCTCTCTTCTACGGATAATCCCGACGAGCCAGTCATATGGGGCCAGGGTGCGGTATCGAAAACCCGCGATGGAGCCAGACCTGTCACCAATGGGCAGACGCCAGAGGCCGTGACCCTGCTGAAAGCTTTTGGGAAGGAGAATCACTCGAGCGAGTTCAACTGGGAGGAGGCCTACGGCGGCGGCTTCGATGTTCTCCATATGAAGGCTGCACCACGGTATTTCGGCTGCGGCGACACGGTGGTGGACGGGCGCGTCAAGATCATGCTGGCTGAGCTCGGGGTCCAGTACGCACACGGCTCCATCGGCACAGGCAAAGGGAATAAAACCAATTACGGCGATGCAGCAGACGTCGTCCCGGTGAAGTTGGTCCTCGATGACGCCGAGCGGACGACCATCACTGGCGATGTCGCCATCATGCTCTACCTAGACGCGCGGCACCCCAAGAAGAAGGGTACAGAGGCCGACATGGCCAGGGTTTTCACCCGCTTCCAGGCCGCGCTCGCCCTGGGCCAGAAGTGGAAAGCCCTCACCCTGGGTGCGCTGGCCCGCGACATTCCCAACGAGGAGAGGGTCAACCTCATCTCGGACTTTGCGAGCGCGAACTACGTCCAGATCAACGATTGGATGGCCGAGAACCTCCGGCCGCTGTGGGACGCCGGCGGCGGCGGCGACGAGCATGGCGACCTGTTCTTCGCGGGCAACGGCGCGGGAGGGCAGCAACAGCCCACCATCGCCGACTACGCCCTATGGCCCGTCCTGTACGACATCACCGAGACGTGGAGGGCCGCCGACGCCCGGTTTGAGCAGTCGTGGGCCCAGCGCGCGCGGTACACAGCGCTTGAGAAGTACTGGGTCGACTTCGCCGGGCGCAAGAGCGTCGTCGAGGTCTTCGGCCGGGACGTCACCTGGCTCTCGAGCCGGCCGGGGTCGACCCCTGGTTCGACTCGCGCTTCGACGCCTGGTTCGGGCAGGGGGACAGGGCACCATGGCGAAAAGCAGAGCGACAAAGGCGTAAAAGAGGATGAAGTGGGAGGAGGATCGAAGAATGATGGGTTGGGGGAAAAGGGGGAGAATGACGATAAGTAAAACAGAGTTGTTGAGGTTCTCATGTTTGGATGTTGTACACGGCTTTTAGGAATATACAAATGCGGAAGGATCTTGGAGTAGAGTGGAATTATCGCGAGCATAGCGCTGGTTAGGGACAGTGCGACACTCCTTTGGCATATCGCACATGCTGCTGCTGCTGCTACCTTTGATCCAATACACGCGTTACCAGAGCTGTATTTTATGCCGATGCTTGAAACAAACGCCTGATGATTACACGAAGACCTCTCGTCTCCGCTCAAAACGCCCGAAACGCTCCTATGTGAGAGTGACCGTTGAGGAATTCCCTCCCTTTTCCCCCAGCGTCAAAAGGTTGAACTACTACACCGCCCCCGTCCAAGCCGTCGCCGAGCCCTGTTGCGCTCGCGCACTATCAATTCACACCCCGCATCCATCCCAGCGGGAACTCCTCACGACCTCACGTCCCAGGGCAGAGGGTAAGTCCCGACCCAGGCGGCCACCTCGCTCTTGAGCTGGACTATCTCGGGCTCGTTCTCGCCGTCCCCAAGGTAGTCCTGGAACACTTTCACCCTTCCGGGCAGCTTGATGCCCTTCTCCTCGGCGTTCTTGCGCGCCGCCTTGTTGACACGGCTGGCGATCGCCACGGCCCGGTCCACAATGTCCGCCACGCGCGAAAAGTCGTCCTCGCTGAACCCGCGGGTCGTCATGGCCGGCGTGCCCATGCGGAGCCCGCCGGGTGAGAGCGCCGACTTGTCGCCGGGCACGGTATTCTTGTTGGCCGCGACGCCGACGAGCTCGAGCACGCGCTCGACACGCCCGCCGTCGATGCCCTGCGGCTTGAGGTCCACCAGCACCAGGTGGTTGTCCGTGCCGCCGCTCACAAGGTTGTAGCCCAGCCCACCCTTGCTCTTGTCTCCTCCCAGCCTCTTAGCCAGGGCCTTGGAGTTGGTGAGAACCTGTTCCTGGTATCCGCGGAACTCTGCCGTCTGCGCCTGCTTGAGCGCGACGGACAGCGCGGCGATAGTGTGGTTGTGGGGACCGCCCTGGTGTCCCGGGAAGACAGACGAGTTAATTGGGCCCTCGAGGTTGTACAGCTCGTCCTCCTTCGTCTTGGGGTTCTGACGGCGAACTCCCTTTCGGTAGAAAATCATTGCGCCGCGAGGCCCTCGGAGAGACTTATGCGTGGTGGTGGTCACGATATCGGCGAAGGAGAAGGGGCTGGGAAGCACCTTCGCGGCTACGAGGCCAGAAATGTGTGCCATGTCGGCGAGAAGGTAGGCGTTGGTCTTCTCGGCGATCTCTTTCATGCGTGCGTAGTCGATCAGGCGGCTGTAGGCACTTGTGCCCGCAATGAGGATCTTGGGACGGTAGAGCGTCGCAAGCTCCTCCATTTTCGCATAGTCAATGTAACCCGTTGACTCGTCGAGACGGTATGGAAGGGTTTCGAAATATTTTGAGATCATGGAAATCTTCTTGGTCGGTGTTTGGTAACCGTGCGAGAGATGTCCGCCGTGAGGAAGGTCGAGGCCCATAAGACGGTCGTGGCTGTCCAGCAGGGCCGAATAGACATAAAGATTGGCGGGCGCGCCAGAAAGGGCTTCACGAGACGGTCAGCACTATGACAAGCCAGGGGTTCGAACACGGCGGAGGGATACTGACATTGTACATTAACTCCCCATTGGTTTGGGTCCAGACCAAAGGTCTCCAATGCTCTCTGTTGGCATAATCTCTCCGACTGATCGATGAACTCGTTGCCGCCATAGTACCTAGCTCCGGGATATCCTTCGGAGTACTTGTCTGCAACCCACACGTCAGCTATGTTTCTCGGCTGGACCAACAGCTGGCGTGCGTACTCTGCATAGGACTGCCTAAGGCATCCAGAACGGCCTGAGATGTGAAGTTCTCGGAAGGAATAAGGTTGATAAAGTGCTTTTGTCTCTTCTTCTCCTGTTCGCGCCGGCGCAGTCAGCCCAACTGACTCTATCCGCAGCTCGCTCCACCGCGATGGGGCCCACGGGTATAAGTGAGGGTGTACTTGCATTTTCTATGATCTCATACATGACCGGGTCGGCCTCCTTCAGATGGGAGGCCAGCAACTGTTGTTCAGCGACCTTGTCAGCAGGGGCAGACTCTGGAGCGACAGGAGTTGATCCTTCGCGCACTTTCTGCTGGCTCTCGACGTTCAGCGAAGACACGCATCGTCTGAACGGCGCGCCACTCTGTTGAAGGTATGATGACCGTCTTGGCACAGATCGGAGGAGGCGCGAAGCGCCTCGGAAGAGGGAAGTCGACATGGTGATGGGAAGGTCGCTCTACCACTTGCAAGCAAGCCTAACGACAGCGATATGGCACACCACTGACGAGTTAGCTGTGCTGTTCTCCTTGTCTGGATTGCCAATTGAAGCTCCTGGAAGAACGGGGACCTCACCAGAAGCTCATAGGGTCATTGTGGGAGCTCGGAGGGAGAGCGGGTTCTCGGAGGGCACGAGGAGGCCAGTCCTATGAACCGGGCCGGAGAGGCAGTGGATGGCAACAATGGCACCGGTGTCGGTGATGGGCTGACACGGAGAATGGATGTTATCGTGATTCGTGACTCCAGGAAATCGATCAACGATCCGGGTCAACCTAGCTGCAAACCCCGCCCCTCGGCACCCGCTGCGATGCGCTACAGAGGACCTAGCTCCACAGTGAGACCCGGAACCCCTGCCCACCCCGAAAGCCCACAGCGCACGGGCCAGCTCCAATTCGAAATATCTTCGACGCCAGCTCCACCGAATTTTCTATCTTTCTTTTTCTCTTTTTCCCTTCCCTAACAACTAATTTGGGGATGACGAAGCCGTCCTGATAGCATATCTGGTTTTCCGCTTCGGCGGGAGCATGCTGAAATGTCTCTGGCGGCGCTTCACCACCTTGACAAGAGACAATTTGAAGCCTCTGACCCAACATTTTGGTTGATCGGCCTGTGTCGGCCCTCTTCTCACCCTATCTTTGCCCTCCCAATGACTTGTCCGACTCAGGACGCTGTACCTTGCTCTTCAATCTAGATAGGTTCCCTGATCAAGTAATCGAATGTCTAATGGCGGCCTTGCGTGTTTCGAGTGGCGGGCTTGTGCTGGGTCGATGCTCCAGTGAGCGTTGGACCGAACGCACTTGTCCTTTGCTACCTGGGTACTGTTTTGCTGCTCAGGGTGATCTCTGCTGCGTAGACTGGTAGATGGCCAGACGAGGAGGCAGAAGTTGAAATCGTATCACCAGTTTTCATGCGCAGAAGCACGCAATCGTTGTCTGAGTGGTGAATTGAGGCCGTGGGTTACGATGTCGGTGCTTGAGGCACAGATGGATGCTGTTCAGTGACGATTCTCTGTAGCGCAAGAGGACACGGCGACCACACCTCCGTATCAGGCCTCGGCTTAAGCTGGTACGGCAGTTTCCCCAGATTCCGAACACAGTCAAAAAGTGCTTTGCAAGCTGTTTTGCATTGTGGAGCGATGGCCCGACTGTCTGCCTATCTAACAGGGTAGTCGTGCAATTCAAGGCCAGCGAGGTCACGTTGTGGGCTGGCGAGTTGTAGTGTTTCATAAACAAGGAAACCATCCGTGAAATTTGTTCGCAGCTCATTGATCCCGTTTTCAATGCCGTAAAAACTTGCCAGAAACCCCCGTCAAGAGACAGCACTTCTCTAGAAGACCTTGTAGGATTTAGAGAAATATGTACTGAGCAGCGACCCAACCGATTACTCCGAATGCAGGATCCCTTTCCGAAGACAGCTTCTTTCAGTAAGGAAGTAGAGGAATGTTTCGTCAGTTGCCGTCTTGATGCGTTTATTTCTCCTCCTCCAGACCCTCCATCAGCGCGTTCCGCTTCGCCGTCTGTCGCTCCACCTTGCGCTCGCGGGCCGCCTTGGTCTTCGCACGCTTGGCGTCCATCTCCTCCTTGAGCTGCCTCTCACGGGCCTTCTCGGCCTTGGCGCGGTGGATCTGAAAACAGAACATGTCAGTCTGGCCATTCCCGCGTGGTCCGAATAGATATCAGGGTGTGTACGTACGTGCTCAACCAGGGCGCGCTTGTGCTTGAAGGAGTTACCCTTGGCGGCGTGGTACAGCTCGTGGTAAAGGTGCTTGTCGATCTTGCCGCTGGCACGGTACTTGACCAAGAGACGGCGGAGAACACGCTGGCGACGCATCCAGAGGACTTGCCTGTAGTTTGTCAGGTTAGCCCCTAGCCAGCCCAGATTATGCCCTCAGACAATTATTCCATGCTCTTTTTGGTATCAATGTACCGCTGATCATTCCAGAATCCGGGCTCTCATCGATCGGGGTTGTTCCTTGGTAGGAAGACATACTCAGGCATACGGGCATCGGCGGTACCCTTCCTCTTTCCGAAACCACGGTGGCGACCAATCCGTCGGGCAAGGTTCAGCTCACGCGCGCGGGCACGCGAGTGCATGGTGACGGGCTTTCGGATGATGAGGCCATCGGCAACGAGCTTGCGGATAGACTGGCGGGAGTTGGCGTTGGAGATCTCGTTGACCTCGTTGGGATCGAGCCAAATCTTGCGCTCACCGCAGCCGAGGACATCGGCCGCGAGGCGCTTCTGGGTGACCAAGTTGACCCTGTGCAGCAGAAAATTGACATGTCAGCCTTCCACTCTGTCTCGCTGGGGACCTGGCCCAGAAGTCCGAGATGGGTCCGACGTGGTGTTGATGGCGTTGTTGGCCGAGGGCCGTTTGTGAAGGCGTCATCGATAGCGAGGTGCAATGGCTCCCGATTGCCCGTTCACAGACCGCACCTCGACCAACAAGCCCATGCACCAATCTCCGTCGTCCAGGCGTTCTCGAAATCGGTCGGAAAGTGGCATTCGGGCACTCACATCTTGACTGCACTTGCTGATGATGGCCGTTGTCGGTGATTTGTCGGGTTGAGGATGGGGCTGGGCTTCGAAAAAAGTTTCCAGGAGGGAAAGCAGCAGGTGGTGTTGGCCTGCCTTGCTAATTTCGAGACGAACGACCGCTGGCCCCCCGCTTTGGTGTGGAAGCCACCAAGCGAAGAAATTGTTAAGGGCCGCCTGACTTGGCACGTGACCCGGACACTGCAAGCGGCCTGCCGAGCTTGGATTATCATGGAGTAGAGACAGTACTTCTACCTCAAGCTTCCAGCACTTAGACCAGCAATGCTTTGAGTTCCAACGATGCGAGCTTATTAACAGCCAAAGTAATCAATGTGTATCAATCTTCCTCACCTGCCTCCTTTCCTGCAGCCTCTCCCTTCGCCTCTATAACTCCCTTACGCTCCCCGCTGTCCTCCCTGAGCCTCTCGCGGACGGCCATCAACGCCTTGCCCAATAGATTCAATCCCCAGCGCTCCCTATTCCTCTCAGCATCTTGGGCTCGGAACCCCACGCCCCACACCTGATCGTACGGGCTTGCCTCAACCAACTCCCTGTCTCCTGTCGCTAGGAGCAACTCCCCAAGATTTACCTGCCCGTCATGAGCAGGCTTCGTCATCTTCAACCAGGTCCCCTCTTGCACGATCCTCTCCCTCTCGGCCACCCAAGTTGTCTCATCAAATCCGACCACCTTGCGCCCCAGAGTCTTGATCTTACGCGGGTGCAGCTCCGAGCCGGCGAGGACCTCGCCTGCGACCTTGTCGTCGCCGAAGAGCCTCGCCTTTTGGTACATCATGTAGTGTTCCGCTGTCGGGTAGACGATGGCGCCGTCTGATCCGTCTCGCATCTCATATGCATACCATTGTGACATCCATCCGTAGGGCTCCTCGGTCTCCCTCCAGAAGTATATCGGCCCGCCGTCTGGGGATGATGAGCTTGTCGTTCGTGGCATGGCTGCCGCTCGCTTGTTCGGCCTGGACGAGTTTGTCGATGGTGTCTTCCTCTTCTTAGTGTTGTTACTCTTTGTAGACATTCTCAAGACTTGTTTCTGCCAGACGTGATGCCACTGTGGTTACTGCACAAGTAGCAGTGGAAAGTCAACGTTGGCTTCTAGTACCTGGTACTCAGGCAGATCGGGCTGCATAGTAAATGTACGCCCGAGCTAGTGAGGCTCAGCTTCAGCTCCCCGGGTGACTCATCACAATTCTCGAGACTCCGGGACAAGGCGAAAACACAAAGAAAGAATCAGCCTGTGAGGTTATCACTTGGATCATACGGCAACTCAACCAAGATGAAGTTGCCACCTTAAATTATCCGATGCAATTCATTACGTAGGTCCTTCAAATGCTGCAGAAATGCCTCGAAGAGTATACTATACGGGTACAGCAATCCTGTAGGAAATTATCTTGTGCAAGATTATACCGCCATACGTGACTGAAGTGATCATCGAATCAAGCATCTTTCGAAGTACTGTCCAATCAGTTAAGATTCATTGGCCTTGAAGTACACAGGCTAACCAGTCAAATCTTCATCAGGGAGAAGGTTTTATGTATCTGGACTTACAAGGTTAACCTTGCAACGCTCTTTTTATTCCTCCAACGACTGGCTGTTGTTCATACATGATAGTCAGTCCTTGACGCAGTGCTTAATTCAGAGTTTCGTGACTTGGCCGTCTCTCAAGTGTCATACTATAGTTAAGCACGAATGGTCATGATCTGCATTCATCTGAGAACCAGACATAACTGCGTTATAGGCAAAGCGCTGGGGTCGAAAGTGGGCGCCTCCCTAGGTAAACGCTGAAAAGCAATGACCGGGTGGCCGTGTACCACATAATGCCTTTAGAACTACGTCCCTAAAATGGGCAAGGGATATTGAGAATTCTGTTCAGCTTCAGAATACTGCCCTGTCGAAGCAGCTTTTACACAATTCAGACCGATGGGTGACTGACATCAAGTCTCTTTCCCAAAGTCCGAGGTACTTAGAGAGAAGCGAACAATAGACGCCTCTTACCAGGGCTTGCCAAGGGATTGGATGCAATACAATCATTTACTTTTTAATCATCTACACTCCCAGCAATGCCTTAAACAAATCAGAACCCTCAAACTTTTTCATAAAATGCCCCTATCCTCGACCGCCTATTCCTTCCCAAACACATCCCCACCAACATCAACCTTGCCCACACTCCAGATCTCCTTCTCGTCCTCCACCTCATCGCCTGTCAGGCCCAGGGTGCCAGAGACACCGCCCTCGGCCTCTCTCCTCTCCCTCGCCTGGCTGCCCAGCCTCAGCGCCACGCGCTTGAAGTAGTCACCCATGCTTCGCTTCGTGTTGGGTGGCAGGTTGGAGGCGCCGTCGCCAGCGATGAACTTGTCGAACACCTTGCTCTCCTCCTCCACCACGTTGAACAGCCCCACGAAGGCCGCCTCCGCCGCGAGCTTGACCGGGATGACCATATCTCTCACCGAGGCAAACACGGGCGGCGCAAGGAGCGCCAGGTGTGGCCGCACCATGTCCATGTGTGCGCGCGAGACGGTGCGGACGACAACCAGCGACAGGCGTCGCGAGTCGGCTGCTTCGCCGGGAGGGATCAGGGCGGCAAGGGATTCGAAGATGGACTTGGTTGATTCGAAAGACTTTGGCGAATCGGACAGGAGGTACTTTCCGGTTGCGAGGATGAAGTTCTCGGCGATGAAGGGCTGCGAAGCGAGTTAGCATATGCTGTCATATGAGGGGTCCCTCAGGTGCTGAATTTGTGCTTACCTCCTTGTGAGACATGCCCTGGGTTAGCAGCTCGGGCAAGTCCTCGGCTAGTGGGCTGTCCAGCAACAGCGACGGTGACTCCAATAACACCGCGTTGAGCGCCAGGACGGAGGAGTGGCTGAAGTTGGTTGTCATGGCCCGGCTCTTCAGCAGACTCTGCGCTACCTCCTCTGGGACATTCTTCAACAGTGCACCAAGCAACTTTGCGTTGGTGATGGTCATGTTGTGGTCTCGCTCATCAGGTTCCGTGTCAATAAGACCCAAAACAGCTGTTCGTGACGACTCGCCCATGTTGGCGCCAGCCTTGCTGACAACCTCGTAAAGTGCCTTGAGCATGGCAGTCTTGACACCTGGGTCGGATGTCTTGGAACCAGTGACAAGCTCCGCGACGAGGGGATCGACACGTGGCGTGAACTTGATCAGAGTACCAAGGGCCTTTGCCGCACGAGTCCGCAGCAGCTCGCTAGAGGTATCAGCCAAAGACTTGGCAAATGTACGCTGGAGCTGAGGCAAGAAAGGCTTGAGCGCGGTAGGCATCTTCTCCAGCAAGTTGTTGAGGGCCAAGAGAATTGCAGACTTGACGTCAGTAGACCGCTCTGAGACGACACGGATGAGCGGACCCGTGATCTGTGTGACAAAGGGCTTGAGCGAGGCCTCACTCGTCCTGTCAACAATATCAGAGATAGCAAGGGCAGCTGTCGTGCGCTGGTCGGGTGTGCCATTCATGAGACCTTGGAGGAAGATCGGCAGAATAGCATTGATACCCTTTGGCAGCTCGAAACCTGGCAGGTTGGAGCCAGCAACGCCGACTTGGAGCAGAGTCTGTCTTGTGGATGATACCAAGGCCTCCATCTCTTCTTTCTTGAGGTGCTTAGTGAACTCGCTCAGCGCGCCCCAAGCGGCCTTGACGACTTCCTTATCCCGGTCATCGAAGGAGATGAGTAGGGAACGGATGATGTCCTGGTTGTAGCGAGAGTAATCCACATCTGCTTGAGCGAAGAAAGTTGCAAGATGTTGCCCAGTGGATGCTCGCTTGCGGTGGTCCTCGTGCTTCATGAGCTGCAGCAGAACGTTCATAGTCGTGTTCAAGCCATCATACTCGTCGATCGACAAAATGACAGTGTCGAACGACTTGTCAAGATCCTTACGTAGCTCATCGTCGGTAGAATTGATGATGTTGTCCATGAGGGAGTTGATAATGCCAGGCAGGCGGCGGTTCATGGCTGCGCCAGCCACCTTGGACAGAGATGCCAACGCCTTCGCGTTGAATGCTGAGATTGGAGGCGCAATGAGAGTTGGGATTAGGTTCGGCAGAATGATGTTGGACCGAGTCGTTTCCGTCAGGAGCGTCAGAAGGGCTTGCAGCGCATTGTCCGCATCCTCTTCGGATCGAAGGAGGCTAAGCAAGAAAGGCAAGACTTGGTCGACAGCACGCTTTCCAAGAATCTGCTGCAGCGAGTCGAAGGCCTCGGCAGCAGCCTCCCGGACGTCCTCGTCCGAGTCGGTGAGTGCGGTCCGGACCACAGAAATAAGGACCTTCTCGTGGTCCTCCAGAGCCTCTGGAGACGCGGATGCAATCAGTTCCTTTAGAGCGAGGCAGATACCTTGTCTGGCATCAGTGTCGGTAGAGATCTGGAGACCCTCCTCGAGAGTTGGCAGCAGGCTCGAGAGCACACCGTCACCAGCTCTGCGAATAAGCTCTCCCAGTGCGTTACTGGCAATAACACGGTGCTCCATGTTTGCGCTGCCAAGACGGCGAATGATGAGCTGAGTGAGAGTCGGCACCAGCTCCTTGAGGGTCTTGGGGCTGGAAACAAGGGCCTTCCAGACGCTGATGGCGGCGGAGCGGACTGCGCCGGCTGTATCATTGCGGCAGATGTAAAGCGCGGATAGGACTTTGTTACGCTTCTCTTCACCGAGAACCTCACGGAGATTCGCACCGTGTTCGCGGATGGTCTCCTCCTCCATATCCTCCACGTCTTCCTTGCCAGTGATACCAGTAAGGTTGAAGAGAAGGTCTCCGACAAGCTCGACTGAGCTGAGACGAATCCTGTAGCTGTCATCGGCCAGACCGCGCTCGAGCTCGGGAAGCAGGAGATCCACAGCCCGAACAGCAAAGTTCTTGACGAGCAATCTACCAGCACGCAGTGCCGTTTCACGGATCGACTCAATTTCATCTGCCAGACCAGATAAGATAGGTGGAATGATCTTGCCGAGGTAGTTGGCAAAGCTGTTTCCAAAGCACACGGGCAAGAAGATGAACAATGACATAAATCCTTCGCGGATGGCAGCCTTGGAAGACTCGACGTTCTGCAGAATTGTGGGCAGTGTCTCTTCGAGCCTCGATGTTCCCAGTCCAGCCAGAACTTCGGATAGGGCTTGCGCGGAACCAAGACGGTCGCCGGCACCTGTGTCGGACTTGAGGGTCTGCATGAGCTGAGGAATGAGATCCGGCAAGGCGTCCTCTCCAAGCTTCTCGACGAGAGACCCCAAGGCCCTCGAAGCAGTGGCCCGGGTTGTTGGTACGGGGTCGACAATAGCCAGCTTGAGACCTGCGACAAGGACAGGCAGGTGGGCAAGAATATCTTTCTTCTCGGTGAGATGGGCCAAGCTGCCGATAACCTGGGCTGCCTTGCGCTTTGTGTTGGACCTGTCTCCTAGACCACGCTGCAATATGCGGCTGACGAGGGCCAGCGATGGCGCGTCCAGATAATGAACGAACTGGACTTTGATGAGCGAGTCCAAGGCGTCGTCTGTGTACTTGGTAGGGTCGCTCAGGGCCTTGAGGAGGATGTCGACGAGACTCTTGACTTCTGGATTGTTGATGACTTCACCGAATCTCTTCAGACTCTGCTTGGCACCAGAACGGACCTCCTTGTGACTGTCGTTCAGAACCGCAGTGAGTGGTGGAATGATCTCAGGCAAGCTGTTTGCCAGCTGCTCCGGGTCTAGATAGGCCATGGCACCGAGAAGATCGCAAGCGCCCTTCTTGCTACGCCATTGGTCTTCCTCGAGACCGTCTAGGAGAGTGGGCAAGATCTTTTTGACACCATAGGAACTCAATTGAGCGAAGCATGCTTTCGCCGCTGCCAAAGATGCATCACGAACATTTGCGTTGCCATCGCCAAAGCCAGTAAGCAGCTGTGGCACGATCTGGATAACGTACGGCTCAAATAAGCGCCCCAGAATGGTAGACAAGAGCTCGTACGCCAGCAGCCCGGCCTCCCTCTGGGTGACTTCTTTCTTATTCTCACTTGCACCCTTCAGAGTGCTCATGATTCGGTAATCCTTCAAGGAAGTTATGCCTCGCCCAAGGACCAGACCAGCAAGACCGTAGGCCGCACCACGTTGTTCGGCGTACTTCTTGGAGGTGAGGAGAGTCTCAAGAATTTGGTCAAAGTACTTGGACGATTTGTCGCCGCAAGTTCGCACAAGCGGCGGCAGACACTCAGCCACAGCATATTGAACAGTCTCGGACGGCGTGTTCAGCGTGGCTAATAGTCGTTCAATGACAGTAGCGATCTTTTTGTCGCCTGGCTGCAGATGACGGGCAAGCGTACCATACATAATGATCACTGCCTCATTCACCCGGTCGCCTGCTTCTGAGCCTCTGTCTGGCACCTCCAGCGTTTGCTCAAACGTCCGCATGAGCTTGTCCAAGATTGTCTTTCCGTGGATAGTGATGGCGTTGTTCGCAGCCTCCAACATTTCGCTTCTGACTGTGGCATTGCGATCTCCAAGAGGGCCTTTCTCAATCAGGTAAGAGAAGAAGTCATCCAGCTTCGATTTCTCCAGGTAGGGCGCGAGCTCTTTGAAAGCGACTGCGATGCCGTGTCTAGCCTCCCAGGGATCGGCCAAGTCCATTTTCTTGGGCATGCCAAATGCATCTAGCTCCTGCTTCCTAGGCTTGGCCAACTCGACATAAGACGACCGAAGCTGCTCGAGCACTCCCTGCATCGTTGATGGGTGCATGTGGACCGCCTCAGCTAGGGATCTCGCAGCGGCCCGGCGAAGCTGCCCGTCCTTGCTCTCTACATATGGGAGCGTCTTGAATGGGACTTCAGCCGACACTTCATATTCGCTTTCCTGCCAGATTTCTTTTCCGAAGTTTATGTTTTCGTCGATGTCATCGTGACAGGCCAGCCAGATTTCTTCTGAGAAACCAAGATCGGTCATATCCACCTCGGCACTGATGCTTTGGAGGACGGTAGTTCTCACTGATGTTTGCGGAACAATGGCGCCTCGGCAGAGTACACCAAGCTCGTCATGGCTGATGTTAGGGGCGATGCAACGCACGAGGTCCGCAAAACAGTCTTTGGCGATCTTGTAGTGCTGCGCGTATTGCTGCATCGAGAAGATGAGTGCAGACAGCAGTTCCGCTCGCGGCACCGTCACGTCTTCGCAGACGTCTGTGTGGAATTGTATGAACTCGATGGCCAGTACTAGTTGCGCATCACGGTCATCCACTGACGCGCCGAAACCCCCCTTGCGAATGACAGAGAGGACCAATGGCAGGATGTAGATAAGCGACACAGTGTCGAATGGACGTTGCTCGCCGGCGAACCGTAGGCGGTACAGTACGCGAGTGACCAGGTCCTCAAAGCTCTCCTGCGTGAGATTCTCGGGAAGCGTGCTGACTTCATGAGCTCTTAAAGTCGCAACACCAACAAACGGTCGCATGGAGCCCAGCCTGTCCGAGATCCTCTCAGCCAGCGCGATATAGGCTAGTGGCGCAGCGTCACCGGTAATCAGACCTGCACCAGCATCAAGCGCTTTTAAGAGCGATTCCACGGCTGTGCCCATCCAGAGAGACGCATCTGTAGGCGGACCGGTGGCCAGAGCCCGAATAACACCGATGCCTCGCAGCAGTTGTGCAGCAGCCTCTTGGACCCTCTGTCGAATTTGAGACTCTTTCTTGAGCTGCGCGTTGACCTTTGCTTGCTCCTCTGCTGTGAGCTTCTTTTGCACGCCCTTCTTGGCCGCTAATTGGGCCCTCAATTCCTCTTCCCATTTGAGAGTATCGTAGTCTTTCTGGTTCTTGTTGGGCACCTCGTTCGCCTTCTTGGCCAAGACATCGACGAATGCCGTACCCTCAGGGGTGCGAAAGATAGCGGCTTCCATTGGGCCGATATCGTCGAGCTTGGCTACGTCCAGATCTCTCCTTACCAACTCTTCGATACGCGGCGTTATGGTATCTGGTGCGACGAAAGCAAGTTCTGCGGCAGCGTCATACGAAGCTTCCTTGACAGAGAGCTGATTTGGTGTGGTCAGTCAGCGATCCTGCATTGGAATGATCACGCGGGCCTTGCTTACCGGCTGGGAGAAGTCGGAGTGTTTGACGATCTCGTCTAGTAAGATCTTTTCATGTTTCTTCGCCAACTCACCCGGGTCCAACCCGGTTCGCAGGCATACTTCGATCCATGAGATGCGAGGTATGAGACGTGATCTTGTGAAGACGAGCATAGAGCACATTTGCTGCTCCAGCTGTTCCTGACTGAAAGCTACAGAACCTTTTTGGAGGTCCGCCGGTACCAAGCAAATCGACCTAAGAGTTGTGTGCAAGTTGCCATTGTCAATCTTTGCCAGTACTGGGGCGCTGTCCTTGTCGGCGGATTCGACAGCCTGAATCCAGGACCAGACTCCGCCAACAACAATGCCTGCTATCTTGTCTGGAGCATTCAGATACAAGGCAGAGAGATTGTCCGCAGATTCCTTCCGAAGTTTAGGGCTAACCGTCGTGGAGCAAATGAGGTAGATGAAGGCATGAGCCCACGCAGAACCGACGGCCGAGGAATTGCCAGTAGGAAGTGACGGAGCAACGGCTGACAACGCTCTGAGGAGCCACCTCGCATCATCATCGGAAGAGATCTTAGTGTAGACACGAGGGTTTAGGAGGAAAGAAGGCTTGGGCTGGAGCTCCAAGCAGTGTTTGGAGACAGAAAACTTCTTGGACAAGGCGTTCAACTTCTGGTTGCTCTCATACTTGAGTATGAGAGGTGCGACTGCACACACAACGTATGCCGCTATGATGGTACCATCTTGCGATGCTTTCAGAGGATTTCCGATCACGTCATTGAAGTTGTCCAAGAGGGCAGGCAGAGTTGATTCGGCGAATTTGACGAAGGCTGGTGTTCGGAATTCATCTGACTTGAATGATTCCAGGATGTCACCAGCGTTCATGGTCCAGATGCGTCGTGAAGACAGCTTCTTGTCAGCGAGGCCTTTGGAGAAAGCATCGGTCACAGCTTTGGGAAGCTCTGAGTCCTCAGTCAGGAGAGCCTTCACCGCCCTGCTCAGAGCCGACGTCTCAGCATTCAAGGCGGCCTCGTTGCCTTCCTTTCCAATCGGCGTTGGCAAAGCGGCAACAACCTTACCGGCAATCGCTCCGGAGACGGGTAATGAGAGCAGCAATTCGCAATGGAGGACTCTGTGGTCAGGCGAAGTAAGCTTGCCAGCCTTCAGTGGCGCAAGGATATCGTCGGCGGCCTTGCCCAGCATACCGGAATCACGGCAACGTTGCGCAATCACGCGGAAGGCGTTGACGGCGCCTGCGCGAATGACTGCGTTGGACGATTGAAGATTGGACAGCAGGGGCTTGAGCAGATGGCCATGGAGTACATTGGACAAATCCCAATCGCTCGGGAGGCTTGAGATCAAGGGTGTGATGAGATCGTTGAGAACAACCTCGGGAGCCCGTAAGAGTCCTTTCTTCAGCGACGCAACCACCTCCGTCTCGAGCTCCTCGGGGGTCACGAAATCAGAGAAGAAGTCGCCCAGGCCAGCGGCGAGATATTTCGGGACTGGAGACTTGGATCCAACGATCTCTCGCGTATAGAAGGTGAAGTAGTCGGATTTGAGCTTCTCCAGTATTGGTTTTGATTCGGGCTGCCGCGAGGACACTCCTGCTATGATGCCGAGCATGATTGCGTTCTTGGGCGTTGGTTGGGCAGCCTTGGCGGAAAGCGACTGGACAGACTCGGTGATCGTCTTCTCTCGGTTGTCCGACACGGTGAACAGCTTGCGGTAGCCACGCCGGGTCACCACAAGGGCCGAGTGGGCGACGCCAGCTTTCGACGCAGGAGAGCAGCACTTGTCCAAAGCCTCAGCCGTGGCCACTGTGATATCCTTGCCAAACTTTTCCCAGAGAGTCGTGCCAGCCAGATTCTGCACCAGTATGCTGCACCATTCGACGAGCACGAACGCGTTGCTCGGCGCAATGCCTGGCTTGGGGCTTTCTCGTCGGATGGCAGCCACGAGAGGCTCCAAAAGATCGGCGTCCCCTTCCTTGCAGATAGATACGAGGCATTGTTGCACAGCCAGACGCGAGGCGCGGTCGCGGTAGAAGGAGTGTGTCCAAAACAGGAGCTTGAGGAGCTGCAATTGTATTTGTTTATCAAGGGCTACGGAGGGAGTCCTTGTCAGCGTGGGCTGTCCCGAGTAGCAATGGCGTGGTAGGAAAGCTTGGTTGGTTGGGATATACCGTTTTGAGAGAGTTTGTCGTCGACGGCTCGCAGTGAAGCGATCCTAGACGAGGTCGAGGAGGACGTCAAGGCGGCCTTGGTGGCCTTGAGGTCCAAGGCCGGGGCGGCGCCGTTCACAGCGACTTCAGTCATCTTGTGCGGAGGCTGGTGTTCGCGTGCGCATGGCGCAGCGGCCGAAAGAGAGAGAAAGAGGAGGAAAATGGGACAGCAGACAGCAGGAAAACAGAGGACTTCTCTTGGAAATTCTAAGAAAGCTCAGTCCATGCGTAAGGGGGGTATCTATCATACGGTCATCCAACATGAACCTCAACTCGTGTGTGCCTCGCTCGCTCGCTCCTTGCCAGCTAATGAAGCTTGGGTTCGGTCCAGTTGGATGTTTCCTCGCCGAAAGACTCAGCCGCTAAGAACTGAGAACCTTGGTGGGGCAGCTCCAATCCTGCAGGGCCGGACGTCAGGGCTTTCGGCCGACCCTCTCTGGGCGGGCAGGCGGGGTTCACAATCTTTTTCTGGAGCTGCATCCTGGACAACAAGGGGCATGTCATCACATCCCACCCTCCTCCCAACCCAACCATGCGTCGTTGACTCAGGCCTCTTTTCTTTGCTGGTTCTCTTCCACTTCACCTCCCTCCTCCCTCGCCCTCTGGCTGCCTTTCTGTCTCTACCTCCATTGGCGCTCCTCGCATTCGCTAGAACCCACTACATCTGCTCGCTCGACCGAACCTAGACAAAAAGTGCAACCATGGCTGGAGCGAAGAAGAAGAAGACCAAGCCCGCCGCCAATCCTGCGAGAGGCTACGCCACCACGTCCGTGGTCTCCAAGACCAGAGTCGAACCGACAGAGAACCCTGCCGAAGTCCCAAAGAAAGGCACAGATGCTCCCGGCAAAAAGCTCAGCACTGTCCCGCTGCAGCCCTCCGCCGAAACCGACAAGTCCTCGGACGCCGCAGCGAAGAAACCGGAGCTGACCCCAGAGGAGTTCGAGAGGCAGCTGGAAGAGTCAGAGCTCCAGATTCTTGTGGACAAGTTTGCCCAGAAAACCAGACGGGATGCCCAGCGCCAGAAGCAGAGGCTGGAAACCGACCGCCGTCTGCTTCGAGGTCAAGCCGAGTCCGTCAACGCGAAGAAATGGCTGCCCCAGGAGCTCATGGACCACATCCTCGACCTCATACAAGCCGAGGGCCGTTTCTCTGCTTCCAACTCGACATCAGAAGGGACAGGCGGAGGAAAAATGCTCTCCGAAGAGGATCTGACCATAAAGCTGTGGGCATTACAACAGACACTGAGGGCGTCAGGGTTCCCCGAGGGCAGAATACAGGACGCGCTCCAGTACGTCCTTGATATCTCGGCAAACATCACCGGAATCAACAAAGATTCTATATGGGGTTTGGAAGAGGCTATGGACTGGTTCGCACGAGAATGCACCGTTGACGAATTGCCTGAATACGACATCCGCCGCAGACCAGGAGCTACTCCAGCCGACTCTCCATTACCATCTGGAGCGACCACTCCTCTTCTCCTTGAACCCGAGGCCCTTCAGAAGGCGAAGAAGAAGAAGGGCGGGTCCAAGGCCTCGCGGTCACCTGGGACAGTCTCACCAAAGCGACAAATCATCACATATGACAGCGATATAGAGCCCGACGATCTTGTTCCTGTTTACTTGTCTGCTAAAGAAGCACTATTTACGATTCAACGACCACAGAGAGATAACGGAAAGAAGGGGCGGAAGGCCGGTCAGCAGCTTCAAGCACCTCCGGCAGCTGGAGACTCACCCGATGACTTGGAGGTTGCAAAACTGCTCGCCAAAATAGATCGAATAGAGAAGGACCCCCTTTTTGACGCAGGTCTGGCCAGGATTCAATGGGAATCGAGGCGGATAGAACTAGAGCGAGAGTACGCTGAGGCCAAGAAACTCAAAGATGATGCTGAGACGTCACCAAAATCAGCCGGGAGCCAACAAGTCGAGCGAGACTCCACGCCGTCCCCTGGTGATGACAACGGGAACGAAGACGACGAAGACGACGACGACGAAACCACAAAGGAAGCGAAGAAGATGGCGGCTGAGATGCTCGCTGAAAATGAGGAGGAGGAAGACCAGGCACTCTCGGATCTTTTCGCAGCACTGCCTACCAACGAAGTAGATGCTACAACGGGCAAGACGAGCACCGTCATGAACAACAGCGATGGCTCAAAGGTAACGATCCGGGATTTTGGCAAGTGGTCTGGCATGAACCCGATGAGGGTCCTAGAAGAAGCTTGCCGATCAAGAGACGCATCCTCCAAGCTCTCCTACATCAAAGTTTCAGAAACTCCTTTTGCCCACAGGCACCTTCTCAGCATATCTTGGGCCAAAGCCCAGGAGCCACTAGCTGAACATGATGTCCCTGGCATCGAGGCTGCTTCCTCACCAAACAAATTTGTGTTCAAGATGACGGAGGTTGCGACACCTGACGAAAAGCAATCAGAAGCGTTTATCGCCACTGCCGCCCTCTTCCTCGCCTTCGGCTCGTCCGCAAAAGATGAGAAAGTGTCTCTGAAATTGCCGCCTCAGTGGCGCGACCTCTGGAATGAGTACGCCGAGGCTAAGAAAACACACGCGGATGCGCAGGATCGCGCTGCCATCAAGGAGCTCCGAAACCTGGTCCGTAAACGACGAGATCAGGAGGAGGAGGATGGTGTATTGATCCAGGGTGCGTTCCGCGGCCGAAACAATGGCCGCAACGGCGGTGATTCTGCCGACGTTCTTGCTGAGAAGCGGATGTCGGGTAACCCAGAGTACTATCAGAACATATGGCAGAGAAAGAGCAGTACCCCAAGATACCAGAAAATGCTACAGTCGCGCATGCAGCTCCCAATGTGGAACTTCCGACAGCAGGTTGTGGAAGCAGTCGATCGAGAGCAAGTCGTCATCGTCTGTGGGGAGACAGGATGCGGCAAGAGTACGCAAGTACCTTCTTTTCTGTTGGAGCACCAGCTATCCTTGGGAAAGCCCTGCAAGCTTTATTGCACGGAGCCTCGGCGGATTTCGGCCATATCTTTAGCTCGCCGCGTGAGTGAAGAGCTCGGCGAGAACAAGAATGACATTGGCACAACGCGGTCTTTGGTAGGGTACTCGATCAGACTCGAAGCCAACACGTCGAAGGAAACACGGCTTGTCTTTGCAACAACTGGAATTGTTATGAGAATGCTCGAGGGCTCGAACGAGCTTGGTGAGATTACACACCTGGTCCTTGATGAGGTCCATGAGCGATCTATTGACAGTGACTTCCTCCTTATCGTCCTCAAGAAGCTGATGACGAAGCGGAAAGATCTGAAGGTGGTTCTGATGTCCGCCACTGTGGACGCGGAGCGCTTTTCGAAGTATTTTGGTGGCGCAACCGTACTGAATGTGCCTGGGCGCACCTTTCCCGTCAAGGTCAACTATCTTGAGGATGCGATTGAGTTGACAGGACATACTGTGGACAAGCGCGTCAAGGAGAAGCTGGTAGATCTTGACGACGACGAGGCAGAGATCACTGAGCCAGACAGCTCTACCAAACCGGATCTCATCAAAACCCTGCAGAACTACTCGACCCGGACTCGCAACACACTGTCGCAGATCGACGAGTACCAAATTGACCACGAACTTATCGTTCAGCTCATTGGGCGGATTGCTGTCGATCCCTCCTACGCTGACTATAGCAAGGCTATACTTGTCTTCCTCCCCGGAATTGCGGAAATCCGGGCACTCAACGACATGCTCCTGGGTGACAGATTCTTCCAGCAGAACTGGGTCATCTACCCCATGCATTCCACCATCGCTTCAGAAGAGCAAGAAGCTGCATTCCTGATACCACCACAAGGATACAGGAAGATTGTTCTCGCGACTAACATTGCGGAGACCGGAATCACGATCCCAGATGTCACATGTGTGATAGATACTGGCAAGCATCGCGAGATGCGCTTCGACGAGCGGCGCCAGCTCTCAAAGTTGATCGACACGTTCATCTCCAAAGCGAACGCAAAACAGCGCCGTGGAAGGGCAGGGCGTGTACAGGAAGGCCTTTGCTTTCACCTATTCACGAAATACCGACACGACACCATTATGAGCGATCAGCAGACACCGGAAATGCTGCGATTATCGTTGCAAGACCTCGCAATTCGTGTCAAGATATGCAAGATCGGCGGCATCGAGGAGACCCTCAGTGAGGCACTCGACCCGCCCTCGTCAAAAAACATTCGCAGGGCAATCGACGCCCTGGTCGATGTTCGTGCCTTGACCTCCGGAGAGGAGTTGACACCATTAGGCCAGCAGCTCGCAAGACTGCCACTGGATGTCTTCCTGGGCAAGTTGATCCTCATGGGCACAGTCTTCAAGTGCCTGGACATGGCCGTCACGGTAGCAGCGGTCTTGTCCTCCAAGTCACCATTCGTCGCGCCTTTTGGCCAGCGTAGCCAGGCGGATACCGTCCGTCTGGCGTTTCGCCGAGGGGACTCCGACCTTCTCACAGTGTACAACGCCTATCTTGCTTGGAAACGAGTCTGCCAGTCCTCTGCATCGACAGGCGGCCAGGAGTTCCAGTTTTGCAGAAAGAACTTCCTCAGCCCGCAGAATTTGGCCAACATTGAGGACCTGAAGGGTCAATTACTGGTATCGCTGGTGGACTCGGGCTTCTTGCAGCTAACAGAGGAAGAACGCCGCAACCTGAACCGCTTGCGCTACTCTTCCGGCTCCGGAGGCCGGCGACGAAACCAGGCCTTCTTTGATCTCCCGCAGCGGGTCAACATCAACAGCAACAATGATATAATATCCCAGTCGGTCATCGCCTGGAGCTTCTATCCGAAGCTACTGGTCCGAGATGTACCAGGCGGAAAAGGCCTGAGAAACGTTGGTAACAACCAGTCTGTCAGCATGCATCCGACCAGTGTCAACAAAGGACACAATGAGTTGAGATGGTTGAGTTATTACCACATAATGCAAGGCAGCAGCAAGTAAGTCGCTCGGGGGAACCATGGCTCTAGTGTATCGAGCTAATTTGAATACACAGATTCACGAACGCCCATGAGACGACTGCTGTCGAGGCTTTCGCAATCGCCCTACAGTGCGGTGACGTTCGCGCCGATGTAAGTATTCGTTCGAATAAAATGCAACAATGTGAGGCTAACTTTCCGAAGATGTACTCGGGTGTGCTCGTCCTCGACGGTAACAGGGCTCGCTTTGCCATCCCCGACTGGAAGACGATGCTGGTGATCAAGGTTCTCCGCGCTCGGCTGCGCGACACGTTGACTAGGTCCTTCAAGAACCCAGGCAAGCTACTCACGGCGCAGCACGAGAAGTGGATGCATGTATGGCAGGATATCTTTTCGCAGGAACAGCTCTTTGGCGACAAGAGCAGCAGCGGAGCAGCGGGTGGAAGTCGGGGCACGGCCTAGGAAACCGCTCTGGCATCGACCCATTGCGAGCTCTTACAGCAGGAGCCAGGACGGAGCCGCGGGATGACCAACGTCATTTGGAAGGTGGCCAAATGACGGACAAGCTGTAGTCCACATGAAAAAGTCCAAAAGAAAGGAAAAACCGAGCCACGCATAAAAAGAAGCATTTGGGTCCAGCCCACCAGCCGGTCCACTATTGGTGACATGCTCAAGCCGCCGAGGATTATTGGCGACATGTCGACCAACACAGGTATGTAACGCGCAGACGAGATTGAACCCAGCGGCTGAAGCAGCAAGAGTTCGGCGTTGGAAAATCAAACGGGACTCGCGTCGGGGCTCTGGCCGGGGCGGTGGCCGTGCCTCAACTCCGGGCCATTTTGCGGCCACCCGCTGCGCCTATTGTCCGTCATCCGGGGAGTCGACCTGCCCTACGACGTTTCCAACCCCATTGAGACAATAAGCTCATCTAGTGATGACGTCCTCATCTTCCTTTTATTTTTTTTTATTTTTTTGGTTCTTTGTCTACTGGGCGAACGATCAATTGCTTCAGCACCGAACGACAGGCCGTGGTCATTCAGCCGCGTTCAGCCTCGACGGATGCAGAGGAAGTGCTTCTCTCCAAGCTGCCATGGTGCACTGTCTCGGCGAAGATTGTTAACTATTTCGATGGTGCATTTGCTTAACCTCAACATCACAGCGTCATTTATGCTCATGGGGAGAGTTGGTAGCCTGTCCAAGCGAACTTTCCACAACGCGGGTCGCGTTCTCTCGAGAGGCATCCGCGACCGGCCGCCCCGACGGGCCTGACCCGGGCCAAGGCCAACTTTACCTGACAGTTCCCCGTTCTGTATCATCGAGGCGGCCGTCTCACCGCGGCCGTCCGGCCTGTCACACTTCTTTCGCGCTGGAATTCCGGCCGCAATCGAAGCTTTCTTGTGACTCGAGGCCTCTGCAGCTTGGGCATAATGCATACGCGCATTTTGCGTTCCGAGGCAGCCATGACGCCCCCGACCTTCTGAGACAATATTCAAGCGAGAGCCCGTTTCGGCCCTCGCGATCACGGGGTCACTCATGGCGAGGATGTTTAGGGAGCTCTTGTGGCTTGCCGCCTGACTCTTGCTGGGCATGAAGGTAGAGTTTATACTTAAGCTGGTGGCTGTTCACATTCTACGATCAAGTTTCTTCCATCTCTAACCCAACAGTCTCATTTCCTTCAATCGCTACTATTCTTCAAATCCAGGCCGGTCCTTTCTGTCAAAGCATCAAATATCCATCCACAGCTCAATCTTTGCACAATGTACTTCAACACAGCCCTCGTCCTCGCCCTTGCCGGCGCCGCATGCGCCGCTCCCTCATCAGAGAACAAGCCCCGCCAGCAGCAGGGCCAATTCGACGCCTCGGACCCAGACTTCCTCTCGCTGATCCCCGAGTTCGGCGTCGAGCAGGGCGTCAACCCGACGGGGACGGGCGACTGCGACGGGTTCAACGCGGCGCAGAACAAGGTGGTGCCCATCAACTGCGAGAAGTGCCCGCCGCCGCGTGACGCCTACGTGCAGCAGCTCGCCAAGGACCTGAACGCGGGCAACGTGTTCGGCTCCCCCGTCACCTTCAACACGGACCCGGCCACCGCCAACGACGCGCAGGCCAACAAGGACCGCGCCACCGCGTGCCTCACCTCGCTGCAGAGCTTCTACGGCTCCAAGGGCGTCGGCTGCCCCGCCGTCGCCGCGCCCAACATGGCCAAGCAGCAGACCACCGGCGTCAGGGACGACAAGCAGTTCATCCCCCAGGCCGGCGGCGCCGGCGGTGCCAGCGGTGCCAGCGGCGCCAACTCGGCGAGCGCTGCCTCCGCGAGCGGGGCTGCCAGGAAGAGGAAGAACATCTAGATGACTTTCCTGGGACTCTCATGCGATGACTTCTTTTCTTCTTCTTTTTTCCTAATAGTAGAGGGTCATGAGTGGGTCATGGGGTGGGGAGGGCACCAGGTCATGCCTGCGAAATAATGCAGCACATGCGAGGAGTTCGGCGATGGATGGAATACACGATAGAACATCAAATATTACTTACCAATACAGTCCCACGACATGGCACTTGCCCAGAAGACGATCAGGTGACGTTTGTGACATGCGAGATAGAATGTACTGTCTAATAGAACAGAATGGTTCGCTGCGGTTTCAAGCTGGCTGCACATGCGCCATCAGCCTTCCCCTTTCTCCTTTCTGTCCCGGCTCTAGTACAAATACCCCATAATAAAACGCTCACGCTTTATAAGAGTTGCATCATGCCCTAGCCCGTGATTCGTCGCAGCATTCTAGCCAAATAGTTGACCTCGTCACCGAAATCATGGTCTTGTCCGGCGTAACGTGGACACATGGTGCGCTTCATGGCCCTCACCGTGGGGTCGCGGTCCCCGTCGCGAGATAACCATCGCGCGGCCCACTTCGCCTTGCCGAGCATTTCTTCCTCCCAGAAGTCCTCGAGCTCCGGGCTCCACCGGGGGCTGGCCTGGAGCTGCGGTGGGAAGTCGTGCATCTGGGTCTACAACAGCAGCGGAGCGTCTCAGTCACCGAGGTAATTGGAGAGGGGGATAAAGCAGAAGTACAGGGGCAGGGGGCAGGGAGTGTATTTCTCCTCGTGGGGCACGGTGGTATGGCATCACTTACAATGATGAGGCCAAGGTAGCGCCACATGATGTAGACTTGGTCCTCGTTGGCGGGTGGCTCGCCAACCTTTTGCCGTGCATTTTCGCGCATGAGCTCATGTTTGATGAGTATCTCCAACAGGCGCTTGAGAATGTCGTTCATCTCCCTCCACCTCGGGTCTGCGTCATCAGGGGCTGGCCTGGACAGTTCCTACCTGGTGAGCTGCTCTCGAGTCCAGTGACGTCCTGGTTCTCCCCGTGTTTTCTTTATGGTCATTGTGATTATTGCGTTCAGTTTTAGCTCGCCTTTATGAGGTGGGAATGCAGATGTATCAATCGATGCTGTCCAGTGGGGTAGTATAGTGAAAGTGGTGGACTGTGGTGGTGGAAAGCAAGGAGGCGAAGGCACAAGAAGCCTGTTATTATATTAATATTGATGCTGCGGAATAAGGTAGTCGGGGTCCAATAATTCCGGAAGGAGTGACCGTTGACACATCGTCACCAACCCCCCTAGCGGTGCTGGATGGAGCAAGGTAGGCAAGGCCGAGAAGCACAGGGCGGTAGGGGATCTCACACAGGCATGGCGGAAGGGAAGTCGTGCTGCGAGCGAGGATACCGCGTTGCAAGTTTGGAACATAAGGGGAAGACGTGGACTGGTATGTAACGCATGAGATTCTGATATACCCCACCCATTTCCGTGCCCGCAGGCACACAACGGTGGGTCGACCTTTGCCCTGAAGCCATCAACACCCTACCGTACATGACCACCGCGAAGCTTACCCGACAGGGCGAACGTCCCAGCAATCGTGGCCGACAACGTGATCCCCAGCTCCGCCTCCCCGACCATCACGCCGAGGAGCACCCCCGGCGCCGCGATGGCCAGTAAGACTACCATAGCGATAAGGCCCAGGCCGATATGTGTGAACTTGGGGCGGAGCAGGATCGCCTTGGGAGAGCCACCTGGTCTGAGTGGAGCTGTGAAGCTAATAGTTGATAAGTGATGGGTGGCCAAGGCCAGGCTCGACGGAGTGCGCCTCGTGACGAGGACTTCCTGCCCATCGCCGGACTGGGTCTCGCTGTCGATGGACTGCGTAGTTATTAGTCGTGCCTAGGCACACTAAGGGTATTCCATCCCAGGGACTTAATACCGTATTAACATACGCGCAATATAGTAGCCATGTCCACGACGGGCTGGCAGAGCCAATATGACCACCATGGCTGCTTCTGGTGGTATATTGCCAGGGTTCTTGCCATCACGACGGAGGTGTGAAGGTGGGCATACATGCGCATCAGGTAAAGGTAATGTGTGCCGCGGCGCTCGACAACAACGCGCCAGGTGGTGGTGTCTGTGGACGGCGGCTGGACAAGGGCAGTCATGTTGATAATCAGAGAACAATTAGTTCCTAAGCTATATTGAAAACACCACTTGCGTGTAAAGGGGGAAGCAACCAGGCATTACTTCCTGCCCGGGTGAAAGGCAGGTTTTTATACCACGGGGCAACAGCTTGGGCATCCTCTTCTGGCTGCGATAAATTGTGTCTGATGGATAGGCGACCAGCCTAGATGAGCAGTTCTGGGCAGATGACAATGGGAGATGGCCCGGCCACCACACTCCCAGTCGGGCACCCTGGCTAAGTGAATGCCTGGACATGCAATGATGAGGGGAAGAGCGAGCTGTCCACTTGAGGCTCTGCTTACACACAACGGAATGATGTTCATCTCATGAATAGGATAGACCGTTTCCCAGGGAGGGGGCCGAAGGAGTCCAGACGCATGTGAGGCGAGGTTGGGTGCAGTAGACTCGCCGCGCGTCAGACGGGACCGGGCTATTGGCGCTGTCTCAAGTGAGCTCTGCTACATGCTGACTTTGGAAAGCGGCCCGCTTCTGTATATCGACGCAAGGCCTGCAGCTGCATCGATACCTAGGTACATGCCAACTTTTGTCAGACCCTATTCCCCATGCAATAGCAGCACCTCGCACCTCTGAGGTGCTCCACGCCAGCTGCTTTTCGGGCAAGAGGAGGTGGGTTTGAGGCCGGGCTTCCCCTCTACCGCCTCAGCCTCACGAGACGGGCGTGTACGATGATGATGTTCTTCATCATGTGGAGACCTGGAGTTTGAGACCCGATGAAGACGATTTCCGACTGTAAGAAAGGCCTGGAACGCTCGTCCGCAACCAAGACTTCAATGTGGATCTGCGAAATTTTGCATCACCCGTCCTACATTGAAAGAGCAAAAAAGGTAATCGTATACGAAGCATCTGGGTTCAGTCATCCAGAGATATCCCGAATCCTGGGTAGGATAAACACTCGTGCTCATGATGGTGCTGGGTCCTTCGGGGAAGAGCACACGTTGGCTGCGCTGAAGTTGTCAGAAGCTCTTTATCGTTTGCCAGGCTCCCAACGAGCAGGAATGTGAGGTCACAAATACAAATGGGAGTAAGGCAACCGTGATATCTTTTCCGTTGTCGCTGGATGACAGGCGCCTGACTTAGTGACTCCCCAACACTATGGCATTCATTAGGGTGGTTCCGAAGACACCGTTTGGTGCCCAGCATGCTGTCGGCGCCGATGCACTCGGGTCACCAGCGTCTCATATTTCCCAAGGTCGTGGTCGACAGTTGTGGCTCTCATAGAGACGTCTGTGAGCCTCTTCTGCGGAAATTCTCCCATATCGAGTAGGAGTTCATTTAAGACCTCCATAAAGTCACCTGTATACACGCTCAACGCCATGCCCCTGGCGAGCTCTCCGAGTGCATCCAATACCAAGTTTTAGGATTTCTCCACCGTAGCATCTTCAGGAATGCTAATGTTGATATTTTCAGAAAAAGTCTTCACAACTAGTCAAACCGTTATGCGCTGTGAGCAGTGCAGACAGAATGACTACGCTAAAGCCCACCCCTAGAATCTGCTATAGTACACATATAGGTCAAAGCAATGGTGGTGCGCTTAGTACTATAAGATCCTTGTCTGTTAGTATTTTGTCGGAATAAATTCTGGGATGCGCGACCGTTCATCAGCAAAATTGCAGACTATTTGGGTAGGTCCCATTGTTCTGGTGCTCATTTCCCCATGGAGATCTGAAGGTCGTCCCTGACATCACCATGGCAGACGTGTATACGTACTCCAGATGGCCTCAAGCTGAGTCTAGAACACAGCTTCAGGCAGCGTTCCCGAGACTTTAACTTTTGGTGGCTACATCGTGCTGGCCAACCTTCTCTCTAATAATTTAACCATCATGGGAGGATCTCTGCCCGTTTCGTGGGTCCCTGAATTGCATCTCGTTCTCATGGAATCTTGGAGATCTCGTGGCAGGTATTATATAATGTAAGTGATTGACCCTTTTCCCTTGCGTTTGGCTCAGTGCTCGCTTGCCGCCGTCATCATTTGAGGCCTAGTGGACACGCAAGGCAGGGGCACATGGCCGCCGACTGGCATCAGCTGGATTAGTCTTGTTGGGTAAGCCACAAACGTTGTCCCACAGAAGCACACACGACAAGAGGGTATCTACCAGAGGAGGTTATCCTAGAGGTGTTTATTCTATACAGGCTATCCCAAAGGAGGGTGTCCCAGCTCAGTTTCATATGATCTGTGATATAATCATATGGCTCTAGTGTGGGCTTGGAGGCCTGTATTGTGCAGACAAGTCTTTCAGGAGGATGTGCTGAGACTTGGTCAAGTGTTGTTTGCATTGTCTACTCTCCTTTGTATTCGCGCAACGCCCTAATCATCCCGTTTATCCACCGAAGCTCAGCCTGGGACGGGAAAGACAGGTGAGGGTTTAACCCCTCAGCAGGTCAGGGATGGCCTATGATGTTTTGAGTGGTTCCACTGGCACCAACTTTGGTTGTGCAACATGCCATCTCCCACGTCCTTTCGCGTGGTCCGGATTTGAGCCCGGAACACTTTGGCACACTTGTGCAAAGCGTACCGTCAATCTGTGGCTCCAACACGCCATGTCCAATGGTCTTCCGGACTGGACCAAGATCCTGCCACTGTTGAATCGAATGGCCCGGATCGTCCTCATGTCCATTCAAATGGAGCCTCTGAGTATCCCATACATGCCTTTCATCTTGCCTGGGCACCGGATCATCTCCTCGACCGAAGCATCAAGAAGGAACCACGAAGAAATGCTGTCGTTCGCGGCTCGCAACAAAATCAGACCTTGGGTGGAGTTGTTTCCAATGAATGAGCAGGGCCTGGAACAAGCTTTCTACCGCCTTGAGACCGGCCAGATGAGGTACCGTGGTGTGCTCACGACATTCGGGAACGGGCTATCGGCTAGACAATGAACCTGTGTCGGGTTTGATCACCGATACCATTAAGGGTTGCCGCCAACAAGACCACCCGTATTTTTCGAGTACATATCTAGAGACACTAGCCCGTTCGCGGCTCACTGTGGTCGAGAATATTGTCGCCTCACACCGAGGTATCTCATTTAATGTCCCTCGTTGGCAGGCTGGCGACCCGCGACGTTGGAACCGGCTATCGGCGGACAAGATAGCGGCGGAGGGTTATGATTGGCATTTCTGGGCTTCCGAACCGTCTTGGGCATGTAGATTCGGTGTAGATTGCTTGCACAGTACCTTGCAGTCGAGGGATCCTAATCATGAGGTGACAGCCAAGCAACTCCGCAGCTGACAACGAGCCACACCAGGGGCCAAGAAGCTGGGCGCAATCAAGAAGCAATTCCTCTGTCCCCGGTCCCTCCCCAGAAAACTGTGTTGGAGAGCCAATGTCGAAGAAAAACCACATCCAGATAGTTCGAAGATGTGCAATATCGAGGCGAAGGAACACAGGATGTTACGAATCAATGCTTAGCTAACTAGCACCAAAGAGGTCTTCTCTCCCAAGAAGAATGCGCTGTGCCAGCCACACCCCGTATCATGTGCCAGGAAGAAGCCATGTTGGACCACTAGCAATCACACTCAAGACTTCTGGATGCTTGTCACCTTCCGAGATAATGCAAGGTGCCAAGTGAGGGTCACGACCCAGCCCAGAACCGTCACACCTCTGTGCCTCATAGGCTGGACGACATCTTGGCTCTGCCTGACCGACATGAACCGCATGGAGCCGGGCAACTCAGAGTGAACTATCTTGCTGAAACGTTGCTGCACAGCTATAAAACGCAACTGCAGCCCCACACTCTCGTTAGAATATGCACCTATGTTGGTGCTTGTGCTCTCTTCCGCCGCCAGCAGCTTGCTGTTTAATCAAGTCCACCTGCGGGGAATAATAATACCACCTTGTGGTCAAACACAACAAGTACCAGGACAACAATGGCCGACATCGAAAGCACCGCCGACGGTGGCGCCCAGATCCGCGCGGCAGCAACTAAAGACATCGTGGAGAAGCAGGAGGCTCTCGTCCACGTCCCGAGCGCCGAGAAGCCAGACGCCAGCGACTTCCCCACCGCCGAGGAGCTCAACTCGCTGCGCCGCGTCGCGGACAAGATCCCCTGGAGCGTCCTGACCATCGCCTTCGTGGAACTGTGTGAGCGCTTCTCGTACTACGGCACAACGGCCGTGTTCACCAACTTCATCCAGTGGCCCCTGCCGGAGGGCTCTGCCACCGGAGCAAACTATGGCACCGGCCAGGCTGGAGCAATGGGCTTTGGGCAGCGAGCGTCGACGGGCCTGACTACGTTCAATGCCTTTTGGCAGTACACAATGCCTCTCTTCGGCGCGTATGTCGCAGACTCTTACCTCGGACGCTACCGCACAATCTTCTGGGCACTGCTCGTTGGAATCATCGGCCACGTGATCCTGATTGTCTCTGCTCTGCCCCCAGTCATCAAGAATCCTCCGGGTGCGATGGCTGCTTTCATCCTGGGCATCATCACTATGGGCGTGGGGACGGGGGGTTTCAAGCCCAACGTCAACCCTCTCATCGTTGAGCAGCTGCCAGCCCATTCCATGAGAGTTGTCACGCTCAAGTCGGGTGAGCGCGTCATCATCGACCCGGCCGTCACAGCCTCACGGGTTTATCACTAGTAAGCAACACCAGACTCAATATCCCTGTATTGTTATATACTTCTTGTGCGCTTTCGAGGGAGTCTGCAGAAGTATTACGTATCAGGGATCATAGAGGACAGACAAACCAGTCTTTGCACATCTAAATCTGAGAAGCGCATGACTAATCAGTGATTCTGCAGCTTTTACATGTTCATCAACATTGGTGCCTTGATAGGCCAGATCGGTATGGTATACTGTGAATACTATGTCGGCTTCTACATGTCCTTCTTGTTGCCAACGATCATGCTGTGCTTTTGCCCATTAGTCATGCTCTGGGGTCGGAGGCGGTATCGACGAGTTCCCCCGGAGGGATCTGTGCTCGGGAAAGCCTTCAAGGTGTTTGTGTACGCGAACAAGGGCCGCTGGTCGCTGAACCCGAGGAAGACCTACCGCAACCTACACGACGGCACGTTCTGGTCTAAGGTCAAGCCCTCCAACATCGCGCCTGCCGACCGACCGAAGTGGATGACATTTGACGATGCCTGGGTTGACGAGGTACGGCGTGGCTTCAACGCGTGCGCCGTGTTCCTTTGGTACCCCCTATTCTGGATCTGTTACAACCAGATCAACAACAACCTCATCTCGCAAGCCGCGACAATGAGGCTCGGCGGCGTCCCCAACGACGTCCTGACGAACCTCAACCCCTTCTCGCTCATCATCATGATCCCGCTCCTCGACCTCTTCGGGTACCCCCTCCTGCGGAGGCTCAAGATCAAGGTGTCGCCCATCAAGAAGATCACCGTGGGCTACTTTGCAGGCGCGTGCGCCATGATCTGGGCCGCCGTCATCCAGGCGTACATCTACCGCCGGAGCGACTGCGGCAACTACGCCGGGCAGAACCTCCCCGGGACCGAGGACCGCTGCCCCAACGTCGACATCACCGTCTGGGCGCAGTCCGGGTCGTACATCCTGATCGCGTTCTCCGAGATCATGGCCTCCATCACGAGCCTGGAGTACGCCCACTCCAAGGCCCCGGCAAACATGCGCAGTATGGTGCAGTCGGTGGCGCTGTTCATGAACGCCGTGTCTTCGGCCATTGGATTCGCCCTGGTCTCTCTTGCTGAGGTTCGTATCATGGCCTTACCCCATGTGACGACAGAACAGACGCCGATACTGACTGCTCGTCGCAGGATCCCCTCCTGGTTTGGAATTACACGACCGTTGCTATACTGGCTGCTATCGGCGGCTCACTCTTCTACATCCAGTTCCGCAAGCTCGACCAGGAGGAAGACCAGCTCAATATGCTACCGAGAGGCAAGCTTAATGCTGAAGATGCAGGCGATCAGGTGGCTTTGCGGTCAGAGACTGGCGGGGATAAGGAGACATCTTGAGATACATGTTTGGAACTCTAAAAACTCGTAATTGTATTTGCCTTCATTGAGTTGCGAGGAGGCACATGTACTCTCTTGAACATGTGACTGCTTTCGTCAGGCATTGGTTAATTCAACCCAACTGTTTCTACCTTGACCCAAATCAAAATCGGACAGATGTCATGTTAATCACAGAACCTATGTGTACTTGGCCCAGGCCCAGGCCCAGCCCCGTTCCGTGGATGATATGAATCCGGGCGGGGATGGCAAAAGTGGTGAGTTGTTGTAACAAGCAATCGTGTCGACATGATGCGTGAATGTTCACGACCTTGCTCGTCTCACATACCAGATGGACCCGCAATCGATAAGTATCCAGGTGCGCCCAACTTGACATAAAGACTATCATAGGTTCGAATACTGGGGAATCCTACGAAATAAATGTTGGGGGCCAAAATATGATATCCTCACCGTTTCCTATTCGGGTACCGCCAACCTCACGCAGTATAGACTCTGCTTCACTTTTAATTATAGCTACTGTGCTGGTTTTTAAACAACACATTGTGCCTGGCGACTAGTCGTGGAGCACTTTCGGACTCTCGGACATCTTTTGCTCGGCATGAGAGCGTGCCGCCGCCCACTAGGCCCCACCCGTGAACGCCGGAATGTGGAGGGTGAGGTAGGAGCTGGACCGTCATGAACACCGGAGTGCGGTCAATGCTGTTTTAAAACATTCAGAGACCTCTCGAAGAGGAAGATCATCGGCGCTCTCACCAATACCTATGCATCAATCCTCTACACAATCACTACCATGCCGTCTCTAATCTCGCCGTACGTCCTGGGCGCCGTCGCCTTGGTGCTCTGGCTCTTCCGGCTGGTGCTCACAGCTGTGAAGTCTCCTGTCCGCTCCATCCCGGGGCCGCGGTACTCCAGGTTCACGCAGGCTGTCCTCAAGTACCACACCATACGCGGCCGGAGGATGTACTATGTGGACGACCTGCACAGCAAGTATGGTCCCATAGTCCGAATCGCACCGGATGAAACGGCCGTGTCCAGCCTCCAGGCCACTCAGATGATACACAAGGTGGGATCAGGGTTCAACAAATCATCTTTCTACGATGCGATCACCGCACAGCGCCGTGACGTTGAGCCCGGTATCTTCTCAATGAGGGGCGGGAAGCCACACGCTGCTCGGAGGAAGCTGTTTGCCAGGCCTTTCAGCCAGAACTCGTTGCAGGCGAACTGGGAGTCTGTTATCCAGAGCAAGGTACGGCTGGCCGTGAATAAGATCCGAGAAGAGGCCGGTGCCGAGGGTGAGGCGGATATCTTGAAATGGTGGACGTTGATGGCGACAGATGTTATCGCACACCTGTCTTTTGGCGAGAGCTTCCGTATGCTGGAATTGGGCAGGGTGAGTCCCAGATGCAAACGAGATCTTTCGATTACGAAGCCCTTAAGAATAATTTAGTTGCTAGCAAACGCCATTCATCGACGCGGTGCAGGCAGCTCTGATGCTGGGGGTAATCACCAGCGAGGCCCCCTTCCTGCGCTGGATCGGACCGTATATCCCGTTGAAGAGCGTCAAGAAGCTCTTCAGCGGAGAAGACCTCATCTTTGAGCACGGCTCCGTAGCCGTTCAGAACATGCGCACAGATAGTGCAAACTCGCAGAATCTCTTTGGGCAGATGCTTGCCCAGGCTGACAGCCAAGAGAAAACCGACCTCACGGACGCTACAGTAAGTGCCTCGCAAGATCTCCGAAAACGGCAAAATGTGACATCTCTTATACACACTATATAACTTCTTTTCCGCATTTGTGAGCAGTGTAACTGACAGAATGCTAGGTCCGGCAAGAAGCCACCAATTTCATCGTCGCTGGCTCCGATACCACAGCCGTGACTTTGACATACCTTGTCTGGGCAGTCCTCAAAAGACCACAGCTCCGAGCCGCCCTCGAGGAGGAAGTGGCCGCACTCAGCCCGGAGCTGCTCCCAGAGGAGCTCCAACAGGCCTCGCTTATGAACAGCATCATCGACGAGGCCCTTCGTCTCTACGGCGCCGCCCCAGGCCCGCTGCCTCGTACAGTCCCAGAGGGAGGCGCTACCTTGGGGGACCACTTCCTACCCGCTGGTACGACGGTCACGACGCATGCATACACCCTGCACCGAGACCCTGATATTTTCCCTAACCCACTTGAGTAAGTCCTTGGACGTCTTACTGTCTCTCTCTCTCTCTCTCTCTCTCTGTCTCTCTGTCTCTCTCTCTCTCTCTCTCTCTCTCTCTCTCTCTCTCTCTCTCTCTCTCTCTCTCTCTCTCTCTCTCTCTCTCTCTCTCTCTCTCTCTCTCTCTCTCTCTCTCTCTCTCTCTCTCTCTCTCTCTGTCTCTCTGTGTGCCGTGAACTAGAGGCGCTTACGCCATGTCTTTCAACATAGATTCGATGGCTGGAGGTTCGTCAAGCAGCCTATGAGCCCGGTCCAGAAGGCCGCGTTCATGCCCTTTGGAGGAGGCACTCGTATATGCATCGGTTTACACCTGGCCTACATGGAGCTTCGGCTGGCAACCGCTTTGTTCTTCAGGGAGTGCAAGGGGGCGAGACTGAGCGTAAAGACCACGGAGGACGTAATGGCGATGGCCGAGACCTTCCTCATTGCGCCCAAAGGCCACTTCTGTAATGTTGTGCTGAGTTGATCGTCCTGTCTGATAGGCCAGTCAGTGGGACCGGTGTGGCCGTTCACTCTCGAATATTGCATTGTACAACACGTACAGCCCTAGTACTATTACTTTGCATCATGGTGTCTTCCGAAGATTGCGGGCAGCTTCGAGCTTCCAGGCCATCACTCGAAATAAATCGGTACAGACCTTCTTCCAAACTGAACCTATTGTCGTCACGTCACAGCATCGGTGGAGCTGACCCGAGGACTTGATGCTCACTTGAGAATAGTGAGACCATGATGGTACTCTGCTGGAAGTTGCACATCCTGCCTGTCTTGCAAGTCACGATAAATGAATCCACGTTTCGCAACGTCTTCTGGGAGCTTAAATATGCTACATTTACTAACACTTACATCCGTAAATACCTTCCGGGGTGGACGTCAAGGAGCTGCCTCAAGATTAAGCTCCCGTTTTGCCTCCTGGTCGACATCAAGAGCTTCACATTGCACATCCTCCGCTCCATAGCGAGCATCTACCCACGCCAAAGCCAATAGTGCTGGATGCTACAGAATCCCGCACGCCGAAATGGCAGCAAAGGGACGTGCTGGCCCACTCCGTGCACCCAGGGGAGAAGAAGATCCCGAAGGAGATGCTGCCTACCTATAGAAGTAGCTTGCATGTGCGCTAGGCTGGTTACACTGGCATGGCTAATGCGAGAGAGCCGGGAATGGTTCGCGGGAGGATGCACATCCTCCAGGTGGAACACAAATAGTAGTATGCAGAGGAACTATGCCTAGTGTCTGGCTCGGTGAGCCATAGGTGAGACTGCAACACCGCAGCTTGACTAGTTGCCTAGGTCAACCCGAAAGAGTCTGCATGTTTACACGGGTGTGCTCGGCATTGAATACGTTTGTTTACTTTCTGAGCTTTCTGGCCTGTGAGGGTCCTCGAACAAAGGCACTCTTCTCCGTTGGTACTTCCAGAGGTTGCCAGGCATTCTTCCCCGAGTGCACGGTTTGGCTCGAGTCTCGACGCTTCCAGCCTCAACCTGTATGCATTGCGCCGAGTCAGCGAAAGGATGGATGGCTCCTTTTCCAGCAGATGAATCATAAATGTGATGTTGTTGCGTCACCCGGACCGAGAGTCACATTGAGAATCTGCACCTAAATTGATGAGCGAGAGAGCGTCCCATCGAATAGGCATATTTGACAGTCTTGGCGTCAACACAAGCTTTCGGTAGCTTGAGTCTGACGATCACCTGAGCCTCAGGTGTAACGACTTTACCAAGTGGCTCTTTGATACTATGTGATACGCGTCCGGCCCGAGTTTGTGTTAAAAGACACAAAATTGAATTTTGATGGGGCCAAGTTGCCCAAGAGCCGGCTCATAGTCCGCGAGAATCCGCAATTGACGAGTGTCGTACGACGTATGTGTGAACTTGATAAACAAGAGAAGGGCGTTATTCCCCGAGCACAAGGTTCACCGGCCGGCGGCAGACAAGGTTTTGAGGCGCCCGATTGACTTTGACTTTGCCGCGTTGATTGGGTCCACGTTGGTCAAAACGCGGAGAAGTGAAAAGTCGACTTGGGACGATACCTTACCCAGAGATCACCATTGGTGCGCAGTGTAAATTGAAGAAACCCGGCATCCGCTCGGCGAGAAGAATGGAAGTGATGCACGCGGAGCGTGATGGCCTGATGCTACACCACGCCAATCCGCCAGCGCTCTTGTCGGGTGTGACAGACGGTGCAAGGTGAAGGATAAGCAAGCAGCCGATTTTCGGTCTTGAGAAAACAACACGAACCATCCTTGAGTCTCCCGAGGTAAATAGGTGACCAGTCATTTACACGTGAGGAAACCCAGCGCAACGTCTGGTTTCCGCCGGCTTGGATGTTGCTCAACAGGAAACGCGGCACTCGACGGCAAAAACATGCGCGACCAATACCGAGAGTTGGCTAGATGGACTCCAACGCCGGATTTTCGAAGCAGACTAGATTGTGACACAGCCATGCGTGAACCGAATGGCATGTCGGCATGCCCTCTCACGCTGATCGTGTGTATGAGCTGGGTCGCCACATAATGCTGGAGCCAGGCAATGCCTTTCTGACTCCGACGCCGTTGCTCTGGCCAAACACGAAAACAAGAATCCGGGTCACAGTTGCAGTCGATGGCCGGCGGTCGGCACGAGAAGCTTAAGATCACCCGGGATGGCCTTGCTGTAGGGCCCAAGATCGACGACACCGGATGGACCCTGAAAGAGGCAACTCCTTGCCAAGATAGCCACTCTTAACGACGCCCCCTATTATCAGGGGCCCAAGAAACAGATGCTTCCGCCCACACCAGGCAACGGTGAGCACTGCTGAGACGAGCTTGCTGAATTCTTGTCGGCACAGCTGTAGCTCTCCATACTTGTGGCTGCGACCAAGTTGGGTCGGCTGACAAGCACGGAATGTCGGGCAGGAGTCTCGCACATTCGGGTTGTTTCTTATCACATCGCGAATGGCAGGCGCCGTTTCAGGTGGCAGCTACGAGGGGCCTTGAAGGCTACGCGAGGCTTCTCGGAGCTACTATGCGGCATCGGAAGCGTTCTAAGGCCGGTTGCCTTGACAGTAATTCAGTTCTATCGAGTCGGAGGTTTGGGACGAGACACAAACGGATGCCCAGGCGGCAGTTCTAGGCGTTTGGCGTGGTGAAACGTGAAACACCAAGCGTTCGTGCGCTTGGAAGCTCTTATCGGACGAGATTGCTGTCAGATCTGAGGCGCAAATGCGGCCAGAACCTGTTCTGGCGCGTGTGAGGTTGAAGCAGGAGCGAGGTAACGGATCAAACCTTGGAAGCTTCAAGTCGCACAATGGGTGCGTCTCCAACGGCCATTTGGAAGACGGGGTTCTCGAGACTGCGATGGCCCGTCAGTCCGTCAGCCCGTAAGCCCCGTGCCGTCGGACAGCTGCTGCTGGTTTAGCGTCAGTCCTGTCTTCCGCCGAAGTTCGCGGAATAGGAAAGAGGAAGCACAGAAGTGGTACCGAAAGGTGATCTGAGTCGCAGGTGCAACGCTGGGTCGGAGAGGTTGGAAAAGGCGATGCATATGATTTGGTGGACAGGATCCCGAGGCAGATTGCAGTGAGAGATTCTTGCCCGGCTAAGTTGACGTGCTGAGCCGCCAGGGCGCATCTGGCAGCCGCGATTGGACGGCGACTGGACGCATGGCTCTCCACCTGAGGCAGTGGACTGGCTGCCTCTCGGGCCCCTGAATGCGAAATTCATTGGTGCTGCAGGGGGTAGAGATATCAACCTTGACGATAGCGCTGGGCTCTTTATGCGTGGGAAACTTCGTCCGCCTTATTAGCAGACTACCAGACTGCAAAGAGTCATAGATTGTTGGTACATGCACATGCATATGCAGCAGGACGGGTGCCGGCACACACCAAGCCAACTAGCAACAAATAAACGTGCACAAACACGACCGCACGCCCACGCACGGCGATGGGGAATATATTGCCTTGGGTGCTGATGGTTGGATGATGGAACTCTGATTTTTCTGAGCTCGACAAGTGGCCGTGTCCATGCGCAAGAGGTGAAGGACCGACCGTGAATGAGGATGTGTCCCCGTGTGCGCAGGTGTGTGGGTTCCAGCGAACGCTCCAGGCCACGATCGTCGTCGAGGCGAGTCAAAAATAGGGTCGATGTCTCCATCTCGCCTGGCAGACAGGGCAGACAGAGGAGACGGCGTGGATGGTTCCTGACGTGCTGGATCGGAGAATTAGTCGAGGCATGTGGGCCTCGCCGGTGCTACCAAGTATATTCCGCCCGTCTCAGCAACCCATGGGCGGCGGCAGTGCAGCGTGCAAACCTGTATATCTACTACTGCAGGGTGCCCCGATCCATGTGTACATCGCAGCTTCCCTTGGTAGATGGTTATGCGCTTGAACTTGGGAGATTGCACTCCTGAGGCTCAGTCAGCCCAACATCGGGAGTGGCTTCCCGCTTGTTGCTCCTGCCTTTCGGGATGCGAGGAAGGAGCCGTTTCACTTGTCCGGATAGGGGAAGAGCAAAAGTTGGCGCACAACGCACCCACCGCCCAGGTCCCCAAGACTGGGCTAGCGCAGGTACCAGCTGCGCAGCTGCGGAAGCTGTCCAGTGCCCGCCCACCTGGAGTTCTCACCTCTTATTACCCACACCTGCCCAGGCCTTGTGTGGGTGGGTCCCAGAGTTACCATCCAACCTGCCAACCTGCCAACCCGGCTTGAGAATGCGGTGGCGACTGGCAAAGGGTGGGGGCCAGCTACAGTACTGTAATCCATTCACCTGCCACCCAACTCGAAAGCAGCAGGTGTTCAGATACTGGGCAGGAGGCAAGGACCCGGGAGATTTTCCAAGGGCAGGTCGAGCTGCAGGAGCAACGAGGTTGGGGCGCCGGGCCTTGCTTCCTGGCTCCGTCAATCAAGATCGATCTGCCAAAACCGTGCACATATCGCAATAAGAGTTCCATTCCACCCAGAGATCCTCTCTTGCCCATCACAAGCCCCAGCCGGACGGCATGCAGCTGCGTGCAGGGTGAGCTTGGATCGCCCCGTCCCAACTTGATTAGATGCCAGCCTGCCTGCGCTGCACCTCACGCTGCAAATGCTGCAAGCGGCACGCCGAGAGCACCTTTTGCGTGCCGAGCGTCAGGAGCCGAGAATGCTGGGCACAGGGATCTGCTCTCGACGTCTTCCCTACCCGGTAGACTACCAACAACAAGTACCAATCCATGTATGCCCGGTTCGTCCCTTTCTTGCGCGTTTCCCCTACAGTCTTGTGCGCGCCACCAACAAGCAAGCAAGCACCCAAGCCTGCGGGACTCCCGCCTGCATGGTCCCCGGCTCCTTGTTCTCTCTCCTTTTTCGCTCGGAGCTGAAGAATTATCATGATGGATAGGAGGACGGGGGAGAGAGATGGGCGGGTTGGGCAGGGCGGCGGCAGCAGCACCTGCCTCATGAGGGCATCGACAAAGAGCCCAGGAAACCAACAGACAAACTGCGCGGTTGGACTTTGTCCATACCACCGCCGTGCTCGCCCGCCCCGCTTTCATGTCTGCTCCATAATAACAGTAGCTGCTCTATTCCGAGTTCTCGACTCAACCCGCCCCTGTCTCGGCGCCCACGCACAGCCTCGGGATTGGATCGTTCAACAGCGTGTCGTTTCATCTCCATCGGCCTTGACACCCACTCTCAATTTCCCAATCAAGAGCCGCCACAACCTCCCCTGTCACCACCCGCTACGTATCTACACTGCGATGTCGCCACGGTAGACTAAGTATTTTATTTTTCCCTCCCCGGAACCACTCTTTTTCAGATCGGAGATGTCCCACTACCACTGCCCACACGCGCCGGGATCAGGGATGACCTCTATTCCCACCTTCGCGTGGCATGTGCCGGCATGGGCCAGCTGCAGGGTGGGTCCCCATTCCCGTGTCGACGCTTGCCCACCAACCTCCCCCCCGGGCGCTTCCCCTATCTACCCTTCCCTGTATCCAGAATAAAAACCCATGTTGACCCAGTTGCGGTCCCTTCTACTGCTCCCAGCCTGTTATTATTGATACCTTCGTTTTCCCTGCTTCGCCTGCTGAGCAACGGCACCTTTCTTCACAAGCTTACCTCTCCACATTCTTTTCTATTTCACCCCGTTGCCCTGGTCATATCAGATCGCCAAACTCTTTGCCACTCTTTCCTTCTCTCAGAGCCACGGGGTCATATATATATACATACACACATATATATACACAAACCCTTCGAGCTTCCTGTTGGCCCACGCGTAGCAAGTCTACTACACTGGCCTTCACCGATATACGAAACATCTCTTCTGTATCTTACTGGCTCATCTCGGCCTGCCATCATCGCCAAGCTCTGTAGACCCACAGTCCGGAACAAGAGCCAAAGAGACACTCGTCCAACATGCGTGTCCAAGCAGCAACCTTCGCGGCCGCAGTGCTTCCCGCACTTGTGGCCGCTGTCGAAGCCCCCACATTAAACGGTCTGAACCTCATCTGGTCCGATTCCTTTGCTGGGAAGGCCGGTGACGCTGTGGACACTTCCAAGTGGGATATTGCTCAAGGTGGGTTGATCTTTTCCTGTCTTTTACTCACAGGCTAGGACAGCCTGTTTCTCCCTTTCATTGAGGTACTGGTTACTGACAAGACATTTAGCTATCGACACCAACCAGGAGCTCCAAAGTTACACCGACGCAAGCTCTAACTTGCAAATTTCCGGCGGCGGCACAGTTCAATTCGTCCCTGTGAAGTCTTCATCAGGACACTGGACCTCGGGGCGCATTGAGTCCAAGGCAACATGGACGCCACAGCCCGGGAAGATTATGCAAGTCGAGGCGTCTGCACGACTCGGCGACGCACAAGCAGCGCAAGCTCAGGGGATGTGGCCAGCGATATGGATGATGGGAGACAGCATCCACCACGGAACGCAGTGGCCAGCCTGCGGTGAGATCGACATCTTCGAGACGGTGAACAAGGCCGGCGCAGCCTATGGCACCTTGCACTGCACTGCTTCAGCATGCCGCCCCAATGGAGCCGAAGGCCTCCAGGGAAGCACAGCTATCGATAATGACTGGCACTCGTATGCTGTCAAGATTGACAGGACAAGCAACGACTGGAACACCGAGTCGATCTCATTCATGAAGGACGGCGTGTCTTATTTCACCGTCACCGGCGCAGCCATCGGCGACGAGGCTGTCTGGGGTACGCTGGCTCACTCACCGCTGTACCTTATCATGAATGTTGCAGTGGGCGGTACATGGCCAGGTGACCCCAACGCAGACAGCCTGGCTGGGTATGGCAACATGCTCGAGGTCGAGTACGCTGCCGTCTACTCCAGCTAGGAACTCGCCGACTCTTCACCTGGCGAAAATAGCGGCGCTCTCACTCCCGTTCCTACCGAGGCAGCACCCAGCCCTTCCGATTCCAGTCTTCCAATCTCACCACTTTCAACTTCTTCGTCTACTTCTTTACCGCCATCTCCCGCTGGCACAACAAGTTTGAGCCTGTCAGCCTCACCAATGAGCACCAACGTCGCTACTCCGTCGAGTGAGGGGTCAACGCCTGCAACGGCGACTCCCACGGTTACTGTGCTCCCGCTGCCCAATGGCAATAGCGGGAACTTCACTATGGATCCTCCCACTGGGAACAACAACTCGAATCCGACTTACATTCCTGGCGTGAACGGTCTCGGCTCAGTTTCAGCTAGCCTAAGAGCCGTACGGCCAGATTTCGGCTTCGGTCCCATTTTGAGATGGATGAGAGGGGGGAACGCGGCCTTTGCGCTGCTTCCTTCCTCGTCAAACCACAAAAGTCTGGGTCTCCAAGACAGACACAAGTTCGACACACAGTCTTTACCACTTGATCGGGCGCATGGTGACACAATTTCGCTTTGGGAAACATTAGACAAAACATGGAGAGCGGCTTGGGACAATGGTCTTGGATCCGGGCGCGCACAGACGGCGTCTATGTCATTCTTCTCTGACACATTTTTTGGGCTGTTCTCTACGGTTCTTCGGCTGGCACTGCCCGCGTTGCCGTACCTTCTCGTGCGACAAATATTATGAGCGACGACCAACTGAATTTGGATATACCTCTCTTGCTACTACCCAGATAGATACTACTTCTACTGTACATACATTTAGTGACTATTCAGCAACTAGATACCATTCACATCGTTGCCTTCTACTTGGAACATTCTCTCCTGATCTGACGTGATTTCGCATGGAATACATACCATCTGAGACAGCTTCGGGGTCTGATCGAGACGATCAGTGATATTTCCGAAGTGAGACGGTGGCTGAACCTGCCTCCTACATGCCGCAATGGACTAGAGCCTCTATGAACCTCCAGATGTCTGGGCATTAGCTAGAGAATCTCAAAGACTCATAAGATTTACTGGTGATCATTGTAATTCTCGATGGTCTATAAAATTGAGGCAATTTCCACAAGTCTATGCTGCCTTCCCCATCGTTGGCTATTTCGCAGGACCATTGCTGTAGCGGCTTACGCATGTCTCTGCTTGCTGGACTTTCACCTCGAGAAGGAAATCCGCGACCTCGGTGAGCTCCGCGTTGGTTTTCTATTGGTCTCGTTTTTTATCTGTACACATATGCTTCTTAAGCAATTGTCTATAGTAAATGACCGAGTAGCTGGTAGCTTGAAAGGGAAAGGAATAATCGGACGTGACAAGGATTCTGTGAATTACGAGCCTGCTTACAAAAGCGCTCACAGCCCTGCGGGCCTTTTTGTGCTTTGGACCTCGCGGCCCTCCGAGAGCTTCCATGCAAAGGAAACGCCGACTCAACTTCAATTGACGTATCGAGGGCAGCCGCTACTGTCTCTGAATCCCTTTCATGACATATTGAATCTAATGAGTTCATTTTATTATTTTCAGGATCCGTAGCGTTGGGAAATCTACTTCATTTTATGATTCAAATATCCTTTTCCATCTACAATCTAACAAGTCAAGTGATTTAAACTATGTTATCTTTGCTGCCTGGCTGTATGATAGCCGGCCTGAACCTTCTCTCGATTACGTATCTCTATCAGGATAGTGACACATCATCACAAGACCTAAGTAAAGTCTTTGGGAACTTGTTATACGTCTTGTAGTTGTTGACATGAAAGTGGCCAATATCATTGTAACGATCTACCGGAGTAGCGGTCTCGCTCATATTTCAGGCAGTGGATACAGAGGCGGCCCTCTAGACACAAGATGGTTCGATCATGTACGCAGAGGTGACTATGTCTACATCAAATTCTGCTACATATTCTCCCCCAAAATCGGAATGCTCTCGTTCATATTAGGAGTTTGATGGGTCTAAAAAAAAGATTTTCAGCAAAGGTTAGATTTTCGACGGAGTGCTTGTCGGAACTCAGAAGCATCCACGAGGGAGGCAAACCGCGTGTCTACATGTCTTCACCCATTTTCAAGGCTCTGAAGACACTTTTGTGTCCTTCTTGTTCCAAAGCTCGTGAGAGAAGCATCCCCGATGCCTGTCCCATCTACAAGTAGGCTACATTAGCTTACGGTGGAATTAAAAAGCCCGAAACCCACTAGAATCTATTCAGATGGCTCATGGGGGCCATGCAACACCTCCAGGTGGTGTGCCTCAGTCGAAGATGCAGGACGATAAACTTTGGTTATAGGAAGAAGGAACTCAATAGTCGCGATTTGCACCTCAGCTCTCATGCCTTGTTATGTGGTCAGCTTCCTGACAAAACTCCAATCAGAGATCAAGAAGAGGATCACATACACCTGCAATAACATTCACTATATAGCAATACATTTGCATACTACCTAACATGTGCTTGGATGAGGGTATTCAGCCCGGGGACGGTAGTGTCCATTTGAGGTTATAAAATGTTGCTTGCAACCATATGTGTAGTCATGCCCACCTTAAGGCTTACGGCCTCAATATGTCTACTTTGTATAATTGGCTTGGCGTCTCGTGGGATCTGTAAGCATTGCAGCTTAGTTACTCCTTTGGAACACGAGGTTTTGCAACCTCAACTGTGGGGGCTGTCTGCCGTAGTAGCCTTGTCAACTAGAACATCGGAAACAGTGATTCATTACTGGGAGACAAAATATATAAAGCCCTCATTCTCGTACGACCAAAACCAACATGAAGAGGCTTCAGCATCATCACCGACTTCCACAGGTCTTCCCCACTGCTTCAAATTGAATACACTCACCAGTTCACCATGGTTTCTCTAAGACTTCTGTTTCTAGGAGCTGTTGCTCCGGGCATGATTGCTGCTCTTCCTAGCAACTTTGCCGAGAATGTTGCCCGAGCAGACTACCCGGAGTTTGTGCCACTTCCAGGGTTTCCTTCATTGGCCGAGCTCAATCTCACAACTGAGATGTTGCATGCTCCGCCGAAGCTCCTCCCCGGTATGACAGCTCTTCGCATTACCGAGTAGCTACGACAACAAAACCTTGGCTGACAAATTCACGTTCAGTCCCTGAGGGGTACAAAGGACCGGCGTCCATCTCCGGCGACTTTGCTATTGAATACGTCGATCAGTGCGGCCCCGGCGGCGGCGGTTCTGGCACCCTGCTAACCGCAAACGTGGACGATGTGATTGTGTGCTTCAACTTCCTCGTTGCGCTTGGCAATTATCTCATCACCGTCAGTACTAGTGATCAGATTAGTGGGGTACCAGGCTTTCGCCAAGTTGCGACCTACAACAGTGCTATCGTTATAGCACATTTACTCAATGTACAGTCTACGGCATCCACTGCCTATGATGTCGCCCTCGGAGTACAATGGGTCTTCACCAACTGCAACAACGGTGGCCAAGTTGCTGGTGAGTCTCACATAGGCATCCTCAACCATATGTTTGTTGCTGCTCACACGAGAAAATCGTCACAGGATCGGCTGCTGCACGCGGCAATGGTGATCTTGTGGTCCAGTCAAGTGGCTACTACCACTGATTGCGTGTATCATAAGTTACTCACTCGTTGGTGGAGCATGGCGCTGATGGGGGTCAATGGTTGATAGCAAAAGCCTTGGGAGATGACGGGGCCAATTCCGAAAATGCAACGATAGGAGGCTCATCCGGCCCCACGCCTTTCTTCTTGGCGACTCTCCTACAACGAATAGTAGTCAATGTAGACAATTTGATATTCGCAACTCGAATCGTGGCATTTCTTTTCACCGTGTTCGTTAATGCAAAATTGTTGACTTACTTTATTTCTCAGACCAATACAGTAAATCCAGGCATGGTCTTGCTCTTATGACTTCAGGTCGGGCAAGGACTTGGACTTCGAAATTGAACCCCGAAGGTGACCCAGGAGATACGCATGTGACGGCGTTCTGGTTCTGCGGTGTCAAACTCAATCACCCATGCCATCATATGCCTTTGTCATGGCAGGCCGGCCTGACCCATTACCTCGCCCAGCTGGACAAGCGTCTTCTCGTAGACCCTCGCCACGTCCATGTAAAGCTCATCGTCAGGGTCTTCCCAATTCGGGTCGACGAACCCACTGCTCTCCGCTGCGCTGTAGTTGCCCTCCGTGTCCGTCTCGGCTTCTGTGATCTCCTTCTCCGTGTCGTCTTCGGTCTCGCTCTCATCACTGCCGCCGTTCTCGTCGGGTTGCTTGCTCATGACGTCCACTATGACCACGCGCGTCTGCTCCACGATGCTCTTGCAACGCACCATGTCGGTTTTACTTATCACCCCTCGGATGCCGTTCTCAAAGCCAGGGAGCGTCTCTTTGGAATCGACGTCTTGGCCGGCTAAGAGGCTGGCAAAGCAATAGTCGAGCTTGTTCAGGATCGTGAACAGGGGCTCAGGTTGCGGCGGGAATTTGATGACCCATTCTGTGAACTCGTGCGCGATGTTCAGGAGGTAGGGGATTTGGAGCGCGGCTGCGAACAGGAGCAAAGTTAGCCATACACACGGAGCACTTCGGGCAAGCAGACAACCTCACGCGTGCCCGATAGCCATATTATGTCCAACAGCGCCTCAACGTCCTTGCAAAGCTCCCCGACGGTCTTGTAACCCACGATGTCGTCGCCCGGTTTGGCGACCACAGATTTCTTGACAAAGCGTCTTTGTATGTGCATCAGCTGGTTGTCGACATACGCGCGAATGGTCTGCTCCTTGGCCGACCCTGAGCGCAAGGGGTGGGACCTGGGGTGTGGCAGGCCGGATGCAGGGCGCGTCGAGGATCCGCTGGGCGCGGGCGAGGGGAGAGGTTGCTGTTTGAGGAAGCCTCCCGGGCCAGGGGAGTTGGACGTGTCAGCCATTCTCGATTCTGATTGATAGGTTGCTATGTCGTATCTCGGGTCTCCATTGCATTTTCCGGGTTTCGGCGTTGTAAAGTTGTTCGTCGTGATCGCAATTGGGCGCAGCCCCCAAGAGCTGGGCCTGGTTGACGGATGACGTTGGTGGAGCTGGCCCACCCAAGCTCCTCGAGCCGCAGGCGGGCGGGAGACTTTCCGCGGCTCGTTAGCGCCAAAAATCCCACCACGTACTGACGTCGGCTCCCCGTCGACTTTTCGCAGCCAAATCTTTCTCCTCTCGCTCACACTGTCGCAAAACCCACAGCATCAAGACAAGCAACAGCCAAGATGCCGCCCAAGAAGGTCTACGTCCAGCCCGCGAGCTCCCGCCGCCAGCCGAAGGGCTTTTTCGCGTCCACCTACGACTCCCTGACGTCGCCCGAGAACTCCTCCATGGTCAAGGCCATCGCTTCGTTCGGCGTGAGTTTGACGTCCTCCTGCAATGCTTCCACCTGCTTGTGTCTCGGTCGGAATGCTAACTTGCTCTTTAGGTCGGCGTCACTTTCCTGGCAAGCTCGTGGGGCGAGTTCCTGCTTCCTCCGTAAGATACAATCCTCCCAAAGGCTGTCACGCCCGACGCCCGCCGAGCAACAAAAGAAGGATATGGTCATTAGATGCTGACTTTCTGCCTAATCCGCAGACAATAAATCAACTGCCCGACGAGTTTGGACCTTGCGCGACCTGATGCAGGGAGGGAATGGATACCTGGATATGACCGAAACCCAGGATGTACAACAAGAGGGACCGTTACGACTGTACATTACACTACGACACGATGCCGCCACGAGCAGGTAGATGGCTGGGAAAAGGAAGACGTCAGCCAGATTAAGTCTTGACCGATGAGAGCCTTTGGCGGTGGCCCCTGGATGAGAATTACCTCTACGAATCTCCAATACCGTGAAACAACACACTTTCTCGCCTCTCCCTGCTGCGTGATGTAGTACGTACCGGCTCGACGACAGAGGTCCTGTCCCTCCTTAACGAAGGCAGGCTCTGGAAAGGAATCGGTGTCTGCCGGTCTTTTACGCTCACTCAGCTCTCCACGTTGGACACCGAAGATGTTGCTAGGGATGCATTGAGTACACCAGATTCGTCGGCTGAGGGATGAGAGGACTGAAGGTGGCCGAATCTTGATCAAATTTTGCCCGAATACGCCTCTGCGGCCGGCAACAGGGGCTTGTCTACTGCGGAATGTCCGACAAATTGAGTAAGGGCAGCCTCGGATCAGGTCAATGTATGAGCGGTATTTTGGACTAGCCTTCATCACCAGAATTACATTACTCCACTCCAAATCTTCAAGCCCTTTTCCTGGAACGCCAGACCTCGCCTGCCCTCCACAAATTACCACCTACTACAATTACGAGATACTGTCCGGAATGACATGGCTCATCAAGTCATGATTGTCCGTGTAGTCGATCACCACATCCACGACGCAGACACCCTCGTAAGCCAGTGCCTCCTTCATGACCGCCTCGATTTCGGCGGAGCTCGTTGCTCTCAGCCCCTTCGCACCGAACGCCTCAGCGTACTTGACAAAGTCCACGCCGCCTAGATCAACGCCCTGTGACAATGTTAGTGACTTGTTCGGAAGACCTGGTAGTAAAAAGGGACTAGAGATCGTGGCAGAATATTGACTTACCGCACTACGGCCGTATTTCTCGACCTCTTGGAACTCGACCATGTTGTACTTCCCGTCATTCCAGATGAAATGGGTGATATTGCATCCCTGCTGCACGGCCGTGGCCAGCTCCTGACTACTGTACATGAACCCGCCGTCGCCCGAGACGCTGACGACCTTCTGCGACGGGCCGTGGACGAGCGACGCGCCGATGGCCCACGGCAGGGCGACCCCCAGTGTCTGCTGAGCGTTGGAGACCAGGAACGTCTTGGGGTTGTACGAGTAGAAGAATCGGCTGAGCCAGATATAATGCGAACCGACGTCAGAGATGACCGTCGTCTGCGGAGAGATCATGCGCTGGAGCAGCCGGGTGAAGTGGAGCGGGTGCACGGGGCCGGAGCTGTCGAGACTCCCCAGGGCTTTGTCACTGTTCTCCCACTCGTGGAAGGTCTCGTATATGGATTTGCCTGTTTCCGTCTCCTGTGGGCGGGCTACCTTGTTGAGGCTGTCTGTTAGTGCGATGAGGTTATCCGGCATTGACCCAATGAGTTCCAGCTTAGGGCTGTAGGAGAGGCTCATAGCCGCCTGGTTAGTGTCCATGTGGATGATAGGAAGTCTGCCTGAGCTGTTCCACCCGTCGGCGTCGTACTCGGCCTGGTCGTAGCCAACAGTAATAACCAGATCAGAGTGCGCCATCATCTTATCTCCTGGCTGGTTGCGGAACAGGCCGATGCGGCCATAGAAGAGGTGGACCAGCTCCTGAGATATAGCTCCTGCAGCCTGGAAGGTCTCGACGACCGGGATCGGGTGCTTGCGCAGGAACCCATGGACGGCTGCTATCACCTTGGGGTCCGCCGCACGCATCCCCAGGAACAGGACAGGGAACTTGGCCGCCTCGATGAGCTTGACGGCTTCGGCGAGGGACTTCTGGGACGACGGCCCATAGTCCGGCGGGTCGTATGCGTGTGGAGGTGCAGCCGGGATCAAAGACTTATGACCGGCCGTCATAACGTCAATCGGCAGGCTCACGACCGTTGCCCCCTGCGGGCTCGCCGAGGCAACCCGGAATGCATCGAGCATGATCTCTGACACCTGGTCCTCGACGACCGCGGCGGTGACCTTCTTGGTGACTGGCCTGAGCAGGGCGACGGCCTGTAGGCTCTGGTGCGTGCGCTTAGCAGCCTGAACCCGCTTGACGCTGCCCACGATGGCGACGACGGGTGCTCCTTCGTCGTTGGCCGTCACCAGGCCTGTGACAAGGTTGCTCGTTCCGGGGCCTGAGGTGGCGATGCATACTCCTGGCTTCCCTGTGATCTTGCCGATGGCGCCGGCGATGAATGCTGCATTCTGCTCGTGGCGGCAGACGATGAGCTTGATCTCGGGCTGGTCGACCAGGGCGTTGAACACGGAGTCCTGAAATTGGTTAGACAAGTGTTCCCAAGGACACGACAATCAAGAGGCTATTTGGTAGAGAATGAACCTCGAAAGATTCAAGCCACTCACAATCTTTGCTCCAGGAACGCCAAAGACGTACTTGACGCCGGCGTTGATAAGAGACTGGACCACAATGTCCACTGTTTCCGTACCTGAAGCCATTGCGATCAAGAGACTAGAGGAGCTCACAACTCAACTGCCTTGGAGTGAATCACGACTCTCAAATAGTCCGTCCTGTACAGTCCTAGAATTGAACTGCTGGGGCTGATTCCAACGGCAACGAGCAAGGCGTTATTAGTTGGGCTGGAAGCTTCGGGGCCGTCGTCATGATGTTGGTATCCAGGACCTGACTAAAGTTCCCGCATTAGGCCCGCCCTATCCGCCAACCGACGTCACCCTGATTCCCTCCCGAGTCCATCCGCGGACGTCGTACAACTGCAGTGCCCACTTGCCCCTCAGCTGCTCTGCCAGCACCCAGACAGCCAAGTTGTGCCCTTTTCCCACGCACATTTCAGCAGAGAGTGCCCAGGTGTTGTCCCACGAGAGACGAGGTCGAGAGAGGCTAGGGTTGCACCTTCCTCCCGGAGCTACCGTAGGGCTGCAGGAGTTAGCTGCGAGGGCGCACTGACCAGGCTCTATTTCGACGACGCCCGCCAGGTGATCGACTCAACGTCACCACTCCCTGAAAAGCAGCCACCACAAGCCAGCCAGTCAAGATGGCACCCAACGAGCTCTTCCAGTACTCGGTGGTGAACGCCCTGATGGATGGTGTGGCCAACAAAGGCCTGTTGATCTCGACCCTCCTCCAGCAAGGCGACCACGGCATCGGGACGTTCCGCCACATGGTCGGCGAGCTGATAATCGTCGACGGTGTCGCCTACCAGATGAAGTCGGACGGTTCTGTCACATCGGTGGACACAAGCCTGGACTCCTCAGTCGTCGCTCCCTTCGCCATGGCCACTCACTTCGAGACGACCCACAAAACCACAGCCGTCCTAGCGGACAAGGCTGACCTCTTCGGCCTCCTGTCCTTCTTGCTACCTGAGGCCCACAACCTCTACCTTGCCGTCCGCATCACGGGCGTCTTCAAGAGCGTCACCGTGCGCACCGTGGGCGGCCAGTCCAAGCCCCACGAGGGCCTCGCCGAGGTGGGCAAGCACCAGACCTCTCACGCGTTCGAGGAGCCCATGGAGGGCGTCATCATAGGGTTCCGCTCGCCAGACTATATGCAAGGCGTCAGCGTTGCCGGCGATCACTTGCATTTCCTCAGCAAGGACAGGACGAGAGGAGGGCACCTACTGGGGCTGGCTTCGGAGGGCGAGGTCGATGTTGAGGTGGCTCCGATTTCCAAGTTCCACCTGGAGCTGCCTGTGCACGACGAGGACTTCAACGAGGCCGGGCTGAAGGGCGACGGGGCAGGGATTGCTGCCGTGGAAGGCTGAGGGCAGGGCTTCGTGCGAGCGGGTGGGACTATTTCACGGCGGCTACGCATCTACTCTGGCCAAGAGGCCTGTCTACTGTCAGGAGCGAGGCTACTTTGGTCACATAAACCGATAGTTACGCCCGTTCGAACGGCAAAGAAGAAAGCATATCACACTTGTTCACGGTTCACGTCACGTCGCACTTCTGGTCTTCTTCCACCCCGGAAACGGTCGACTTGATTACTTGGGGGCTTCCCACCCCCCCCCCCCCCCACGGACACACACGCAAACTAGAAAAACAGAAAAAAGAAAACCCTCAGGTCAGTCGGTCGGTCGGTCGGTCGCCCGATCATTGGCCGGGCCGCCGGTCGTTCTTGTAGACCAACTTCTTGGCCTTGGTCTCGCAGGCCGCGTGGGTCCTGCTCAGAGCCTAGTATAGCCGCGTTAGTAGGTGTTTGTGCGTCTAAGAATCGCAGATCAATGTATAGATAACACATACCCGACTGATCTGGCCGAAGCTCTCGCCGGCTTTGCGGCGAGCCTTCAGCTCGTCCACCTCGGCCTCGGTCCAGGGCTGAAAGCAAAGACTATGTCAGCTCATGTCCGCTATTGTAAGAGACAACCTCGATTATAGACTCACGCGACGGGCAGGTTGGGCCGGCTGGGTGGCGGCGGCAGGAGCGGCGGCGGCAGGGGCAGGAGCGGGAGCGGCGGCGGCGGCGATAGCAGCAGCAGGAGGAGGAGGAGGAGGGAGGAGACGAGGGTCGATGGCCTCGTTGGGCACGGCTGTGGCGGGGCCGGCCCGGGCGACCGCAAGGTCGTCGTCGTTGTTGTTGTTGTTGCTGTTGTTGCTGCTGCTGCTGCTGGCGGCGATGGTGGTAGCGGTGGCGGCGGCCGCAGCAGGAGTTGCCCGCATGTCGCGGGTGGCATAGAATCTATACAGTCCAGGTTAGTCAGTTTATTTCGTCTGTTACCTTCTCGCGCTGAGATACTCTCCGCAGGGAATGGATGTCCTCGAGGAAACTTGAAGGATTTACTTACGCCCGCTGGTCATAACCCGGGGGCGGCGGGTAGAGGCATTGCCCCTCCTATAAGGCGAAATTCCCATTAGTTGTCTTGTTTCTTCTTCATAGGTATATGGAGGTGATTGACTTACGTGCTCGAGCTCCTCTTGGGAGAGTTGGTTGGCCATCTTGACTGTTGATGGTCCTTGGTCAAAGGAAGAAGGTCAGGCGAAGTTCGACTTTTTCGACTCCTGGGTTTTAAGCTGAGTCCCCCTTCGGGGTTGCGTCTCGGGGTTGCGTTCAGGCCAAGTGCTGGCAGCGACATAGGTACCTACCCTCGTGGGTGGTAATTACTAGCTCACATCCCCGTCGGTGGGGCCACGACTTGATGGACTGGTTTGTGACGAGCTGGGCGGCTCTCTCTTGTGGAGGACGACGGAGTCACGAAGGAGAGAGGCATTTGGATCCTCTGGGAGGGCAGTGCGGACTAGCAATACGATCTATTCCTCAACTCACTACAGCAACAGCTCGAGGAGACTTCACATTCACTCCTCTATAAGTTGACTTTCTCTCCTCTGCGTCTGTATCAACTCAGGCAGCTACTTCGGGAGGACCAACGCGGACCACAATGCTCTGAAATGTTGCATGACATGAGGGTGCCATGTCCACAGAGTTGTTCTGATGGTAGGGCCGCACTCATGCGCACGTGCAGAGGTAAGACTGCTCTTCAAATACTGGAGAGAAATTCGCCACGAGTTTGGGAACACCAGACGACACTCAGGCGGACGTCCGGTGTGGCATTCTAGACCTGGCAGTTCAGCCGAATCAACTCATGGAGCCATCATAGCACACACAAATGGAAGTGCTTTGAGAATTAGCCCTATATTCTGGTCGATGCCTTCAGTGGGCTAGTAGCCTGCCCATGAGCTGACAGCCTACCCATGTATGCATTTAGACATGCTAGACATTTACTCCCTGCCAAGAATTGAAGCTCAAGTTGGCTTCCACAACCTCATCGAGGATGTTGGCGAATATTCATCATCTGCACAGCTTCCATGCATAGCATGACATGCATGCTGGGCAAGCTGCCGGCGAATATCTGATTGCCGAGGTGGCTTAGACATTTGGCTGTGGGCTATCAGGCTTCATCCTGTTTCGGACCTCAACCTGTTGGGCCCTGGACTCCTGCACCTGATCGTCGACAAGGAGGGCGTTCTGAGCGCTTCTTGAAAGTTTGGTCAGGGAGCTAGCGAAGGGAGCCATTACTCAGACACCAACTCATAGCTTGCGAATAAATCAGTGAACTTGCATTCATACTTGACCACGGCATGTGCGTTCACTCTAACCTATACTGCATTGTCAAGGCTTGGGGTTCTTTGTCTGCATGAAGAAGATCACCGGTATGAATCCCAGGCACCGCCAGATCCCAATTATATCTATTCTGATATTTAGATCAGACGATAAGGTGAGGTTTAGACCTGCTTGGGGTTGAGACGAAAAGGAGATTCAATCTACCACTGTTCGTCCCATATTCTGCTTTGTAATTCTGCAAATCCTATGCGGGCCTAGGCTGTCGTCTGGAAAACGCTCCACTGTGCATATGAGCAGAGATCAGGTAAGCTGCAAGGGAGCAGATTTAAGAGGCGGTATGAGCTATGCTCACGAAACGCGCGCAAATGGGCTAGAGCAATTAGCTACGCCGCGCAGTATCTGTGGGTGGCACAGCTACTATGGACGTGAAATTCTTCGATTATGTTACATTGATTAGTGTGCATCTTGTGGTGATAATCTTCTCTATAGTTGAAAGTGCAGTAAGGGACTAGAGTAGAAGTGCCACAGGCGCAGGAAAAGGAGAGCCGTATGAGTAAGGGAGAGGAATGGGCTTCCGAACCTCGATCCCCGCAGAATTGGTGTTATCGATGCAGTATTGTCTTACCGGAGTGTGATGCCCATGGCAGATATGCAGTGCAAATGGTGTAAGCTGAAAACCCCCCAAATCTTTTTTCCATATGCAGGTAAGTGATTTGAAAACACTGGTCAACGCCGATAATACTAACCCCCAGCGATCGACACTGAGATGTCTTAATGTTGGCTCCTAAGATTTGGTTTGAATGAGGTTCGTAGTTGAAATAGAGTCGCTGCTCAAAAGACTCAAAAGACTGAAGTCAAAAATAATGACCTAGGGCGTGTGTTTGACATTGAAAACCTGTATTAAATAGAGTTCGGTATGACTAGGTATCTGTAACTCTATAGCATCGTTTCCCAGGCAATCTCCATATGCCGGCATGTATTCATCGTGCTATACACTCGCAAGGAGGCAGCCACCAATAGAATTTCTCAGATATAGAACTTGGAAGCGAATGTACGACCCCAAGATCGTGAACCAGGCCCTGATGATTACAGATCTCATTCGCTAACTAGATCGGAATGCCCACTCCAACCACCATTACACTTTCAATGACTACAGCGGATAAGGTTCTTGGCAGTGCCGTACCCTGCTAACACCATCCACCGAGAGCAACTGCTCTATAATGCGCGTTCGGGCTGGTCCTCCCCTACAAGGCCGCCACGGCATACAAGCCAGGTTGATTGATACACAAGCGATGAATACAATAGTTCCACATTTCTTGATACGAATACGACCTGCCTTCCTATATGCTCTGGCGATAGCGAGGTGATCTACATCAGCTTGTGCCGGAATGGCGTACGCCAGTGCCCGGGCAAGAGTTCAAGGTTATGGAGAACAAAGTTTCGCTTGCGACCCCAGGCAAGCTTATACGGCTGAGTGACCTTATCCGTAGATGGAACGGGAGATAGATCATCGCATAGATATGATCGACAGAGAGTGAGTGGGTAAGAACTCTTAAGCTCGGATGATCAGTAACAACTGACTAGACCGACAGTCAAACTGGTCTCGTTATCCGGTGCCAATTCAACTATCTTGCGGCTGAAGCCTTGTTGGAGTGCCCACTAATTCGGAACGTGCACGGAACGCATTTAAACCCCGCAGAATACCCGAAACCTTGTTCAATGTTGGCAGGAAGCTTTTTTACAAATCGCAAGCTGTCCCACTCGCTCCTCATACCTTGGAAGGACCATCATCATAGTCCACCAACCCTCATGAAGTGCCAATCCGCGGGAAGCCCAATTGCTTGCGACAGCATCACGAGTGGGATATGATTGAGACCAAGTTCCGAGGTCGCTTCCTCTCCGACCACCGCGGATGATGGCCGTCATGAGTACGACGGCGGCCGCGGCATCCACCAGCAGAAGCTCAGACGCTCCGACTCGTACAGGCGCCGTCAGACCTCCGCTCGGAGTCACCCCAGACTTCGACGACCCCCCTGATGCTGGACATGATGTCGCTTTCTTTGTGACCATCATTAGTACCGTCCTGATCTTCGGCCTCTTCCTGGTGCGAGGCTATGTCAGGACGGTCATTCTCCGACAAGTCACCACAGAAGACGGTAGGTTGTGCGACCACCCAACGGGCCAAAGAGCGTCTGAACGATCAGCACCGGCTGATCAAAACTTTCCCAGTGACTTTCTTGATCTCAATCGTGTGTACAGATTCGACGCCATGGAGCAGTCAAGAGGATGAAATATATTGACTGAGTCCCTCAGATCTTTATGGCAGCATTTCTTGCAGTGACACATATCAGTGAGTGAGATCCTTCTAGATGGATATACGTTTCGTGGATATCGCGTCTGACAAGTAAATGAACAAAAGTGTTAGCTAAAGGAGCGGGGCACCATGCCTGGGATCTTACTACAGAGCAGTATGGAGTCCTCATGAAGGTTTGTGGAGCCCAGGGCGTCTTCTTCGTACTCAGACATTGGGCGAATAAAGGAAGCAGGAACCCACACTAACCTCAAGCCGCTCACAATAGTGGCTCTATATCACTAGTGTGTTCTACTGCCCAGCTGCCTATTTCATCAAGGTAACCCTTCTGCTTCTGACAGCTAGGGTTTTCGCCGTCTACGAGCGAGTGGCGAAGGCAATCAAGTGGTTCATCGTGCTACTTGCGATTGCGTATATCCCAATCCAGTTCATAAAAATGTTCGTGTGTATTCCTGTCGAGTCATTCTGGAATCCCAGCATCAAGCCGACGAGGTGTCTCAGCCAGGCGAAAGCATTCATTTTCGACCTCTCTTTAGCGATACTGACCGACTCCATCATCCTCATCATCCCCATCATATTGACATGGCGCCTCACCATGCCCCTGGCTGAGAGGCTCAAGATCGCGGCGATACTTGGAGCGGGAGGCGTGGCGCTGGGGGTTACTACGTTTAGGATGTACCTTCTGTCCACATACCTGGTGACAGAGGATGTGACATCGAAGTTTGTCTACTTGGACATCACAGTGTGAGTCTACCAACTGCTTGTGCGCAGACGACATACATCATCTGTACTGACAAGTGTAGGATCACGGAACTCACTATAGGATTCATATGCGCCTCTGTGCCGTCCTGCAACATCCTACTGGGAAATTTAAAATCGGCTTGCAGACGGCGGCAAGAGAGCCCATCCATACCTATGCAAGATGAACGCCACTGGAGAAGCAGCAAACACTGGTGGGACAATTGGGTAACAAGCGAGAGGTGGACTACGCTTCCACGGTCGAATGGATTACGCAGTGGGCAGTAAGTTGAGCGAGCCGCGTCCCAGAGAGCCATGCCAGTCTAACTCAAACCTTGGCGGAGGTCACTAACACGTTGGCACAATAGGACAAGCAATACTATCTACCGGGATGGCACGCGGGGAAGAAGGTCGCCGATTACGGTGCCAAAATCAATGTGTAATCATACTCGCCGGAATATGGCATGCACGAGTCGGCATTCAGCGCAGGACTGCTCACGGGAGGACCGCCAGCTCCAGAAGTAGAAAGGGGGCATGTGCCACCCCAGCCACGAATGCGGCGCGCATCCTAATCTTCTGGAACGACGCAGGGACTTCTAGGTGGCCCCATACTGTCGTATGGACGTCTTGTCCGGCAATGGATTCTCCCTGCGAAGGGCTCGTGTTGTTATCCTGGGCTGTCGTTTTGCCATCGATACGGGCAGGCTGATCCGGCCAGGGAGCTGTGGCAGTGGGCAGTGGCGTGAGTGGGTGAGTTCCCTCAGTTGAGGTTACACGGGGACTACTATATTTGAGATCTGATATAACGGACTGTCAGATCCCGTCTATTGTGGGCCCCAGCGTAACCGAAAGCCTTTGGATAGGGGCCAGCACATTAACAACAAGCAGGATTATGTGGAGATGGCAGTGTCTGTGCTCCGCATAATTCGATGGCCTCCCAATCAAATTCGCCATATTATGTGATCGCACGGCGAGCCGGCTCGGCCTGGACGGTGCGTGCATCGCCTTGCATGTCCAGATTCAGCTTTTGTCGTGGAAACGAACAAAAATCGGCTGTGCCCCCTTTTCGGACTTGCTAGTCATTGGCAGGCGAATTCTTCCGTTTCGAAACACAGGCGGAGTCTAAGTACCTGGGCGGCTGAGTAGGCGGCACCTGGGCGGCACTTGGGCGGGTAGACTATTCAGATCGTGCGGGATGCTACGCAAAAGCAAGGATAGAGACGTGAAGAGCCGTCGGCCTCGGCTCCGGGATACTGTCGATACGTAGGCTCAGGCTCGTCTGCTTCAATGAAGCAACAAATTCTGGTACAGTGGTCTATCTGAGAGAGACTCAACCGCGTGCTGCATATGTACACCTAGACTCCGCGCCATCACAAAAAGCAAGGCTTTGATTCGGCTGGCGGCGATGTGGTGTCCATTTCGGGTCTTGGCAGGTCATGATTAAACAACTGTCCCCCACCAACGTATTCTCCACAGATCGTCATCATGTGGATCTGGAGCGGCATTTGTGGGAACAATTTCACCGTTCTAGGCGTAATTGGCAAAACTGCCGCCTTCTCCTGAGCCCCTGACGGCGGCGATCTTCACCTGGGCCCAGTATAACGTTGAGCCGCAGCTATTCCTTCAGACGAACCCACCGTTTCACCAGGCTGCCCGGCCGCACGTTTATTGCCAAGCAAACACTTATGGCCCGCTTTCAATATCAACCTGGGCGTGACGCGGAGACACAGCGCCAGTGCGCTCGACGAGGCCGTGATGGTTGCGGGGCGTGACAGGGCGTGACAGGACGTGATGATGGCTATATAACTCCCCAGAGTCGGTTGCTGATCGATGTTTCGTTTCCTGCTTGCAATCCAGACTCCATCACCGCCTCGCATCCATTCTTTTGCTCAGCTTCGCTCACTCACTGCATTGATTGCATTACAATTCGTTCACCCGCAAGTCGGTTATATTGAATCTTTGAATCTCACCAAAGCCCAGCTTCTTCAACCCGCCACAAACAATACAACAAACACCATCAAGATGCACTCCCACGTCGCAGCAACCGTCCTCGCCGTCGCCACTGGCGTCAGCATGGTCCAGGCCCACGGATATGTCGCCTCGTGGAACATCGGCGGCGTCGACTACAAGGGCTTCGACCAGCAGTACCAGACCGACGCTTCCCAGCTGGACGACTTCATTGCCTGGTCCACCACCGCGTCTGACAACGGCTTCGTCGCCCCGAGCGCCTACTCTGACGCCGATATCATCTGCCACAAGGGTGCTAAGAACGGTGTGCTCAACAACGCCACCGTCGCTGCTGGCGAGAGTATCACGGCCACTTGGAACACCTGGCCCGAGTCTCACCACGGCCCCGTCATTGACTACCTCGCCCCTGCGGACGACCCTACCTCCGTCGACAAGACCTCGCTCAAGTTCTTCAAGATCCAGGAGAAGGGCCTCGTCTCCGGCTCGTCCCCAGGCACCTGGGCCTCCGACGAGATCATCAGCAACAACCTGGGCCACGAGATCAAGGTCCCGGCCAACCTGAAGCCCGGCAACTACGTCCTCCGCCACGAGATCATCGCCCTCCACTCGGCTGGAAACGCCGACGGCGCCCAGAACTACCCCCAGTGCGTCAACCTCAAGGTCACCGGCAGCGGCTCCGAGCAGCCCGAGGGCACCCTGGGCACCGCCCTGTACACCTCCGACGACGAGGGCATCAACTTCAACCTCTACACCACCTTCGACTCCTACCCCATCCCCGGCCCCAAGCTGGCCTTCTCCGCCGCCTCCAAGAGGGAGGAGCCCGCCCGCAAGCACGTCCGCGACTTCAAGAGCTTCGTCCAGGACGTCAACAACTTCTTCAGCGGCAAGAACGACAAGGTCGAGGAGTCTAAGGAGACCAAGAACTAAGATGTTTGCCTATGGGAATGCTGTTTGAGCCTGGCTCCATTGCTAGGCATGGTGTTGGGGTGTTTGTGATTCTTGTCCACATTTGTATCCTCAAGATACCTCTTGTTGGAACGGTGGCTTCGCCGACCAAATTCAGGTGTATATATAGAAAGTTTGGATGTAGATTCATGGGTTGAGTAACTGCAATCCAATAGCTCTGACTTGAGTCGGACTGATATAACTACGTGTACCACTCTCGTGGCTGCGTAATAGCATTAAAGTTCCCCGAGCTAGCGCAGGTTTATCATTCTCACCATTCTCCAGGACATTGTACTTGCAAACTAGTTAGTTCGACCTCTTTTTACCCGTCATATAACACCAAATAACCCCTCAATCTCAGACGCCCAACAAAGCCATGCTTCCATTTTGCCCAGCCCTACAGTAGTATTGTGAAATTGTCACTATGTGATTCATCCCGGAAAGGTGCCAAGGTGATAGTTATTTGAACGTTCATCTGTTTCGAATTCTCATGCTAGTTGGGACCAGGATTGCTTCTTGTGTTAGGGTTTGGAGCTTTACAGAACGTGAAATTCTCTACAAGCTGATACTTTTGAGGCCATCGTTGTGAGACTGGCCGTGACTGCGAATTGGACGTACAATCTAGATCATCACAAGTGATGTCAAATTTCCTAGTCACTGAAAACTTAAAGTTGGGATACATACCTCCTATCCACGTAAATTGGTTGAATGAGAAGTAAGTCATGTGTGCCCAAGACGAGCATTCAGTGATCTCAATGTTGATCATCGCCCAAATCGACCGAATTAGACTGTAAAAACCGGAGCGCATTAATCGACGCACCTAGGCTTCTAGACTTGTGGGTGTGTCATTCTTAGTACAAAACGTCGGGTTATCTCCGAAGGATAGACGTGAAATGACCCACCGAAGTAGTGATACGCAGATCATCAGCTTTAGACGCCTGGTACGCCCGGGTCGAGGGAGCTGGAACGACATTGTGCGATATGTATCTAATTACGTATGTCTAGTCATAAGGCGAAGACAAATTCACTTTCTTGAGTCTTCAAAATTTTCCATCGAAAGATATCTGTACCGCAGCTTCTCCAGCCAAAACTTGAGCATAGCAGAAACAGAGCCCTGGTGATGCTATCACTATCAGTACTCCCCCCAACTACAGACAATGCCTATAGGGTCTGCCTCCCACGCATTGACGGGTACGATTTCTCAGCTTTTGAAAGATTCAAGTCGTTCAGAACAAGCACGTCCTTCCGCAGAGCAAATCCGGCCGGTCTTCTAACACGTATGCAGGTAATACAATTCGTAATTATGCTCTGATATTGATCTCAGCAAAACTGTTTGCCTCTTCCTTTATTTTGACTATGTCTCCAAGTGTGGGCAGGCCTTGTATGGCCAAAGACGATGAATTTGCCACTGCATATGCGTTCCCAATGAGATGTTGCTGCTTCAGCGATTCGTAAATCCGTCAGTTGCTGGTCGACAGAAGGAATGCACTGATGCACTCTTGACGGCCAACCGGAATACAAGTGATGCGCAAGTGATCCAAGAGCCCTTACTCAAGTGAGTCCAACATGTGGTTCCTAGAGGCCCGAAAACCCCGTGTCTGTTGCCAAAGGGGCCGTTGATGACTCCGAGCTGGCTACAATGCTTGGGTCACGATCTCACAGTTCACTGGACTGCTTCAATATAAATGACTGTATCCTCATGGTCCATAACTCTTGTAAATTCATTCATCATCTGCATCACAGAGACCCGACAACATCCTACCCTATTCACAAAAGTGAACCTGAAACCTTCCACGATGGCCGGAACTCCAAACAGACTCGACGGCGCAGAGCCCATCAAACGGCAACCTTCATCAGGTTTATCTATCCTGATCGTAGGTGGTGGTAGTGCAGGACTTGGTTTTGCGATCGAAGCGTACCGCAAGGGTCACGACATTCGCATTATCGACCGTCGACCAAACATCGAAGACTATGGTAGGCGGAAAATATTCCCTTGGTTTTCTGCACTATTGGCAGCTGAACATATAATCCAGGTGATATTATCGGTATTGGGGACTCTGTTCTGCCCTCCATGAAGCAGTGGCCCGGTTTCGCGTACAAGTATGATGGAAGCTACATAGGCGTATTGGGGGAAGGCCTGGGCATGAGCCGAGCTGTATTCCACCACTATCTGCACCAGTATGCACTGCGCCTTGGCATCCCCATCCGCCACGCTGCCAAAGCAGTGGACTACTTCGAGACCGACACCGAGGGCGGTTCTGTGCTCGAAAACGGGGAGCGCCTCAGTGCAGACGTCGCTGTCGCCGCAGACGGCATCGGATCCCGTTCGTGGCGGCTGATATCGGGCACCAAGGAAGAGCCGATCAGCTCCAGCTTTGCCATATACCGAACTACCTTCCCACTGGATTTGGCAATGCAGAACCCGTTGATCGCGGAAGGATACCCGGGAGTTGACTCTCGCCGGTATTTTGGCCCTGGAGCCCATATCGTCCTGGGGAAAACGGACAAAGACATCATTTGGATGCTCACACACAAGGCAAGTCCTGTCCAAACTTAGTCCCCCCCCCGGGGTGCCTCCTGCCTGTTGTGCTTAAACAGAGTTGACCGGGGATGTGCCCTAGGACACTGGAAAATCTTCCGAGGACTGGGCCAAGCCTGCTGACCCTAGGGATACCCTCCCTTTCGTCGAGGGCTGGGCGCCATGGATCAATGAGCTCATCAAAGTGACTCCCTCTGACGGAGTTGTGGACTTCAAGCTCATGTGGCGCAACCCCAGGGAGTCATGGGTCTCCCCTAAAGCCAGGGTAGTCCAGATTGGCGACTCAGCCCACACATTCCTTCCCACATCAGCCAGCGGTGCGACGATGGCACTCGAGGATGCGTTCTCCCTCGCGGCTTTGCTCCATATAAGTGGGAAGGACGAGCCCTCCCTGGCCCTGAGAGTCCAGAACAAACTGAGGTAGGCTTCACGCAACCGTTCAATTTGATCCGGCTGACCGCTCTGGCAGGTTCGAGCGTGTGACCTGCGCTCAGAAAATGGGCTTCAGGAACAGAGAGAACTTCCATAATACGGACTGGGACGCTGCTGCCAAAAGCCCTGACTCGGTTCTCAAACAAGTCGACAAATGGGTTTTTCAGCATGACGCTGAGAAGTACGCCTACGACAAGTACGAGAAGTGTGCTGATCATATTCACAATGAGGCGCCCTTCCAGAACACGAATACACCGCCTGGCCACACTTTCAAGCTTTGGACTGTGAGGGAGCTTTTGGAACTCGGTGAGCGTGGTGAGAAGATTATCGACGATGGTGATTGGTCCTGAGTGGCATTATATTAGCGAAGAAGAGTGTTTTTGACTTTTCTTGTTCATCTTGAGCTGAATCCGGCCATTGTAGATTTTGTGGGCATTTATCATAGATGAGTCTCGTGGGATGCAGATTCATTGCAACAGGTCAAGACTTTGCTATTGTTGGCATACAATTTTGAGAATAGAAAGGGCATTGTCTTACAGGTACCAAAAATTCTGCCTCACCAACCCCCTAGCCGTGACACCTTTGTAAGCATGAAGGCGCTCGCATGGTGTTGCCGTTTCTTGGGCGGTCAGGCACATCTCAAGGACAGTAAGACTGCGCGAGCTCCGACAAGCATGACTCTGAAAAGCATGCGAGACAGTAAGAATAAAAACTTGAGCAACTACATTGCTGCCAGGGAGGACCTGAACAAGAAGCGAGATTGAAATTTCATCCTGTGTCGCATCTGATGCCTTCTCGGGACTGCCGTGTCCAAGTTGGATCATGAATGGGTGCCGAATGGATTAATTACCTAGGCGTAGTGGAAAATGTCGGCTCCGAGCTTCTGATAAATGAAGGACTTGGACGTGGCTTCAGCACAGTCCATGGACCTAACAACGCCATCATTGCGAGGTTCATTGAGGAATGCCGACCACCGAATTGGATCGATAATATATTGCGAACAACTCAATAGCGCAGCTGATGCGGGACGCTATAGAAATGACAGGACGATAGCCTTGGCAAAAAGCTTGAACAGCTCAATTATCGGACGATGGAAAAGACAACAGAGGAAGTCGTCAGTCGGGGTCGCATTTAAGTGGAGTGGCCTCGCAGGGCCTTTCTGCATGAAGCTCGGGTCGACGAAGCGTCACGGTATGTACCGGACAATTTCGTGCCTTAACCGGGTTCGGGGTACAGCATTGTCAGGGAAAGGGCTCGCTTGGGAATACTCATCGGGGTGTTGATTGGGGCGATCGTCTCATCTTAGCAAATACTCCGAGCTTGGTGTGTACGGCAGTGAAATTGCTTGGTAACAGAATTCACGATTGCGGAAAACATTCGTAGGACTAACAAATAGCCATGGGCTTTCCAATATTCACGTCTTCGGACGTCTTGAAAATGTATTCTTTCCTTTAGTGTGAACGTCTCATGTAGACACCTCTCGCCAACAACAGCTGCTTCCCTCCACATGAATCGTCGTAAAGCAGATTCTGGTGACGTCGGTCATTCTCTTGTCTACATAACTATAAGTACAATGGTTTAGCACGCGAATACGAAGAGCTCAGAGCATATTCTTCAGCGTGTATGCGCGTGACATATCTCGAACCTCAAAAGGACCTCTTCAAGCAAAATGCAACTCCGAATGCTAGTCATCTTGGCCATTTCCCTCCACACATCTCAGTCTAGACCTCATCATCACCATCAGAATGGGACCGACAGCGGGGGAGACAATGGATCTGACAATGGATCTGACAGTGGAGCTGGCCAGGGGGCCGGTCAGACGCAACCACCCGGCATTCTTGACTGTGTCGAGCAAGGTGCCACTTGCGCAATGAATGCAATATCCCAAGATTCCACTCTAGCCAAACTCGAATGGTAAGTGCCAGCTCTTGTGTGTTCAGGTTTGATGATACCAAGCCTGCCTATGCTAACACACAAGTAGTGCTCTCGACCTCGTCGAGTGTATTGTTGCGGCTGTCTGAAACATGATCTATACGAGTGTGTGTGGCAATCAAGCACAAAGTTGCGGGCTGGTCGCTTTGTAGCAAAGGGAGGGATTTCATCAGTACACATTTTACATGATTGTAAATATTTTTTCTCGTTCTTCTCAAATTAACATAATGTCAAACCCGTACATATCCCCATCCGAGATGAGTATGAGTGTGCGTGACCTCTTTCATTGGGATGGCCCTAGCGAGCCAGCTGTCTGGCTTTTTTCACTTCGCCTCAATAGTCTGACTGTGCCCTTCTCATACTGGCCTTCAGCAGGATTGAAAGAGCCATTCTGGTATTCGATCGGACGCTAAATGATGTCGCCGATCTTTGGCGAGAGAGACTACGTGGACTGAGGTGGCAGGAGACCCGTGATACGCATCCAGAAAAGGGTGTTCAGCAAAAGGATGAAGCGAGGTCGCAGTAGAGTTCAGTGAGCTGATGGCAAAAGCGCAGCCATAGAGAGCAGGCTTGGATGATGTCCCTAACGCCGGCAAAAATCATCCTGCGCACCTAGCGGCACAGAAGTTCGAACACAACACCGGCAGTGGTGCATTTCCACTAATGCAGTACAACGCCCTGGAATTCCGGCGCATATACGCTCGGTGACATCTACTGCTTTCAGGAAATATGCCCGATCTGTCACACAACATTGCACGATGCATATTTGACACGTTACATCCAGTACCACAATTCCGCCTAGCACGAGATCTTCGGCCGGCTCTTCTCGCCAACCAATTGACTACACATCTCATCACGGTCTTAGTCGCATCAAAGGCATGATAGCATGAATTCGCGAATGGCCTCGCGTGGAGTGAACTGCCGGCCACCCAGCAACATTTTGAGAAGATCCTCGGCTCGGCAACCACTTTGTGTTAGCCCCCAGTGGCACAGGTCTTCGCATGGATTTTCAGAGCATCCTATTGCATCGTGGCCGTAGTCTTCGGGAAGTGTCATTAGAGTAAACGCAAGATGCTGCCGAATCGCCTACGGCTTCCTTGGGACGTGCAGCACCGTGGGATGGTGTTTGCATTGGGTGTGGAGCAGACGACACCAGGCTAATTATCTCGATCCACCAGGCTCTGTGGCAATCTCGCGTCGTAAGTTGGTATGGTCTTTATCATTCTGTATTACGAGGCACCCTTTCCCCGTGTGCTGTGTCCCTGAATATCGAATACAATGACGCAGGATCCGCTGGTCTACCTTCACATAGCCTGTAACCTCGCTGATAGCTCAGCGCAAAGAGGGCATTACTCCATTACCGACCAACTTGGCAGCAGTAGCTTGGAGCCAGATTATTGATCCATGAAGTACCTAGGAAAAACTCTTCGCCGACAGGGGATCAAAATTGAGTCGGCAGCAGACGAGGTGGCACTGAGGCCTTAGTGAGGGGCCCCCATGGCGACGGGTCGGATATCGTCACGATTGGACGAGCCCGGTGACGTTGTCTTTTGGTTCAAATATTTAACTAGTTGCGTAGGTTTTATGACCAGTGAAGACCTACTCTGGAAGCTGCGGCGGGACCAGCTGATCCTCCGTTGAGTATTTGCTCATTATTTGAGTTGAAAGGGTTCACTGTCTCTCCGTTTAGAGCACTGAACTGAGAACATCTATACGAACCATGTAAGATTTGTAACGCACCTCTGATAAAAGAACTTGGAGAGCCAGTCGGTACGGCGTAATCTGTAAAAGTCGAGGCAGGGCCGATATCGAAAGTCGTGGAAGATGTCAGCAATGGGTCACTGCCACCCGAACAGGATGGCATAGCTGTCACGGGTATCGGGTTGCCTGCTGTATTGTACTCCCTGGCACATCCTGTGAAATCGTCAGTGCTCCTCTCATCCCCAGTTGCGTGATCCAGCCGACCTACCTGACACACTGAAGACCGGGTCGTGCCAGGCTACACAGGCATTTCCCAGGCCAGTGGTATCGCAGGCGAAGAAAAAAGGTTCGTCGAAGCAGTTTTCGACGATCTGTATCCCAGTCACGTTGTTCCCGTCTTTCTCGCTGACACAGACCTTTGGGCATGTCGCGGCCTCTGTCCAGTTCGGCATGTTGCAAGCGCCCCGATACAACGCATGGTCAGGTCCGTTTCTTTGGCAGAGATGGTTCACCAGGCAGAGGTCTCCTGGCGCGCAGCATAGCCCGTCTGCACCGCACAGGCCATAGCATTCTTGCATGTCGTAAGCGTTTGACCCATCGGGCCAGTAGCAGTCGGCTGCGACCAGCGAGAACAAGAGGTATAAGATAGCCTGGATGAGCAGAAGGACACGGACTTGGAGGATATGGTTACCTGCGGAGGCCGTCATGATAGTCGATTTCGTCTCAGCTAGTGTGGTGTAGGGGATGATGAAGTGAACGGTTGGTCTGACACGTGATGCTTTGCCCATGGAGTCGCCTTTTCATGGTGGATATTTGCAGATTATTTATGCTTTTTACAGAGATTCGTCATGAAGCGCTATCTTTCAAGAGACACGTGTGTGATGGAACATTCTGAGTGTTGGACCATCCCGCGATTGCTGCTCCGGAGTGACCGTAACTGCCGCACTGATCGGGAGACTGCAGAATCGGGTGTTGCATCTTTGTGATCTATGGCACAGCGATTAAGCGAAGGCTCCCAATGTTCAGTGTGATGAGGACGACCCAGGCCGCAGTCTGAACTACCTGGAGATCTAGGCGGAGACCATATCCCGTGTGTGTGTGTTGTCCTGCCACCAAACAACTACGCCGAGAGCCTCTTGAGACCGTCAGAGACATTTGGTTCGGTCCTCACGCCTGACCTGATCGCGTTTGCATGCATTGAGTGCAGCCTGATAACAAACAACAAAGAACGCTGCGACCCTGGCTCACCACCAGTGCATACGATCAAACATCGTTACCATCAAATCTCCCAAGGTAAGTCTGTGGTTTCTCTAGATGTGGACATGGCCAGCACTTAGGCAAAGGCAATGCACTGGCTGCATGCAAGCATGTGGAATTGACATTTAGTCCAGGTAGGAGGGACCGAAGTCTCCGAGGGCGAAGAGAAGTCCGTGGGCTGTACTATGTCCGGGCGCCAAAAAAGCCGACTCTGTTCAACCCGAAAGTTCAAGATTCCAAAAGCTGACGGGACGGACAGACATGGCGGACATGACAGTCCTCATCCGAAGTAACGTGCGTAATCGGCGTTACGAGGTACTCGCACGCCGCCTTACTCGGATGATCCGAGGGGGAGGTAGCACCGGCAAGGTTGACCGTGGCTCCTGCGGCACCTCCACGAACCTCGCATATGCTTGCACTGTCGGAAGCATTCTAAATTCAGGCTTCCCCGTGGCAGAGACCCGTTTGGTTAATACTCGCCAGTAGGCAAGGGCCGCGTGTTCGAGGCCCGGCCCCAAACTGCCCGGCTTACATTCCCCGAAGAATTAGCTCCCTCGGCCGAGTTTGAGGGCCGTTCACCGCATCTTAGGCCCCGTTCCTAACAGCTGTCAGGCGATCCACTGCTTCGCTGTGAACATTCCCACACACCAGTTTCATCCCCTTTTTTTGACACTAGGACTTTGGGAATGATTTTATAAGACCGGGAGATGGGCCGTCAAACCTGGAGTTCGAGTAAATATCATTGTCATCCAAACCCCACCTTGTGTACCAATTGCAAATCCTGGACGACTTGTACGCGTCACTCAATCCCTGAAAAGGTCACAGTACTTGTGCGACGCTTCCTGACCACAATATCCATATCCAAATCGACAGCCACCTTTTGGGAATTGAAGAGAATCTGGTCGAAACAGCAAAGAAGACCGCCATCTTGGCTTCTTGCGCCCGCTGCCAATCCACATCTCCCGCGTGGTTGGGTGACCCCCAGCAGCAACACCGAAGATGGCAATGCAAGCCAATGTGTGATCTTCTCCAAAGCTTCCAGGTGTGGTCGGACCTGGACGAAGCGAACCCGGGACACGTCAATGCTGGCGATGATTCGAAAACACAACACAGCGGCGACGGCACACGCATAGATGCGTCGAGCAGGACAAGACAGTCCAAGCCACGGAGAGAATATGGTTCCAACATATTGCTTCGTGTCTTACTACCGGCGCCCAAGCACAAGGCGCAATGACCAATACACACTTTAAACCAGTCTCCGCTCCGTGCATCCTGTACTTGAGGCAGGCTCCAACAGAAACAATCCCAACTCTAACCCGGTGGTGCCGCCGCACTCATAAGGCCGGTGCACCGCCCCGCAATGACTTCCCATCCCCATCCCCTTTCACACGAAACCCGACGCCTCCCCCTCGGGCCAACCAGGCGTCCGGCGGTAGTTCTGCGTCAAGTTCGCAATCTTCCACTCCCTCCCGCCGCCTGGTCCAGCGGCACCAGCCTCGGTCTTCCCCACCGTGTAGACCATGGTCCCGTAGTGGTGCAGCACGCCGTCAAAGGTGACCCGGAAAGGGCTCCAGGCCACGGCGAACAGCGCGTCGACCTTGACGTCCGTGGCGTCCAGGTCGGGGCTCTCGTGCAGGGCGGGCCCGGGGGGCTGGCCCTCCCTCCTCTTCTCCCCGTCGTCGATCAGCTTGACGAACTGCTCGATGTTGGTGCGGATCACGACCGTCAGCTTCTCATCATCACCAGCCCGGGCGGCGTCGGCCCTCTGTTCCGGGTCGGCCGGCAGGGGCGGGTCTTGGCGGATGATGGTGAGGTTGGCCGCGGGGAGGAAGTGGGACTTGAGGGCCTTTGTGTCTGCGGCGTTGATGGAGTCGAAGAAGGCCTGGATCAGGGCCTTGATGGCCCTGATGTCTTCGAAACTCTGTGATTCAATGGCTGTCATGGCGGTGGTTGGCGATGGCTGGACACCTTGGAGAAATGAGATGACGAGGTGCGAAGGTTCAATGGCAGAGGTTGGGGAAGCGTTACGCCATCGAGGTTTCCATTCTCCATAATAAACTCGCCTCGGCAACCATCGAATCGCCGAAGCCGAGCAGTCAGTCCTGCATCTGACAGACAAAACCGTACAACAAGGGCAATATCTACTGTATGTCTTGTCAGAGACGTCGCAGAGAGCATGTTGTGTGACAGCTTGCTTGTGCCGGATGAAAATTCGTTGGGCAGCCTAGGTAATATAAAATGCAAATGACCCTGGATGTCTGCAGCCGGCAACAATTGCTCCTGAACAAACCAGTCAACATTGTACTGGTATACATCCTGAGCCATACTTGTAGTTCTTGGTATGATGAGAAAACATGTTTCACTTTTCCCTCTACTGTTGTACACGCCAGGCCATGGTCTTCGCCTTGGCAGACGTCCGAAGCTGGATTCTTCCCTCATGCAATGCGTATACCGAGAGCCATACAACGTGAGTGTCACGAAAGACTGGCATAGGATATATTGAGACTTGAACGTTTAAATTCAGCTTTATGCGTGGGTATGTTGTCCACCAAAAAGTTCAGTTTTTTTGCCGGGCATGGAAGCTGTGGAGCCAAATCCGTCGATGCAGAACAGTGAGACTCCACGCCTTGCACACCCTGGACTCACGATGATTGTTATCATCGACTTGGTATTTCAAAAATCCGGTACATCCGACCGGGGGAGACATGTAGCTACGCTACGTATGGGAAACACCGTGGTGGGCTATTGTTAAAGAGAACGGATATTCGTACCCGTAAAAATGGAGGGTGCACCCGTGTATCACTCAGGCCTATTTACACACTTACACGCAGTAACACACCCATACACCCACATACCTGACACTCATACACCTACACACCCTACATCCAACACCCAAATACCTAACACTCATACACCTATAAATCAATACACCTATAAACCTATACACCCAACACTTATATACTTTAATACTTACATAAATTAGGTATATAGTATTAGGTGTAAGCATTTAGTGTATGAATTAAGTGTGCGAATTAGGCGTGGGTGTTGATGCTGGCGATGTACGGGTGTACCCTCCGTTTTCGCGGGTGCGAATATCCGTTCTCTTGATAAAGGCGCGAGAGAAGGCCATCCCCCCGGAATGCCACCAAGTCCAATTCGACCTTCAACAAGCCAACATTGGGGAGGGACCAGGGCTTTCCACAGAGAAGACGTCATAAACGAAGTGTGTTGTCTTTCAAAATAGTCGATTAATTATGCTGATCTACCACCAGCCGCACATGCAGCCAACTCAAAAGACACGAATCAAACACGCGGCAGCATTCGGGCAGGACGTAGCACGCGATCTCCTCGCACGCTCAGCGGCGGAGGCACCCCCTTCGGTTTCTCACTTCCCATACAAATCGGTCCAAGATGGATTGGCCGTAATGCCCCTTACGCCAGCAAAATCACTGCCTCCTATGTACCTGCCCCGTGCGCATCTCCGCAAGACTTTATCAGTCGGCGCGCCAGGGCTTCTCACGGCGTCGACGATCCTGGCTCCACTGCCCTTAATTCGCTCGACTGCGGTGGTAGGGCGCATGTAACTGGTTGCAATAATATTTATATTGATCGATCGGGTATGATGGCCTCTCTTGTGGATCTCTGGTTCCCTCCAGTCCGTAACTTCCTGGACGCCATTCCAAATGCTCCCTATGATTTGGTTTGATAACAGAGGGAATTGGGGGTACTGTAGATGGACCTTTGAAGGCCTCAAAAGTGATGAAAAGGGGTCCGGGTTCTTTCGTCCCGGACAGAGGAATGTGTGAGGAAGGTCGGAAAGATATGGAAAGTCGATTGATGCAATATCGTCAGCCGGCAGCGGGGTGGAGGATATTTGGTCAGAGTAGGTTCCCATGCTGACCCCTCAGCTGGCATAGAAGTAAAGAACCACTCTAATGGTAAAGTGATGATCAAATATCAAGAAAAGTACGAGGCCCAAGAATTCCATGTCGTCGTGAACGGCAATCCCGACACCAGCCTTGCTAGCTTGTATCGAAATCCAATATCATTAATGTTCGTAACCCGCACCTCGTTGCCAGGGACTAAAAGAGTGTTAGCTTCATCTGCTGCACCGTCGACTCATGCATCGGTTCTTACCTGGCATTGTTCTGGCCCCGATATGCGGCATTGTTTTGGCCCTGGTGGGCTGATAGGTTGGAGGATGATCCAGTAAAGGAGCCCGGACCCATTGAAGAGCCGCTCGGTTGTTGACGCAGGTATTGTCCTCCGTTGTTGTAGCCGCTGTAGTCGGGTTGGGAGTTGGGGGTCCCTCTCCGGCCATCTGCTGGGAACAGCGGTACGGAGGGGTCCACCGGTGAGCGGGGTGGTTCGCGGTAGTTAGGCTGCGCCAGTGGCGAGTTTGCTTGTTGAGGCGCCTGCATGTTTGATGGGTCCGTACGTCGCTTCATCGAGTCGGATGATATCGACTCGTTGTCCTCGTCCATGTCAAATCCAGCCTTGTATCCTTGCTTGTCACCTCGGGCAGTTGCTGCAAGGGCGTCCAACTCAGTCGTCGTGTTCAGCTGCGTCTGAGACTTCATGAATGATGCTCGGTCGTCGGCCATGAACTGGTATCTCGCATCGGGGTTCTTGCGGATCAGAACGATGACTGTGGTTACGATCAACATGAGGAGCAAGACAAGCGCGAAGACGGCGTTCGCAATCCAGAGAATAACGCCAACAACACCAGTGACAATGGCCGGCTGGTTGAAGACATCGGTGAAGACCAGCAGAAAGATGGAGTTGAGGAAGTTGATGACGCAAATCGAGATGTTGAAAGAGTTCGTGCTCTTGTCCATCCATGGTCGCAGGACACTGGCACCGATGAGAGCTCCGGCCTCCAGGATGATGAAGGCGATGGCCTGGGCAGTACCGCTGTTTTGCGCAAAAGCAATGAATATGCCCTTGAGCAGCAGGTATGTCAGACTAGGCACGATGAAGTAATAGGCTGAAGCGCGGAATTGAACGTAGAGGAAGCCCCACTTGTTCAGAGCCTGAGGGTCAGAGAACAGAATGTACGCCGGGTTCCTGTGCATAACAACGGAGCGTCGTGCAATCCTGATAACTTTCGATGATGCCCAGCCCAGGGTGATCAGCATGCCGAAGAAGAAGAAGACAGCGAGGACGACTTCCGCGGCGGAGTCCTTCTGAGTAAACTCCCATAGACACAAGATGGTCATCTGAGGGAATCCGATCAAGGTGAGGCGGAAGAGAATACCCTTGAGAACGGTGAACCACCCATTTCGGAAGTCCACAAAAGTGTCACTCTTCATCCACTTGTGCTTGACAGCGAATTCACACCAGCCCTTCCAGGCGGCGACTCCCAGGATGGTGATCACGACAAAGAAACAGAAGAAGGTCAGTCCGGTCATGAACAGGTTGGTCGACTCGATACCAGCTCTGTAAGCGACACGCTGGATGCCGAACACGACGAAGCTGCCACTGGAGTTGGTGATGTTGCCTCTCTTCAAGAGTTTTGAAGCACCCTCGGCGACGGCTCGTGGCATCTGAGCGACAGCGCGAGGCATCATGGAAACCCCACGCCTGAACAAGTTCATTGAAATCTCGGCCCCCATGTCCAGTGATCGCTTCTTCTTCTCGACTTGCACGGAAACTGTGCTCAGAGAGTCAAACAGTGTTGATGGCGTTCCTCCCGTAGCACGTTGGTACCAAGTGAAGATGCTTTGCATGAAGGTGACGCGGATGACACCCATACTCCACTGGAAATCCTGAGTCCATGACTGCACGATCGGAGGAAGAGGAACCGAGGTCATGCCGATCATGGCCTGACCTTGGAAGTAGCTGAAAAGTGACAATGCGTTTGCGGCAACATGGGAAGCCGCGTTCGAATGTCCCAGGCCAGAAATGACGGCGGACGAGGCCAGTGCCAGGCCAGCGACAATAGCGGTAGCCCACTTCACACCGATCAGATCAACTGTCTTTCCGTTTGAGATGTCAGCCTCAACACAGGCAACACTTGTGTTGGCCTGGTCGCCGGACGTCATGTTGATGAACACCTTGACTTTGGCGTCCAGGTCGGGGAAAGTGTATGCGATTCCGGGGATTTGCTTGGCGGCCTCGTCGCCAACATCCAAGTTGAAAGTGAGTGGAATTTTACCCGCGGTCCTTTGTGAGGCACGTCAGTATCTCCTAATTGCAAACAGGGCTTCAGCGCTAGGATACATACATGGGGCACAATCCAGCAAGACCAATGTCACATGGATTGACTTGTCGCCGAATAATTTGGTAGCCGTAGGCTGTGATTGATACGTCGAAGAGAACGTTTCCTTGGATGGACGAGACGGCCACGATGTCGATCATGGCGGTGCCGTTGGCCGGTGTGTAGGCGACATTGAAGAGACTGGCTGTGAATCCTGAGTTATCCTGACAGGTATTCAAAGAACTGGACTGCAGCAGTTGCTCTGCCGCCGTCGGCTGCAAAAAGGCGGCGGCGGAGGCGAGAAGTAGTAACGGGGTCCTTGGAGAGAACCACATCTTGACGAGATGCAAGGCAACACGGCGTAGCGAGAGGTGGCGGCAGCCCAGAGGGCGTGGAAGAAAAAGGGTAGCCCGTGGGGCGTGAGCCGTCGGCGTTGGATTTGTGCCTCGTGAGGTCGAACCGTGTTCCAGCGGTCGAGTAGAGAGGGAAGCGAGGGTCTGTATGGGTTTAAGTCGACATCAAAGAAGGAATGGGTTCCAGGTCCGAGGTCGTGACGGCTGGTGAGATCGGTCGGTCGGTCGGGTCGTTCGACGGGCTTGGGAAGGTCGAGGATGGGGGTTTCAAGAAGGCGGTTGTCGAAGTGAATGTGTCTCGTTTAATTTGCGAATCACGAGGAGGCGCAGCGGGTGGCCACTCTCTTGGTTGATGATTCCTCTGGTTCGTGCGGGCGTCGCAGGCTGGCAGACAGGGAAATATGCCCTTTGACAGAGGGCGAGACCGGTTCAACGGGGAGCAGCGCCTCGATCCAAATGATTGTGGGTTGTGTTGATGGTAAGTGGTGGATTATACCAAAGGGAGTAAAGTAAAAGTAGACTGGTGTTGAGAAAATGGGCGGCGGGTAGAAAGGGAATGGGGATGTGATGGGAAGATGGCCGGTAGGAAATGGCCGCTGGCGTGTGTGTCTCGCCCGGGTCGTGTTGTTTGTCGACGGACGGGCTGGGTGTTAGGATCAGGACCAGATCAGATCGTCGAAAGGTGAAGATGGGGGAGAGGAGAAAGCGAGTCGGGGTCGGAGGCAGGGCAGGTTAGATTCGTTAGCACAGTAAGGAAGAAGGAAGGGGGACGGACCCATTTGGAAGTCGCAATCAAAAGGGGCCCATGGAACCGGGGTCATTGGGGGGCCATGGCATTGGCTAGAGAATGCAGATTACGGGCGCCACTGAACCCCAGCAGTAGCGCCTGATAGGAAAGGGGTCGAGCTTGGCGGGGCGCTACTTCCAAAGCCACGCAACTTTGCAGGGACCACAAGGTACTGGCCCCACCAGCCAAGCCTCATGGCTAATGTAGGTACATGAGTGGTGGCCGTCTAGAGCTGCAGGTACCGGTAATAAGGTTGTGCACCAAGAAAGAGCAACTGGCCGTGGCTGGCTGGCTTTGTTGTCGACAACAGGCAGTCTCGAGGCAATATGGTCTTTCGAGGTAGCCTCTCTCCCAGTCTCCTGCCTGTTTAGGTCCGTTGGAGAGAAAGAAGAAAAGAAGCCCATTCAACTGTACGACACGGACGCCGTCGAAAATGACGTCCAATTCTGTCCGGCTCTGCTCGCATGAATTGGGCCAAGCCAGGGCCTCCCATACTATACAACAGGACCATTATTGGTTGAATTGCTGCGAATACCTACTGGGTAGATTGACTGACCCGTTGACCTGTGTGTGTTTCTAGGTACCTAGGTACCTAGGTAGCCTACCGTAATGCTCTGACTGGCAGCGCTGGCTGAATGCTCTTTCCCTCGCTTCGTATGATGACCGTATTCAAGGAGTTCCCGAACACGGAAGATAAGCTGCTGACTGTGCACCCATCGACACAATGAAGACGGTGCAAGGCCTAGAAGGTGCAAGGCCTAGAAGGTGCAAGGCCTAGAAGGTGCAAGGCCTAGAAGGTGCAAGGCCTAGAAGGTGCAAGGCCTAGAAGGTGCAAGGCCTAGAAGGTGCAAGGCCTAGAAGGCGCCTTCCTGCCCAAACCTCTTCACCACCCGGATCGAGCTGGGCGGTTCGCAATTGCCAATTCGAAGCGTCGGTTCGTCCCTCATGTCATTAACTCCAACGTGCAGGCTACGGGCCAAACGGTCTCAACCACAGAGACCAGACGGGAAGATAATAATAACTCTAGCCTGGCTTTACCCGGCCTGCCCTCCCTGAGTCTGCACCTGGCAGACAACCACAGCCAAAGAGATCCATCCAAGCAGGCCTGCTTCTGACCTCACTCACCACTCCCTTCAGGGTCCAGGCCTCTCGAGCAAGCCGACCGTACTGGCGGCTCACTCTCGAGGGCGCCACGCTCGCGCCAATGACATTCCCAGCACCGTTACGAACGCAGGCTACGTGTACCCATGCCGCAGCACTGTACGCCTACGTCTCGGCTCCCTGGTGTCACAGAAGCCAGACCCGCGTGTTCCTTGGCCTGACGCACTCCGTGTCTTGGATTTTTGCAGCCAACCTGCACAGCCACGCTCATCCCAACCGCAAAATCGCTGTCGTGACTGCCATGCCCATTGCCAATCCCTTGGGAAGGGCGGCTTTTGGGTAAGCTCATGACTCTCATCATTGCAAAACGCGCGGGCAAATAACAAGCCTACATGACTGAGGCGGAGGTAGTCGATGCTCCTTACGCTTAAGCCTGGGGGATCTTCATCCGACACAAGCTCGGGCTCCATCAATCTCGAATGCTAACTCTCAAAGTTTGGGCACGCTAGATCTCCGTGCTCAGATCTTGACACAAGCAAGACAGCGCATGCATGCCTTGCCTGCCACCCTACCTACCTGCAGCCCTCGATGTGTCGTCATAGTTCTGCGGATTCCGGATTCAGATCAGCAAGCTGTTTCGACGCGGCAGATCCTCGTGATGTGTGAATTAATTGGGTGCGTTCGGTCGATGTGACCAACGACCGTCGGCCCCTCAGCTCACGAGTTCGTTCACCAGCACGAGGCTGCTGGCGTGATGGTGTGCGTCGTGGCTCATGTGGACCTGGGCGATATTTTCCGACTCGTGGGCCACCACTCTGCGACGCCACCCAGTCTCACGAAACCCAGCCCGGTGCAGGTGCAACACTCGCAACACGGCACCCGCTGCTTATCCTACTGGAAACCTGGATCCAAGATTCTGAACAGCAGTCCGCCTTCACGGAACGAGAGGATTCTCGCCGTGCGTCAAAGTTTCGTGGCTGTTTACGCCCATCTCCTGTTTATCAATTTCTCCTTCTTGTGAAATCCGGGGCTCTCTCCTTGAAGATCCAATCTCTGGATTTATTTTCAGATCAGAACCCGCCGGCAGTGGGGCCCAACGCCAAACACCATCGCTACGACCCACAGCCAAACTTCACATGTTCTCCCTGGCGATCTAAAACCCTAGGCCCTGAGATTCAGCAGTACCCCAGCACTAATCAATGCATCCAGACACAGCCCTCCGGCTCTCTCTTCGCAGGCACACTTCTGTCACAGAGGAGGTTTACACGTATACGCAGCGAATCCCACCTTTTCTTCGGGGAATTTGTGGGCATCCCTTTCATTTACGTGACGCGCCGATCGATCGCCCTGCCCTGCTACGGAATGCTGCACTGCCAGACCAGCCAGACTGCGCGATCTTTTTGGGCAACTGCCCACCCGGTCTCAACCCCGGACGCCCCATGTGCGCCTGGCTCTTCGGCTCTCCTGCTCCGTCCGACGCCAACTGCCTCAACTCGCACAGAGCCCCTTGCTGGGCTTGCTTGGCCTGCGGCACGCTCCCGTCACACATTTCAAATCCTCTCCGTCCCGGCCGCCCCGGGGGGCCTCCACCCCACCCGCCTGTGCCGCCGGGGCGATCTGGAACTGCCAGCTTCGCGAGAATGGCATTCGGGAACTCCTGTCTAATCCACACGATCGCTGACACATTACCACTGGCGGTAGGCGAAAAGCTTAGCATTATGGATTCCGGCCACTTTATCCTCCACCTGTCAAATATCGTTGTCCACAAAGCTGAGTCTGCTCCCCGTGGGTGGTTCTTCAGGCCATCCCGGTTTTCTTCCTGCACATGGTAATCATCCTCAGTAGGCCGGTCTTTACAGCCTGCATGGGTGAGAGATGGAGAGTACCCAGCCGGATGTCGCCGATAGATTCGAGATCTCAAAACAGGGAAGCAAAAGTCTGTCTTGCAAGTGCAAGCCTGGAGCTTTCGGAATTTCCTAGTTTCCTGTACAAGCGTCCATTGTATTGATGTGACTGCCAAGGCATTTGCATGGTTCAGCAAGTCGCAAAGCACATTTTCTGAATTCCCGATACACGATGATTCTATCGTCAGCAAGGTTTGAGCATCATTATACTGTGGTCAACTCGAGATCCTGCAGACATCGGGCAGTCCTATCACAACCACTCGCTGAAGCTCTCAATCCACGGCTTGTTGCTCCGGCTGTTGTCCAAGCCATGGCGGTAAGAAGTCTTGAGCTCCTCCTGATCAATCCCACAATGCTCCATGCCGTCTCGCCCTTCAAACCAGCCTAGCCCATATGTCTGACCCACTTCCTCGAGGAAGTCGACGATCTCCCGGTTGCCCAGCTTCTCCGTACCGACGAAGCTCCACAGCATCTTGCTCTGGTGGATAAAAGCCAGCACGCTGGCAATGGTATTTGGCTGCCGCGGCAGGAAAGGCTTCCGCCGTCGCACGAATACGATCGTGACCACGGTCCCCATGTACAGTAAGATGAACATGGCTAGGCTGAGGGTTATCCAGAACGAGTTGGCCGTCTCCTGGCCGGCACTGATGCCGCCCACGATCCCGCCGCCGTCCTTGATCATCCGCGCAAAATCCTTGCCCTCCACCGCCGCGAGGCTCGCCACCAATACTGTCAGGACCTCGGTCATGACCGTTCCAAATCCCACGGCAAAGACGAGCCAGTGCCCGTTTGCTAGCGCCCGCAGCGCTACCCACGCAAATGGCATAGCGGTGTAGTCCAGGGCCAGTGTCTTGGGCGCCGCGTGCCGCTTGTAAAGGATGAAGAATGGCTCCAGCATTCTCACATTTGTGTCGACCGCGCCCCACGTGAGTTTGACGCAGACGGCTAATGCGGTGGCCACCCACGGCGCCTTGTCCGTGAGGTAGCCCGCGGGCGTGAACAGGAAGATGGGTAGCAGGGCAGTGAACAGCAGGATACCTGTGATAAAAGGGACGCAGCCTGCCGCGCGTAGAATGAGAGGTTGTGGGTTGAGCGAGAGGTGGAACTTGTGCTCGGAGCTGCCCCTCAGGCGACCGGCGCCTGGGGCGGTGGCAATTGCGGTCGAGTGGCCGTTCTCCCCGGCTGGAAGAGGTGCGAGAGACGAGTTCCGAAGGATGTATCTCTTATCAGCCAATTTATGGTGGATGTCCTTGTGCGTTGCCAGATCCATGTCTTTGAAGTCCCTACTCCTTGTGAGCTATATGCTACAAAGTCTCAAGCGATGGCTTTTTGGAGATAATTTCGCAGAACTACGCATCGGAGCAGGGATGGTTCCATACTTACATGAGGATGTGAGAGACGTTCGCCATCGCTGCTAGGCCAGCTATTCCCTTGACGTCGGCGAGGAGGCCAGACCGCCGTGATCCAAGCTGGTAGAGGAGCACAGCGCCCATCAGGGCGATGAGAAAAAGCACCACTTCCAGTACACGTGACCACGTCGGATCGATCAGAATCTTCTTGTTTCCATCTGGGTTTTGGGTTCTCGTTTCGCGGTCTGGGGTGAGAATTATGCACGCGGAGGTCAGCGTGGGCACAGCCGACACCGCGAATAGCGAAGCTATTGAGGATACCGTTACTGCGTAATGGCGCAGCCGATACGCATGTAACGGCCTGAGGAAACTGAGGCTGGTGATGTAATCCACATTCAGTGTCTCTGCCGCCGTCGCGCCATCTTCCTTCGATAATTGATAGTAAGCCTCCAGTCTCCTCACTTCAAGATCAGTCATCTGCCACATCACACCATATATGACTGCCACAATTGTCGGAAGAAACTTGATCACAAAGTACGTTCCGGGTTTGATCTGCTGCGGCGTGTTGAATGACACCAAGGGTGTTTTGGCCGATGACTGGTAGAGTGCTTCCGTTAGGCCGGCAAGGGTGACCGAGAGCAAGATCAACACCGTGAGATACGGCCAACGCATTGAGAAGGGCTTCCAGTCTGGGTACGGAAAGAAAGTTTCCGTTCTGTGGGGCTTGGTCCTGGACGCTGTACTCCGCGTGTCAGCTGGCTTTTCGAGTGGAATTGTATCTCCGACCGACCGATTTGGGCGGGTAGTCGAGTCGTTAGGGCGCAGATGATCATCCTCCTGGCCGTCAGAATCCGAGTCCTCGATAATCACTTGGACAGCTTGGCCAGCTCTGTCTGCTGCACCTTGTCCAAGTGCCTTCCGGGTAGCAGTACGACTCAATGTTGTCTTTCGTCGGGAGAGAGATACTGTTCGTGAAAGCCTATGGGTAGCATTCCGGCTGTTAGATAGTAAGAGGTCTGTCTCTCGAATCGTCCTCGCCGGCTTCAGCCCCACGCCGAGACCATTTGATAGTTTCCCTGCTTTCTCTTGTTCTTGCCATATCGACATTTCGAAATGAGTATATGTAGGTGTTGATACTGACGGCGCTGCTTCATCTATGGCCGCAGCAGCAGGAACTAAGGTGATATCTATACGCTCCCTATCTTCTAGGATATGGGTCATGGCGATATCTGCAGTGCCGTGCTGCCCAAAGTCCGCTCTCCCTGTGCTCTTGCTTCGATCCACGGTAGGACCTCCGATGTGGTGGTATATATTTCCTTCGGTTGGTTCGGAACATGGTCCTTTATGCGATCTGGCGATACCTGGAATGCTCCCGGACTGCTGCGTTGACAGCGAGACTAAGGATTCTCGCCCTCGAATTGAGGGAGATGACGACGGGCTGCGACCCATGGGGAGACTGGCTCCATCGTAACAGTAGCCCCCAAATTCCAAGTTCGCGATATCACTGAAACTCTCGATGCGGGAGCTAAATCTCAAGTCTGGAGAATCGTGGTTGTTGCCCTGCGGGTTGTCCGGCCGGGGCTGGGGTGAAGGGTTTCTGGACTGAGCCATGGTTGTCATTCCAAGACGCTCAGAGAGCGCTTATCTTTGTTTTCAGCACAACGGGGCAGTTGAGGTGGGTTGAGCCAAGTCGGGTACTTCTTTCTGTCATCTTCTAGTGCTAAAGCGAATTAAAAAAAAATGAAGATGGAAGTGATAAACCAAAAACCAAAAAAGTGACCAGATTATGAACCGGACAAGACAGACAGACAGACAGACGACAAGAGAGGGTAGAAGAGTGGGAGAGACTTTGCTAACAAAGAATCGACACCGGGAAAGATGTAAGATCGGGGGTTGAGACCGTACTGACAGGCTCCGATGCGGCTGAACCCCGATCAACAGCCAACGCCCGCGCTAACTGCGCAGGTGGGTATGACACCCAAAGGAAATCGGTCTCGGGCGCTTACGCCACGTTGCTAACTGGGTCGTGACCAGATTGCCGACAAGAAGATCATAGACGCCAAGACAGGCATGCAGCGTCCCCAGGAAACGAGAAGGAGACGGTGAAAGAGCAAAGGCGAGAGCGAAGGGCATCTTCGATTCCGCAGCGCAAATTCTACAGCCACCAAGCAAACACCTTCGTCCTTCTCATTCAGCGCATGGCGTTGAGACTGGGGGCACGAGACGCAAGGAGTGTATTTTGCCCATTGCAAGCCGTCCTTGTCGCACCAGCAGAGGCTCTTCTGCAGGTGCTAGCCAAATGAGGGCGTATTCATGGCAACCTTGACCAAGATAGTGTCCGAATTGGCGTTGGACATGTCTGCTTCTGGCGGGTGGGTGTGGTGGCACGGCAGTTTCTGTGTAACGATCACTCGCCAGACGCGACAGTTTCGTGGCCCTGGCTTGGTGACCTGCCCATCACTCCTCGCGATGAAACCCATCAAGGGTGCCAGACGATACCACAGGAAGCCTGTCAACATGTCAGCTGCTCGTCGCGACAAAGGGAAGCCTGGGACCCTACCTCGCTTGTTGGAAAATTGGAGCAGATGGGAAGTTTAAGCGCTTAGTGGCTTATGCATGACAGCCATTTCGGGCGAACCATTGGAGAAGAGAACGGATATTCGCGCCTATAAACACGGATGGTACACCGGTACATCACTTACGCCATAGCTACACCTAATCAGAGCTCATCACCTAAGCCTATTTACTTACTTCCACGCCTAACACATATACACCTAATACTTATTTACTTAATAGGGTATTAAGTGTATAGGTGCTGAGTGTGTGGGTGCTGGGTGTGTGGGTGCTGGGTGTGTGAATTGGGTATGGGTATTGGTTTAGTGCTGGCGATGTATCGGTGTACCATCCGTTTTTGCAGGTGTTCTCTTGGAGAATCACCCACTACCTAGGTACTAATTATCAGCAGCCAATGGGTGCTCGGGAGCTACCTAGGTAGGTAACAGACGGACCGCACCTTCCCCGGAGGACCAGAGAGGCGGGTGCTGCTTGGCTCCTCCCCACGCCTGACAACTCGAAAGCAACTGTCTCACTTCGGAGCATCAACAGCTTCATGTCTGCTTCCTGATTGTATACACTGAGCCTCTCTAAAGCACTTCCGATTTCCTGGGCCGCTGCATGCGCTGTCTCAGATGCCATGGTTCGATTTTGACCCGACTCGCTATCCCTTTCATCTCTGCGTCGAAGCTCGGTACCTTGGTTCGTATCAGGGGAACGGACGGAAGCATGACGTGGTGTTGATGTCGTGATCCGGTGTGCAGCTTTGCTGTCATCAGGCTGTCCAGTTAATGAGATTCCCGGGTCTGTTTCCCTGACACCGGTGTAAATGTCCTGTTGTACTTCAAGGTTGTTGGACAATGGAGGTAGTTAATCTATCTCGCTTTGCATTCTGCATACTCTCTGTCTTCTCCCGTATTGCGACGAGCATGCTATCCCCAGGAAGCTGCCGTGTTACCTTCGGTATTTGAGAACATGTGACCAAAGGGTTTCTGGACATCCTATGCATGGTACGGTGACTCCGAACGGAAGGGAATCGAAATAATGGAGGACCGAGATTTTCGCACACGCTGTGTCTACCTAGGAGGGGTCCTTGCAAACGAGACCGGCATGTACTGGTGCTGGTCGATTGACTAGACCACCGTGCTGGCCAGTGAAGCTCTCGGGCTTCCACTTCTACGATTGCAGGGGCCCATGGTGCTATCTCTGGTTCGGCTCAACTTCATTGGAAGGCTTCCACCTCTGATTCTCCATCTCCCACAACTCCCCCAATAAGCCGACCTCGCAAACTCCTACGACCGTATCACAGCACCTCGTGACCTCCCTTTATTAACCCTGAGGTGTCTTTCGATTGAGCATGGCTTCAATGATCTTCTCAGATGACGAGGCCAAGTACCTCCGGGCAGTCCTGAAGTGGCAGGAGAAGAACCCCGAGGACAATCGAGCAAGCTGGATGCTAGGCCTCCGCGCGCCAAAGCCCGTCGGTGAGTTCCGTATTTTGGTGATTGGGGCCAAGGGTGTAGGCAAGACGTCAATCTTGAAGAAGGTAAGCAAAGTTTCGAGTCGAATAGTCGAGGGTACTTTCAGCTCATTCATCGCGGGCAGTTTTGCACCGGTGTCTTCCCCGACCCTGCGAGTCTGGCCTCGTCAAGCAACATCAACGGTTGCCGACGCAACATCACCATCGAGTCAAATGAGGGCAAGCACGTCGAGTCAAATCTGTACACCGTCGACGCGCTCGAGCTCCCCGTGGAACACCTGTCGTTGCCTGAACATCTCTCACAGGCCTTGGCTATCACGGATGCGGCGGTACTGGTGTACGACATCACCGACCCAGCATCCCTCACTTTTCTCAAGTCAATAGCGAATTCTATTTGCAGCTCGATCCACCCAGGCAGGACCGCGGCCACCCCGACCAAGAAGAAGAGTGGACTCCACCTGCCCGGCTCATTAACCACAAGAGAAACCAGCGACGCGACGCACAACACAAGGCCCTACCATTTCCTGCTCATCGGAGCAAAGCGAGACGTGCCCGACTCCCTGCGCGAGGTGTCCTGGCTGGAGGGCCAAATTGCTGCAGAGGAGTTCTTCGGCCCTTCGGGTATCGCGGCCGGTGCCAGCGTGAGCTTTTTGGAAGTTTCGTCACGTACGGGCGAGCAAGTGGATGCCATCTTCCCGTCCCTGTGTAGCGAGGTGCTCAAGAGCCGGAAGGAGAGGCAGGCGGCGTCGTCGCAGAAGTACTTGTCGGCGCAAGGATCTGGTGGGTTGTCTGAGTGGGACATTTCTGACTTTGACCATGATGCGGACGATACTGATGATGATGGGCAAACAGATGGAAGTGGAACCATGGCCGGGTCCGTGAGGCGGAGGTGGGCTGCGTTGAAGGCGAGCTTGGCCGCGTCGATTTTCAGAAGGTGAAGAGCACGATGGTTGATACCAGGATGAGGAGAAGCTGTGGGTGGGATTTGGATGTGGAATCATGTGCCTGCATACGTTGGATTTAATACCGCGGGCACAGCAGCAGCCGGACTTGGACGGGACGATGTGTTCCCCCTGTCGAAGATGGCTGTCAACGTCGGAAATTCAGGCTATCCTTTCATGAGCGTCTGCTCTGGATCAAGACACCAGTGTACTGAACTGTCAAATGCTCTGAGCTTCCCTTGATTCCTCACCCTTCAAGACACATTAGTGGACTTGTGGGCGGTTTGAGAAGGGGCTCCTCTTTCCGTAATTGTTTCTTCGCGCTTCGAATGGATTCGGATGCAGGTTGGAAGCCCTACTTCAAAATGCCAACATGAAGTCTAACACTACTACACTCACATCCGAACCAGTCTCTATTGAAAGAAGGTGTGTGTTCAATCTTAGACAAGCGACTTCCTCATCAGCACGCTTCATTACGCCTGACCAGCCTTGACAAATTCGGCAACAGAAGAGGAAATGACTGCCCATGGAATCACACCCAGTTCTTCATCTCTATCCCCAAAGCACCGTGCCCCATCTCCTAACTTTATGTCTGGATCTTCGGCTTTTTGATACCATCCTCTTCCTTACCTATCGTTCTGCTCCTGCGGAGTTGTTGACTTGCTCTCTCCCACTCTCTCGCCCTCCATCCCCCATCCGGTCATGTTAATTGACAAGTTTCTAACTTGGCTAGACATTGCTGCTTTTCGAGGTGCTTTTCTCCATCTTCCCCGTCCCAAAATCGTTCCTTCTTCAACGTTTCCCTCCTTGATCACTCAAGCATACAGACCGTATCTTGCTGCCTTGTTGGTCTTTCGTCCTCACCTTCTCGCCGTATTTGCTTTCATTTCACATCCTCCAGCTCTCATCAAGATTACCAGAGCCATCCATGAGGCAGGAAGCCATCTTTCAGTGGGAACGCCCTTAGTCCTTGATAACCTCAAAAAATAAAGCAGCCAACATGTCAGGCTCTCAACAAGGATTGTCCACTCCCAACGGCAATATCGTCTCTTTCGACGATATCAATGCCATACTCAAGTCCGTCGATTTATGCCAGCCGTTCCAAGTTCACGTCATGAGCAACCCAGTCGAAAATGGTCAGAAGCAAACTCAGCTCCAGATCCGAAACTGTACAGAGTCAGAGTTCAGCAGCAACACAAGCAAAACTAACAGCAACAAACCCAAGCACGCGAGCGAACCTTACGACAGTCGAGCGCTAGTGAAGCAACTCATAAGCCTTCAGCTAACCGACAAGAGCATTGTGGAGCAAATACTAACAAGTCCTCAACCAGCGGCACTCAGTGAGCTTACCGCCGCTCACAGCAATGAGAGCATAATTCCGCTGGTCACTGCCGAAGACGGTCGAGTTTTCTCGATCCTCGCTGGACAGCTGGCCTACAGCAACTGGGCTGGCAATTACCCAATGGAATTCTCACAGGGCCCCGTACGCATGCTCGGCGACCGCGCTCTCTTAGCTGAGAACATCACTGCGTACCAGAATGATGCGCTCATGAGAATGGTGCGAGCAGTCAGTCATACGAAAGATGCATTTGAGTTTCATAAACCAGTGTGGGATTTGCACCCAGGAATCTGGGATAACTACATGGAGCTGGTCGCAGAACCCATTGACCTAAAAACCATGCAACACATTCTCCGTCACAAAATATACGCAACCATGGCGGACTTCCGGAGACATGTCAGCCTCCTGGAGAAGAACGCCCGAACCTATAATGGCGATCGCAATAAATTTGTTATTGAGGCAGCTACAAAAGTCGTGCGTGACATTTATCGCCGGATGAATGAGATCCCCGCAGAGCCGCCTGTCGATCGGCAGGTTGTAACCCAGATCCGTCGGGTCATCTTCGTCGATGATGATGGCAGTGGCTCCGCGGCCAAGTCCGATACTGACGGTAGTGCCGCCGGTGATGAGAGTGAAGATTCTTCTCGCGAAGAAGCTACCGGATCCGAGCCCGAGGCCGGGGCCACCTATGGGTCTACTTTTGTGTTGCCGCTGGGCCGACTGTGTGTCTCCAGAAACGCAGGTGGTGATGGAGTCATCGTCACGCCCTACATCGTCGTGGTGGATCTTGCGTCCGCTTTCAAAGCCCTGTGGCTGATCAAGGACAACTACATCCCGGTCGGACTCCCAGGCGACAAGAAGACGCTGCTGGACTTCGGGGGCAGTTACAATATCACGATTGGAAAGCTGGCTGACGACATTGAGGACTGGAAAGTCCGCCAGAGTCCTGGTCCTCGGGCCGGCCTTAGCAGCACAAAAGTACCGGTCTTGAGCTGGGAAAGCGTGGAGAATCTCGTCTATCAGTTCGGAAAGGACAATACGGTACTTTTTGATCTTGTAGAGGCTCGACAGGAGGCGGCGGCGGCCATTGAAAAGGGTTGGAACGAATCCACAGAATCTATGGAAGACTTTGTCGAAGGCTATGACGAGAACCTCGACAACTTTGAGAACGAAGAATACAATGGCAACAATCTGGGTCACCAGTAGTGGTGGGAAACGGCATTGGATACGTGACATAGTGCACGCAAGCGGCGAGCCGAGGACGAGGATGACACAAACGGCGAGTGCGAGCCCCAGAGGGAAGTACGGACCATATCGATGACACAGGCGAGACGTGCCTTGGGTGAATATCATTCGGGCTGTCATTAGGCCACAAGTAGAGACGAGAACAAGGCATCGGAGGTCATGGGCTCATGCGGCGGAGCAAGGTCAAAAGCCGACGAAACGCAACACCCACTGGCTGACCAAGACGAGACGACAAATTTGAGAGCTTGGCAGACAGATATGAAGTCACGAGGAATGACATAACTAAGAGGAGAGAGAGACCTTCATACGTTTGGGTGCACACCGGCCTCATTGGGGATAAAAGGCTCGACTCGGAGTGCTGATGGCATAGCCAGCAAACAGCCAGTTCCGTCCGTGTGCTTGCCACAGGGATAGACAGTCTCGTAGAGTCAATGAATTAAATCTTTACAAAAGTAACTCTAGCCATGGCCGTTTCCAATCATACTATTTTCTACATAGGCCTTCGAGCCTTGGTGCTCTCCTAAAGGAGTGACTCTACCACCGTTCGCAACCGCAATGCTCATTCCCACAAACGGTCTATACCCCCAAGATCGACCATAACGCCTTGCAATGAAAGAGTATTCTAGAAAAGTCAGATGATTCCTCAAGCCAAAGTAGCCGGGTCTTCCTCCCCCTTTACTCCTACAGCGGAAGGCAACATCACCACCAGTCCCTCCGCGGCATCAAATCACAGTAATCTCCCCGGTTCCTCGTCTGGCCCAAGCGCTACCAGACCAGCAGCATCCAGGTGACCCAGGCGAGCATGAACACCGCCACGGACCGCCGGTCGTTCTTCCTCGCCTCGTACCAAAACATGGGCCCCGGTCCCTGCGGCGAGTCGCTCGTAGAGGCCTTGCCGCAGCAGCCGCCGCGGTACGTGACGTTGTTCATGGCCGCCGCGACCTGGAAGACGGCGCCAGAGTCCTCTGCGCCACCAAAGTTGTAGTAATCCACGTTCAGCACAGTGGGCGGCCGATCGTACGTGGAACGGCAGTTGTTGGCGGCGAGGCCGAGACTGCCGAAGCCGGTGTAGTTGTTGGTCAGATTGAGCTGGGACACGTCCGGAACAAGGATTGATTGGCCCAATATGGACACTTCCGCGTTGAGGTTGTGGTTGGTGAGGTACATCATATTCTTGGCTTGCTCAAGGGGCAGGTTGTCAGGCCGCTGAGAGACGCAGGGGAAGTTCTGGTCCACCGGGTCGAAGGGAGTCTCCCACATGTTGCTGAACTGATCAATCCACCACGGGTAGGCCGTCTGGTTGGCCATATAATCCAACAGAAGGACCACGCGGGTGTTGAAGATGATCATCTCGGCCAGGGTGGGCCAGGTGGTCAAGTTCATGGGCTGGTAGGGCGGAGTATAAACGTAGTCCAGGATGCCCGTCGAGTTGATGTGGTCCACGTACAAGTCCGGCGTCGAGTAATTGCCGTTCTCGAGCAGGACTGTAACAACGTCAAAACGGTTGGCAGCGACCCAGTTCTTGACTTTCGTGAGCCAGTCTGTGATGGGGCCTCCGTCGAAGATGTCGCACGTGGTATGGCAGAAGTGGGGGACGCTGTCGTTGGCATTCCAGTGCATCTGACCCTGGAGAAACCTCACACCATCGTTGAGCTGCTGCGTCACATCCAAGGCCTGGTTGGAGGCGAGGTTTCCAGGCCTCACGAAGGGCGAGTTGTGGCATCCCACCATGGTGATGTTGCTGTATTTGCGGTCGCACAACTCTACATAGTTGTTGCAGGGCTGGGTGTTGACCACAGTTGGGGCCGTGGAAGTTGATGACGGGGTGACAGAGAAGTTGCCAGGGCGCGTTGCTGTGCCCGAAACCGTTCCTGTGATGGATCCGGTGAGGAAGGTGACAGTTCCAGACCCAGACTCCGACTCTGTGGCATTATCAGTGGTGGTATCCAGGTCGGATCCAGTTAGAGTGGTTGTGGCGAGAGTGATAGTGCTCGAATCAAACGAGGGCGTGGGCCTGTCTGGAGGTATCGTATGAGTGCCCGTGAGGATGATAATGCCAGACTCCTCAGAGGATGAGGACGAAGATCCGGACGAGGTGGTATCCTCATCCTTATCCGCAGCACGAGCGAATGACCCGAGGCTGACGAGAAGCAGCCCCCAGACCCTCAAGGGCGCCATTGCTGGGTGAACAAGCAGGAGGCGGATGTGGTGGAGGGCGAGTATCAAACAGCTCCTGATCTTTCGGGCTTCAGCCCGCGAGCCTGCTGTATTAGGGCTGTCAGGGTGACGATGGACTGGTGTCGTCGGTTACTTGAAAGATGAAGTTGAGATGCTATGTTGTTGGCAATAAAAGGCCTATTTCCGGTTGGTGGCGATGGTGATGCTGGCCGAGTGATGCCAGAATTTGAGAGGGTCCAGGACAGCGACGAGAGTTCCAGACCGCGTTGCCGTGGCGGTGGATAACGGTGAATGGGGGGGACCCTTGCTGCTGTCTGATGTGTGATGTGTGGCTCTACTGCTATAGAAGCACCGTACGGTCAGGTACGGTTTTGTACGGTACGGTGCTTTCGCTGTGGCAGTTGTGGGTGAGATGCTTGGCTCTTTCCTTTCCTCCAGCTGGTGGAATTTCGGCCAGGCGGGAAGGAGCTCACTGATAGCCAGCAGACCGGCTACGCAGGCAGGCAGGCAGGCAGGCAGGTAGGAGACTGACGGAATAAGTGAGTGATTGACCGACTGAATGGTTCATCAGACGGCTAGAGCGCTGGAGCGCTGGAGGCTGGAGCTCCGTGGAGGTCCCATCGTAAAATGTGGATATCTCAAGGACTGAACGGCAAGCGCTTGTGACAGCATGACGGACGACAGGGGTTTCCACGGGGGCGATGGGGTTCCAAGAAGGGGGGCGCGGCACCAAGATCTCATTCTCAGGTTATTGCCTTTGGTACCATCTTCGGCCATTTACGGCCATGTACGGCGAGTCGCGACAGGCCTCCCCTGCCCAGTAAATATCTGTGGCCCATCACCATATGTGCTCCTCTCGCTTGTTCGTATACAATTTTACCCCAAATCAGGGCCGCCAAGCTTTCGGGATCCCGGCAATCGGCCAGCACACCACACTGCTTGAAGTGCTTACACTACATTAGGCGCACAGTAGCTGCCTCAGCATTGGCAGTTTCATGGTCGACCATTTGTCAAATTTTCGTGGACCTGCGGCGTCGGGCGGTGGTCGAGGCTCCAAGTGCGACAGGAAGAACCTTGGACTACGAGACTGCTGCAGTACAGACTGACGTCACTTTGGGCAACGTCTCTTGGGGAACAAAGGCAAGAGGGCCGGCCAGCGTCTCACTTTCGTCCTCATTCTCCCTCACGTTCGCTCTCTCGCTCACCCACCACTGCGCCTGCCTAGTGAGTAGGTACTGGACACTCAATACATGGGTGGGGCTGAATTGTGCACGACGATGATCGCTCGATAATGAGCTGGAGGCCATGGAGACTTGGTCCGCCGGGAGCCCTGGACATGCCTAGTCGCTCGGCTCGGCACTCAGTCAGCCTTCTCTAGACCGCATCAAAGCTTGTTACGGTATTTCGATTGGTCTACACGGAACGGCGACCTGACCAGCTCAGCCATGAGAGCATACGTAACCTATCCAATCCTTCGACAGTTGTGTCTCTCCCCATTCGTATTCACCGGTGGTGAGATAATTATGTATCATAGCCGTACAGGCAGGCTCTGATCGACCATTCGCGAGCAGCAGTGGGCAGAAATGACAATCTGCTGTCGAATTGACGATCGTCAAATCCATCGTCGACTCAGACACATGGATGCCTCCACTGAGAAAGTGGGCTCGTGGCCAGACAGCTCAGGATCCCAAGCCAGAATCAAAGGAGTTTCCGGGAAGATTTCTCGAAACGAGCAGGGATTGGGGCCCAGCAAAGCTTTTGCTGACTGGCAGAGCCGCCAGCTGCCTTACCTCGCTCAGGTCTCGTCTCGTTTTCCTTTGATCCATTCAGTCCAGTTCGGCCCCTGCCCTTGCCGCCAAGCTGCCACGCAGGGCAGGATTTTGGCTTGAAGGACCCACGATCGCCGGGTCGCTTCAGGGGTCCATCTCCCTTTCCAATTGATCCCATCAGCCTGGAGCCTGCAATGCCACACTTGTGCGGCCTGCTGCCAGACTGCCAGACTGTGCAGCACGGTACAGCGTGCAATCCAGACCACTTGTTCACAATGGCTGGCTGGCCGACCCACTCCTCAACCGCATGGGCAGATGGGTCGTGGCGCCAGTCCGGATTTCTTTTTTGATCCCAGGCCTCTCCTTCTCCAGTTCCGCCTGTCTGCGCTCGAGAGCTCCAGACCAGCTCCAGCTCCAGCAGGTCCATTCCCAGCCGCCCGCTCCTCGCCTGTCTCCCCGGGGGGCAAATCGATGAGGTGGACGCACATAACATAGTCCAGGTTCGACCAGACTAGCACCTGCATGTCGTCACCCTGGCGCGGACAACGGAAGGGTAGGAGTTACGGTCAACAAATCCCTCCACGCCAAAGACACGGACAGAGCAACCGGCCAGCCGGCAAGGACACGGGCATCAACACACACAGCCTCTTTCCAGGCCAGCGAATCCGGCCTGTTAAACACTCGGGCTCCCGCTTGGCGGTTGCTGGGCGCCTCCGACTCATTCATCGCCTGTTTCCACCCGCGCGTGTACAGCATTCACAACACTGCCCTGGGCCAGACTATCCAGCTTTTTACCCACCTCAGGGTCCCTGCCGACCTCGCAATTACAGGACTCGTTCATTGTACCCATTCATACATGACGCATTAAGCTCCATTCTTTAGCTTTGATCACTGCGAGTTGAATCTTGAACTTCACCACCGTCGCCGCCGCCACTACCACCACTCTCGTCCTTCTGGGCATTCAACACCGCGTGCGTCTCACGGCGGCTCCCGCGCAGTCAGGCTCCCTGAGCTGATCGTACCGCCCGCAGCGTCATGGCCATCCCGGCCCCCTTTCAGAGCTTGCACAGGCGACGCACAACTAAGAGTTCGGCCGGGTCTTTCGACGCAAACTCGACCATATGGGAAGATGACAGCTACTGGTACAAACTAGACCTCCGCAGGAATACCAGAGCCCGCTCTATTTTTGCAGGGCTTGCCTCCCTTCTTTATCTTCTCTCCTGGATATTTCTCATGCTAGTGAGTTCGATCTGTCCGCTTCTGACGTTGACCCCCTGGCTGACCACACATGATCAGGTCGAGCTCGGGCAAACAAAAAAGGGCAAGGTGCTCGGTGAGATTTATTTCTTCAGGCTATCTCTTGCCGACATTATTCCTACCTCCATCGAGAACGCTCAGCTCATCAACTCCATCGCGCGTGGCATCGGCCTCCATGACTTCTACCAACCCGGCCTGTGGAACTTCTGTGAGGGTTTCAACGATGAGTGAGTGACTGGGTCTGCTGGACCTCATGGACCGATAGATGCTAATCACCCCTTCGCAGAGGCATCACGAGCTGCTCCAGCCCCAAGAGCTACTTCTGGTTCAACCCAGTTGATATCATCTTGAACGAGCTTCTCTCCGGGGCCACCATTGCGTTGCCCGCAGAGATCACCCAGATCCTTGGCATCCTCAAGATATGCTCCAACATCATGTTCGCCTTTTTCCTCGCTGGCACAATCATCTCCTTCCTGATGGTCTTCCTGTCACCGATGGCAATCTTCTCACGGTGGTGGGCCCTGCCCATGTCCATCGTCTCGTTTCTGACCTTCCTGATCATTCTGGTCGGAAGTGTCATCGCTTCGGTCATCAGCTTCGTCTTCAAATATGCCGCCACCGCGCAGACGTCCCTCAACATCAACGCGTATGTGGGGACCCGCATGTTTGTTTTCATGTGGATCTCAACCGGGTGCGCATTTATAGCATTCATCCTTCATGCCGGGATGGGATGCTGCTGTACCAGCAGACGAGACCTCAAGAGTGGCAGGAAGCCAATGCGGCACTCGAGTATGAAGAGGGCGCAGTCAAAGCGATCTCAGATGTCGCAGGTAACCCATTCTCGAGACACCTCGGCGGCTAGTCAGCAGCCTCAAGGGAGGAGCAGGAGCAACACCGCCTTCTCATTCGACCAACAGCCCGCGGGCCACAGCAGGAGTGGGACGGTGCTCTCAACACACGACGAGAACGGAGTTAGCCGGTCGAATTCCTTGAACGCGAGCAACGCCGGCGATGTCAGCCGGTCCAATACCCTCCGCGGTAACAACGGACAGGTCAACCGGTCCAACACTGTAGGCTCCATCACCAAGTCACAGCAGCCGGGAAGGAGCAGGACCAATACACTGCGGTCCATTAGGTTCCAAGATGAACGACCGCCCTCGTACGAGTCCGATAAGACTGCCGTCAATGAGAAGCAAGGAGGAACAACCACACCGCACCAACGGGGCACGAGTTCCTAGGTCGAAGACGTGTCCCTAGGTCAGTTTGACGGACCTTCTCAAGACCAGGGCAAGAACAAAAGCGACGACCAAATCGTGGCCAAAGACGAGGACATTGGATGGCCATCTAGTACATATCACCCCTAGGCCTCCACAGGGCGACGACATTTGTCACACTTTTCCAATACGATCCGGGGCGGACAGACGCTGGCCTGTGATTCAGCGATCTTGCAAACTTTGGCGAGGCGTTACAGGATAGACTTTGGGTTTTCATTAGACTATTAGAAGTCCTATTAAGCAGGTGTATGCACTTGCACATCAGGGCAAGAGGCACAGATGCAAATTGGGTATCATTACTTAGATAGCCTCATACTCGGCCCCGCTGAGAATCAGGGTTAATGATAGTGAGACTATGCTCTTCTGAGCTGCTAATATTCCTTTCGTGTCAGACTGATGTTGATTGTGTTGTGTGATGTGGTATCTTTTATTCCTGCTGTTGGTTACCGTCCAGGCCGCCTGCTACACAGCAGTAGTAATACTAGGTCTCTCCGGGTCGCGGCAGGTAGGTGTACGCCTGTTCTCATGCTCTCGTCGTCTCGCCGGTGTACAACAGATTGCACAGCTCTCAGTTCGAGGTCTGTCATCTCAGACCTCATCGAAGCGGCTTGAGTCCCGCGGAGTCGACGCCACCAGGGCCCGTAGCTGTGTCTAGACCGCAAGGGAGTTCCCAACCGGCCCTGCCCAGCCGGCCAAACACGCCGTCAGGCGGAACCCGCTCAGCCGAGCTTGTACGCCCTCCTCGCGGTCCGCGCGAACACCAGCGCCTTCTCGTCGTCGCTGAAGCTGCTCATGAAGCACAGGCGGTCGACGACCTTCCTCCACTTCTCCCAGGCGCCGTCTTCCGCGGCCGCGTCCCCGTCCTCGCCCTCCTTGCCATCCTCGCCGCCGTCCTTGTCGACGCCGATGGTGCTGACGGGCCAGTCGCTGCCGAACATGAGGCGGTCGGGCCCGAAGGCGGCGACCACGACGGCCAGCCAGGGCATGATGGACTCGAAAATGTCGTTTGCGGGCTGGCGGCGCAGGGCGTCCGACATCTCGGAGAAGGCGCCCGAGAGCTTCATGTAGACGTTGTCGGCCTTGGAGAGGGTGTAGATGGCGGTGCGCCACGAGATGAAGGCCGGGTCGGCTGGGTGGAGGGTCGTCAGGTCGGGCTTGCAGAGGTGGTCTGGTTGGGCCGTGTGTGGTCAGTCTTTGGTATCTCTATGATAGCGGCTGTATGAGGGGAACACTTGACATGAGAGAGTATGTGGGAGATAGAGAAACTCACTCAGTATAAATGTGACCTTCTCCCCGTCCGGCACGCCGTCATGCGCCCTCTCGACCATCGCGACGGCCTCCTCGAGCTGCGCCCTCCCGCGGCGGTGCTGGTCGACACCGACGTCAAAGACGAGCCCCTTGCGCCCGAGCAGCTTCAGGCCCTCGATGAACTTGGGCTGCAGCATCGTCCCCGCGGGCTTGTCCTGCAGCAGGTACCGGAACCCCTTGACCTTGGCCCAGACGCCCTCGCCGCCGTCCCTGTCGCACGCCTCGCGCACCGCAGTGATATACCTCTCCAGCGCCTCGGCCCCGGCCGGGAGCGGCGCCCAGGGGATGATGCCCAGGCACAGGGACGCGTCCTTCTCCTCGTGGCCCTCGCCCGGGCGCGGCCTCCCGCCCGCGATGCGCGCCAGCCACGACACCTCGGCCAGCGGGTGCTTCCACCCGCCCTCCGGGGTCGGGTCCGACTCGTCGTTCTTGCGGTCTGTCTCGAGGAAGATGAAGCCCGAGAGGAGGTCGTGCTGGGCCGCCGTGGCTGCCCGGTATTCTGAGATGGAGTGCTGCTTGTAGAGGGGCCCCTCGGGCTTGGCCCAGGCGAGGGTGTCGAGCTCGCTGGAGGGGAAGAGGTGGATGTGGGAGTCGATTATGGGGACCGGGGTCGTCATCTTGGGCTGTTGGTTCGGCGAGGGGCCTTGTGTGTGTGTGTGTGTGTTTTCTTTGTCGAGTTTGGTACCAGGTACGACCCAAGGTTCTTTCTATCAGGGCTGTTTCGTCGAGGAGACAGCTGTGTCGTCTGGGAAAGGCGTGGGAGGGCTTGGCCAGAAAGGAGTGGATAGAAGTGACCGTTTCAACAGCGTGGTATACCAACAATCCGAATTGGGAAGTTTTGGGTGAGAAGGTGGTTTGCTAAACAACAGCATTCACAGAATGGCTTGGAACAAGTTGACCTGGGAGCCGTGACAGCACATAGTGAGTAGAGCTCAGGAGTTGAGCGTCACGATGCGGGGCTACACAGCGCATCTCCAACGGGTGTACCCCGCTGTGGGCACTTGGAAACTCCACCGACCTCAGGGGAAGCATTGCCCCGAGGGGGAGAGGCGGATGAGCTAGAGAGCAACGGGAATTACCCGACGGATTGGCTTGGACTAGTTCATCTGATATTCGGCCTGGCAGGTCTTGTCTCCGGACGACGGGAGCTTCAAGGTCACAGTGAGATTTGAAAAAGAGAGTCACGTCACAGGCACGAAGGGAATTGAACATGTCCAATGCATAGATTCAACAGTCATCTAAACATTGCTTTGCCTGATCTTGCAGAGGCCAGTGCCTCGCATCACTCCGTCACCCCCTTACAACAACCGCCAGAACAGTGGCATGCCTGGAACCTTCATACATACAGCCAGATCCCAAGTACCATACTTTGCAAGAGGCTGGTCTGTCATCACCCAGTCGACTGACCGCAGATCAGGATGGGTGATGTGACAGTGCCTCGAAATTGATTGGCCGAAATAATTGGATCATTCCAAGACAAACGAGAATTAGAAGTTTCATACGGCCCGCCATAACCCTCGGCGCGGAGGGGGAGGCTCAGCCGTATGGGATCGCAGCATCGACCCAGCTGGTTGGGGGTTGCACGCGGTATCGCGACGCATCGAAGAGCTCACACGGACAAGGGGTGATTGGCCCGCGAGGGCGGAGATCAGTTGAGAACCAGTCTGCAACTTATCCCGCCTGCGAGCCAGCCCACTGTGCCCAGAGCACCAATGTCGATGGTGCGCACGTGTGACAACAAGTACACTCGAGACAGGTCGGACTTCGTCAGACCACAGCTGGTGTGGGAGATGTCTCCTGCTCGGAAATGAATGAAACGGCCTTTTCTTCTCCGTGGGCCTGGTGTCATTTTTCTGTTTCCTTTCTCAGGTGACCGTGATCATCCTCATTACTTTCCTCAAGCTCCATCGCTCATTCCATCTAGTGGCGAACGACGATGCCGTTCCGGCGCGAGGAGCTCCTGTACTCGCCATCCTCAGACGAGCAATCACTGCTGTCATCACCATAGCCGCAGCGGGACCCACCGCAGTCGAGACGAACGCGCTCGCCCTTGCGAGTGATGCCGTAGCGCTCGCACGTGCAGTTGGAGCAGTCGGACCCAGGGGTGCTGTATCCGGACATGCTGCTGTTGGGGCTGGAGCTGTCGGAGCGGTACGACAGGGACGAGCCGCTGGAAGACACGGGCGACTCGGACAGGGTGCCGAAGTCTGTGGTGATGTACTCGGAATCGTAGGGGTAGTCCTCGAGGCCTGCGGAGCCGAAGCGCTGTGCGAGGTCGTCGATGGACTCGTCCGAGTATTCCTTGTTCAGGATGTGCTGGTTCCCTCGTGGCGACATGGGCTTTGGGGCCTGGATCTGAGAGATGGACAGGGGGCGGCCCTTTGGCACGTCGACGGTCAGAGAAGCCCGCGATGAGCGGTGGGACTTCTCCCTGCTGGACGAGGAGTGGTGGCGGGATGAGGATGAGGATGAGTGGTGCTTGGAGCTGCTGGAGGACTTGGATGAGGAGTGGTGGGACGAAGATGAGGATGAGGACTTGGACTTGGGAACGTCCAAGATGTTCAGCTCACGTCCGGTTGTGGGCTCCTTGGTGGAGGCCTCGCTGGGGTTGTGCGAAACATGGTAGCCATCGATGATGTAGTAGTACCAGTATCGCTGGCCTGGGGCGAGGGTGGCGCTCTGGAATTTGAAGGTGCCCTTCCACGTGCCCTTTGAAGAGTTCTTGTCCTTGGACAGGGGGAGCTGTCCGACGTAGTTGTCCCAAGAACCGAGAAGGTGGACAGTCTTGACGCCAGAGGAAACACGGAGGGAGAAAGACAGCTGCGTTGACGACATTTTGTAGCGCTTGTTGTTTGTGATTGACACTGAAAATTAATGCTGCTGCTCCGGATTGACTTTCCGAGTTCGTTTCTCTGAAACAATAAAGATGTCGATGCGAGCAAGTAAACCAGAAATTGTTTATTAGGAACAGTCGTAACCGTGGATTGGGTATTAGAGGGTTAGTTGACCGGCAACTGAGACGTATCGTGAGTGCAAAAAAGGCTTGTGTTGATTTGGGTGATTTTTTGGGTATTATGGGTGTGATTAGCGAACAAGATCAATAGAGCACAGCTCTATGATTGAAAACAGAAAGAACAAGGGGGGAAGGAAGAAACGACACAAAAAACGAAGACTGGTTTGAGGATTGAGGGCTTGCTGAAGAGAGGAAAGAAGAGAAAAGCCAAAGTTTGGGAGGAGGGGGCCAACCATTATATGTCGAGGCCAACAACGACGGCCCGCACGGTTGTGGGTTACCGTTACCCGGGAATCGAGCCAAAGCACCAACAGAATCCCCCAGTCGTGTTGGACAGCTTTGACGGAGCCTTCTCGGGTCGATTCCTTTGCTTCGCTCGCGTCTTCCCTGCAGTGCGCAGCAATCATGATCCATGCCGCTCGATGTGCCCCGTTGCCTCGCATTGCATGAGCATGCCCATAGTGTGCCATGCCCTTGCCATGCCATCTGTACATACATGCAGAGTACTGTGTGCATGTATACCATGGCGTACCGGCCGGCATGGAGATGTCGAATCACCCACATCGCTTGATGCGGCCATGAAGCCAATGGGAAGGGCGTCGACAAGGACTAGCGGGTGTGCTGGACCCCAGAGTGCGGAGCCGGACGTCAGAATCACACGGGCGGAAGAGGGAGAGGGAGCTTGTCCCATTGCGTGCCCATTCCATCCCATGGCCATCCCGTGGCTGCTGACACTGTAACGTCGCCGGATGTTAGCAGGCTTCTGGGCACGGCAACAAGGCAGCCAGTGTCACTCTGTTCGGTGGTATGCGGTACATTACTTGTCGATGGGGGAGATGACGGCACTACTGCATGCTGGGCGGTTATGCAGGTGAATGGTCGGCCAACATGTGAGTGAGCCGGAGCGGAGGTGGGAAAAGAGGAGAGGCCGGTGGGAGCAGAGGGCGAGGTCGAGCTCTGGATGGTCGGCTGTTTCGAGGTGCTACCCTGGCCGGCGTCTAGATCCCTGCCTGCATGGGCCAATGGGCGGCCACTAGCACTCTGTGCACCAACCCTGGAGCTTCTGCTGGCATCCGCCGCTCCGCTTGCCCACCGCAACTGTGCAAGCTCAACCTTTTCTGCTCCCGTCTTTTGACATGACAAAATCACCCCTCCACCTTCTCCGGAGGACTCCACCCCCCCTCTTCCTCGATCTCTACTCCCGGCGTCAATTCTCCCCTGTTGGCTGTCTGGCCTCGCCCAATCACGGCATACACTGCATCCTTTTGGTCGTCGACTGTGGCTGCATAAGGTGCCATGCGAGAGAGGAAAGGAAGTCTAGAGTCCGCGGTGGAGCCGTTGACAAGTCACTCCATCATCATGATTGTTCGTCCTCTGCTTGTATCCACCAGTAACAAGCGGGCAGTCTGGAATGCCACAGTCTGAGCAAGTGCCACTCTCCTGCGCGGTGCCACATCCATTCGGTCGATCCATCACAGGACACACTGAGCAAGGCTCGGGCCCGAACCGGTTGGCGCAGGTTGGCAGTCTGTCGCACGAGCGGACCGACCTGGGACTCACCGAGGACGAGACATTTGGTCGGATCGAATCGGGTCAGGCCAGATCAGATCAGATCAGATCAGCGCGGCTCTGACGTTCGTCCTATTACCACCAAGAGGTGATATCTCTGGTGATGAAATAGGCCTGGCAAATAAGGCACGCAGCCACTCTTTTCCTCCGTTCTACCAGCAACCACGAGGCGAGACAAGGGTCAAGAGCGGGCATGGGTAGCTTCAGCTCGACGGCAGCTGCCCCTCCAAGCGACATGCAGCCCTCTGCAAGCATGCAGAATGTGCATCTCCACCAAGGCACTTGTGCAAGCAGGCTGCAAGCTGCAAGCTGCTCCGCCGAGCTTCCCATTGGGGCAAGGGCATGGCGCCTGCGGATAATTCCCGGTGTCTAAGATTCGATCATCGCTCGAATGACGAGCCAGGCATGCATCCCATCGTGACCTGCCGACGATGATCTGAACTATGCGGCATTTCACTCGATCGGTGAGTAGAGAAACGGGCACACAAGACCGACCTGACCCTCCGGCCTGGCGGACTGCTACTACTGTATAGTGCCACCCATCCTGTACCCACTGTTCACAAACCTCGCGATTACTGCGTCTAATAACTGGAGCCTCCTCGACACATGCCTGCCGACTATTCGAGGCACGAAAATAGCACCCGCGTGCAACAGTTCTCCACCGAGGGACAACTGACCCGACTGGCGCTCAAAGATCGAATCGCATGCCAGAGCCCCTCCTCCCCACTCCCGTGCGACCTTAATGACATAGTCACTTGGTTCGGTCCTTCGGGAAGACGAAGACGACGAGTAGTGTCTTCTTGCCTGGTATCCTTTGGCTATCTTTCCCGGGCGGAAGTTGACAGGCTGTGGCGTATGCACCCAACGCTTTGACTACTGCCGAAAAGCCATGGCTGTCTCTGATGTCTTTGCGGTTCAGGAGGTGGCTGCAGGGCAAAGTGCGCCTGATCGTTGTCTTTGCTGCGGTAAGCGAAGCCATCGCTTTTCCTGGGCTAGCTGCAGCTGCTGTCTTGCCGAGAAAGACTTGTGCGTGTCCATCGAGAGCCTCTGCACCAGATCTCCCAGCGAATGGGAAAGTCAGGCTTCACCCTGGCTATGCCTCTTATCCCATCCTAATACTTCAAGCTCACGAGGCCTTGTGAGTCCGAAGTCGATACGACCATGTGGAGACATTGGACGTTGGGCGTTCAGGACACCCTTACGCGCGTCCGGGCGACTACTATTCCCATAGCCGCCTTTAGCCTCTCCAGATCCATTCCGCAACTATCCATAACATAACAAGTCAATCCATAGTCCACAATCAGTGAGACCCTGCCTCCACACTCAAGGTCGTCTCCCCTCCCATCCTACATATGCATGAACTTTCACTAGCCTCGGCGGGTAGTAGGGCGCACTACTGTAGCTGGTCACAAGCAGCTTGCTGACGGGGGCGTGGAGGGTTCAGAAGACCTGTGTGCATTGGGGAGTCTTGTGCTGCAGCGATCCACTGTAGCTCAAGGTGAACTATAAGCCCAACAGCAAGAGCGCCTGCCCTGCATATGCCTCTCGAGGTGGATTGGCTCGTTGCACAAGGCCATGCAGGAGCCACATCTCTAGGACATTCATGTGCTTTCCGCCCGGTCGGTCAGGTCCGCAAAACAGTAAACCGTGATGTCTCGGTCGGTGCTCTTTGCACTTTGTCGGATCCTTTTCAACGTCCGGGGGGCTGCAGAATCTATCACAACGATACGCGTCAGCGCCTAAGCGCTCGCAGGCTTGCTTGAGCAAGTGGTCGGGTTGTCACGAGGGGGTTCATGCAATGTCAGCTTCTCGCAGGCACACCATGTTGAAGTATCGCCATCAACGAAAAGGGTGCTCCGTGTACTCAGTCGGAAGTAGTAGATCACCTCGGAATTGTCGGAAGTCTACATTGGTGGATTTCCGCGAGATAAGTCTCGGCAATTTGCATGGCTGGGGAGGTTGAGCAGGACATTTTCCGGGCTTTCATTGAAACATTTGGTGGCAAGTTTTCGGGCCAACTCAGGTTTGAAGCACACGGTTTCGGGCTCTGGTCAGCCTTTCACACCTGGGCGCTGGGGCTCATCTGGACGGGCACCATGACCCGAGCCGCTCCGACTGGCCGGCCACTTCTTGTTCATGACTTGTGGGATGGCTAGTGGATCCTTCACCTGCTAGATCTGGTGAGACTCGATCCCATCAAGCCATGCGCAATCTGAGCCTAAGAAACCCCCTTTTGAACTGGCGTCGGTAGCACTGAGATGCTGTCCTGCCAGCATGCGCATGGCAGCTTCGAGGCGACGGCGTAGGCACACGCCGAAAAAGCCATGTCCTCTGGCCGTGGACTGTCCTCGCCCGTTTTGCGGCCCTGGTTTCAGTTTTGGCGGCACAGGTTGCCATGCCGCGGGCCTGCTACACATTGGACTACAGGAGTCGGCCATGTGGTCGGCTCGGCTTATAAGATAGGCGTGGTCGGTCTCGTTTGAAGGATAATATCAAGCAATGTCCAACATCGAAAGTTGATAGACAACAAGATATTCCCATTACACCTGCAAGCTCGTATGAAACTGAGCCGGACTCCCGTGTGCGCATCTCCTGCTACCTCTCCAGTATGGCAGTCACCGTTCTCCTCGACTCGGATCCTCTGCTGCGCTCAGTCGTGTGTTTCGTACGGCAATACATGTCACAAAATGACGCCTCCCACAACTTCGAACACATACAGCGTGTAGTCAACCTCTCGCAATATATCTACTCGCACTCGGCAGAACCACTGTGCCAACACCTCGACATCAGACTGATCACCCTCTCGGCGCTCCTCCACGACGTCGGCGACAGGAAATACTTGAAATCGGGGGAAGACCCCTTCACGATGGTGTACACGCTCCTCCGGACCCTCGGCGCCCCGGAGGACCTCGCGGCGCGCGTCCAGGCGATCTGCCTGGGCGTGTCGTATAGCTCGGAGGTCAAGGACCCGGACCGCACGCGCCGGCTCATCGGGATGCACCCGGAGCTGGCGGTCGTGCAGGACGCGGACCGGCTGGACTCGATCGGGGCGATCGGCGTGGGGCGGTGCTTCACGTTCAGCGGGGCTCGGACGGACTCGTCGAGCATGGAGGAGGCGATGGGGCAGGTCGAGACGAGGCTGCTGCGCGTGGGCGAGATGATGAAGACGGATGTCGGCAGGAGGCTGGCCAAGGAGAGGAGTCGGAGGCTGAGGACGTTTAGGGACTGGTGGAGGGAGGAGGAGGGCGTGGTTGGGATGAATGGGGGTTGTTTCTGAGGGAATTGGGCTGGTTTGGTATATCTATCTTCATCTTCATCTCCATCATTTCATCATGTGCTGCTAGGCCTAGAACATGGCTTAGGCACAGCTCGGGTGGTTCTCCTTTCTGGTCGTCGGAGTAAGGATGGCGCTTTTACATGGTCTCTTCATGTTTTCTGGGCAATTCTCCTGGGAGTTTTCTTGTCTTCTCGTTCTATATCTCCTTTTTTAAAAACACGGGTCTGGAAGGAATTGATGAAACAGTGCAATGCGGCATAGTCATCAGCGCTAGATAAAAATCATGACCAGACAAGAATTCACCAGTCTACCTCTTGCGATTTGAAATGTACCACTCGACACATACTGTCCTTGAAATACTGTCATTCCCAACTTTTATGACAGATCTGAGGTAAACAGTACATCCCACATTCGCCTTGACGATGGTGTTGCGCAATAGGAGCTCGCCACCTGGTCACGAAGCGAGCAAAACCAAGGGGCTCGGCCGTCACGCCGGGAGACCTGCCCGGGCAGTCGAGCTCGAGCGCGAACTGTCTCTGCAAAATTCTGCCTGTATCTGGTTTGACAGGCACGCGGCCCCTATCTCCCCTTGCCTTGCTTTTTTTTTTTTTTTTCTGGCGAACAGCGACGTCAAAGCGCACTTCAGCTGAGCCGTCATGCACTCACGCTCACGGATGCACTGCATGGCTCGATTAGGTTCTCGTCCTGCGCGCGTGTGAGACAGCGTTCGGGTCCGTTTTCTTTCAATTCATGCTGTGCGCCCTCAAGCTGGCTGGCTGGTTGCCTGCGCGGTACGGCTGACAATACCCCAGCTGGGTCTCACGGCAATCAGCACGAGCGGGTGATGGCATGCTCCTGGCGTCCGCGCCCACTTGCCATGAGCCGTAAGAGAACGGAGTAACCCGAGGAAATCTGTTAATTCATGGGAGAATGATGAACACCATGAGTCCTGTGTCTAACAGGAAGTTATCCCACAGCACGGTATCTCATAGCAGGTTGTCCTGCAGCAGGCTATCCCCTGGAGGATATGCCAACAAGAGGGTGTCCCACAGGATGGTATCCCACAGGGGGATATCCCACAGGAGGGTATCCCACAGCAGATTATCCCACAGGAGACTATCCTATAGTAGGATATCCCATATGAGGTTATCCCACGGGAAAGGATCCCACAGGAGTTTACCCCACAGGAGCGATCGCTCTGGCGGGCTGGAAGCACTTTCATTGGGTGCGACGCTGGGAAAGCCACGTCGTAATCAGAGAGATGTGATGTATTTAGAGGATGGAGAAATATTCAGTGGATGTTCATCTCGACTCGAAACCAGGGGCAAGTGAGACCTTGTATCGAGTCTCAGAGGATGGTCAATGATAGTGCGACGTATTCGTTCAATTCGAATCGTAACATAACACGTGTGTGTGTAAGACATGAGAAAGACGTTACCTGAGGCTGAGCTTGTCTTGCTCTTGTGGCCGTGGAAAGTCGCTGCCCTTCGCTTATTTCTCGGCGGCTAGATTGGCGGCGCTCGTGTTCTGCTGTCTTTGTTCGTGCACAGAACATTTTCGGCCTTGCGGTACGCAAACACGGGAATCCATGCTCCGAAGGATTCACCCGCGAGGGTTGTTTTACTGCGAGACTCGGAAATGTCCATTCCTTTTGTGAGGCAGGTTCTTGCATCGTTTTTCTCTCGTTTTCGACTGAACCGAATTGAAATCAGCTGGCAGTAGTACGATGCCAAATTTTCGGGCTTGCCATTGACCTTGAAAGCACAGTAGCAGGACGTACTATTTCTGGATAATTACCATGCTATAAATCCTCATCCGTGACTAAAGTCCAGCAGCTCCGTCGTGTCAACCTCATGCCATTCGATCACGGTGTGAGATCCTAAGCCCTCGATATGTGATAGAATCATCGATAGGAACTTATCAAGACTTGAATCAACTATAATTAGCGGACGACAACTTCCTTATTTGAAGACAACGCGGGTGAATAGAAAAGAATCTAAGTCCTATCATGAATGTGGTGAACCCTAGCTATTGCCTTCCTGTTTGGCCCCTAGACCACCCTTCCAAAGAGCTTCTGGTTTGCAAGTAGGGATAGGCTCAGCTTCAACTGGGATGGGGAGTGGTTCTACATTATAAAAATCGAAATGAGTCTCATTACCTGTGCTCCTGTCCCCAGTCAAATCCGGCCGGTGTCTCCTGTTCAGCAGTCTTACAGCATAGCACCGACGATCAACCCCACAACACCAAGCCCAACACCGACGTGGTTGGACGCTGCACCTGCAGTAGGAAAAGAAGTAGTCGAGACCGCAGTCAGTGAAGAAGTAGAAGTGGAAGTGGAAGTGACCACGGGACCAGGTCCGGTGTTGCTTGGTTTGAACGCTGTGCTGCCGCCTGGCGGAGGTGAGCCCGCACCGCTGGGATTATTCGAAGATGGGGGAGACGCAGGCGGCGGTATGATAGTCGTGGCAGAGGCAGAGGCAGCGGAAGTGACGGTTGTGGACGGCGGAGATCCGGTCACGGCTCCTGTTGAGGCCGTGCTGCTCTCACTCTCAGTCTCGGTGCACAAGATCGTAGTTCCCGTTCCAACGGCAGTGGACCCGGTTCCGCTCGCTGGAACTGAAGATGTTGAGACCGTCACGCTCTGTGTCAATGTTGTCGCCGTCGTTGTGGCGGCGGACGAGGTCGCCGTGTAAGTAGGCGTGCAGCTGTCGGCTGGCAAGGTGAACGTGCCATTGAAATTGCCAGAGCCGCCATACACGACACAATTCTTGCTGCAAGCAGCGTCGCCCGTGGTATTAGAGGTCTGCCAGCAGGGAGAGTAGGTATTGCCCATTGGAGGCTCCCCGTCAAGGTTCTGTTCCGTTGATTAGTCTCGTTCGCGATGCCGACGTAGACAGATACGGAAGATGGGAACTCACATCGTTACAATTACCAGGCTGCCCGATGGCTTTATTATCACACCTCAAGATGATGTTGGATTCCATCGATCCTGCAACGCAGTACGCTTGGTTCGGTTGAGCGCACGTGTATTTCCCAGTTGTTTCATTGTAGCTGAACTGAGCTGCCGCCAGGCCCGCAGCGGAGGCAATGATCACGGCGGTTTTCATTTTGATGGCGGGGGAACTGAGCCGTCGTTCTTCTTGTTTGGCTGGAAGATGAGACGATTTGGAGTGAAGGAGTGAGTGACTCTGCTCATCCACTTATAAGTTCTCGAGATCTGGTGTTGTAGGAAAGCGACGAATGCAGCCCCCTCTTGTGCTCGGGACCACAAAGACAAGTCAGTGTTCAAAACACACGATGCGACCGAAATCAAAACACAAGAAGGGCCGATCCGCCTGAAATCAGAAAACCAGCCAGCCAGCCAGCCAGCTCAGCTGGTTCGCTACTCGTCAAACTTGCTGGCTGGGTGGTCTGAGGCCCTTGGAAGCTAGCTTATTGGGCGGCGTCGAGTCAACTGGGTTGGTGCAAAGCAAAAGAGATGAGGGTGAGTACTTGCATACATACGAAAATGACCTGGGGACAGCGGCCCGAGACATGCAGCCACTGATCGTTCAGCAAATGCATCGAGTTGCACCCCTGGGATTCTGGTGCAAGTGCAATCTGGGCACTTGATCAATCAGGGACAGAGGACGTAGCATCGCACACGACTGGTGGCACTTAGCGTCCTCATGTCACCGACCACAATCATGCTTGCAAAATTCCCAAAAGCCTGCCTAGGGAATTAGAACCACATCGTGAATATCCGGTGTCCATGCTCTACCCACAGTGATATGGAATGCGCTCGATATCATGTCCGGCTTATTTGAGAAGATGCAGCCCGCAACTCTCAGTAGAGTTGCTCGGCTGTCGACTCTGAAGTGAGTGATCGGCCGGAACCTATGCCCACTTCACGTCCGCGTGTCTGCTATTTTTTTTTCGACGTTTCGTAGTAGGTATTCCACAAAACATATGCACATGGAATGCAGTCGATTTCCACACATTTACCATAGTTGACCGCGAGGCTTGCGACTAAAGCAAAGAATTTCCGCATCATGGAGTACAGGACTAAATCTCGGTAGTCATTTTGATTGTAGCTTCTAAGTTAGAAGTCCTCCATATGGAGAGGAGCCAGTAGGTGGCCTGGGTTCCGTTAACAGTAGACATGTGTAAACAGATCTCACAAAAGTTACGAGACGCGTTGATCACTGAGATGCATGTCAAAAGAGAACCCTACATCTAGTAAGATCTGTCTTAATCTACCTCTACTCTTTGGCCCCCACCCCTAATCCTCAGGAAGAATCTCCGTGATGTTGCTCTTGGCTAGTTTATCCCTCTCATCTAGGACCTGAACCATCCGCCTTTTCACAAGTTCGTTCTTCTCGGCACCGGGCTGAATCTGACCCATGTGTTCCATAGATAGACAGATAACAGACTCCATGAGGCGCAGAGCCAGCGGACCCGCGATCCCAACGTCGTAGAAAGCGGGCGTCTCGTTCACTTCCAGAAGCCATGCCGTCCCGTTCGTGTCGACGAGAAAGTCCACGGCGAACAGCTCGAAGCACTTGTTTACCGTGGTGAACTTGTCAGCCATGGTATGGGCAGCTGCTCGGAAGAGTTCGCCCGAGATGCTGCAGACTTGATCGAAGACGCTGGACTTCCAATCTCCGGGGAGAAAGTCATCCGGGGCTGCCCAGAAGTCTCTCATCGACTCCTTGTTCACGAAGACATCCTCGTCCTGGAGCGCAGTGTTTGTCAGGGAGGCCTTGAGGCTGGGGTTTAGCCAAGGCGGCTCGTAGTCCTCCCCAGCCAACAGAGCAAGCATTTCCTTGAAGACGTAGACCTCGAGACGGCCCATGGCGAGAACATAAGCTCGAGCGTGCCACTTTCTCTTCTCCATCGGCGGGATGGAAATGATATATTGCTGAGCCACAAACTCACGGATCTGGGCTGAGGGGATTCTCCCCCCTTCCTTGAAGACATATTGCGGTTTGGGGGTTCTCTGGATGCCATTCTTGGGCCCTTCGAGTGACAAAGCCCCCGTGGTGGTGACGAGGGCATCCAACGAGTTCAGACCAGGAATGTTGAGAGTCGGTGAGAAACCATTGGGATTTCCGTCCTCCGCATCGTTGGCTGGTTTGCCGTTGACTTCGACAGCCTGCTCGCTGAGGTCGCTCTCCTCATCTTCGTCAAGCTCATACTCGGCAAGCTCGAGACAGCTTGCGAGCTCATCCATGGTGCTGAAGAGTCGAATTCCGGCGCCGCAGTCCACCAACGCTGGCTTCAGGATCCACCACGCACGCTCCTTGGCGGTCTTGAGCTCGTTCTCCTCGAGCGAGGACAGCAGCGTGAGATCGTCCGCGGCAGTGAGGGCCTCGTCGACGTACTCGGCGTAGTCGAGAGACAGGCGCACCGTGAGCGGGACATTGGTCCTCAGAATACTGTCTGGTCTCTTTGCTGCCCAGAACTCGATCACTTTGGAGAGGTAATCCTTCCGAGCCAGGGCATCGCTGCTGGGGTACGCATTTATGAGTGCCGACTGTGCCGTGTTCAGGAGGGCAAAGTTGCGGTTCAAGGCCCATCCGTCACAGTACTGAAAGACAGTGGATGCATCTGACGGGAAGTCGTCAAAGTCATCGATGAAGACGGCACCCGGCACGTGCTCTCGGATGAATGACTTGATGTGTTCGCCTAGCCAAGGCACCGCTGGCTGTATGTACACATGCATCTTGTCTTGGATCGTCGTGTCCGAAATGCTTGTCGTGTTTAACGCGTGTCGATCCATTCCTCTGGAGGGAGCGATGCTTGTCGAGGAATCATGTAATGGGCGGATCTGGGTTCCATAGAACTGGTAGCAGCTGATCTGGATCGCAGCGTCAACTCCCGTAACGGTTGACAACGACGGAGGTCTGATATCCGTAAGACGATGACCTGCAATTGCAATGGGAGGATAGAGGAAAACATGATCTTGTCCGCCATTTATACAGCGATCCACACTGGTTGGGCGGCCTGAGGATCGAGACGATGGTCATGGAGCTGGAGAGGCCAAGAAGTATATCTGCAAGCCAAGCGGCAATGCTGGATACTCGTTACCTAACCAAACCCGACTCATTACATTCACTATTTCCATTAGACATAAACCATTTTAAAAACGTAATTTGTGCCAAACACAGACCGAATCTGGCCAAACTGTCGATCCCAGTGCCATGGCCTTCTTTTTTTGACAATATCCTTGGAAGCCCCCTGTGGCTGCAATTGTTTGTGCCGTCTTTTTCTGCGTTTTCGGACAGACTTTGACACCTAATTCGTTAGAGGAACTCGTAGAATACTTTTTGTAGAAGTGTGCTCAGCGAGTAGAGGACATAATTGTATGTATCAAACAGCTGAAGTTATCAAGCCTTTATGTTGTAGATTTATATTCTGTGATATATCCTGCGATCTAGGGCGTAGATTCAAACACACATGCTCTGTAAAGAAGAGTGTTTGTGTCAGCAAAAAAGTGACTGTGTCGCAATGCCGGCCATTGCTGCCTTCAGAAAGTTCACTCACATTTCTCTTTTCCCTGAACCTCTTATAGAGATCTAGCCAGATTTGCTGCTCTCGGCACTCTTCCCCTTGCTCGGCCTGAAACGAACAGTCGGGCTTCGCGGCGAAGATCTTCTCGTCCGTGGCTTTCCAAGGCTTTGGCAGTGGGCTGTCGCTGAAATGTACCATTTTTGCCTGCTTTAACACATCTCTAGGATTCCAGACTCGACCTGACTGGGACCTGAGGAAACCCGCGTGGTCGTTACTTCGGAACTCGCCTGTGAGAAGGGCATAAGTCTCATGTGGTATTACTTCGCAGGTGCCACCAAATAATGCGTTCATAATTTCCATATCGTAAAAATCTTTCCCAGCTCTGCGTTCGATGATATCCTCGACTCTTTGGAATGCGTCCATGGACGGAGTGAGGACCATAACGTGGGACGACATCGTGGGCTTGCTTGTCAGCCAGTATGCGCGGGGCATGACGGCTGCGGCTGGTGGGACGAAGAAAAGCTCATCCAGGGACCCAAGCAGAAGAGAATCCGAGTCAATGGCTATCAGTCTGCTATACTGGGTCTGCTTGAAGGCCAGAAGCTTTGTGTATGAATCTGCCCAATTAGGCCCCGAATCTGTTCTCACGATCACTTGTCAGTATTACGTGCCATACAGGTCTCGAAATGGCACATCAGGTCTGAGTGAAGTACGTACAGGCAGCGCTTTCCTGATGCCAGACTTTTACCGGTTGCAGCTTGACACCTAGTTCATCCCGTGCCTTGGCAAGCAGCCTTCCTTCGCGAGATTCGCCATCATTGACATCGAGGGTGTCTTCGTATAATAGAAGCCGTTCCGCTTTGCTTCCATACTGACGTAGGTCGTCAAAGATCATAACGGCGTTGCACAGGTTTTCGGCATCCGTGGCATACAGCGAGTAGGCATATTTTCTCCAGTCTCTTGTTGTTGCCCTCCAGTGATCATTTGGTGCCACCGGGTTCCGGAAATAACAAGACGGGCCCGTCAAGCGGTCGTATACGTGTGCGACCCGAAGCCATAGAATTATGAAAATGAAGAGAAGCACACCGTATGCCAGGCGTGCCGGCTTTGATCTCAGCAGCTGTGCAATATTGGCAGCCTTTGGCCGGGCTGCTTTTCTGTACTCGGCCTCATTCCAGACAGGTAAAAATGGTGAGTCCTCTAGGAAGTCTGGCAGTGCGTCCTCGTCGAATTTTCCTTTTCCGTGTTTTCCGGGCATATAGTTCTAGCTTGACTCGAGGGCCGAATGGTGGTCACGGCCCAGTCAAGCTCTCACTCCTGAGCGCGAAGCAGAGAGGAGATATGGCTGATCTTGAGAATAGAAAGAATGTAGACTAGGATGATTGCGATGTCACAAGCTATAACAGCGGATATAATGATAAGGAAAGTCTGGATACGCAAAATGCTGAAAGAACTGTATCAGGGTGGCTTTGGCGTCGGAAGGATCGGTGATGTTTTCTGTCCGGCCCATAAATCCCCTAAATCCCCTGAGCTGACTCAGCGAGCCCCTTTTTGAGCCCCATGTTAGCGTTGACGACGGTGTTCCAAGAACTCGAGCGATCGCTTGTGTGGCTGACGTAGAATGATATTTTCTTGCTACATCACATTGTAGCACTGACTCAGAAGCCCATGATTCGCGCCTTGGGAAACCAAACAGATTTAGGTACGTCCTCCATTGGCGGGAAGTTGGCCACACTTTGTGTGGTTGTGGAGCAGCTCACGGTTACTTTTACACGAGGCAAGGGATGTGCATCCACTGCAGTAGCCGAAGACTTGCTTAGATTGATCAGCTTGATACAGGCTTGTTGAGTGCGGGATGGATAGGAAGGATATTATCACGACATGCAGTTTAATCTATCGTGCCCTACAGGAGATGTCAATTTTGAGCGTGGACTATTGGCCATGTAAAGGCTGCTCTTGTAACGTGGATGCGTTCCGTTAGCTTTCTTCTCCTCAATCAAATCCTCCACAATCTGTAGATTTCCAGCCAATAAATAGAGGAGAATCACTTTCTCCCAGAAAATTCAAACTAATTTGCATCGTCAGAGAAATTTGGACATTGTGCGTCAAGCCTTCTCTACATCATCACCAGTGGTTCCTTTGATTGTTCTGGGGTCGTGTTCTGGTGCTTCTATTACTGCGCCAGTCTATCGCATTACTTTGGCCTCCTCAAGTCCAGACCCAGAACAGTGAACATAGATCAAGATATTCTGGTGTACAGACCGCTGGAGCTAGCTGTCTTGATCCCGTATGCTACTTCTAAAGGGATGGCCCCAAAGGTAAGCAGCGCACGCCATCAGATGATCAGACATTGGCAGATTGGACCCAGCCACATCTGCGGTAAGCCAATAGCACTTCCGAATTTTCGCATATGCAGTGACGAACTTCACGCTAGTGAGGCGCATGCATGCTGTACGGCCGTCCTGGTTTTTCACCCTTCCCCGCCTGACCGTGTGAGCTTATGCCTCTGCTCTGTCTTGTTCTGTTCCTTTAACTCTGGAGTGCGCCAGAAAATCCGCTGCCATTTACAAATCTGCTTGTGGATACATAATACGGCCATGGAAGCCCTCACAGCGCTTTCTGTTGCAAGCAGCGTGATCCAATTCGTCGATTTCGGCAGTAAGCTGGTGTCGAAATCCAAAAAGCTCTACAAATCTACGCATGGTGTGTTAGACTCAACAATCGATTCAGAGCGCATCATTCGAGACTTGACCTTGCTCCTTATCGGTTTAAAGAGGAAGTTGCCAGAGAATAGAATCCTCTCTAGTGAAAGTCCTCCCAAAATATCGGAGAATGACGAGGCTCTTGACGAACTGTGCAAAAGATCCGTGGAAATCGCCGAGCAAATCCTGAGGAGACTGGAGAGACTCAGGGTTACAGTAAAGAAAAGTGATAAATCTGGCCACAAATCTCATAGTACGGATGAATCACTGCAGAACCAGACGCTGAACCATGCGCAGTCGGCGGGAAGTCGGGCAGCGGGAGGTTTGAGATCTTCGGATCTTGAACCCGAACAAGTCTCCGAAGGAAGACGGTTCTCGAGATGGGATAGCTTTCGCACAGCCCTTCAGGAAATCTGGAGCAAGCACGAGTTAGAGGAATTGGCAGCCACATTACGAGAGTTTAGAAGCGAGATTGAGTTCCGCATTCTCCTCACATTTCGGCAAGTTCAAAAGTCCCCCGGCTGTTCCTTTCATGTTGTGGACTAACTTGCTTTAAAGAGAGTCCCTGAATGATCTCGCCGCACAGCACAATGATTTGTCCCATCAATTGGCCCAATCTACCCAGCTCATCTTGGACAGCTTCTTGCACACGCGGGAAGAATTGGCTGCTCAGCTAAGGCTGCAAGCGCAAACACTGCTCGAGATCAAAAGCCGACGTGAGGAAGGCCATATAACGGAATACCAGAAAATTGAGGACGTGACCAAGGGCAAGCTAGATGCGGTTGGCTCACTGGAAATCCCGAGAGGACGCAGGAATGACGACGATTTCCTTCAATCGCATTCATCGATGGAATGGCAGATCAAGGAGCAAGTCCGGCTCCTGATGATTGAAGATGGAGTGCTTGGCAGCCTATCGTTCACATCAATCTCTGATCGACGGGAGAGCCTGGACTTTCCATATAACGACACATTCCAGTGGATCTATGAAGATCAAGAATCTTCGGATAGACCCTGGAGTAGCTTTGTAGAATGGCTTCGGAGTGGAACAGGAATCTACTGGATCAACGGGAAGCTTGGATCTGGAAAGTCAACTCTAATGCGGTACATCTGCGAGAATGCCCGAACGAAAACAGAGCTCGGCTCCTGGGCTGGGATCACACCACTCGAACTTGCCCAGTTTTACTTTTGGAGAAGTGGTGATGAGGATCAGAAGACACTCCATGGTCTTCTAAAATCTCTCTTGTTCGAGATCTTACAGCGCCACAGACAACTACTGCCCAAGATCCTCCCCGATCTATGGCGTGTCTGGTCTGCTCGTGCGACAGAACTTCTTTCCAACCCACCAACATCGAACTACATTCTGTCTTACTCCATGACCCCTCCTCCAAGCTTACAAAACTTATTGCGATCATTTTGGGTTCTTCTAAGAGAATTGCAGCAAACTCACAAGATTGTGCTGTTCATCGACGGTCTTGACGAGTTCGAATCGGACGGTGACTACTCCGAGATCATACACATTTTGCAACAGTGTGTAGCTTCTCCAAATATCAAGATATGTACTTCAAGTAGACCATTGGCGGTCCTGGAGCAGAGCTTTGTTGATTCGCCTTCGATGCGGCTACAGGATCTCACGCGTGGCGACATTCTATTCTATGTGGACTCAAAGCTTCGCAGCCACAAGTACATGGTGGAGTTGTCTCAAAGACACGAGGCAGAAGTCTCCAAGTTAATTCGCGAGGTTGTTCGCAAGGCAAGAGGGGTTTTCCTCTGGGTCAAGCTCGTTGTCAAGTCGCTACTGCGTGGGTTGGGCGATTACAACCGAATCTCGGACCTCAAACGAAGAATCGATTATCTGCCCGAAGATCTTGAGGACTTGTATGCATACATGTTGCAGACCGTCGATCCGTTCTACCACGACCAAACTTCGCGGCTGTTCCAAATCGTGAGAGCGGCACAACGATGCTCTATAGGTCGGGTCACCCTATTGAATTTATCATGGGCAGAGGAGGAAGACGAGACACTGGCAGAAACACTCGGCATAAAGCCCTACACAATTGATGAGATTGAGAGCAGATGTCGAGAGATGGACGCTCGCCTTAAAAGCGTTTGCGCAGGCTTTCTAGAGTCAACCGATTCAAGATATTCCGGCATTGCGCCGGACAGTCGTGTCTCATTTCTGCACCGCACCGTTGCCGATTGGATGTCAAAGCAGACGGTATGGGATGACTTGGCCAGTCGCACCTCGGGATCTGGCTTCAGTCCGAATTTAGCAATGCTGAGGTCGCGCATCATGTGTCTCAAGAGCTTGGAGGTATCCTCCAGGACTCCACTCGACATGAGTATTATCACTGATGCTCTTCAATATGCCAGACACGCCGAATCAGACCTGAAGAGGGCCTTTCCGGGATTGCTGGATCAGTTAGACATCACTGCGTCCAAACACTGGAGGGATTGCGGTGGTACTTCAACTATTGGCCATGTGAATCACACCATACCCGAAGATCGAGTACTCAATTCGATGTCTAGCTACCAGGAGATCAGTTTGTGTGAAACACCATCGCTTGGAGTCGGCGCACGACATCATTGGACTTGGGCCATCGCTATACCAGGGGTGAAACCAGCGGGGACAGGAAGCAACTTTGTGGAAGTCGCGAGAAACATGGGCGTCACGCGTTACGCTGACATGAAATTCGAAAGCGGTTTTGTTGTGGACCAAGATGTCAACCACCACTTGCTCAGAGAAGCCATTCGAGGCTCCTGTAGCACAACTGGACCTTGGAACCGGAGCGACCGAGACAGGCTGCCTGACTGCGAGACGGTCCGTCATATTCTCCGGGGTGGCACTGACCCAAATTTCTCGTACCACGACGTGTCCAGCCCCTGGGAAGATACGATAGTGAATGCAGCGTGCCACTTCCTCTCAAATCCAGACCCCAAGAACGAGGTCGAGTGGAGGCGGACTGCGGAGGCCTGGGTGACGGTAATCGAATTACTCGTCGATAATGGAGCAGATCTGAGTCTGTTGACCGAACGACAGTACAGACTACCAGGTCGTCCGAAACTTTCTGTCCAGATTGTCATAACCTATTTCCCGGAATTTCTTGAGGAAAGAGCATCGAGATTGATTAGGACGCTTGACGCAAAAAAGAAAAGATAAGGTTCAAGCCCCAGTCAAGTGAGGAGACAAAGGATTATAAGAACTTTATAGAGAATAAAAGGAGAAGGGAAAAAAAGGCCGTAAGGGAAATGGAGGAAAACCACAAGGTCTTATCTGATGTTACTAGAGTGTAGACGTTGCCGTGCTCTGCAAAGTTGTGAAGCTAACGTGGCACGTGTGTAACGGATTGCTGACATCTTGATATTCGCTTGCAATTTCAGTCGTTCCTGAGCCTCTTTCGAACACTTAAATGTCAAGGAAGAATGACTGCGTCCGAGTATGAGGATAGAAGCCACGAGTCGGGAGGATTTTCCCCCGACTTCAGCCAACAACCCCTCAGTTGGAATGAGATTGGACAGTTTGGACAACAGCCCAACGACCATCCCTCTTCCACATCGACATCATGGCGCTCGATACACCGGCCGGGGTGAAGAATCCCTCAGCACCAAGGTTCAGCTGGGACTACGATGTCCCTGAGATCCCTTTCTGGTACTCATACAGAGTCTCCTAGAGATGTGGATATCACACTAACAGAAAGCCAGGTCAGACCTGAAATACACAGCCGGTCGCAACGTCCTCCAGTGCTATGGCGAAGAAGAGATCCGTGCAATGGAGCCCGATTTCGAACGCCTGGGCACCGCTGCCAAGCAGGACAGGCTGCAATTTCTCCTTACAAAGGTTGAGGCTACCATCTCCGGGCGGGAAGCAGCAGCAAGCCCGGAAGGCCTTGCTACCACGGACTATGCTCGGTGGATGACCTTGACGCTGGCCCGCATGACAGTTCTGTCGGAGCTTGGCAGGGAGGCCGAGCAAGAAGCCGCCATTCAAGTCATGATCGACACCCCCAACCCGGCCAAGCCTGGAGAGGTTAACATATCAGCTGTCAATATGCTAGCAAACCTCAAGGAAGAGCAGGGGTTCTTTTCCGAAGCAGAAGAACTTGCCAGGAAGGTCGTGCCTTTCTTTGATGACAAGATGGGGCCCGACAGTCCTCCCTCGCAGGGTACCAGGAGATGCCTCATCCGCTGCATTTGGAAGGCTGGAAAGCCTGAAGAAGCCAAGGCGCTGGCAGAGGAGACGAGACTGATTATTGATTCCATGGGAGAGAAGAAGAGTCAGTATGTGAAGTACCAGGATGACGAAAGGCAGTATCTGGAGGAACTGATGGCGGACCTTGAGTCCTGGAGCGCAAAAGAAAGGTGATTGCATAATAATTGGATAGTTTTATCGGACTGCAGAGTTACACGGACGCGAATTCATGAGTTCCATTTTGAGCCAGTGCTGATTGATTAGCCCTACGATTGACGGTGAGAACCTCTGAACTTGACCATCGGGAGGGAGTTTTTAGCCTAACTTGTTGCTCATTCCACTGGGTTATGATGAGGTATTGGAGCGCAGGGGTCGGATAGGTGGTTACCAGGAGCTTACGCCGAAGGACGAAGTGGCACATCGACGCTATCGCAATGGTCTATTCTTCCTCAGGACTTTATATCTTGTGGTTCGATCTCTGAAAACAGATCACACCCATTGAAATCAGCGGCCGAGGAAATATACATTCAAGGCCATGATCGCCATATTTAGTGACAAGTCGGAGATTTACACCTGCAAAAACGGAGGGTACTCCGGTGCATCGCCAGCACTTAACCACATGAGAATTCATACACCCAACACCCACACCCAGTACCTACACCCACCTATCACATCTACTTACCTTCAAGCATATAAATTAACTATATAAATTAGATGTATAGGTGTTGGGTGTGTAGGTGATGAGTGTGTGGGTGTGTAAATTAGACCTGAGTGATGCGCTTTAATTTGCTCCAGCTATGGTGCGAGTTATGTACCGGTGTACCCTCCGTTTTTGCAGGCGCGAGTCTCCGTATTCTTTGATGAAGGCATTCGTGACGGAACCCCTGGCCTCAAGCTTTTGGCATGAATCATATCACTTGAAGCATTGCAAGGACCAAGAGACTCTGCTGCTTTGCCATAGATCAGAGGACAGTTTCCGGCAAGCTTAATGGCTAGTGCTAGATTCGACCGATTCACTTTCTGACCTCCCAGCAGAGGAGAATGATGAGTGGTCAGACATCCACTTGATACGGAATTCAACACCGCGGCTGGCGAACACGCTTTTCGTCCGTTCTATCCCGTCGTCCGTTTTAAGTGGTACGCATGGGGAATCAATATTCCCATCCCCCTCATCTGAGTCTAGCCCCCAGATCCTATGTGCATGGATGACTGGCACCGCTGTGAGGGTCACTCTTCTCAAGTTGACAAGCTTCATGCCATTGTCATCGCCTTCGTCGTCATTGACCACGAGGGTCCACAGCGCGGTCTGGACCCAGTCCATTGCCTGCTTCTCAAGCCTGACAATTCTAGAAAGCGCTTGAAGATCCGATTTGGTCCACGTCTCAGTGAGCTTGATGTCTTCGATGGACTGGGGGAGTCTCTTGTACAAGCCAGCTTATACAGTGGGACGCAAAAAGTCTTGCATATACCCTCTTAATTTTAGGTACTTAAGTTATTATCCTTTAACTTTAATTAATTATATTTTTATAACGTGGTTTATTAAGAAGTGGCGGATATTAAAAAGTGGCGGATTTTCCTAACTTTAGCCAACTTTAGCAAGCCTTAACACTTACCCAATGCAAATAATTAAATTAAATTTAGCACTAATTAATGCCAATTACATTTAAATCCTTATTTATAATTAATTTTATTAATTTAAAGTAATTAATGTAGTTGCATTTAAGTTTAAAATAATTAACTTTTAATAAAGGGGATTTATTTTAATGTAAATTACATTTTAATTTTTTATATTAATCTTGCTTTAATTCATCTAGTTAAATATTTAATATATTAAAAATTAATAACTATTAATATATCCTTTATTTAAAAAAAAATAAAATCCTTTTAACTATATAAGTAATTAAAAACTTAAAGAAAAATAATGCAAAACTTATGCTTATAACTTAAGCTATTAATATTTTTTATATTCTTAAAATTACATTATATTATAAAATAAATTAATAATACTTATATAAAGAATTATATATTAATAAGCATAAACTTAATTAAATTAAAAAATAAATGCTTATTTAATATATTATTAAATAAAATACTTAAGGACTTTCTTTATAACTTTTTAATATAAAAGATATAGCTAACCTTTTATTAACATTATATAATATTAAACTTATAAATAAGCATTAAGCTTAATGCTTTATAAATTTATAACTTAGCTTAAAAACTAAATTTAATTATCCTTATAATTATTAAAAAGCCCTTTATAAAGATTTAAAGATTATTAAAAACTAATTTAAATTATTTTATAATATAATAGCTAAATATTAAATTATTAATAATAACCTTTATAACTTTAATAAAACTAGCTTTATAATAAGCATAATTATTATATTAATAATTATTATATTAATAATTATTATATATATTAATAAATATAAAAAGGTTAAATTAATTTAGCTTAATAATTAAAAATAAATAATTATTATTAAATATATTAATATAAATAGCTTATAAATCCTATTATTTATAATTATTTAAGGCACTTATTACCTTGTTAATTAAATAATAAAGTTAAGTTTTTTAAATAACTAAGTTATTAAGCTTATTTTTAATAAATAAATAAATAATAAAATTAATTTAAAATTAATTTAATACTTTAATAAATATATTAAATTAAAGAAAAATATTAATTATTAAATATTAATTATAAATAATTATAAAAGCTATATATTAGCTAAATTTAATTAATATTATAAGGATAATAAGATTATTATTATTAATATATTGTTATATTTATCTTATTTACTTTAGCTATTAAACATTATATTATATTTACCTTTAAAGTATATATATAATAATTAAATTAACCTTTTTATTTAAGCCTTTATTAATTATATTATTAAGTTTAAGTTTTTTCTTATATTTAAGGCAGCTTATAATAAAACTTTTATAATAAAAAACATTAAGTTTGCATTTAAAGGAGCTAAAATTTCCCCTTAAAACCTTAATTTTATAATTTTTAAGCTTAATATCCACTTATAAACTCCTATATAATCCCTCCCTATTTCTCCTTAGAAATAAAAGTTTTAAATATTATTAAATACTTAATAAACCATTAAGCAATTAAGTTTTATTAAAAATAAGATTTCCACCTATTAAAAAAGCTTCCCTATATTAATTATAAAGGTTATTAATTAAATAATAAAAGGCGTATAAGTAATAATATATAAACTTATTATTTTAAAAAATTAAATTTATACTCTTAAAAAGGCTAATATAGCACTTGCTAAATGCTAAAGGGCTAAAAAAACCTAAATTCAGCTTAAAAAAGCACTTATAATTAAAGAATCTTAAGCTCTTATTTAAGAGAAATAAAAGGAAAAGCAGCTAGCTAATAAAATAAGTGGTAGTTTTAAGGAATTAATCCGCAGCAAACTAATTAAAAGATAATATAGCAATTATAGTAAAACTAAGCATAATATAAAAACTTATAAGAAAGATAAAAAAGAGTTTATTTAATTAAATTCCAATTATATTATAATAAATCCAGCTTAGTTAACACTAATTAATGCAAATATATATGTATTAATAGTTCGCGGCAAACTATCTTTTTAAGGGTGTAAGTCAGGGGGTCCACATATAGTCCACCCCCCTATATAAACTATTAAAAAGTCCTCTTTACTACACCACCCCTTTAATTAAAGTTACTTTAAATCATTATTACTACCTATAATAATACATTCCTTTATATTTATAATATCTTTAAAAGCATTTATTTTTATTAAGTTATCTTTAATTACATTAACTTTAATTTACGCCCTGCATATATGCTTAATTTTAATAAATATAAAGTTTAAGCTTATTTTAACCTTCTTTTTCTTTTAAAATATTATAGCTATTAATTTATTTTTAAAAACTTAATTTTTTTATAAAAGCATTATTATCTTTTAATCTTTTTTATTATATTTTTTTTATACTTTCTTAAAGAATAATTATTAAATGATAAGTAAGTATTTTTATAGGTTATAATTAATAAAAGCAACTTACATTTTTTAAAATGCTTTAAAAGTTAAAAAAGCCCTTTTTTATAATATAATACGTATTAAAGTAATTAATTTAACCTTTTTAATTCTTATAACATTATTAAAAATAAATATAAATATTGCTTTATTAAAGTTTTTAAGCATAATTATACTTATTAAAGGTTTAATTATATTAATTAACTATAAACTAATTCCTTGCTATTTAAACTATATATACTTTTCCTTTAATGCCATTAATCTTGCCTATTAATAATAATAAAGGAATAATTACTTCTTAATATAAGTATTATTAATATAAAGATTTAAAAAACCCATTTCCTTTTTATAAGCTGCTTTAAGGCTAAAAAATATACTTAAATTAAGGGGTTATAACATATATAATATATATAAAGGTAAATAAAGGTAATAAATCTTATTTAAAAAGCATTTCTATATAAACTTTATTATATAATAGCTTTTATACCTATTTATTATTAATAAACGCCATTCCTTAAGGTTATTTAGCTTAATTTAAGGGATAAAGATCTTTTATAGCTACTTAAGTATCATAACGTTATTTATTTAACTATTTAGCATTACTATAAATTCCTAATCCTTATAACCCTTAAGGGTCTTAAACTATTATTATTAAACTAATTTCCCCTTAAAAATAATAAGGAAAAGGCATAATTTATTTATTATAAAAATGCACTTAAGGAAGGAAGTTTAAGTATATAATTTATAACTTTTTTAAGTAATAACTTTCCTTCCCTTAAGCTTAAGGATCATTCCATTCTTTTCCTTACCCTTAACAATACCCCTTTTATTAACGTTATGCCTATTAATTGCTTTAATACTCATAATTGCTAATAACTAAAGAAGGTTAAACCACTCCTTAATTATGCTTATTAAAGCCTTATTTGCTTAGCTTGCATTTATTTAATGGCTTTATATGCTTTAAATCTTAAGATTTTTAATTAGAAAAAACCTTAGCTAATAATAGTTATATAAGGAAAGGCAAAGTTAAAAAGCGGCTATGCAAGCTGCAAAAAACCTTATTTTAAAATAGGTTATTAACAATCCTAATATTACTTAATTAATTAACTATATTAAATAAGCATATTTCTTAAGTTTATAATAATCTTTATTAAAATT